CCCCCTCCCCCTTGCAGGTGTTGTTTTGCACTGTACTCATGCTGTACGGTTTACTGGATGATCGACGACTCGACTCGACGTTTTAATTCCCTCGTCCAAAAAGCTCCATGACCAGAACAGCGCATTACTGTACACCCGTACGGTACCATGTAGATGTTTCACCATCCTTTTCTCGAAAGGTTGCCCTGTTTTTTTTTTTGGTTTCCTCTTTTGGTTTTGTTCTGGCTTTGCCCTTTAGATTGCACTGCATTGCCTTGCAGAACTCGAAATGCAAAACTTCTTCGTTCGTACTTTGGGTCCAACAACTCCCAAGGTCCCTGTCTACCTGTATCCATGTCGGCCCCCGCAGTGCCGCTGCTACAGTACAGTACGTTCAGTAGTAGTACCTCACTCTTCCGGTCTCCGCAAAAAAAAAAAAAAAAACTAAAAGCTTCATCCATGACGGTCGTCCGGCACTCCCCGTCGTCTAGGGCAATCACCCCTGCAGAAACCCTGGGCGAGTTGTTGTCCAGGAGGTACGAGTACAGTAACAATTGTTCGTCTGAAAAGTCCCGTCACGGTGCATGCATACCCGTGCCCCACTTGCCTCACTCATCGCCCGCGCGCCGCCGACTTGCGTCAAAAGGTAATGTAGTCGCAGTCGCGGTCGCGGTCGTAGTCGCACCCTCCGGAGACAAAACCCCTAGGACCCTAGAGACACTGACAGAGAGCGATTATTACCATAAAGGTTCGACTCACGTGTGGCGCCCCGGGGTGGCAGTCGTGAGACGTGGGGGGGGGAAAAGGGGGGGGGGGGGGGGCCGGCTGCGTCGCTGAAAATCCCAAAAATCGCGCGCAGGCCTGTCACGAAACGTAGGTAGGGTAGAGGGTCATGTTATGCACATCTGTATACGTACACGTTTTGCATGTGTGTTTCTGTAGGGGTTCTTTACATTCTATGAAAACGTGATTCGGTTCATCGTGAGAAGAAGCACCTAGAAACCTCGTAACCCAGAACCCTGGACCTACTGCGGTGCCTTTGTACCTCGTACAGTACCTGGTACCCCCCCGTACACGGTACACTGATCGGTACGGAGCACCATATTCACAAATCAGACACATCATGACTTGATTGAGAAAAAGGTGTTGTCCATGTTTGCGTTTCTATACGTGTGTCAATGACTGTGTCTACTCTGTGTGTGTGTGTGTGTGTGTGTGTGTGTGTGTGTGTGTGTGTGTGTCATCCCAAAGTGGTTGCTCTCACCTCTCACGCGCGTGGGGGTATTGTTGGATTCTTCCCCTCTGTGATCTTTGGAAAGAGGGAAAAAAAAAGAAATTTCGCAAAAGGACCCGGATCTGACCCCTGGCCTCGGAACCCTCCGACAATAATGACCGCAAGCGCGACTGCGACTGCGAAGGCTGCCACCATTTCCTTCCCGAATCCACTCGCCGTGCCGTGCTGTGCTGTGCTGTGCTGTGCTGTCCTATACTTGTGTCACTTGACTGTCCCCGTACAGCTAGCTACCTGTAGGTACTCGGACGAATTAGCTGTGTGTCGCCCGAGGTCAGGTCGACGAAAACACCTACCCAGAGGTACGAGTACGAAGTTAGAGGACATGCTTCGTCAGCTCGTACTGCATCCGACGTGAGGTCACGTATGTAGCAGGGAAATGTCATGGCAGTATCCCAAGAACGAGAGAACTCATGGTTGGAAACGACAGTAGTTCAACATTCACCACCTGACCTTCAATATCCTGTGTCCTTGTGTCCTGTGCCCTTATATCCTATCCATACCAAGATGATCCAAAGTTTCCCAGAGTACATACGTACGTACATTTGATGAATTTCCCCGCCCAACGAACCTTGCCCATGACAAACGATACATCTTCACAAGAGTAGACCCAGAGGAGACCCAAAAGAACATTCCCTTCCTTCCGCCTTGAAACACCTCCCAAAAGATCCATGATATATACTCCTCCCTTATTTCCCCCGGGACGACAACTTCATAGTTTTATATTCCCGCTCCATCATGACATGACATTCATAAGTCCTCAACCTGGAAGAAAAGACAAACAAAAAACCTTCCTTCTCAATCATACCTGAACCATAAACTCTTCAGGGACAGGCCGTAGTTGTTTGTATATAAAATAAGAGAGAAGAAGAAGAGGAAGAGAAGAGAAAGCGCCGTCAAGGCCATAACCTGAAAGAAAGAAAAATAAAAGAACATCATAAATCAAAGTGTAACGCTTTTGAAATATCGCTAAACAGCTGAAACCGTACCATAAGCTGTCAAGAGTCGTGGGCCCCTTCCAATCAATCAATCAATCATCCAGACCCCTCCTCCTGCCTGGGATAGACGCCTCCAAGACGAGAAATTTTTCGCAAAATCATAAGCGTAGCGTCGAGTTGACATTGGGATTTTTCGAGTCTCTTCAACAAGGAAAATCTCAGCGAGCGACATTCGCCGAAAAGCTTACAAGGCGTCAACAAGTCAATTGTTCCCAGGCTCAACTAGGAACAATAACTTCGACCTTCCTTCCCTTTCCTCTGCCTTTGATGCCCTTGTTGCTGTGCTTGTACAGATCTTGAAAATATTCCCTTAGCTCTTCTTCGTGAGGAAGCACCGCTTCGTTTGTGGAGAATTGATGGGCCAGCCTGGCTAGGGTTTCTTTGTGGAATTTGTTCATGTGTGCCTTGAGGTTGCCGAGTTGTGTAAAGACCTTGCCTCCCTCTCCGACCCTGCAAGCATCAAGCTTGCATTCATACTTGCGCGCGTTGGTACCGGGATCAGACGATGACCTCTTTCGGTTCGGTCGTTGGCCAATGTGTCGGCGTTCGTGGGTCCGTAGGTTGCCGAGTTGCGAAAAGGTTTGCTGGCACGTTGGGACGGAACATACATATGGCTTCTCGCCAGTGTGTGACCGAAGGTGGATCTTGAGGTGTGTTGGTTGAGAGAACGACTTGCCGCAGTTTGCATAAGAGCAGATGAACTTTCTTGCTTTGCCTTTGGGGTCGCCCGTGGGAATCTGTCGTTGCATCGTCTGGACAGGTTGGAGCGTCTTCATGAGCGAGTCCACCTCAGATCTGGGTTCGGGAAGGGACGAGGAGACCGCCAAGCCTGTTGGAGGAGTTGTTTGACCAGAAGAGATGATCGACCCAAGCCGAGGGAGCTCTGACAAGTCTGAGGAAAAGTAACTCGACGGAGACTCGGAGTAGACGGAAAGTCCATCGTCGAAATTCCCTCCATCGTCTGCCATCCAGCTGGGTTCGGTGGTGGAGCCATGATCAGCGCTGAGATAGTTCAAAGTCATGTCGTAGTCGGAGAACGGAGGGAAGGAATGAGTTCGTCGTTGTAAAATAGGTACCGGGGGGACTTGGGTAACTGGTGGTGTTGCGAGAGGCGAGGTGTATGCATTGTAATTGTACACATCGTTTGAAGGGATGTTCTGAGGGTAGAAATCTTGTGGAAACGCCTGCGAATTGACCAGCGCATTGGAGTTGGCTGGCACAGAGATTGGTGTAGGCACCATCCATTGCCTCATTTGCTGCATGTGCCAGTCTAGTTGCTCTGATGTTGAGTTGTATGCCATCTTCTTTCTTCAGGTTCTGGGATGTACCGTGACACGGAAGTAAACCGCAGTGTCTGTCCGCTGACAAGAGACGGTATAGTCAAAGGGAAGCTCAAATGAGACCCCAAAGGTCTTCCGCGGAGCAGGCAGGAGGTATTCCAACAAAGACTACATAACACGGAAGTAATGTCTCCTGCTTGAGAAGAGTGGCCTCGGAAAGGTAGCAACGGAGGGTCGTCGCAGATCTTTGATTGGCCAGGGGGTGGAGTTGCAATGGAGTGACACTTGAAGGTACTTATGCTATGGTGACAAGAGATGTAAAAGTGCTCAGGACAATATGAAAAGCAAACCTCGACTTGTGGACGGGATCAAACAGCAGCGTCGAGAAGGACGGGCCCTACCTTGGGGGTTTATACCTCTGAATCGCGAGTGAAAATATCTTCAATAAATTCGACGACTGGTAAGCCCGCGTGGGCATGTCAAGCTCGAACCAAGAATAGTCAGGGAACAATCTGCAGGTGAAGAGATTGCACGACCCCATCCCAAAAGCGAACGAGGGTGTTGCTGCGGCTAAGATACTAACATGATGCAGCCTTGTTGGAAGATGGCTTTCGGAGGGACGCCATAAGGCATCATGGCGCAAGAGCTTACCGTGTTTAGGGAGGGCCAGGTGACAGTTGGAAAAAATTTTCCTGATCTGAAGCATTGCTAGTGGCTGATCGAGCAGAAAGACGATAGCTTCAGGCCAGTCAGAAGCTTCAAACAGGCAAGATGCATGTGTGACGAGAGGGAGTGTCCGGCAACGGGAGGCAGTGACTTGGTTCAATGGTTGGCACGCCTGGTGCAGGGGCTAGAGATAGCGTCAGCGATCGCAAAGCATCACAAAACCGAGAAGCTCGAGAAGCGACACGGGGGCGGGATCTCTGCGTCGGAGAGAGTTTGCGTCAAGAGGAGGGAGGTGGAAGTGCATGAGGCCGGCATGATCGCTGATAAAGGCCCGCCGTATTGGACCTGTCCGGGACAGCCAACGGCGCAAACCATACCGGAACAGGAGAGTCGTTGCTTTAGCATGGCGCGTGGCTTTCGTGATGACCAGGATTAAGCGAATTCGCCCTTCAATAGAAGCTGAATCTGGCCGGAGCCGGTGCTGGAGGCTCGTATCTGTACGGGAAGACTTGCTCTTCCGCTGATTCCTCAGTGCCAGAGAATGGATACTCGACCCCGGGCGGATACCTGACTCTCTGTCACAACTTACAAGTCGCTAAGTCGAGAGAGGACTGCCCAGGCACGCAATCCTCGAGGCCGAATAGTACGTGGTGGCTTGGAGGCTATGTTATCTGGCAGCCGATGATAAGTAAAATTTTCTGTGTCTATGCTCTCTTGGTCCAATTCCAAGTATTGTCTTCGCAACCCCCATGTCTGCCTTGCAGAAAGTGAAAAAATTTTCTCGGCTGCAGACATGGCCTGACAACACTGGGTAGCTGGCCTTGACTGACCGGGCGTCGGCAAGCTGGCATTTGGGAAAGAATTGACAGACATGAGCCAGATAGGACGGGAGAGACAAGGCAGGATGGGCACTGACTACTGTCGAGTGATTCCCTAATCGCTGATTGCTCGGCCCCCTGGGGATTCATCCCACGCGCCCCTCATCCGGACAAGGGACATTTACGCAAACCGTTCCGTGAAGAAAACACATGCTGCGATACGCGATGCGGAGTAGAATCAGGTACCCCGGGGCCCTGGAAAGGGGATGTGAGAAAATTTTGCAGACACGTTCATTTGCTGTAGTTGCGCGACTTCGGCGGGTTCCTCGCACAGTTCGCTCAACCGGTCTCAATGCCACCGGTACAACAATGTCGTTGGAGCGGTAAGTGACCACCACACGTTACCGACTCGATAGATGAAGCGGCCGTTGGAAGGACGTGAGCGAACACTGGGGAGCCTGGGGCGTCTGCAGTGCCAGTGTTGAAGCCATCTCTCCAGGCGGACGGGCCCGGTCGGTAGAGCCAGCAATAGAGGCACTAACTAGGCTGACGAGAGAGCGATCATGTGGCGCCCCTGCCAGCCAGACGCTCTGTACTGTAGGTAGCTAGGTGCCTCTTGCAGTCGTCGATAGAGGTATTCTCGTCTCCTTCCATAGGTATCGTCGTGGACATCAACTGTGACGGACTCAGGTCAGGTACCTAGGTTCTGAGCGCACTTCGTGAGCTAAGGTTGTTGAGGCTCGACGTGCCACACATTATAGTTACAAGCTGTACTGACCAAAGGCCGCTCTTCAGCAAGAAGGACAACATCAACCCAAGGCGCTGACGATATCGTCCGGCATGCTATTTTGAAATGTTGATCTCTACGAATACCTCAAAGGCATGCTGAGCAAGCATGTCCATTCCCGTGTCAGAACCCCCTTAGCACACCCTCGTGGATATCCTCCTGCGAGATCAAGGTTTGCCTAACGAAAATGCCTAGAGCGCCCTCCTATCGGGCCTATTCAGGCCTATTCTGTTGCCCACTGGTTTAATGCACGCGTGCCGCCCCCAAGTTACATGATACCCGAAACCGAAATTCAAAGTGGCATCACAGTTCGTGCCGACATACCGTTGATTTGACCGTGATCCAATGCATCCGCCCTTTGGCCAGCCTCCTTGGTGGTATCCATTCTCACCATGTGCAGCATCTCTCACATCCGGCGGTGAACAACAAAGCCTTCCTTCGATGAGGCTACCTATCGTCCATTCTACTTCCAATGGCTTGTTCTTATCAGCAAAGTGTCGTACCGCTTCAAATACCTTGGTGAGCCCCACGCCAAGTCGTGTATTGCCAGATGCGGGCTTTCATGTCTCCTGATCCGGTAGCGAACAAGTGTCCGGTCGGGCAAGGTGCCACCGAGATGACGGAGTTCTTGTGTCCTTGGAGCATCATCTGAGCGTTGCCAGTATTCGGATCCCAGAATTGAACACCGCGATCCTTTGATCCTGACATGACCCATTCTCCACCAGGGGTAAGACAAACCGAAAGCACATAGTCCTGAAAGTTATGAATTAGTCTCGGCGTCACGCATCGGGAAAAACACCAGCACTCACCTTGTGTCCTTCGAATGTTCGGATGCACTTGCCATCCTTGCCGTTGGAAGCGGATGGGATGATGCCGCGCTGAGCGGAAAGCTCCCACATCTTGATCGTCTTGTCCAAGCTACCGCTGACCAGTTCTCGGCCGCTGGGAGAGAAGGCCACCGAGTAAACGCTGTCTTTGTGACCTTGTGGTCCTTCCAGACGCTCGATCAGATAGCCGCTAGAGCAGTCCCAGACTCGCACACTCTTATCGAGCGAACCCGCGGCGACGAATCGACCATCCGGGGACATGGCCACAGTGGTCACGCCATCCTCGATGGACAAGACCATAACTTGCTGGTTCGATTCAATGTCCCACAGGCGCACCGTCTTGTCGCCGGAGCCTGAGGCAATCAGTCGTCCGGTCCGGGAGAAGTCCAAAGAGTAAATGTCTTGCTCGTGGCCATCGAAAATGGTTCGGATGCGCTTGCTTTCAATGTCCCAAACTCTGATCTTCTTGTCTTCGGCACCGGTGGCCAAGAGCTTCCCGTCAGGAGAAAAGCAGACTGATCGGATGTACAAGTCACCATCCTTGTCTTGGACGTTCTCATCAAGCAACTCACAGACCTTGCGCCCGTCACGGGCGTCGAAGATTTGTGCACTGCGGTTGCAGCCGGTTGCGATGTACTTGCCATCATTGGAAAAGCGGACGCAACAGACCACGGACTCGTGGACGAGGTTGTGCAAGAGCGTGATGTCCAGTACGCGGGGCACATTAGGGTTGAAGACGGCGTGCCATTCACCGTTGGCGCCCATCCGCTTCAGATGGTCTGGAAGTTCGTCTGGGTTGAGGTCTGCGAGAACATTACCGACGTTAGGGTACTGTCCTTGTCCTGCCATCTGGTGGCGCGGCCCCAGTTGCATATCGCTTCCCGGAGGAGTCGGTCTTGGAATTTGGGGAGAGGCCCTTGGATCGTTCTGGTAAGGCATCGGCTGTGGTTGGCCTGGGTGCTGTTGAGGCGTAGCTGGTCCAGGTCCGCCTCTAGTCGTCATATTTCGGTTCTTGCCCAGTCCAGGGGAGTTGGTGGGTGGCTGTCCTTGTGGGCCGTAGCCATTCAGGGCAGGTGGTTGCTGATAGCCTGGAAAGGCATTTGGGCCCTGAGGGGGACCTTGAGGCTGGCCCGCGGGTGGAGGAGGCTGGAGGGGATGTTGTTGAGGAGCTGCTTGCTCTGGTGGAGGAGCGAGCCCTGGGCCGCCTTGCCCCTGGTTAGCCATGATGCCACTGAAAAGCCCGCCCTGGCCGTGACCGAGAGAAGGAGGAGCCTGCGCAGGAGGGCCGCTGTGCTGAGGAGGTCCCCCGATGTGAGATTGCACCTGGGAGCCGCCACGCATTTCGAGTTCGTGTCTGAGAATGCGAATCTCAGCCTCGTAGTCTTGCTTCATCTTCAGTTGGTTTTGTTCGAGTTGATAGACTTTGTTACGAATCAATTCCATCTCCTGAATTTGCTGAGCAACTTGGTTCTCAACTTGTTCACTGGACCGACTCTGATTCTCAAACTCTGCTCGCAGATTATCGAAGATCTCGTTCAGGCGATGATTCGGCGGCCCAGGAGGTGCGGGCCCCAAATTGGGGTTGCCGCGATGCTGGGTCGCATTGAACATGGTGAGAGATGGCGAAGGAGCGAAGCAGCAAAGATGTAGATGGCGAAGAAAAGTGAAGAACGGATTTCTGAGGATGGATTAGCATGAGGCTGGAAGGCAGTCGGGGGAAGAAGATTACGATTGAGCGCAGCTACGAGTAGTAGAGTACCTTTCCTTCTGGGTAGAAACGACGCTAGTGGTAGGGGGAAAAACGCAAATAAGCTCTTGGTGCGCAAACACCAGCGTCCCGATGAGATGAGCCGAATGGACACGGTTGCAGCCGATGCACGCAACACTATCGCCACTGACCCTACGCTCGAGGCTGAGGGCGACGGCAAGAGTCTGAAAAATGCGAACAGACGCGTAGACTGAGGCCTGAGGAGGAGGAAATGGGATGGGAGAAGGGGCAGGGAAAGGTGCGGGCGGGCTGAAAGACAGTACTCGTGCTCAGAAGAGGAGTCGAAGCACTGAGGCGCTGGGAGCCTAGCGAGCATGGGACGAGTGAGATGGAGCAAAGCATCAACCGGGGGGGAGGAAGAAGATTGGAGCCTCAAGGAACCCAGGGGTGGCAGTCTGGCAGAGGAGGTTGAGGCGCCACCGAGCCCAAAGAACATGCGTGGTCAGTGGCACAGGCCTGTGCCCCAGCAATGGCCGTGCGACATGGCAATTGAAGGTTGATTGCGGGCTGGCGGCTGCTAACTTTGTGGTTGACTTCTGTGTCAAACTTCCACTCGAACACGCGCAGCCGGAACCCGCAGCTACAAGCCTTCTGAAGAAGCAGCACCCACCCGGAGCCCACCAGACGACAAGGCAGTGGCCAGTGGTGAGCCCGCTAGGGGCCGAGTAGTGGGTAGCGAAGGCCGTATTGTACAACCTGCGGCGCCATGCATGTATATTCTAGCGGATGCGTGGTGCAGCCGCCCCGAGCCCCAGGATGCTAATGATCCAAGAGGGGGTAGATCGCTCAGGAAACACGGGCGAATAGGCGATGCTTGAGCCTAATTCCGGACTGCATCATTTTTCCCCACCCTTTATTGTTACTCATGTGTGCGAATCACTGCGCTCTAGTTGGTCGTACCACGCTACCGCCTACGCACCGCATCAAGTCAGGATACAACACACGTACACACAGAGCGTGACGACTCGTGCATTCACCCCCCCTGACCAGATAACCAGCACCGAGCAGGCCAGGATCCAGATCTCACTGCAGCGCGGCATCGACTTTCTGATAGGTCTCGACTCACCTGCAGCCTGCAGGCGTTTTGAGACCAAGGGGATGAGCCAGGAGGGCAAGTTACCCATAGATTGCAAACAATTGCTCCCAGCACCTAAACCCCGGGTCGCGTTTATATGTGGCTGAAACTAATGGCAAGTTAGAACTCTGCCTTTTTAAGGCCAGCTTGACTCGTCTTAAAGAGCGCAAGGCTTTACCTTGTACGGTCAAAACTAAGCGGGCTCTTATACTGACTGTATCTTACGTCTCACGAATCTCGCTCGTAGGGACACTGTTGTCACTCAAGCTCTCAAGCGCACAATGCACTGTCAGCGAAAGACAAGAGCACTGGTAAACGTCGGCCCCGAAATCGGTCACCCAAACTCATCAAAGCACTCCGGGATAGCACGCTCAAAGAGAACTCAACCTGACCACAACAACACATTTTGAGTTTCGACACATAAAAGTGGTATCTTTAGAATACCTGCAGAGTTAAGATTATCTTGTCCAGGGGTGTACCAAAGATCTCGAGGCTGTTATACAGAGCTGCCATTTACGAGCACGCAGTGGGTGTGACTTCTTTTCCCGATGTCGCTTTCACAGCATTCGACAAGACCAACGCCCCGTCGGAGGAAAAGATCCACCTCGTCGTCAATTGACTGCTATCATATTGGGCCACAATCTAGCATGTCATTGCGCCAGTTTCCGCTCTTGATTTCGCGAAGATATTCTTTTCCGACGCCATTTCCAACCTTTCACAGTCCGCCATCGTCGTGCTAATGTACAGTACGTCGGGTTTGAAGAAGATTCGAAGGGTCTCAGTTGGCGAAGGGGGATATTAAGCTGCGAGGACGTCAGCAACTCCCTCATGCATGATCTCTGGGATAAACAATACCTGATCAGCGCCGGTTTAGGTTCGCTGCGTGTGTAGCCTGCCTCGGTCAATAGGGGTCACACTCGAAACATCGGAGCATACCCAGGTAGAGTATTAAAGGCAGGTACCCATAGTGGACGACCTCCTTGGTAATGTCGAGTACCTTTGAGATGCGTTCCTAAAGATCGAGTTAGTTGCATGACGTCTGGCGGCTAGGAAAAGAGCCATACCTTAGTTTCTTCGGAGAATTGAATCATCTTGACGAATTGTGACCGACTCGTATATTACGAAAGCCCTTTTCAGAAACTGTCGAAAGTTTTGGGGATAGACAGTGGTGTTCGTGATGCCAGCACAGGTGGCTTTGAAGCTGCGTCGATGTTTCGGAGAAATTAGAAAATCTGGTGTCACGTGAATTACCAACTAGGCCAAATATAGACTAGCTCTCGTGCTTTTCTTGAGGCTTCATTTGCCTTGGGAGACTTTTGGATGACTCCAATACAATCAAACAGCTTGCCCTTGTCACATTTCTCCATCGCCAGTTGCTACCTGAAGGGGCTCCAGTGCTTCGCAAATCTTAACATCCAGCGGGAGAGCCACGTTGCAAAATGTCTGGCGCTCGGCATTGGGAGCAGGACAAAGATTCGACGATTTACATCGGCAATCTTGACGAGCGAGTTACCGATGCCTTGGTCTGGGAACTCTTTCTACAGGCAGGCCGCATCGCGAATGTCCACCTGCCAAAGGACCGAGTTACGCAGACGCACCAGGGCTATGGCTTTGTCGAGTTCAACTCGGAGGAAGACGCCGAGTATGCTGCCCGAATCATGAATCAAGTCAGATTATACGGAAAGCCCATCAGAGTCAACAAGGCCAGTGCGGACAAGACGAAATCGGTGGAGGTCGGCGCAGAGTTGTTCGTAGGAAACCTGGATCCTATGGTCGACGAGAGGATGCTGTACGACACATTTGGACGATTTGGTACATTGGTCGCTGCTCCAAAGGTTATTGATTCCCCCCTTGGTTCTCTTTGCTCTCCTTTTTTTCCCTACCCCAGGACGAAGTTTAAAAAAATTTCTAACGTCCGTCCTAGATTGCTCGCGACGAAAACAACTTGTCTAAAGGATACGGGTTTGTTTCCTTCTCCAACTTTGAGTCTTCTGACGACGCCATCGCCAACATGAACGGCCAATATCTCATGAACAAAGAAGTCTCGGTCCAATACGCCTACAAGAAGGACGGAAAGGGCGAGAGACACGGTGACCAGGCTGAACGTATGCTGGCGGCTCAAGCGAAAGCTCACGGCGTCCAACCTACGCCAGCCACCATCCCAGTCGGCGGACCCCCAATGTTTGGTGCCATGCCCCAGACTCCTGTCACCCCTGTCGGCTTCGGACAACCGAGTGGGAACTACCAAGCCGGTCCTCCCCCTCCTGTCCAAGCAAGACCCCCTCCGCCACAAATTGCGCCTTTGCCCGCTCCTCCGGGCGGTCTTCCCGCCCGTCCTCCTCCAAGTCAAGCGGGATATGGCGGACCACAGGGCTTCATGCCCCCAGGGTTCAATCAGATGCCCGCGGGCTTTCCGCAACAACACACTGCTCCGCCTCCTGGATTCGCTCCGCCTCCCGGCTTTGGCGGTCCACAGCACGGTGCTATGCCTCCAGCTCCTCCCGCTGGGCCACCCGGTGGTTTCCAAGGATATGGTATTCGGAAATGAGGGACGTCTTGATGTCGTGCATTTCGGACCAGGACCACATCAAGCGTCTCAAGTTTGAGGTCTTTGCCCGAGGAAAGAACACCGTCTTACCGAAGACTCCGAAAGACGAAACTGGATCACCTGTCACGATGTTGTTCGTATGCACAAGCGCTCACTGTCTTCCCTACCAACCTACCCACCCCAAGCAAGAGGGCGCACCAAGTCATTTGACAACCGAGACATGAAATTTTCTCAATCAGCCTCTTCGGCAAGGTACGTGCTCCACAGACGGGCGTCACACTACACGGACAGTTTAAACGTTCTCGCATACCGGAGGTCATGCTTTATCAGACGGATCAAGTGGACCATTACAACCCGAGGGCCTTAGAATTCGGGCCTACATCCTCGGGGAACCACACAGGATTTCGCGGCGACAGAATCATCCACCGTGACCAAAGAATCTCGCAGAGGGCTTCGTCCGACACAGCCTCTACCGTCACCGTCCTACGGAGCTTTTCCATCGATTCGAACGAGTCCGATCATTGGCCTCCTGAAACAAAAAGGTCTGCTGAGAGTCCCGGATAGGTCCTCGCGACCCCAACATACCATTCTTCAGAGACTCTGCTGCGCAATCGCATAATGTATGTGTCCCGGCTCGACAACGTCAGCCAACCGCATCAGGCCGCATCACATTCCAAGCATTATCACATCACGTCACGTCACGTCGTGCATGTCGTCTACATAGCGAGCGAGGGATGAACGTCGCATATCGCCGATACCAATGTCGAAGGCACCGATCATTGTGTATGCAGTGGCCAATACCCGGGGTTTGCCTACCTGATGTATCAGGTGGTCGTGATGCATAGGCATCTAGGGTCCCGTTAGAAAGAATCTGATAGAAACTTGTATTTCAGAACCGCAGTCTCCCGGACTGGAGCTTCTAGATAACATTTCCCTGAGGAGGAAGTTGAGAAGAATCAGCTACATTGAATTCTTTCCATCAGGAGTACCTCGACGTGTCCCCAATAATGCTTGAAGATTTGCTCTTGTGGGCTACCTTAACCAAGCATGCGAACTCTAGGTATGCTAAGCCAACCTGCAAGCTATGCCAGGCCATGCCTTTGCCTTTACATTTCCTACGATGCCTTAAGTACCCATGGAAATACGCATTCGTTACCGCGCTCCCTCCCCGTACGGCCATTGAACATTTTTAATCACTATGACGCCTGATCAGAAGAGCATACCGTACACATACTACACACCTACACAGTATGATGTGCCCTGTCATTTCTGCAACAGTTGGCAAGACAGGAGGCAGAAGTTTTAAAGAAGCATAGTATAACATTGGCAAAAAGCTCAACGGAGACAAGACTTGACTTGATCATCCCCGGGTATTTGTACAAGAGGTTAGTGAAGCAGCATTATTCACAATTCATAAGTGCTCTCCGATCCCAAGTCCAGCGAATGTACAAGACCGCACCTGCGCAATGGCAAATGGCGAGCTCTTTGACCTGCGCGGATGTCCACCGATTGCGTGCGAGTACGTCCATGTCATATGCCAAAGCTCCAAGATGAACAAAGAACTACTCGATCCCATCGGCGTCGGAGCGTGTGTTACCGTTCTCTCCAGCACCGTTGAGACCAGAGCCGCTGCCACCGTCCACTGCCATCGGCTGCTCGTTGACTTCAGGCTCGGGAATCGGTCTGGCCAACTCTTCTCGCACCCAGTTCTCTTCCACGGCACATTTCCGCTGAAATGTCTTTGCCCATTTTCCGCCCCACGCCTTGATTAACTCTTCATCCTCTGCTCGGAGCGCATCACTACTCTCCATCATCTCATCCTGGTTGCCGTCGCGAATACTCACGACCGCATCCTGGATGCTCGCATAGAGTATTGTCATCCCCTCCAACTCTTTCGTCAAAGCCTGCTGTAGCTCACCCTTTTGATCATCTGTGAGCCCTGGCTGTCGGATTGCGTGAACAATGCTGTGAACCCGTGACCCCACCTTCTTTGTGGTCTTTTCCACAAGCTCATAACACCAGGCACTGGCGAGTAACGAACCTCGAGCGACGCGATCCACAAGTGCCCACTCAATGATACTGCTGGGCGTCAAGATCTGGTAGTTTAGCAATTTGTCCAGGATGATGACGCCGACACCGGTCTGATCCTTCCAGTAATCCATGACTGATGTCATGATTTGCTTTCTGCAAGCAGAACTCCTTGAGCTAATGGCCAGCAGTCTCTCCTTGCACCGCTCTATACAGGCAAGAACGTGCGATAACGACTTGGAGCCGATCCAACATATCGAGGTGACGAAGGCGTCCGTGGAGGCCAATTCCGGGTTAGGCATACCCGAAGCCGTGGCTTCCTGCTCGATAGTCTCGAGAACAGGCGAGAACTCTTCATTCGCGGCTTTGGAACGGACAAGTTGCGCGATCTCTTTACCCTGAGTAGCGAATGGGGTTGAATCGTCATTGTACTTGAAGTCCGGTGAGTCTTTCTCCTTCTCTTCGGAAATCAAAGCCTGGTAAGGTTCTGGTAGTGTATTCTTAATCCGCTTAGAAAAGCTCAATCGGATTTCTTTATCCAAAGCATCTATAATGAATGCTTTCTTAGGGTGAACGTCAAGAAGTCGCACGTCGTCGACCCTGTGCAAGTTAGCCAAGTCGCGTACCTGTAAGTTGCAGATAGTGTCCTACCACTCCGTCCATTTCCAAGTAAAACCAAAATTACTCAGATGATGGGCAAACCAATCCAGAAAGCGCTGAGACAGTTCGAGGTCCATCCGATCAACATTACGGTACAGGAATCGGATCGCCCGACCCAAGCTGGGCGCAACAGCAGCAGGCGCCAGCTTACAGGCTTCCGTCAAAACCGAGTGATAGTAGACCAGCTTGTGCTCTGGGGCGGGCATCTGCATCAACTGCGAAAAGCATGCGTCGACGATGACATCCTCGGGTTTCCAGGTTGCCTTGTCCCCAGCAACCTCTCGAAGCTTGTCAAACTGCGTTGCTCGCTTTACAAAGGTGTCTGCAGCAAAATAGCAGTCAACGTCAATGAGGAATTTCGCCGCCGCCATCCTATTAAAGTCAAGTCCGTTGATCGTGTCTGACAAAGCATCCCGGATCAGAATCGAGGCGGGATCAGAAGGAGGTGGGACCGTTTCGATGTCTTGTTCACCGTAGACTGAGAAATATACCTCGGGGAAGATAGATCTCGGGCCAATCTGCACTTCCTCGGGGATTTTGAGTGCAGGAAATGGGTGTTTCTGCGCAGTAGCCAGTGCTTCCTCCTCTTCTGGAGATCGACTTCCCTTCCACGGTCGAGGCAAGCACGGCAACTCCCAGCCATTTCTAGATTCTTCCTGCATATGCCTTTGGAGAAGAGCAAGTGCGCTTTCCAAGGAGGTAGGTGCGCCAGCCTCTGGACTTGGGAAAGGGTCGACGATGACTTCCAAGGGGTGGGCCGTCGAGGCAATAATGTCGGTTTTCTCCAAAAGACTCAGTGCTTGAGTTTCGAATCCCGTTGCGCCGGAGGACATTGCGTATGGGATGGTCAGGAGAATAATTTTCACAATTTCCAGCCCTAAGGACTGCGAGCAAGTTAACAATGTGATTCGGGCTATGAGGCAGCCTGGGGACATACGTCTTCGGAGGATTTCATTTGCAGGTCGGCGGCCTTTGAGAAGAGTTCCTCCAGAATTGTAAACACGCCAGCTTCTGAGAATATGCCTTGTAGACAACCGAGGAAACGCAGGTACAGCTTGACTTCCCTCCACAGGCCGAGGTCTAGGCGCTTCTGCAGCGCTTCGCCGATCTTACTCAGGACATCCGTGACAAGTTCCGGTTTCTGAGGGTTCACAAGGTAGACTATGGCCGCTAGGAAGGGCGTCTTGAGAGGCTGCTCGATGATCCTGTTGCGTTCAGCAGCTATTAAAGCACCGAAACGGGAACATCCTACATTTGGGTGACAAGGTCCACGAAGCCCGTGGACAGATCATTGTCAAAGTAGTTGTCGGCAAGTGTTTTTGCAATCGTCGCAGCATCCTCTTCTGCTTTTCGGACAGGCTATAGACAGGTCAGCGCCTCGCCGAACAATGAAACAGTCCATGATTACACTCTCAGCGATCGAAAGAACTTGTCTGCGCACTGTCACCACCAGAGGTTCCTCGTAGCGACGTCGCTGAGGCCGTCGATCATCGAAGTCATCATCTGTAGATCGGTTAGAATACCCTAAACATTGAGTCGTTGGGCCTGCGTGGAACATTAATACCTCTGTATCTTCTCTTGCGATTGTTAAAGTGGCCTCCACCACCACCACCTCCTCCTCCTCCACCACCGCCTCGTCGCGGACGGCGATCGTAGTCCGCCATTCTTGAAAAAACAGGGACCTGGGAGTTAATGCCAACGTAACGTAGATAGGGTGTGCTCGTCGATGGAAGCGCGGAGTCTATAGAAGGGCAGGTCCGCAAAAGTTCGCGTTCGAGGTGAAACTTGTCCGCAGACGCGCATTGCTCTAGCGGAAAATCGTCACTCTTGGCGCTTGCACCTACATAAGCCCCCAGAAGCTCCAGATACGAGCCTCAGGTTATGTAGGTAGTCAAATCACCACTACGTGTTGCAGCATATGGTACGATAAAAGTCACATTCTGCTTAGGTTCGCCCAAGAATAAGGATAAAATAATTGTAATGAACTTACAGGCTCTCCAGCTTCTGTGGTTCGAGTTCTCTAATACCGTCCATCCAGTCACAGGCAGATGAACGCACTATCAATATACGAACAGCAGCTTATGGTCTGTTGCATATTCCTGAGCACAATGCCGTTTGCCCAAGGCGGTCGAGCATTCCTTCACTTTCTGTCCTTCCCATTCATAACTCAAACACACTGCTGCCTTGGCCCGATGATGAGAGCAAACTTTCCCTGCCGGACCAATGAAAGGTCAATTTTTCATAAAACGCTCAGCCCTATTTTGTATGAAGGTCGTTTGTCGCGAGGCTACAGCCAATATTTCTGACCAGCACGAATAGGCCGTTGTTGTTCGCGACAGATACCTTTCTTGAATGCTAAGATATCCATCTAGACACGTGATGACTGGCTGCCCAGCTGTAGTAGTAGGCCAACACACTTCGCATGACGCCCAAACATGCTCGCATTGGTGAAGCAAAATTCCCTCTTGGCATGACTTCGTAAATTGTCGGTGATTTTGACTCAATCGAGGCGAGCCATCATCTCGTCTTTTGTAAGAGGAGTGAAGTTGTCTACGTCAAGGCCCCTGCTCGCCAGAAGTGATCGTGCGTGTGCAGGAACGAGCTTGTTGTTGAGGTGAGGTGCAATGGAAAGTTCTGTGCCAAGTCAGCGAGAAAGAAAGATGAGGAGGAGCCTGTTACCCACCATGACGAGAGAAATCAAAGAGAGGTGGAAGTTCGCGCGAGGCACCACCAGCATGTCGGGAGTCGGGAAGACGAGTGTTGGGGTCCCTCAACTCGTCGAAGAAAGGTTGGACCATCGCGTCAATGGCAGACAGACGTTGGGTTGGAGTGTACTCCAGGAGAGCTGAGATCAATTCGATGGCATCAGGGGAAGCCTTCCGGAAAACCTTATTAAACGGATGAGGTTTGATCTGAGGGAATTTGTGCTCCATGTAATTGGGATTCATCGTACGAATCTGGTCACGCGTTGGTGTCCCGAGCACTTTGATGATCTCAACAAGCTGATCAATACCCGACTCGCCCGGGAAGAGAGGTTGACCGAGCATCAACTCAGCCATCACACAACCCGTAGACCAGACATCTGCTATGTGTTAGCAGCAGTTACAATGTTTCGCGACCGACACACATACCAATCTTGGTGGTGTAGTTTGTGGCACCAAAAATCAACTCTGGAGCTCGGTAGTATCTGGAACAGATGTAGGACACGTTCGGCTCATTTTCAACCAGAATCTTTGCACTCCCAAAATCGCACAATTTCAACACGCCAGTCGAGGGATCAAGCAAGAGATTCTGCGGCTTGATGTCTCGATGACATATCCCTTGCGAGTGAATGTAGGCTAGCGAACGGAAGAGCTGGTAGATGTACAATTTGACCTCAAGAATTGGCATGGTGGTTTTCATCTTGTTGAAGTAGCGCGAGGCTCTATAGACGGTTTCCGGGACGTACTCGAGGACGAGGTTTAGGTAAACTTCATCCTTCTGGGGGGATATTAGCATCCGACTTGGAAAATGGATTTGAGGCTCCGCATACCCGTTCCCCATTGGAATAGTAGAAGGCCTTCAACTCGACGATGTTGGGATGTCGAACGATTCGCATGATCTGTAATTCACGATTCTACCGGCGGTTAATCACAAGGGCCATCGGAGGAGACATCCACAAATTCACCTTGAATCGTTTGTCTTGAAGAACCCGCTTGATGGCAGCATCCTCTCCACTAGGGGTCAATTTGGTTTGGAAAACCACGCCAAAGGAGCCGTTGCCAACAATCTTGCACTGGGTATATTGCATTTCTCTCGTCTCGCCGGTGAGGCCATCCTGCACCTTTTCCCGCACCACCTCTGTATGTATGTGTCAGCGCACGTGCCCAAAGCCAGCCAGCACAGTACTCGTGTCATTATGAAGGGAGTGGAAACACGTACCGCCCATGCGCAAGCCAGAGAACACTCCGCCAGGCCTGTTTTGCGACATTGTCGAGGTCTAAGGAGGTGTGGGAGCCACTTTGGCGACGTAGGACTCGGACAGGGAGAAAGCGTTCGGGAGACGTCAAAGCAGGAGGCAAGAGGCGCGAAAGCCGAACTAGAAGGACTCAGAGAGTTGATCTGCTAGACTGCGACGCAGTGACAGCAGATTTCTCGGCCAAAATTTGGGCTGTAGGGCGACGAGCTCAGGTGCGAACGACCGTTGAGTCTCGAGTCGAAAAGAGAGGGTCGAGGATTAGGTATGCAGCAGCAGAGAGTGCGGGAACAGAGTGAGGGTTGGCGGAAGAAGCGCTAATTTCCCCACTTTGCGTAGGTGAGGCTTTCGAAATGAGGTGTGGGAACTCTGAGCGGTCGATGATGAAACTGGGGAGTTTCTGACGGTGGCCACGGTAGGGCGCGCAGACCTGCAGATGGCTAACAGTCGTAGGATTGGAAGAGTTGTAAGGAGTCAACGGATGTCGAGATGGTTAAAGATGAAGCAGCTGGTGCACTCGAGGGAAACAGAGATTCACAGGATGAAGAGAAATCAGGATCAGGTGGACGAAGCAGGGACGAAGAAGTGAAGTGTTTTCTCTTGCAGGCGAAAGACAAATCAAGAGCTGCCAATTCAGTTGGGACTCGCAGGCCTGAGCGTCGATTGGCAGGCGAGAGGGAAAGTGCAGCGCAGGCGTCCGGAGGAGTTCAACAACAACTTTGGCCTCTGTGAAAAAGGTAGAGGGAGAGGAGGAGCACCCGATGGTAAGAGTGGTAGGCGGTACGGATAGTAATAATAATAACATTAACTGCTTGACTGACAGGCGAAAAAAAGTGTCCTACGACCAGCCTGCGAGGGTCGCTGGATTATTGCTTTGGGGGGTCTGCTTAGCGCCCGTGATTGCAGCATGCAACGGGCATCCCAGGCACCCCAGGCATTCTGTTACGTCTGAAGAGCCGCTACGGAGTGAGGACTTTATATGAGGTCGCTACACTCATTGATTCCTTAATTGATTGACTGATTGCTTGCTTGCTTACAGCTCAGTGCCTAAACTACCGGGTATTACTCCATCCACAGCCCAAGCGAGACCTCCCAGCTTTCTATACGACTTGATGCCCGTTTTCCATGCCCGACGAAACCGACAGCGATAGGGCCTCCTAGTCAGCCCAACCACAAACCATTGACACACATGCAGGTCTGAGCTGACCAAGAGGTCTACATCATGACCCAGGGGCAACGGCGAGAGAGAGAGCGAGATCCATGAGCACACCAGGCACGGCCAGCCAAACAATCACAGGCAAAGCAAACGATGCAGGTCAGATGATGGAGTGCCCCTCAATCACAGCCCGCTGCGGGTTGCATGATGTCTCCATTATGCTGGGTCCATTGTTGCTAACAAAAACACAGTTTTCCATCTGCGAATCCATTCACCTCGCCTATTATTGTCCAGATGATCCACTACGCGTCAAGCGGCTTGGGCGATGCTCTGACCAGCCATGGGTGGGTGATTTACAGTACGCAGAGCAACCAACGGCTCTGCCCATAGCAGCTTTTCCTCTCAGGATTGGGACTAGATGAGTCGATACTGCGCCAGGCTCAACCGGTTCAGGGTGAAACGCTCTCTTCCACGTGCTGTTCGAGGCCGTAAAAGAAAACCAGACGAGGCTCCCAGCTACCTTAAATAGGTACAAACTAAACTCTCAGATCGTGTGCTTTGGCCACGCCTTTGAGCGCCTTTTACGGTCTTGACTAACCCCGCCAGACTATTGTAGCTATTCACTCGTATCTTATTACTATCGAAAAGCTCGTGGATCAAACTTTCGACTTCGGAGATCTCGACCCTTCACTTCCAGACCTTTTGTGTCGAGACCTACCGGAAGAGTGAGGAAATGCTTGTTTGTAAAAAAGGGCTCGTAGGACGAACATCAAGCATCAAGCATCAAGCTGGGCCCGCAGAAATAATGGCACGGGCACCTTTGCAGCAGCCATGGACGGTGGGTCGAGGGTGAACGAACCACAGGCATCGAGTAACGAGCTTAGGAGGGCTACCAGCCTTTTAATCAACGTCATCCGGCATCCCACTAGATGCATTTCGGCGCCTCGGATTTGATTAAGCCCAGCGTCCAGCGATGAAAAAACCACACCCGGCCTGGCGAGGAGAATTTTTGAGTCCAGATGGACTTCTCCATTCTGCTCCAGTTGCATAACCGGAAAGCCTGGGGGTCGAATTATCATACGAGAACTCGTGTCTAGACCGAAGCACGAGAGGCTGAGCGGGCCGCCTACCGTACACGGACAGCGAATCTCTGAACAGACTCGCCCTGTGCTCCTTACAGGCGTCAATAAGCCGGGATGACATTTCCATGCTGGCCCCAGAGTATGACATTGCAAACCAACTAGGAAAGGCAGGTAGAGGCAGTTTTTTGCCGCCGCACAGCGTCAGATGAGGGCCAGGGCGATGGGTGAGGATCTCTGATACACAAACAAGGCTCTGACGACCAAAAGTCAGGAGGCAAAATGCGCGGTCCCGGTCGTTGCCGCCAGAGAAAGGCATGCACGCTGGACCTGAGCGGTAAGTGAGCTCGTACAGACTGATGAAGGCCAACAACCATCATACACGCTTCCATCTTTATGATTTCACGATGCCTACTCCGTACACTGCCCTCTTTTCTTGCGACCTGTGGGAGCGAGGAAGAACCCCTCTTACTTGCTCCAGATTCGCCCGTTTCGCAGACGCGCTTGGAAGTTGGCACGATCCAACCTGTCGGAGGGATGGTTGAATACGAGGGTCATTATTGAATCTACTCTGCCCTTGTACAAAAATTACGAGAGCCAGTTTCGCACCCTGGTCCCCATATCCACCCAGGCCAAAAATGATGTGCATGACGGCCCAACGCTTCCTACCTACCGACTGCACTCGTACCTAAACCATCCGGGCTCAGAAGTTACACATGTGCCAATGAACAACAAGTCACTACTCTGCTATGCTCTGCTCTGCTCCTCTCACCCTGCCTCTCTCTCCTTTTCTTTGTTTCCGTCTTTCGATCGAGCCGAATTGGAGAGTTGATACTGTTTTTCCTCTTCCATAAACAGGCTCGTTTTTCAATCGGTCCAGGCCATGTACCTCGTGCATACTGCATATGCATGTAGGCAGAATGTCCAGTGCAGCATTGCTTGGGCTCGCCCGCCTTGGCTACCTAGCTTGTGGTGAGACCCTCAACCCGGTTGACCGTCCCGGAGCCTGGCGAGTCTAGTGCAGCGCCGATGTTGACTACATTACATGGGTTCAGCTTTCAATATTTCCCACCGGTACTCGCCGAGTCGCCTCACTTTCTCCTGGTACCGTACCTCTCATGCATCCTGCTTAAAGGTGATCCTGGCCCGTGCCATTCGTGTATCAAGGAGACGCAGACAAAACACAAATACAACATACACACGCACACACCCTCGCTCCCTCATCCACCCATACCCCCTGCCTGGTGAGCCGTCGTTCCTCCCAACACTAGGTCACTATTTCGTTGGCTCACCTTTGTGTGTCTTGTTGTTCTGTTCAACAAATCGCTCTGTGGGCTCACTAGTCAGGTACTACCAGATTTTTTTGAACCCTTACAAGGCCCTGGGTTGGTAGGATGCAGAAAAGGCAGCATCCGAGTATGTTGACAACTTTAAAAGTCACTCTGCACGAGGCTTGCTTACCGTGCCTACCTGTACCTGGCCTACCTAGGTACGTGGCTAAACTGCTAAAGGTAAACCTCCCTTGCACCAATTTACCTCACCCACCTTACTTTGTCGGTAGACTCCGTACTGCGTACTGAATCTCTCTACCTGGAGATCGGATTACAGAATGGAGAACACGAGTACAGAGTACCTTGTGGAAAGGAAAAGACGAACCCACACCGTGTTCCCTCATACCTCGTCCTCGTCAATGATCTTGCAACACCCTCACCGACCCTTTTGTCAGATCTCAGAATCCTAGCCAGACATTCCTTGTCCCGGGGTCCCCTCCCGAACCGTGCCTTTGTCTCTCACATCAATCAAGCCACCCCAGCCCCCCTTTGCTATCTGACTTCTCTCTTTTCTTTCGTTTGCTCTTGGCTCCTGGCATGATTCAACGTCAGGCGGGAGATGCATCCGGAAATACAGAGAACGGTGTACGGTGTACGGTGTGCAGGGTGCAGGGTGCAGGGTGCAGGATCGAAATTTGTTCACACCCCCTTTATTTTCTGGTACTCTGAACTTGCTGGCCCCCCTCTTCTCGTGCCCTTTCCCACCACGGGTTGCGAACCACTGACAGAGTAAAGGGAAGAGCGAGGGCCGCAAATGTGCAGACTGAGACATTTGGCGGTCGATCCGGCAGCAAACCAGCCTGATGGGAGGCCATCGCCCCCTGAACATATCACATGTTCTGTGTCCCGTAGATACTCCGTACAAGATTGTGTTGGGGCTGGCCTGGCCCTGGTCGCCCAGCCTGCAGGAGAACGCATCTGGTACCGAGTGCTGGATAAGCTAGGTAGTTAGCAGGTATGTCTGGAGGGGAGGGAGCGAGGGATCGTGCCCGTATTCCGGACGGTGCGTTGCGTCGCGTGGCTTGCATGCCCGTCAAAGATGGTTTGGCTGGCTGGGCTATGATTCCTTCATTACCTAAGATGCCTACCTACCTAACCTATCCGTACGGAGTATGGATGACCTTCTCCCACCCCCCCTTTACCATTGCTCGCTTGTTGATCCCACCCCCGGGACACGCCTAATACTGTAAAGGTAAGAAGGTGAGCCAACCTATGAAATGGGTGCTCGAGGGTGGTATCCTCTCCCTCATCAATCTGCAGACCGCAGTGTTTGTACATGGGTGGTGGGTGGCGGTGGTGGGTGGGAGCCTTGACCTGACCTTCACCTGACCTGACCTGACCTGACGTGCTGCAGGCGAGAGGATCTGGGATGACAGCGTGTACTGTACGAGATTCTACAGCGAGGTTCACGAGAAATCGCTCACTGGGCTGGTGACAGTGAGGCTAGGCTACCAGGCCGGTGGGCTGGTTGATTGGTTTGGCTGGCAGGCTATTCGCATCCCTATTCCTACCCAGAGGAGTATTACATATCCCCCTGGTCATACCTACCTCAAGGCTACGACAAAGTGGCAACGACCTACGGAGTGTTGAGTCCTGGACTGGTGGCGTTCGAGAGGTAACGAGCAAGTGGCAATTGTGATCCTACTCCTACGATTAGTTGCGCCTTTTTTTTTTTCTCTCAACGTGAGTCTTGCTTCTACGAGTACGTGAGGTGAATCAATAGAGCCAATAAAGCGATGGTCATCTCTCCAAGGATAGACCCGGTAATGTACTCGGTAATGGCAGATCAAAAGAAACCCCTTCCAAAATAGGTTGATCGTGTGTTCGTTTTGGGTTGTTGTTACAAGTCTTCTATTATGCAGTATGTTAGAATCTCCGCCGACACAAAGAGCGCTATCATGTCAGAGCACGCTCTTCAGGTCTCGTCATGATCCCATCCCATGTACAGAAGAATTTTTACCGGGGATCATCAATGCCAACCACAGATCGTCACTACTTTTCCGCCCTCCCATGGCTATGCCAAGGTTGCAACAAAAGTCAAAACGCCTGCAAGAGATTCCTGTTTGAAGTGTAGACTTTCCGCTCGCTTGAGCCAAAGCGAGATGTGAGAACTCTGTACGGAGAAAGCCACGTCTTGCCCTGGCTTTCTTAAGAGTGAAGAGTAGTAAAACAAGGTCGAAAGGTCCTCGGCAAATGCAGCTGTCGAATCAAGACCCCCTGCTTAGATGGGAGGAGGCATGACATGAGCGTTCTCGGGTCTCTCGGCGATTTCTTGAAGCTCCTCTGGTGCTCCTTCCAGAGACACAGCGAGACCGAGCTTATGAGTGTTCTAGATTACCGTCAGCATTGCGGAATGGTCTCAAGTACTAATCAAAACAACTTACCTTCCACTGGTCAATCTCGGCAGCAAAGGTTAGAGTGACCGGAGGCGCAACCCGCTTTTCCAATACGACGCCGAACTTGCCCGCGCTGTCGACCTGTGCACGATAAACCGAGGTGGTGAAGTTGTACTTGACGCCGACCGTGGTTGTTCCTTCTCGACGAATGCCTCCAAACATGCCTGCACCACCCATACCTGGTGCGAACTGCAATTGACAGTCAACACCAGCTTCCACCTTGTCCGTCAATCGTCGCCAATATGACGCTCCCAGTGAACCCTGAGCCAAGTATTGTGCACTAGCAATCCAATCTGTTCCCTTGTATCTTGCACAGTAGGACACGGCTGTCTCAGGGCGCGAGTTCAGCGCAGCCCGCTGCCACACTCCTTCCAAGCCTAATGCGAGTCGGGGCGTGAGAGATTGCAGGTAGCTTCCAATGACGATACCAGTGAGCCCGCCTTCGAGGATCGAGGGACTGATCGCTTTGAGGGAAGCTGAGAAATCCTCGCCGGTGTACTCGTTGTCAAATTGCACCATCGTCTGAGCTTGTCGAGGATCGATCGAGGTTTGGGTCTTGGTGACAAATCGTGGTGTCCACCTCAGATTGCCCCATGCCGTCAAGGACTTGTCACTGGAATAAGCAGCTTGCATAAATACCTGAGCCGGCTGTTAGCTTGCGTACACGTTGAATAGAGACTGCAGGGACAGCAAACATTTGAGTTTCCGTACAAAGCCATCAACTGCCACGGTGGCAGAGCCTGTGAGCCCATTGCAAAACCATGTTGTAGTCGGAACAGAGGATTGACGCTGAAGATCTTCTGCAAGTCACATCGTAGGCCGGAGAACATGAAGTTGGTTAGGAGAACATCTTTCTGCACCTCGCGTGCAATCCCGTCGACCGTGCCAGGGTTTTCCAAACCTAACAGCCTTCGTCGCTCTTGCAGGCTAGAATATGTGTCTGTAATAGCCAATGCGATGGCATTGTCTGTGAGAAAGGACAGCGGAGATGAGGCCGATTTCTCTTCTATTACGACGGCCATATTGACGGGATTGGTTTCGGTTATCCTGCACACGGCGACCTTCAAGGGTGAAATTTGATCTTTGACAACGAGGGTCCTAAAAAGAGAGAAAAGGACGATTGACGGATCGATGGACTGGAGGAGCCCTCGTGAGTTGCGGAATTACTGGCTTCTTTGAGGAGCTTCACTTTTGTCGGCGCAGGGAAATCTGAGAATCATTTGCTTTGCTAGCTTGCCAAGCACGATGCGGATCTTCGCTCGCTGCCTTTTCCCACTCCGCAGGGATGGCGGATGAAGCGTAGGAAGACGGTCTGACAGAAGCACCACACCATTATAATGTACCAGAGCTTTCTGTCAGACGACTACCATTTTATGTTTCCCGAAGTTGCTCCTATCTTCCCGGTTTTGACATTCTCGTTGGCAACGGGAAGGACAAGTCGAAGTTGGTCCTGGAATTCGTCATCGCGGAGGAAGAGCTCTCTATTTTCCGGCCGACCGCTGTGCAACAACAGCCAAAGATTCACTCGACGCAAGGTCGACTTGCTGTCGATACTTTTTTGCAACACGTACTACAGCCGCACGGTGATCATAAACCTTCCGGCTGCCCGCGTGGCTGAAGGACGACAGCCGAGGAGGATTTTTACAGTGTCTTTCGCTCTACTCGCTCATTTCTTATCTTCTCCCAGTTCATACTGATAGAACTCAGCACGCCATGGATACTCTTCTGACAGCAGACTCGGCGGTCAACGCGCCCCGGTATAGGCGCAAGTCGAGTACCTTTGTGGACGCGATCCATGACTTACCCCAGAAGGAAGAAATGGCACCCGCCCAACTCTACAGCACCGAATCAGGCCGTTTGTTCCACGCCGGTCGAATTGCAATCGCTACAGTAGGTCTGCCAGCTCGTGGGAAAACCCACATCTCCGTAGCATTGGCACGATATCTACGTTGGCTCGGAGTCAAAACTCGAATCTTCCACCTCGGCGATTATCGACGAGCCATTATTGGACAAGGCAAGGATGTGCCAGACGATTACTTCTTCGTCAACGCGTCTGCCTCGTCCGTGCTTCTACGGCAAAAGATACTAAAGAAGTGTCGAGAGGACATCTACCACTTCCTCAATCACGAAAATGGGCAGATTGCTATCTATGACGCTGTCAACCCACTCGCCGCAGGACGGAGATCTCTAGCGAAGGAGTTTGCGAAGCACGACATCAAGTGTCTCTTTATTGAGTCCAGCTGCGATGACCAAAGAATCATCGAAGAAAATGTAAGGAGCGTCAAGATCTCCTCGCCGGATTATGTTGGCTGGTCCGAGAGTGACGCTGTCAAGCACTACTTGAGCCGAATGTCTGCCAAAATTCCGCACTTTGAGACCATGGAGGAGTCAGATCTCGACTGGATCAAAATGATCAATGCTGGAGAGAGATTGGTGGTCAACAACACCAGTTTCGGCTATCTATCCCACCGAATCGTGTTCTACTTACTAAATCTACACATCAAGTCCCGGCACACATATTTTGCCCGGGCAGGGGTGACGCTGGAAGAAGAATCGTTCAAAGCAGATGCTCCTTTGTCGCCCGCTGGCCGGGACTATGCAAAGAAGATGACAAATACTCTGCTCCAACATCGAGAGGAAGAGAGACGCACGATCATGGAAAAAGGAGGGCTAGAAGTACCTCTCAAGCCGCTTATTGTCTGGACATCTACGCGTAGAAGAACCGTAGAGACAGCAGCCTTCCTCGAAGGGAGCGGTTTCAAGGTTAGACAACGGTCGCAGATGAGCCAACTGAACCCTGGTGTATGCGAGAAGAAGTCCGAGAGAAGAATCCGACAGGACTATCCCGACGAAGTACTGAAGCATGACCTCGATCCATATCACCACAGATTCCCAAGAGCCGAGGTATGGTCGAATCCCTCTAGGCCACTTGCATCGCTAACTTGAACAGTCATATCACGATGTTGCTGTCCGGTTGGAACCGGTAATTCTAGAGTTGGAAAGGGAACAGAACGACTTGCTCATCATTGCTCATGAGAGTGTCCTTCGAGTATTGTACGGCTATCTAATGGCGTGCAACGCCGCCGACATCCCTTCCCTCTCTTTCCCCCGGGATGAGATAATTGAGGTGTGTGTCCGGAAGAACGGTCAACCTTAGTGACCCTTACTGACTATGACTCAGATCATCCCTGCAAGCTACAACAACGAGGCCAAACGTATCAAGATACCAGATCTGCCACCGGAAATTATTCCAGCATCACCTGAAGGTGCCAAAGTGCCTGCTCCACCAAGTGGCTTTACAACACCAGTTCCCGGACTGGGCAGCGGGATTGCGAGCCCTCGCACAGGTGCCAGCCGGGGACCGGGGACGCCGGAGCCCCAAGCATCTGGTTCCAAGACACCAGAAGATTCTGAGATCTTGGCTCACCGAATGCACGATGTGGTATGATATTATCGCGACGGCAAACTTGCTTGCCCTGGGATGCATACATGATAAGATGCGTGACGAACATGTCGACCAGTTTGTTTAAATAGTAGTGCCCGAATTATGATAACCTCTTAGCCGCCGTGCAATGTAGAGACAAACAGAATGTTGTCCTTGTTGGCCAATTCGTACTTGTCTTCGCCTTCGAGTTCCCAGTCCGAGTCGTTGATCAGAACTAGAATACCGGGCCGTCTGATACATATATGTCAGGGACGGTCGCCGTAATCGCTTGAGAATCGTCGACTTACACGGCGCCATCAAGAACAAACAACTCCTTTCGGCTATCCTTCATCAGATGATCGCAAATGTAGCCAACAAGATAGCCAACAGTGGGAGGCTTTCTATCGTCAGCGTCTTTTGTCAACGACACATGATGTTTGGTCTCATTGCCGAACAGCATCTCGAGACCTCCGCTGAGCTCGGATTAGAATGGTATAGTCTAGGAAAGGGTTCGGCCATACCTGAACTCGACGGTGATGTCAATTTTTTCCGCCATGCTGAATCGAAGGACCCTGGTTCAGCCCACGGTATGACCACCCAAGTTGTGAAAATGGATATGATTTAAGGGCTGGCTGAAACGACGATTAACCCAGACCTTTACTGTGCATAGCATATGCACAGCCAGGACGAGTCGCACAAGTGAGAGACGAAGTGAGGTACAACGAGAGATTCCCTCTCACCAATCAGATCTTGCGAAAATACTCATCAAATTATGTCTTGGCGGATCTGTTTTCCTCATGCCTCGTCTCCAATGCATAGATACTTTCGTGAGAAAATACGGTCAATGAATCCTGTCATCGAGGACGAGCATTACGCTGTCGGCGGCAATAGACATAGTGCAGCGGCCGACTGGTCACTTGCCTCTGGGCTTCTGGCCTTCGGCGCAGACCAAAATGTGGCTCTTTGGTCACCACTGAACGATTCCGGTCGTGGCATTTCAGCACTGCTTTCCGGGCATAATTCGAAGATTACAACGGTCAAATTCATATCGTTACACGATGGTTCGGATGAGTTGCTAGTGACCGGTGCTGCTGATGGGAATATTTGGCTGTGGGAACATGGTTCAACCTGGACACGTGCACACAATGCTGCAGCTCACCAAGGGTCCGTTAACGCCATCGCAGTCTTGAAAAACAGCAACATCTTTGCGACTGGAGGAGCGGATTCACGAGTCAGGCTGTGGAAGGTTCAAGATGGTAAATTAGAAGCACTCTCGACGCTCGAGCTGAAGCCAAAGTTCATGCCGCTTGCTCTGGCACTTGGACCCTTCTCGGCGACTTCGATCGATTCAGCATTCTTGGTGGTTGGGGGCACACGCAATGATATCCAAGTCTACTCGATTGAATATCTGCCGTCAACCCCGCAAGTCAAGCTGTGTGCGACCTTGACAGGACACGAGGCTTGGGTCAGGTCATTGGCTTTGACTGCCGCTGCAGATGGTGAGTATTTTCTGGCCTCCGCCGCCCAAGATAAATACGTCCGACTTTGGCGCTTTCAACCCGGCGATGCTACTTCTGCTACTGTCGGGCCGCCTGTTGATTCGACCCGCGGTGCCACCGTTACCGATACTTTGACTGCGAAAGTCCAAAGTGTTTCTGCTGCCGATAGCAAGTACTCAATCACCTTTGAGGCTCTCCTGCTGGGTCATGAGGACTGGGTGTACTCTGCGGCGTGGAGTCCAGACGAGTCTAGTCAACGCCTATTGACTGCCTCGGCCGACGGGTCGCTGTCGGTGTGGGAGTCTGATCCAGCCTCCGGGATATGGGTGAGCGTGTCTCGGCTGGGCGAGATCAGCGGCCAGAAAGGAGCAACCACTGCTACAGGATCGTCGGGTGGATTTTGGACGGGTCTTTGGTCTCCTGATGGAAGTATGGTGACGTCTTTGGGTAGGACCGGGAGCTGGAGGTTGTGGCAATACAATACAGATTCACAATTCTGGACTCAGAAGCACGGAATCAGTGGACATATCAGTTCAGTGAATGGAATATGCTGGTCGCCGGACGGTGGTTACCTTCTGTCCACGAGCTCTGATCAAACAACCAGACTTCATGCTGAGTGGAAAAGAGGAGCAAAGCGAACTTGGCATGAGTTCGCAAGACCACAAATTCATGGATACGACCTGAACTGCATAACAAGCACAACACCACATCAATTCTCATCTGGCGCAGATGAGAAACTACTCCGTGTCTTCAACGAGCCAAGAGACATTGCACTGATGTTGCATCGACTGTGCCACATCCCGTTACCTGCGGAAGACAAGGCCTTGCCAGATACCGCCGCTATTCCCGTGTTGGGATTGTCCAACAAAGCCATGGACGACGCCAAGGACACGCAAGACGGTGATGCAGCGGAAGAACTCGGAACAGACCTAACAGATGACGGGTTAGGCGCTTCGTTGCCTAATGTCCAGGAGCCACCCCACGAGGACCTACTATCTCGACACACTTTATGGCCCGAGCACGAAAAGCTGTATGGTCACGGCTACGAAATATCAGAAGCTGCCACCCCTGTGGATGGGCGCGTGCTTGCTACCGCGTGCAAGGCAAGCTCGATCGACCATGCTGTCATCCGTCTCTATGACACAGACAGATGGAACGAGATCAAACCTCCGCTACCAGCGCACTCGCTTACAGTCACGAGACTGGCATTTTCGGATCAGCCAAAAGGATTTCTTCTTAGCGTTGGCCGTGACCGACAGTTTGCAGTGTTTCAGAATTCAGACAGCGATAGCAAGTCCTGGACCCGTGTTGCGATAAACGCCAAAGCGCATTCTCGGATGATCCTGGATGGGACGTGGCTATGCAATGCTCGTCGTCCGACCTTCGCGACAGCGGGGAGGGATAAAGTGGTCAGAATATGGAGCGGGGGCCTGAAAGATGAACGGCTCGAATTCGTCTGTAAGATTTCGATTGCGCGCAAAGTCCCGGTGACTGCCATTTCGGCCGTTGTCAGTGGGGATGCAATCATTCTTGCTTCGGGCGAAGATGACGGCACGGTATCTTTGCATCTTGTCAAATGCACGGATGAGATCGAGCTCGTCAAGAGCGTCGATATCGACAAACATCTCTGCCCCTCGAAGACAATCAACAGGTTAGCCTGGAGACCGACACAGGATACCACAGAGGGCAGCGACCGTGGTCATCTTGCCATTGCTTCCTCTGATAGCTCAGTGCGGATCTGGAGCATTAATTGGCGAACGTGGGTCGAGTCATGATATGTTTTCTGTACACTACCAGTCCAAGCCAAAGTCAACCCCTCCCGTTGACGTGCATGGTGTTAAGACCAATCCTAGCTTCTACCTCAGCGCCGTCAATGCAACATATGCTCATGAATCTTGTTGAAGATCCGACGGGTATCAACCCAATGTATCAAAAGGCACCAAAAATCTTAGTTCTAGTCGGGAAACCCGTGTAGCGTTCTGCGTCTAATCATCACGCTTCTCGTGCCCGTAACCGCCTTCTCCCTCGTGCGTGTCATACGTCTTGGCCTGGCCCGTTTGATCGCGAGGGCCTCGTTCCCTCAAATCATCCTTGAGCCACTTCAGAACCAGCTCACCCAGCTTGCTGTTGCCGGTGTTGTTGTAGAAGTCGGTCTCTGCATCGAATTTCGCCATGGCTCCCCACTCCTTGACCTTGCCCATGTGCATGTGTACCAGGTGGGTGGGCCAGCCGACCAGATTGTCGAGGATGTGGGTAGCGTAGACGATGGTGGCGCCTCGTCCCTCGGTCTCCCCGCGTAGCCAGTTCAAGAAGTTACTCCGGCTCAACAGATCCAGATCGACTGTGATTTCGTCCAGCAAAAGGACGTCCCATGGCCGTATCAGGCCCATGGCGAGTTGAACCCGGCGCCGCTCTCCGTCACTGACAGCGTGCATCCGCCATCGAAGGTCGATGTCGAGGATCTTGACCAGCTCGTCCCGCCGCTCGGGATAGTATGAACCACCCACAGAGTCGAGAAGAACCGGCACCGCGATGTCCGTGCGGACAATCGGATTCAACACCCACTCCAGACCGAGATACGTGACACCTTCGAGACCGGCAGCAAACGGATCAACTCCTCCAATTGATATGGTGTCTGCGGGTGCTAGCCTCTTGCCTGACAGCAGTCTGAGAAGTGTCGTTTTACCAGCTCCATTGGCTCCGATGAGCAGGGTACGGCTTCCGGTAGGGAGATCTAAATTGATGTTTGATAGGCCCGTTGAACCATCTGGAAATTTGTAGCCGAGATTGTTAACCTTGATGTCCGGGCTTGCCACATGCCCTGGGGGCACGTCGTATTGGTCTGACATCGTCCCTTCAAGGCTCCCCCCGTATTTCTAGGAGCGACGAGAAGCACGCGACTGGATTATTCGTCTTGTTGTCATGTCAAAGTCATGCAAGGTTTTTATGGGAAGTGGAGCGATAGTAGTAGACACCGCTCGGTTGCCAGAAGCGGACAATGGTCCAGACACATTGTGTGGCTGACAAACGCCGAACCAGATATTTACAGTAGATTAATTCAACGTTCACTGAGCTTCCGCACACGACTATGGAATGAGACGGCGGGCTTCTAGAAGCTCGATAGAAGACCCCCGAGATGTAAGGAGGAATCTGGGATGCTCAGATGCCCTGGCAAGATCTGGGCTTCGCCGGTGATATACGGGCCTGTTGCCGGTGGCGGGCACCTGCTTCTCGATGCCAAGAACAATAACGCTGGGCTTTGAGTTTCTCCGTGCTCGTCCTCATCCTCATTCTCGTCTTCATCGTTGTAAGAAACCGACATCTTCCTTCTCCTCTGCCCGATACGAGACGCGCTTCCGATGGTTGCGACGCGCATCTGTTGAGGTGCACGAAGGGATCCCTTCACTCCGTTATCACCCGCTCGCTCAAGGTGACTAAGGACCCCAAGCACACAGTCACATCGTTTGAGCCAAGTCTTCTGGAACGATCCCGCCCAGAAATGCCCAGCCTTCTCCGTGCCTTGGTACTCTTGGTGTTACAAGCATACAAGTCACCTTTCCGGAGGCCCTTTAGTATCCTGATAGGCCGGCGACGAGAGCCGGGCTTCTGCATTTCCCAATTCGGGCAGGTCTGTCTACACGACGTAACATCGTCCGCAAGGGCGAACCTTCATTCCCCGAACTCCTCATGCATCACAAAGGCACAAAACCGGGGAGGCGAGGGGGATGACCTCTTGGCCAGCTGCTTGTCAGACTTTGTGGCGTCCACCCAAGCTGCCCGGCCATGCTTGATCGCAACAAGATCTACGGGCCTTGACACCGCAGAGTGGTTGTTGACGACAGGTGAGAGTTTACTACGTGCTAGGTAAGTTGACGAGGTATCACGGTCCCCCGAAGATGTCTATCGAACGCAGATGAGTGGTCAGTTGTGGTCGCTCTAAGATGCTCCTCCTCTCCAAGGTCCGCGCACCCGATATCAGAGCCATCTCTTGCCCCCCCGTCTATTATCGTCAATGCTGTCTGTGAATGGAGCAGGCATCCTCTACATGGCAAGCCTCCTAGGAGTTCAGGTACAACCTGGCGTCAATCCTGCTCCGAAAATGTCCGTGTTGCCGACTCAGTGATTGTGAGAACATCAACATATAAAGACCCTGCTTTCTCTCACCCTCGTCATCTTCAACTTGATCATCAGGCTTGGTTACATCCTACTCTACTGTAACAATTCCCCCGTCTTTGACACCGTCCCTTCAACAACATGGCCGAGATCTATAATGAGCCGGCTGATCCCATCGTCAGGGGAACGTTCGCGACAGCCAAGCAATCCTGGGGTGACCTTTTCAAATGGAAGCAACGAGTCGCCGTTACCAATGATGACGGCGAGACGTACTGCGAGTGGCAGTCACCTCGCCCCCTGAGAAACCCCATCAGCCTCTTTGCGCAGCTCAGCGCTCGCGACTGGCTCTTCTTCCTCGTCGGTTTGGCAGCATGGACCGCCGACGCCTTCGACTTCCACGCGCTGTCCATCCAGACCGTCAAGCTGGCCAAGTATTACCACACCAGCAAGACAAACGTCACCACCGCCATCACGTTGACCCTCCTTTTGCGTTCCGTTGGTGCCGCCATGTTCGGCCTGGCCGGTGACAAGTTTGGTCGAAAATACCCCATGGTCATCAACATGATCATCCTGGGCCTGTTGCAAGTCGCCACGATCTACAGCTCGACCTTTTCCCAGTTCCTCGCAGTCCGATCTCTCTTTGGCCTCTTCATGGGCGGTGTGTACGGCAACGCCATCGCCATGGCCCTCGAGAACTGCCCTGTCGACGCTCGCGGTCTGATGTCCGGCATCCTCCAACAGGGGTATTCGCTGGGCTACGTGATCGCCGCGTCTTGCAATCTAGGTGTCGGCGGGAGCACCGACTCCTGGAAGACGGTATTTTGGATCGGCACCGGCCTGTCCATCGCCGTCGGCCTGATCCGTTTGATGTTCCCAGAGTCCAAGCAATTCGTCGCCGCAAAGAAAGCAGGTGCAGGCCACTCGTCCCCGAGGGCGTTCTGGATCGAGACGCGCAAGATGCTCGCCCAGGAATGGCGCATGTGCGTGTACTGCATCATCCTCATGACTTGGTTCAACTACTACTCGCACACCAGCCAGGACAGCTACACGACATTCATGCTCACGCAAAAGGAGCTGAACAACGCCGCCGCCAGCCGAGCCAGCATCATTATGAAGACGGGCGCATGCGTCGGCGGCACCATCATCGGCTATATCTCGCAATGGTTCGGGCGTCGACGCGCCATCATCGTGTCTGCCCTCGTTTCAGGGCTTTTGATCCCCGCTTGGATTCTCCCGACTACTGAGCGTAGTCTATCTGCAACCGGGTTCTTTATGCAATGTGAGTTGAATTTTTGTTGCTTGGATTTGTTTTTGGGTCAAACGAGTTTCCTTTTCTTCTTAACGCCCGAGTGATTTGCTTTAGTCTTTGTCCAAGGCGCATGGGGCGTGATCCCAATCCACCTCAACGAGCTTTCGCCACCCGCCTACCGGTCCTCGTTCCCCGGCATCACGTACCAACTAGGTAACATGATCTCTTCGCCTTCCGCGCAGATCGTCAACGCGATCGCCGAGAAAATCACCGTCACCGCCGTCGACGGCGAACCCGCCCCCGCGTACGGCCCTACGATGGGCATTGCGACGGCAATCATCGCAATAGGAATCGCCGTGACGACCGCGTTTGGCCCCGAACGACGAGGACGACAATTTGAACTCGCGAAGCCCGCCGGCGTCACCACCGAGATGCAAGGCCAGGGGAAACTCGACGTCGAGAACCAACTCACCATCGCGGAGAGGGAGAAGGAGGAGGTGGGACAGTTGGAGAACGTCAATGTCCCGGAGAAGCACTAGGGACGAGTAGGACCCCGGCGACCGCTAAGTGCTTAAAAGAAGCCTTTGTGCCCCGAAGAAGAAAACAGAAAACAACACGCCGGACCCGTGGTTGGCGTCATGTGTTCAACTGGACTCGATATGGGGACTGGTCGTGTCGTTCAATGGGTGGACCTCAAATCGATGCAGAGTATATGTACTGAGAGAGTATCTGTGTCTACGTAGGCTTATTCTGTAGTCTGGACTAGATCAATTACAGTCTCCAGACATGGTATTGATAATACCATCATTAGCAAACCCAGATGAACATGATAGTTAGCCGACCCAAGTGAATATGATGAGACCGAGAAGGATATGGTCGGTAGCAAAACCGATCGTTAGCAAAACCCAGACGATGGTGATCATCATTAGCAAAACAAAACGAACACCGCTACCTTTTCCGGAGCATTGTTATAGCTCTACAAGTCGGAATGGGAATGAGCACGTCAGCGAGATATGCCAGAATGAAGAACAACGAAGAAAACACTCCGTTCCTAATGGCGGGGACAATAAACTAGATAGGCAGGCAAGCAGGTACCAGCAATTACATCTTTTCAAGTCTACAGGAGTCATTCTGTATTATATCCGTACGTACAACGTACATCTTTCGCAGTTCCTCATCATCAATCATAATACAAGAGTCATAGCGCATTAACATCGTCACGCAGGAACTGTCTTGCCGTGGTAATTATGGTCGGGTAGCCTGACATAACGTCACCTGCCACCACAGCCGATGGAGCGCAAGGCTTCTCGACAGTCGCCGCCCAGTACTCTGGCTTCTCAATCCCAGGTGGCCACCAATCAAACAACAGAAAAGCTTCGTCAGACGTCCAAGGTCCAGTCTGCCCTTCTTGATCCTGTCCGTGACCTTCGCCAGAAAAGTCTTCGATCGGATCCTTCAACGCGGGAGTGTCGGATACACAACGCTGGAATTTTGGAGGACTCTTGGATTTCACAGGACTTTGTCTCGTCGACCAGGCGTTCAGGATCTTCAGCGGGCTTCGCAATTCCAGATTACCTTGACCTGCATGTGTTTGAGCGTCATCATCCTCCGTGACAGCATCGTTCTCAGAAAAGACTCGGCGGAATTGTCGTGCACTTGGCTGTAGAGTTGGACCCGTTGTAATGACAAAAGGTACTAGGGGTTCCTCGAACTCTTGAGCTATGGGAGAATCGGGGGAGGATAGGTCAACTGTGTCCAGTTCAGGTGCATTTTGAAACTCTTCTTCAGCATAGGCACTCTGTCGAACAAAACTTGGATTGTTATGTTCCAAAGGCTCGTGAGGTGCTAACTCGCTGATGGACATTGTCAGGAAGGGAAACTCTTCTTGGGTTGGCAGCGGTGGTGGTGTGGGCGACCTAGGTGCCCTATTTTCATCCTCGGGCAGGAAGAGGGGGCTTGAGTCGATCGTTTCCGGTCCGGTGACGTTTCCAGTAAATTGGCGCACACCGGATATGTTGTTGAGTCGCCCACAAGATCCTGCGTCGACGCGAGGAGAAACAGTGTTCCTTTGGGCATCTGGTGAGGGCGCCGGAGGAATGGGACTGCATGCTTCTTCACGAGGCGACACTGTCACAACTGGGGTGCCGACACCCAGCCTTGAAGCAGCTTTCTCGAAAGGTTGCAAGACCGTCAACGTTGATTTCGGTCTCGGTCGACCCAAGAGCAAACGTGCCTTACGTTGGATGGAGAACCTGGGTCTAGATGATGTGGACTTGGGTATCTGCGGTCTTCTAATGTCTCGCCGAATTTGTCCCATTGCTTGAGTTTTGACGACATTCGTTTCGCGGATCTCTGTTTCTCGCAAAGCTGATACAGACTTGGACACTCCCTGAGATCTTCCCACAGCTCTCGAGGGTTCGTAGGAGGAAACGATACTGGTCCTTGGCTGAGTTCTTCGATCATGATTGCTGTCCTCGTCTGATGAAATTTCGACCACTGGCCGTGACTTTGTCGGAGGCTTCCGTACAAGTGGTGATGTGTCAGGCTTGCTGTGGCAAATGGGCTGAGGTAAGCAAGGCCTGCTGGGCCTGACGAGTCGAACGGTCTCATCAAGGAGATTCTCTTTATCATTGGATAGTCTGCGTTTTTTCAGGTGAGGCTCGTTCCGCTCAGGGCGGGAAGCAGCCTGTCTTTGCTCGTATGGCGATTGCAATGGCAACCTTGAATGACGAAGACGTCCTTGCGAAGGTCCGAGGACCTCAAGCAATGACTTGGGCCTCTGAGAATGGATTGTCGAAGCCAGAAAACCACCGGATCCTCCTGCTGGTCCTTTTCGTGGTGTGGCCTTCTCTGGTCGCTGCCTTTCGAGGATCGGAGCCAGGTCGGTCTCAGTTTCTCCCATACGCTCACCAACTTCCACCTTGACGCCTCGGTCTAGTTCTATCTCTACCCCTTCATCAAATTCCTCCTCTTGCCTATAATGAAGGTCGCCGATATAATTCTTCGCGTCATCGTAGACCATGACGCGTCGATTGAAGGTGTGGAAGCGCAGGGAGCCATCGTGCCACTTCTTCGCCTTCTTGAGTAGGTCACGAGTATACAGACAACGGAATTCGTGGACAGGCGCGGTATTCTGCGTCGGAGCAACACTCGAGGTAGGCGTACCACGGTGTACCGAAGCACCGGCCACCATGATCACAAACGGAGGTGTAGGAAGGTGAGGCTGTCAGCAGCATGATGTGTCCACCGGCAAGGAACCGGAGTCATTACCCTCCTCGTCAAATAGAAATGGAGGGGATGTGCATGCGGCTGTGAATGTCGACTGTGCGAGCTGGAGCAGACGAGGACTGAGCGGCGACTGTTGTAGGCTAAGAGCGAATTACGCGCGTCAACTGACACTGGCTACCTGAGACTGGTGGACTGCGCATTGAGTCCAGATCCTAGACGCTTGTCTGCTTTTTCAAACAATCCAACGTCTTGACCAGTTTAGCTACTCTTTATAATTTTCGTACTTATTTGTATTGCTCTTTCCTCTGGGCGAAGCTTCCAGCTCGTATTCACTCGATCAGACTGCAGGCCAGTCCTCAAATGTAATGCATATTCCCGCCCGCCCATCGACACTCATTCCGACACAACATTCCCCAGTCGTACCACTCGAGGCTCTGCCGTCTAGCTTCTGTTTGTCCTTTAGGACAACAACGCCTGGGTCTCCGTAGACAGACACATCTACGGCTCGACCATCTGCCATTTTCACTGCTCGAGACATTCTAATGGACCGGCGGTTGTCCAAGTCACACCATGCATAGTGTTCAGCGACACTTTGGCAAGTACATGAGGAGGAGTGCAGATGAGCAACAGGTTTCGGTTCTACTTAAAGACTTCGAAGAGGCGGACCGTCTGCTGTCCAAGGTATGATCCGCCGTCCAAAGAAAAAAGTGTGTGGCGGCTCGTTAACAACTCCAAGATAATTGAATCCTCCAAGCAATGGCGAGAAGCGTGGATTGCCATTCTCACCCACCAGCACCGAATGTTCGAGGAGTTCGAGCTCCTTTACGCCCCGATTATTGGAGCCAGTGAAGACTATCAAGGCCATGTTGCAGTGCTCACACCGGAGCATCTCATCGGAAGAACCAGCCGGATCAGGGTGGAATCTTCGGATTTGAAGAGAGATTTGACAGAAGATCTTGCCCAGGTCGAGGATAAGTTGATCCAGCCCGCTCAAAGTGCCAAAGACAGTCTTCACACGATGAGAAAAACGATCAAGAAGCGAGAAGACCGGAAGCTGGACTACGAAAGATATCAGAATAGGGTCGATACGGCTCAAAAGAAGGCAAAGCGTTCCGAGAGAGAGAATGCAGCACTCGCAAAGTCCCAGTCCGATCTTGCTTCTGCAACAGAAGCATACGCTGCCGCGGATGAGAACCTCAGACACTGTCTACCTCGTCTACTCCAATCGGTCTTTTCCCTGCTACCATATTTCCTGGCCACTCTCATCAACATCCAGAACGGTTTACTTGGACATTATTACACGTTGCTGCACGCCTACTGCACGGAAGAGGGATTTCCTTCTCCGAGTCCGCCCATGGATGAAGTCATCAGGCTGTGGGACGATGCTTTCAAGCCTGTACAACGAGAAATCGAATCTTTTGCCCTTCTAGCCAACGGCAAAGCCATCAGAGCCCCCATGTCTCAAGAGAATGGCCACGCGCCTGCCAATGGTTACCGTCGGCCCAGCGCAAATTCATCCTTTGCCCGTGGACAGTCTGTCTCACCTGCCAGAGCACTTCCACCTTCTCCATCCTTTGACATCAAGCCAAAGGTTTCTTCCTCTCCTGCGCCATCGACGTTGCTGAGCCCCATAACTCCCGTTGACGCTACACCCTCGCCTTCGCATTCAGTTTATCAGACGCCAATGTCGTATTCCCCGGCTGGACCTCACACGGACTATTTCTCCAGAGAGCGTCAGCCGTCGACAACGTCTGTCACCTCTGCGGCTTCTGTCGCACAGAAGAAACGCCCTCCACCGCCTCCCCCACCACGGACACCTTCGCAGCACGCGATTTTCGTGACCGCATTGTACGATTTTGACGGACAAAGTGAAGGCGACCTCGCTTTTCGGGAAGGAGATCGAATCAGGGTTTTGAAGAAGACAGAAAGTACAGACGAGTGGTGGCAAGGAGAGCTTCGAGGTGTCCAAGGGCCTTTTCCCGCCAACTACTGCCAGTGACCTGACTTGCACCACAAATCGACAGGGGAACAGTCACCAAAGCCGTATCTATTCGTGGCCGAGACCAGTCAGCGGAACACAAATTCCAGCACCAGAGCAAACGGTTGGATCGAGTACGAAACAGGAGTTGATTCATGGTCCGGATAGCAATGAGAATGAAACCAACGAACTGGATCAGCATCGGAGTGTAGAGTGAGCTATGTAGAGAGCATTGTATGTTATTGATATACCCAGAGCGAAGAGAAGTCAATGATAAAATCAAAAGGGTTTCGTTATCACATTTTCTTCACGGTAGAGTGCGTAACGTCATGACAGCCATTGCGTGTGGCCCGTAGTTGTTTACTAGCATCTATTATTTTAAGGGAGAGAGCAGTTCTCTCTGGTGCCCGGACAGGGTAATGGGATAGATCGTGACAGGAGTAGAAACGGTATGTCATGGTCGAGGTTAAGGTGGAAGAATGTCGCGAATATAATTTTATTATTCGTCCGCGTTAACTCGGCTCAACCATACGGACGCCTCTCAACTCGTGCTATTTCGTATTTTTGCTTTCGATTATCTCGGGTAGCGTATTCTGAGTATCTTCTTCCAGAGCCTGTTAGACTCTAGATATACCTCTATCTGTGACTGTATCTACCTTGAGCGGTACTTTCTCGCATTCATCGTCATGCTCTCGTACTGATTATGGCGTATGAGGGTGCGGTGATTTGGCCTGTGGGTCCTGGTTAGTTAGCTAGTACGGCTCCACTCACCTCAGATTAAACACAGGATAAAATTTCAAGCTGTGAAATTTCTTCCAACAAGTCCTCTCAAGCTCACAGCTTCGAGATCACAGGGGATGTGGTCTAGTGGTATGACGTGTAAGCATTAACAGCCCTCCAGCTCATTCAGAGCAACAGCTAATTTCAAGCAGTTCCTTAGCATCAAGTGTTCACCCACTTGGAAAAGGTTCTGGGTTCGATTCCCAGCTTCTCCAAATCAGAAAGGACTTTCTTTTTTGCCGTTGTTGCATTTTTTTTTTCTGAGCGAAAATTTGTCTGGATTTTTTTTGGTAAAGGTAAATGCTCCACTCGTCAGACTTGGGAGTTTCACGTATCTGCCCACATGCCCTGGGACGCCAAAGCCAGACTCATCCAACCATGCACCGCACCGAGCGCATTTACGGTCTACCCAAAACATCCATGGAAATGATACATTGATAAGTGTTACGGATTGCTAATAAATAGTCTGAGAGCGCTTTTCTCTTCAGAAGCCCTGCTTCTCTCGACTTTTCTGCCGACCCTCTTCCACGTCGATCCAAGCGCTACGCAGACGCAGTAGGGCAAGCATCTTTTTCTTGTCGTTCACGCTAAAATGAAAAGGTTCTGTGCTACAGCATGGTTTTTATGACCAGGACACATGTCCATAGTGATGCAACTAGATAAGATTATGAACTTCAACGCAACCGCAATTGCAGAGACCAAAAGCCCTAAAAGCAGATAAGTATCCTGTGCGCATGGATCCGTTGTCTAGCACCGACGCTCGAGTGGAGGGAGGACTGAAGGATAAGATCAGGATTGCTCGTCTCCGTCTGAGTCCTCTTCTTCTGAGCTAGGCTCGAACGGTATGCCCATGTCGTTGGTCAATATCTGGTGGATGACATCGATGCCTCTCAAGATACGCATGCCATGACTGTGTGGCAATCGGTGATCGTCGGCTCGGATTAGGTGATTTTCATGCTGAACCTAACTGCCTACGACGAGAGCAATCTCCTAGTCGTTGGTGGAGACTTGCACTCTGAACGTTTCATGGTTCATGTTGACCAATACACTGGTAATGGCCTTCCTCAGGTGGTTCTCTGAATTTGGCGATCATTAAATGATCCTTTGGCGGCAAAGGTAACAAATTCAACAATGACCCCTTGTGGCGAACCAATTCGGGGCACTCTGGCTTTAGCCTGGGCTCCATGAGACTGTGAAGGAGGTGGGTCTGGGAATGCTGCCCGGTGGCACCGAGTATGCAGGTTCACGCCACACGACATCGTGGCGTATGTTCCAACATCAAGACCATTGGTTGAAGGAGAGTTGTTGAAATGCCGACACAGGTTCTCCTTGGATTCGGGTTTTAGCCCTGCATGGTAGACGGCCACATCGACATTGGCCGTGTCCAGGATCGTGCGACATCCGAATCTTGCCAGATATTCTTCAGTGCAGAGGGAGATGTGACGTTCAAGGAGTCAGCATGCAGTCAAGTTTTGTGATTGTACGCGAGGAGGTTTTCCCCCGCCGGGCACAAGGGGAAAATTCGGGGAACGACATGACCCATGAGATGTGCTGGAAGCTCTAGTTTAGTTGAGATAGACTCTCGACACAATGGGACTGGACACTGAAATCGACCTTGGAACTCGATGACTTTAACCCTTCTCTCCTGGACAAATTCGAGCCAGGACTCCAAGTCGTCAATGGGATTGAGACGTTGAAAGGCGCGAAACACTGGTAAGCTCGGGTCCTGAAGTGTCAAGTATCCGCGGCCTATTGTCATGCCATCAACTTTTGTGACCGAATCAATGTTTCGGCCGGGTTGCGACACTGGAGACAATTTCCGGAGTTGTGCTCCTTATTGTCTTTTCTTTGTGCCCTGATCGATTTGCTAGATCGCTCGAAGGATGTTCGAGAGTCCCGTGATACGAAACGACGTGAGGCTCCTCCGTGAACGATGTAGATGATATCCAGCGTTCGGTAGAGCTCAAAAATATAAAAGCGAAAAAGCTTTGCGGATTACTGAAGAAGTCGTCCGAAGCGCTGGCGACGAACAAGACCGCGCCCTGCTTTTTCCCACGCCACAGGGCGTCAAGTGCTTCGACGACTGGCCGGAAGACATAGGCATTGCCTGATTCCTGCGTCCCGCGTTCCAGATGAATTTGAGCAGAGTCGATGCAAGCAGAAACTGTGCTTTGTAAGGTCGCAGACACAATTTGGACGAGAAGTTTGATGGATGTTAAGACCAAAGCTGGCAAAGTGATTCTGGAGATGTTCAATAGCTCGTTTACCACGCGGTGTTGGAGCTCACGTATTGCAACAGCCTTTTCAACCTCGTCGGGATCACTAAAGTCCCACCCTTCTGCCAGATGTCGATGCTGGACCATTTGCGCTGCAAACTCCTTCTCATACTTCTCTACCAACGCTTCAAATGCCACTGCTCCCCAATCATCTTTAATAACGTTGGTCGCAGCAAAGATGCCCGCTTGTTTCTCCATCCACCGCTTCTTCGCTTGCGCTCTGACCTGACGAGGTCCACGTTTCTTGTTCTCATCTTCCCCAGGTTCTGATCGGCAGGTTTGCTATCGGTCTTTCCTTTCTTCCGTGCCGGCTCTTTCTCTGCCAGGGAGCCACTGGTGGTCATATTTGCAGGAGTCCGTAACGAAGCCACCGCACTGACCAAAGTGACATACGGGTCTTCTGGTCGGACTTCGACCTGCTCTTCTTTGCTACGTTGCTTCAAAGACTTCCCACCAGTGCTAATTGTAATTGTACTCATAGAAGTGTACTCGAGGAGGAACCGGAGATGATCCACCCTATTTCAATTTGCGACGATTTCATCCCGAGATGAGCTGATCAACAGACCATTGCTGGCTCTCGAACATCCAACGGTGAGGCGTCGCAAATCCTATAAAAATCCCAAGCCGAGGCCTTACCAACTGACAGGATCAGAAGGACGTAATTGAACTCTTTTCCTTGCATGGCGTCAATGCAGCCGATGGTCACACGTTCTCAGCCTTCCAATCGATGCAGTTCCATGGATGGTAATATTGACAGGCAGTCGTCACGCTGTGCAGAGTATGCTGGAACGACAGCGGTGGTCGGGTCTGGCGTAGAGTGCACCTAACTCTTGATCTTTAGCAATTCTTGGATCATCCTGCTGGTCGTCATCGTGTAAATCGATTGTACTTCGATCCAGTACTGTGACTCCCGTGTAATTCCATCCACCCTTAGGATGGTCGAGGAAATAGACGCTGCTGGCCTTCTCGATCGTATAACAACCCTGGATAGTTTTGCGAAATTGTATCGCGGGTTTGCGGGTTTCATACGCAGCTTCCGGCGTGGAGGCGAACTTCGAATTGTAGGCCATCTCGCTAACCAATTGACAATGTCTGGGACTATGCGTGATTGCTTGTAGATCTCACCTACCGAGAAGCCGACCTTGATGAGACGAGTGAACAGCGGCGTCGTCAATTCTCGCTTAAATGAAGATTCCTGGTTGGGTGTGGAGATCTTTGGTGACAATTGATGACTGTCACCCACCATGATAACAAACTGGTTTTCGGTATAACGAATTGCGAGTACCGGAAAGGTGTTATCATCGCACTCGGCTGCTGCTTCATCAAGAAGAATGCCCACGATATGCATTCCAAGTGCGGCGGCCATGAATGGCGACGTTGTTGCGTTCGTGGTACTCACGACGACCGCAGCAATCTGAAGAATCTCAAACAATACAGCACGCTCATTGGCTTTGTACTGCTTCTTCATCTCATCCGTTAAGGTGTCCCATGCACACCAGTACTTTGTGGAAACTTGACGAAGTTGGGCGCATTCAAACTCCCAATTCGGGTGAGTGTAGACTTCGTGCTTCATTGCTCCGATATAAGACCAATAAAATTGCCCAAGTGAGTGCTCGAGAGTGTGGACGCGAGGATCAAACCTCCCTCTGTAATTGTGAACCCGAGTGCGGTCGAAGATGCGACGTGACAGAATATCAAGTGGCGCGCAGACATCTTCATTGATGGACTCAATGGCTGGAGGCTGGGTGTCCTTCTGCATCTCCTCACAGGAGACGCGGTTTCGAGTGGACTCTTCTGCATGCGCTTCATGCATTCGGATGGCATACTTTCGAGGATGTTCAGAAGTTCCAAGCTGAACACCCATCTTTCGAAGTAAGTCATCTGCGTTGACGTTGCTTGGGGAGATGGATCACATGGGATTTACGGGAGAGGTAAAACGGGTGGCAAATATCAGTTTGTCGGATCCAGAGCAACCCTCAACTGATGCCCCTTTAACGGAGCATTACGCAGAAGCGGAGCAATCTTGGATTGAACTCAGTTCCATCTCATCATTCCCACCGGATTTCCATCAGCAAGGATCGCTTGTCGATGGTTTCAGGGTCGACCGGCTTGCTGGCATCAAACCGCTCGCTGACCTGGTCTGGTCCCATGCCTGCGCTGTTCCAGTAAGCTTCTGCTTCGTCCTTCAGTCCCTTGCTCCAAGGAGAGCAGGTTGTTGACAGTGAACCAGGCTCTGAAACGATTGTTGAATGCTGTCCAAGGGCAGTCCTTTGGCTGGACTGCAAGGTTCTCCGCAGCGATCATCGCTCTTCTTGACGGGTGAGGGTCGGGGACTTGTTGCAGTTCGACGTTTGTACCGGAATGTGCATCGATGGGCCATGGCGATGTCGATCTCGTTCTGGCCATCTGCATTGATGAGGTTGACCTTTCTGTCGTCCCATTCTCCTTTTCAGCCAACCAAGAGCATACAACAATTATCTGGGACGTATGGCAAGTTGGGCATCATTCTTGCAAACCAAGGGCCGGAGTCGTAACCATCTTTGTGCTTTTTTTCTAGGGCGATGGTTGCAAACTCCTCCTCTTGCTCCACATCTTCAGGTGCTGTGTCAGCACGCTCGACACCAGAATAATGATGGATCCCTTCTGTCGCGACAACCCCTTCATTGAGATGGATCCAAAGAGTTTGCTCGGTTGGATCGAATTGTTGTAGACGAAAATTTCATCACATCACCAGATCCAGTGATGAGACCAAGCTGGATGTTTGCCCGACGCTGTTCGTCACTCCGGTTGCTCGACCAGTGGTTTAGGATAAAGGCAAGGTGCTGGAAATCGAAAAACCTGATCAAGATTCATGTCAGTTACATTCGTGAGATCGAGACTGGAAGTTTTTGCCAAGGTATTTGATGATGGGAGGTAGGAAACAGTTTTGGGGCATCACCACTGTCTGCTGAATGCACAGGGCGTACTGACCGAAGTTCCATGCCGCTGAGAATGATTTATATATAAAGAGTTGAAACGTCTCTTCTCGAGGAATTGGATGAGGTGCGTTGCCTCATGAAACTTGAGGGTCTCGTTCCATGGCGCTGAGAGCCGGCCTCTTCTGCCCCATCGTCCGCTGCATTTGGGATGAAGGAAAAGGATACTTTCTATGAGAAAGAAAGATTGAGCGAGAGATGGAAGAGTGTTAGATTGGGAGGGGAGGTGACCATTTAAATAGTTTTCGCAGTGGCGATATGGCTTGATGTGAACAACGACAGCGATTGTCGTAAGTCAGGTGTGAATGTGAACCTTCGATGAAAGCGAAACCGTATTCAGTCATGCGAGTGCGGTGAGTTCATTGTCTCATCTTCCCTGCAGATCAGAATCCCGACTGTTGCTATTGAAGGAGAAACTTGTCGCAGAGTTAAGTAAGGTATTGTGCCACTTCACGACCCTCTCACACTCACTGGTTGTGGCGGCTTTAATTCGGGCCTACCTAGTAGGGAGTCTGCCGTTTGACTCCAGTATTAACACAGTGCCGACAGGTTGTGCAGACGAGAAAGATCGTTAGGTGTTAATAAACCCGGCGATGAGGATTTGCCGGAGTAATCCCCCATGACTCTGCGTCCGTACCACGGGGCGAGCAGTCATCAGTGGCAGCCTCTCAACAAGACGTCTCGAGAGCCATTCTCCAAGATCACCCCTTAGCTGTGTCTATTCCGATCCGAGACTCCCGTGCTTGCATCCTTGGCCCTCTCTCGTTTCGACATAACTGATTCTGCGAAAGAGGAGGATGCACAGTTTTGCGCACGGAAACAACAGCGGCAAAAAAGAAAGTCCTTTCGGATTTGGAGAAGCTAGCTGGATGGATGTTAGTTATGATCTTTAAGTTGTTGGATGGTGAAATTGCAGACGAATTGTACCAAGAACCTTTTCCAAGTGCTTTGAACACTTGATACTGAGGAGCTACTTGGAATATCGTCGTAAGAGATTGAGCACTACGTTGCTTAGCAGTTCAAGCAATTGTGTTGTGTCTCAGCGCTAAACGCCCGATGACCTCGATGATGCCGCTTTTACACGTTGGACTCAGGACTCCCCCCTTTCGTTGGGTACTCTTTGACTTACACTCTCACTCCTGAAGATTACGATTAGACGCTGGACAGGTATGGTGTCTGGGTCTGCACTAACTTATTAATTGTAGCAGCGGCGGAAGGTCGCCAACTGACAAGCCGGACTGTGAACGAGCTGCCTCAAATTTCCCGAAAAGTTCCTCCATGAACAAAAACCTGCAGTAACACGTCCGGGACGCGCGGAATTAAATACCCAACAAAGCGCCCTTGACGGTATCAGCCTCCAGAAAGATCTTCCACAGCCGGGTTTCATTGCAAGCGTAGATGACTCCTTGCCGGCCAAAGCAAAAATTGGCAACGCCTCCCGGAATGGCCATGGTGCCGATCTGTACGCCAGCCTTGTTCCACACCTCGACGCCATCACCACAGCCCGCATACACATTTCCCGCCGTGTCACATTTGATTCCGTCGGGGAACCGGCCGGGGGCATATGCAAACAGCCTCTTGTTCGCAAGGAACGGTTCCTTGGACGACGATTCCGAATCTGAATCGTCAGAAGCGACGTGAACGACATCAAAGGCATAGATATGTGACGGTCCGCTCAGGTCAATAGGCACGTCAGGCGAGCCGTGGATGGCGCCTGTATCGGTCACATACAGGGTCCTCAGGTCCGGCGAAAAGCATAGCCCGTTTGGCCGGACGAAGCCGTCCGCAACGGCGCGAATGGTTTTTGTGTGCGGGTCGTAACGGTAGACCTGGTTGGGCAGTTGAGGTGCGCGGCGTATGCCTTGACCATGCCCGTAGCTGGGGTCGGTGAACCAGATCGACCCGTCGGTCGGCGAGACCACGACGTCGTTCACCGAGTTGAAGGGAATCCCGTGAAAAGAGTCCACCACCACCCGCGGCGGAGCCCCGTACCCAGGCGGTGGGATGCCGAGCGAGATGATACCGCTGATGTCTGAGGGATTCTTGGATCCTTGCGCACACAGAAGGATCGTGCCATGGCCGAAATTGACGCCGCCATTGAGCATGGCGTGGTCGCTCCCTGGGAATGAGATTTCCTGGACCACGGCCTCCCCTCCGACAGTGTCACGGATGCACGTGAGCTTGACATGTTTGTTGTCGGTGTCGGCGGAGTCGTGACCGGCGTCGTTGTGCAGCTGGTTGGACGTGACGAAGACGCTGTTGTCTCGCGGGTCGAAGATGCATGCTTCATGGAAAAGCGGAAACTGCGACTCGCACAGCAGCTGGTATCTTGCGTCGCGTCCCACGATCTTCGAAAACGAAGGATGGTGTTGGATAAACCGTGGTTCTGTCTGTGGATCCATTTTTTGCACCCAAGGTTACGGGTTCCTCGGAGGGCCTAGTTGAACTTCGTCACCATGGTCTGAATACTCGAAGTTCTCTCTATTACGAGCAAACGAATTCCAGCGAGAGAGTATAACGAGGAGGAAGCGGTGAACCATCCCTCGGACGACTCAATAGCCGATCTGTTGGCGCGTCGTCGGTTATTGAAGTCGTCCTGTGGGGCCCCGGATTGAGATATGCTTCAAGACTACGTACATCCAGAGCACTGCTGCTGCGACAATGGGCCGTGTGACTCATGTTCTGGCCCATGATGGCACACAAATTATTTCCTTTCACGGTGACTGTTTACGCTGAAATTGAATTTCTGAGAGCCGATGATTTCGGGGCTCACGCAGTGTCCCCGTTTACAACCTCGATTCGATTGCTGCCGGGCGACCACCGGGCATTGAGGTTTCCCCCCTCCGAAGGAAACAAGGAAAATCTGCTCGCACTCGATATTTCAGACACGGAAGTCCAGAATTGGAGAAGAGAGGGAATTACGGTCCGGCATGGTGTCCGTCTACTCTACGCCTTTGATCTTCCCCATCAGGCGGAGCACAATCCGTTCGTTGTTGAAAGACTGCACCTTAGGACTATTGCGCCTGTTTCGGAAGAGGACTGAAAGGAACTGAGTTACTCGGCTCAAATGCCCATTGTTCATTGACGAGGACCCAGAATCCATCTACCGCTTTTCGTGCGTCTAGGATCCATCATCGATCGCCGAAAGGCGCCTGGCCAGTGCGAGTGCAGTGCTACGAGGTTGATGCCCACCATGAGTTTTTACCTTTTCAAATTCCTCGCTTGTATATCAACATCGGTTGGTTACTAGAGTATTCCCGACATAGCATTTCATGAGTGACAGTTTGGCAGAGCCCGAAAACTCCACTAGCAGCCTCCGAGGATCTGGATGTGTTCCCTACGCAACTTCCTCTAGTTCTTGGGGTTTTTGATCGTACCCGTTCTTGGCTACCACTGTTTCAATCTGGCTGTCTCCCATCGATCTGTGCAAATCCACCGAGACAGGTCTTGACATACGCCGCGCAGCAATGCTTCCTTGTCGAGCGAATAAGCGGTCAACGTCTTCTAACTCAAAGCCTTTGGTTTCAGGAAAGAAGAAATAGATGATGGGAACCCAACAGGCTGTGATTAAGGTCAGTATCATACATCTATTTCAGGGGCCGGGAGGAAAATGAAAGCCCAAACGCCACTCAAAGGAGACGGATTCACCAACTGCGGAAGGGGGAGGTAACATACCGTTGAGGACAGCGAAGACAATGTAGGTACGATAGCCGATGTTGCTGATAGCGATGGGAGTGATTTGCACGATCATATAGTTGAAGATCCAGTTACAAGCTGTCGAGACCGAGGAGCCACGTTGGCGCAGACGCAGAGGCAGAATTTCAGTAGGGTAAACCCAGACGGTCGCTTGGAAGCCCACAGTGAACGCTCCCTGGAAGACAAAGAGCATCGCGGCAGCTGCGCGGCCAGCGGCCTTAGCGGACGGCGTGTTGAACTGAACTTGGTAGATCAATCCCGACTGGACGCCCATCACCACCGCCATGAGTGAGATCATAGAGAGAAGAAGTGGCCGACGACCGACCCGATCAATGAGAGGCCACGGTATGAAAGAAGCCAAGAAGAACCAGGTCTGCAGAAACCCAGACATCAGAGCAGACATATGCTGACTGAATCCCAGACTCTTTTCGAACAGCGTGCCCGAGTAATAGATGATTGCGTTGATACCTCCGAGCTGTTGGAAAGCCTGAATCCCGCAGGCAATCAAGAATCTCCGCCGACTCTGGATACTGTCGTTTTTGATCAGATCAATCCATTTGCCGGTGCCGAGGCTCTTTTCGACCTCCACCGTGTGCAGAATGTCTGCATGGAGGAGGCGGATGTGTGAGTCAGACATGCGGCCGCGGTGGAGTCTTTGAAGCACCACGAGCGACTCGTCGCCACGATCATGGCTGGCCAGCCACCGCGGAGTCTCGGGGACGACGGCCACAATGAGGAGCATGGGCAACAGAAATATGCACTGGAGAACACAGGGGATTCTCCACGCATAGCTCGAAGTGTGTGAAGAGAAGGCGTAATCGATCCAGTAGGCGAGGAATATGCCGAAATTGAGCGTCGACAGCTGCATGCAGACGTAAAGTCCGCGGCTGGCCTTGGGAGAATATTCTGATTGGAATACTGGGACCGTGCTGTTGATAAAGCCCATCCCGATGCCAGATACCACCCGGGCAATGATCAGATGCACTCGGGAGAAGGCTGTGGCTTGGAGGATGGCTCCCACTATCATGATGATGGACCCGATGGCAATACTTCTTCTGCGTCCGAGGGCTTCCCCAAAGAAGGAAGTCAGCACCGAACCTAGGAAGCATCCCACTGGTGGGTGAACGTTAGCGCGGCAACACGAGTGGTTCTTTCAATTGCCCAATGTACCTTCATATATCGCAACAATGAGACCGATGATGGTAGGGCTGGGGGTATGAAAGGTATCGTTGAATGCAACGCCATTGACGAACCCGCCAAACAGGCCATTGTCACTGATGAATTGCCTGGTCAGTAAGGTATATATATATATAGCTGTAGCGCACGATGGCGGCGGAAGGGACTAACTATCCGATGAGAAGGAAGCCGAGAGACGTGAGCGTAAGAACGCTTGATGAGAGTTGGCGTCCTTCCAGGGCAACCATGCTGAATGAAAGAAGGTTGCGAGCACAAGACGACTCAGATGGTCAACAGATAGACATCTGTTCCGATGGGAAGAGAAGGCAGGGATTTAGCGAGTATATGTACCCATTTGCAGGAGAAAACCCGATTTCAGGAGACCCCGTGGAGTGAACTGGGGATGGACGTCAAGATCAAAAGCCGACAGTCAACCAGCGGCAATCGTCGGGCCAATTATGGCGAAGTACTAATTATGAGTACGTAGCAGGACTCTATTAGTCACTCGTCTCTCTTGACATTCGGAATCGTCCCCTCGTGCGAACACTGAGGATTTTGTGGCCGTTCAGAGTCGTGCTTCAGCGGAAGAATCTTGCGGAGCCGGGGCGTGCAAGGGCGGCGTCACCATGTTTCCCACTTTGGGTAAAGAGGCAAGCTGTTTTGGAATCTTGGCAGATGGCGCCAGAATTCCAGTGCGCTCCGTGTGCAAAGTGTAAATATCAAGATAGCTACTCCTCAACCATTGACTACCGCAGACACGTCACAGGGGTGTGAGAGCTCTCCTCAGTTATACCGCATGAACAGCAGCACACCAGGGATTGCAGAAACTGGTACAGGGGAAAGAGACCAGGCTAAGGCAAGCAAGGTAACAAAGATGCATAGTACTACATTGCTCTATTCAGGACTACCTACATACCGATCTGAGTAGGCGTATTTTATTGCCAAAGATGAAGAGATGCTGCGCTGAGCTGTCGATGCGATCAATTACTTACCCCGACAACTCGGTTGTACGTACCCAGAGTTAAGCTTCAGCAAGTCTGGTACGCATAAGGGGTAAACCGAGTGCGTAGATTATGATTCCACCAGACCAGTATCACCGGTATGAACAAGAGTACCCTCGCGCCGGTGCTCTCTGTGGCTTTCAGAACTTGAGCATGGGCTTGGTTTCCGAAGATATGGTTACTCGGCGGTGCGAGAAAACTTACCCAGTCATGGTTGCCTCGCGCTTCGCGGTATCAGTCTCTTCCAGCGCGCCACATTTCGCAGAGGCGGTGCAGCTGACGCCACACATATCAGCCTACAGCCTCACGGCTGAGACACGTTCAACCTCATCGGACGTTCTTCGCTATCCCTTTGTATAATCACGAGGTCGGTCCTGGCTATTATCCAGATCTGATCGTCCACGAAGACGCTCAATTGTGAGCTCTTCATCGTCCTTTTGATATGCACGCTCTTCCACATTGGCTGGCCCGCATCACAAGCTCGACGCCCACCTTGGTTCGCCCGCCCAAGTTGCAAACTTGGCTTCTCCCAGCATATCGTAACGAGCAGCTGAGCCCTTCTGGGTAACTGCAGCTAGTATGTCCATATCTACCGAGCAGACGCTCTGTTCGCCCGATTTAGGTTCCCCCACGACACGATGCGACTACTGAAATTCAACGACCGAGGCGTCCTCAGCCTGACCGAATATCAGGAAAATGAGCTTCCCCGCTACGCCATACTCTCGCATACTTGGGGAAGCGATGAAGACGAGGTCACTTTCAACGATCTTAAACATTCCTCTTTCAAGAAGAAGGCGGGCTACACCAAAATTCAGTTCTGCAGCGCGCAGGCCAAACGAGACGGGCTAACATACTTCTGGGTGGACACCTGTTGCATCGACAAGGCCAATCATAGCGAGCTCTCCGAGGCGATCACGTTAATGTTTCGCTGGTATAGCAATGCCACTCAATGCTACGTCTACCTCTCAGATGTGTCGCGCGACAATGCCGCTGACAGCCACACCAAGGGGACGTGGGCATCTAGGTTTCGAAAAAGCGCACGTTTGACGCGAGATCGAAAGCTACAACGGCCCGTTACTCAGCCATCGGCAGAGATCTTTTCTCGTGAGGGCAGGGGACCGGGTGAAGAGAGTGCGGCCGAACAAGCCTTTCGAGATAGTAGATGGTTCAAACGAGGCTGGACGCTTCAGGAACTCATTGCCCCAGCATCGGTCGAGTTCTTTTCACAAGGGGGAGAACGACTGGGGAGTAAGGCAACGCTCAAACAGCAGATCCACGAGATCACCGGAATTCCAATCGCAGCCCTCGAAGGCGCACCTTTGTCAGAGTTCCGTGTGGACGAGCGAATGCAATGGGCGGCCCAGCGTGAGACCAAAAAGACGGAGGACCGGGCCTACTCTCTCCAGGGGATATTCGGAGTCTTCATCCCGCTGATATATGGCGAAGGCGAGAACGCGCGAGTGCGTCTGCAACGGGCGATTAGCGAGTCTCTTAGCAGTAAGTCCTTCTCTTAGCCCCCTCAGTAGTGGTTCATGAGTAGCTGACTTGCCTAGCCGCGAGCTCAAAGAGCGGCAAAGAACAGTCGGTGGTGCCTCCGCAACCTCCGGGGAGAGGTCTGGTCAGTCTCCCGTTGCCGAGGAACAAAAACTTTGTCGGAAGGGTCCAGAGCCTTCAAGAAATCCACAAGAAGGTCAATTCTTGCGGTTTTCCAAGATCCAGCTGCGTTAAGTGTGTCGTCAAGGGAATGGGAGGTATCGGGAAAACCCAAGTGATTCTCGAGTACGCTTATAGGTATCGAGAAGACTTTTCGTCCGTTTTCTGGATAAGGGCCAACAGTTATGAATCTGCTGTGGAGAGCTATTGTACTATCGCACAGAAGATTGGACTGAGTAACAGCCCTTCCCCTTGGAGTATCGAAAAAGACCTCGGTAGAGTAGCAGTTTCCTCTGTCCAAAAGTGGCTTACTGCCTCGGAAAATGGCAATTGGCTACTGTTACTGGACGGATGGGATAACTTGAACGACCAGAGGATGGATTCTTTGATCCCTCACAGTGGTTCTGGTGTGATCTTAATTACAAGCCGAAGGGATGACTGGGCTCGGTGTGAAGAGATTCTTGATCTTCAATTGATGGAGGAGGCAGCTTCGCTGTCACTACTTTCAAAAAGCTCTTTGACGGATTACGAACAGGCTGACGAGGAAGGTAAGATTCTGTGCATTGAGACTGTAGAGATTTATGACTGACCAAACATTAGAATTCGATGCTGCGAAAGAGATTGTGAAAGTACTGGGAAACCTCCCTTTGGCCGTTGACCAAGCAGGAGCACATATCCATAATCTGAAGACGCCGGCCAGAAAATACCTATCACGCCTTAAGGAAAACAGAGAAACGCTGAGTTGGACACCGCCGATTATCCTGTGGCCCTATGGCAAGGGCGTACTAAGTGCTTGGGACTTAACTTTCCAACAGCTTGAAAGTTCGAGCCCCAAGGTTTTTGAGATATTGCAGGTTTGTGCGTTTCTCGCTGGCGAGTACATTAGCGAAAACTTGCTCAAGTTTGGGTTCAACTTTGCGCAGAAGGGTAAGTAGCTCGTTATTTCCAACCCGAGACAGACTAACGTGATCGCAGACGCCCTAGCTCGGGTTATGGAAGACGGAATGGGAAACTTGTTCTCGCTCTCTCTCGCAAAACGCGAAGGTGACGACGACGGGTTTTCAATCCATGCAGTTCTTCAAACATGCATTCGCCAAAGACTATCTAGATCACCCGGCGTTCAAAGACAAGAATTCGCGGAGACTGCACTCTTGGTTGTTGCCGGTGCTGTACAGAAGTTGACATCGGAGCGCCAACAAAATTGGTTTACTTGTCGGCAAGTGCTGTCACATATTACAAGCTGTGAGGAGCATATCGACGACACCTTGCTGCGCAAGCCAGTTTTTGGCTCTACAAGAGCGCTCTTCATGCTCGGACAGTTCTGCGATAAGTTCGGTCGACACGATCAGGCAATTAGCTGGTTCGAGAGAGAACTTAACACAGTGCCAGACCTGTCCGTACATTCAACATTAGAATGTCGTGACGGCGTTTCAACAGCCAAGCTCTTTAAGGGCCAGCATAATGAGGCATTGGCCGAATTTCGTGCTCTGTATACCGAAGCGACTGATCAACTCGGTGTAGAGCATGAGTTAACCAACAAAATCGCCAATAGTCTTGGTATCACTTACAAGAAGACCGGATCGCTCGAAAAGGCTTTGTGGTGGTATAGGAGGTCTCTCTTACACATAAAGGAGAGATTCGGCGAAAAAGATCCCAGAGTACTTGCCTCTTTGAACAATATCGCGGTGATCTACAAAGAACAGACAAAGTACAGAGAGGCCTTCGAAATATATCACGATGTACTAAGGAAAAAGGAGGAATCATTAGGGGAGGAAGACCTCTCAACGCTTGAAACCGTCATGAATATCGGCATCTTGTACAGACGCTGGAAGCGATACGACGAGGCGCTCAAATTTCTTCAACGCGCTCTCTACGGAAAGGAGAAGCAACTGGGAAAAGATGATCCCAAAACACTTGCAGTGAAAGGCAATATCGCCAACGTATATCTCCAAAGCGGTCGGCTCGACGAGGCTATCAGGCTACATGAAGAGACGTACAATAGCTATAAAAAGGTCTGTGGACCGGAGCACCCTGAGGTGTTTACCACGGCCCACTGGCTAGGGGAGGACTATTGCCAAAAGCGATGTTACGACAAATCACTTCAATGGTATGAAGAGGCATTGTCTGGTAGGAAGAGACTGCATGGTGAGCATAACGCCGAAACCTTAGAGACCATTGTGGGTATGGCAGGAGTCTTCCAGCTCAAAGGCGAATACTATCAGGCATTGACTTGGTATAGGTGGGCTTTGGTGAGATTCCGAGAGCGTTTTGGTTCGGAACACTTTGGGACACAATCGGTAGAACGTCAGCTCAAGGCTCTCCTCCGATGACACCGGTTCTCAAGAGAGATGCAATACAGATGATAAGCGAAAATTATCCATCCTAAATTTGGATCCGGGATTGAGGAGGAAATTAATATCCGCAACGTGATACCGATGATCTTATCCCACTGCGAGCCGAGGCCGTGGTAGCTATGGATGGGGCACCTCCATTGTACTCCTGAAGAGTGGCCAGTAACATGGCAATGCAGTTGTCGAACATCTCGATTTCACGGCCTCTGTTGTCTTGGTCGTGGTCAAGGTGGTTACAGGCGTTGATGAAATGTAGTCTTGTCGAATCCAGCCTCTTCCCAGATGATGCTCTTTTCACGCCCACTCACCGTGCTCGAGTTGGGCGCATTCGGAGTCGCACTTGGTGTGTAAGGGTTGCAGTTGCACGTCTCGGTAGATAAAGACAAGTGACTCGGGTGAAGCTGTGGCTGTGGCTTCGGTTTCAACGGTCAAGCCTGATGTCATCGAGGCAAGAGTCGTGGCAATCTTTCAGGTGACTCCACATGGCCCTGTCGGAATCGAAACTTCTGTGGCCTTTGTTCCATTTGGTGTCGCAACTGAAACAGTGCCAAAGATGCCCATGGCTGTCGTGAACACCGAGAGGGCCAGGCCGTCTGATGAACTGCAATCTGTGGATGCCCCGTAGATGGTCGATAGTTTCGCCTAGAGTCTCAAACTCCTGCTCCGCGCACAACATGTTTACGCATCTGTGTGAGATTTGAATGTTCATGGTCACTGCTCCGAGGCCTTTACAAAGTAATCTTCGACTTGTAGGATTCGCGATTTTATATGGGAGGGGGAGCGACGCCAACACCGAACAAGGCGAACGCGCAAGGGCGATCTTGTCTCAGGAGTAGTCGCGGGGGAGAAAATGATGTCACAGTTGCTTCAGAATGGGCTCCAGGTCGGCGACAATGTAGGTGAAGGAGCCTCGATGACTGCACAACAAGATAGAGATAGTTTCATGATAGCACCAACTCATTGCAGCCGTAGCGAGGCTGAGCTCTTGGAGAGGCTTCCGGCAACTTCGACTCACGTGGCCGAGTTAAAGTGTTCTTGCCGTTCCTAGTCCAACGTTCCTTACGTATAGAGACCAGGGGCAAGAAGGAAGGCGACGTCAGTAGTAGACTGCTCAGCCATTATGGACGATTGATACCACAGTTCCAGCCTCCTGCCTCTACGCCGAGGCCTCAGGAGCATTCCTCGAAAACACCCGCCAGCCCCATGGTCTATGCGTAGTCACGTGGAAACGTGTCGCCCTTTTTGTGGAAAACTCGCCACCATTGTGAGGAGAATATGCAACGCTAAAACGGGAAAGGCGGCGCAGCTCTACAGCGAATAAGGGTGCTAGGTGCGAGGTGAGCTCAGCGTCGATTTACCTCCTTTTGAGCCGCCAAGAAATAGCCACGCTGTACGTGAAAAGTTTCAGCTTATCTTTATCGACCAGCTCATTTGTCCAGTCACTAACAACCCCCTCGTGTTACCCATCAAGGGTCTAGAGCAGCTAATTGAGAACGCCAATCCACACATTGCTCAAGCTACACAGCGCAAACTGTGGAATTATAAGCTTCAAGGGCAGACGTGAACATGACGGATCCTAACTGGTTCGACCTTGCTCTCAGCATTAGGGAGTTTAAAAAAGAGCAAGCAAGAGATCCTAATCATGCGGCTGAGTTCTATGGTCCTCGCCGTGTCGGATTCAAACTGCAGGCACGAGACGGTGGAGCTTTCTCTGAAGAGAATCAGGATTCGATAACGCCCTCTCCACTATGTGATGCATGTCAAAGCCTGTTCGGGGGGGAATTCTTCCAAGATTCAGTCTCTGAAAGAATGAGCAGCGAAAATTCGGAGCTAATTCCTGACCCATTGATTGACGGTAAGACTATACTTTTTGATCAATCAATAGGGCAAATAAGAAAATCAGCTTCCACGTGCCATCTTTGTCATTTTCTGTGGCAAAATTTGAAGCATATCGAGAATAAGGATCTGCAAACAACAAAGGAGATTAAAGTGTCTTACTCACAAAAGAATCTTGCTCACAGGATATATGATTTCACGGCAGATACCTCGCAGCAGCTAGAATTGAAGTTTATTATCAGCAGTACGGAAGGATGGGAACCCCTCGAACAAGTGATGGTATTACACAAATACGGTAAGATAATCCTAGGCAAAATGGCCGAAAACTAAATCTGATCGTGTTTATTGGATATGACGGCACCACGAATACCAGCAATGACCGAGATATCTGAGAATATGGAGAGTGCCATTACCTACGCCAAGATTCAATATTGGATCGACAACTGCGAAAAAAATCACAAACTCTGCAAATCTCACTTGGACGGCGAAAGGAAATTGCCAACACGACTTGCGAAGATCTCTTTGCAGGACCATACTGTCTCTATCTTGGAGATGACGAAGTTGCCTTTGAGCACAAAATACGCGGCTCTGTCATACTGTTGGGGGAAGTCAGTATTTAGAGAATATCTGAAAAAGTATTATTCAACTTTTGCTTCGACACTACAATTCAACCAACTCCCGCAGACATTTCTCGATGCCTTTCGCGTAGCATCTGGGATCGGACTTGAATACATATGGATTGATTGTCTTTGCATTCTTCAAGACTCAATGGAAGACTTCATAAGAGAATCAGCGAGAATGGGAGATGTGTACAAACATTCATGGTGTGACATTGTGGCTACGAATGCCCAAAATAGCGACAGCGGGTTTTTCCGGACCAGATCTACACTCAATGTAAGACCGTGCGCGGTACAGCCAAGATGGACCGACATGGCCAACGATCTACTATACATGCACAATGGAACAGCATCCGGCAAAAACACAAAGCACGGTGAAGTATATCGCCGCGGATGGGTCGTTCAAGAATTAGTTCTGGCCCCGAGAATTATACATTTTGGCGAAACTCAGTTAGTCTGGGAGTGTAACGAACTCACAGCTTCCGAAACATACCCGTATGGCTGGCCATCGGTCGCGGGGTCAAAGCTTTCGCTTGATCCAAGCTGTCTCCAATGGGAACTTGTGAGATCGCCAATTTCTGAATCTAAAGGATACCACATCTGGCAGAAGGTTGTGGAGAAATATTCAAAGTGCGACCTGACCAGAGAAGACGAAGATAAGCTCGTGGCTATCTCAGGTCTGGCGAAGAATCTGGGGCCCCCCGAAGAGTATTTGGCCGGACTCTGGAAACATGACCTCTCGTATCAACTATTATGGAAGACAATCTCCACGGAGTCGAGGAGAAACAACTCCGGTGCGCCTACCTGGTCGTGGGCTTCAATCAGTGGGCCCATAGAGTACCGCGTTCGATGGGCTGTTAACCAAGCAGACGAGGAAATTCTCGTAAGCGTTGTCGATGCTGCTACGATCTTGAAGACTGCAGACCCGACTGGCTCTGTTCGTCGAGGTTTTGTTGAGATCCATGGCCCGTTGGCCAAGGTGGAGATCCAAACGATTCAACCCGATGAGCGACCTCCAAGTCATCTGATCAACGGTAACCCTGGGGTCGTCAAGTGGGATATTGGCCAATGGAACAGATTGGACTGGACCAAGGGTCACCCCTCTGAGGTCGCGAATACTTTCTGGGCAATGCCAATTGAGATCAAGCAGGCCCACTCCTGCCTGGTCAGTGGATTGGTGCTAGAAGCAATACCTGGAAAGCCAGCCCTGCGGCGTGTTGGCTTCTTTTCCATTTCCAACGTCTTCCGTCCAAGAGGATTTTATATGTTTCTGGCAATGCTTTGCCATGCTGACTACATGCCCGACGACAAAATCTTTGCGGCAGGGTTCTGCGACGAACTGAAGCAGGCACCGGCAATCAAGCGATACAGGTTTTTAACCTACAGCTTCTTGATACTTTGATACCATTATGGGCGGTTGAAACAATGAAGATCATCAATCGATTCGTGTGAGGGGGATAGAAGTGAGTCTCAGATTCAATTCCGAGGGAGCCAGAACACGCACAGAATCCGATATCACTAATCGTCGGAACTCGGATGGCTGGAGAGGAGACATGCAAAGGAATTCGGGAGAACGAAACACCGCCGGTGATTTACAAGTGCAAATATCAATGATCAACAGTGGGTACGGGCCAGTGGACTGCTAGTGACTTTTATCTTCCCAGAATAGGGAGGCAACACAAGAAAAGCCCATGACAGTTCAGGACCTCTCTGTTTCTAGGACCAGAGTCCTCATTCGTCATTGATTGATTGATTGATTATGTTATATACTGTCCCAGCCTCCTAGGAAGCCATGCAGGAGTACTATATGAAGTCGCGCTTTCCACCTCTTTCTTCAGGGAAAGAAGGGGGGCTAACGCGGCAGAGAAGGATGTAGGCTGCAGTGCGTGACGCATGACGGGTACATGAGGGCAAAGGAGGTGAGAAAGAGAACAGGTTGGGAGGAAGAGGACACTTGTAGGGGACGACGGTTCTTATAGACGTCAAAAGCGGCGGCGCGACCAGCCTGCGAATATGCCCGAAACGGTGGGCCGCCTAAACCGAAGGCGGATTTCCCGCCACCTCACAGGTACAATACCTACTTTACTTTACCCCGTGAGGAGTACGAGTACCAGTACAGGATTTATGAGCGCCGCTTATTTCGGCTCCAGGCGAAGGAAAGTTGCAATGTGTCAGCAAAGGGGGAGGGCCGTTTCCGGAACCACTCACTATAACTTCATTTCAACCCACCAAGGCCCGAACTGCATGTACGGTGCCCCCCTGAGTCGACTCGCGTCAATCGTGACCGAGCCTGCGTTGTGGCCTCATGCCCTTCCTCTGCCACAGAGCGATCTGCTTCCTGTCCCCCAAGACCGCCCTGCAGTTGCTCGTGAGACCCGCTCGCCATCTCCACGCCACCTGAAACGCGCTGGCCAAATGGATCACCTCGTTAAATCATCCGTGTTACTCGATCCTCCGCTATCGAAAGCGCCGATAAGTACACATTAACGCCCGGCCGGGATTCGTATTCGACACCTTATTACACACTCAAGAGGGTCGATTGCAACACGAACTAGGCTGCTCTTGAACGGATCCAGTGCATCCCATCCGAGGTCACATGGCAAGCAAAATGCACCAAGCGTTACGCCTTGAGGCACCAGCCTAGCAGAGGTATTAATATCATTACAATGGTGCAGGTAGCTATATTACTACAAAGAACCTGTTCAACATGCTGTCGTCCGCGGAAGCATACTCCCCATACCCTGACGATGGTAGAGTGGCACACTGGTAAAAAGTATGCGGTAGACGATTTGCTCCGCTTCACCTCCCGCCTCTTCCAAAATAAAATGCACACCTATGCCCTGATACTTATCGTACATCCACATCACATAAACACCATCGAGTCAATGCATACAAATAAAAATACAAGTACACATACAAATGCTAGAACATGACCTGCATCAATGGCGCGAACAGACGCCAAAGCGATATCCTATTCCGACTGTTGCTCCTTCCTGTGCCGCATGCACATCAAATCGTGTGGTTTGCTGCTGTTACTGTTGTCATCACATCGTCATCACTTCTTCTCCGGTGGTCCTTTCTTGGACTTGTTCTTGTTGTCCCCTGTGTCTTCGTAATCGCCGCCTTGCTCCTCGTATCGACGAGCGAGTTCGCCGGCTTTCCACGCAGACCAAGAGCCTTTACCACCGCCTATCGATGGAGTCAATCAAGACTTGTCGGGCAAAGACATGGCTCGTGTGACGGAACCAGCGAGAAACACTCACCTTTTTCCTCATTCTTCACTTCCTCTTTGATCTTCTCCCGAAGTTCGGGATCGGTGGGATTTCCCTTGGAGCTGGGCATTGTGTACAAGTAAAAGACACACGCGAAGTGCTGCCGGATCGAGTGAGAAGGGATCTGTGGTTGCGTTGGATAGAAATGAGGTGAAAGCCCAAGGCGACGAAGGAATTGCTTGTATTGACGACGACGACAACGACGACGAAAAGAAAGAACTTGTTGTTCAGAGGTTACGGTCACCGCAGCGAAAAGAATCCAGCAGACTGTGTGGACGATGTCGAAGATTGACTACTTCGAGCAGTTGAAGATCGAGAAGAACCGATGGAACTCTTTCTGTGTGCGGTAGAAGAAGAGGAGTCTGCGTCGGAGGCTTTGCGCAGGATTTCGCGCAGCGAGTCCTGGGCCGTAGGAGTCGATGACGCTGGTGTGGAGCGGAAAGTTGGGAAGCGTATCATGTTGAAAGAGAAAGTAGAATAGATCAGAGGAACGATAAGAAGTATTTGTGGTTGACACGACGCCAACGAAGATGAATTATAATGGATTCTTCGGTTCGAGCCGAAGGACGGATTTGATGTGTAGGATCGATGGTGGTGATGATGTCGTCAATATGTGAAATGTGTTCTGCAAGATTGACTTTTCGATAGTTTCCGGGGTCGGTTGGTACAAAAGCAGGAAGTGGTAAGTGGAAGGGGAAAGCAGTGGCCCAGCCAAACTTGGAATTCGTGTTCTGGGGTAGTGCGAGTTGAAGGGAGATAAGGAAGTCAAATCGGGGAGAGGTGGCTATGTACTCGTGCTGTACAAGGTGGATATGGCCCCGATTGAATGACGATACGTCGTGTTCGTGCAAAGCGAGTAAGGGTGAGGGTGAGGGTGAGGGTGAGGATGAAGGACGAGATGGATGGTGGACGATGGGACGATGGGATCGTAGATGGCGCAGACGTCACTTATCGACACTGTTAAGGAACTCAATAGATAATGGGAGGCGGCTTCGAGGCAAAAAGAGGATCGATCAGCGGATCCAGATCGAAAAGTATGATATGCACTGATACTCGGACAAGGTTACGGCAATGGATGAATGACTTACAGTATGACACCAGCCACGAGCCACGAACCACGATCGACGCCACGATGTGCGATGTTTTATTTCCAGAACCAACAGTCGTGCCGGCCGAGTTAGACGTCTGTTATTACATCCATCTTGTTGCAACATTGCTTCATGACAGGGCTTGATTACACCAACCCCTGCTCTTTGAGTGTACTCGTACTCGGGGCACACAAAGAAAAACAGAACGAGATTCCATCAGATCGAGGCAAGACATCGTGGATCTCTGATCTCTGTTCTCGGCAAAGGAAGACACATCCGTCCACCGACGACGCCCCCGTTGGGCGTCACTTGACCAGTCGGGGACTCTGGCCTTCCACATCCGTCCGTCCAAAGTTGTTTTAGTACGAGGCACGTTCGGCTACGAGTACAGAGTTGGCAAACCCAGCCACCTGCGAACCTGGCACAAAGGCCACCGTTATTGTCACTTGTAAATATGCCGCTGAGAACCAACCGCCGCGAACTACAATTGTATTTTGTCACACAACAGCAACATGCCGTGTGACTTTTGCAGATGCAGTGCCACCCATGACGTTCTTTTCCTTTTTTTTTTTTTTCCCTTGCGTCCTTCTTTCGTATGTACGACTCCAATTACCGCACATTTCTCCGACTTGGAGAAGATCTTTCCGCACAGGGTGTCTACCTCGTATCGATCATGGCAGATCATAACGTCAGAGCCACGGCTGCAGAGATAACATCCGTGCTCAACAAATGGCACGCTTGTACGAGTACGTACTGTAGGCAGTACGATTTCCACACCTCTGCGTCTGTGGCCGGTCACGTGTGATACAGACAGCCCCGGGACACACACGTGTGCTCACTTTGATCACGTGGACAAAGATCACGTGGTTGCCTCCGTCTCCAAGGTTCGCCTTGTAGGCTGCGGTAAGGGGGGAGGCTCACTGCGAAGGGCGGAAAAGCCGAAATCGTATTTCCGATGCGTCGTCAACGAAACAATTCTCGACCAGGCCATTCGGAGCGAAACAATTTCCATCTCTCCTGTCATTCGGAAATCTCAATTCTCCTACAGTACTAACGCCGCCATGATCTCTCTAATCTGTCATTCGCCATGCTCCACGCACACAATGCGACACGTACAAAACAACGCTCATCTGCTGCAATCTCTATGGAACAACACCGAAACGAAGCTTTTCAAATCCCCTTCCGGCCCTTCTACGAGGCTCTACGCCGACGCCTCCCCAGCTGCCGTACTCTTGCTGACGTGACCCATATAATTCAACGCACTCCCGTGCTTGAAATATTGCACTTGGGCGTCGGTCAAAGTGTGGTTCAGCTGGCACGACCATGACGATCCGTCTGGTCTCCGCACCTGCATTGTGACCTGGTGACCGGGCCGCAGCTCGCTGAGACCAACGAGACTGATACGGTCCTGAGGCTGGATGCGGTCGTAGTCGGCGGCGTCGTCGAACGTCAGAGCCAAGAGGCCCTGCTTTTTCAAATTGGTCTCGTGGATGCGAGCCAGGCTCCTGGCAACGACGGCGACGCCGTTCAAGAAGCGAGGCTGAAGAGCCGCGTGTTCTCTGGATGATCCCTCGCCGTAGTTCGAATCTCCAATGATTACCCACTGCTGCCCTCGAGCCTTGTAGTCCTTGGCCGTCTGCGCGATGGGGCCAAACTCGTTCGTAAACACGTTGCGCACCGAGTTCACCTGGTCGTTCTCCGCGTTCGTCGCCCCGATCAACGTGTTCTCCGAGATGTTCTCGAGGTGACCTCGGAATCGAAACCAAGGCCCAGCAGGGGTGATGTGGTCCGTCGTACACTTCCCCTTGACTTTCACCAGGATGGGCAAGTCGTGATAGTCCTCGCCGGACCAGGCGCGGAACGGCTCAAGACGCTGCAAACGTTCGGAGTCTGGGTCGATGTACACCTCTCCAGACACGTTGTCCGTGGGTGCTTTGTACGTGGCATCTGCGTTTTCGTATTGAGTGGGGAGACTCGATCCAAATGGAGGCTCGAACTTGAAGTCCTTCCCGTCGGGCGTTTTGATGGTGTCTCTGATTGGGTCGAACTTGAGGTCGCCGGCAAAGGTCTTTACGATGACCATCTCTGGTGACGCGAGGAAACTCTTGGTCTCGGGGTTTCCGTCGATGCGACCGGTGAAGTTACGGTTGTACGAGGAAATCACCGAATTGGAAACACCCTGTTAAGCGATTGCATCTTCAGTATCGGTTCGTTCCACACAGATACGCACAAGATCTTCACCGCGACTCACCTTTTGTACATCTTCTCGGGCCCACGACCCTGAGCAAGGACCGCAAGCATTGGCCAGGATGGTCGCACCTGATTGCTTCAGGATGTCGACGATCCCAGCCTTTTCGAGTGTTCGACGTGTCTGTTCACTGCCGACGGTGACGATGAAGGGAATCTTGGGCTTGATGCCTGCGTCGAGAGCCTGTTTAGCCAGACTGGCAACTCGGTTCATGTCTTCGAAAGACGAATTCGTGCACGACCCAATGAGACCTGCAGTAAGTTGTGGCCAGTTGTTTTCCGTCACAAACTGTCCAAACTTGGACACAGGAGTCGACAGATCTGGCGTGAACGGTCCGTTGATCCGCGGTTCGAGTTCGGAGAGGTCGAGTTTGATCACCTGGTCATACTCGGCGCCCTCGTCGGCCCGGACATTGGGCAGTCGCTGCTGCACCCTGTCACGAATGTAGCCCCGGCCAGTGGCGTTCAGGTAAGCTCCCATGGCATCGGTATAAGGAAAGATGGATGTCGTGGCACCGGTCTCCGCGCCCATATTGGTTATCGTCGCCATGCCTGTGCAGGACAACGTATTGACCCCTGGTCCGAAATACTCAATGATGGAGCCAGTTCCTCCTTTTACCGTGAGTCGTCTGGTGATGTCCAGGATAATGTCTATGTTCCAGAGTCAGACCATGTTTCTTTGACGCCCCCAGGAGACTCTTACCTTTGGGTGCCACCCAGCCGGACAATTTGCCCGTCAGCTCAACACCGATAATGTTAGGTGATTTCAAGCTCCAGGTTTGGCCCGACATGACATCGACCGCATCAGCACCTCCAATACCTATCGCGGCCATACCCAATCCACCGGCATTGGGGGTATGGGAATCGGCCCCGATCATCAAACCTCCAGGGTATGCATAGTTCTCCAGCACCACCTGGTGGATGATACCGGCTCCTGGGCCCCAATACCCGATGCCGTACTTTTGGGAGGCTTTTTCGAGGAACTCAAAAACCTCCTTGCTCGAAGATATAGCAACAGCAAGGTCGACATCGTTACCTTTCCTGCCTGTGATGAGGTGGTCACAATGGATCGTGGTTGGAACCGCCACCTTGTCCAATCCAGCCGTCATGAATTGCAGCAAGGCCATTTGTGATGTCGCATCTTGACAAGCTACTCGGCTAGGTCGCAATTCCAGATTTGACACTCCCCGCTCAATTGTCGCTGATTCAGGTTGGTCAAGATGACTGTAGAGAACCTTCTCGGCATATGTCAATGGTCTCCCGAGTCTTTTGCGAAGCAATGTCAGTCGATGCCCCGTCGAGAAGGGACTACCCTCCAGATCTTACCGTTCTCTGATCAGTTTGATGTTGGCATCAAGTTGTTCAAAGTTTATGAACCGATCATTTTCAAATCGACTCATGGGTGTCTTTGGGACGGATGAGACCGTGGCGTATCCAGCACGGCGTGTTCTAGAGCATCTTGGCGTTGCGACTCGACCACCGTTCGACCATAGTCGCTGTGATGTTCGTGAGAGTCGTTGCGACATGCTGGGAAGCTTGACCAAGGTATCGGGTGGGCGTTTGTAATGATGAAAGAAGTCGGGATGTGTATGGAGAGATATATAACAAACCGAGTCTTCCACACCACGTCAGGTCAGACCTCGGCTGACTTTTACTCACCTTCTGTTTGGATGCTGAGGTGCAGCGTGGTTTGTTTTGTGGTTGAAGCAAAGAGCGCGAAAACCCCGACATCGGATTTTACAGTACACCCTCCGGTCTTACATTTTCACCGCCCATTGCTGAACAACCAGCACCTTTCAGTGTGATAGACGCTGACAAGTGTCGAGATCTCCGAATAATCCGCGATTGTATCGAGTATATTCGCAACGTCAAAAGCGTATATGGCCACAACGAGCTAGCTTGGTTATGGTAAATCCTTGAACCTGCTTTGAGTACTGCAAGGGAGTATCTTGTCATATATGAGTAAGCATACAATGTCTGCATCAGCGCCGACCTGTACAAATAAAATATAGACTCCTCCGGCACCATCTCTTGCCATTCAACCCGGTAGAGTACTGTTGGAATGGCCGGAGATGGTTACACAAAAGCGGTTGTCGGCGCGTGGGTGTGAAGGTGCATACACTTGACTCTTCGCCCTTTTCGGGCTTTCTCTCGATGATTCATACCTAGCTCCAAGTTTTCATAACAAGAACGCCGCTCAGACATTGCGAGAAAGTAGGTCTATGATAAACTTGTTGCAACTGAGGTCCTGCTTTTTGCAGCACGTGCAATGAAGTTGCTTAGCTAATCTTTTTTCCTCTCGTATTCGTATATCGCCCACCATGCCGAACTTTCCTTTGCCAGCCGAGGTCTGATCCACCGATTGTCCTACTCCATGGCTCTGTTTTGATTCTTTCAAACACCATCATATGCAGACCCGATGGCGAGTTGGCCAGGCCGCGCAGTAACGTGAGTCTTCAGGATCTGCAGAGCTTTTGTCGCGCATAACCGTCATGGACGAAACGGAAGCAAGTCAAGTATTCAATCACCAAGTCGCGACGACGTCTGATGCGAGCCCTCCAAAGCCGAAGCAGACCCGACGACATCCCAGCAAAGCCTGCAATGAATGTAAGCAGCAAAAGGTAAAATACAGCCATCGCATACTCGAGATGTATCAATCTCTGACGCGTTTCGTCTCGGTAGTTGAGATGTAGTGCTCCAACCGATTATCCAGAACCGTGCTCTCGATGCAGAAAATTGAGTCTTAGTTGCAAGGTTGAAGACGGGTTCCAACGCGTCAACAAGCGAAGGTCAGTATGTCCGTGCGTGGCGTGGAACGTCCGAGTCTGACATGGCAAAGGAGGACGGAAGCTCTGTATCAAGAGAATGTAAATCTCAAGCAGCAACTGGGCGCAAGTCGGTCTCCTCCAGAATCAGTCATTGATCAGAATGCCCGTGAGGACACGCTTGAACCAGCTGCGAATCCGCTGTCGAATCCTGCGATGTCGACCTCGAACTCGGTTCTGAACAATGGAGGGTCCGACTCTGCTAGTCTCTTGCCCCGACCTCTGACGGCAGAAGCAGATGTGAATTTCCCTCCTTCCTGGAATCAACCATTTGCTCAAGCCTCGACACGACAATCTCCCAATCCAACCGCGACCGTTTCTCGCTCTCTTGCAGGAATGACGGTTGAAGCAGATGAGATTGATGAGATTTTCAGACTGTGAGTATTGATCTCCGAGATTCTTGAGACAGTGTGAAAACTGAGCTGGGCATTCAGGTACTTTGCACATTATCACTCCCACCTTCCTTTCCTCGACCCCAACATCTCACCAAATAGCTACTACGACCAATCTTCTTTGATCTTCTGGGCCATTATAGGCGTAGGTGTGCGTCGATATACTGCAAATCCAACGTTGTTTGGATCTCTCGCCGAGCCGATTCTTCATCTGCCCTGGCCACCTCTCCACCCGACGCCCGCCGTGATTCCAGCAATCCAAGGACTCCTACTCCTGTCGTCATTCCCATTTCCTACCGACTCGACATCCAAAGACACCTCTTACACCCTGTCCGGCATGGCGATCAACCTCGCCCTGCAAATTGGTCTGCACGTGCCCACGTTTTCTCAGGACTACAGCAGATCCAAAATGACCTTGACACAACAAGACATACAACGGCGCCTGCAACTTTGGTTCCATTGTATTGTCGTGCATCAGAAGTGAGTTTTCCGATCACGTACCAAGTACCGCGCACGCGCACTCCATTTACTGACTTGTGCCGTCCACTCCAGAGCCGCGTGCGGATTAGGTTACCCGATCATGGTATCTCCCGATCAACTCCAAAGATCAATGGACCCGCGTGGTCTCACGGACTCGATGACTCCTTTGCTGTTGCTTGAGATGAGACTGGCTAGTCTTCTAAGCCGGATCAACACACTCTTTTCGCCGTCAATGTTTCGTGTCGAAGATGCTCAGGATAAGCATTCCCGGTTTGCGCGAGAAATGATGTCTGACACGTTTGAAAATCAACTGGATGAACTTGAGTCGGAGCGGAAACTATCCGGTGAGTTTGTTTTCTGCAGATTGTCTTTTCTTCACCTACACACACCACTAACGGAGGAGAAAATCTAGAACTCGAAAAACTCTACATCAACATAACACGTCTCCAAATTCGAGTCCATTGCCTTCAAGATCGCGAGAACCCAGCGACAAGCGTCAAAGTGACTCAACTGGGGTTATGCGCCACGTCCATTATCGAATCCATTGAACGGCTCGAGGTTGAAATGTCCCTGATCCAACACTGTCCGCACTACATATTCCGCATCGCGGCTCTCGCAGCGTCTGTCCTTCTCCGCCTCTCGAAACAATCTCGACCGCCGCCGCCGACCTCGACGTCACGAAAGACTAGCATCGGAGGTGTTAATGGTATCAGCGGCGGCAGTGACGACTACAATAACAACGACAGCGCTAACCGCCAACAGTACGCCAGACAGCAATACAAGACGTATTTCTTCCAGACGATATCCCTACTGAGGAAAATGTCGGTCGAGAGCAACGACATGCCCAGCCGAATGGCCAAGATCTTTTCACAGCTCTGGAGCATCGACAAAATTTTCGAGCAGACCAATACTGTTAATGCCGCCGCGGCGGCGGCGGCAACGACTTCTTCGTCCACTGGAGCTGTTGTCGTTGACGGTGTAAGTCCAGGAGACGAATCTGGTTCATCGTCAGCATCATCTTTGTCCGCAGCATCCCCTCTGATAGTACAAAGTCGATTGTCCATGAGCGTTTTGCATGATGCCATGTGGAGATGGAAAGATCGGTTCAAATGGGCCGGTCAAAAGCAGCATCAGAATCAGAATCAAAATCGTCATCATCATGATAGTAATCAGCACCAGCACTACCACCAACAACAACAACACCACCACCAGGGCCGTCAGAGTTCGAGAGGCATGGCTATAGCACAAGAAAATCACGCCCACCACGACCGCCGTTCCTCCATGGCCGCCACACCGAGCATGACAACCAACAACACTTCGGCGAACGCGAACATGGCCGCCAGCCCCCCGACATCGGAGAATCAATTCCCCAGACCATTGTCCACCATCCCACCTGCGTCGTCCTCTTCTGTCACAGGGGGATACGTTGGTACTCCCGCTTACAATTTCCCGGCGGTGAACATGACCCCTGATGTCGGTACGGACGGTAGTCTCAACGGCGGTGGTGGTGGCGGCGGTAGTGGTGGTATGATGATGTCGTTCGTCGACGGTTTTTCACCGTTGGGTTCGTTACCGTGGGAGTCGGCGACGAATCAAGATTTTGAGATGATGATACATAGGTTTCCTGAATCGTGGCCTGTATGACGAGAGATGGGAGATGGAAGTCGAAGAAGGATGGATCGACGAAACTCGGTGCGACGACGGAACGGACTTTGACCTCCTCGAGATCCAAGAACAGAGACGATGTCAGGGTGCTGCATGTCTTGTTTTCCGTGTTTTGGAAAAGCAAAAAAAAAAAAACGGAGGCAAACTGAGACACAGAAATATCACAAACGAAGCACTATTTCTTCCGCTTCATTCATGCATTCATTTTATTCGTGTATTCCGGCGCAAATCACTCATTGACAATTTCAAAGGTTGTTAACCAGTGATGGTGGTGGTGGTGGTGGTGGTGATACAGCATCATTCATTCATTCATCGACCTCGTCTCGTTCATTCCAAGGCAGCAAGGTAATTTTTATACACACGGTGTTTGATGTTACAAAGCGCGACCCCTCTCCCGTCAAGCATGAAAATCGATGACACCTAAACTCTGTCTCATCTGAGACAAACGCTCCGTTGCCGCCGGAGTCGCCGCGCGAGGAGGCTGCTGCTCCTCCTTGCCGGCGGTTTTCGCGTTCCTTCCGACGCCATCTTCTCCCCCCCCTCCTCGTCCACCGTCCTTGTCGCCCGACCCGGTAGTGCCACGTCCATGTCGTCTGGTGCTCGACTTGGAAAAGGCAAGGGAACCGGACAACTCCTTGAGTCCAGGAAGTCGGGAGATCTTCTTGCCCGCCCTGCCGATGTATTCTTTCGACGACGAGCGCGTTCGACCACCACCACCACCTCCTCCTCCTGGTCCTCCTCCTCCGGCCATGGAGATTGAGTCGTGTCTCAACCGTCCCGTGGACCCTTGGCTTGGACTCGACCTCCAACTCGGACTGGTGTTCCCGTCACCACCGTCGCCGTCGCCGTCATAGCCGTAGGTCGGGGCGGTGGCGGTAGGGTGCAGAGACTGGAACCGCGCGGGGTCCGTGTTCAGAGCGTCGACGAATTCCATGTGGTGGTCGTTGTCGTCGTCGTCCACCATCTTGGAAATGGATTCGACGTCGTCGTCATTGTTGTTGTTATTATTGTTGGCGCCGCCGGCGACCAACGCGATACTCCGCCTCCGCAATTCGTCCTGTCGCATGCGTTTCATCCCCAACCTCTTCAGTTCCGTCTTGAAATCGTCCAGCATGATGGTGTCGGTGAGACATTTGAACACCAGACTCAGTTTCCAAAAGGGGTTGATTCTGTAGAACCAACGCACCACACGAGATGTTAGTGGGTTTGTCAAAAACACAAGACAGAAGGGCAATCGGACATGCCAAAAACACACAGGCAAGTAATAAATATGAGGGTGGCATAACCAAAACGTACCCGTCTGTCGACCCGATGAAATTGTGAATGCTCGCGACGATGTCAAACGCCGTGAATACCATGGCCAAACATATCGCCACCAACAAGATTCCGAACCGTGGCGAACGCTTGATCAACTCGAAGACGCCGGTGCCGTAACATTTGCGAATGACGTGGAAAAGCGTAAAGCAGGAAAAACACCACCACGGGTCTCTAGAGAATGAAAGGATGGTTAGAATTATTTCCTTTTTTCTCCCCCAGAAATGGAATTCGGGGTTGGCCTACCGCATCAATGGCTCGTACGGTCGAACCTTTGTGTAAAAGTCACTGATGTTGTTGAAGAACCGGAAATTGTCGTATATCTGCAAGATGATGGGCGGGACCGTACACGCCAGGGTGACGAGGTAGATTCTCCGCACCCACTTGCCCGTCGAAGGTTTGAACATGGAGTTCGAGTCGGTGAAGAACGGTCGGATCTTCATCCACGCCACGATGTTGTGGACGATCCACGAACAGTAAAGCAACGCGGCCGTCGAGGACAGGTACCACCCGTACCCGTCAAAGGACATGAAGCAGAACGTTCCTGTCAGACGAAGAAGAAAAAAAAGGCGAGAGTCAGTCAGCATCGCAAGAAGACGGGGGAAAGAAAATAGCTGAGGTGTCAGATTCCTAAGGTTGAGGCATTGTGCATACCGTGAGACAAGGCTGCGAGTTGCTGTTTGAGTTCGTCAAGTCAGCATTTTACATATATCGATTGAATCCACGACGTTTGTCTGACGTGCACCCACCTCTACTAGAATCAACTTGTGCAGTAAAACTTTCCTCCTCATGTTCGCGATGGTAATGGCCGCCATTATGAGGAGCGATCCCACCATGAAGCCCTGACTCCAGGACTCGAGAATAAAGTCTTCATCCGATGCGAATGCGCGCCAACTCCCGTCTACGGTGTCGCTTCGCCGATGAGGTATCGATGGTCCCGGTATTGTGGGGGCCATTCGGAGGGTTTTCTTTTTTTTGGCTTTGGCTTTGGCTTTCAACAAGGTGCGTCAATGCACGAGGCTGTCATTCTGGTGTGCGTGTGCGCGTTCGCGCGCCCACTTTGCGCCCGTGCGGTGAGGGAGGATCCGAATCACCCCAAACAATGACGGTGCTCGAGTGGGAGGTAAGCGCGTTGGCATGTATGTATACCTGGACAATGCTCGGTCGAGAGAAAGTGCTCAAGAAGGTCCTGCGAACCACCTCAGTGGCTTCGCTCGGGAGTTTATTGTCGTGCGAGCGAGGAGGATTCAATTAGGCGAAAAAGGCGGGCGGTGAGGTCGTGCATGGACATGCGACCAACAAGGCCCTACAATCAGTATGCCCGACGTCACGATGCTGCAATGATGCCCACGGAGTCGTGTTTTCTTGAGTAGAACAATGGAGGAGCCACAGAGTCCACGGGGCGGGGAGAAGGAGGAAACGAAAGTCGAAGTTTTGGATTCAACCTTGCAGACGCACAGTGGCATAGTTGGTTGGTACCAGGTGAGATTGTGATACTCGGGACTATATCCGTTCTGCATGGGAATTGTCCGAGGCGCCCCAGGGAACTAACAACACTCGTTAAGTTGGTACAGTAGGACAATCGACTTGTTGGCCTGTGACTCGAACTAGTGAGTACGGGTAAACCGAACAACGAGCAGACCGGGGGCCCTGGCTACCAGAGGTACCGACTGTGCGGACAAACGGAGTTACAGCCTCAGAAGGCAGGACTTTTCACCTCTTCTGGCCCCTCAAACTGCGAGTACAAGACACCTACTGTTTTATTAGTCCTTTGGTCATGGTGTGTTTCGTGCGCCCCGGAAATTGGTGGACGGGCATTGGGGATTCACTAACTTACAGTAGGCGTTTTGGCGAATTCTTACGTCAAGCCCGGCGGTGTGTCATGCGCTCAAATAGATCAGCATCCGGATGCTTGTACAGTGGATGCCTGAGGGTGATACAGTAGTAGGTAGCACGGCCTGTATGCGCACTCCTCCCTGCTACGAGTATATGCTGTTCCCTCGCACATAACTGTTTGTCCTTTGCGTCGCTGTGTGCCTCACCGCGCCCGCACTTTACCTAGAAGAGAGTCTCTAACTAGTTAAAGGTATTACTACAGTAGGTACTCCGTAATGTGCTGAGAAGTAGAAGTTAGGGGCTAGGGCTCACGACCTAACTAACTCACTAAGTTAGTTACCCACAATAGGTGGGTGGTTAGGCTCATTAGGCGTCCCCCCGCCGACCCCGGACTAAAATGATAAGACAATAGAGGAAACTGGACCTTGAGCATGGGATGTGCGGCACCGGGACTACGTGGCCGAGCGCCTCACAATGTATTAACCTCGTCTAGCGGATCTCTGCCTTTACCAGCATCCCATACACGTTGGATGATGGCGTCCCTCCCATTCCTTGCTTCCAGGTTGAAAGTGAACGGCTTAGGCTGCACATTGAATCCACTCGTATAGTCGTATTCGGGCACTGTGACACCTGGCTTTGGTGAAATCGTGGCCGCCCATGCGATCCGCGCAACCAGTAGGTGTAACGAGTTCTCGGCGATATTCATGCCTGGGCAGATGCGTCGACCGAAGCCGAAGCAGGAATAGTTCTGAAGGTTGGGGAACTTGGTGAGTGGCTCCCTAAATGTTGGGTACTCGGGCTCCAGCCAACGGGCAGGGTTGAACTCGTCAGGGGACGGGTACAGCTCTGGATCGCGGTGAATAGCCCTGTTGGAGAAGTCAGCGCTCATCTGATAGAATCCGGATCGAGAACGGGAGCTTACCATTGATTGGCGTGGACGTTCGTGCCGGCTGGGAAGAAGTATCCCTCGTAGACATCGTCCTTGATCAATTCGTGCGGCACTCCTCCAGCCGTTACAGGACGCCATCTCATGACCTCCTTGATCACGGCTCGGCAGGTTGGCAACGACTCGATATCGTCGTAATCTGGAATGCGATCATTGCCAACAACACGGTCGACTTCTTCGTGCAGTAACTCCTGCCATCTCGGGTGAAGACACATACACAGGACAAAAGACATCATCGCCGCAGCGGTAGTGCCGGCTCCGGCCTCGAAAAGCGTACCGATCACGTACGCCCCCTCGTCGTCTGACAGGTTGTATTCGTCTTGTCTCTCGAGGAAGGTCTTCGCAAAGCACTTCGGGGCCGTATTCGTGCTCATCTTGTCTCGGACTTCAAGAAGTAGACCGCGGAACGTTTGGAGTTCTCGCGCATGTAAGCGAGCCGCTTCTCGCTTGAATGGGGCCACCCAGCTCGGCAGATACATCAATATCGGGAACGTGTCGACAAGATACGCCCCTGGAGAGGCGACTCGCTCGACGGTGTGGACGATTTCGATGATGTCCTGAACGAATTTCTCGTTGCCGGTCTTGACAGTTTTCCCATAGCATAAGCGCATGACTACTGCCGCTGCGTACCTTTCGAAGAGGTGCTCGTACTGTTGTGGTGTTTGAATCAAATCGTACAAAAGTCGCTCCGACTCGTAGATTTGTACCGGTCGGTAAGACGTTGCCGAAGCATGCATTGTCATGTTGTGCATCACCTTGCGGCCACGACGCCATAGATCTGCTTCGTGTCAGTAACCCAGGTACGAAAGGTGTTGATGAGGCAGGACTCACCTCCGTACGGCAAGAGTAGAGGCCTCAGGTTTTGTGACAGCAATTGTGCCGCCATAGGCAGCTGTTCTCGAGAAGAATATATATTTCCTCTTTCCCTCAGCAGGTCATTTGCGATTTTCTCCTTCGACACCATGACCAAGTTCCGCCCAAAGATGCTGATTCGATAGATCGGGCCGTACTCATCTGCCCATTCTTTGAACTTCAACCATGAATGTTGCGGTGGAATATCCAAGAGGTTGCCCACGAAGAATTTACCTTGACATCCACATCAGTTTTGACTACAGATTTCGAGGTCCCTTCGACCGCTCACCTGGTGGCCCGGGTGGTAGCTTCCTCCCTGGTGGTACGTTGGAGCCCGAGGTGTATCTCCGTACGAAGATTCCCAGTAGAAGGCTGACGATCGTCCCAATGACTAACACTGTCGATGCCATGTTGTCAGGTCAGGTTTCACCGGCGCCGTCCAAGACTCTTCCTCTGTTTCGACTATGTAGTCCCCGCGAGGTTGGAAGGCCTAGGACAGTATCCTCCGTTCGTATTGTGTTCGTATTATGTTGGTATTATAACAAGATTCCTCAACCTGTGGCGCACGACTGAGCAGCTAAGCGGCAGACGTTGGTGTAGATATGTACTTCGCAGCAACAGACAATATGAATATCCTTCGGCTAAGGCGCCAGGTTCCGAAGCAGACAGTCCAGAGCGGTATAAATGCCAGATTGGAATTGATCCCCAGGGAGGTCCGATGTCCCTCTGAGGTCAGGGGTAATTCCGTGAGCACAGTCAGCCCCCCGGCATGTTAATGAGAGCTTGAATCTTTGTCGTAGCGATCGACTTGGCGGGTCTGGCAGCGAGCAGCGAGCAGCGAGCAGCGTGAAGGATGATGTGTAGCGATGTTTTCCCTGACGGATATCGGACGCCTTAGGCATCCGAGTTCTGTGCCTCGGCAGAGGCAGCGAAAAGGCTTCTTCTAGTCCAATCGAAGACTCATACTTTTAATGTGGGTGGATCGCTGTCGTGCCACGGGACGGCTAGATCTCGCCGGGAACGGTTGTATGTAGCGACTCAGTGAGCAAAGGACGAGGTAAGAAAGCGTATCACTTGGGCATAGCTGGAAGTACACTTCCGAGGAAGAGGGAAAGTACAAGAGGCCTGTCCTCCCCCCAATTACACGAGAACGACTTCTTCGCTTTTCAACCGATGAGTCGTTGTTACAGAGGACTGTTCAATACACTACATTGCGCTATTTCATTATAGGGCTATTCGCGGTGAAGGTCCTGACGATCGCTGCCCAATCACGAATCGGCATACATACTACTCGTATGGTATGAGGTGTCAACGAAAGCCTGGGGAAGCTGGGGAAACCTGGGACAGTCTTGTCTTCAACCCGGCTTTTGTTTCCGGCAAGTAGTTTGTTGCGGGGCCCCGGCCCTTCGGGTCAGTTAGTGTACCGAGCCCCGGGTTCTCGCGTGTACGTCCAGGCACCCCCTAATACTCAGATCTGGATGATGCCCAGGGGGTTACAGCGAGAACGAGCGAGGAAGAGCTTGGACATACGGGGGATTTCCGAAATCCAATCGTGATAAAGGTAATGAAATGCCTAGATGTTGCGGCAAGCGATACAGTACCTCGACAGATACAACGAACTCGTCCTGCTCTCAAGTTTCACTGCCCTCACAAGTTACATACCACGATGCTGCCTGTCACACAATTGTTCGGCTCCTCGACTGCGCTGGCCTGTTACAGTTTCTTACTTATTTTCGTGGCCCTCAAATTGAGGCAATTCCTCGCTCTCAGACATATTCCAGGTCCCTTCCTCGCTTCGCTTACCGACTTCTGGTTTCTCTATGTGATGCGACTCGGTGACTACAAGAAACAGTCGCTCGAATTGCACAACAAATACGGCCCTCTTGTCCGATACGGTCCAAACAGAGTGCTGTTCAGTGACGTGGAAGCCATTTCGGTTGTCTACGGGACAAAGGCGCCTTTTCAAAAAGCCCGTTCTTACGACGTAATCACACCGTACATAAATGGCAAGCTCGTTCCTTCGCTGATAACCCTTCGGGACGAAAGAGAGGTTTCGGCCATCAAGCGACACATTAGCCATGCCTTCAGCAACACGGCCATCCTCGACTACGAGCATCACATTGACCACACCATTCAGAGTCTCGTCAAAGCCCTACAGGCCAACGGTCCCGAGCTCGATCTCTCAGATTGGCTCGGCTATTTCGCGTTTGACACCCTTTGTCGTATCGGTTTCAGCGATGACACGGAAATGACGGCTCGCGGCGAGGATGTCGGGAACACGTTGCTCGCCACCCGGACACGCAATCACCACTGGGACCGCTGGCTTGCTCTCCCTGCACTCGAAAGTTTCTGGTTCAAGAATCGCTACCTCTCAGGAGGAATGAAAGCCGACCCCCTCACGAATCTGGCCAAACAACGATTCCAGGCCCGAGTCGATCAAGGTGGAGCCGCAAGCACACATCATGACCTCCTCGACAGATACTTTCAAGCTCAACAGAAGTCACCCGAGTTGTTCGACAACCGCCGCATCGTCGCCCTCATAGTGACCATCATCAACGCCGGAAGCGAAACTACCGGAAGCAGCCTCGCCGTTGCGTATTACTACATCCTCAAACACCCCCACGTCTATGCGCGCATCAAGCAGGAGATCGACGAAGCTGGGCTTTCGTTTCCTCCACAGTTTCGCGACGTTGTCAAACTCAAATACGTGGAAGCATGTATCAAGGAATCGATGCGCGTTCGAGCCACCAGCCAAGGTCCAATGGAGCGTGTGGTCCCGCCCGAAGGGATGACGATATCTGGGGTGTTCATCGCCCCAGGGACTGTTGTGGCGGCCAACAAGTCTGCGTCAACGCTGGATCCACGAATCTACGACCCGTCAGGGAAGCATCCCGTACACGAGTACATTCCCGAGCGGTGGCTGGGTGTGGACCCAAGTCGGACGGCGCAGATGGACCTCGCCAGTTTACCTTTCAGTTACGGTAAACGAACTTGTCTCGGAATCCACCTAGCCTGGTGTGAAATGTTGAAGTGTTTGACGGCAATGTTCATGAGATTTGACGTCGACTTGAAGGACAGAAGTTTTGAGTTGGAGATAGAGAAGGGGATGATTGCCCTGGTGACACCTAAAGGCTTGCCTGTCATCATCAAACCCAGAGCTTGATACGAGTTAATCTATGGCGCAAAATCACTTCCAAACTTAGCCACCTTGTTACAAATCGTTCTTTCCGGATCGCTTCACGACCTTTCGCTGAGTCGTGTTCCCGGGGGGGGGGGGGGGGGGGGGTGGGGGGGGGGGAAAAGATTATATGGACGCGAGATCAGTGGAAAGGACGGATCATATACAGTATGTTATGTTCCCCTCCGCCTAGGGTGTCACAACACGTAGGGTTTCCTCTGACAAGTGGGAAGTATAAGAGATCGAGGTTACTGAGAGCATAGCACTTGAGCGAGAGTTCGGCCGAGTACGAGGTAAGGCGCCTTCTACGACATTTGACTAATGGGGTCGGTAGATTCTCGTATTGTTCCGTATATACAATATGTTGCTAGCTCGTTAAAACGGTGCGTTGTGTCCAACCTTCTTCTATTGCTTATTCGGATTGCTTTTCTTCTCCTAGGTAACGTGGTCAGACGGCTCACAAGGATGCCCCCCCCCAAACAACACTGTCCCTGGGCTCCAAAGGCTGCCTATCCGGTGACTTCAAAGACCCCCTGTAACGAATCCTCAGGACCTAGGGCCAGGCAGGGCGGCGGCAGGACGCCGTTCTGGTCTATGACGATCTGGTTGTCCTCGCCCTCGGCGTAGAACATGACGGCGTTGGACAAGTCCTTTGTCCCCTCGGTGTTGCCCCAGTTCTGGGGCGCGAAGAGGATGCTCGAGTGCGCTTCGGACATCATGGTGTTGGGGATGTCTTCGGCCCGCGTGTAGTGGTGCATGCCGAGGTTGACCCAGGTGACCAGGTCCTCCTGCACCAGCGGCTCTCCGTCGAAGAAGTTCCAGAATTCCACCAGCGGCGCTTCGGGCACGTTCTGGTTCAGCGTCGCCGACGACGCCGGCTCCGTGTCGTGCTGGTGCGAGACGGCGATGGGCTGCTTGGCGAATTGGGCGTTCTTGCGGAAAAACGGGGAATTGCGCGAGGCCAGATGGACGTTCGAGAGACCCGGGATGATACGATAGCCACGAGGCTCACCCCATTTGTTTTTCTGGTCTTTGTTGACCACAGTGAACATGGTCTGCCCGTTTGGACCGTGGTAGATCAGCCCGTCGTCCTCGGTTTGGACCTCGGTGATGTTGTAGCGCATCATCTCGAATTCGCCCAGTTCCTCAAACCAGGGCTGCGTGATGTTTTCCACCACAATCTCCGTCTTGACGAACGTGTTCTTCTCGTCAATCAGGTCAAAATCGGCCTTGAAGTTCATGACATGCGTATGGAGTGTTCCTGCGAGCGTCTGTTCCACCCTTGGACCCCATTGACCTTCATCGTCGGGTCGATAGTAGTTGCCCTGGATGTATCCCGATGCATGAGCATCGACGCTGAGTGTGCCGTCGACATAGAACCCGTAGTCCCAGAGATAGTCATAGTTGCCGACCGTCGCGATCATACGCACTACCAGCTTGGAGCCCTTGGTCGCTTGTGCCCACGTGGGGTCATTGTGGCGCGTGATCGGGGTACCCGTGTCGGTCTCGAAGATGCAGATGGTACTGTTCTCTGTGTGCGACTCGACTCCCGGCGAGTATGTGCCATCCAAGTACGTGGCGTGGTACGGACAGTCATACCCGGGAATCATTCTGATGGCAGACGAGCCAATCCCGTAGAAGCGATCCATGTACGCCGTGCCGGCCTGAAACGGATTGTGGCCGGCGTATTGAGCTATGGCATCTGCGAAAAGAATCCGTCAGTAGGGTCATCTACAGACTCGGAGCTCCGAGCGCCACTTTACCTTGAAGAGACAACTCGTACAGGATCCGTTCGCCCTTGAATTTGACATCGAAGAACTGGACCCCGACTTCATAGTCGAAACGAATGTAGAAGGTCCACCCCAAGTACTCCACGTACTGATTTGGTCTGTCAATCTTGAACCGGTTGCCTTCTGGAGCGACAATCGTTGGTGCAAGACGGTCCTCCAACTCGCGCGTGGGGCCGGTTTTGTTCTTGTACAGAAATTCGATGTTGGTCGTCGGTGGCGGCGTCTTTGTGACCTGTCCGGACTTCCAGGCCTCGTAGAAAGCTTGGACGGAACTGTAAACTTGCAAATTATAGACCACTTTGAGGGCCTTCCAAAGTGAGGCGTCTGTGCCAGTAACGTCGAACTGGATGTACAGATCCGATGGCTGGTCCCAAGGCTCGATGCCCAATCGTCTAAAGGGGCTCCAAAATATGCTTTTGGAGCCGTCCGTGGATGAAGGATTCGAGGCGAAGTATGTCATATTTGTACGAGGATCACCAGCGCCATAGAAAGCCATGTCCAGGAGATCAACCGTCAGGTCCGCGATAGGTGACACGGTCGCATTCACCAGGTCGTCGATGGCGGCTTGACGGACTGAGTCCACCCAGCCTGCGCTCCAAAGAACTTTGGCGCCATTTACACCATTGTACACCCAGTCGGACGAACGAATCACCGTGTCCTCGGAGATGGGCAGAGGCCCGACCTAGAACACCGTTTAGCTCAAACCGGAAGGATGGGGGAGGCTGTTTGACTGACAGTGTACTCAGCGACAATCGGTTCATCGAGACCACCTTGGATAAGCGCGACCAGAGCATATCTTGGGACCGCAGTTGCATTGCCGTCGAGGTAAGCAAGGACGTCCGTCTTGTTAGGTTTGAACACGTCGACGCGCCAAATGTAATTATCGCTCAGAGATAGCGTCGGGCTCGAGGTGTTCGTCAAATTAAGGCCCTGGGATGGGGACAGCAGCCACTCCACCACGCTATCAATCTCAGCTTGAGAGAGGGGGACGAACGGACTGTCCTTTGGGGCAGTTGTGGGTATGTCAACGGGTGCTGGACAGCTGTCTCGCGCGTGTAGCAGACGGCGCTCCAAAGGTTGTAGAGGCAACCCTGTATCACCAGATCGGCCTCTCCGTGAAAGCCTCGGATCAGGCGCAGCGGCGATAGGGGCTGTCAAGGCTGTCAAGCCAACGAGCACCGCTGTTAGAAAGCTGCCCTTCATTGCGGTTGTTGGGCTCTGGTGACAATCGCAATGGAATTATGGGCGGAGGGAACGAGGTTCTTATAGTAGGCCGGGCTCATACCAGATGCTCATGTTGAACAGAACCTGGTGGCGATAGCCAGTCTACCATTCTTCTTTCTTTTGCTTTTGCTTGGTAACATCTTCGGACGTGCTTGGGAGCTACAGCGCCCGTTGTGAGAATCCTTATCATGGTGGAGCACAGAGCTAGGGATAGAGTTTTGCATAGTCCGTTCAATCCAGCATCCATTCCGCTCAGCATGCTTAACGAGTCATGAGTATAGGCGAGTACGTTGTGCAACAGTCACTCCAGGACAAAATGATGTTGACGGTGTTGACTTTCGGAGAGCCCAAGGCATCGGAAATGCGGAATGGAGACAAGGTTCTGGACCTTTCCCAATCCGGCCCTGATAACCCATACCCTGGTCGCATTGACTGAGTGGCCGACGGACGATTGGGCTAGCAAAATAGTTGTGCATTGGATGCTGGGGAAGTGATAAGAATCCGTCCCGTCCTCTGTGCCAAAATGGTGGATATCCAAAGCATTTTCGGTAAACAGATAGCGTTGCACGATCGGATTGGTGACCGCATTCGCTTCTCGTAGGTATCCAGCTTATCGAGAACGACCTGAAGAGATATCAAGTACCCTTCTGGGGAAAGATAGCCTTGAATATCCTCGTGATGTGACCGGTGCGCACCTGGCCGGTTGATGGAGGCGCACTTCCGTAGGTGCAGATCCGGCACCGAAAAGTCGTTTTCCTTCTGAACCTTGGCAAAACCTCCGCGACGCGATACATAGGTATATGTGTGCATGCAGGCACCACCCCTTCACTACCGCCTCAAAAATCACTGTTGATATATTTGATTCCTGCAAATTTCGTTCACAATCGGGTACCACACATTTCCCCTAAGACTGCCCACGCTTGACGACCGATTTAAAAGTGTGGTACACTGGAAAGCAAGGAAGGCATAGGGGGAAAATTCGAGACATCCCCAGTGGGGTGGTTTGCTAACAATTGGCCGACAATTGTTAGCACGGATTTTTTGTCGAGGAGGAGAAAACAAGCAGAGAGAGAAGGGAGGTTCGAGCCTCGTGGAGCGCCGTCCACGCTGATTGTTTTTTTCTTGTTTGTCGGTTGGTTCACGTCACCCAAAATGCTGAGAGGCAAGGTGAATCGAAGTGGAGAGGGTGTGGGCAGATAGGTACATCGAGAATCACATGCGCTTTCGGACATACACGATCAGTCAGGCTGACGGGTTGATGTCGACAGGTAATACAATAAATCCTCCGTTGTCATCGGCACTCTCGACGGCATCGTCATCAATTACCCCTTTTACTTCTCAAACATGGCAACCTTGCAACCCACGCCGCTCGCCAACGTGATCGTCAGCCATTCCCTCCATTCCCGCTCATCTCTGCTCTCAATTCTGGGGAAAGTCTGAATGATTCTGATGGTGGCATAGCTCGCCTCCATCAGCGCATACTGTTGGCCGACACAGATCCGTGGGCCGCCGTTGAAAGGCAGATACTCCCAACCGGGCCTCAGGGTCTCCCACCTCTCTGGCTTGAACTCCAGCGCATCTGGGCCATAGAAGTCTTCTCGACGATGCATGCTCCACGGAGAGTATGAGACAACTTCACCTTTCTTGACGAGCACGGGTGACCGGCCGTCTGGGCCACCGCCGACGGGCAGGATGGTGTCTCTGATCGCCTCGCGGCTGTTTCCCGGGACAACGGGCATCAGGCGTAGTGACTCATTCAACACCCATTTGAGGTACTTCATGTCCTTGATCGCCGTGTAGCCGGGTCTTTCACCGCCGAGCTCTTCGACTTCGGCCTTCAACTTCTCCCAGATGTCTTTGCGCTTCGACAGGACGTGCCAAGTGTTGGAGAGTAGACCTGCCGTGGTGTCTCGGCCGGCGAGAAGGATGTTGAGCAGTTCAGACCGCAACGCGTAGAGGTCCTGTGTCTGATGGAGCAACTCGTGCAAGAAGACGTAGCGACGACTGCCACTGCCAGACGGCGCCTCCTTCTCCTTCTTGACCTCGTCCATGGCTTCTCGAATTATGTTGTCGGCAAAGTCGTGCATAATCTGCACGCTCTTTCTCCATTTCTTGTCAGGAATCCAGTCGGTGAGACCGCCAGAGGCAAAGTTCTTGGTCACGGCTGGCCACAATGTTAGCACGATGACGACGATTGCACCCACAACAAAGCTGTAGACTTACCCTCGGTGACATAGACAAATGCCTTGACGAACTCACTTGCAGACTCGGTCTCCAGCCCCGGCGCCAGTGTGTTGGTCGATTGTCCAAACAGGAACTCGGTCGCGGAGTCCATGGTAAGGCCGAAGAACAGATCTTGCAGATCAACTGTAGATCCATCGCGGGGAATCGAATCCATGAGATGAGATACGTGCGCCTCAAACATGTCGAGATCGGCAACTTGATGTCTTGTAAAGTTCGGTCGCACCATGGCTCGTGACCTCTCCCAGGCGGGACCGTCGGTGGCGAAGATGCCGTGGCCGAAGATGGGCACAAAGACTTCTATCCGTCTACGACCCAACGAGTAATCGGCAAACCTCGTCGACAGGATGGTCTTGACGTTCTCTGGCTCAATGGTGGAGATGACTGGGCAGCCGACATTAGTGTTTAGAAGGCCACGTCGGAGAGGAGAAAAGCCATACATCGTTGTCTGAGAATCTTGACTTTCAACGTCTTTCTGCCGTTGGAAAAGTTCCTCCGTCGAGTCGTCTCGTGCATGCAACCTTCTTTCACAGAGGTGACCATCTCCTTGATGACATCCAATCCGAGCAGCTTACCACCGATGCCCTTGTGCGGATAATGGTATACGGGCTCGCAGCCATTTTCTCGGATCATCCGCCGCCGCCGAGCACCAGTTGTCATCTCATGGTAGATTCGGACGAGTGCAAACAATGCCACAAGGGCGACAATGACCACGGGCGGCGAGACGTCTGGCACAGGAAAGACGGCCATGGTTTTCGGCCTTGACGGGACGAGATGTAGGCAAAATCGACCAACAGACAGACAAACAGGGCGACGACGGGGCAACAGAGGCTATGTCGTTGTATAAGGTATCCCGAGGATATGACAGGCAACAAAGAAAGCGGAGGGATCAGGTAGTTTCATGGGTCGTCACTGATGGACCTTTTGTTCTGCGTTGCCTGGCCACATTCGCAGCTCCGAAGCTCGTCAGAATCCTACAGTACAAGGGAATAGACACCAAGGGTCCCGAGTTCAGCCACAACGGAGGAATATTGCGGCCGACTGACCCGAGTCAGCAGGTCAGCCAGCAATGAGGGGTGTTTGCAGAAGGAATGTGACGGTTGTCCAGGTGTTGGGTGAAGATGGTCGTGGTTGGTGATGGGCTTCTTCCGAGGCAACCTGGAGGAGGAGGAGAGAGGGAGGGGGTTGCACGACTGTACATTGCCCAACTCTAGGTACCTATTATTGCGAGGAAGAGCACAAGTTTCAGCTTCTTCGGCTCGTTTGTCACATCACCGTCTGGCAGCCTCGTATTCGTATCCATCGCATATTATAACCCGAATTAGAGATGTGTCCGGCGCCTTCAGTTCCCACGTGGAGACGCGACCGTTGTTGAGATTATTCAGGATGTTCTTATTATATGCTACCTACGGCCTCATCCAATTGTCTGGTCTTCAGAGTCGATTTGATCCTGCTGTTTCCTTTTGGTCCCAGATCCAACTCAATCATCCAACCATGCACCTGTCAAATGGCCATTTCGAAGCCACCATCACTACCACACCACCACGCCACACCACTAGAGCCACCACCAGCGGTCAGCATTTGACTAGCAATCCTACTATCCGTACCGTATAACCTAATATCTCTATCTTCCTACTCATTGGGCTTTCGGGATGAGGCACCAATACGTAGTTCGCTAATATTCCTTGCTTATGCTGTCAGCAGTACGACTACTCCGCAATAATGATTAGCATCCTTCGGTCCTCGCCCATTATGGTTATGATCCTCGACCTCCACAGACATGCTGAGCAACTACGACACCAAAAAGCATCCGCATGGGCAAGTCGGCAAAAGTACAGTAGGTAGATAGGTACTGGATTCTGATCAGTACTGAAAGTCGGGAAATATTGCTTTTCCATGTGCTCCCTTTTCTGTACTACGGACACCCATCACCATAAGCTGGCGACAAACTCCATCGACCAGGAATCTATTTACATACCTACCAGCTTACAAACAGAGTTCGCCAACCTTCTAGTCTTCGTCCAAAGTCACTGCTTTATCCATGATCCCTTGTCGACCATACTGTCCATTGCCTCGTGCAGAATCATGGCCTCGTCCGCGACCCCCTCGAAGCCCTGATCTCGAACCAAAACTGCCACCACCAGGTCCCTTCCCGCGCTCACCATCGCCGTTGGCTTTGGGTCGACTACTCCCTCCGTATCGTCCACTCCCTCCTTTTGGCCCTCTGCCGCCTCCTCGTCCACCAAGCTTGAAGTCAATTTTCTTCAACGGTCGTTCAACCATGTCCAGGCCATTCAGACCCAACTCCTGTCTCGTTTCAGTGCTGACCTTCCACGGCTGAAACAGCTCTTGAGGTTCTTCAAGCACCCTGAGTTCCTGCACCCAGGCTTTACAGTATTCCCCCCGTGGATCGTAATCGCAAGCTTGTTTGATCGGATTAAACACCCGTGCCTCACCTCGTGGGTCGTTGCCCACACCAGCGACGTATTGCCAATTGCCCCAATTCGAGCTGACGTCGTAGTCCGTCAGCATACACTCGTACCACTCGGCGCCTAGTTTCCAATTGATACCCAGATGTTTGGCGAGGAAGCTCGCCACGTTTTGTCGTGCCCGGTTGCTCGTGTATCCGGTGAGGAAGAGCTCGCGCTGACTCGCGTCTATCAAACTCGTTCCCGTTGTGCCGTGAAGAAATCGATCAACCACCTCCTGGACTTGTGGGCCCCAACTCTTGGTCCCCGGTGTTTTCCAGGGATACGAGGTGTCGTTGCGAAAGCCTTCCAGCCGAAACAGTCCCGCGCCGAACTTTCGTGTACAAAGTCTCATATAGTCACGCCAGAGTAGCTCGAATCGCACCGCCGCGGTGCCCTTGTTTTCCCCCTTGCCATATCCCTCGGTCCCTTTGTACTGATCGCCTCGCCCGTCCTCAAAATCCAGCAGTTGAGCGTGCACCTGACGAGCCGTGATACAACCTAGCGCCAGCCACGCGGATAGCTTGGTTGAAAATTCCGTCCCCAATAGTCCATTTCTGGTGTCCTTGTACGTGGTCATTGCGCCCGAGCCGATAAGAGATCGAACGCGCTTCAGAGCTTCTGTACAACCACCACGGAATGGATGTGCTGAGCTGACGTTGGCCGGAAACGAAGGCGGTTTGCCCAAAGGAGGGTCGTCTTGTAGAGGTTTTATCAACGCAGACTCAAATTCCTCAAAGGTGTCGGGTATCATGAAAGGAGAAGGCTGTGTGGGTATGTCTGAGGGTATGGGCAATAACGTTGATGGGCGAGGAAGAGGCTTTCGTGGTGCATCCCGCAACGGCTCCACCAATTTCCGATAGCTCGTAAAGACGTCTGGTAGATCTGCCGGCTTGTCGAAGGGGAGATCTCGACTACGCGAAAGTTAGTAAAGAGTCCAAGAATCGGGTGGAGGCGTCGGACGAACTCGTCAATGAAGTATTTCTCGTCCAACCACAGATTGAAATCGATACCGGCCTCTTGGGCCACCTTACGAACATCTCTTGCCTCCCTCCTTTCTTCCACTCCCTCTTCTTCGGTCATCCAGATTGCCGAGATGGTTGTCTCCATTTGTGCGTGCTTGATCTGCTCAAGTAAATCTCGTACGACCTGTCCCAGCATTCCTACTCGGATGTGTAGTCCACTCCCCAACTTCTCGAGTTCTGACTTGAGCTGCCATACCGATTCTGCCAGAAATTTCGCGCGGTGCGGCCCACACCTCCAGAACTTTCCCACCTCAGAACGTGCTTCGGGGTAAGGTGATTTAGACTCTGGGCTGGAAAGAAACCCAGACACCTCAACTTGCTGCGCGGAGAAAACGTACAGCGGCAAGACATGCGTAAAATATTTCTGAGACTGCTGAGACAGCTTGTGGAGTTCGTGGAAGACGGGGTTATCGGCGAGACGCAAGTCGCGCCGTAGAAGATATATGACTATTCGCTGTGGTATCATTTCTGACATTGGTGGCAATAATCAGGTGGTTCCTCCCCAGTTGGAGGACCTAATTCGCCCGGTGATCATATATGAACGCAACGGTGTCTTGCACGGTACGATGGTAGATGCGGCTGCTTTCACAGAGTGGGAGCTCAAATCATGGCCGACATTACCGTGTTCAATGCAAAATTGAACGTAAGTTGAGGATTCGGTTCAGTGATAACAAATTCAAATCAGGCATGAAAGCCCTAAGAGAAAGTGTCAGTAGCAGCAGGAAAGCAGATAGTTAGAAAGTCAGGGAGGTGCCAAGGGGGGTTGACATGACGCAGCACGACATCGACACAAGAACCATTCTTAAATACATTGAACCCGCTGGGATCGCACGTGTACGTAAAACTCAAGATTGCCCCTTCAATGACATGAAGCGACAACCGAAACGTGGGTACCAGTGGGATAGCACCAGCTTCCAAGTTTCAACGTTAGGCAGACTCTGGGAAAAGCAACGACTCACGATAGTTGAGAGTCTGGAAAGGCTTCGTGGCCTTGTGAGACCAATCTGACCCTCATCGAATAGATCAACGGAGCAAGGATACGATGATCGCGTCGGGGAGACTTGCAGGAATGAGATCACCCAAGTTCTCGTTGGAGAATTGCGCGGATGAGGAAGCGGGCGTGATGCCGGCAAAAGGATGGGTCTGCACATGATGTGCTGGAACCCTTCGGCTCATGGCGCATTGATGCAGTCCTGGTAACAAGTAGGTGTGTCGAAAACATGGAGTTGGAACGGCACAAGCCACAACAGCAAGCGTCAAATCTGAGAGAGTCGATCGGCGCGTTCGATCTGTGGGACTCGGACATGGGATCGGTGGATCGGTGGATCATGTTGTACATAGATCGTGGATCGATCTAACAAGACGATAATGAGCTCAGACGTTTTGGCTTGCTGCACTTGTCTGCGTCATACTGTTCAGCATCCGGAAACAGAGGATTTGTGCTCAAAGCAGGAATTGAGACATCAGAGTCATGGTCTGTTGAATTGCCCGTGTATGGTGGCCGCGTGAGCTGCGAACCTATGGCTGCTATCTGCGTGCAAGCCAAGATGCTGATGTTTGGTGCAAACACAAGTACCCACATGGGACTGCAAGCCAGACGGAGATTGGCCTCTTTTATAGCACTCGTGAGGTTCTGGTCAAGGGATGTCTGTAGTACTGACCGATGCATATCGTGGATGGTGCTGTAGTGTATGATTGAAAATGCGCCCTCCAGATCGCAGCCTCCCCGGCCTTAGTTAAGCAAGATGGGTGCCGGATAAATTTTGTGCCGATATGAGGCGGAACTCTTCGCACGTGATGAGCTCGTCTCGAAAGGGCAATCTGCGCTCCACCTCCAAGGGCCACAAAGTGATCGGATCGACCTCGCGGCGCCTTCCGAGGCGAGGCTGCAAGCCGTTCCAAGCCACAGGCGCATGGTTACAGGGATTCAGGATAACGGCTTTCCGGTCGCATTAAGATTGACTGTGTTCTGATTTGCGTGGGCAAGGCTGTAGTCGGCCCATCGTAACCAAGTTTCAAGCAAGAGATATCTGTTCAGGCACTACCGAAACATTTTGTGTTGGGTCCTCCTTGTGCAACCCGGCGCACGAACGCAATCAAAAGGGGCGCAAGGCAACAATGCTCGTCACACTCGTATTCGTACTATCAAAGATTGTTCCTTCATTAGATCCAGTATAATTGTCCCAAAGGAATCCTATGTTCCCAGACTCGGCCCCTGAGATTGCCGCTGTTCGTCCATGGCCCCTTGCCACACAAGATTTGCCCAATGTCATCCATAAAACTGCTGGGTATAAAACGTCGCCTACGCTCGACGCAGGGAAGACGGCAAAATCAACATCCATCAATACTCCCAAAGGTCGCTAGAGTTGCCAATCCATCAGTCATCACGAAAAAAGAAAAACCACGTAGTATATCCCCCCGAAGCCGACGAGCTTTCAGCAAAGCCCAGTTCATGCTGCTAATGTACACTGACCAACTGAAACACTTGATGGGTATTAGAGGTGCGGTGGAGCCCGAAGTATTAAGCTGCTGTGGCCGCCGCCGGGCTATCATTCACCCCGTCGCTACCGGACTCCGATTTTGTTCCATCCTCTTTACTAGCCGCTTCGGCCGAAGAACCACTGCCACAGCCTTTGACAAGAATATGCCTCTGTCGACGACGGGTTAGTCTCCGACTCACTTCACACAGGCAAAAAAAACCAATTAAACAACTTACCTTCAGTGCGTCCTTGCGAGAGAAGCTCTTGTCGCAATGTTTGCAGGGAAAAGGTTTCACTGCCAGGTGGATTCTCTTGTGACGCTTCAAATCATGATTGCGGTTGAAGCTCTGTGGACACTGGTCACACTTGAAGGGCCTGTCGTGTGCCGGGCTCTGCTGGGGCGTATTTGTCCTCGGCTGTCCATACATCGCTTGGGGGTTTGCGGCATAGCCACTATTGAAAGAAAGAGGTAGCATGTTCGGTTGCATGCTTCCCACCATGCTCATATGCGTGCCTGGGCTGTGCACATTGGACATGATGGGTCCTGGCATCGCCGGCAAGGAATACGAAGGAGGAGGAGGCCTCATGAACGGAGCTTGGGAGTGAGAAGGAAGGGCTCCTTGTTGGAGCGTGGGAGAAATCCGCGGAGCTTGAGAAACAGTCGTAGGATGGGAATATACATACGACGGTTGATGCTGGCTCGTGGTCGTCATGCTACCAAAGAGTGCGGGCTTGTTGTCGTTGGGGGATATGGGCGAATGTTGACTGGGAGGTCGAATGCCGCTTTGCAGTGACGGTACGAGGTGATGGGCGGCCGCTGGAAGGGAGGTGCTTCCTGGAGAGGAGAGAGGTAGATGGGCCCCGTAAGGTGGGTTTAGATCGTAAGGTGGTGGAGGGAGCGCTGACGCTTCACCAGCAGACGGTGAGTGCGTCCCCGACCGCAGCGACTGACCTTGTATGGGAGAGAACATTGAACGGGCTGGGAGAAGGGGACCGTTGTTCTGCCACGGCTGCGGAGTGTACCCGGTATGATATGCATTGGGGGTGGTACCTGTTCCGCCGCCAAAGAAGCTAGGGGCGTAGGGTAGGACGGGGGCGGCGCCGCTGTTGGGGGTTGTCCCTGTCTGAATGGCAGATGAGCTTGCGCTCTCCGACGCCGGGTTGGACGGTGGCGTCAGGAGCTGTCCTACACTCACAGGTGCAGGGCCCGCATGTGATGTGTTGATTCCTGAAAGGGGAGGGAATTTCTGAAGGGGCCCCGGTGCGAATGAGATTGGTGGTGGTGGCAGCTCAAATGCGGGAAGATTCGACGCAGCTTGTCGGCGTTGTGTGAGACTGGAGGGAGCGGTATTCAGCGCATCGAGGGTTGTCCCCATTGGAAGGGGAATTGCGACGGAAGCCAGCCTGACTGATGTTGCCCGTTCAGCGCGAGATCGCTCCAAAGGGTTGAGATAGGGCTGGGAGGCGGTAGGGTCTGCTGTCTGGTCGCCGGAGTCCTCAGCGACAGCGATTTATATATGACAAGAGTCTTTTGCCGGCAATGTCGCAGAAGGCTTGGACTTGCTCGAGATGTTGATAGCCGAGAATTGTGCCAGGTTCTCTTTTGCCGAAGCACCAATGGATCAAGGTGACGACGAACCTGTCTCGGGTGGGATATGTAGAGCAGAAAGTGGACGCAGTGTCTTCCAGCGACGAAGACCTTGTGCTCACAGAAGGGATTGTGACGCAGGACGTGATATGGCACACCAAGGTCTTGATAGTGAAGGTGTTGCTGGTGGAGCGACGCTGGGCGATGATCTGGATTTTGGGCGGTCGGTTGGCTTTTTTTGCGGCGCGTTTGGCTTGTTCCTCAGTGGACGTGGGGCCTACGCAGGACAATCAGGAAAGATCGCCGCGACTTGAGATTCGGCAACTAGCGACCGGACTTCCAGAGATTGGAGTGAGGTCAGCCGCAGGGGGACAGAGAATGAGGTTGTGATACCTCTTCACGCGGTGCAAAAGGTGCTTGCGACGAGGACGACCTTTGCAAAGCGAGGTCGATGATCAGGCTGAAGAAAAGAGCAAACCCAGGAGGCTTTCAAAGATTTGGAAGAGATGCGATCCTTTTTGTCGGGGCAGCACATGGCGTTCTTAGCGGGCAGCTGGCCGCCGGCTGGCTGGATGGGCCTGTCTTGAGCATCCGCCTAAAAAGAGGAGAGTTAGTCAAAAGCGGACGGCGAAGACAGGAGTGTGCTAGGATCTGATAGGAATGGCGGCGAGCTGAGAGCCTCATTGGCCTGGGTGGACTCGATAGGAATGCGAGGCGCATGGGTCCCTAGCGCTGGGAGTTTGGCAACAGTGCAGAAACAGAGTTGGAAGAGTGATAGTCTGGTGTGGGCGTGTGCGCGCGAGTCGGAGGAGGAAACCTGCAGGGGCTCCCCCTGACGTGCTCGCTCGAGCTCCTTAACCGTGCCTGTATTTTTCCGGGACATGGGGCCTGCGAGGAAAAGTGGTCTCAGTTTTCTCGTCGAACAGACACAGTCTGGACCGAGCGCGCGCTGAATTGCATGCAAACTCTGGTCTGAAAATGGGATCGCGAGAAATTGGACTGCTGAAGCTCCCGCTATGCTCGAAGCAGCTTGGCTCGTGGGTGACGAGAATCGAGGAAAGCGAGAAGGGTGGAGCAGATGCGAGGATGTGGTCTCCAGTGAGAAAACCAGTCACCCACTCGACTGACGGCCGTGACATGAATGGGGCTTCCCGGCAGGATATGGAGGGGGAGTTCCAGACTAGAGTCCCCTGTAGGCGAGCCCAGAGAGGGAGTGGAGGCGCCTCTACGGCTGTAGGGTGCTAGTACCTTTGTTGGTAGCTGCTAGTCGAGTAGCCGTGTATCTAGGAGACCGGTAGGCGAGCGGCGACGGTGATGGCAAGGTGATGGCGACAGCGATGGACATGGCGACGGCGACAGCGGTGGTACAGGATGCCGGGGAAACTCGCTAGACGGACAATAGTCACCGGAAGACACACACACACAACAACAACAACGAGGAGGAGTGCCAATGATGGTACGCTGCAGACCTCGTATCCCTGGCACGAAAGGACCCGAAGCAGACAGAAAACTCTCCCTGAACTCTGAGGGCGCAGAATCACAGCAAAAAGAAGTTTCAACAGTGTCGATAATTTTACAAGGCGCAGGCAAAGTGCGGGTGTTGCTGCTTCTGCGCTCCCGCTTTCCATGGTCCTGGCTTTCGAAATGCCTTTGCACAATCCCATCACACGGACTGCGACACATGGTGATTTTGTTATGCCTTCGTCAATGTGCCTGTCGGCTGTCTGTCGCTGCGTGATATTTCTCTTTAGGCTTCACTCAATCTCCCCTGTTCATGACAACGCGTGCACCACATTGCCATGTTGCCCGGTCTGCATCTCGTGGCATGGATGACACAGTGGTCTGTCAAGGCAAGGCACGTCAAGCCTCGAAGAACAAACACACTTCTCACACACCATCAATCGTCAAGCACGCTCCCCGGTGCCGGTCAGGCTCGTGTTGTCGCTGCCGGCCGGTGTTCAATTTCATCCCCGTCCAGAAGTCTCCAGTCTATGCCCGTAGAGGGTTGAGCCTCGATGCCATCCACGACTCAACGTGGTCTGAGGTAAGTGAGCTGCAGATACAGAAAGTACCTAAGTGGAGCTTTCAGCGATTGATGTCTTGGGCTACGCGAGAGGCACGTTCTTGCTCCTCAACTCGTACCGATCCTACTCCCATCTTCCATCTGCCACCTCCGTCAACGACAGCCTGATAATGACAGTCCCGACCTGGAGTCTGGGCCCTTGCGCCACAAACCTTCCATCGAAAGACGACCGAAAAAGGCATTCAAGAAACGGATGTTCTATGTGATTATTAGGCACCATCCGGTGTCTTCTCAAAGGGGATCATCGGCTAGCGAAGCCCCGGCGATTCCACTCGAAAGTGACCGTGCTCATGAGGTACTAAGCCTGTCACTTCGTGCCACGATCCGAAGTTGTCTTTGTACTGTGGTCGATCTCTGGCATCTGTTAGGCGGTTCAACGGCACCCATGCCTGTCTTCGCTGCAAGACCAGCCATTGCGCTCACACTATCCGACCGACTACGCTAGGCGACTCTACATGGGCCATGGGCTGTAAAAAGAACACTCGACGCATGTGGCTAGTGAAAATGACGTTTCTTATTATCGATGGAGGTCACCAGCGTCGCTACCAATTGCTTCCAAGTTGGTGTTATCGAGCCCACCTACAGGCCCCTTCAACTCACAAGGCAGGCCATTATTAGTCCAAAGACATGGTGTTACGAGGAAAAGCGGGAATTTCGCTCTAGCTTCGCCAAAAGGTGCACGGACGCAAGAAGCGCTGCGTCCTCCTCTCACATTTCTGGACCATTTTGCGCCCAACTGTTTACTTCTTTGGTCTTGGGCGACCTCGGCCGCCCCCACCGTCTGCGGTCCCCTGTGTGATCATTCAGTCCGGCCCTCCTCGGGCCCGGCTCCCTGGCCACACTGGTCTCTTTTTACTCGGCCTTGTCGTTTGACCCAAGCTGGGTGATGTTGGCGAGCCAAGCCAAGCCAATCTCCAGAGCCATGTGGCTGCCACCACCACTTCCATGACGCCCCCTCAGAGGTGCACGATCAGCGCTGACCTTTTTCGCCCTAGTTGGGAACTTCCTGGCTTGCTCCTAACCGCTTTGCACCACCTGCAGAGTCAAGATTAGAGGAAGGACTCACCCTCATGCAGACTCCACTCTACTGGTTTTCCGCTGCTCCTGGATATTCAGCCAGCCTCAAGCTTGCCAGGACAGCTACCCTGGGCGACATCATTGTCGCAAGAACGTCCATACCTGCCAGGCTGCCACGCGCGAGCACGGCAGACCTGCTCTTGCCAGTTGAAAAAAACCAGGCAAAGACAATATTGAAGAACTTAGGGCAGATGCGAGCTCACTGTAAGACATATCAACACCCCTAGCCGCCGTGCTCACGCTCAAGAAGAGCACGCTTCTCACGGGAGTGCTGACCAGAACCCGGACCTGCACGCTCTACCATTTGTTCGAGGCTCTACCCCGTACGAATCCTATTTTGGGCAGGCGTCTGGAGACTTTTTGCTGTGACAATGCGTCTCCATGCGATTCGCTGCCAGCGGATGCACCATTGGCTGTAAGATCTTTACGTCAAAATGCTTACAGCTCAAGATGCAATAATAATTTCAAGCCCATGGCTCGTCACGCGGAAGCCTGAGCGCCCAAAGGGGCACCGAGCAAATGACAGCACATGGCCACCAATGAAAGCCCCTCGTAACCGAGCCGCTTTCCTGGTTCAAGCAGTCCTAAGATGCCCCTGCAGATCGCGTCCGCGGCCGGTTGATATTGACAAGTTTGTTGGGGTCGGTGGCCGACAAGGGTCCAGCCACACCCTGTCTCGTGTCGACGCTTTAGATCCTTTTTTGGATCAAACGTGCATGTGTCTTGAAGGCCGTTGGACCTGCATCAACGTTAGAGTGGACGGTATTCGCACAAAGTATAAGTCCGCGTTGAGAAACTGCCAATCCGGAAATTAACGACCTTCGGCCGGCGTCGCCGATTCATGAGAATAGGAACTGCATCGATTATCCCCGCCGTCTCAACGTTAGCATGCAGTCGCCGCATCTGCTGATCAAGCAAGCCTGAGGAGAGGACCTCCTGCAAGAAATTGCTATTCTACAAATCCCTTTCACCAGATATCGGTAGGGCCGTAACTCGGTGAATACCAGGCTGGCCATTCGACGTGTATCTGGATCCTGGACATCCGGTCAACGTGTAAATTTCGTCTCTCTACGCCATTCCGGCTCCTCAAACATCATCTATATCATGATGCACTAATGTCTCGGGCAGCCGCATGCGACGACAAGCCCCCCATGGACCGAGAATCACCCCGAATGGTTCATATGCTCAGGGGTGCGGAGGATGTTACACAGTGAATCAAAACTTCCCACCGCCCTCAGAGCAGGCGGCCCAGACTGCCGGCAGCCGGAAGAGGCTGACGCGGATCCAGGGTTCTGGAACCTGGTGCGTGCGTCTGTAGTGCCATACGTTACCATACGTTAAGTTTTCCCAATACAGCACAACCAACACCGTGGTCTTCGAACGTGTACGTCCCACTCAGGCCACTGCCTTCTGAATATAGCGTTGCTGTTGCGACGCGAGTTGTTAGGTTGATAGTGGACGTGAAAGGCCTGCAATGTCATTTTACTCCCCCAGAAATATGCGATGGCTGGCTGAAAAGGACAAGCGTGCTTGTGGCTCGCATTTCTCACATCTAGATCCCTCTGGGTCGCCGGTAGCTGAGGCCCCTTGACGAGCACCGCGAACCATGCCGCCTCGTTCAGCGAAGAGCGGCAATTGCCCGAGTGAAGCGACGTGGTCAGACTGCTGCCAGAGACGAACTCAGTGTAGGGACCCTCAGCCTTAGGAGGCCTTTTCCGCGCGAGGCGCCGAGCCACAGCGGCTTGAGGTTCTGTCACTTCTTGTGCCAACAGTTTCCCTAGATTTAGATCCAGCCCGCGCCAGCCAATCTACCCCGAACCTCGGAACTGAGGTACGTTTCCACTTTGTGGTGAGAACTCGAGAGCCTGAGCGTTTGTGGCCGGACTTCCCAGGGCTCCTTTTTTAGGGGCATGTCGTACCAGGTAGATGAGAATGATTTTGTCGGGAACCCAGCCAGTGCATTTCACGCTTCACTCCCGACGACCAGGCACAGGCATCCTGATGACCGCCCCGGCTCGTTTCCCAACATGGCCATTCCTGTCGTGGTGTTGAGAGGGCCCCTTTGATTCCAGGAGCAAATGGCCTTGCAATGGGCCTACAATACCTTTTGCGAGGGATAATGCTTCTCCCTATCGAGGCCAGCGATGACTGTTAATGGCCCGCGGTCGAGGACAAAATTGCCACAAACCCTTTGGTTTACTACTGACTTCTCTTCTCGTCCATCCAGATATAACAAAGCTGATCTCGAAATCCGTACCGACAGTCTTTACCCGATGCAGGTAGCGGTACCTTGACCAAGGGAAGATCCGCAGAGTCTTGCAGAACCTCATCCAGGGCGCAAACACCTCCCGTGTTGACGTCGAGCACGAAGTTGATTTGTTTCACATGCTTGGGTAAGAAAGACACGATTTCCCTGACGTTGACGGGACCCCCCCATCGATAATCAGTAACGACGGTGCCCTTCAGCTCCTGCAACGCTCGACGATACTCCCGCTCCGGCGTGTCGAATGAGAAGTGACGGTCGAAGACATATAGGTCGAAGACGAGCCTCGGTCGGGACGACGTGTCCGTGCCGAACGAGGCAACATACTCCTTCAGGTGTGGAATGGCTTGCCACAGGAGGTGCGTCGACGGCTGGACAATGAGCAGCTCCAGGCCGGAGCATTTGTGATTAATGATATCCCAAACCCTCGTCGACTCCTCGCCGTCGAGGCAGCAATTGTTATGGACTGTAAGAACCCAGATCGATGCCAAGGCGACGGCACCCAAACGGCAGAAGACGCTCAGGTCAGCGGGCAGTTGGAAGCTATTTGCACTATATGCGAAACGAAGGGCGTCGGTTCCAAGGGCCTTGTTTACTCTAAAGATGGACGTCTGGAAGATCGGCTCGGCGAGGTCTTCTTTGTCCTGTAGCTGCAGGGGCGCGAGGCTTCCTGGCCCTAGAGGAATTGGCAATGCTCGATGACAAAACAGATGCTTGTATACCTGATGGCGAACCTCAAGTGGTAGATCAAGTAGGCCGATCGAGCTGCTTGCTGCTGGACTCTCCTCTGGCTCTGGCTGATCCGAGGCCGTCATGACTGTTTCCGCAGAAAGTGGCCTGACATACTAACAAGTGGTAAGCTGTGTAGCTTGAATAACGCCGGTCAATAAATGTTTGTCGCGGCGGGTGCGTGAGTCACGAGAATGGGCTGGTGTGCCAATGTGACAGATTGTTGACCATCGAAACCCATAGAAAGTAGGATGTACTCTGCATATATATATCTGTAATATAATGGAGATGGAACAGACGATCAACAAAAGTGTCGTGTCACCTGCACTGCCGCAAACGATTTTGGGCGACGTGTCTTTCTTTTCCAGAGAGTGGCGTCTGAGGATAAGAATCTTGCAGCAGTGCCGCGGTCTGCTTGTACGAATGGCAGAAGAGAAGGTTGAGTGAGGTGCATCCGTGTCCGGGAGGACGGAGTTACAGCATAGCATTTCCAGTTATACGAAGGCGGAGGCGAGGGTGAGGCCGAGGCGCCTGTCCGAGAGCCCCAACACTCCGTCACGTGAGCTGGGTCAAGCGGAGGCAGCGGATGACGTCGTGTGTTCTGTGCGCTTCGTCCTTTGACTCCAAGTGCTCGCACGAGAACATCTACGGGAGCTTTCGAGTTGAACCGTCCTGCACCACGTATCAAACAAGATATCTCGCACCTTTTGCAACGGTAGCTACACTAAACCCACGTCGACTTTTCTTTGCTCTGTATGTGGCAACCAAAGCCTAGTAAAGGCTGGGTATCCAATATGTTTCGCATGGTACGTACATTGGTACAGACCGACCAACCGACCGACGGTGTTGTTGTTGGGATGTTGGAACGGGAGGAAGATACTACGACGCCTGCACGATTCATCCACATACCCATGCACATGCACATGCACATCCACCCCCCTTACACATAACCCTGCTTTCTGTATGTTTTTCGGAAGAGAGACGGGGGAAGAGAGAGAGAGAGAGAGATAAAACCAATTTGCTAACCTCGTCCCGTTGCAACATTTGTTGTGACAACAGTCCAAGACCCTCGACGTCATCACCCTCTTCCACAAACCGTCCATCTCGGCCTCGGTACGCGTGCAGAATCTCCTCAAGCAAGCGTCGGCGCAGGCCTCGCAGACCGCCACAGAGGACCAAGCCACGGATCACACGGCGCAGAACGAGACGGTGACCCGCGACCCTTTCGAGATCGAAGTCACCGAGGCGCCGCCCACTCCGGACCAGCTCAAGAGCATCTTCGAGTACCTCGGCGGCGGGGTGGCAGGGGAGCTCGTCAAGGGCGCAGCTAGCCAGAGCGACGCGCTGAGAAAGGTCAAGGAGGATGGAAACGCCTTCACGAGACCCGTGGTCGTGGACTGGACGAGGGGAAAAGCCGTGATCGGTGATAAGCAAAGTGAAATTTTGAAGTTGTTGAAGGCGGATGGAAAGTAGAGAGGAAAACAAATGGAAAGCACACATTTCCCCAACGCAGTGCACATGGATTCGCACTCCCGTGCACTCGTACACATATACTCACTCACACGCGCACATACCCACGCACCTAAGGACAGTACGTTACAATGCGAGTGAAGTGGAAGGGATTGTAAAGGAGTGGTTGGTGACGATGGAGAAGTGGGCGTCAGGACCGATGTACATGTTTCGTTGCTGTCGCGTCTGATGGCCGAGAAAGCCATTCGATATGCTAAAAGGGATCTCAATCGCCGCCATTGGCATTCACATACCCTCCTCGAGGACAGGATATGAGGTTTATCTGTTTATTACAAAAAATCAAACTCGAGGTGTTTTGGAATTGGCACCTGCAATGGCCACCGTGCCATGCTACGTTCCTTTCTCTCCGTAACTTCGTACGGGCTGTGTTTCTTGAGGCCCCAAATCGTCACATAAATCGAGTTTGCGTCATGATGCCAGCTAGCGGGGAGGTTCTTCTGACATGTTGAGATAGATTTGACGGGCTTTAGCAAGACCGCTCTCTCATACTGCACAACAAAGCTTGGCCGCGGAGGTCACTGCCGTCCACACCTCATCCAAGTCATAGTTCACCGTCTTCATTCAAACCCCAGTTCTCGCTTGCTCAATAAAAACCGCTTCCTGATCATGGTGGCATTGACTGTTTCTCGTCAGTAAGCATGATATGAGCCAACGCCTCTCTACGCCGCACGACCAGCAAAGACCAAATTCTACACCCTGAAACGTCCGTGTCAAGACTTTGCATGTCCTACCTTGATATTCAGTGACGGCTCCGGTACAGGAGGATCAAGGATGTCTGGTGGATGGTGTACGTGGCCGTTTGGATCGTGGTGAGCGTCTGAGAGTGCCAATGGCGCCAGTGGATTCATGCTTGAAACAGCAGAACTGACCTTGTCACTCTGAGCAATGAGCAACAAACAGAGAGATCATCTGTAGCCGCTCGAGTTTTCAGGGACAAAAGCGGCCCTTTGTCTTGATGTCTAATTCTCGCTGCCAGTATTGAACAGACAGCAGATGATTGAGCCAAGGGAGGCGCAGTAGAAGCTTAAGCAAAATGCCCACAGTGCTGGAGTCGGTGTACCTGGTCATGTCCCTTTAATGCCCAGAAGCCAAGATCTTGAGGGCAATTTGCGAGATCTCGGGACGCAGCATGAAGGGGGTGTGTGTGTCAATGGCTTGTCAAGTCTTCCCTATGTTGTGAAACAATGCAAAGGGGGATCTGGCGCAGCGCAAGGGGTCAGAGAATCAGGAGGACAAAGGAGATACATCATCAACCTCCTTCAAGACGTAAAGAGACGTCTTGACTGTTTCTCTTCACCAAGCCAAGTGTCCGTAAAGCTCTTGACTTTTTGAAGTGGCAGTGGAGTGCTTACGCGGAGTTGGACTTGGTTGCACGGAGTGCCGCCTGGGCGAAAGGCTGGGCATTATGAGGTGAGGCTCTGTGCAGTCATCACACAGGAGATGTTGTTGTCGTGTTCTCACGAGAAGGGAGGATGGTGTTCTCGCGGCAGATGAGGTGTCTCGTTCTTTGGTGACACTGAGGAGGCGACTTAATGAGTCCAGGGTGAGATGTTGGAAGCGAGGAGATGGACAGATGTAGTAAACCACAAGTGTGCCTGTACATATTGTACTGGAGAGAGTTATGGGCGGCCGCCGCCAAGGGCGAGCCACCTACTCGTTACCTAGAACGCCAGTAGTGGGGGTGCTTATGCTACATGCGTACCTGCGTTTTAGGCGCTGCGAGCCTTGTAGCTGCAGGCGACTGCGTCACCGGTGACCGGCTTCGCACTCTCCTTGATGTAATGATTCGCTATAGCGAGGTCCCGCCCAGATCCGTTGCGCAGATGCGATACGTTACCCTGGTCAATGCCCAGCGACATTCCACTTTGTTACTCCGTACATCAAGAACAAGAAAGCCCAGTCTGTCCGGCTGGCACTCTTTGTTTGCCCTTTCTTCAGACCGTCACTCGCCTGTGACTCAGGATTTGCCCTCAGATCACACCCGTTCAAAAAAGCACCGAGTCTTTCGTTCAGCGTCGATTGATTCAATCCATGTCACTCGCTATCGAAGTACCTCCGTAAACGAACGCCACCACACCAATCTCAGCCGTTGACTCCCCACAGTCCGGGATCTTCGATACCCCAAGCGATCGCCCCCACGACCCATCAAAAGCCTCGCGAGGCTCGCGAACTGACCATTAGACGACATCGACACCGAGAATCGATTTGCCTGGTGAAGTAGGAGGAGGGGATTGTAGTAGAGATAAAGAAGCAGTTTCAGACTGGTTCCTCAACAGCATTCAGACAGCAAATACGCTCTGTCCTCGTTCAACAAACCACAATGAAGCCATTCAGGCGAAGATCGGCCGAATCATCCCTCGCTGTAGCCATCCTGCTATGCATCCAACAAATTCAAGCAATCACCCTCGACCTCCAAAATCCAGATTCGATAAAAGCCGCGTCCAAGATCGTTGCTGATGAGATGGTCTCATACTACACTGGCTACCGGCCTGGGGACGTGCCTGGAAATCTACCAGCACCGTACTACTGGTGGGAAGCAGGTGCCATGTTCGGAGCGTTGATCGACTATTGGTATTTCACTGGGGACGACACCCACAACGCCATAACCACCCAAGCCATGCTTCATCAGGTCGGTCCTCAGAACGACTTCATGCCCCCCAACCAGACCAAAACCGAAGGAAACGATGACCAGTCCTTTTGGGGTATGGCAGCGCTCTCTGCCGCAGAAGACAACTTTCCAAATCCTTCCGCAGACCAACCCCAGTGGCTGGCGTTGGCTCAGGCAGTGTTCAATACCCAGGCAGCTCGATGGGATACCTCTTCCTGCGGTGGTGGATTGAAATGGCAGATCTTCTCTTTCAACGGTGGATACAACTACAAGAATACCATCTCGAATGGCTGCTTCTTCAACATGGGTGCTCGCTTGGCGGTGTACACCAACAATCAGACATATGCTGATTGGGCTGATCGGATGTGGAACTGGTGTAGTGCAATCGGTCTCATGGATGACCAGTATTTCTTCTATGACGGCAGTGATGATCTGCTCAATTGCACCAAGCTTGATCATCTGCAATGGACATACAACGCTGGGACCTTCCTGGTCGGTGCTGCAAACATGTACAATTATGTAAGTGATCCATCGCTTTTGAGAGAGAAGGACACCACTGACCTCTTTCACAGACGGATGGCAGCCCGGTTTGGGAAGCCCGCATCAACGGCATCATCAGCGGCATCACCAAGATTTTTCTCAAAGACAATGTCATCTACGAACAAGCTTGCGAACCTGTGGGGACCTGTAATATCGATCAACGCTCTTTCAAAGCTTACCTCGCAAGATGGATTGCCGCCACGATAGTCAGAGCGCCCTTTACTTATGATCAATTGAAGCCAATACTGGAGGCATCGGCGCAGGCCGCGGCGGCATCATGCACCGGAGGTGACGGAGGAGCTTCTTGCGGACTGCAGTGGACCACAGGAGCATTTGATGGGAGCACCGGTGTTGGCGAACAAATGTCAGCATTGGAAGTCATACAGTCGAACCTGATAAGCGTCTCGGCCGGACCAGTCACAGAAGGATCAGGAGGCACCAGCAAGGGTGATCCCAGCGCGGGTACAACAAGCGATATTGGTCCTGGAGACCTGCACGCGGAGCCGCTCACTACGGCAGACAGGGCTGGCGCTGCAATTCTGACGGTTTTGATATGTTTGGTCATTATAGGAGGCGCTTGGTGGATGGTGATCTGAAGCTATTGTCGCACCTTGCGGTCATAGCGTTGAAACAAACGTGGCAAGCTTGCATTTTTCAAAGAGCGGCATGAGAGCGGCGTTTCTTTGCTCCTGGCATGTGCCGAAAGCACTCGAGAAGTGGCGTTACGGAGACTGGGAAAGTCCTTTCCTGAATTCAGGTGAGAGTGCTCGATGGCTAAATGAAACGGATCCACAGGGAGTATCTGTGTTAGAACAGCTTAACAGGCCGAGCCTAGAGAGCTTGAGTTACTGCCATGGTGCATGGTAGAGGAGATTGTCGTGATACCCCGGAATAGAATCCATATGATTTTGTTGTACATGTTCTTCTTTCCTACAAAGGTTGCAATTCCCTCATCAATCATTGCTCTTGGATAACGCCTGTGTGGAAATGCTGAGATTGGTGATAGTTTACCGTCGTAATTTTCAATATGTGCGGTCGCTCATGTATACCCTAATCCCCCCCGGATAAACGGCTCTCGTAGCATCAAAGGAGGCTTCTCGATCTGCTGATGTCGAAAATTTCATACCGAAGGGGCTCTCGCGTTCGACGACAAGAGAAATGTCTCTGTTCAAATCCCGAGACAGCCACACAAGTATTCTGCCAATCTTTTTTGCCTAGTCCCATCAGCCTGCTGCGGTTGAGGTTTTTCTTTATACTCGATACGAATGAAAAATTAGGATGAGAGCACCTGAGCCAGTACTGGGACGGTGCGGTTCGGTTCGGTTCGGTTCGGTTCGGTTCGGTTCGATTTGGTTTGCGCTTTGCGTTATTGGTAAGGGTAAGGCCACGGGCATGGGTCGTAGAAGTTGTATAGATATGGCTCTCGGTTTATCTATCTCCCCTGCACCTGAGCGGCTCTCATCTCCTCCCTCATTTTCTGCTGCAGCGACTTCTCCTGAGCCTCTTTGACTTGTAACTCTTCCCGCGCTTTGGCTTGTGCTTCGGCCGCGGCGACCCATATGGGTTTGTCGGACTTGCTGTATTCCTTGAGCTGGCTCAGGAAGATTTCATAGTCCTTTGTCCGCTGGTCCCGGAGCTCGAGGTTGCGCTTTTGTAAATCCGGGCTGAAACTTTTGAAGACCTCGCCTTCGGAGGGGGTGAGGCTGGTTCGGTAAAGATGAAGGTGTCAGAGAAATAACAAGAGAAATTCGGCTTCGGCGCATGCAAAGCTGACATCATCCTCATCGGTGTTGATGTTGGTTGTGTTGGGGGGGTTTGACTTCTGAGGGGTGGACGGTTTACGGGACTTACTAGTACATCAGCGCCGGACCGCCGATGCAGCATGTTACAAAGCTGTGGAGGGGAAAAATTAGCTCAGGAATGAAACCTCTGACGCATGAGGCGAGGGAAGGGTTGTAGTCTGGATATAGGAATAGGTATAGGTGATACCGTACACTGCTGCCATTTTGGCGTACATGCCGCCTCGGGAAGCCATGGTGAGAGCGCAGGTGTCGATGAGATCGACGAAGGCAACAACAGGTAGACTGTACCGCGCAATCGTCGAGAGTGGAAGGATTGGACTGAACGACAGAGGACAGGTTCCGGTGTGCTAGGTAGGTACACGCTGCAAAGATGTCGCGTTACGGTTGTGACGAGTATGTAGAGAAGATCTGGGGATCGATCGACTTTCGATGATGCATGACATTTGTCTCTGGAGATGCGCACTTGGCAGGGCTCTGATTGGCGGGGAGAGCAAGAGTTTCTCGTTCTCGTATTCGTATTCGTGGGAGATGCAGACCTAGTGCGCTGGTTATCTCTGCCTAGGTAGGCTCAGCTGCTCGACTGTCATCTAAGTATTTTGAAAAGAGGTTCTCTATCCATGACAGCTATTGCACGTCTAGATAATTGTGAAAAGTGGTCGGAGGCAAGATACAGCGCCGTATAACCGAATGCTCTGAGCGGCTCGAGATGGGTCCCACGAGCCAACGACTCTTTTTCCTTTAGGAAGGGAGGATGTTGTAAACGACGGGCTTCGTCCACACCCAAGTACAAGTGTGGTCCACATCCTCTTCATAGCCGGGAAGAGCTTAAGCAACAGAGACATGGCTTCACGGCATATAAGTGAGGAGAAACAAGTGAAACCCCAGTACCTGCTTCACAATGCTTCGTCATCTCTCACACTCTAGCTGGCAAGCATCTCCGAAAGGATGGCTGTTTGGTGAGTAAATGCATGTATACGCACTCGAAAGTCTGTGAGATCGAGTCAGATCTTGATGTCGCTCTGGCTGATAACACGGCTGGGAGACCGGCCGATGCCAGTATGCCGCTGCTCCCCAACGGGGTGGACACCAGCACCATTGGCCACCACCCCAAGCGCCCAGGAAATCTGCTAAACTCCAGCGCGACGTTCGGGGAAGAAGGCTTCGAAGACGATCCGTCTGAAGGAAGAAATTGTCCAGGAGACAAGCAACTATTGGCTTAACACTGGCGCAGGTGATCGAGCTTGGGGCTGGCAGTAAAGCGCAGCACCTACGTGCCGATGCGGCCGGTTGATGGCCGTTCTGGAGCATGGGCAACAGTTTGACATCAGAATTTGCTGTGAACGCCTTCATTGCGACCATACGCGCTCCAAACCAAACATGACCCCCGCGACGGGAATCGTTCGTGGGAGCCATAGCATTGACTACCCGAAGGGCGTGAGCGGCGCGACTTGGAACTTCTGGCGATTTCGAATGCAGCTCTTCTCTTACACCTGAAGAGGCTCATCGGCTGTTATTAGAAAAGCAGGTGGCGAGACCTGCTCAAATCATGCGAAAAGCCTTATGGGTTCCCTAGAACTTGCGACGAAGACTGGCCCTGAGGTTTGGTAGTACCATCGACAGGAAGGATTGGAGGAGGAACGGGTATGCTGTGAGTGCAGATAGCATCGTCCATCCTCCTCCAGTATGAAGGTTTATCTGATCAAAAAGACTTCGGGAGTAACACAAGACAATTTAGACCAGAATCATTTACAAATCCCTGTAGAACGACGACATGGCGGGGTGTGAAATAACGTTCCCGGTCTCCGGGTGCTGTTCAATTAATGCAAGCACTATACTCCGGTCCCTACCTAGGCATCCAGGAAGACCAGGCTCACTAACTAGTTAGGCTGGGATTTGAGGCACCGGATTTTCGCGGACGCAGGTGGATGGTCAGATAATAGCCTCAGTTCCCAGTTGCCCAGAGCACCGCCTCGCTTCACCAGACTAACCGGCCAAATTGTCAGCCACCGAGAATATCTTCGGCCCTGATAACATAAGCACCCATGGGTGTGGTCGAGAGATGAGAAATAATGTTTTTTCGCAGGGTTAATACGCACGTAGGTAGTAAAAGATTAGAAACAGGAGCGTGTCTTTCCAATGCGACCAATGTTCCTGAGACATGAAGGACAGAGGGTGATACAAAGTGCAGATCAAACAAAGCACCAGCCAAATCGAGTGCCTAGAGCAGCCATCACGTGCTGATCATGGTACTGTGTCGTACTCCGTACCCAACGCTTCAAGTCTCAAGTGCCTGTGGGTGGCCAAAGTTGCGCGTCCAGCCTCCGCCCCCTTCCAACCTTAGTGAGAAGCCCGGGTTTTGGCGTCGCAGACAAAGCGCCAGATTTACCCAGCCCATCGTCAGCTTCTCGCCAACCTCCAGTTCGTTTTATCTTTCATCTCCATTCCCACCTCTCTACTACTCGCAGCCTCTCCCATCAGCATACATTCATCTCGAAGACTACCTGTGATTGTCGTAGAGTCTTTAGCACGACAAAATCCGACCCTTCCGCTCACAGCCTACCCCTTTCCGAACCTCGCTTTATCGCACGCTTTAAACATTACCAGCAACCATGGCTGATCGAGAGCAACCCTACGACCCCTACATCCCCTCGGGGGGACAAGGAGGCGCACCGCCCGCCGGGGGAAATCAGAGAACGGCTGCTCTGCAAGCGGTACGTGATGACTTCCATTCGAGTTTGTGATGAGACGAGTCTTGCTGTCACTTGCGGTTGGAGCGGCTGAGGTATTCTGCTGCTTGGACTGTCGCAGGTGGTGTTCTTGCATGAGATCTCATCAAGGACTGTCGCCACGACTCGCCCAACCATTCAAAGAGAAGGCCGGAATCATATTAGCCATTTCGGGCCTATGCCGATCATCGACTCAAGAGTCTGAAGCGCTTTTGAAGAATTCCCGCTGACTTATCGTGCTGTAGCAAATCGATGACACTGTCGGGGTTATGCGAGAAAACATCAACAAGGTATCACAGAGAGGCGAAAGATTAGATTCCTTGCAAGATAAAACCGACAATTTGGCGGTCTCGGCGCAAGGTTTCAGAAGAGGCGCCAACCGCGTCCGGAAACAGATGTGGTGGAAGGATATGAAGATGCGCATGTGCTTGATCGTCGGCATCATTGTCCTGCTCATTGTCATCATCGTCCCGGCTGGTAAGTTTCTAGCGACCTCGGACGAAGCCAATAATGCTAACACCTGCACAGTGGTCGCTACCCGACACTAGATTGGGAAAGAGTCGAGCATGACGACGGCGATGAAACCCACGAAACGGATACAACTTTCCTGACGACATGAAAATCCAGACTTGACCTTTGGGCTAGTGATTGTACAATATGAACTGGTCGAAAGGATTCAATGCTTTCTTGAATGCATGCGATAGGCTTCCCTCGGCACATACCGCTCCAAAGGATTTATGAAACCATCCAACATGTCCTTTGAGCTTCTGGAGGAGACTTTTTGAGAGCGTGATGATGGGCACTGGTATAGTGCTTCAGGGCGTCCAGGCGCGACGGGGCTGTAGGGCTACCTTGTTACAGTAATATGAGCTCTTTTTACCAAGTCGTATTGCTTTGACGGCACTGCCATGGTACGTGATCCTGAGGGCGTGTCTGGCTCTTATTTCTAGCCATCGCACACCAATCTCTCCGGCAAGCTTGGAAAATTCCCCGTAGGACTCGTAGGACCGACGTGTGCATATGGGCCTGCATAATTAGTGAGTGCGATGGGCCGCTTCGTCCAGCATTATCCTGTGTATATGTGACGTGCTCATAGTCCCGCTTCAATCGTCGTGTCTTGCAAGACTGCCCAAATTTAAGCAGCACATGACCGCCCTGATACTACGCGCTACGATTCGAGCGATCTGCAGCAGCTGTCAATACCTGTTGCAGCACTAGTACCGTAAGTACGCGGTCCAGGTAGAGAAATCGAAAATTTTTCCTAGTAGCCGAAGGTCGGCGCCCTAGCAGAACAGCCCGGGCACGCCACCACCAGTGAGATCGCGAATGGGCATTTGGGGTCGGTGGAAGACTCATCATCGTCCCCCGCAAATATTTTGTTCTCTGGGTATGCATGCTGCATGAGAGAAAAAATTGTGATCAGGGACTACCTGGGAATTTTCGCGTCATTTTACAAAACTTCTTCGGCGTCTGCAGGTTAGATCGGGAGGTAGACTTCTTCCTGCTTGTTGTTCAGACTCGAAGCAATACTCCCCTCTCTGCCTTGACCGCCAACCATCCCAGCCTCAGGCCGAGAGCGATATCATCTTTCGATTCCTTGAAGTGGTCTCTGGGTGCCGCATGATCTGAAGAACAATGTCTGCGATAGGTGCAGCTGCAGCACGGGCAGTCAGTCGAGCTGCTGCAGCTCCTGCTGGTCGTCCTCGATCCTCCCGAGCTCTACGTCTTGCTCGGTCCTCCCGCACTCTGATCGCATGTCCGATCACCTCTCCACGATCCTACTCATCCCCTTCTGCCGCCAACCCGTCTACAAGGTCTACTGTGGTGCAGTTACTCAGCAACATCGGGTCCAAGAGGGAGGTGCAGCAATATCTCTCTCACTTCACCTCGGTCTCCTCCCAGCAATTCGCCGTCATCAAGGTCGGTGGAGCTATCCTGACCGAACACCTTCAGACACTGTCCTCTGCCCTTGCATTTTTGAACCACGTTGGCCTCTACCCGGTCGTCGTGCACGGTGCTGGTCCCCAGCTGAACAAGATTTTGGAGGACTCCGGTGTGGAACCTCAGTTTGAAGATGGCATTCGGGTGACCGACCCGAAGACCTTGGGAATTGCGCGTGCGCTATTCCTGGAAGAGAACTTGCGTCTCGTCGAAGAATTGGAACGGCTGGGTGTGCGCGCCCGACCGATCACGTCGGGTGTCTTCACGGCAGACTATCTAGACAAGGAAAAATATAATCTCGTGGGCAAAATCAACCATGTCGATAAGAGACCTATTCAGGCCGCGATTCAAGCAGGCTGCTTACCAATCTTGACGTCCATGGCCGAGTCGAAAGACGGCCAAGTTTTGAACGTCAATGCTGATGTTGCGGCTGGTGAATTGGCCAGGGCACTCCATCCATTGAAGATTGTCTACCTGTCCGAAAAAGGTGGACTGTTCAACGGTGACACCAAGGAGAAGATTTCAGCAATTAACCTTGACGAAGAGTATGATCACCTGATGACACAGTGGTGGGTTCGCCATGGCACGAGGTTGAAGATCAAGGAGATGAGAGAACTTTTGATGGACTTGCCTCGAACCTCCAGTGTGGCGATCATCCACCCAGCCGACCTGCAGAAAGAACTATTCACGGACTCGGGGGCAGGCACTTTGATCCGCAGAGGTAATAAGGTTCACATCAATACCTCCATCGACCAATTCGAGGATATCGACAAGCTCAAGGAAGTTCTCATTCGCGATCGCGCCGGACTTGATGCCAAGGCCGTCGTTGACCAGTACGTCAAGGGCCTGCACAACCGTGAGTTCAAGGCCTACTTTGATGAACCTATGGAAGCGTTCGGTCTCGTGTTGCCGCCAAACGGAGAGACCACACTGGCTCACCTCGCCACGTTGACCATTACCAAGAATGGCTGGCTGACCAACGTGGCCGACAACATCTTTGCTGCCATCAAGAAGGATTTTCCAAAGTTGATGTGGACTGTCAAGGAAGATGATGAGAACCTGACCTGGTTCTTTGACAAGGCCGACGGTAGTCTCTCTAAGGACGGTGAGGTTCTCTTCTGGTACGGCTTGGAGACTAGCGACGAGGTTAAGGATTTGATGGTCGAGTTTACGAAACACGGCCGACAAATGTTTGGCGACATCAATCTCGAGTCCAAGCTCGTCCGTGCTGCTCGAGCTGCTTCACAGCTGGCTGGCAAGGCTGCTCAATCGGCTGGACTCACCCAAAAGAGAACATTTTCGACACAGGCTAATCCTTTGCGCTCTGCACGACGGTCTCGCTATGTGACAATGCCCGCTCTCTCCGTTCGTACCTATGCTTCTACAACCAACCCAAACCCTCCTCTAGGTTCGAAGAACAGCTCCAACCCCAAGCCATCACGGGTTGCCCTTATCGGAGCCAGAGGCTACACCGGAAAGGCTCTCGTCGACCTACTGAATCGTCACCCCAACATGGACCTGCGCCATGTCTCATCCCGAGAATTGGAAGGTCAGAAGCTCAAGGGCTATGACAAGCGGGAAATTATCTATGAGAATCTGACTGTAGAAGATGTCCAAAAGATGGAGGAAGACGGTGCTGTAGACTGCTGGGTGATGGCTCTGCCCAATGGTGTCTGCAAACCGTTTGTGGATGCTATCGACCGTGTCGGCAAGAACAGCGTCATTGTCGACTTGAGCGCCGACTACAGATTTGACCCTGCCTGGACTTATGGCTTGCCTGAGTTGGTCGACCGTTCCGCCATTGCCAAAGCTACGAGAATATCTAATCCTGGTTGCTACGCGACAGCAGCTCAGATCGGCATTGCTCCTCTGGTTCCGTACCTTGGTGGTCAGCCTACCGTTTTCGGTGTCTCGGGTTATTCTGGTGCTGGTACCAAACCCAGCCCAAAGAACGATGTGCAGAATCTCACAGATAACATCATCCCCTACTCTCTCACCGACCACATCCACGAACGCGAGATCTCCACGCAGTTGGGAACTCCCGTCGCTTTCATTCCTCATGTTGCTGTTTGGTTCCAGGGAATCCACCACACAATCAACATTCCCTTGAAGGAGGAGATGAAATCGAGAGATATCCGAAACCTGTATCAAGATCGCTATGCCGGAGAGAAACTGCTCAAGATCATCGGTGAACCCCCATTGGTCAAGAATATCGCACACCGCCATGGTATCGAGGTGGGCGGCTTCGCCGTTCACTCCAGCGGGAAGAGAGCGGTCATTTGCGTCACCATTGACAATCTGTTGAAGGGTGCTGCAACGCAATGTCTTCGTAAGTTTGTGGAACGTTTACACCGAGAATCGTCACTGATAATCTACTTGCAGAAAACATGAACCTGGCGTTGGGCTATGGAGAGTACGAAGGTATCCCATCCGAGTAAACGAAGAAACACCGTCGGCGTAGTTCCACCTCTCCTGAGGTGCTTCGTCACCTTATATATGAAAAGTTTTTTGCGCTTCACGCGCCTCGAGCATCGAATTATCTATCAGGGTTTCGAATGGGATTTTAAAGCTTTGGCCAGGATGTACCGCGAGCCCTTCGCTGGCACTGACCTAGAAAATGCAACGATGGGGCACGAAAAAAGCAATTTCATATAGCTTTCGCTTTATAAACCTAGAATCAGGTGAGCAGGCTATTCGAGGCAAGCTCAACAGGTCTCGACAATCAAGGTTGATGCGAACGATTGCTCTACAGTAAATACGGGTTGGGTTTGGGAGTTTGTAGCTAGGAGTGGGCACAAAGAGATGGTGGCCACCGTGTCGCACTGTGCTCGGGAGGTCGTTACTGTACGGAAAAGGGAGATAATGATCACGATGGCTTCAACTGATTTGTGGTTTCTTCGACCTTTGATTCTCCTTTTTACCCTGCGCCGACTCGACTGAGAAAACAACAGAGGCAAATTCTGGTTGCCCTCCGAGTCATCCGCGTTTCTCATTAAGTCTTTGAATGCCCTTGCACCTGAAGGACTCCTACCCCTACTTCATCTTCACCTCGAATAGCCTCCGCTCTCCATGAATTTGTACTTCACTGGGGGCTCGCTAACCAGACACTTCATTTTCATCCACGGCCTACCTCTCTTACATGGCACAGAGTAGTTCATTCATGCTGTATTCGCCTAGCCCACGCACCCCATGTTCTACAGTCACGAAAGTCCGTACTACCCTTTCCTTGCGTGATCCGGAAGAAATACCAGTGCAAGCACTAACAACAATCATTTTCTTCAGTCCTGACGAGCCGCGAGCACGGCGTAGCGACAATATGGTACGCGTCCAAACCCATTCGTCCCAGCGGCGGCGGTCTCGTCATGCTGACATCGTTCTCTGTATCAAGGCTGGTCGCGACACTCGGGTCCAAATCCAACCTGAAGAAAGTGACGCGTAGAGCGATCCTAGACGTCAACGTCCCGAAAGCATGCCAGACCATCACGGAGCCCGAATTGCCCATGGCGCTACGTCTCCAGGGGAGTTTGTTGTATGTTTCACTCCACTCTTGAATTTTCCAAGAGGAAAACCAAAAGGAAATCAGCTCCCCATACGGTAAATGTCTTGTGGCTGTTTGGTCGTTGACTGTTTGGACGGCAGGTTCGGAATGACACGAGTCTTCTCGCAGCAATGTGGTTATGTCCTGGTCGATGTCACGAGTCTGAGGGACAAGATGAGGGGGACTGAATATGCCTCGAATGAGATGGAAGTCGATCCGGAAGTGAGCAAGACGAGGTGAGTTTCAAACACCGGTATACGTGCTCCGAAAGAGGGAACGGTACACGAGAATAGGCAGAACTGACATGTTCCGTAACTGCAAAACAGACCTGAACAGCTCAACATTCAAGAAGACCCTTTCTATTTCCCCGAGATGCACCTCAATTTCGACCTCGCTGCTTTTGGTATCATGTCTGAATACCCGACGGCGAATAGCGGGACCTCACCACACAGCCTTCCATCAACGCAGTCGAGCCTACAGGTTGGTGACGGGGACTTTGATGAAGAAGAAGGAGAAGAAGCTGGTCTGGACATACCTTCTTACAGCACGCCTGGAGGAATATCGGGGTTCGTTTCGGCATCAGGAACAAGCTTTCATACAGGCAGCGGCAGCAATATACAAGAGCGTTCTTTTCTGTTCGAGGACGAGCCCCTTGTTCTCGATGACCCTGTCTTTGACCTTGGGGATGACGGGTTTCTGCATCCAGCTGTTTCCGCAGACTTGCAGGACGAAGGCGAGACAGGCATAGGTGGGCATGCCTTACTTGGACACGAGGCGGGCGACGCCGACAACAACGCTGGCGGTTCGATGGCAGATGAGCACTTCCATCTGGACGACGACATCGTGATGTTTGAAGACGCAGAACCTGTGATTCAAGCTCCTGAAGGACCAGAGGCTCGACAATCTGCAGGTCCAGAAGATCAACATGGCCTATATGGGACTTCCCTGACCGGGCCTTCCCAAGAGCAGTCAGAGACGGCTGAGGCACCGCAGCAACGGGTACGCCAGGTAAAGCCTCTTCGGCCAGACCAGCGGACAGAGTTAAGCAATCGAGACCTGAGCGACTGGAACCAGAACTATCTTGCCAACATGGAAGAAGCCATGATCGCACAACAAAACAAAAAATCTCACCGTGAAGCAAAGAAGAACGCACAATTCTGGGTGATGCAACAAGGTATCGGCAATATTGCCGCCAATTTTGGCGCAGACAGAGAACCTCACCCTCATGCGTTGTTCAGTGGTCAGCCACTCTGGGATCTGCTAGAGGGTGCAGCCACTGCTCTCAAGAGAACGCGCAGCACCTCAACAACCGACGGGGATGAAGACGCGAGACGAGTCAGAGCCAGAACAGCTTCCGACGAAGGTGTAGCTCGTGGACACCATGGCGACGGTGATGGCTTTGTGTTTGGTGACGATGACGTCGCAATGTTCCCAAGCGACGACTTCAACCCTGAGAGCGAAATGGGTCGACAAGCGCCGTCGTCGCTGCCTGACCGATCTTCAGGTATGCCCTGGAACGTCTCCGCATCTCGTCATAGTTCAACTCAGCCCTTTGGGAGCGGATTAGCAGCGAGATTAAGTTCCAGTGTTGTAGGAGGTGTACCCGGTGGTATGGAACTTGTTGGTCCACCTTCGGCACTTGGAAGGCGCGGATCGCGTCTCACGTCTGTAAGTCCCTTGGTAGGAAGAGGCTCGGTTGTATCCAGAATCGGCAGCCCTTCGCATCTCACCAGCAATGAGGATGAATTTGCGGACCTGGATGCCCAGCTTGGCCTGGGTACCGACTTGGACTTCGAGTTGTACGGCCCGGCTGCTGAGGTCGACACGCAGACAGCGCAGCAGAGCTCGTGGATTCAGATGGCCTTGGAGAACGAAGCCAACAATTTTTTCAGTTTCGTCAAAACGAAGATCAGCGAGCAGCCACGTGATGAGCAAGGGGAGGGCGACGGCGGTACAAGTGTACAGGACAAGATCACCTTCGAGGAGTTGCTGCCATCATCTCAGAATTCGTACGTTGTTGCTGCTCAAGGCCTTCTCCACGTTCTCGCATTGGTCACCAGGGGTTTGCTCGGGGTGACACAGGATGACCCCTTTGGAGACATCGAGATTACAGTCGTCAATTTTTCATGACTGCTGGTTACGAGAGGAAGTGAGGGAACAGGGGTTGAAACACCATGGTACTGTACGGGATAATAGTGGACCTGTCGGTCCTATGGTAAGAAGGATATTTTCCGAGTTGTCGCCGTGGTCTGGCTGGACGAGAGAGAGCTACGTCGTGTGCGCAAACGGGTGCAAGACTTTTATGATGTGGACATCAGGCCGTGGATGCGACGAGTCTCGAGAACCACGGGAGAATAATCTGTACAAGTAATCAGAGTTGAGACCGGCAAAAGGACAATCCGGCTTGAAGTAGCTGAATCAACATGTCGTTTGTTAGGCTGTTATTCACACCCGCTCGGCGGTTGAAACAGTGATCGTCTGCGAATACCCGCGAGGCTGGATCGGTGGCTGTGCATGATGAATGTGGCTGAGACGACTCCTTAGCCTCACCAGCCACAATCTTGTGTGCTCACGTGGAACTCTCAGTTTTGATATGTTCATGCCGCTGATACGCTCATGAAGGCTGCTCATATCAAGATGACGGTGCGTGAGGATTGACTGCTGGAGCGGCAGGGCTGGTGAGGCAGGGCAAAAAGTAACTGTGCTTATTAGGCTCGTGAGGCGCACGGCTGTCATTTTAAGGAGGTGGTTTAGGTTAGAATATCCTCCGTACTGCGAGACGCGGTGCTGTAAGTGGCTGGGTCACCGCAGGTCAGTGGCTGTTTCTAGGGCCCGACGGAGGCCAAAGAGCGCACGGTGCGGGTACGCCTTCGCGTCAGTGGCCCATGTACCTACCTATATGGAGAAGAGAGTATTGTACCTACAGTAGCTAAAGCCTACAAGGACCTAGATTGGTGCAACAGCCTATAGGTAGCGATCAGTGCCCGAGATCAAGCAGCTGGGCGAGGCACGCGAACAAATCAAGGATCTGTGCCTGGCAGCTCGCCGACGAATTTTCTACAACCATCACTAGTTAGGCTATGGAGATGGTAATCATCAATATCCAGTACCCAGTGTACGAGTACGAGTATGGTCCTGAAGAGGTATTGCACCTGTCCACGTACTCATGGCTACGCTCTGTGAGGATGGGCTATAATCGAGAGACTCGTAATCCCTACGGAGATTCACCTGCTATCCGACCTATGGATACGTAATCCGAGATTGATGTCTCTCTAGACTGGTCCTTTGGCGTCATTGACCTACTGTACTCTCTTTACCAGAACTTCCCGGGATCAGGGGGATGCCTAGCTTGATGTGCCTCTGGCAGATGAAGAAACCCCCTACAGGCCACAAATCCAACAAGAGGGAGCTGGGATCGATCGTAGTAGCCTTCAGAATGGAGTAATCATACCTTAGGGGGCTGTAGGCGGCCCTCTGAGTGGCTTTAGGTAAGCCTAGTGAGCCCTAGACCCCCAAGCCTAGGTAGGTACCCGACCGTAAGCGCAGTAGTTTAGGAAACTTGGAAGAAGTCTCGCCCCAAAGCGACTCGCGCTCCGTACGCTTCGACCGTCTCCCGCACTGTGCATTGACCTTGCATGTCCACCGCACACGAGCATAACCACCGTTGTGCTCTTTGTTGTGACAACTCGTCATCGTGGGACATTCTGTTCACTTCATTTTTTTCAGTTCGATCCTTTCAATTATACTTTCTTGAGCCGATCTACGCCTGGTTGCGTTGGCAAGGCATTGTTCGCGCTATTCACTTTCCATCACACCAGTCCATAAGAGCAAAGAAACTTGGGTCAACTTCTACATGTTGACCTCGACTTGAACCAGCTTTGCTTCGTCGGCCACTTCTTTGTTCTGCGCCTTCTGCTGCAAGCCCTCGCCATCCTCAAGAAAATAATAAGCGCAATCGTCGGCTGAGATCGTCCTAGGGCTTTCCTGCGTCAGCTTGCGACAATGACGAGCAATCAATATCGCCAACAATGGCAACAAGGCCCAACCCAGGTGCAGCAGCCGTACCAGTACGATCGCAGGGATGACCAAAGGCTATGGCAAGAGAATGGGCGCAGCCAGGGGGTATATAATCAAGACTATCAGCAGTACAATGACTATCCCCAAGATCGCAACGGATACGATGGCGGCTATGGTGATGTCCAGCAGCCTCCAATGAATTATGGTCGTGACGGACATTGGCAAGGTCGAGTCCAGGATCAATATCGACCGAGTGGCTTTCAGGATCCGCCGTACTATGACAATGGGAATGGGTACTCGCAACCGCCGCCGCCGCAGCGCGATCCCTATCCTCAAAATGCCCCGTCACCTAGCCGGACATACCAATACGACGAACGTTACCGTACCAATGCACCGAGCAGGCCACAGCCAGAGCACCATCATAATCATTTAGGTGGACAGAGACCGTCGCGAGAGGCCAGATCTGATCCCTCTGTACCACAGAAGAGATCGAAGAGTAAGACCGATCATATCATTCCGTTCATGTAGGAGATGCTGACAGGCAATAGCGCGGGAACGTATTCTAGCTGAGCCAACATCACCAAAGAACCTAGCCTGGGACAATCCTTTTGGCGCTTGGCCGCAGAAGAAGAAGCCAGGTGACAGGCACAGGCACAACAGCTTAGATTCGGAGCTGAAAGGTCTGAATCTCCATGAGAGACCAGATAGTCAAGAGGCGCGACCAAATACGTCTCATGGACATCGAAAGAGGGACGAACATAGGCCGAACACTGCACATGGCCGCAGACCTAGCATGGAGCGGCCTATGCCACTTCCGATGGATCATCCGATGCAACCCCCGGAGATGATGTATCAACACCAAGAGCCAAGTCCCCCAAGGGATAGACGTGCACAGGCACCATCCCGGCCTCCACCGCTTCAAGACTTCGGGATGGCGCAAATGGATCTCAGCAGACCACCACCACTTCGATCGCAGGAGAACATCCCTCCCTCACCTCGACGTGGACCACGGCAAGATCCACGAGGAGCTGCACCCCTGAACAACAGTGAATACGAGCAAACCGGGCCTTATGGCAGAGTGGACAGGTATGGTTCTCCAGAAGAACATGGTGCGCACGTGAACCGCCTACCTCCACAAGCTGCTCAGCGCAACGATTATGTTCCGGACGAAGGATATGGGCAAGACTATACTTCCTCAAGAGCATACAAGTCACCTGTAGAGCCACCACAACAGACGCAGCAACGCGGGCCAGTTCGTCCGGCCCACACAGAGGGGTTTGACCCGAACGGCTACCGAGGAGTACCCAACACTGTCCAGGGTATCAAGACAAGGAGCCGGGATATGCCCAACTTTGATGCCATACCCACCAATGCGAATGAAAAGCCTGAAGACCACATCAATACTGGGCAAGGATCTTTTGACCGGCAGGTTTATCGGAAGCCAACATATCAGCTCCCTGGCTCGTTCCCTGCTCCAATTGATACAGCCGACATTAGACCATCACCACCATTGAACTACAACAACAATGGTTCGCCTCTTGCCGAGTTTACTTTTGATCTGCCGCCAAGCAGAACCAATGGCTCAATCGACCGACCACCGCCAGAGTCGCACCAAAACGGTTACAACGACCCTCCCAAGCATGGGCCTGGAGGCTATGAGAACCCTCAGCGCCCGCAGCAAACACAGTTTCCTCCTCGAACAGCGAGCAGGAACAACATGAAACCGCCACCTATCGGAGATTTACCACCCGTGCCCAGCAATGCTCCTACATACCGATCACTAAATCAAGACCAATATCCTGCACGCCCTCATACGAGCAATGCCCAGCGACCTGCACCGCAGCCTGATATCGCAACACCATACGATAGAAGCTACTCCGACCAGTTTAGGGCTCCTTCGGCTCCTATCCCTAATGAGTTCAACCAAGGCTACGGTCCAAATGCAACTCAACAACAGAGACAACCTTACGGGCAGCAACGACCTATTCCACGAGGAATGTCTCAGGAGAACTATCCGAGTGGTCCACCACAAAGGAAACCGTCGCAGGATAACTACATCCCTGGTCCACCTCGACCTTCAACTTCGTCTGCTCATCCGGTTCCTGTCAGACACTATGGCGATTCGAGCGTCAAACTCAACACCAATCCAGATGCTCTGCCTGCACACCCAGAGCCAGTTAGGGGCGGTGGAAATGGATATCAACCACAAGTCCAACCTCCTCAACCGGCAACGGCGCGAGCACCTCTACAAGCACAAGCAGCACCTGTAGCAAAGCGAGATTCTGCTCCCGGCAGTAGCGATTCGCCAGCTGTAACACTTCAAGAGCTCAACAGCCTTCGTGTAGAATACAGCAAAAATCCGGCCAACTATGCTGTTGGTTTGAAGCTTGCAAAGAAACAAGTCGAAGCTGCTAGGGTGCTTGCGGACGAAGGTGGTGCTGCTGATGCTAAGACAACTCAAAAGAACAGAGAAAAATACATATTCGACGCCCACAAACTGGTCAAGAGATTAGTCGCGGCGAATTATCCTGACGCCATGTTCTACCTGGCAGACTGTCATGGCCAAGGTCTCCTCGGACTTCCAGTTGATCCAAAAGAAGCGTTTCATCTGTATCAATCCGCTGCGAAACTCAACCACGCCCAAAGTGCGTACCGTGTCGCCGTTTGTTGCGAGCTGGGCTCCGATGAAGGTGGTGGTACGCGCCGTGACCCCTTAAAGGCGATCCAATGGTACAAACGCGCGGCCACACTGGGCGATACCCCTGCCATGTACAAGATGGGAATGATCCTGCTCAAAGGTTTGCTGGGGCAACAGAAGAGTCCACGTGAAGCTGTCTCGTGGCTCAAGCGCGCAGCCGAACGAGCCGACAAAGACAATCCGCACGCTTTGCACGAGTTGGGTCTACTTTACGAGTCTGCGTCCGGCAACGACAGCATCGTTCGCGACGAGAGGTACGCCTTTCAGTTGTTCCAGCAGGCGGCCGAGTTGGGATACAAGTACTCCCAATTCCGGCTTGGGTCGGCGTTCGAGTACGGTCTTCTCGGTTGTCCCATTGACGCACGGCAGAGCATAGCTTGGTACACGCGCGCTGCGGCACAGGGTGAACACCAATCCGAGCTCGCCCTCAGCGGGTGGTATCTTACTGGTAGTGAGCCACTGTTGGTTCAGAGCGATACCGAGGCGTTTCTGTGGGCTCGAAAGGCGGCTAGTTCCAATCTTGCAAAGGCCGAGTATGCAATGGGATACTTCAACGAGGTTGGTATCGGGACTGGAGTTGATATCGAGGAGGCGAAGCGATGGTATTACAGGGCAGCATGTGAGTGACTTTGGGCTTTTCCTTTTTTTTTCGGCGGCAGTTGTCCTGACTGTCATGGTTGTTTTTGTTTTTGGTCGTTACGAAACTAACATGTCGTTTTTGCCACATCGCAGCTCAAAATTTCCCCAAAGCCCGAGAACGTCTCGAGGAATTGAAACGAGGTCAGAAGATGCAGAAGACACGTGTTTCACGATCAAATGTCAATAGACAGAGTGACGGGGAGTGCGTAGTCATGTAAAAGGAGAGTAACCCCCAGAGCCCATCTCATTATGAAGTCCGACGACGCCAAGAGAGTATTACTGGTGGTTGTAATGCGGTAGGGGAGGGAGGGGAGGCCTGGAATGTGGTTTCATGACCAAAACAAAGAAAGAACAGAACAATATACCCTTGGTTGCGTTGGTTGTATGGATTGTACATTTGCGAGAATGATGTACTACCTACTTACTTGTTGTACATGTCATAACATGACTGTGGCCGAGTAGAGAAGACACGGTACTAATAAATCTTTGCTTGATATGTTTACAGGAAAGGGCACCAGAGTTACTGGTGAACCGAATACGGAGTGTGGATACGATGTGGACTTTACACCTCTCGGGAGTCTTATGCTACGACTACCAAAGAGAGACCGAAGTCACTCGGGAGATTGGAAACGTTCATAGACAGGCACTTGACGGTCTATGATGGAGACGAACGAGTGCCAGAACGACGGGGCGATGCATGTACCGTATGTACCTCGGTAGACCGTGGGTTGGACGTGTGTTCTTCTACCTGTGTTTTGATCAAGGCTCAAGTTGGATTTGTTGGCTGAGCGAAGAAGCAGGTGCTCGCAAGGACGTGCTGCAGAGGTACATACTACAGAATACATATATCTAGACCATCACCGGTAAGAATTGGAATTTTCTTGGAGTGCTTGGTTCGAAAAAAGAAACTGAAACTGAAACGAAACGAAAAGCAAGGAAAACCGCTCCCTCCCAAACCTACCTTTCTGGGTGTTTGATCGAAATCGAAAGTCCTTAGCAACCAGCCTCCCTCCATCCGAGCTGACCATTTGAAGTTCGAAATACCTAGGCAGGCAGGCAGGTAAGGTAGGTGGCTGGCTGACAATGTCTGGAGTTTGACCTCGGAAAGATGGCAGTGACCTACTAGGCCGTGGTGCGATCTAAGAGTCTCTTGATGGAGTTCGAATTTTGGCCATGACGCCTCGCATTAGAGCTTCGACGTCTTCCTCCTTCATGACGGGAAGTCCGAGCAGGTCGTTGTCCAGCTTTCCACCAAAGTCCTGTCCGAAACCTGGGCCCCAGCAGGCCCGGGCGATGAAGCCCAGCATCGCGGTCGTGTAGTCGCCTTCCTCGACGGCCTTGTGGGAGCGCTCCTCGACGTCGGCGGTCGCCATCGGGGTCGTGTCCCACCCGGCCTCGCCGTCGATCTTGGTCGCGATCCGCATCAGCTGGTTCTGCGTGACGGCCGCGTCGTGCACAAAGACGTGCCGGTTCCTCGTCTCCTCCGGGTGGGTTATCACCGCCACGACCGCCTTGGCGATCGTGTCGAGCGTCGTGACGGAGTTCGGCACGTCCCCTCCGTCGTACACGGTCGCCGTGTGCTCCTTGAGGTTCACGATGAGGCCCAGTTCGAGTTGCCAGTCGAAGAACGACCCCGTGTTGATGATGGAGTACGTGAATTCCGGGTGCGCGGAGGCTCGGCGCTCGAGGTATCTCTGCGTCTTGTCCTTGTCGGCCCAGAGAAGTGGGAAACGTCGAACCTTGCCGTTGGCGCCGTTGCCGTACTCGGACGGGAGGAATCGTTGGACGCCGGCCTCGACGGATGCGTCGATCAGCGACTTCTGCGCGGCGAACAGGTCCTGAGAGCCCAGCGCGCTCACGACGACGTCCGCACCTGAGAGCGCCTCGACGAGGGACCGGTGAGACGCGTAGTCGACCTCTTTTACTTGGACCGTGGCGTCGGAGTCCGGTGGGAGTGGGATCTTCGAACGACCCCCCGCCCGCGTGAGGATGGTGAGTGGGAATGACGCGGATACGAGAGCTTTGAAAATGGATCGGCCGAGTGTCCCTGTGGCACCAACGAGAGCGATGTGCGGTAGAGACATAATGGCCTGTCGAATCGCAGAGGATCAAAGAGATAGGTTTCAGAAGACGAGAGCGGACTTTTGGATATTAGTTAGAGAAAGGGGGGGAAAGACGTAGCAGTGGTGATGACAGGCTTGATATCAAGAGTGTGTATAGGAGCGTCTTCTCCTTGACTTCGTAGGGCAGACCGAGGATCTACAGGACTCAATTTTACTTGCAACAATAAACTGGTCGGTCACTTTCACATCTCCTATGGCCGCGCTTCGACCGTGGCCTTTGTAGGTGGGCGATGTCCTTGGTAACAGATCGTGTCGATGATCGATTTGATTTGTAATGAAAGAAACCGTGTTGACGTTAGTGCAAAGCAGAGTACCACGGCTCTTATAGCGTGCAGGAGAAAACTCCAGGGTGCGAAAGAGGAGAAAGAAGGCCTTGATAACCGAGTACCTGGGATGTACGAGACCACGGACGAAAGGAAAAGACGGACGAAATCGATAGTTTCAGCAATCATCAACTTCATCGAACATCGAGCAGAAACGGACAATGTAGATAGAAGTTGAAACGAACTGAACTCCACTCCACTCGATGTCCTATCTAGACATTCGATCCACGGAAATCCATGCTCCCACCATCCCTGTTCCTCTTCTGCCCAGTTTCCCCCAAGCACAAGGGCCGGCAACAAGCAAGTCCAAATCTCGCCGTGGGCAGACGTCAAGGAAGAGGCAAGGAGGAAGCTCTTATCCATCTGAATTATTCTGGGACTCAAGGGCATTGAAACGTGAGCGTAGACAAAAACCACATTTAAACGTAATCTGGGCACTCATGGACAATCATCACGAAAAGGTCAGAGTTTGATACAATCATATTCATTGATTGATTGAATGGTGTGTGATAGCTAGACTAAAGGAAAAAGGAGACCAACCAGCCAGCTGACTTCACAAGGAGTCCAGTTCATGCTGTAGGAAGGTTGACAATCCGAAAGAGCAGGTCCCTTAAACCACCCGAAGCATGGAAGAGCCTGTTCTATCTGGATTGTACTTTTTTTTTTTTTGAGTTTCCATTTTTTGTAACAAAATCCACACGCTGGAAAAGAGATTCACTGGCCAATTGGAATATGACCTCGCCTTTTGTTCGGAGAGCAGAGACTTCAACTGCTCAAAGTGGGTTTGCAAACCGGCCTCTAGACCATGAAGAGGAGTCGCGCAGTGCCGCAAGCCCTCAGAGACTGTTTGGTGGCCTAGATGTACCACATGGACCACAGAATGGAAGATCCGGCGCCGGTGAACAGTGGCAGGAGTGGTGCGACTTCCGTGTCGGATGGTTGAGAAGAGCCACTTGGTGTCTTCATCTTGTAGCCTGCGCCACCTTGAGGTCCTCTATGTGCTGGGACATCCTCGTGAGCTTTGGCACGGTTGGACGCAAGATGCGCATAGTACGCTGCCGGGTGCAAGCTGACAGAAGTAGTGCTACGCATGTATTGGTAGCAATGCTCGTAGATCATGTTCTGCAGGGCGTTCGGAGAGTGATTGGCGTCGTCGTAGATGACGCTGTAATGGGTAGGGCGTGAGGTACCCTGCAACGCAATGTGAGAGTACAGATAGAAGTCGAATTCATTCGGACTCGTAACATCTCTCTCAATCAAACAACCAGGAAGGGGATTGCCCTTCGGGTCACTTGCATCCTTTCCAGGGAACGCTCGAACGTGGTGACGCTTGCCAGCAATCACGACGGTGAGGGTACCGGTCCAGTCCTTGTTGTTGTTGCATTCCGTCAGGACCGCCTTGATGTGCGGAACTTCGGTACGAAGCACCTGAATAAACTGGCCCTCCGAGACACCGTCACGGATGTAGTAGACCTGGGATGGAATTGCTCCGCCACCGACTTGGCTCATCCATTCACGGACAAGAGGCTTGAGCATACTCCTCCAGTTGTTCTCAGTGATCATCTCCACGCGACGACCGTTGGTCTGGCATGCAGCTGCATAACGACCAGCGAATCTGTCGAAAGACACAGTGATAGCTGCCATCGACGCCTGCTCGCTTCCGGGGGAAGCATGGGATACGTCGGCACCAATGATCATGGTAGGCTTGTTGAAGCCCTTGAACCCGGACGTGGGATGTGATACTGACTGCGCAGTGGACCCGCCGAGCTTAGCGTTGACCTTCATCAATACGTTGGAGTAGTATTGAGGATTGCCTTTCAAGACCTGCTGGATCTGCATACACTGACTAACGATACCGAAGCGGCAATCCATCGACTTCTTGATACGCAGGTAGTGAAAAGCTTGCTTGTCCTGAAGAAGGAATATCAAGAGCTGAGGTCGACGTTGGAACTTGTTACCTGTCGCCTGGTACAGACCGTTGACTGCCTCGCCGACATCTGCCTTCAGCGGCATGATTACCGGGGGTTGGTTGGCAACCTGACCGCCATGATCACGATAAGCTCGGGTGAAATCCAGAGCAAACTTTTCCAGAGCTGGCTTGTCTGGTTTGAAACGGCCCGGGAAGAAACCGATGCCCCAAGAGACAAGTTCCTGAGGATTGCGGTTCAGGAATCGGCAGCCACGTAGATCCCATCGACCTTTAGTTCCAGGTTGTTGAGTCTTGTTGGCGAACTTCACACCTGGAGCTGGCAGGACTCGAGCATTGGTTTTGATGGGCTCGGGATTGATGCGCAGGCCATAATTCTTGAGGTAAGAATCACCAGCCCAGTCGAGCCAAGCCTTGCCTTCGTTGATAGCCTGTAGGCGAGTGTGAGGCGGGCTGACAGCAAACTTGATCATGTTCGCGGTCTGGACCTCATCAAGCTTCACATTGTAACGTGAGCCAGGAAGAACCTGTAGAAGCTCCATTGGATATTTGACACCCTTCTTTGTCATCTCGACCAAAGGTAGGTTCGGGTACTGTAGAGCGACGTTGTACTTGCGTTGAAAGTACTGGGCAACAGTCAGTTTCTCGCCGGTTGGCTGTTTGGTGACCGGATCCTTCCAGTCAAGTTGCTCCTGATGAGCATTGTGCATGGACAAAGTATGAATCTTCCACTCCTTATTGGGGAACGGGTTGCCCTTGTATTGGGCGATGACCATAACACCCTTGATTCCCTTTCGGACCGTGATGTGGTCAAGGCTCTCCTCTGGAGTTCCGTTGCCACGAGGTGCCAATTTGGCCGTCACCACAGAAGGGTTCTGCATGCCCCATCGCGTAATGATCGTGGCCAGAAGTCCACCAGGCCTCCAAAAGCAAGTATTGGCAACATCGAGATTGATTATCAGTTTCTGACCTTCGGCCAGACGCATTGACTGGTACACGCCACGCCACACTTCGACGCTGCCACCGAGATCGGCACGCTGACCTTGACGTTTGAAGAGTGATCGACGAATCGTGAGGAACTGCGGGTTGGAGTTGGGGCCTTCGCGGAGAAGGTGATCCATGAAATTGATGCACTCAGCGACATCTTGTCCGAACTGAACGCGTCCGTGGAGATATTGTTGGATGAGGCTAATGTCCACCTCTCGGGTCTTCTTGATATGGAGTCTGAAGGTGTTGCGGCCATCTCTGGTCGGACGACCCTCCTCCACGTCAAGGTCGACCATCAAACGGATCTCACTGTGATCACGCAGAGACCAAGCAAGGCGATTGCCATCGTACAACATGGGGGGTCCAGTGGCGTTCTTGCGAGCTTTTGAATTCCAGACCTTGCGTTGAACAGCACGCTTCTCGGTACCGTTTCCGATGGTAACATCGTACTGGTACACCTTTGCAGTCGGGTATTGCGCTACTTGGTATGCATTGACAGCAAGTTGGATAGCCTTGCCAGTATTGTTGTAGCCAGGGCGTTTGGTAAACTCTGTGGGCAGCGCGTACTTTTTCTCATAGTCAGTGCCAGGCGCAGTGACATTGCGGAAGTATGGAACATATGGAACGCTTTTTCTATCTGACATTTTGATGGATAGACGTGGAATTTTGACGGATGAAAGGTTTGGAACACCGTGCGAAAGAGAAGGGGGAAGGGGCTCTTAAGTAGTAGGCAGCTTGACGCTGCATCCCTTTCGGTGGCGAAGCCATTGAAGGGCAGGTAGAACATTACTTGCACCGAGACTCGGAGCAGAGTGACAGCCTACACCGTTCCAGGGCCTTTGTGAAGAAATGCGGTGCAACAAGTAGGGCAAGGATGGAAGTCGGTCAGAATTGTGTGGACGCGGTGGTGAAAGGCTGACGCCAGAAGATGGTGACGGCCCTGAATGGAAGGATGGATGGATGAATGAAAGGGTGAGTGGGTGCATGTGGATCAATGAATGGATGAATCAATGTGCAGAGTGAAACATGGTCTTGTGTGTTAAGCTCGGACAAAGATGTGCAATGTATGTGCAGGCAGAGGCAGCAAGAGCAGTGCACGGGGAACATTGAAGGGCGAATTTTCACTTACCAGCTGATCAATGTTGTAGAATGAAGGAGGAAAGTCGATGTTTCGGAGCTGGTCGGTGTAACGAGACGGTGTGTCCCTCGCCGGGTCTCCGAGAGGAGCTGCCGGTTGACTCGGAGCCGGTCCACCGCCAGATTGGCTGCTTCCACGACTAGCAGCGGGAGGGTTTTGAGGTGCGAATCCGCCTTGAGGAGCGTTGGGCGAAGTACCGTGTCCTGAACCAACGTTCGATGCTGAACCTCGACTGGCTGGACCATCGAAGCCGCCTGCAAAACCGCCTTGGCCAGATCGATCGCCACGACGAGAGCTTGTCTCACTGGACGGACCACCTCTAGTGGCCCTACCAGCGCCTCTCTTTCGCGCCGCGCCGCTCATGGTGGGCAGATGGGAGCGAGAATGGAGGAACCTGTTGTGGCAAAGTTAGATGGCGCTGTTGGATCGATGAAGGAGGAAAGAAGAGCAATGAGGCGTCGGAGCGGAGAAGAGTTAGAAGGTCGGAAGAAGGATGGAAGGAGGGAAGGAAAGAGGAGGCAATGGCCAATAAATGGTGGGAAGGAAGGAAGGAGGAAAGGCAGTGAGATTGCGGACGAGTTGACGCGTGTTTGTTAGTGTTTTCAGGCAGTGGTTGACGGCTTTGTGAGGCAAGAAAGAGCGGTGTCAAAGGACAACGTGAGAGAATGATCAAGGGCTTGATGGGAGAGAGAAAGAGAACTGACTGATATTTTCCCTGTCAATGCAAGACCTTGACGTGATGTGAGAACTGTGACAAAAGTGGTGGATAGAGAGAGATGGAACAGACTGAGTTCTCTGAGATGAGGAGATGGAGATGAGGAAAATACACGAAGATGTAAACAAAGCAGTGAAGCTGAGGATGAAGACGAGGCAGAAACAGCCAAAGGCGGCGAAACGAGAAGCTGGATGTTTGTTGCCAATGGACTCACTCTCAGCGTTGCGAACGGCAGGCGCCGTGCTCAATCGACGGCCGCGGGAAGGTGCCGCCGGCGACCATGTACCTGATGCGATACTTGGATTTGACTGCGGCGTCGTATCAGCCAGACTGCGGGTGAAACTGGACGGTTCATGCCAGTTGCAAAGGAAAAAGGGATCATACAACAACCACAGCGAGCGATGCGACACGTTCAGCCCTGCGACGCGTCTCCCTTGCTCTACTCTCTCCTGCTCGGGGAACCCCGGTCGATATATGCTAGGAGATGAAGGCCAAAGTACGGATTCCTCCCTTCAACACGGATCCCGTTCTCTTCCTCGCGAGACGCACCTTTGGGGAAACATCTGGCGGTGACGAAGAAGCAGCCTGGAATTTTCAATCGGCCACGGGAATATTGACTAGTGCGAGTACAGGACTAACTACAATAGGGTGGTGCAGATTGCGGGGGAGTCAGTGCGATTGGCGAGGCAACTTGCCGCGAGGAGAGAGAAGATACTCTGCAGGATTCCGACTGCGAGTACAGGTGGCGGAATTGCATGAAGCAGACATCCAGATACTCATGATGAATCAGTCACACAAAGAACACCGAGGATTACGCACATTGGTACTGTAGGTACCTAGATCAAGGTATTATTCGGCTGTGATAGTCCCAGTAGGCTTTCTGTCAACAACAAAACTGCCGCCATGACAGCGGTGAGAAAGCTGCTGTACATTACCAAGTCCAAAGCCCTCACCAGGGCCTTTGCGTCCATCTGACTCATGCATGGGTCGTTCTTCAAAGTCCATTTTCGCCAATCCTCATGGCCACCAAATCTTTCTCCAATCATTTTCCCCGGAGATCTGCCCCGGAAGCAGCCATTCGTAAGAAACAAGATGCACTGTAAAGAAAGCATGAATTTCCTGTACTTCGTGGTCGATGCACATCGCCGTGATCTTGGGGAGACTCCGAGGCAGCAAACTGACGTAGAGCATGTACCACAACCCGGTATTTGGACCTCCCACATTTAATGCACTCAAGCAGGCCCAGTATAGTTGTCCACTGGGTCAACACCAAGATTCGTTATAGATCGGGCTGCAGAATATCCCTCTTCAGCAAGCTGTTTAGTATACGCCTCGGCTGCCACCCGAGTTTAAGGATATCGGTATGGAGCTACAACAGAGTCAGTATATTAGAGAGCCATCAACAGGGGTTTAATCCACTCACCACTTCCATATGGCGCCTGAGAAACTCCTGGTGGGGGCATGAAACCTTGTGGCGGCATTGGGGAGGGTTGATGCTGCGGATAGGACTGCCAGCCAGCCGCTGAAACAGGTTGCGGGGGAGGTTGCTGACCAGTAACTGCAGCAGGAGGAGGCAAGTGGATATCTCGGATGAGTTCCACCATCTTGGTTGCATCCAGCCGGGCATCAACATATGTGGAGGCTTTCGGGAGCACGCTGAGGAGATATGTAATTTGAGGAGGCAGTGGAGGAGGAACAGGGAATGCCGGCATACCGGCGGGAGCATTCGTCTGACGTTGCTGCTGTTGATTTATACGACGGCCAGCGGCGCCTTTCAAAGGTGATTCGCCCCGGGCCATCTTGCGTGGGCCAACGTCCTCGAAATCTTCGGGATATGGCCGTTTTGGAGAATTGGTGGTGATTGAATCGATGACCTTCTGGATCGGAGAGTTGACGACATCCGGCATTTCGATAGAAGGTACTACAGATGTCTGAGGTTCTCGGGTCTGTGTCGGAGATATCACGGGATGGACACTAATGGTATCGAAGGTTGCTGTACTGTAGCGGCTGGAGAACAACTTCAAGTCGGGGTCTTCAGGGAACAATTTCCTCATTCTCTCCTCTAGCGACTGAACCTGAGCCAGTTCGCCATATTTGGATTCATAATCATGGAGATAAGCAAACAGCGGCTTCGCTTTGGCCGTGTATACTGTATCATCGTGGGCAAGCAAGCGTTTGACTGTGGTTTCGAACACCGCCCTCGCGTTTGTGACGTCGTTGATCTCGAAGAGATGCTTGACATACTGCAAAGGTAGATACTCGTCCTCGGGAAACAGCTTCATCCCACGGTCGAGGATTTTGGTACCGGCGGGATCGCGATAGCACTGCCACTCGATGCGCGCTGACTCAACGTAAAACTCGCTGGTCAGCTTGCCCCGTTTCCGAGCTTCGCCAAAGACGGTTCGGAACCCACTAGGTCCTTTCTCGCCTGGCAAGCCTTTTCCTTGCACTCTCCGTGTTGCGCGCATCAGTGCAATCCAGACGTGAGAAATGGTACGACTGAGCATATCTGTCTGCGCCTGTGCAGTTTTTCTGATAAGCTCAATCTGACCGTCAACGACGGCTTTCCTTGCCGTGACGTTGGCAGCATTGATTTCGTCCTCTTCGGCTCCGTCGGTGTCGCCATTCGTCGTAGCTGCGGCCTCTGTTCTCTGAATCTCGAGAGCTTCTCTTGCAGCGACCTTCTTGATGAGGTCGTATAGCGCATCCAAAACTCTGTCGTAGGGTTCACGGATTTTTTTCATTCTTTCCCGGGCTCCTGGGTCTGCAGCCTCGTCATTCTGTGTTGAGGACTCGATGCGGTCCGCGAGCTTGAAGGCAAGGAGCGGTGATTCAACGTTGGCAGTGATGCCCTGATTCAAGAGTTTGATACCATCATTTTCTAGGCCGTTCGCAAAGCAGAACTCCACGGCATCATACCACATCTCTGGCCAAAATTGCAAAGCCATCAACGCTTGCTTGTAGGTGAATAGAATTCTGTTTCTGTACAGAGCGAGGTCTTCGTCCTTGATCACGAGGTTATCTTCTTTTTCCCACTCGATCCATTGTCTCCATAAATGGACTTGGTGAAGATATTCGGTATGGCCATCGTACCCGGCTGCCGGCGGCAACCGTGGCCTCGAGGTTCGCTTGAGGTCTTTGGTCAAGTTTTGCAGTTGAGTGTACGCAGTACGTGCCGTCATGTACACGGGCGATTTTTCTTGCAAATATTTTCGACCCTACAATCAGTTAGCACCCAGAGGTAATTGAGACAGGTGTAACGTACGTTGATCTTGCTGAGACCCGTCTCAAAAGCGTCGTATTCCTTCCAGAGAACTGTCGTCGCGGCTGTAGGTACGGCGATTGCTTTTTGGTACGCCTCTCGCAACGTGTCGACTTTCGCGGCGTCTTGCCAACCAGTGCCTCCAATTATACCAGGACCGCTCTTCAGGAAAGTGATGTAATCCTGCCACAGAGGGCCGGAGCTCATGTCCATGCCGATAGTCTTGAGAGCAAAACTGAAGGACTCATTGATGATGTTGTAAGATCTTGTAACATCGCCGGACTGCATGCTGTTACGCCTGCGGATGTAGTTGATGTATAACGTCCAAAGTTGCACGTCGAGAACTTCAAGGAGAGATCGATTGAAAAGAGTCTCCATCGCACGAAGACGATCGTGTTCTTCCTCCCATTTCACGTAAGCGCACCATTGTTCGGCCTGAAAACTGTTAGTTACGAAAGGCAAGATTAGGGATTACACATACAGCTAGAGGAAACACTGTAAGATATTGCTCGTAGATCCGTCGGACATCGTCTTGCTTGTTTCGACTCTTTAGTTCATCAATCAGTTCGAGATATGCAGCTGTATCTCCTCGCGGGTCGTCTTTGATGCGATCCTCGAGAATGCCAATCACATCATGAGCTAGTCGGGACTTGGGTAAAGCTGCACTGACGGTACCATTCACATAAGAACGGGGCGGAGAAGGTTGAACTGGAGCTGGAGTGGCAGGAACAGTCTGAGTAGGTGTAGCAGTCGCAGCACGAGGCGCATCACCGCTTGGGGGAAGAGTGGAAGAAGAAATGTCAGTGAGACTACCAGTGGCCTGGACAGGAACAGGAGTGATTCCATTTTCTTGTTCTGGGGACTGGGAAGTTCTATCAAGGGGATTCGAAGGGGCAGCAGGAGTCGGTGCATCGAAATCCAACCCAACGGCTGGATCATAGAAATCTGCATCATCTTTATCATCCTGGCCCGCCTCCTCTTCGTCTTCTTCGTCATCATCCACTTCAAACCCACCCACAATCCGAGGTTTGGATTGCGACTGCGGAGGCACGGGACTCATCGACTCAGCCATGTTTGGTGTTGCGGCTTGTGAGGAAACTTGGCTGATAGGCTTCATGGAAAGAGGATGTAGAGTAGATTGAGTCGGAGATAAAATTGGGTCAGAGAGATTATCGACAGGAAGTTCTGATGTAGATGGTTGTACGGCTGATTCTGCTTCAGCTGCGTCCGTAGCACCACCAAGACCAGCCTCCTCCGCCGTAGCAGAGGGCGAGAAATGCTCCTGGTCTGAATCCGCCATGAAGATGCTAGTGTGATATTAGAAGGCAGAATGGGGTGAAGGTGACAATAAAGGAGGTCTGCCATAGTCAGTATCGAACTTGTCCGCGGCGTAGTAGAAGGCTAACCAGAGATATTTCCAACGGTTATGTGACGATATGAAACAAGGGTACCATGACTTTTATCCGGTTAAAGAGACACAAAGAGATTCGTTCCAAGGATTACTGGTACAACAAGGTGTTTGGGTTGGTTGTTTTGTCAAATGGATGTGAAATCATCGACAGCGAGAAAAGGCGGCAACCGCAGTTAGCATGATTCACCGTATAAACTACGCTATTGGTCGCTAAAGCACGCGCTAAAACGCGACCCATTTCTCGGGTCGCGACAGTTGATTGAGTGCATGCGCAACTTTCTCTGAGTGCCTCATTCAACTACCGTACTACACGACCGCTCTCAATCCTGTGAAAACCCATTGCTTTTTTGCATCCTCACTCCGTTTTACCCATTGTACTACTGCTATTGTGCTCAGATCCCGGCTTTCGCAACCATGTCTGTGGTGTCGCTGTTGGGCGTCAAGATCTTGAACAACCCTGCGCCATTTACCGCTCCATATGAATTCGAGATCACGTTTGAGTGTCTCGAGCAACTTCGAGAAGGTAATTGGCCTTGCGCTATTCCAGTCTGCAATGGCTGACGCTGCCGACCAGATCTAGAATGGAAACTCACATATGTCGGCTCTGCAACATCGGCCGAACATGATCAAGAACTCGACTCACTTCTCGTTGGACCAATTCCTATCGGCGTGAACAAGTTCATTTTTGAAGCCGATCCGCCAAACCTCACACGACTACCGTCCTCAGAAATCATCGGTGTTACAGTCATCCTTCTTACTTGCTCTTACGATGGCCGGGAATTTGTTCGTGTTGGTTACTACGTCAACAACGAGTACGACAGTGAAGAGTTGAACAATGACCCGCCCGCGAAGCCCATCATTGAGCGTGTAAGACGGAACATTTTAGCTGAGAAGCCCAGAGTCACGCGATTTGCGATCAAATGGTGGGACCACAGTGTATCAAACAATGCTTGCCCCTAGGCTAACACCTCTGCAGGGATTCTGAAGAATCAGCGCCTGCTGAATACCCACCGGATCAGCCCGAAGCTGATACGCTCGACGACGATGGTACAGCATACGGCGCAGAAGAGGCAGAGATGCAAGCCGCGCTAGAGAAAGAGCTCGAGGAGACTGAAATCGCGGCACAAGCCAAGCCAAAAGAAGGCGACCAGGAGATGGCTGAGAATAAGGAAAAGGAGGAAGATGAGGAGAGTGAAGCGGGCAGCGAGGATCTCGAAGAAGAGAGTAGCGAATCTGAGGACGAAGAAGAAGACGAGGAAGGCCCCGAAGTCGAAGACACTGAGATGGCTGATGGGGAGGACAAGGCACCTGCTGCTACTGAGACAAATGGTGAACAGAAAACGGCCGACTCTCAGCCTGAAGTTATGGTTCATTAGACCGTATTCTTTCTTGAACCTCAGCAAGGCGTACGGAGTCGAACAAGATGAGATTTAGGGTGTGATGTGAACATGGTTATGGGACGAAACAGAAGACAAAGTAATGATCGAAGAAGGCACCTTTTCCCCACTGGACGTGTCGATATGAGCTTGAAGACGGGTCATTGAGCTTGTGTTGGATGAATCAACAGTGCCGTGCCTCCCATTAGACTGGCATGGATCATTCATTGCCGACAGAACGAAGAAATGATGTACAGTACATGGGTTTCATCTACAGGTATGAGTCTATTGAATCGTTGAGCCATCCGATGACAGCGCTCGGTATGCCTGCTACAACTTTGGAGAAATGGAACACGAATAGTTAAGCGTGAGAAAAGAAGGATTCATATTGGTACAATAGAGGGAAGAAAGACACTGTTGTTTCCTGTAGTAAACCCGAAGTCACTGACCGAGACCAAGACAAAGCAGGGCAGTCTGCAGTCCGAAAAGTGTCCCGACACTGTCGAATCGGACAAGATATCTTACAGGGCGAGCCAAGGCAGACATGGGTTGCAGGAACAAAAAAGACTTCTTGAATGCAATCTCCCATCTTCATACACCACTGTACACAGCAGTGACATTCCTTCCACATTCAACACGTTGTTCCAGTTGTACTTTTCGTCCCTTTACTTGCACCGAATGCTTCGGCGTGAGATGAAACCGATGTTCTTCCTTACGCCCGGCTTGAATCTCGGCAGCCGAGTCCAAGGGCTTGATGTAAATTGGGTTGGGCACATTGTTTCTCTTGCCCGTACCGAGCTGATAGAATTCATTCCCACCCCACCACAACACGTCCGCGCCCCAGTTCGTGTCGTTCTCGCTGCTCTTATCACTGGCATCAAGGTACGTTACGTTGTCCATGACTGCCGAGACATGCGTCGCCCCTACACTTATCTGAGCCATCCGGATAGGGATGACGGAGTTGGTTCTCTCGTCGTATTCAAAGAGACCACTCAGGGCGGGTACTTTGGTTAAACCGTCTTGGATATGCGTCCATCTGCCGTTGCCCAGTGCGCCTCTGATGCCTGTGCCGCAAGACCACGTGTCGCTTGTGACGCGACCCAAGTTGCGGACCTCGCTGGGGTCCTCAGACGGGCCAACCACACGGGTTGCGTCAATGGTGAAAAAGCTGTTCCGTCCCCCTGCCGAGATGGAAGTCACTTTTGGAACCTGATTCGTGCCCTGGTAATATTTGGAGATGGGGAGGAGAGAAGGGGTGTCAATGTAAGGCGCTTCCGGGTTGTAGTCGAAGCCCAACTGTCCAGAGGAGTTGTCGCCAAAAGCAAATACACGGCCTTCTTTGTCAAGCACCAGAGAATGCGTGTCGCCCGAGGCCAGCTTTGTGATATCAAACCCCTTAAGCGTTGTCAACTCATGGCACATATCGTAAGCGCCTTCGGGTCGGGTGAGCCAAGTCAACCCCGGAACACCGAGCTGACCACGACTAGGGAAGTCTTCGGTACCAGAAGCGGCAGAGAATACACGCCCGGAATTTGTGAGCAGCAGGACGTGCTCAAGACCACCAGAGATGGCTGTCACCTTCTCAAGAGCACCGAGGCCTTTGGGTGTCAATTTTCTGTACGCAATGTCGGAGGTAGTCGTCCAGAACGGGATCCATGACCTCTCACTCATTTTCTTTCCAATTTCTTGGTCTAATTTCGAGACTGGAACGGAGTACACGATGCCATTCTTGCCGAGTCCGATGATGCGGTCTCTTGATAACACAATAGAGCTGAGATTCTTGCCCTTCAACGTAACTGTGGGCTGGACGTTATCCTCTGAGTATCCTTTGCCCCACTGAACGAGATCCCCGTTCTCGAGGACAGCTGCGCCAAAGTCTCGATCTAGTTTAAGATCTCGCAACAAGACATCGTCGAAGAAGGGTATCCTCCGCGGGATTTTGACGTAGGCTTCGTCTGAGTCCGGTGCCACGACTCTGCCGGTGTTTGAACCCCAAGCATAGACTCCTGGGTTCTCCCAACTCTTCTTGACTTGCAGATGCTGTGAGCTGATTAAGTCTCGGATTTCCTCTTTGGACGCTCCCTTTTTCTTCTTCAACTTTTCAATCACGAGTTCTGGAGGTTCCTGCGCTGGGGCTTCGGCTTGGATATGCTTCGGTTGTGAAGCACTATAGACAAGAGCAATGGATGCGACGACGGCGAAGATTGCCGCAGATGGCCTTTTCCATGCTCGATGAGTAGCAGAGTAATTGTGAATATGGTGTCGGGGGTTGTAGAGCTGTACACGAGACCTTGCCTGTGTGATTCTAGATCGTTGGGATCGCGCCAGACTGCGCGCAGCATTTGTATTGAGTTTCGTCGAGACCATGGTGACGATCTGATGGTTCGACAGGGACTAGAATGCTCAATTGAAAACCTCAAGATCACCAGGACCAGATCTTTGAGAAGATGGGTAATTGAAGCCCTCGCTCGTATTCAGAAATCGAGGACGTCATGTCATGCTCATGGTCGACTCCAAGACTGCGGAGGATTCATCAGTCTTGTCAGTGGCCAGAACAATCAGCGGTTGAGCCATCCCCAATCAGTAATTTGACATTTGATGCCCACCATTCGCGCCAGTTCAATGTCCACCGAGCATGCAGGCTGTATGAAGCTGGATGGCAACGAGAAGGTGCTTGTGGGTTTTCTCATGAGCTTTCGAATAGCCTAAGACAGAGCCAGTCTGTCGTAAAACCATGTCCACCGCAGACAATGTTGCGGACAACGAAGATGCCACGCTAGCACAACTTCGAGATGCAGACACGGATCTCGACCTGTTCAGATTGGCCGGGGACATAGATGACTTGCTCTTAGACGCCAGTCTCGATGAGTATCAGTACGTTGATTGCGATTCATTGTTGTATGTTCATCACTAAGTAATAACCAGACAATATCTCGATCAGCTGGACGCAGCACGGAGTCATCTCGACACCCTTCTCGCCGACACGGCCGCGACACTCGACGAGCTGTCCGAGATTTCGGCATCTTTCAAGGCAATTGACACGCAGACCAAGGCCTTCCAGAAGCAATCAGCGAATATTCTCGAGGAACAGCGCAGGAATGACACGATTGCACAAGAGATTGCAGACAACCTGCGTTACTATGAGCCCCTGGAGAAGATCACACGGCGCCTTAATGCTCCTGGCGCGGGTGCTTTCGTCAGAAGCAAGGACTTTTCAGACATGTTGATCACGCTTGATGAGTGCATCGATTACATGCAGACTCATCCCGGCCACAAGGAAGCCGAAACGTATAGGTCCCGGTACAGACTCCTTCTTACTAGAGCACTCACGCTGGTGCGGAACACGTTCATGGCTGGAGTCCGCGAAATTAGCACAGAAGTTGCAGGAAGAATTGCGGCGAAACAGCTCAACGACACCACCATGTCTGCATTGCTGTATACTAAGTTCCGTGTCGGTTCGGCAGAAATGAAAGAGTTGGGGCTGCAAATTCAAAAGCGAGCTGTTCCGCCGGCAGATGCAGAACCTGGTACAGAAGGAGAATATCAGAGTCTGATGAACGAACTACATTCGAGCTTTGCCACCTGCCGAGCACGGCTGATGATACCTCTCGTGCGAAAACGACTTACGGAAATCGGGCAAGCACCGAGCTCAAGAGACCTGGTACAGTTCGCTCGGGCAAGCATAAGCTACATTCGTGGGGTATGTCTTGACGAGTTCGAGCTGTGGTCCGAGTGGTTCCACGGTTATCGGGGACTATACGACTTTCTCGAGTCCCTTTGTGAGCCATTGCATGACCACCTCCGACCACGAATCATTCATGAAAACAAACTTTCGAAGCTATGCTCGCTCGTGACGCTTCTGCAGACGCGTTACTTGCATGACGAGGAAGAGGATGGCCCCGCAGACCCCAATGAACTCGACTTTTCGATTCTCATTCAACCGGCGCTCGAGGATGCACAGACCCGCCTTGTGTTCCGGGCTCAGGCACTTCTCCGCGACGAAATTGAACTCTTCAAACCCCAACCTGAAGACCTGGACTATCCTCGTCGTCGGTCCCCTCCTCCAATACCCACGACTCCTTTATCAGGCAGCCGAAAATCCCGCGAACCTAGAACGCCCTTGCTCAAATCGCCAGAAATCGTTGACGAGGACTCGGGCGAGGAAGGGGCCTTCTCCTGGGCGCTTGCATTTCGTCGCGACGAACTGCGAAATTGCTATCCGACTCTGTCGAAAGCGGTCCGTCTGCTGCACCGAATCTACAAATTGGTCAACTCATCGGTCTTTGACGACCTGGCTCACCAGATAGTCCACCAGACCACTGTCTCACTACACTCGGCATCTGTCCAGATCCGCTCCAAGTCCAGTCCCGCCGATGGTCACCTCTTTCTCCTCCGCCATTTGCTACTTCTCAAGTCGCAAATTGTCGCCTTCGACATTGAATATGTCACGCCAGATGTGAGTTTCGACTTTTCTGGTGTGGCGAGCACCTTTTACGAACTGCGTGAGCGGGGCGGGCTGTTCAACCCGCGAAGCTGGCTGCGCCTTTTCGGTAGTGGTGCGTTGCTTCCGCGCGTCGTCGAGAACATGCTTGACGCCAAGGTGGAATTGGACGGGATGTTGAGGACGGTGATCAACGACTTTACTGCGGGATTTGCCAGCGACATGACGGTGGATTTGCCACGAGACCTCAACAAAGTCAGCACCAAGAACAATACGCTCGAGAACGCAGTCTCGTCAACCAGGAAGCGCGTGGAGAAGGAAATCCCCGTCCTCAGAGCCAAGTTAGAGCAGTACCTCGATGACATGCGGACGCGAGAGACGCTCGTGGCCGCGGTGGAAGATCAAGTCGTGCAAACTTATGAAACATTCTTTGACGGCTATGTCAGTCGTCTCGGCAGTCTTGGGAAGATGAATGGTGCTGGCCCGATCTCGAGAAATGGCAAGGGGCCAGAAAGCGCGGTTTGGGATATTGACGCCTTCTCTGAGTGGGCCGAGGGCGTGTTTAATGTCGCACTGCCGAATGTGGAAGACGATGGAACGAGTCGTCCTGTTAGTAGAAGTTTATCGAGAAGTGATAGTCCGTAGTTGTTCCGTGCATGAATTGTAGATACGAAGTTAATAGTATGACGAGATGCCCATATGATCCGAATGATGTTTGCTGTTTTCAGCCTGCGCCGGCTTGTGACTCTGGTTTACAGCCGAGATTCAATTGGCGATTCACAGTCCAGCTGCATACAAAGGGTGCAGAAAGGACACAATGGCACCGAGAAATTCACAGCAGCTGTGTGAGTAACAATGCCCATTGACATCCTCGGTTGTTCTTCTCTTGTTCTGCCTGGCGCGTCACCAGTGTCTCGGCCTGCCTTTGGTCCCGGTCTTGGATTCACCTTCGTATGCGTTAATCATCAGGCTGCCAGCAAGACACTTCGTTGGTCTCTGCGTCGATGACTCGTAGTAGAGTGACTGTCCCTCCTCTCTGATTGAATTCCTTATCATCAGGAAAGTACTTAAGCTCCTCTCTCTCCCGCCCTCTCCCTTCCGAGATCCTCATACCTTCGATCAACCCAACGATATATATATATATATATCAACTGTCGCCTCAAGACTGTCGGCATCTGGCCTGGTATGTGTGCCCAAAGCATCGACAGCCTTATGCTGACTGGCCTTATCTGTAGCTGTCCGTCCGTTGATTTCCTATGAGGGACACATGGTGTGGAAGGTGGAGTCTTTTCGCTTTCGAATGCTGAAAGCACTCACACCTACGTGGAACGTGGACACTTCCCGACAGCGAACCAGAGCTTCGCAGCGGTTCGAAGAGCTTTCCCTCTGACGTACGAATTGGCTGTTATCAGAAGGACTGAAGGCTCATTCATTCCGTCTTGACAAGACAAAATTGCTGTTGGTAAGAACCTCCCACCAACCCTATCGACTTTCTGCTAATCATCTGATAGCCACTATTCCTCAACCATACCAAGTGTGCACCATTAAATTGCGAGTCGATCCGCGGAACAAGAAACCGGAAGAGGGCACAAAAACAAAGGGGTTTCTTTACCCAGCCAAGTGGCTGCGTCGATTAAATATCCTGTCAAGTGGATTGACAGTTGATCGCCTAGTCAAACGCCTTGAAGCTGGGGGCTATACAGCATACGCCGACGACATCAATGAGTGGAGAGCAAATGGCATTGACTATCGTTGGATGGCAGAAAAGATAAGGATGCATGGAGGTGGCCAACTGACCACGCCAGAGGAACACCAATGGTTTTCTTGGAAGCTGTACGTCGAAGAATTCTATTGGCTGTGCTAGCTCCGATCGCTGACTCTGATAGTGAATGTGAAGCTGAAGTGGCTTGCCTACTGGTTGAGCTCACATACTTTTCGCCAGAGCACAAAGAGACGCCCAACTTGCCAAGGTTCAAAGTTTCCAGGGCAGCGATATTCAGACTGGCATATGGCACGACACCAAGATACAGTTATGGATTCATTTTGACACAGACGACACAGAAGGTGACTTAGGCACGGTCCTATGCCCAGGACTAGTGATCAGGATCAGCAACGATGACTTCTTCAGTGCCGCAAATGCTCTGGAGCACCTGAAGTCTCCACACACGCGTGAACACGGAGATTGGGGGGCAACTATTTACCGACCACCAGAGACTGGAGAGCCGGCAATGGCAATACTTGAGCATGCCATTCCCCATTCCGACTTTGACCAATGGAATGGCCGTACTCACTTTAAATGCACCATCAACCTACCCACAGAGGACGTGACATCAACCGCGGCCGAATCTGTAACCAGACGTCTTGAGAATGATTTCGATGCTGCCGCTCAGAAGGAGCTGGAACATGTTCTGGGAGCCAAATCATCCACGACAGTGAACCCGACGACGTTTCCCATTCGCAGCATTCTGCTAGGAGATGACAACAATGAACGACATCGCTTGCTAGCAAAAGAGGTCGACTTGGGCCCAGAATTTCAACGCTTGACGACGGCCCAGCGGGACGCCATCAAGAAGGTCTACGATTTCCTTGTATCGAAGGGCCTGCTGGCACAGGAAAAACAGAAGTTATCACCTCCCTTGTACGAAGCCTGTACAGCAACACAAACTTCACTATTATGATTCTCACTTCAAAGCACAGTATTGCCAATGACATCGTCCGCCGACTTCCTGGTGCGTTTCCCGGGCATGACTTGACTGAAGACCTTGTCAGGATCTTCTCACACCCCCAAAGTGAAGTCCATCAGATGCCGAACTCGACCCCGAAGGACATTGAGGATTTTGTGCTGTACGATCAATGCCTGAAAACAGCCGAGAAGGAGTCGTGGCAAGCGTTGGAACTTGACCTGACCTCCAGGGTTTTCAATGGCATTCAATGCCTCGGAACAACTGGAAAAGCAACACATACTACAGACGAGGAGAATCACACCGCCCAGCATGACAAGCTAGTTACGGCCAGTCTTAAACGACGTCGCATATGGGTCATGACGTCTATGGCCTCAAGACTCCGGCTTTGTCGGCGAACAAACTTGTTTCGAAGAAATGGGCTGTAAAAATGGAGGAAGCTGGTTCGCTAAAGGATTACGAGATACAACTAATATGTTGGCGGGGTTTCGAGGCCAGGAAGCCTCTTTGCAAGAGTGGACGGCTCAAAATCGGTGGCCGGAAGCAATTTCACAGGCCGTGGACTCATCGTAACGTCTAGAAAAGGAGATTGTCATTAAAAAAAAAAGTCTTATTGTTTTCCATCTTCGATATTAACGTGAACATTACGCTCTGAGCTAAGGTAGCGAGTTTCTGAGCTTCTTGTTGAGCTTCATATTGGCTTCTTGATCCTTCTTCTCAACCCTCGTCTCGATATATATTTGGGTGTCCTTCTTGATCTCTTCCTGGCTCCCTCACATTGCGCGGCGATTAACGACGGTGATGCTGACAGTGAGGGCGACAATAATGATAAGTTGTTTGTGACGGTTAAAACTTGTTTCGTAATAGTCGATATCGTATTTCCCACTAAGAGGTGTGTCTTGGGTTGTACCAGCTGCTCGTAAGCTAGTTCCGCCGTGAGAGGCAAGGCGGCATAAGAGAGTGTCTTGTGCCAACGAATGCTTGTTGGTGTTGTATATTCACAGTCGGCGCACCCAGACTGGCCCGATGTGATTCTGCATGCACTAGGAGGACGCAAAGAGTCGAGACAACTTTCGAGTCAATACGACATAGTCATGACCATTCTCTTCATGAATTCGAGGTTTTTTGCTATTGGAGAGAACGCCCAATCGCGCACGGACTAGTTTCTTTCGTTCAGCACGGCTGTATGGTTTGAGCCACTGCCTATGTGCAATGAGTTTGTGTTGATCGAGGTCGACTTGCGAATTGAGGATGATGCCGCAACCAGGAAATGTGCATGGAGCTGAACCGCCTCTTCAATGGGTCGCAGCTAAAGTCCGGTATATGTCCAATTGCTGTAAAGCACATGCATAGCTAGCTCCCTTCGCTGGTAAAGCACTCGGGTCTCTCAATACTCAAAGTCGCCATGGCAGAATGGTTGTTCGAATGTATATCTGTAGCTGCAATACGAGATACTGCTCCGCGTGAGTATCCAGCCAGAGTGAAGTCGGCGATGGACTGGGGTTTCAACGAAGAGGCATGGCTCAAGTAAAAAGGCAAACAAAATTGTGCTCAGAATCAAGCAGTGGAAAGGCGGACTTTTGTTAGAACTTTGTGATTCGCTTGCCGCCACGCTTTACGAGCAATGCCTTAAGAAACCTCATCCCGTGTTCTTGAGTTGCCTCCACTCTTACCGGTGTCATTAACAGGCACTTACCGCTCTCGTGGCCTTCGCCCTACCGCGCGTCCCGTTGACTTCAGACTTTGCTTCCCACAAAACCACGAACCTAAATTAATTTCCATCAAAGGGGCGTTGTCCTTGATACCTTCATCTGTCGCTCTATCGAAAAATGTCGCCGGCCATGGATTGGGTGCAGAAGCACTACTGGACGTGGTATGAAGAAGCAAAGGTGCTTCTTCATGAAGAGGGGGGAGGAGGCATTGAGGATGGCAAGGAACTGATGGTAAGTCTCAGCCATCTCATGAGCGGTGTTTATTTTTGCCACGCTCATCGTTTCTCCTTTAGCTCGACCTGCTGGGCCGTGTTGACCTAGGACTGCTCTTGCGCGCCTCGGTCAACTTCTCTCTTGCGAATGCCTCGGAGTCGATCGTCGATCAGGTCCAATACTCCACTGAAGCCCTCGACCTAGCCGCAATGCTGGATGAAAAATACTCCGACGAGGAGACCGAGCTGGTATTACAGGAGGTCACAATGCTTGTTCAATCCATCAAAGAGAAAGCTGAGCAACAAGGTGTCAATGTTGAAGACTTGAAACCCCAACAAGACGACACCGACATCTTGTGGGAGGGATATCAGGAGCTAAAGGCCTGGAGGGCTGCCAAAGAGGCTCCCAAGGAGACAGATACTGAGAGTGCCAGCAGCTCAGACGGTGGAGATGACACAGCAGACGAACCTCAGATCACTCCCGCTGTCGCTGCTTCCGCATCTGACAGTGAGTGAGGATCGGGGAACGGAGACTGACACAATCAAGGGAGCTTCCCAGAATGGAGGAGCACCTGATGGACATTTGAGAGTTGTTGTCTCATTGTGTTCAGGAACAGACGGCAAGTCGCTCTCACAAGCTCAGGAGGGCGGTGACTTCTGATGCGGCTTGTTACGTACCAGACAAAGGCTTGGAATCACCCTGCTCAGACGATCAAGGAAAAGAACGATGCCACTGATAATAAGACTTTGGATTGGAAAATGTTTTGTGTCGACAATTGAGAGTTCTGTATTTAGACTCACCCGGCCGACCTGCCTAAACAACATTGCAGCTTGTCTACAGGGCTTCAGATAGCGGATCAAACATTTTCCATCCCGGCCTTCACTAGCACACTTCCACATGAGTAGTTCTCACATTGTTCATCGACTACGTAAGACCCATGTCCTGAGGTTCACTGACTACCCTAGGTAGACATGAGTCCGAGCCTCCAGTCCACCTCTGAGGCATGGAAGACTCATGACGACTTTCGACAAGAGTGTCCGTGGCTGACGGGAGAGACGTTCTCAGAAGTCACGGATGTCCTCCTGGAAAATCCGAACCTCAACTCGACCCACCTTTTCCGGGCAGACATCTTGTACGACAGCGCGAAGATCTTGCAGACGACCTCAGAAAAGGAGAAACGATGCCGGTACCTGGCGGAAAACAACGGCGGAGGACAGAGCGATTCAGTTTGCCAGGACGGCGACGGACGGGACAAGGCCCCGGGACTCAAAGGTGCAACTCTCGTGAGACAGATATACAGGAGACTTATCCCTCGCAAACCTCGACTTGACCGCCCGCTGGGGCAGTGGTGCTATGTATATGAGCTGTCCAAGACGGCAAATGTCGACGGCGGCCACGTGGTGATATACGCGCCGGACGTCGACAGCGAGGCCGACATGCCTTGGTATCATCCTTCGGTCAAATCGTTGGCGTACGTGTTCGAGCAAACGACCGACGCGACCACCCTCTCCGTGCACTATTTCCCATTTGCTCACTCGGACGACACACCGCCCACTAGACTCCATCGCACGATGATTTCGCTCCTCACGACCTTCGTCAGACTAGCAAAGAACAACCCCAAACTCAAGCCAAAGCACGACGGCGACGATCGTCAGAACAGACATACACCTGCAGTCAATCTCTCCACCGCACCGTCGGCGCTCAAAGACACGATTCTCCCGCAACACATCGTCCAAGACACGTACACTCGCTTGAAGCAGCAGTATGGCTCGGACCTCATAGCGCGATGGGTTGAAAAGACGGAGCCTTCAAAGCACGTTTTTGAGGACTTGTCCATCGCGGCATTCGTTATCGAGCTCTGGAAGCAGATGTACGCGCCCGACGCATTCCCCGGATTCGTCGACATAGCCTGCGGCAACGGCGTGCTCACCTACATCCTCATCAAGGAGGGTTACAGCGGCCACGGCTTCGACGCTCGCCGACGCAAGTCCTGGGATGCCCTGGAAATGACTGGCCATCTGTACGAAATGATCTGCGTGCCGAAACCGTTCCTGGACGCCACGAGTGCTATCGATAATCTACATGCCAACATCAACGTTCACGACGGTCTGTTCAAGCCAGGAACGTTCATCATCTCGAACCACGCCGACGAACTCACGCCATGGACTCCGATCCTCGCCGCGCTCTCGTGCCCGGAAAGTCCATTACCATTTCTCTCCATTCCCTGTTGTTCGCACGCCCTGAGCGGTGCCAAGCATCGCTATTCGCCCAAGGATGTCAGCCGATCACATCCACATACAACCAGCGTCAACGACAAAGAAGAGCAACCTGCCTCGGGAGACCTGAAGGCTCTCCGTGAAGCCAAGGCAAAGGAAGCGGCTCACAGCGACGACAAGTCCATGTATGCGTGTCTGACGCGCAAAGTGGTTGCCCTTGCCGACGAAGTCGGCTTCGACGTCGAGTTGACGCTCATGCGAATCCCGAGCACAAGAAATATTGGCATTGTAGGAAACAGGAAAAAGGCTACAACTCGCCGTAGAAACGATCTGGAGCTGCAGACGGCGAACTTATCCATCGACGACGACGTAAAGACCGTTAACGATAAAATTCGGGAGCTGGTCGAACGCGAATGCACAATGTCAGGAGGCATTCACCAAGCAGCTACTTTGTGGCTGCAGCGAGCGCAAAGGCTCCAAACAGGCGTCTGCCGAGGGGAAACGTGCTCTTTCGGCAGGGCGTAGGAGAGCTTCCGGAATACTGGTTTCATGCTTGCATTCAAGCAGAAACTGCTATGAATGGTACTGTGACTTGTCACCGCACTGTAGTTCTCGCTGATGACGCTGCGCTTGCACCTGGACGGTACCTGGAAGTCAAGACTTCGAAACTCTCCCAAACACTTCGTGCGAGCATTTGATGCAGGATGCCTTCAACCTCGACTTTCAGTAAAGACCGAGTGTGCCGAGGTGCCCGTAAATTCGTCGAGCCTTTGACGACAATCACAGGCCTTTAAGCAAATGACTTGGTAAAGCCTTTGCCATGTTTCAGCACGGCATCTTTCTCCAGGCCCAATTTGCATCGTATCGCGGGGTAGTAGAGGCAGTCGGTAGCCACGCTCTGAATCGAGTACGTGGAGCCGATCTTCATCCTCCGGACTCTTTCCCGCCTTTGTGCGCTCCAGACATTGTGTGAAGCAACAGGGCTTTCGATTGCTTAGCGGCTGTTTTGTGGTGGTCACGGAGACGAGTGATAAGATGAATGTACGACAAAACTCGCCTTTCATAGCCTAGGCATAGGCATGAAAAAAGACGAAAGTGTAATTTGGTGGTAAGTCTGGGATCTCTCCTCTAGAAATGCTCCTACACCACGACCATACTTCACATTGGGCAATCCGACAGGGCTGCCAGGAAGTGCTTTCTCCTTGGCTTTCCTCAAGGAATTCATAGGTAGATATGCCCTCACCTGCTTGGTCTCAGCGCCTAAAGCAGGATCATACGGCGATTTCACAAAGAAAATATCAATCTTGCCCGTCTCCCAATATTGATGGTCCTCCCATATACGTAAGCGTTGGGTTTCGGGGACATCACTGGCAGATGTGACGAGTAGATCGCCTTCCTCAAGCTCAATCAACGTTTGAAGGATGGTGCTCCCTGTCCTTCCTTGAAGATCGCCCTCGGTTCTGTTCGTCCGAGTCAGCAGGTCGATGGCTGACCTGCGGATGATTGGATCACGACATCTTCCAGCCACGAAGGCTAGAGTGTCTATCACACCAGAGTCAATGCCAAAAGAAACATTTTTCGGAGTCTTGGATGGATCAGTCAATGCGTCCTTGTAAAGGTCAATGATTTGCGAGAATTTGTCCACATGCGCATCATAACTGCATTCTTCCTGCGTGGCGAGTGTGTCAAAGAGAATGGAAGCAACCAGTGCAGAAGCTCTGAGGAGCTTCTTCGAGATCGCAAGCGTGTCGTAGCGTTCGGAAACAGTGATGCCAGTCTCGTCAAGGGCGGCAATCCAGCCTGATATGAATAACTGTGTTTGGGATTTGTTCTTACATGCTCGGTTAGCAGGATCAATGCTTTTCTGTGCCCAATCGACAATTTCTTCGAGCTTGTTGCGCGCTTCGAGCAGACTGTCGAAGCGATATGGGAGTTCAGGTGTAGGTAGGAGAGACTCGGACTCATTCCGTCTGAGAGTGGCACTGAGAGCGAGCGCAGAGGGCATATCAACGATACAGCAGAACCTCATTCGAAGTCGCTCGATGATAGGTCGAATAAAATTATTCAACACTGTCTTCTCGCTGTCGGCAAGAACCAGTTCGCCCGATAGCAAACGGTCTCCGATATCTGTGACGAGACTGTGGCCTGACCGTAGCAATTGATAGGCAGTAGAGCTATCTTGCAAATTCTGTAGACAGATAAAGATGATACATGAGATCAGAGTGGCGATTTCGGAGACAGGCGTCTCGAAAGCCATCCGCGAAGCTTTGCTGCTCTGGTGAAGGGCCAATTGCTGCAGATTGGATCTTTCGTCTGACTCGCCATCAACTTCGGAGGATTCGTGTAAGGCGCCTAGGGCGACTACCCCGTGGAGTATGGACCGGTCCAAGTGACAGGCCTGGAGGATCAGCTTGTTCCAGAAAGCAGCATCTCTCCAGCCCGACCACTGTGGGCCCGTGAACTGGCAGAAAAAAACTAAGCTTCGGAGCTCTTGCGGCTCTAGACCCGGGAAAGCGGTTATGGCCTGGAGCACTCGACCAGAGTGGCTGGTGGGGGATAGTGAGGCAGACAGAAGAGCACGGCGTCGCTGTTCGGCGGTTTCTGACTGCTCAGGTTCTATATTGGTGTCAAGACGAAGACCACGTATTTTCTTCGTCGGGACTTCAGTCGATTTTTGCTCTGGGGACGACTCCTTGTCCTTGCGACTGGCAGCAGCCTTCGCTGCCACTTGAGCTGCTCGTGCCCTCTGACTCTGGACATGTTTGCGGATCTGTTTGGTCTCTGTCTTGGAACTTCGTGATAAGACTGTGGAGCCTTGCGTTTTTGTGATCCAGAGCAACGATTCAGGCATCTTGTTGATGCAACGGGTCTATGGATACAATGTTGATATCGCGTAGCTAGGGTGCTGTCGCCAAAAATGGAGCAATGTCCGAGTTCGGTCTCCAGATCATACTATGTGGTATTCCCGAGTAGCCAGAGGTCGTGAGAGGTTGAGCGTTGGGTATTGCCTCAACTAGATGTTGGTAATATTTCAACCCGATGGCAATTACTATGATTTGCTAGCGCGTTAGCAAGTTGGAGACAGACAAGCCGAAAGAATTCTGCTAGGTTAAGGCAGCCGATCGATATGCATGCGCATGCTCGTGTTGACGTTGTTCTAGACCGGAGTTTATGAGTCCAGGTTCACTAGGCATCGGGATATCGGGGAGATGCTTACCGGTCAAAGTGTGGAAGGAGAATAAGTGTGGATTTTCCTCGTAGTTGCATGTTTGACTTGGCTTACAGATCCCGATCCCGCCATCACAGGCACTGACTCCTCGTTCCTGGGTGCGAAGTCATTGCGCGGACGGCCATAGTGATGATGCGGCGCCAAGAAGTGTATTCGTACCGTGAGAGACTTCTGAGCGACTAGAGAGACTAGTGAGGGCAAAAACAGCCCGTGGGAAGAGGATGGAGGTCGAATACTCGTAAATACCTTGTAATGCCTCAGACGAGTCGTGATTGACGCACGGGTTGAGGGTGTGTTTGAGAGGGGGGATTGAATAAGCCACCGGTCACGTGGTTCTTATCCGGAAAATAGCGGAAAAAAGCAAAGCCACGGCCGAGTGTGATTGGCTCCTGCCTGCCGAATGAAGGTTCGCTAGGCTGACCAAGACCAAACTCCTTCGTTCGAAGACGCGTCAAAGGCTTCTACTTCATAGCTTGCAGGACACGGCCTTATCGATGCTTCTACGAGCCGTGCTTCTCCAACGCGGGGGCGCTAATCGACGTTTTGCAACGGGCAACATCTCGCGCCTAGTCGATATCGGCGTACGAGCCACATCAACGCCAAACATCGACTTGTGTTTCAGGTTGTGCCCGCTAGACTTATTCATTGGTCTTAACTAGGACGCCATACGTATATTCTCACCCCTCATCCAATCACTACTCTTGCTTGATACCATTGCCTGTCGCTACAGGACTGTCCGCCGGTGCCTCGCCTTCCAAGAGCTCCGTGCTTCCGTGGGTAAAGTCGATGTTGACGCGTGGACCTTTGAACCAGTGTCTCGCCGAAATGGCATAGTAGGACAAGGCAAGGAACATGGAACCGCCATAAATCAGACAAGTCCAGTTCATCGTCAAGGGAGTAAGGTCTTTTCCTTTTCCAGCAGGGAAGCACATGGCCGGAAGAATCAGAAGCCACCAGCAGACTGCGATAGTCCCCGACACTTTAGACCATCTTCCCAGGTTCCAGGGTCCTTTACAACAATGAACGCGTCAGCAGCTATGCTATACGAAGTACTTCTGTACCTGGCAAGGGGTGCGAATACGTACCTGGCTTGAATCGGCCATTGTCAAAGAACAGCTTCAACGCAGCTGGAGTAGTAAAGGCCGTGTATTGGGCAATTGCGCCCAAACTGAAAACGGCTCCAATTGCCACGGGGCTTGCGAACATCAGGAGTCCCAGAAGAGAGGAAACTCCCAGAACGCCCCAGGTGGCATAGACCGGTGTTTTGGTCTTGGGATGAACTTGCTTCCACCATCGCGAGCCTAGGATCGCCGAATCCCTGGAATAAGCAAAAACCACTCTTGTCGCTGTCAAAGTGCACCCTGTTCCAACAAAGAACTGAGCTATGATGTTCAACGAGAACATGGCTAGCCCAGCGTTCTTGCCCAGCACTTGGAGGCACAAACTCCCAAAGGGCTGACCATACTGACCGGCAACCACATCAGGAATGTCCTTGACAGTATAAACAATCACCATGATGATTGCCCAGCCAAGGTACAAACCCAGTTGAGACGTCATGACAATGGCACGAGGCCCGGCGATGTTGGCGTTGCTGCATTCTTCCGACAAATGGAAGGGGGCGTCGTAGCCAGACATCGTCCAGATAGCTGTGAGCATCCCCATTATAACTGACCAGCCTATCGGCCATTCAGTTCCATTCTCGAACTGAGTCCAGACGTCGTGGCTGTTGTTGGTCTTGGGATGGTTGATCGAGCCAACAGGGAACCAGATGACGAAGACCAGGATGACGATGATGTTACAGATGGTGCCAATCTTGTTCACCCATCCAAGGAACCACGTAGACTGCATGGTGATGATCCCGTTGATGAAGAGCAGCAGCAGAAGCACCAAATAGATATGCCAAGTTTTGGGTTCGTACTCGGGATTCGCGATCATTCCGCAGGTAATCAACATCGAAGCCAAAGCGTAATTGACGCTACAGGGCCCCGTGACGAACCCGCAGAAATTACTCCATCCGACAAACCAGGATGCGAGCGGTCCCCAGCCTTCGGGTGCGAGGACGGCCGCTGCGTAATATAGCCCCCCCGCCGTCGGCATACTCGAGCACAGCTCTGCCATGCTGAATGCCGTGGCTTGGATACAAAGACCTGCTGCAAGCCATCCCCAGACCGCACCGCCGGTTCCTGAATAGCCTAAGCTATATCCTATGGTGGAGGCCACGGACGGAACCAGGCCCAGGACGGAGAACGACACAGAAAAGGACTCCCAGATGGTGAAATCCCTGTGGACTGATAAGCGTCCGCTTGTCGCTCAGAACTGTCCATGATATGCCTACCTTTTGAACTCCTGCTTGTAGCCCTGCAAGCTGTCAGATATCCGTGTTCGTTGGACATGAAGGACAGCTCGGTGTTATGAAAGGACTCAAAGGCTTGTCCAGGGGGCAGGGCCACTTACGAGAGCGCCCAACACCAACTCATCTTGATCAGCTCCCTCGTGCACGACAGCATGCTCTCCACGAGTGGCAAACACAGAGGTAACCCCGACTTTCTCCTCGTCAACAATGGTAACGGAACCAGACCTGGGGACCGCCATCTTCGCGGGCGGACAATGGATCAATAGAGAAGGCTATCCAGCTGGAGGGATGAAGATCGCACAGTCTGGTCTTGTCCGAGGTTATCTTAAATCTGCCCGTTCTGTGGCGGCGCGGCACTATTTAAGCAATGGCCGAAGAGGTGCTTGTGCAGATACAGTTCCCCTGCAGTGGGATGAGCTTTCGTGCTCTGTCGAGCCGAAATCTAACTGCGGAGAGATAAGGCCTTCTGGACCACCGGGATTCCGCATCCCAAAACAGCAGGAGAGTAAGGTCTCCTCGACGAAGAGAAGGAGCAGAGCAACCGAATCACCTTGTGTCAATCTCGCCTGGCCAAAGGCTAGTCAGCACACCATCATGGGATGATTGGCGAGGGTTGGGTGTGCATATCGTGAAAGTCTTGTCTGGTCTTATCAGCCGTTCTTATTATGCTTTAACGTTTTTGTGGCTGAATTTCGAGCCTGGTTCCAGAAGCGTCAGGTCTGATTCGCGCGCCTGGGACTATGGACATTCCCGCTTGTTTGGTAGCGTGCGAGGGTGAGCGCGGAGAATGGCCATCCCGTTCTTGAAACACAAGCGAGCTGCTGCTTTGTCGAACAAGAGTTGTAAAGGAAGGAGGAACATGCGTACCGCTGAAGGCCTTATCAGGCGCCCCCTGACGGGATAGTCGGCGCCACCGTCGCGTTGAAAAGGTGCGTCGCAGCAGAAGTCAGACTGCGGGTCGTACAATATGCAGCACTCGTACCTGAATGACCTTCAAGATCCACGTGGTTCCTATTCTGACCTACACAAACGAGGCTTGACCGGAGAATAGTTCCATACCAAGACTTGTCGAAGCTTTTCCTCGAGGCATAAGGTACGAGCGAGTGCAATGCGATGATACTGCCAGGTGAGGCCATGCTGGATTTTTCAATCAATCAATCCACCCTATCTGTCCAAACCTGCGGACCGTACCTCGTACAACAGGGACAGGTAGGTCAATAAGACTTCCTTCCGCCTCATCCTCGGCGCCACATGGGGAAGGGATGGGAGGGGTGCGGTGGTGGTGGTGGTGGTGGCGGTGGTGGTGAAGAACGTCAAGCGGGTTCCGGAAGGATACTGCGTTTCACTTCTCTTCTCGTCGCACACGTAACTTGTCGAGAGAGAGAGCTGTAACATCCTCGTACGCGTCTGACGGGGAAGATCTGGACGAGCGTCTACAGCCTCTACGTCGACGACGCTGCTCGATCTGCTGACGGTACAAGAAAGATAGACGACATTGTACGAGGAAGGACGGGTTGTTACCGTGGTGAGTAAGATAGTCTGAAAAAGATCAAGCTTGACTCGACAGTACTGTACTCTACACCTTCGAATCGTGCCAATGTTGCATCATACCTATGTACCTACGTATTGGCCCCCAGTCGGCGGCGAAGATTACATACAACTGAACGTCGCAAGAGTCGTCTTTCTATCGTCTTTCTACTAGGTGGACGAAATACAAGCAATTTTTGGTCTCTCTGGTATGAAATCTGATCGACTATCCCCCCTTCCAAGCCAGTCAGTCGAGGGCCATATGTAAGAGGAACGCCACACGACACCTACCTAAACGAGCTTACACTTTGCCTTGCATTTCGCATGGCAGGAAAATGATCAGAGAAACCAAAAACCAAAACACTACTAGGTACAGGTATTTACGTCGGTCTGTATGCCACCGTTTGTCGTTCAAATGTATGATTAGAGTTTGATTTCATAAGCTTCCTCTTCGTCCTCTCTCCCTCGAATCTAGTCGTGGAATGTGTGTAGTGAGGTGTAATGTGTATGTAGAAACATTGTAAAACACATCATCATATGCTATGACGAGAAACCAAGAAAAAACAGAAACTCCCTCCCCTTCTCCATGATTAGAGAATTGAGAATCAAAAACAAGAGATCTCAGCAATTAATCAAGCAGCTTCACCATCACTAATGGCCCCATCAGGTACCGCGGCCCCTTCTTGTTGGGCCATGGCTTGAGCCGACACGATTTCAGCGAGGCGTTTGAGTCGAGGTGTTTGTAGCCCTGTCAAGAACAAGTCAGCACATTTCGATGCAGTGTCACGTATCAAAACTTACATGAAGGAGTATACGTCTCCAACGCCGTGATGACTCTGGGTTCGGCAATCTCGTATGGCCCACTGTCTTCCATGTCGACGGGAGCCAGAAGGAGAACGTCGCTCTTCTCGGTCACCCTCGATGCCACCGCCTTCATGATTTCGCCGTTGATGGGCTGTTCGTAGTCCGCCACAAGATATTGATTGAGGAGTTTCTGGATCTGGTTCGGAGAAAGCATCCAGCAAATGTCTTGGATGATTTCAATGTCGTTCAAGGTGGCCTTCTTCAACTGCAGAAGTTTGGTCGCCTGCATAAGATGTTCGAGTTGCAAGGTCCCCTCGGGCATGTCGTGGCTCTTGCACCATTCTTCGATCCGGGTGATGTTGTAGTTGATTTGTAGACCACGCTTCCACGACAAGAAATTGCGACGCATCAAGAGGTCGTTAAACGCAGTGACTCCGACCAGTCTAAGAAGCTCGGTGACCGTTTGTGCGATAATGGAATCTTCAAGGTAGTATGCCTTCATGGCTTTGAAGACGTTGTTCAACAAGCTCAACAAGTTGTCCATGCTGTATGCCGGGGTGTTGTTGGAGGGGAGCAGCTTGCCGAGGAATCGATTGCTCTCATTCGTGACAAAGCCGGGAAGGGATTGGGATTCGATGATTGCAGGTACGATCATCTTGTGTAACTTCTTCTTCAACACCTTCATCCACGTATGATAGATGTTGAACTCCAAACTTTCCAAGTCATGCTTGACAATCTCAAGCAAACGATCGTATTCATAGTTGTCCGTCTTCTGGGCTTCGTACCAATCTTCAGCCAGGAAGACAAACGAAAGCATTTCATGAACATTGGACAACCAGAACGCGCCCGGGTTGATGGCCTCATCGCCGTCGTGCTGCATCACCTCCTGCTGAATAGACTGCATGACATTCGCAAGGAAGCGCTCAGATTCTTTGACGAATCCATTATTCCACATCTCAGACGTAACCAAATTGATCAGGTAAGATGGGAACAGCACCTCCTTGTCTGTGGGAGGAGGATTGGCTCCTGGTTGAGGGATCTTGATGCCACGGATGAGACCCATGGTGACTTCATCATTAAGTTCGTCTTCCTGAGCAAGGAGGTTCTCCAGTTCCATCTCAACACTGTCGAGACCGGGATGGAATGTGGAACCAGACAACGTCTTTGCGTGAGTGTCTAGGGCCATAGAGACGGGACGAGCGCTGAAGGCAGCACTGTAGCGATCAGCCTCGACACGTTCAGCGGCTCCAGCACTTCGTCTCTTCAAAGGCTTCTTGGAAGAAACGAGGTTGATGAGGCCATTCGCAGGTTGGACTCCATTCGCGTAGTCACCATTGACGCCATTCGTGGCGACTGGCGGTGGAGCTCTTCTTGCCATCTCAAGCTGATCTTGAAGTTCGTTGATTTGCTGGCGCAGAGTACCTCTCTCACTTTCGTGCGTCGAGACGGCTTGACGTAGTTTCTCCAGCTCAGCGTTAGAAGATTGCAGTGATTCCCGAAGTTTGCGGTCTTCGTCTTGTAATCTCTTCGCGTTACCCATCTGTTCATCATGGCTGGCTTGCAGTTTCGCATGCTCTTCTTCCAGGGCGCTCAACTTCGCAGCAATGATGCCGGCTTGGTTAGCTTCCGTTTGCAGTTCTCGTGATCGAGTTTCCAGCGCGTTGTGTCGTGATCTCCAGGACTTTAATTGACCCTCGTAGTTCTCCAACTGTGAGACAAGCGATTTGTTTTCTCGCTTGACTGCGCCAAGGGACTGAGTAAGTTCAACAACCTTGTTCTCGAGCTTGTAGGAGATTTGTTTGAGATCCCGAGCCTCTTCGCGCATCTTCTTGTAGTCGCGTCGGGCAGTCTTGCCACGCCACAGATTCTGTACGATAACAACGTTTCTGCGATATTGTCTCCAGGCGCGTAGTGAACGCCACGAGCGGAATGCTCTTTGGATCTTGATTGCAGCATCACCAATGCGCTTCTCAAGAATATTCCTTCTACAGAGGAAACCTTTTGCTACCGACTCGAACAAGACCAGGTCACTTCTCACTTGATTGAAATTCTTACGAGCTTTGTGACCACGCCAGATACGTTGAAGATCAGTGGCTGCCTTAGTCTGCCTCGTTTCTTCCGCTCTGCGTCTGGCGAGGAAGGCTCTGGTCGCGGCCTGAAAGTCAAGAATCGACTGTCGTGCATCGAGGTACTTGCGACGGTAATACTTTGCGCGCAAATTCTTCTGAATCATGATGGCGCATTCCTTAAGTCGAGCTGAACGGAGGTTTTCCAAGAACGCCAACATGCCTGCACGGAAGAAGATCTTGGTGAGGCCAAGCTGATATTTCTCCCCTCTTTCGTGGGCTTTGGCTCCCAGAGCTTTTACCAAAATATTCTGCGCCATCTGGCGGATCTCGGTGGTCCATTCTGAAGACCGACAAAGCATGTAATAGCGCAGGGCGAACTCTTCGTACGTCCATCTGGTAGGATAACCGGCAGTACTGATGCGAACGGTTTCCAACACGCCGCAAGCTCGGAGCTGCGACAACACCATTGGACCCTCAAACTTCCAAGATTCCTTGGCTTCGTTGGGCTTGATACAACGAATGTAGTGTGCGTCGGTCGAATTGATGGTCTGCATGAGCTCAATGAGTGAGCTCTTGAATATTCCTCCAAGCGTGGGCTTGCGGTTAACAGCGACGCCCATCCGGCGTCCACCTCCAGTCGCAACAGTTTTGGAACTTGTTTGAGCACCCTCTTTGTCTCGCACAGCGGCGGCGACGTCCAAGACTTCAACCAAGAATGTGTTTGAGGACTTCTTAAGCACTTCCATCTGTTCGTCCGGAACAGTATCTCGATTCTTCTCGATGAAGCCGTCAGATTCATACGTGACATCAAGGGCATAATGGCAGACGGTAAAAGAAGACTTGCCAAATCGAGGCTTCTTATAAAACTTGTGCTTGTCTGCGGCATAGTGATGGTGCAATTTGTCGACAAACTGCGTGTCAGAGCCCATGGGGAGCCTCGATTCTTCGTCCAAAAGCGACAAAATACCAAGTTTGCCTTCGATGAGGTCGATGCAGGGCTGGTTATCCGAGAAGTCGATAAAGGTCCAGTCAATCTGTTCCCGCATATACTCTTCCTGCTCGAGCTTGAAAACGTGCTGATTAAATTCTTGTTGTAACTTCTCATTGGCGTAATTGATGCAAAACTGTTCGAACGAATTTTTGGCGAAATGCTCAAACCCGTAGATATCGAGCACACCAATGAAAGTGCTAACTCGCTGCAAAACCTCGTCCGTTGCCAGCCCATGGTTAATGGTGTCTACCAGCCAATCAAACAGGCTCGAGTAGATGAACTTGGCAACTGAATCTCGGACCACGGTGGCTTGCTGTTGAGTGAGATTCGACGTGATCTTTTCTCCTCTGGTTATCAGCTGTTTTTTCACGATCCACTTGGCGAAATCACCAGCATCAATGCCGAGAATGCTGCATGCTTGTACCAATGCCGGTTCTGAGGAGGAGAGTGAAGAGTCCGATCGTGTCGCTGTGATGTTAATGTTACCAATATGCAGGAGGGCAGCAAGAATACGGAAAATTTCTTGTTGAGTGGCTTCGGAGACGTTGATGGTAGACAATGACTTTCTCGTGGCTGCAAATTCAGCCGCGTCATCGACACCATCAATCAAAGGCTCATTGCCTTGATTCAGATAGTCGAACTCTTCTACAGAAACGAGACCAAGCTCCTGCTTCTCTTCGGCAGTGGCTCCAGCGACTAACTGGTAGAATATGTGGTAATTTCTTTCCTTGAGTGGTTGGAAGACGAGACGTGACCGTTCCAGAAGATACGTTCGGATCCTGGCACCAATGATGTCGGTGTTCCTGTCGAACATGATCTCAATGTACTTGCCGAATCTTGAAGAGTTGTCGTTCCTCGTGGTCTTTGCGTTACCGAAAGCTTCCATCACAGGATTCGTGGCAAGGATTTGTTCCTCAGTCTCGCTGATGGCATCCGCCCGTGACTTTGTGCCCTTGGTGACTTGTCCAGGGGGCCCGCGGGTTGCGAAGTACCGCATAATGTATTTTGCGCTGACCGTTTTACCCGCACCAGACTCGCCAGATACCACGACGGTCTGGTTTCGATTGTCCCGTAACATGTCGGTGTAGGCCTCTTCTGCGATGGCGAACAGATGAGGCGCCTGCGACGCTCTCTGCTTGCCAGCATAGACTTGGACCATCTGCGGAACGTAGAGGGAGTCGACACGTGCAAAGGGATTCGTGGCTATCAACACGATGCCACTGTATGTGTATATTTCTTTCTGCGCATACCGCAGTTTGATGGCCTGCAGGATGGCCGGCTCGTTCAAATGCGACAGGTTCGTCAAGTCTTCGGCAGCTTCGAACATAGGAGGGTTCATAAGGGGAGGTAGGGAGGCATGTGTGGTATCGGACAGGGCCTCCTCGGTCGTTTCGACCGTCTGCTTGGAGTCATCGGAGAGGCTGAAGACAAGGGCTATCTTCCCGTCTCCCAAGGACTTCTTCTCGGACAGTTCACCAGGAACAAAGCCCTCGGCCTGGTTGGGGAACCAGGCCCGGGTGCCAACCTCCCAACTGGCCATGGTTGGCAGAGTTGCTGGTCGTGTCAAAGGCAATCTCAACTGTTGGGAGCGAGTGCAGCCATGAAGGCGACGGGACAGGGAGGGAGTCTGGAGTACGTGTCAAAGAGGGCCGGTTGGGTCCTGGGGGAGCCAGGTAGTACAGATGGAAGTGACTGACGAAGAGACCGCCGGGTGAGGACGTCGTCAGGACAGGCCGATGGATGTTGATGGACGGTGGCTTGTTTGGTGCTTTTGTTGGCGGCTGTGATATTCTTCAGTCAGAAGAACTTGACGCGACTCCAGGCACGACGCTTAGCCAATTTCAGCCCCTAGAAACTCGAAAGGGTCCCGAGCCCCCTGAGCACGGAGTACGATGTGATAATAACTAACGAGGTGCCTAATTTACGACCACTACATAATTTCTGCAGGGTCAAGGGTCGTAATGAGTCCGCTTACGGAGTGCAAAGGAATTGTGTGCCTTGATCGTGGCATTTTGTCTGCGCCTCACGTGTTTACCCAGGCATGATGGCTCACTCACTCACTCACTCCTCCTCGCCTCCAGTCTCAGCAGTGACAACTAGAAGAGCCTCGTGCGTTACGGAGAAGCCGTTAGGTATGTACTTGGTACTCCATACGCTAGTTAGTAGCCGTAGGTACGGAAGAGACAGATCTCAACACGTTGGCCTGAAATGATCGCCCCTCCTTTTTTGACATCAAGGAGCCACCATCGAGTCCTGGCGTACTTAGCAATATGTGGACTACACCCACAGTCGCTTGTATGGCAGTGCAACTGTTGTTGAAGACGACTACATACTGAGTAGGGACACCGGAGTACGCAATACGGGTAACATGTTGTGGTGATTGTGCTAGCTCCTCTCTACAGATAACTCTACTCATCCTGTCGTAGAAAGACAAAACACTTGCCAATACGCCTAGAGACAGCTGCGTCGTGTGTACGATATTGCTTGGAACGCCATGTGAATTGACTAAGGTGACTGAAAGAACCGCCTGAGGCCTGGGAATCCAGCCATTTCTCTCCCTGATCATGGGATCACTCATCCCCCAGCATTTCAAACGCCCAGTATGCTCGAAGCGGGCCAATATGGAGTCTGTGTCTGCAAAATAGAAACCCATGTCTTGCCCAGATACTGCTGCTTTTCCCACACAACGCAACACGAGATCGACGAGCCGAATGCAAGCCTAGTTCCCCCATCTAATACTTCTACTGATTCTTGCACTCCGAGGCTTGTTGAGATCGGGGCTTACCACCCTCCTCTTCGTCTTCCTCATCAGACTCGGCCTCTTCCTCGTCTTCGTCATCCTCGTCATCCTCGTCGTCGAACTCGGCATCTTCGGCATCATCAAATTCTTCGAATGCCAATGCCTCTCCAGTGAACCAATCAATTGCTCGAGGAATGAGCTTCTCTTTGATGTCCTCACCGAGCTGATAGTCAAGTTCAAGTCTCTCTTCGATGTCGGATGCGACGTCGTCTTCGTCGGTGGGGGCTGCAGGTGGGGCAAAGAAGTTGAAAAAGGACTCGGTAGGCACGGTCTTCTTGATGACTCGAGTCTGCTTGGTATCTGGGGGACACAGTCAGTATGTCTGGACGGCTGCAACTCATGGACGTTACACATACTCTTGTTTCTCTGCTTCTTGCTCTCAACTCGGACGGTAAGATCCTTGCCGGCCTTCCAGTCAATGGTGTCTCCTTCAGCGTGATCGTAGATGAAATCGCCGCCGTAGCCGCTCTCCTCTCGGTAGAAGTACGTCTTGGTGATGGTCTTGTTCGTGAAGAAGTCGTTAGGAGCAAATTCAAAGATCAGGCGGAAACCCGGCCGGTCGAGATACTCCATCCGGATGTCTGTCAATGACCGGAGCGCTTCTTCGTCACGGTCCGTGATAAGCTCGGCCAGAGAAATCTGGTTCTTCATCGCTGAGAGCCAGAATTCTGGGATACCCTTGGTTGCTTCTGCGGGTGTGGTTTCGTCCTTTTCCTCTTCCTGCTCGGCATCTTCGTCCTCCTCCGACTTGCCGGCCGTCACCTCTTCCTCTGTGGGCTCGGTCTCTCCATTGACGATGGCAGCTCGCTTCTCATACAATGGGGTGAATTTCGCAAAATACTTTTTCTCGAGCTGCAGGACTTCTTCTTGGAATTCCGCCTCCAACTTGGCGTGGTCTTTCTGGATGCCTTTCAGGCCGGTGACACGGCGACGGACTACGGGAGGTAAGGACTCGATGTATCCAGACGAACGGCCGACAAGTGTGGAGAGCTTATTCTGCATGAGCGAGACAAGTGCCGGGTTTGAAGCAAATATGCTTGCGGTGGCGCGATCAAGATCCTCTGAGAGCGGTCAACTAGCCGCCCACGTCTCAACTTCAAGAGATGCCCACCTTCAGGGATGTCACCTATCGTGGGTGCTTGAGCGTGAGAAGAGATAGGCGCATTTGACGCGGGTGCTATAAACCTGTGAGTGGGAGAGGACGCGCAACCGGGTGGAAGGACGCACTGTTTTGGGGGGTTCTGAGTCGAACTTCGGATTAGTACATCATGATACAAAAATGAAGATCTAGGCAAGGTGGCAGGGTACTTACGGAGCGGTGACATTGCGTCCCTTGGGAATGTCGGCCATCTTGCTTGTGTCTTTCGATCAGGATCGGGCTGTGATGATAGAATGAGAGAGAGAAGGCAAAGAGTTGGGAATCTGGTGGGATGAAGAAAATGGCTTTGCACACGAAATTTCGATTGGACGCAGCGAGCAACCGCAGGCCAGAACATCATTTTCCCGCCGCCCTAAGAACAGCAACCCAGCGCTAGTACCGTTTGGGCTCTACCCCAGCACTGCCCTCTTGAGGCCCTTCACACGCAGTAGTGAACCCAACAAATTACATTAGGTCGGCGTCTAAGCTCCAGGCAGTGGGATTTTCTTTCGGTGAGCAATATCAATTAGTCTACGTGGCCATGTCTCACTCGGTCTGCTCATCCAGCGTGATTGAGGTTGCGGACCACAGGATGGATGGCGATGCAGAGTTGTGTCTCATATCGAGAAAGCAAAAATAAATATTCGTTCCCCAAATTCCACTGTTGTATTTGTTGGCCTACCTCTGCAGTAGCAATCGATCTATGACGCTGAGAACATACACATACACATCCTGCCACTGCCCTGATATTCGTCGTTGCCTATGAGATCACTCAGGTGTATTGCCAGGCCGCAAAGAGCTGAGAGCTGTCGATAGCAATGGCATCAACCCCCAGACACTGGGATACATTTCCACGAGGCACAGTCGCATTTGCCATGTTTGCGAACACCTGCCATATGCCCGACTCCTCAGTTGGACATGCCATGAAGCCATCCGACCCAAAAGCATCGATGGTGAGCCGGCCGAAAGGAGCTTGTGCATTCTTTTGGTATCGGAACGGACAGAGAACGGATCCCGCCGGTCTGAACGCAGAGTGAGCCTCAGTGTATCCAATTTCTCCGTTTCGCGTCACGTAGATTTGTTGACCACCGGCAACAACGACTGCCTGTTTGCGAGTCAATGGCTGCCGCGACTTCCTCAATTGACAAGACTTACCATGCTGCAGAGAGAGAAGACAGTTTCGTTGCCGGGCGGACATCCTCCAACCTGGTCCACCTCGACCGGGCAGTACGTCAGGGTTTCGATTCCAAGCCAGAAGCGCAGGCCGGCAGCATTCATGCGGAGGTAATCAACAGGGGATTCGCCACGAACAGCGACCACGGTGATGGGCAAGGTAGGTGTGGTGATCGCCGAAACGCCTGTGGATGAAGCTGTCGTGCTGGTGGGCTTTGCGATACTGCTCGAGATGGTTGTCCTGCGTGTCGAAGAGGTGCTATTGGCGTATCCGCAATCTTCATAGCTAGATGGCACCTTGGTGCAGAGTGAGGTGATCTCTTCTACACGTGGAGAAGCAAGACCAGCGCTCGAGAGCAGTGCGATCGTTGTCAAGACGAAGAACTGCATTTTGAGGTGGGTAGCGAGACGATGCGAAGGCTCAGCAGCGAGAAGAACTCATGAGCGAGACAAGTGAAAGCCTTGAAGAACAAGAAGAACAAGAATGTGATTTGGAAGGGCTCGTCGACAATTCCAATATCTCAGAGGAAGATGTTGATGTGTCATGCCATCAAGAGGTTTCTCAACGGCTCCTCGCAGCTTCCTGGTGAAGTTTGTGTAACGTGGTAGACCAGGAGAATGAGAGATTATCAGTCGTCCGATTTCGATATCAACTTCAGCCCGCATCCCGTCCCTGTCGGATTCCTCCCTCCTACACCTCCTCGGTAGCCAAACATGGCTGCGTTCCAGGTACACCATTGTTACTGGAGTTGCCGTATCGGTCCCGAGAACCATAGCGAGATACGCTACTTCAACCCATTCTTCGGGTTCGATATCACTTGTTCTTCCACGCCACGCGTCCACGGCTCTGCTGCCGTCTGAAAGATGATATCTGCGGAGTTTGAATGTGTTCAGCTTAGGCTGGCCTTGTCATCGAAGAAACCACCCTTTCGCATTGCGGTAACGTTCGTACAGTCCAGGCTTCACATGAGCCACCCTGACTCCGGGTCTACAGCATCTGCTCCTGAAGAGTCTAGACGTTGCCTGTTGTTCTGCCAGTGAATCCATGCCAGACCCTGAAGAAAACAGTCTGCCAGATCATCTAGTTTCGAGATTTCGTTGCCATGACCCTTCTTCCCTCGTACTTCTTTCTTCCATACCGAGACGAATTGTTGAGCGAAAGGTCTCAGAGCCGTGCTCACATCTACCTTCGAAGCTTGCGATCGATCCTCTAAAATCCTGCCAACAATATCGATTTTCGCGCTCTTGACTTCTCGCCCGGTCGCTCTTTTCTTCGAGGGCCCTACAGTTGAATCCGGCCCCTCGAGCCAATAACGGTTGACTCGGGTAGGTAGCATTGGCTGTACGTCCAGCTTGAGCTTGTCACGCTCAACCAAGGTCCGTAGAACGGCATAGAGCATACCCTCGAACACGCCAACGCGGATGGTCCATTCAGGAACCGCAGCTCGGCCACCGGACCGGAACCTTTGCCTCTCTATCAATACCACATCCGGCTTGTACGTCTGCAACATGTGCTTGATCAAAATGTAGGAGTGTCTCGCGAATTCATCCGGCTCGAACGATTCTTTGATGGTGCTGTCCAGGAGGGGTGACGTCGCTGCTCGCATATCCCCTTGCTGCACACCGTCAGACGGAGGAGACCCATTTGTGAACCCCTCCGCTGGCTTAGACACCGACAATCGATTCCATGCTTGCAACGTTGGCTTGGCTGCTTGAGCCTTGGTCGCAATGAAATGAGCATACGCAAGATTTCTGATCCCCATATCAATGCTCAACAAGCTAAGTTGACCTTCATTATAGCGCTGCCTGTTCTTGACTGCATTCCGGATACCATCGACGCGTATCGCTTTCGTCCCTGAACATGGGGAGCCTATGGTCACTGCCAGTCGATGCAACTTTTCCAACGTTAGTGCTTCCAGCCAATGTTTCTGGCCGGGCATTCCCTCGTTCTCGAAAATGGTCTTTGCCAGGATTCCCTAGCGTGATCTCCGGCGAAGGCGCTTCAGTGGATACATCGCACTTTCGTCTACCCAAGAAGAAAGATTGACACCACGTTGGTGCCAGGGAGAAAACGCGTCGTGGTAGCGTGATCACGTGTCAGCCGTTCCAGAGCCCGTTTCCGACCAAAAAGGACTAAAGTCAAGCAATGGTAATTCGTAAAATATACTAAAAGAAATAGAGTCAAATTCAGATCCAAATGTATACTATTACAAGACGCCGAGCTCGGGGAAAACCATGTCCCGACAACGCCCTTTTCCATACCAAAGCAAAAGGGTATCTTCATCACCAGAATCCGTCCTGTGCAAAAACAATTTTTTGTTTCCTTAATCCTCCGTCGCTGAAATGCTGTCAAATTCTCCATCGAATGCATCGCCTGCATGCTCCAAATAAACCAAGTTGGTCCACACCCGAAAGTTTACGACGGCCATGTGCGCCAGCATCCTAGCCATGCTCTCAATTTGGAACGGAATACGCCCCTGACATGTCTGCTGTTGGATCTGTTGCCATTGCTTTTGAGCTTCAGAAATTCTCAGAGTCGTCATGCCCTGGAAATCAGCGGCATGCTTGAGTGCACTCTTTTCCAGGTCGCTCCCGATAGTCGCGGCACGAACATGGTCTCGCTGCTCTGAGATGAACAAATTTCTCAACCGAGCTGTAGTTTTGGCAATATCGGCCTCCGCGATCTGCGTTGCCAATCCGCAGGCATGACGAGCGGCACGAACAAGCTCGAGGCCAATAGCACCTGCATGCTGGTACCACATATCCGAGATCGATGTGCCAGGATCAACGTAACCCTCAGTCAAGTCCATAAGTCGACTGTATAGGCGAGCGCGTGTGTCCATAGCCCGATTGTGCAATTGTCTTCTCGCCAGCGGATCCTGGCTGCTAGCATCCCTCCGATAGCAGACAAGCTCATCGAAGACCTTGAGAGACATTTCGAGATGGAGGAAGTCTTGAATCTCATCACGCATGGTTCTCAGGCGCGATCTGTCGTACTTTAGGGTTTCTGGGATTATTGGATCCGGCGAAACACAAATCTTGACCAGTCCGTGAACCAAGGGCTCAAGTGCAAATGTTCGATGCGTCGAGTGCGCAGTCGAGCAGAAGTCATGCTCTTGTTTTGCTGAGAGGTACCACTGTCGTGAAGGGCCCACATCTAGTCTCTCGCTCATGATGCGCAGGCGAAAGTACTCTTGTTGAAAGGGGACCGTGTCATCAATGAGATGATATCGGAAACTTCGGATCTGATGGTTCGCAACATCTAGCTTCATGGCTTCCAGGAAGGAGAACAACTTCTCGATCCCAGCAACCAGAGCATGCAGATCTCCCCTTTCTGCCCCTTGCCGGACCTGGTCGGCCATCTCTTGTGCGGACTCATCTCTGATTGGCGCACAGTGCGTCGTCAGAAGGACGCAGAGCCACCGAGCGAGCCGAACAACGTCTAGCAGGCCGTGGGACACTTCCTGAAGAAGTAGTGTGATATCGAGGTACTGGACTATTTGCTCTTGATCGCGGTCGGGCACCAAGATGCTCAGAAGCTCCTTGAGCGTCAGAAACATCTGGCGAAGTCTGGGCTTGAAGTATCGACCCTTGATTGGCACAAGACGACGTGCTTCTTGACATCTCGAGCATGACATCGAAGGATTATGCTGATACACTATTCTCAACTCCGCCTCCAAGCTCAGCCAGTATTTCTTAGCCTCTTGCCTCTTCTGCTCCCCTTTATAGCCGGAGACGGGCGTGAAGTGAAGGTCGTGGTCATAATTGATGTCCACCCTTAGATTAATATTTGACTGTATCCACATGAGGTCCAGCTCTTCTAGGGACTCTCTCGTCACCGGCGGTAGACGGGTGGCGTGAAGGAGAGCCTCGACCTCCTCCTCCGCTGTGCATGCGGGTATTCTAATCCGTTTGCGGCCGCTGTCTTCCTCCTCTTGCCTGCCTTCGAGCGCTGGTAGATAAGGGTCAGTGTCCGAAGCCTGTTCGTCTGCCTCGGATGCCTCTGAGGGGTACGGATGCCCGTCCAGAAGGGAGGCTTGCCCATGAGAGTAGTCAACATTGATATCCGGTTGCCTATCCCCATTGGGAGGGATGTCTAACCCGGTACACATGGACGATTTCATGGTCGCTAAACTTGGCGACGAAGAGGCCTCGGACAATGGGCATGTTGTGGCTGCAGGGCTGCGCCTGCCTGTTATAGGATCTCTCTCAGACCTTGGTTTATGACCGGACCCGCGTTGGCCATGCTTGCCTCTGCCTTCGACGCTGTCTGGTTCACATTCTTCTGATTCCCTCATAGGGGGCGTCCACGCGAGAAATAGTCATGTCCATTCATTGGCGCATCATTTTTCGCATGGGTCTCCGGATTGGCGTGCTTATGCTCAAGAGGGGGTCTTGTCAGACGTCGATATAGGCACAAGAGAGAGCTTGTTCCTTTGTTTTGCGTAGCAGAGGACGAAGAGGGGCGTGGCCAGCCAACGGCTCACGGCATCCGTTTGCCCAGCCAGCACAGAATCGGTTTGACGCAAAGCTTGCTGGACGGAGCACGCTCGCAGATGCAGTCTAATGATGCACGCCGGGATCGCGGATGTCTTGCTGTAGACGCTGGGGGAATGTAACAGTTGAGCAGGGAGATGGCTAGCGGCAGAAGGGCCACACGTGTGTGGTACCCTTGCAGTCCCAGAAGAACAGTGTTGCAGCTGAGATGCGGCAGAGTGAAGCGAGTGACAAGCGAGGCCCTCAGGAACAAAACTCCGCGCACTGGGGTTGAATGCGTCGTCCTCTGCTGGGGCGATGACTGGCAAGAAGAGTGTCGAGTTGGCCGATGCTAAACAGCCTCATTTTTTGTTTGGACACGAAGATCTCAGGTCCGTTTGATTCCTATGTTGTTGCTGGTGTCCGAGCCCTAGCCAGGGGAAAAGAGGGAGGGGGCCCCTTGTCCGGAAATTGCGGTCACCGAGCGGCTGTCCGAGAAGCAGCCACACCGAGCACAAGAAAGCGCTCTATGTCATGGTGGTGTAGGAAGACGTCGGCTTCGAAGACGCTGGACGTTGCTTTGGACAGCTTCGATGACTGTGGATATTGGTAGGCGAGCGAAGACCCCATCGCAAGTCGTTGGCAGTGGTCGTTCGCTGTAGTGTTCATGGAACCAACCCAGGCCCTTCTTTCAACTCGCACTTATTTGCTAGTACGTGGAATTATGCAAGTCTACAGGGACAAAAGCCCAATGATGGGCCTCAGCCAGCCTGGCGCACTGCAGGTGTCCAACCAAAATACAAAAAATTACAGGGCACAAATCAGCAACGTTGATGTCGCCAACCACGAGTACGAAGATGCGCCGGCGTCAATACCCTAGCTTCACTTTTGCATGAGTGAGCCTAGTGAGCCTTGCTGTCGAAGCCCTTAAATACAGGGAGAACATCTATTGCCACCGAGTTCCCTGTTCAGGGTTCCGAACCTTCTTGATTGACACTGGGCCATGGTCGGACCAAATAAAATGTATATCTAACAACTTCACCCTTCACCCAAGGAAGTAGAAGATCAACTGGCGATGCCCACTTTTTGCCTCCTTCACAATGATGTGACACTTGGGCTGCCCATCAGTCCGCCGTGTTACGTGGAAACGGACCCTTGTCTTACCTCGTACGAGTACCAAAGCCTCTCGACGGTTGCATACGCCACTTCGGCCAGGTGTAGTCAGAGCCACTGCTCACAGGGTCCAATTTACTGTCTTCATTGGGCAGACAAAATGCAGTGTCAAGAACAGCGTGGAAAAAATCACGCTCGACTCTGATTAAGTCGTCTCGAAGCAAGCACCAGAGAGCCGGTGGTGATGATACGATGAGCGCATATGGATGCCTCATGAAGACCGCACCTAGTCGCTGTTGACTGGTTCAGCCCCTCGTCGTCGCACCAGGTTCGGTGTTCTGACGCCAAAAGAAAACAACGACAGCGTGGGGTGTCGCCAATGACCAAAGCCAACACAGCGCCATGTTGCAAGCGAGATCCATGCCGTACGAGATATGGCATATCTGCACGGAGTACTCGAAGGGCAATTGCAAATGCGGTGACTACAGCTTTGGACTTTCGTGCTTGGGGCTCGGTATCATTATGGAAGCACTTCACCAGGAGACCAACAGAATCAGCCGCTGACTTCGAGATTTCCAACACCTGAGTATGGTTTCCACACTTGCTGGCGACTCGTCCTTGCGACTACTGTACGCTGCACCTTGGAAAAGCATGTTGCTGCACGAATCTCCTTTCAAGTATAGTGTCGAAACTAATCGCCTCACTTCTACATGCAACGAATGGCGGTGAGAGTCTCAAGCTGTCCTGAGTCGTCCAGAAATTTAGCCTGCGACAACGAAGGGGATATCTGTCTCAATTGAGACCAGGCGAAAGGCAAACCCAGTCATCGAATTCTGCTCCTGTCTCAGAGAGACCAGCTCATGCTTGACCGCGTGAGCGCGATAACCGTACAGGATCTTGGCCTCGACTACTTCAGTGCCCGTCACCGCCATCTAAGATTCCGGGTTCAATCATCAGCTGATCCCGGTCATATTGAAGACAATGAAGCAGCAAACCCGTGATGTTCCTGTTGAGGACATGCCAAAACAATGCTGGTCTGCAACCAGGCTGACGTTGTGTGACGACGTTGGCGGTGTGCATACCTAAGGAGCTCACCAATCCTGACTGGGAGGTTCCTGGGGCTTCAACCTCGATACGGAGTAGTTAAAGACACTTTAAAGCATTGCCTCGACCAGGAAACTAAGATCAATCGTGTTCGATAGACTATGGATCCTGGACCTTGACAACTACCTTTCGTGATCCAGCTGCGCCGGACTTCTGGTGCCTGTAGGCATTCACAGCGTCGTCGAACCCGCCTTCTCCGTACAAGACATAATCCATAGGACGCAATTTGCCAGCTTCGATCAGGTCTACTATCACTGGCTTGTACTGTTCAATCATTGCATTCAACCCTTCCGCCTCAGGGCGTCCAACCCCACCGAGCTTCAACAAGTGTGTCTTGCCACCCTCAAAATCACTGATACCTGTCCAATCATTCGTCGTTGCAAAGCATTTATTGGCTTCATTCGTTGCTTTGAAAAGTTCCTTGGCCAACAAAGGATCATCTGCCGCAGCTGCGTCAAAGATTTTCGACACTTTGCCCGAGGTGATTTCCATGACTGCCTTGACTTGCTCCTCGAGGGGGACCTTGTAGTCGAACGGGATTGCACCGAGTTCTTTGACTGCAGCGGCAGACTTGGTCGAACATGATGTCGCCACCTTGTAGCCACAGGCCCGGGCTAACTGTATAGCACATTTTCCAACACTACTCGCACCACCCAGCACAATGACCCAGTCGTCGTGAGCAGTAGGGAGGTTCTGCGGATCTGGCAGCGGGATTTTGAGACCATCAATCAAGCCAAGAAATGCCGTTTCCGCAGCCACCCCCAGTGTAGCAGCCTGTACCAACGAGATGTTCTTTGGCTTGTGCATGGTAACTCGAGCGTCCATAAGGAAATACTCCTGACCAGCAGCATAGTTCGTCGACCCAAGCCGGGTGCAACCGAAGACCTCATCGCCAGCCTTGAAGCCGTATTTGGTTTGAGCTTGCTCCCCGGCCTCAACGACAATTCCACCAGTGTCGACACCCAGGACCAGGGGCCAACTGACGACAAGGAGTCCATACTCGCTCATGAAGGAGTCGCTGCGTCAAAGTCAGAGCTTGCAAGATTAGAGATGCCAGTGGGCTATTAATACAGGCACCCCGGACGCCTCTGAACTCTGGACGACATACACTGGATTAATGGCTACAAAAACCGACTTCACAAGGAGCTGGTCCGGTCCCGGTTTTGGTCTCTCCAGCGTGTCAACGACTTTGGGGTCGGCCCCTTGGTTAGCAAAGATGACACCTTTCATGGTTACGGCGCCGCGATCAGATCAACCGCGATGTTAGCAGGTGCTAGTATCGATCAGAAGGCAAGGATCGAACTCGACCAAAGAGTGGGTCAGTGCCCTTGATATACCCGGACTTGCGACTCTCTGTTATCAGGCATCAGGATTGCAAACGTAGCACTCATCGTATTCTACCCGTGTGCTATACCGACTTGAGCAACAGGTCATTTTGTTTTTGCAGGGCCTGAGCATGTCGACGCAGGGTCTGGGCCAATACATGCCAGTCCCGGAACTGTGTTGGCATATTCTCTTGTGCCATAGGTCGCGCATGTAAAGAGGAAGAGAGTCTAGATTTCAGGAAAGACTGTAACAGGCTCTCTAAGGGGACCCAGAGCGGCCAAGTCTAATACCTTGTAGATATAGGGTTAGCATGGGAGGGATCCGACATGGATGTTGGTCTGGAATACGTCGAATACGAGGAGGGGTTGGTCAGCAACGAACGGGCTGCAAGTCTATTATATGGGAAGGGTGCAGAACAACGACAATCTCGGCAGGGCAAGCTGTGACTCGGCGAAGCAAGTTGACTTTGACATGATACGGCGGCATCGAAACATCATATCATAGTAAACCACAGAGAAAGCATGTGTAAGGAGCAGCGATGAGGTCGGCGACAGTTGCGACTAGTCGCCGGCTTTTGGAGTCAACGCCAGCTAAAAATGCAGTTTGTCTGACAGAGAAATAATCTGCGTTTTCGCACAACGCTGCGCCGGAACGACCGCATTTTTGCCGTGTCAGTCAAGAGCTTGATATTATGTTGGAGCTCCGGTCCCCGTCTCAACTTTCTCAACAGACCTTTGGATGCTCCCAAAATAATTGCCCGCTCTCTGCTTCGCACCGTTGACGTTGCCCAGACAATTGTCCCTCTTTCCGTGACGAGAGAAGAGCTTGCTTCCTTTGTCGATCGCTGTAGTCTGTCTTCTCTGTCGCTGCCATGGCGGGCAGACAGTCGGTAAGACTGCTCGCACGGCAGCTTGCGACGCAGCGCTCTCACGCCCAACATCAAATCCGCCGACCCTTCTCTAATACCTCGTGCTACCTTGAAGCGCACAATTTCACGATGCCGGCCATGTCTCCGACCATGACAGAGGGCAATATCTCCAGCTGGAAAGTCAAAGAAGGAGACTCCTTCTCGGCAGGCGATATCCTGCTGGAGATCGAGACGGACAAAGCTACAATGGACGTCGAGGCGCAGGAAGACGGAGTGATGGCCAAGATCTTCGCCGAGGAAGGGTCCAAGGCAGTCAAAGTCGGCACGAGAATAGCAGTGCTCGGTGACGCCGGCGACGATGTCTCGAGCCTCGAAATCCCGGCCGACGACTCGAAACCTACCGAGTCACCGGCGGACAATGTTCAGGGAGACAAGGAAGACGGAAACAAGTACGAGTCTTCTGGCGTTGAGAAAGAAATCCCAGGCACACCCGAAAACAAGAGACCGGCGAAAGACAAGCCCAAGACGAGTCCGAGTGGCCCTGGCCAGAACCCCAAATACCCTCTCTACCCCTCCGTGATAGCTCTTATTCACGAAAAGCACATCCCAGACGAGGAAGTCCTCAAGATCACAGCCACCGGACCCAACGGCCGTCTCCTAAAGGGTGACGTGCTCGCCTACCTGGGCACTATCGAGTCCGACTACCCGTCCAAGCAGTCGAAGCGCATCCAACACCTCGAACATCTTGACCTGAGCAATATCAAACTGCTCCCTACGCCGACGAAACCTGCGGGGACAGCGCCGACGACGGAATCAGCTACCGCCCCCGTACCAGAGGCGCCCAAGGTGACCAGCATCACCATCACCATCTCCCTGGCCGAAGTGCTCAAGGTGCAGAAACGAATCCAAGACACCCTGGGCACGACCATACCTCTGTCAACCTTCCTCGCCCGCGCCGTCGACCTCGCCAACGACGACCTGCCCAACCCCAGGGGCACAAAACCTTCGGCGAACGACCTCTTCAACGCCGTGTTGGGTCTGGACACCATCCCCACAACATCGCGCGGCACGTATCTGCCTCAGATCGATGCGTTCGCGACGACCTCGTCCCCCTCGTCCTCCTCGGCGGTGCGCAGAGCCAGTCCCGCGAAGCAGCATGATATCATTGACATTCTCTCGGGCAAGGTTATCCCTAAGCGCGCAGCACCACCGCGATCATCTACTGCTGCTGCGGCAGCAAGCCGAGGTCTATCGACGGCCGACGGCGCCCTCAACACATTTAGCCTGACCGTGCCCGCAGGCGAAGAGAAGCGAGCGAGGACGTTCCTCGAGCGAGTCAAGACCGTGTTGCAAGTCGAGCCGGGAAGGTTGATTCTCTAGTCTGTCCTATTCCTAATTCTTCACTTATGCCTGCGTCCTTTTGGTACGCTGTGATCATGTAACAAACGTTTTCGTAGTGCGCAACCTGGTTGCGACTGTGGTAGCTGAACACGAACGGGAGAAGTATTTATCAAAGGATACAAGGGGGAACAAAAACCAGCGTCAAAATTTCTCATTAGGTGCCTACATACTCATCTGGCTGTCTGGCTGTCTGGCTGTTGCGGGTGTGCCTTACTCTTGACTAGGTACTGGGGTACTGTACACCGTACGCTGTACGGAGACACTGTGCACTGTTTTGCACTGTGCCCCCATCTGTATGAGTATCTCCGTCGTACTTTCCACTCCCGTATCCCATTCATAAAGAAGGAGTGACCCGTCTCAGCCTGACTGTTTGTTTTCAAGAGGCTCGGTTCTACGGACCAAAGAACATTCGATCCGAGCGGAAAGCGAGCCTTTGATGATGATGCCAAGGGGTTTTATTCTTTTTTTCCCTACATCTGTGCATACTGTAATGTAGAGGTAGTAAGTAATGAATCTCGACAACCCCCTGTACGGAGCCAGGGACCGTCGCTGAAACCGCAATTGGCGATGGCAATCACAAGCCACAACCACAATCTCGATCCCAATCTCCCATCCACGTAGTCAGTCGTTCGTGCCTGGAAATAAAACACATGTACTCCGTACGTAGGTACGAATGAAAAATACCAACTCCAGTATCAAGTATGTACCTAGGTTGCTTGGTAGCTACTTCGTACATGTGCTGTAGGGGTACGTGTACCTGGACGCCTTCGCCAACTTGCCCGAATGCCAATCAATACCAACCTAAGGAAGGTATTGCTAGGTTATGCTAGAGGTACGGATACTCGTAGTAAAAAGGCACCAACTCCCGGTCCCTCCCATGTTGCCTTTCCTCTCTCCCGTATCGTTAAAAGTGAGTCAATCAATCAATCATTATCGCTGGGTTCTGGTCGTGGTAACTGTCGAGTAACTGTGGGTGCGAGTGTGTGTATGGATGGGTGTCTCCTATTATTGATTCGCAGATCATTCAAATGATTCATGATTCGTTTCATCTTGCCAAAACAAGGAGAATCATCATCTTCATCGTCATCATCTACCGGCGACCCTCTGTCGTGAGATGAAAAATATGATCGGAAGGTCGAGTGATACGTCGTCAAAAGTGGTAGGTGAAAACCTCCCGGTGCCCCTGTCTTGAAGCTCCCTGGATGTCGTCAACGGATCGCACCCCAGTCACCGAGTTTCCCGGATATCCCATCACTGTTGCGGCCGTCGTTGCCCTTCTTGCCAAATACGCGCCAGAACCGCAGAGTCTCGTCTCCAGCACCTGTCACCACGGTTGTGCCATCTGGACTTGTGCTGAGATAGAGAACACGGAAAGTATGTCCGGTCAGACTGACCACCTGCTCCATTTTTGGATATTTCCAAACCACAATTTGGTTCTGGCTGTACCCATGTGTGCTGACAATCTCGTCACTATTCTTGCTCCAGGCCAGATTGCAGACCTGGCTTCCTGTATCGACCTCCTTGATGAGAGATCCGGTTGATGTGTTCCAAAATTTGATCGACCGATCTGCTGTTCCACCTCCTGATGCCAGAAGGTGATGTTGATGAGGGCTCCAAGCGATGGCCTTGACTGCTGCAACGTGGTTCGAAAATCTGTACAATGGAGTCTCGGAAAGCTTGTCCCACACACACAATTTGTTGTCATTTCCTCCCGAAGCGAGCTGTCCATCTTCGGTGTTCCAACGCAGGCCGCATACTTCTTGTTTGTGACCAGCCAGACGTCTCAGATACTGATCCGGACTTCGCACATCTCGATGGTATATCAGCCGATCTCTTGATCCAGACGTCAGAATGTGGTCGTTCCAAGCTAAAGCTCCCACTCGAGCTGAGTGGCCCGTCATCGTCCTTAGTCTGCGAGACTTTTCGGCGTCATATATCTGAACGAATCCTTTGTGGGTTCCAACCGCAAGGTGCGACCCTCGTTGTATCCATGCCACAGACGTCACCACATCATTGTCTGGCAGCTTGCATAGCTGTGTGACCTTACCCGTGGTGCTGTTCCACATGTAGACACATGATCCCAGCCCTACCCCGAGGATATTTGCCGAACCCCAATCGACCAGATTGAGGTAGAAATCATCTGCCAGCTCTGGAGCGTCCAGCACTTTATAGGGTACTTTTGCAATGGGTCGGGGTTGTTTGCGGGGAGTCTGAAGAATGGATTGTGAGGAGTAGTTGATGGGCGATATGGAATAGAGGTCGGATCTTGCGTTGAGATTTATTAGGCCAGGATGTTTTCCGGTTCTTGAGGAAGGTGTCGGATGACCAGATCCTATCACCTTTTGAGGAGATTTGTATGAGAACATATTCTTGTGAGGAGTCGTGGGGGTTATGGAGGCTGGAGGCATGGCGGCCATCGATGGTTGACCGGGAGGAGTCTGTCTTCGTCCAAAGCGGTCGTCCGGGGATATCGATCGGAAGTCTTGAGGTACGGAGTCTCCCATCAGCTCATTTCGGAGTACTGTTGAATATGTTCTGTTTGCTTCTTCTGTTCGCTGAAAATGCAGTTCACCATGAGGAGTCTTCTTTCTTGATCGGGAGGGTGTGGCAGGAGATCCCTCGTCGTGGAGGAGACTATAGCTGGCTTGTAGATCTTGTCCGTCTCTATTTGGTATGAATCTGGCAATTCGTGTCAATAAACATTTCGGCGCAAGAAGGCGCTTCCTAACTCACCGATCACCATAAACCCGCTGTCTCTTGCGACTGGGGCTTCTCCCCGGCGTTCTGTCTCTCGATCTTCCTGCATTCTCAAACTCCTTCAGTCTCCGATTCAAAGCATCTGCTTCCATCGCCTCAGTCGCTCGTTGGACTGCGGACATGTTGCTGTCTTGAAGCGAAAACCGTTTGCTAGCAATTGTTGGAGGTGTTTTCGAGCCAACTGGAGTCGGTAAAGAAGGTGTTTGAGGACGATCAACGGGTGCAAGAGTTGCAGCATCGTCGGCCATGATGATTGCGGGTTGATGGTGTCGCGGCGCAAAGGCGGAGAAAGGATGGTCGACGGGGGCAACGTCACAGGGCAGTGAAGTTCAGATGAGCGTCAAGTGAGAGTGTGTCTGATGTTGCTTGTCACAATTTGTACCTAATGTAAGGGCCGGTTGAGGTTTGTTGCTGGCCTCCGCAACCGCGACCGTTTGAACGAGGGTGAGTGGGTGGATTTGCTATAAGAAAGGCTATGCACGCTGATAGAGAGGAGACATGATGCAGAGATATCGACAGGCAGCAGAAAGCAAATCGATGTGGCTCGTAAATGGCGACTGTTAAGCTTGGGTATAGTGAAGATGAGGGTGATGTTGATGAACCTGTTCAGTGTGTCGGTCTCTGCGGCTGCGTCTGTTTGCCGGACGGAGCCACTTATCTCAGCAATGTTCACCAGGTCAAAGCGCACCGACGCCTACAGTTTATGGTCGCGGTACCAGCCTAATCGCCGCCCGTTAAGCTACCAACCACCGCAAGACCCTTTAGGTGCATTAGGGGCTTCCGTTCATTCAGTCTTAACTAACTTGGGCGACATCCCTCCACCACCAGCGCCAAGCACTTGGGCCTTGTGCATGTTTATGGGCATATCCGAGTACACGATCTATGTATGTAGGTATAGATTGCCCATCAATCAGCGCCCTCATACTCCGTACCGGGGATTGAGAATGTACACAGGTAAACGAGTCCACACTACTGCGACTGTGAAGATAGTATTCATAGCAGGGGTAGTTGATGGCACGATTATCGTTGCTCTTGAGAAGTGAAGCTATTCTATGCACTCGAACCTTACCTACCTACCTGTATGACCATCACAACAAAGCACTTTACGCGGCCAGAAAAATGACCGTGGAAGCTCCAAAACATCGCGTCTCTTTGTTTTGGGCGGCAAGGGAGTAATTGGTGTTCTTGAATCACATGTTTCAGCATCTTCTCGGATCTTTCCCGTACTGGACTTGGTGGTGCTGTTTGAGAGATGCTTGCGGGGAGGAGAATGATTCGATGAGATGCTTGTTTCAGATCGGAAAGCTCTGGAAAGTCCCCTTCATCATGCCTCGTCTCCGTTTAGCTAACTTAGAGCCTGGATCGAATCCCCTGGTGAAGATAAGCGGCTTCAAGGGCCGAGGGCGATGCCGAGTTAATGCTCGCTAGGCATGAGAACTTGGACTAAAACCAACTTAGTGGTGGCTACGTACTAGAACTACCTAACGGGGTCTCGTGCTCATCCGGAGTACCAACTGCGTCCACGACTCCGTCCACCACGTCCCAACTATTTGCTGCCCTTGTTTTCAAAGAGTCCCAATCTATTGACTGTCTGCCTCCAAGAGTCTACCCTGGGATCTTGTGCGGCTTTCCCTACACTCGTACATGTTCTTGCGCCTATCCCTCAGAGGCCCGTCCACCATCAAACGCTACTCAACCATGGCTTGCCCTCATATCAAAGTCGCAGCCAACGAGTTTCTCGACTTTGTCAATGCCTCTCCGACGCCGTTCCATGCAGTCAAATCTGTCAAGGAACGGTTAAGCAAGGTCGGGTTCAAGGAGATCAAGGTATGGCCACTGTCACAGGAGCACATTCCTTCCGATGCTGACGGTCCTTCGACAGGAAAAGGAGTCCTGGTCATCAACATGCCAGCCCGGCGGTAAATACTTCCTCACTCGAAACGGTTCTACCGTCGTTGCATTTGCGATTGGCAAGAAATGGAAACCCGGCAACCCAATCTCCATGATAGGTGCACACACGGACTCGCCATGCCTGCGGATCAAACCTGTCAGTAAGAAACAAGGAGATGGGTTCATCCAAGTCGGCGTAGAGACATATGGAGGTGGCCTCTGGCACACATGGTTTGATCGTGACTTGGGCATCGCTGGCCGCGCAATGGTACGAGGGCAAGACGGGAATATTGTTCAAAAACTGGTCCGCGTAGACAAGCCCATCCTGCGTGTCCCGACCCTCGCCGTCCATTTGGATCGGCAGGAAACATTCAGCTTCAACAAAGAAACCCAGTTGTTTCCCATCGCCGGTCTCATTGCTGCCGAACTTAAACGGCAGGACGACAAGAAAGGCCAAGTCGAGCACGGGCAGGAAGGCGAGCAGAACAAGCCCTTTGCGCCGTTGAAGGCCATCACCACCAGACACCACTCGCATATCGTCGAGCTGATTGCCGCAGACGCTGGAGTGACACCTGAAGACGTGGTTGACTTCGAGGTTGTCCTCTACGACACGCAAAAGGCATGCCTGGGCGGTCTCAGCGAAGAATTCATATTCTCGGCCAGACTTGACAACCTGAACTCGACGTATTGTGCGACCATGGGCCTGATCAAGTCTGTGGAGTCACCATCTGCGCTAGACGACGAGTCGTCGATTCGTCTTATTGCTTGTTTCGACCACGAAGAAATCGGCAGCATGACAGCTCAAGGCGCGTTCTCGACCATGCTTCCTGCCATCATCCGCCGGATCTCGGTCCTCCCGTCCTCATCATTCGTCGATGGCTCCGAAGACTCATACGACCACGCTACCGACCCGGACGTCTCAACGGCATACGAACAGACTCTGTCGAGCTCGTTCTTACTGTCGGCAGACATGGCGCACTCGGTCAACCCCAACTACGGGGCCAAGTATGAACCAGACCACAAGCCGGAGATGAACCAGGGTCCGGTTATCAAGATCAACGCGAACGCAAGATACGCCACCAACTCGCCGGGCATCGTGCTGCTGCAAGAGGTGGCAAGGAGGGCGCCCAAGCTCATCGAGAGCGATGCTGAAGGAGTTCCTTTGCAACTTTTCGTGGTGCGAAACGACTCGAGCTGTGGAAGCACCATTGGTCCAATGTTATCTGCTCACCTGGGTGCCCGAACCCTTGATCTTGGCAACCCTCAACTCTCGATGCACAGTTGTCGTGAAACGGGTGGTGCGGACGATGTCCACCACGCCATCAGGCTGTTCAGCGGTTTCTTCCAGCACTACTCGTCCCTGGAAAAGTCCATCTTGGTTGACTAAGTTAATGCTTTTATGTATGAAGTACCGAGCATGTAAGACTATGGCCTGAAGTTTATATGTGTATGTCTTCTGTGTCTAGCCCAACCTCATCGTCCTATTACCCGTCGCACTAAACGGGATGTCAGACTCTCGATCCGCGACGCCATCGCTAATACTGAATTTCAACACGGGACGTCTATGATTTTGTTTCATGTTTTAATCATTCTAAGCCTTCGAGCAGATCGGACAGCTTGTCGACGTAATAATGCGGACGGGCGTCGCCCTCTAGAAACTCCTCCTTTGTAGCGACGCCGGTGAGCACGCCCAGGGTCCCTCCCAGCTTCCCCTCGAGACCAAAGCGGATGTCGGTGTTGGCGCGGTCGCCGACCATGCACGCCTTGGACCTGTCGAAGCGGAACTTGCCTTCTATGGCATCCATCATGGCCTGATTGGGCTTCCCAAAGGCCATGGGCTCCTGACCCCCGAGCATCTTGACCAGGGGCGCCGAGATGGAGCCTGCGCCGGGGAACAGCGCGCCGGCCGAGGGCAGCGTCGAGTCGGTGTTCGTGGCGAGGAACAGCGCGCCGCGCCTGACGTAGTGGTACGCGTAGCACAGCTTGAGGTAGTTGAAGTGGAAGTCTAGGCCGAAGAGCACGACGCCGACGTCCGGGTCCAGCGCCGGCGAGTCCTGCTGGGCCAGCAGCTTGTAGTCCTCGGGCGTGACGTCGCGCCGGTAGGCTGGATCGGTGCCGCCGAGGTGCGGCACCCCCTCGGCGTCCAGCTCCGTCTCGATGCCGGCCTCGCCGACGACGAACACCTTGTTCCGCTCCTTGAGCTGCGGGTGGTGCTGCGGGAGGATGCGCGAGATGTACACGGCCGCCGAGTACGACGAGCCAAACACCTCCTCGGCCGTCGCGGGGATGCCCATTCCCTCGAGCTTCTTCTTGTAATCCTGCCGCGACTTGGTCGAGTTGTTGGTCACGAACACGACTTGCTTGTTCTTCTTGCGCAGGAGGTCGAGCGTCGACGGCACGCCGGGGAAGAGGTGGTCGCCGGACCAGAGAACGCCATCGCAGTCAAAGAGGAAGACCTGTGTGGGTGGAAAACGTGCGTGCGTTAGTATGGGCAAGTACAATGAAGAGTTGGGACTTGAGATGCGTCTGAAACATGCGATGGCGCTCTGAGAAACCAAAGCCAACCCGACCCGACCCAACGCGACCCAAGACCGGAAGAAGACTTGAGGGCTGGATTTTTTGGTGGGAGCGGGAGTGAGAGGGTAGAGGGGGGGGGTAAGGAGGGTGGGTGTTTGAGGGGAATGACGCACATCGAATTTGTCCAGGAACTGTTGTATAGCTTCCTTATTGCCTGAGAGGTATTCCGGCGTTGACATGGTGAGCTCGATGCTACTCGTGGGTCGAATAGAGTGTGTTCAATGCAGTAAACAAGAAATGAAAATACTACGAAGCCAATATCAGGTCCATCCCATCCACGCCGGAGATGGGGAATCGTTACCTCATCCGCTCGGGAGATTCCATTGGGCTCTTTTTCGAGTAGTTACCCCAAGATCATAAGGAATACAAGGTAGACATACTGTACCTCCGTGTCCTCAGTATCCACTGTCCCGAAGAGCCTGATGAACAAGGAGCCATACGATACACATTGCGAGGATCTTCAGTCCAGTTTGGCGAGTCCATATCAGCCATTCATTACTACCCCTGGTCCATCAGGTCAGGTAGCCATATAGGCAAGTTTGTAGTCTCGAGAGGACCTGGACTCAGAAGGAGTACGTGGTGGTAACAAGGTAAGAAAAACGTACTCCGTACCTTATCATATATACCTACCTAAAGCAAGTACTCGTACTCTGTTGGTACTTCTTCATCGTTTCGACCTGCTGGAAGAGTCTGCGCCACGCTTTATGGATACTCGTTCATCTCAAACGTCGCTCGCCCCAATCACTTTTTTTTCGAAATCTGCCTTGCGTGCTCGGTCACGTCAAACTTTCGGGCCCGCCTCCGAAGATACGCCCACACAAAACACCTTGGAGGTGCTTTATCCAACACCACTAACTAACTTAGCTTCCAAGGGGCGCTCAGGCGCCGTCCATGGTGTCCAACCCTAGTTAGCTTGCAACATTCACCATGTTCATATCATGCAGGCTCTGTTGTCGCCGCGGTAAGGGGCCTCGACAGGCCTGGTTCTCGACTTCGGCTCTCCACTCCAGAGTTGACTTGTTCGCGACATTCATTGCTCTGGTCGGTCAGCTGCTCATTCGTTCTGGCCATGACCGGTCGCGGGTCTGGGACAGTGTGTCAAAATCAAATAGCAAAGCTATCTCTCGTTGCCAGAATGAACGACGACATCTGCGCAACCTGATCAAAATGGATCGCACGAACCGCCGGTGGTGTGCCACACACCAATCCGGCTCGAGACGAACTCGGAGTGCAACCCTCGTCTGAAACAGCACCAATGCTTATGGCTGAAAAGGTGCAGGACCTGGCGTTTCTCGGCCCCGGCCACCAACCCCAGGCCAGGTTAAGATGTCTCAGGGTTGCGTGCTATCAAAAGGACCTTGTCGAGCAGATACACGCCATACTGATCAACATTGATTGAAAATGGGGCCTTTGTCCTGTTGGATGCAGATGATAAATTCGGCGAACAACTGCAGCTGTGCGTCCTGATCGGCACAATCATGACAGCAGCAGACCGTACAACTCCTGTTGTCTACCAATATTCCCTTCCCGCTCACACGCGCAACGACAGTAAACAACCACTCGTCAGGCTGGGGAGTGCAAACACCTCGCAAAACAATCTACCATCAGCACGATGTGGAAAACCAGGTCGTAAGGAGCGCATACCTGCAAAAGACGTATGGCTGTTTTCCATCGAGATTGTCTGCCTTGTTGCAGCTTTACTCATTGTCTTTGAGTCTCGTCTGGCAATATGGTTGGGCCAGATCAACCAATTGATTGGAATCGGCTTCGTTCTCGCCGTCATGGCCATGTGCCTTGAAGGGCTGGTCCTACGCACTGCTCTTATCCACACCGCAAACCGAAGCGGCACCTCCATCCAAGATCTAGATGCACTCATGAGAAAAGATCCCTTCTCGTCGAGGCACGTCCACATCGCTTACCGGATACTTCTGTTATTTCTGTTGGGTTTACCATTGCTATTGAGCATTGCATACAAGAGATTCGTGGGTGGAGAGAGCACTGTTGTCGTCAACCACGGTGACGGACTTTTTGGCTTTTCTTCAACACCGGGCAAGCAAAGGATAGGAGACGGTCTGTCGATCTTGTCTGACGTGTACGTGCCATTTTGGATCAGTCCTGGCCTCAACCGGACCTATGGTTTCAACATGTACATCCCGACCGACAACAAAACTGGCGTGATCGTTGACTCCCCATTCCCCTCGTATCTGACAGGCCTCCAGTCCAGTCTTAACGGTGGAGAATCTCTGACGCTATCAGCCACTGTCAACGCGACCCTATCCGAAATGGTCAACCCGACCGCAGAAGAACGGAGCAGCGACGACTTCTGGACGGACGTGCAGGACCAGTTCGATCATCCAGCGACACAAAATGGAGGCAACGTCGATGGCGCTAACAACGCCATGTGGGCAGGCATGAGTGGAAGTTTCCTGACCAACTTCTCCGTCATGTATTTTTCGGCCTGGAACACGACCAGGAACGAAACTTTCTACTCCGAAGCCATCCGTACCGAACAGTCGAGACGCCGGGCCAGAGCGACCTGGTTAATTTCCTCGTCGAACATCACGCTCGTTCAAGCGGAGCTCATCCCCAACAGCACTCTCGACAACCAATTGCTGCTTCAGAACAACGCCATCGGGCTGCAGGAGATGTTCAGCACCTTTCTTGGAGAGTACGACTGGCACAACCGTGCCGGCGCTTTTGATTTTCCCTACCCCGATGGCGGCTTGGGGACTGAGGGTGAAGTCAGATATTTCCAGCCGGTGAACACCGTCCCTCCACTTGCAGCTACGATGGCTTGGGCGCGGATCACCAGTTTGGACACCGTCGATCGACCGGGTGGCCGCAACAACTCCGAAATGAGTGCTCTGACAGGATACTCCAAAGGAGCGGAAGACATCCTCACGGTTCGCACTGTACCGACACTCCGAAGAGATCCACTGTTGGTGGCTGTCTTGGTCATAAACCCTGCGCTGTTCTTAGTGTGCGTCCTCATAAAAGCGACCTGGCTGTACGGAAGTCCCATGGGGGATGACGCCAATATCATTTCGTTACTGGCTGCAGCAGATGGCGGTGACCTGGGTGCATTAAGGGGAGCCTCTTTGACGGGAAAGCTGAACAGAAAAGTCCTGCTGGCGTTTCATACGGAAAGAGATGGTCTGGCTGGAAGATGTGGCTCGGACCGAGGGTCCGATCGTGTTGTAATGACTGTCGATGGTCTGGGACCGGGCCAGGAGTTCAATCACAAATGGCCTGTAGATCCGTGACATTGGATATTGTGCTCGATGTAATTAATATACTACTTTGAGTGAATGGGCTCCGGCCTTCCCCAAATTATATTGAGACGCCAGGACCTCTTTCGGGGCTACCTCTGGCTCGCACATAATCTTACCATGGACGGATTCTAGGATAAGTACGTACGAGTATGTAGTCCAGCTTGGTGCTGGTGGGATGATAAATCCTAACTTAATATGTCAATAGCCGACGCCGCTCGTCCCTTTCCATTTAGCATTCATTGACCCCGACATTCCAAAGACGCTGGACCGTAACCTACAAATAGATCTCAAACGCCCTCGCCGCATCCAAGACGCTCCTTTCAAACTTGATGAATTCCTGGCCGGTGGCCTTGACGGCCTTGGACGCGTCAATGCTGTTTCCGTTGGACTCGCCGGCGGGGAATTCCTTGATGATGCCGCGTCGCTGGGGATAATGCTCTCGCAGGATCTGCGAGATCTGGTGTACACCTCCACGGCCACCGTAGGCGATGTAGCGCTCTCCACCCGCCCGTTCGGGATTTTGGACGGCCCAGACGAACAGCCGTGCGACGTCGCGGACGTCGACGTAGTTCGCGGGCATGTTCAGAGGCGGGGGGACGTCCTGGCCCGCCAACACTTGCCACACGTTCCGCACAGTCTCGTTGATGCTGTTCGCGTCCTTGAACGGAGCGAGTGGCGGTCCGGTCACGAGTCTGAGAAAGAAGAGGGGTTTAGCAAAAGTTGGGGATTTTGACGACGAAGGGATAAAAAGGGGGGGGGGGAAAAATAAGGGTTTCCGACGGAGGGAAGACTTCGATCTGCGACCACACACTCACACCGGGTTGATTGCAGTCATGGCAAATGACGGCGAATGCTTCTTCTTGAAATCCCAGAAGGTTCTTTCCGCCGCCGTCTTGCTGGCGAAGTAGATGTGGACACTCCCTGCGGCTTTTCCAGACCTCGCCACCTCTCCTTCCGAAAAGTCGTTCCAGTCTTGCTCGGTGAAGGTGTGCGGCGGCTGCTGGGAACCCAGGACGGCGGCGATTGAGCTCATCAGGACCAAGGACTTCAACTGTGCGCCTGCCTGGAGGGCCGAGCCCAGAATCGAAGAGGTGCCTTGGATGGCACCGTGCAGGACCGGTTCCGGGTCCGTGAACGACAACGACACCGGGGCTGCCGTGTGCAGGATGGCGGTGACGCCTTTCGCGGCCTCGTCGAACGCCCCCGGAATGGTGATGTCCGGGACCTCGGCGACTTCGAAGTCTCCAGCTTCGAACGCGGCCTTCAGGGGCCCCTCCGTCAACGATTCGGTGTTGGCTGTCTTCCTTGTCGTCCCTCGGACTTTGAACCCTGCGTCGAGAAATGCTTTGGCTACTTGCGCCGCGATGTACCCATTGACACCGCTAATGAGCACGATTTCCTTTCCGCTCTCGACCATGGTTTGATTGCTGGAGATCTGTCAACGTTGGATTTATACTGGGTAGAACCTAGTCAAACTTTGTCAATGGCAGGCGAGAGTATAGCTATATGGATCGAAGACAACAAGAGACGACTGTTGACCCTCGTTCCAGTGGAATTTGGTATTCTTATAGATCGCACCAGCCTTGATCGATGCCGTAAGCAACGAATAAATTCGTGAAGGTGATGAAAGCCCAGCCATTGTTTGTTCGGTTTGGACAGGATGTTGATCACAGACTCGAGCCACGCTCTGTCCTAAACCCCGTCGAGTAGTTGGTCCTGCTCCTCTAGACCAAAATGAAATGCATGGTCAATCGGGCTTGTGGCCTACTCCGTATGTTGAGTAATCAGATATCTGCTTGGCGATTAGTCACTCCTAAATTACGACGGCCAGGCACCATGTAACTCGTAGCCAGGCTTGGTACGAGTACTCCGTATACGAAGCTTTAACCCACGGGTTAAACTTGGCGAGGAAGAGGCGTTCGACCTTTCTATCGAGATCTCCAGCACGTCTTCCGGCAGCGCTTCTCAAACCCCCCACCCCAAAACCGAGTTCAACAATTAACTTGGAGATGATATTTGCCTCATCTGCAGCCTTCTGTCTTGCGTCACTCCGGAGGCCTCTATGATGGAAGAGAAAGGGACAGTATGAACGTCCGGAGCTTGTCCTGCATGTCCCTGTAGAGCCTGTGATCGTCAATGACTGGCTCTCAAGCCCGGGCTTGGGGCGCCACGCTGTTGAGGCTTTTAGTTGCAGGGATATCGTTCGTGCTACTGCAAACAGGCAAAAAGGTGCAGATGAACACGGTACTGGTGAGAGGTAACCTTAGCGACGCTGCAAGTATTGATCTCTGAGTTTCGTCTCGGCACGTGTCCGAGGACGAATCGACACGAATATTTCAGCTCAGTGGAATCAACCTCACTTAGATTCACTTACAGACATTTGATATCTCCGTCGCCACATGGCTCACACACTATACCAGAGGCATTCCTGCGTCGGAGCATGCCGTTGTGATACAGAACATCTGCCAGAGCTCCAAACCTGGGGGCCTTGAGATGAGAACTCCAGCGGATTGATATATCACGACGTCCGTCGATCCACTAAATCCAACATATCGATTTGGTTGGTTTCTCAAGCTGTCTTTCTGCCCCATCACAAGCGCCAAAGCTTCAACGAGAGGGGAGGTACACAGGATATGATAATGTTCGGTGAACCACACGGAGTGAAAAGGATGTGCTCCATTGGACGAATAGAGCATATCGAGAGGTTTTGTCCTTCTCCGCAATTTTTAGAAATTTCTCATTAGTAGGTGTATCACTGTAGTCGATAAGAAAGTATCATCAGGCGAAGGAAGCGCAATGCGAGCTGAAAATCCGCAAGGCTTTTAGTTCGTAGGCAAATCCTGGCTGCAAGACGGACACACAGTGCCTGCCTCCGAGGAACGGATGTCGTCTGCCATTCGTTGTTCAAAGCCAGCGGTGTTCTCTGCAAGGGGATGGTTTGACCAGGAGTGTCAATCGTAACTGGGTGAGGGCTTGACGCCGCCCTATTTGTAGAAGCGGTTGCGACCATGACCCTCGATTCTGCTGCACGATGGTGATTACGGGTATCTGCTAACGCACAAATATCTCGCGCAGCAAATGTCTGAGTAAAGCTCCTGCTTGAAGAGAATCTTTGGGGAATATCCGTCGAGTTCCTTTCGTGTAGGCGCGAAGGCTTTCAAGATCAGGAAAAATCCGAACTTCATCGATGCTGCCTCGTGAAAAGTCTATCAAGTCAATCATGTTCACAAAGCATGATCGCACAGCCTACTTCAGATGTCAGCAGCAGAAGAGCTCAAAAAGTTGGGGGCGACGTTCCTTGCAGCAGGCTTTGCAATCTTGAGGCATGGGAGAGACCCGAAGTATTTTACAAAGGTTCTGCCATGACCGAAGGTTTCCACTGTCTGTACCATACCAAGCGTTAAACTCTGCAACAAGAGCGTCCATATAGTACGACCAAGCATCCTCTCCAGCAGCATCCCGCTTTCTCCACCCCTGAAATCGACGAAGACGCTCGAACTCGTCTGAGGGAGAAGCGAGGCGATCATAGTTAAAATCAGAGAAGGAAAGGAAAAATTTATCTAGAGGAGAATTTGTAGTGTGGCGTGGTGATTGAAGGTGCTGCTCAAGTGCGTTTTCGTTGCGAAAGACTCGATCGCAGTCTTCACATTCGAACCTCTGAGTGTGGATAGGGGAGCTGAGATGCTGTTGGAGGGCGTGCTCATCGACGAACCTTCGATCGCAGTCGTCACATTCAAACCTCTGAGCGTGGACAGGGGAGTTGAGGTGCTGTTGGAGAGACTTGGAAGTGCCGAAGCGCTTGTTACAGGCACTGCAGTAAGACATCACAGGAAAAGACCACGTAGAATACCGTACAGTGAGAATTGTTTCAATTCCCGCATCGATGGATGATAAGCTCCTCGGGATGTCGAACTCCTAATGTAGGAATGAAAGCAGAAGGGTGCTGCTACTCTCCCAGACCGTCCCTCAGCCTGATGGTTCTGGTGTGGACGGCACATGTTGTTAGATGCATAGGCCACAAAGATTGTTAGTTGCTAGTCTCTACGTTGGAGCGTGGCAAAGCTTCAGTGGTTGAGATTTGAACTTCTGCCAGCACATTAACAGCGAAATGCCTTCGGAGCGTCAGTAGAGTATTGTACAAAGTACGACTCGAGTAACCATGGAACGGTGGAGGATTCTCCGTACTCCGTACAAACATCAACAAACGTCAACGTCAACGCAGCCGCCGAGATCCACCTTGCGGTACTGACAGATCCTTTGTAATCTCCGGTCTTTCGGTCTAGGCTTTCGTTCTCGCGTATCGCATCTTTTCCCAGAATCAAACGTCGATTGGCAAAGACTTGAACCGTCGAGAATAATGAGGGACCTTGTACGGATATGCTGTACTGGACTGAGTTTGGCCCCATCCACCAGTTAAGAAACAAGCGGGATTGATTGCTCTGGAGGGTCAATCCAAGAAGGAGAAGGGGTGGGACGGAGGTCCACAAGTGGTATGATGTATTTATCTAGGCTTTTGCGCCGACAGTGTGGTGGCGAACAACTTCATGGTGTAAAAGAAGAGAGAACACAGAAATCTCTTGTACGGATACAAGCATTGAGACGAGACGCTTGACAAGAAACAACAAACACACTAACTGTAATAACTGTCTAGGTGGGTGATCTTGTAAGTACCTCACGATCCGACACATTTCAATCCTGGTGTTACATGTCGTTAAGAATCATCACATCGTGAACACATTTTCCCTTTGCTTCGCCTTGCATCGCTGGAGTTGTGCAATCCAATACATGGCCTGGGATCCGTAGAGGAGACTCGAGTACAGGTGACGAGGGTAGACCGACTACCGCCTCCAACACCACTACAACTCACAGCTCACAGTAGTGTCTGCCGACTCTACTCAGCCTCCGCGCGTCCGAAACTACTGTAGAAGTAGTACTTGTAGTGCCTGGTGGTGGCGGCGACGGCGGCTCTTCCACTGCTGACTCTGTGAAATTACTCGCTCGTCCCACCCAGGATCCCACGTCCTTGTGCTGTCCGTGTCCGTAGTAGGCATACCTCTCGACCCATTCGCAGCGGTCCAGCCACGGCAGGGCCTCGTCCATGAACGCCATTACTTCATCCTGGCTGGCCTCGCCGTTGCCCATGGTCGAGCAAGCAAACTCGTTCACCCACACGGGCAACTTGAACGTGGAATGCATGTGTTCCAGAAACGTCCGGAAGTCCTCAAACCGGGGGCCGTACCAGTGCACGACGAGGAAATCGATGCCGTCGTCGCCGTTCAGCCGAGACAGAAAATCCGTGAGCCACGGCACGCTCCTCGAGACGTCGCTGCTCATGCCTGGGCTTCCTATTCGGAGGCCAAACTTGGTCTTCGCCGCGAGCACATTCCGCCACAGATCCACCGCAGCGCCGACGCTGAGGTTGGCCTGGTCGCTGATCTCGGGCTCGTTGAAGCCAAGGAGTGCCTCCGTCTTGATCCCGCGTCCGAAGATGATGTCGGTGAGGAATGCGTCAATGTCCTTTGCGTTGGCCGCCGTGCGCACACACGGTATCCATTCGATGTCTGGCGGGATCGACTCCGGCACCCACAGCTCCCAGTTGAACACCCAGCTGATCCTGCCGGTCGAGTAGTACGGCGTGTACAATTTGAACTGGGAAGCTGCCGAATCCCACGGCCAACCGAGGCCTCGTTTGCTCTTCCGTGAAGGAGACGACTGAGACTGAGACTGAGAATTCGTTCGTTGGCCCGTTAGTGATTTCGGCTTGGGCGGCGGCGGCGGCGGCGGTGGCAGTCTGGCCTTGTCGCGCATTACCCCGGAATCGTGATCTGGCAGCATCGTTTCGGTCCCAGATGAAAAACCTGAAGGCTGATGCTCAAAATTTGAGAAAGACAAGCCTCGAAAACAGTCGGCCCTAGAATCATAGGGTAATAGGAAGCAGGCGATGATGTGTTACGAGACTTGAATCGAAATACACAGTGGCTCCCTGGTCCGAGTCCAGCACGAGGTGTAGCACAAGTAAACAAAGCACGGTACTGTGGTATCCTTTAGGGAGCAACTTAACAGCTAAGATAAGATTGTTGTCTACGAGGGCTCGGTACGGAATACTCTGCGAGGTCTGTCAGTCGCTAGATCGAGGTGAGTAAGTTCGCAAGATGCGTTTCAGGTTGGGCCCATTTATCTTATCACTTCGAATTGCGCAGGCCAGAGGCTATAATTAACCTTTGTGTCTCAGCGATCGTCCAGCCACAATGTGATTAATCGTGAACCCTCCCGAGGACCCTTACAGGACCCAGGCAGTTCGTGCACAAAGGATTTCGTATAAGAGACCCCTTGTGGAGAGAGAGAATTGCCTCTTGACTGGTCATCGTGGTGGGTTCTTTTGATTGATGACCCTCTCGCGTCAAGCATCTCTTGTCTCTACGAGTCCCCGGAGCACTAGCACAGGTCCAATTCCCTGCAATCAATGCATCACAATCGCTTCGTCTCCCTTGTCCTCGTCGAAATGACTTCATTGTACATCTGGCACGTGGGGACTCTTCCAACCACAGCAACGGGGTGGCGCAGTCCCTAGGGCCGGGACTACTACAATACAAGGTATAACCTGGCGCTACCATTTGATCCACCACCGCATGCATGTCGTACGCGTTCCATATGGCTGAGCAACCAAAGGGTAGCCCTTTGTCCTCGCAGTGAATTTGACCGAGACTCCCACCCAGATGTACTGTACAGTCTGTACTTCTGCATGTGGGCGTACCTACACCTCGGAGAGAACATTCAGCAATCTGTCAACGACTAACACCATATTCTCACCCTTCTCCCACATCTCGTCGTGTCCACCCGGAACCGACACCTCCGAGTACCGCACGTTACCATTCCCAATGTCGGACTTCATCGACTCGAGTGTTTCATTCCCTAGCAGAGTTCCTTTCATGATTGTCCGCTGTTCTGGCTCAACAAGTTCATCCCTGTCCGCCACCGCGAGAAGAATGGTTCGCGGAAAGTCCATACCGTGGAGCGCAAAGCGGGACGGAGATGCCTCAACCCATACCTTCTCATCGTCGCCGAAAGCCCCCCTAATAAAGGACTCATATATATCTGCAAATGGGCCGGTACTGTGATTCCTCAGCAGTGCTTTGATATCGTAGATACCCGCCAGTCCAACCAGTGCTCCAGGTGCCAGGGGAAACCCTGTGTCGATATGTCGCTTCCACGCTTGAAAAGCCAGAGTGGCTCCGCACGAATGGCCCACCAAGACATAGTTGTTGCTGCTAAGACCGTAGACCCGCCGGAGCACGTCAATGCCTGTGCAGACGTCGTCGAGATGATCAGGGTGGATGGCGTTTCGTGGACTAGCATCTGGGTCTTGTGGATACGAGGGGTGAGGTGAAAGTCGGTAAGACAACGAGGCAATTGCGACGGTTTTATTGCCTGGGATTTTCAAATCCGCTGCAGGATTTGACAGCAACTTTGAGACTACCGGGTCTGCAAAGGTACGAGCCGTGATCATTGGATCTCTCCATGCTCCTCCATGAATCAAGCTAGAGGTACGAATAGTTAGTTGCCTCTGCTGATGTCTTCCACACGTGGATCTCCCAGTATCAGAACCCACGCTGTGAGATATTATGTTTTTCTCAAGGTTCGACTCACACAATCCAGAACAAATATTCAGCTGCACGTTGTTGTGGCGGCATCCACACCAGGACATTCTGAAGATCATGCTCGCCGAATTGGTGTATTTCTGGCTCCATCATTGCGGCTCAGGTCTTCTCGAGAACAAGCCGAAAGTTCGAAGAATGAAGAATGGCGAACCTTAACTTTTGCACGTAGATGGCTTGAGGTGCCTGAGTCGTGCGTAGAGCTCTTCTCTTCAAACTCTGTGATTCATTGTCACGCTACGAACGACCTCTTATAGAGTTATCAAAGCAGGGCATGGTAAGGATGTATAGCAGAGGTTCTGCAGAATCGATTGTAAACATACATGAACAATGTCAATCAAGAATATTTACTGAATATCAAGAAGAGCTTCGATCACCGGCCAGTGGGGATGCAAGGCTGAACTCTGCGATCACGTGTCAGGCTGAACTTTGACCGTCACAGTTCCTCTCGTCATTCTTCGACCAACAAAGCAATCTGTTTACGATAGATCAGTCTGCTCGTAGTACTTCAGGAACGCCAATGCTACCCTGAGGCTACAATTGAAGCACGCCATAATGGAGGAGACCTCTACCTCAATCGCGATCGGCCCAGTCAGAGTCAGGCTGTGAAGCCTTTTCCAGCTTTAGCACAAATGGCGTCAAAGAAATCCCAGTCCAGCCAAAGACCGGGAACGGCAGCGGCAACGCCAAATGGCGGAGCCGAAAGACCACCGAAGAGGAGAAAGCTATCAGTTCCATCCACACCGTCAGCGCCAGCGTCAGCGTCTGGCGGCTCCAAACGCCCCCAAGAGAAGGCGAGCAAGAAGGGAAACCTCGTGAAACCGACATCAAAGAAACGTGCCCTACCACGACCCCCACGCCAGAGAAGATCTCTCCGACCTCAACCACTACAACGGTCCGGCGAGACACCCATTGAAAAACCCTTCCCAACCACGAGCAAAGCGACGTACGCAAAATCCAATTCCGGGGCCTCGACGCCGTTGTCGCCAGCGTCAGATACAAGCCACAAAATCAACTTTACGAAATCGCTGCTCGACCAGATCTGGACGCGCAACAAGAATCAGCACCGGACGCAACCATGGTGGAAATGCCTAGGAATGCTAAGGAAAGCCTTGACCCAGCTGGCTCTTTTGGACGACCAGGAAACCCACGTTCGTCAGCAGCATGAGACCAGCGACGGCAGTGCTCGCATCAACCTCGACGCGAAGGAGGTCCGGCTACGTTTCGAAAAAGAGGCACAGATACGAAGCGAGCGCGAGCTCTGGAGTGAGTGGGTTCGCGAGACCCTGGTGCCACGCTCGTACGTGGCCTTCACGTCGCTGGTGAGCGACACCCAATTCGCCAACCTGGGCGTGGTGCTCGTGGGTGCCCTCGCAGATATAGCCAGCATATCCGGTCAGCCTACGAGTGCGAGAGCGAGTACAGCGACGTCAAAGCTGGAACGACCCGTTCCATCCACAGTTCTCGCGATGGCAACTGGCGCGGCCGGGGAGCAGCAGCCGGCCGGTGCCTCCGTCCGTGCCAATCATCGAAAAGCGACCAGTCTGATGGCCAAGAGTACAGGAGTCACGGGTCTACAGAGCGGTGAACAAGTAGAGAGGGCATACGAAAGTGATGACATGGGTGAGGTGGTCGAGAGACCATTACCCCAAGACAAAACCCACCAAAGGGAAGATTCAGAGTCCTCGTCCAAGTCCAAGTCACAGGCAAAGACAAATGCAAACGGTGGTCCATCATCGCCACAAGCGAGTGTACGCGTACGGAAAGAGCTGTACACTGAAACGATTATCAGTGACGGTCGCTCCCATGCCGGACCTAGTGATGGTGTAGTGCCACCTGTATCCGATGACGATGACGAGGCAGCAACAGCAGATAAAGAAGAAGAAGAGAAGAACAAGAAGAAGCCGTCTGTTCAGAACAGACCGCAGTCTCAGAAAAGTCGTGCGCAATTGGACATACATCCGTCGCCCTCTAAGAAGAAAATAGCTGCGAAACAGCAACCTCAACCGAAAATGCCTACTCCTCCCACGGCGAGCAAACTCGGTCAGCAGAAGGCCGATAAGAAAACAACAAGCAAAGACGAGAAAAGGAAAAAGAAAAAGACCAAGGGGAGTGCCATCGACGACTTGTTCGCCGGACTACTATGACTCGCTATGTACAAGAGCCATGACACATGTGAGGAGATCAAATCTATATCAACAACAAGGGTATAATGATATTTGATAGTCTACTATCAAACCACCGCCTATATCAATAGCAATATGTTGTATAGCAAGTTTCGTGATACATGGTCGGCTACTCGTCAAAAACAAAACGCCATTGCCCACGATCGTACGGGTTTGGACCCTCCCCGTTCTGTTCATACTCGACACCCATCGCTATGCAAAAAGCACTCTGAGTCGCAATATATAAAAGAAAAGGCCACCGTGCAGTATCCACTCGAGGAAGCTGGTCGCACGCCATAAAACCAGTACCTCATATGAGACTTGGTGCTATCGACGATACGGATCTTGCATGCCGTACCCTCGGTCGCGATCTCGGTACTCCCGTTCTCTTTCCCACTCTCGGTCTCGGTCCCTCCTGTCTCGATGCGCATCTCTTTCCCAATCTCTCATTGGAACGGGACTTCTACTCCGCGGTCTTCGATCTCGTTCTCTTTCGTAGGTCCCACCTTGTGGCGGCATAGGCATGCTCTCAATATCTCGCAATCGTCCTCTTTCACGATCTGGGCCTGGCGCGCTACTGTCGTCATATCGAAGAGGTTCGCCATAGTCTGGTGGTCCGTGAGGATAGTGGCCGTCTCTGAACGGAGGCCGGTCATCTCTTCTGCGAGCCTTCATATGTGGTGGCCGTTGCTGAGAGTCTGCACTGGAATATGGCGGGATATAGGTGTCGCGATCGTCAACAGGGCGTCGATTGTCTGCCGGGGGTGCATTGCTGGGCGCTCCCGGTACTCTAGACCGTGACGGTGGAAGGCCACGACCGTCATCTCGGTGAGGTGGCACATCTGTTCCGCCGTATCGGTATTGCTCGTTCTCGTGAACTGGTTGGCGCGGTGGCATACCATGCTCCATCGGAGGTCGTCGAGAATAGCCCTCGTCGTAAGGGAGACGGTGCGGCTGATCATACGGCGGCACATCTCGAGGAGGTGGCCCACGGCGATCGTTGCCTCCATGGCGTCCATTTTGTCCAGGAGGTGGATGTCGACGACCATGGCCTTGGTGCCCATAGCCGTTAGCATGGGGTCGGCCTCCAGGAGCCCGAGGGCCAGGCGGTCCTCGATTTTCGTGAGGAGGAGGAGGACGTCCATGGAGACTCCATTCACCTTGTGAGGCAATACCCACCGACCCACCGGCCGGTGCAGGAGGAGGCTTCTGTTTCTGATCTCGGAACTTCTTACGATCCAATTCGTGAGAATCCTCAAAGGTTGGTAGATCGCTAGGCCTGGCAGGTAGTGGCTCTGTGTGAAAATAAGGATGTTGTAATGCATCGATTGCATTTATTCGCTTTCGCCAGTCGAGCTTCAAGAATTCACTTAATAACGAAAGCGCAAGGGGAGGCAGTTCGCGGAATACGCGGTTGAGTGTAGGCTGTCTGGGTTCGAATTCCGTGATGCCATCGCAGCCGGGAAGCTCTCGCCACCCTGGCATTGTTTCGTCAGTGGGAGAACCAACGAGTTCGAAGATGATCTGAGCCTGGTTGAGATCCGTATTGCCTGTCAGAATAGGCTTTTTCTTGAAGATCTCGCCAAAAACGCAACCGACCCCCCACATGTCGATCGCGGTTGTGTATTTGCGGAGTTGCAGAAGGAGTTCGGGCGGTCGATACCAACGCGTGACTACCAAGGTAGTGTACTCTCGTGTAGCCTCGCCGCCTCCATGACCAGGCCGCGGTGGGTCATCGTGGTATGGGCGTGCAAGACCAAAGTCAGCAATTTGTAGAATGCCTCTGTTGTTGATCAGGAGATTCGCAGCCTTCATGTCTCGATGTAGGATCTTGTTCTCGTGGAGGTAAGCGCAGCCTTCAAGAAGTTGTTTCATATAACACTTGATCTGTGCCTCCGAAAAATTCACGTCGGGATTCTCGAGTAGACCAGATAAGTCATGGTCCATATACGGCATGACCATGAACATGCTCGGCTTTTTGCTCGCATTCTTGGGTCGCTCGACAGCCATCTCCTCCAATTTCAAAATGTTGATGTGGTCTAGCTGTTTCAAGAGTTTGATCTCGCGTAAAGCGGTGATGGGAAATCCATCCTTCTCGTTGTGCATCAGAATCTTTTTCAGAGCGACCAACTGTCCGGTCTTTTTTGATCTCGCCTTTGACACTTCTCCGAAAGTACCCTCTCCTAGTTTGCCCAGGTATTCATACTCTTGGATTCTCGAGCACCCATGAAATCGAGGACTGCCATCGGGAAGTCGCTCAAGGGTTCTGTGCGGGCGATGCGATTCGCTTGACATTGTGTAGACCAGACCAGTGTGGTGGAACACAAGCAGACAGAGCAGATTCCAGTGCGACTTTTCTGGACCAGGAAAGGCCGTGTCCACGGCGAACGCCGCAATGCCTTGACGATGTGTCGATTGATCGCAAGTCGGTGTTGTGAGGTTAATCTTATTGAAGGGGCCGAGGCCAAATATAACAGGTTGGACTCGTCATCTAGTCGCCAGAGAGCGTGACTGTCTGGCGGAAGGGGTAGACACTGAAAGGGTGAACAATTGACAGTTGGTGAACAATAGGCGAACAATAGGCCGTGTGTTGTTTGCGCCGCGGGTGAACGCGATCGAAACTGACGTCGTTGATCAGAAGAGTTTCTTGAAGATCTCACATTTGGTTCACCAGTACCTAGCCTGAACCCTGAGCAATTTTCAAGGTCAAGTTGGCTGCACGATCGTCATGCTTGGACGTGTAACTCCTAACAAAAAGTGACATGACCGGTACATGTTGAATTCGATCCCCGTCTGCGTCTGCGATGCCCATCGACGCTAACGGATTAATTGATATTCCGGCGCCGTTGGAGTCGTGTCTTTCCGCCAATCATGGTGCGTTAAACCTCGACAGGCTCTGAGAACTGAACTAAGCATATTTTAGGATTAGCGCTTTTTGGCCCTCAACTCTCAAGTCGCCGTTGTCACCACGCACTGCGCATTCTACAGCTTCAAAACCTCTCAACGACTGACTCTGCCAACTTGCAACAGGTATATTCGGAAAATCTCCCTCTACGTAGTGTGGCAGAAGTAAGTACTGACCCTGGAACAGATAGTCAAGATGGCTGGCCCAACAGGTGGAAGGCCGGTGTGGAAGGGCAATCACCCAGTCGGACAAATCAATGCACCACGGCCTCTGTACAAGTTTGCCGCTACTGGACTGGGAGCAGCTATGTGGTTCTTTGTGAGATCTCCCGAAGCTCAATCTGTTGCCATTGCCTGCTGACATGGCCGCAGTTATTCTACAGGATGAAGCAGGACGGCCCTGCGCTGTTGGGATGGGAACACCCATGGGACCACGGATCGCATTCGCATTCCAAGGAGGGCGAAAGCCACTGACCTCTCGACCCTTTCTAAACGACTGCACATGATCCATTGTACATACACTTTGAACAGTCACAACCGGCGTTTGGGAGACAAGACCTACGTTGCCAAAAGAGATGATGGCCTGGAATATGCATGCACTCAGGGTTCCGGTTTTGCTATGCAGAGACGACACCTTCTCGTGCCGCACCGTAACAACAGCTTTCAAAATCGAATACAAAGACCTTAAAACTCTCCGGTATCAATTCTCCAGATACTTGCCCTACTTCCCGTCACCGATCTTCTCGAACAAGTAATGGCTTACTCCCCAAACGTCACCGCCGTCCCACGCGAAAAGCTCTGCGCACGCCAGATAGAATATTTGCCAGCGGTAGAACCACATGGCCGCCTTTTCTTTGCCATATGTCTCCTCCAGACCTGGCCAAATATCATTCTTACTGGCATTCATCTTGCTCAGCCAATGCTCACAGGTCTTTGCATAGTGCTTCCCACTAACCCACCACTGTTTCCGCAGCGTGAGATCGTCCTGAAAGAAATGCAACAGATCCGCCGATGGCATCGTCCCTCCCGTGAAGAAATGGGTACTCATCCACCCATCCTCGAAATCATACGGCGAGTCCTTGTGGCTGAAGATGTGGACAAACAGCTTCCCACCAGGCCTCAGTGCGCGGGCAATCTTCTTCATGAGCAAGCCATAGTTTTTCATGTGCTCAAACAGCTCAATCGAGACCACGCGGTCGAAGGCATCCGGCGTGAACTCGTATGTCACCACGTCGCCGGTGATGACCTTGAGGTTTGTCAGTCCCTTCGCCCTGGCCTGCTCATCGATGTACAGCTTTTGCGTGCGTGAATTCGAAAACGCCGTGACCTTCGATCCGGGGAACAACTCAGCCAAATAAAGCGAGGCACTGCCCCACCCGCAGCCCAGGTCGAGAATGTCCTGGCCGTCTCGCAATTCCGCCTTCTGCACGTAACTCTCCAGCATGGCGACTTCAGCTTGAGCCAAGCTCTCCTTGCCCGTCGGATACAGACAGCTCGAGTACTTCATGCGGGGGCCGAGGCAGGCTTGGAGCACCGACGTGCCGACCTCGTAGTGCTGGGTGTTCGCCTTGTCCACGTCGATCGCCATGGGCCGTTCGCGCAAAGCGGCCACGTAGGACATCTTCCGGTCGTATGCGGTGGACATTGACTCCGACTTGATCATTTGCACGCGCTGGGCTAGCTGTCGCCTTATGCCGACGCGAATCACTGGCGACGGCAGCCAGCCGTTGTCAAGCAAGTATTCTGGAGAGGACTGTGTCAGAGCGGTACACGACTACGAGGTAATCGGGAGTTTCAAGTCAATACCACCAACCTGTAGGATCCATATTGTCTATCCCTGTTCACGAGTATATGTGTTTATATATACGGTCACCACCGGCGACGCGAGTGCAGAGATACCTGTTTCTTTTCAGGAATCAGAGTCTGGTATCCTCAAGGACATCAACCACCATCATAACTTCAGATAAATTCGACGCCTAGAGTATCTTTTGACGTGCGAAGTTCAGGCGCGTGGCCAGAACTCAAAAAAACGACCCATAAAAGTGGTGACGTCGACGAAATATTATCGTCCGAGGCCACACACATTGCCCAGGATTGGATGATGACAACAAAAAAGAAAGAAGAAGATAGTGTCGCATGCATGTCGAATACTGGACATCAATAATAATAGTAGTCTCGTGCATAGAGTGTCTATTTACTCTTTTGTACATCTTCCAAAATAATCTTGTACTTCTTCCTGATCTTAGGATGCTTGGGTCGTAGTTTCAACTTCAACCGACCAATGTATTTTGCCATTATCGGGAAAATGTTCCTTTCGGCTAGGTAAGCCAGAGCGAAGCCGGCTACTGCGAGAGCCAGCAGAAACAGCTCATACCCAAGAGACATTTCGGTGAGGTCCATAAAATCCGCCAGCCATTTTGCTGGATCAAGAAGCATGTAGAGTGACATCAACGTAACCACTGCGAGAGTAACGCAGAAGGGAGCATTCTTCGTCATGGATTGTCGGAAGGGAGGGCCAATACTCAAGACAACCCCTGAAAAGGTATACTGAAAGCAGGAGACCAGAAACAGAGCAGTGTTCTGAGAATTGTCAACGCTAGATTTCTCCTTGTCGAGTTGTGGCGGTATGTACCACGGTTGCTGCTGTACAGTTTCGAATGCAACCAATTGGATAAGTATAGACAGAACAATCTGCCCAAGAAGAGGAGTCAGGACTTTTCGAGAAACGAGATTTGCTGTTGGTCGCTTCTTGCTAAGAATAGGATACGCGCCGGTCCAACCCATGAAGATTGCTATCGGCAAGATCAACGCCAAGTCAATGAAGAGGAATTGGAAGTCGCCCAGGTTCGACGCCGAAGCATAGAGAAAGCTGACTGAGGTGAACTGAATGGCTGAGTACAAGCTCATGTACTTGAAGCAGCAGAAGCTTGTCACGAGTGCCGCTCGACCCTCCTTTATCAAAGTCGGAACACATGAAATGTCGAAGATATGGCTGGTAAATGGTGCCGCAACAGACGCCTCAGCCTCTGAGAGCGATACGCCAACATCGGCGGCCTTTAGCGCACCACAGTCATTGGCGCCATCACCACAGAAGCCACAGCAATAGTCAATGCTTTGCAGCTTCTCCACCAATTCGTGCTTCTCATCGGGAGACATTCTGGCGAATACAGAGCCTTTAACAAGCATTCTTTGTAGAACTTCTGTGGAAGCAAAGTCGACAATCCACCGAAAAGCGTCACCGGTCACGGCCAGGGTATAATCACCGACCGTCAGCGCATCGTATGGGCCGCTGGTGTTCTGCTCGGCGGGCAATTCCAAAGGGAGGAGCGTGTTCTCGTCTAGTTGGTAGATCTGATTATCCACACTTTCCCAAATCAATCGAGCTTTTGGGTCCATTTTGTCACCGTCAAGGAAGTGGGGGACAAAACAATGTTGGTCACGGCTGATGAGTCCGCACTCCCTGGCAACACTAATAGCGGTCAAGATGTTGTCGCCAGTGCACATGACATTCCGGATACGGGCCTCATTCAACTCTTCGATGATTTCGGTGGTAATTTCCTTGAGTTTGTTTTCGAACACAATGAAGCCAATTAGCTGGAGTCGCGACTCTGCCTCCGAACGCTCCATGTTCTGAACCTCGTCCCAATCGACTCGGGATATGTATTTCGATGCGCAGGCAATGACACGGAAACCCTTGTGAGTGTAATAACTCAGCAGGTCGTCAAAGTCATCGGGTATGCTCGACGGAGTACAAATATCCTTCATCACTTCCGGAGCACCCTTTACATAGACGCTCGCTCCAGGATCCCCAAATTGTCGGACGATAACGCTGGCACGTCGAAGGTGGGAGACGAAATCGAACGAGCGCAAAACACCCAACTCAACTCTAACCGGATGGGAGTTGTCTTCTGAGTCTTCAAGATCATACTCGAACCCGTGGGGAGGTCGAGCTACGCTGGGGGCGATTTGCTGAGTTCCAGGCTCGATGAAGTGGTTTGTAAGGCGAGACCCTTCTTCAAAAGACCAGCCTGTAAACTGAAACATCTTCAAGTCCAAGGGGTCGCCAATAAGCTCATCATCTACTAGTCGGAGCGAATGGCATGTGGCCATTGCATAAAGCATGTTCTTGTTGACGCGATAGTCGACGGTAGGATCGCGATCGTATGACGCAGGAGGCAGGATTTCATGGGTTTCTTCTAGGATATCGCCAAACCGAATTTCGGGGTGCTGCACCAGTCTCACTCCGAGTACGTCCAGTCCATCTTCAGTCAGAGTACCAGTTTTGTCGAAACAAACAACATCTAGTTTACCGGCGACATTCACTCTTTGTGGGCTGATGCAGAATATTTGCTGCTTCCTCAGTCGAGAGAGTGCGAAGTTCGTACCAATAGTGAGTGTTGCGGGCAGTGCCGGCGGGACCACGATGGTGATGAGGTCCAGAGCTCTTACGACAATGAGGTGCCATGCTAATCCAAGCTTGACGAAGTTGATGAATGATGCGACGAAGCCGACTGCAGCGATAAGACCCATGACGGAGATGTAGCGGAACGAGTCCCGGTAGAATTTGAATCCTGATGGCTTAGGAAAGAGCATAGACCGAACAAGAGCGCCTTTGGTAGTGTTGAATCCTGTGCGAACCACCATTGCTAATGCCACTGCCTCGTCGTCTTCTGTATCCTGCGGCCGTCTAGCACGGATGATTTTCGTACCACAAAAGAGGAAAAAGCGAGCTACGCTTGGATGAATGGAGGTTGCACCGAGATCGACGTACGGTAAGGCATCGTCGGTTACAGGTATCTTTGAGACAGGTATTGACTCGCCTGGGACAGTCAGTATCACTGGCAACTAGGACGGCACTCAAGTACCTGTCAGCATGCTCTCATTGATGATACAGTCACCAGCTAGGAGCAGACTGTCGCAAGGGATCTGTGAGAGTGAGGGATCAGACACTTCGTAGACATCGCCGGGTACAAGATCACCAGATTGCGCCGAACGCCCTTGAACTGTTAGCTTTGGACCCTGTAGCCGCTCGGAAACTCACAAAAGCCATTGCGGAGCACACGGACATCGCACTCGAAACGTGAAATCTCCCTCAAGCGTTGCATCGTCTGCAGGTCCATAAGCAACAGACAAAGTGGTAGGGTCGAGAATACGAACCGATCGAGTTTCGACAACCGTACTGGTAATCGAGAAGACCGAAATCAAGAAAATGGCAGCAGCGTAATAGTAGTATTCATCCATTGACCATAAGAGAAGACTGGCGACTTGAAATATGTAGAAAGGATGAAAAGCCTATTATTGTTAGTTGGGACAACGACAGAGTTTCTGAAATGACTGACCTCGTCGACAAGCAACTCTGGGATGCTCTTCTCTTGTATGTCGATCATGTTTCTGCCAAAAACCTGCTCCCGGGGTTCCCTCTCCTCGGTGTCAAGACCCTCCCGGAGCGCTTTGACAGTTTCCCATTGAGGATCCCACCAGTCGTTGTTAAGAAGAAATTTGTCCTCGAGAGGATGATATATAAGCCTCATGTATCTATAATCAAGGTATCTTAGGACTGGAAGTTCGCGATCCCCGTCATATCGATAACCGTTGAGCTTCTCTCTTCCAGACTGCGCAAAGACGGTGGATAGTGGATGGCCATATTCCTCGGAACACACGTAGTGAACAGTAAAATCGCCCCATTGAGTCTGAAAATTCTTAGCTTTCTTTCTGGGACGTCTACTTTCAGGTCCATAGCTCACCTCAACCACAACCCAAGTACATTTTTTGAGAGGCGTTGGGGAGCCAACCAAAGATATGCGCCATCGTGGAACCCAACGCATGACAAGATAGCCAATGCCAGCAGTCAGGACACAAATCGCAGAATACAATAGCAAGCCGAGGCGGGAGGTACTGAAACCAGCAATGACCATAGTAAGATCTTCGCTCTCGAGGAAGACCTGTTGGGAAAAGGTGCCGCCATCGTCGTGTTCTTGAGTGTCGCTCCGTGCAGAGGTATGACGGCGGAGAAGTGGTTGCTCAGCAGAGGCCCCATATCTACTGGAAGACTTGCGTCGAAGCGAGCTGTTATCCCCAGCTTCCAGATCGCGTTCTTCGTCAGGATGTTGTTCCCCCTCGTCGTCACTGAGCACCAAGGCCTCCTCATCCTCGTCGGAGTAGCGAGGCGTCTCGCCAGGCTCTTGGAAGTATGTGAAGGATGTGATTGAGCCAGCTCGTTGTCGAGGTCTTGCGTAGGCGAACCCTGTCGCCGAGGAGGGTACAGACTCTGATATTGGTCCTGAAAAGGGCTATAGAGTGTCAGCTTCCATCATTGCTTGCCCATGGATCTCGAAACACACGAACCTCATCATTGGCCATCTCTACATCGGAGACATAGCTTTGAAAGCTCATATTCGAACCGCGGCGAGTCATACGGCGGGCAGAACTACTCCTCCTGGCGACGCCGCCGCCGCCAGGGCCAGGTCGATCTGGATCCATGCTGAGGGCAAACGCTGTTCTCGCCAATAGCTTAAAAGTAATCAGAGTATCATTTTGACACGTAGGTATGACCAGACCTGACCTGTGAGGCCTGGGGACGTCAACTGATTGTGCAAAAGCTTAAGAAAACCCTGGAGATGTGCACTGATAACTATACGAGTAACTTGCACCAGAAAATCCACAGCGCAGTCAATGACGATCGAGGGGCGCATCTGGACAGCATCGACACGCCAAGGCGCTAGGCTTCTTTCGGCGCCTTCCCCTGTTGCACATGCGGCGAGGAGCCGAAGGTGCCTGACGAGTCTACTTGAGCATACATAGATGGAGGCATGACAACCATACCTCCATCAGGTGTCTACAGGGAGACTCTCTTTCACTTTCAACGATACCACACGTATGGACTTACAGTCCCATCGGTCAGTCAGTACGATGCTGCTCTTTCACACTCACCAACAGCAAACCTCCAATACTCCGTGTGAGGCCACTGACTATCGATTTTCTTACCTACCTGTCTGTTGGCTTGACAGTCTATCCCGCTGAGAAACAGCAGATGTCAATAAGCGCACGTCACTGTGCGCAAAGGTGAAGGAGAAAAGGGTTTGATTCTTGCTCCATTTGCCCTTCAGCCATGAGGGCTCCTTCGTGCTGCCTATATATATGCGATCCACAATGGGCCTCAGTCGCTGGAGTGCTTAATGCATGCCGCTCGTTGTTAGTCAGGAGCAGTCAATGGTGCTGCGAGTAACTGGTCTCAAGTTAATCAGCAAATGAGCAAATCGATGGACATGATGGCTGGCTATGGCCCGGCAATAAGTTTCAAGTGTCGCCAGCAACCTCCGTAAGATTTCGGCCAAGTACCGAGACCATGTATTGCTTGATCGGAACCAAGAGGAACTCCAATACCGTATCTGGGCTCCGGGTATGATTGAACATCGTGGTTTCTGTTTGCCTCCGCCTGAGAGATGGAAAAGTGTCGAGATTTTCGTGACAAGCCCGGGATGATTCGGAATGTGGCTCGACCAGCCAGCAGTCTGGGATGCCTCGGCAGAAGCCTCTCAGGGTGGCAGCTAAAGTCATTCTCCGCAAAACACTAGCCATCCACCTCTCCGGCAATCTTGGATCCATTTCCTGGCTTCCGGCTCTGTGATTGGGCCTGTCACCCTTGGAACTGAGAAGTGCGCCGGTGTTGAGACCGCGGGTGAGGGCAACATGTGCTGCGAGTTCTGACGTCTTTGTTATAGTAGGTATATTATCCCTCCTCTCCCCCGAGCCATCTCTTTGCTGTCCTGCAAATCTTCAGTTTTATTTCTGGACTCCTCTCTCCTATCCCTGATTTCTAGAATCTCATTCCATCGACACCCAGAAGTCGAAAACATGGCTTCCATCAATACCATCAATGATGGCGTTGCCATTAATGCACCCATCAAAGACTCGTATCGGAAGATCCTTACTCCCGAAGCAACCGCTTTCCTAGCCCTTCTCCATCGCACCTTTAATTCGACGAGAAAAGAATTACTCAAGAGACGAGAAGTTCGCCAGGCGGAACTCGACCGTGGAGTTCTGCCAGATTTCCTCCCCGAAACCAGGCATATCAGGGATTCAGACAGCTGGAAGGGAGCCCCTCCCGCCCCCGGCTTGATCGACCGAAGACTCGAGATCACAGTAGGTTGCACCGATATTGCACAGCTGTGTACCGCTGTGGCGTCAATGTGCGAGACACTAAAGAGCTATACAGGGGCCCACCGACCGCAAAATGGTTGTCAATGCTCTGAACAGCAACGTTTGGTAAGTGTTGGCTCTTTTGACCGTTGTGGAGTGAACCTAACATCAAATAAGGACATATATGGCCGACTTTGAGGACTCTCAAGCACCTACCTGGGATAACCAAGTATCCGGTCAAGTGAATCTATATGAGTAAGTCCAAAAGTTGATCCCTGCTTCAACGTCTGCTGACACCATTGCAGCGCCATTCGCAGACAGGTAGATTTCAAGATTGGGGAAAAGGACTACAAGCTTCGCACAGACCGAGTACTACCTACCCTGATTGCCCGACCCCGGGGTTGGCACCTCGAAGAGAAGCACTTCACTGTCGACGGCGAGCCCATATCTGGATCTCTCTTCGACTTTGGTCTTTACTTTTTCCACAACGCCCATGAGCTTGTCAAGCGAGGCACCGGTCCCTATTTCTATCTGCCCAAGATGGAATCGCACCTTGAAGCCAGACTCTGGAACGATGTCTTCAATCTTTCGCAAGACTATATTGGCATGCGCCGAGGCACCATCCGCGGCACTGTCCTCATCGAGACCATCTTGGCCGCGTTTGAGATGGACGAAATCATCTATGAACTCCGTGACCACTCGGCCGGTCTCAACTGTGGCCGTTGGGATTACATCTTTTCCTTCATCAAGAAATTCCGCCAAAACCCTCAGTTTGTTCTACCGAACCGAGACGACGTCACCATGACGGTCCCCTTTATGGACTCGTATGTCCGACTGCTGATCAAGACTTGCCATCGTCGTGGCGTTCATGCCATGGGTGGCATGGCGGCTCAAATCCCCATCAAGGACAACGCAGAGGCAAATGACAAGGCTATGGACAAGGTCAGACAGGACAAGCTGCGTGAAGTCCTTGCCGGGCACGACGGCACCTGGGTGGCACATCCAGCCCTTGCACCCATTGCCGCCGAAGTCTTCAATAAGCATATGCCCACGCCGAACCAACTGTTCAAACGCCGTGAGGACGTATCCATCACCAGGAATGACCTGCTGAACACCAACCTGCCCGGCTCGGTGACCGAGGACGGCATCAGAAAGAACCTCAACATTGGCTTGGGCTACATGGAAGGCTGGCTCCGTGGGATCGGCTGTGTGCCCATCAACTACCTCATGGAAGACGCAGCCACGGCCGAAGTGTCGCGATCGCAATTGTGGCAATGGGTCAAGCACGGTATCAAGACTGCGGAGGGCAAAACTGTCGACAAGGCTTACGCCCTCAAGCTGCTGAAGGAACAAGCCAATGAGCTGGCGTCCAAGGCACCGAAAGGAAACAAATTCCAACTTGCTGCCCGGTATTTCGAAGGCCAAGTGGTTGGTGAAGACTATGCGGATTTCTTGACAAGGTTTGTGCCATCTACTGCTTCTAAAGTGAGTCAGCTTTGCTAACACATTGTTTCAGTCTGCTCTACAACGAGATCACAACTGTCGGCTCCTCCCAGCCTGTTGCAAAGCTATAAGTCTTTGTTACTCGGGAGAACGATCTTGAAGCGACGAGATCCAGGTGTGGCACGAAATCACGATGATGAAAAATTTGTACAAAGCTTGGAGGTGAAGGATGTGGGTCGATGTTCACCATGCCATGTATGCTTTTGAGTAGTATGCAAAATGTATCAGGTCCAGCAACCTAGTGAGAACAATGCGCTTCGATTTTGCCAAATACAAGTGGGAGACTGTCAAGAGCGTGTGTCATCCGCCTCTTCTCATCCGCCAGACTCGTACACTCATACTATTTCCAGACGCCGTAGTAGTCGTATACCCCTTGAGGCCATCGAACATCAAAGATTAACCTCCTTAAACCAAGAAACTTACGCAAGCGGCTGGTGACAGATTAGCAAGGTGCCTGTTGCTTACGTGGCGCAATTCCTTCTTTACTCGCAACGAGAGGCTTAACGAGACGGCTCTAACTAGCACACTGCGAACATGCGACCATCACCATGCATGTCTGCCAGATAATCCTCTCCTCCATCTGCGTCTCAAATGCCGTGGGTGCTGAAAAGATTGCAAACTCCATGCTGGGAGGCTAGAAGCACGCTCGTCTGTTTCAGAAGTGATCCTCCTAAGGAACCATCCGGGTGAGTGGGCAATCAAAGTGAGGGTTCAAAGTGACCCAGGCGACTGATCAGCAGAGAAGGCGAAGATCCCTCACCGAGATAGGCTGAGATTTCGGCTCCAACGGCTTTTCAGGCGCGGAGCTGGGCGCACAAGGGACTCCATAGGAGCCTCCAGGCTAGTGACGCTCACCAACTAACTGGGCCGGCCTGGTGAGCCTTACCAGACATCGAGCTTCGACGACGGGTACATTGATTAGCTGCCGACACAAGCCTGCCATGGTCTGCATTGAGGCCCGTTCCCGTACGCCCGGTGGTGCCTATTGTAACTAACTAACGTTAGAACGATACCTGATACCCCGGTCCAAAGTCTGTTGTGAACTTGTGGTGCATATCAGAACCCTCTCATCTTCGACGTCGATGCTCAGTCGCCCCTGCTTCACATGGAGTCAGAAACAGGATGGAATCCTCTCCCATCCAGGTCAGCAGTGAGCACGATGGGGCACCGACACATATACACTGGTTCCGACCATCGCTTTACGGAGGGGCCATGAACCCGTTGTTCGGACCGTTGTAACTTGTGGTCAATTCGGCAGCCCGCAGTACTCCAGTAGGCAACGCCTTTTGGATCACACAATGCAGGCTATGACAAAATGCCGGAAGGGTGGGACATATCCGTACTGTTCGGTGTAGCTGTCTCTGTGCATCCAGCCACCAACCAGAACAAAACGACAGCCACCCTCACCCAGGATAACAAGATGTCAAAGCTTGGGAGTTCAGGACATACACCATACACTATAGCCCGTGGCTATGTGACACAGTGCGTCTGCTGGCCTCTCCCTTCCAACCTCCTGGTTTCGAGAGACCAGGACCAGCTGTAGATCAGCAAGACTCAAGGTCTCGATAACAAGTGCGACGACTATTCTCTCTCATTCCCCGCGACCCTAGCTTATTAGCTTCGACAGTCCGGCCAGTTACATTTTCGCCGGAGCCCATACAGGTCCCAGGAACGGAACTCTGCAAAGTTGAAAACATGATGGCCCTTTCCTGCGCGCTCTTTTCTCCCACTTTATTCGGATCTATCTTTGCTTATGGTGGACACCAGCCCCTGAACCCTCAAGACGGGAGAACCAGGGGCAGTGACCACTCTTTTTAGCGCGAAGATGCTCCGCACAAGTCGCCCATATCATGCCCCAAAGCGGATAGTCGATGCCAACTGGCTATCGCAAGAGGCTTGAAGGATCGCCTTGTTGCATGCACCTTGACAAGGGAATCGTCGTGATCTCAAGGCCAACCGGACTATGGGTATCCTCTCCCACCCTTGCTCGAGGCTTCCTGTCTGACCGCATGCTTTCAGGCTAGATATCTTCAGCCAACTGTCGTGGTGTCGCTCCATTCTCCTCTCTGGAACTGGTATCTGCTGCCAACGACACCATTGTCTTTGCGTGTACACATCATCGACGAAGCGCTACACACCGGACATCCGGGGTCAGCAGTACAAGCTTTGTGTATTTGCTCCGAGCTCGACAGGCAGATACAGCGCCTGGGAGATTATGAAGCACAAATGCAGGCCCCCAGCTAAGCAATCATACGCATGCTCAAGTGACGATGCAATCTTGATCACACAGAATTGAGGCTGGCACCTCATCGCGGAACATTTAATCGTATTACGACCACAAGCACTGCGTACGCGAACAACATGGTCGATACTTTGCACCGTGAGTGTTGCACCATCAATATTCTTTGCAGTTCTGTATTGACTTGTCTTCAGCACCACCAGAGGTCATTGCGACATGGCCCAAACCGAATTATGTTAACCCAGTGAGCAGAGGGGATTCTCTGGAATATATATGCATCATATTCTCCGTGATCGGTGTTATAATCGTCGCGGCACGAGTCTACTCTCGACTCTTCATTACAAAAGCACCGGGCTTGGACGACCTCCTGGTGGTTTTGGCCTTGTGTGTTGTCATCACACTATGCGTCTTGGTCATCATCAGTAATAAAGTGTACCAAACCGGCCGACATGTCTGGGATATTGAGGCCGACACCTTTGTCGGATCACGACTGAATATCTGGATCAGCCTGTGGTGCTATATCGTGGCTATAAGCTTAATCAAGATCAGTGTCCTCTTGTTTTACCGACGACTCAGCGTCAAGTTCAGCAAGACGTTCCTCGTTGCGACCTGGGTTGGGATTGTCTACAATGTCTTGTACTTCTTGGCCTTTGGCCTCGCCCTCCTCCTGCTTTGCCATCCTCTCGACGCATACTGGAAGAGCTTCGACTCTGGATGGACTGCGACGCACAAATACCACTGCGCCTCTGAAGGAACAGCGTTGCCAGCTTCGTCTGCTATGAGCGTGCTGGGAGATCTCTACAGCACTCTCCTTCCAATGGTACTGGTATATAACCTCGATCTCCCTTCGCGGCAAAAGATTGCCTTGTATGTTTTGTTTGCGTTTGGATTCATGGCAGTCGCCGCAGGAACTGTTCGGACAGTGCTGCTGTACAACCTGCTCAATGTGGACTATGACTTTACGTGGGAGCTCTACGTAACCTGGATCTGGGGTATCATCGAACTCTACCTGGCCCTGTTTGCGGCGAGTGCGCCTAGCCTCAAGCCCTTTTTCCGACGGTTCTTCATGGCCTCCATCAACAGTCTTACAAAGAACTCTCGAAAGCGGATGGACTACTACGACCAGGGCAACAAAGGCACCTGGGCCTCGGAGACGAAGGGCCAAGTGAGTGTCGACAATGACGTTGATGTGGAGCGAATCGGCGTCGCGTACGGAGGCGAAGAAACGCAAACCCGAGAAAGAGGCTTCTTGCACGACATTGAGCAGGAGGGAACCAAACACTTTGAGCTGATAGCCAGTCACGACGGCAAGAAGATGATCCCGATGCAGGTCTACAAACGAAGTGAAGGCGGGTCAAATGTCCCGATGAACCCGTTTGTAGACCGTGGCCGAAGTCTTTCCAACTCGGCGTCGCCGCACGCAAACTGGCCCATGCAGTCATTCGGACGAGACGACACCCTTGGAGCCTTGCCGAACACAGAGATTCAGAGAGTCGAAGGGCATCGGCCGCCTCACATCGGAATTGTCGTGTATCCGCCGACAGATGAAGACACACCGATGGCACAGATTAGGAGCGCCAAGGATGCGAGGATGATGAGGGCGCAGGCCAGTATAAGTCCGGCTCAAAGACGAACGTCGATCATCAACCCTCCTCAATTCGAAGACGAGCATGATGATCTAGGGACGGGTTCGTCGCTTGAATCTCCAACTGGTTCCGAGGCCGAGTCGATTTACGAGGAGGAGAGGCCGCCGTGGAATAACATCATGACGCCTAGCAGCAGGAGTGTCAATACAGGAGGGGGTGACAGTAGCAGTAGCAGTGACGAGACGCTGCAACTGCCCAAGATGGGAGGACCCGGTAGACCTCCGCGTGTACCTGGTGAAAGCATGGGTATTGGACATGGATCGTGATGCGATTTGGAGGAAGAAGAGCATGTAGTTTTTAATGTTGAAGACAAATGTGTCACGAGCGCAGATATGACACCATTGGAAAGTCGTGCAGTAATACCCCAGGCGACTCTGTGTATGTTATGGTGTTGTATGAAGTACCTGTATCTCTCTATCTGTCTTACCAGCTGATTCTGTGTCAAGACTCAAGAGTATGAGCGAGTACATGGCGTACTTTACATAGTATGCCGAACTCTCCTCCACGGTCCACCTGTTCGCCCTTCTCACTCGATTGCTCGTGGAGTCATAATGGACCCTGCACATACTCGTACGACGTAGACACCTTCCAGGCAGTAAAACCAGCTAGTACACCCTCCGTACCGGCATCTCAAACCGATGTCTCCGACGCACCGATTCTCCAAGTGGAGAGGGAGAACGAACCCAAACCATATCCCGCACACCAGCATTGGGTATTAACAGTGCCACTATTTTATTTGACCTGGCAATCAAATCACTTAATATCCTTGTGTTGAAAAAGACTGGAAGACGGCAGGAAACCCGGAGCGAACATCGTTACTCCACTGCTCTCGTATAATACGTCTTTCGCATCACCGTGTTGGATGTCATTTATTTCTGCAGTCGTCGGACCTTACTCGTGTACTTGTCCTGTCTGTCTCCCTGATCACTACCGACGAGAAACACCCAACTCGGAGAGAGGAGAGACAGAGAGAGAGAGAGCGTGTCTGAGTGTGATAATCGACCGGTTGGAGCTTTCCATATCGACACCTTGACATTCTAACGCAACCCCACGAAACAATGAAGATCCTCATCACGGGCGCCGGCGGGTTTCTAGGACAATTCCTGGCGCGCGAACTCCTGTCCGACCCTTCGCACCAGGTCGTGTTGACGGACATTGTCGACGTCCCCGTTCCCAAGGGGGCCCAAAACCCGCACAACGCGAGATGCGTCAAGGCGGACCTGCTGAAGGACGACCACAGCAGCATCGTCACGCCGGACCTCGACGCGGTGTACATCTTCCACGGCATCATGTCGTCGGGCAGCGAAGCCAACTACGACCTCGGGATGAGCGTCAACCTCGAGAGCACGCGGCTGCTGCTCGACACGATCCGGCGCGTGCGGCCGGGGCTGAGGGTGATCTACGCGTCCAGCCAGGCCGTGTACGGGCGACCGCTGCCGGACGTCATCACCGAGTCCGTCCTGCCGACGCCGGAAGGGTCCTACGGGGCCGCGAAGCTCATGTGCGAGACGCTGGTCAACGACATGAACCGCAAGGGGTACATCGACGCCGTGACGCTGCGGTTCCCGACCATCTCGGTGCGCCCGGGGAAGCCGGCGCCCGCGGCGAGCGCCTTCATCTCTGGCATCATCCGCGAGCCGCTGGCGGGCAAGGAGTGCGTCGTGCCCGTCAAGGACCGCGCGTTCCCGAGCAACGTGTGCTCGCCCAACACCCTGATCCGGAACCTGGTGCACGCCCTGACGCTCAAGGGCGACGCCCTCCCGCCGCACAAGCGCGTCGTCAACGCCCCCGGCATCCGCGTCACCATCCAGCAGATGCTCGACGCCCTGGCCAGCGTCGCCGGCGAGGACAAGCTGCGGTACGTCAGGGAGGAGCACGACGAGTTCCAGGCCCGCATCCTCTACTCGTGGGCGTACAACTACGACAACACCCTCGCCTTGAGTCTGGGGTTCGAGGAACCCGCGAGCTTCGAAGACGCCGTGAGGGAGTATGTGGATTTCATGGCCGAGCAGGAAAAGCTGGGTTGAAAGAAAGAGAGGGGGAAATTGTCAGCTCAGGATGAGGGAATAAAAAGGTAAAACGTATGTTACGCATATACATAAGGTATATAAATATATCTGTGCATCCCTACCACCCCTGCTTTACCATCACCTTCTCCGTACATCCCCAAGCTTATACCTGAGGGTTTGTCTGTTCGTGAGACATGGCAATGCGTCATGACTGCTGTGATGGGCTAATGATCTCTCGGTCTCGTGGTGTGCCGTGCCAATGCCAGACATTACCTGTCGCGGAGCTCGAGCAACTCCGTTAACTTGGTACACAATCTTCAGCCCATGTCGATCACGCTCCCTTGCTCTTCAACTACCCATGGACCCCCGTCAGTTCATTCTGCTGTCCTCGTCCTCCGTACACCACCAGTCAGTACGGTAGGTACCGTTGGCCCCCCGCCTCCCCTTTCCGCCTCAGTTGCGAGTGGGCGGTTCACGGCCGGCCTGGGTCGGCGAAATGGCCGATGGCATGTCTGCAGGGTAATTTCGAAGTCGTACGATGCCGTAAAGATTCAAATTTCATTCCCTGCTTGAGAAAACCCCGACGTGTCTTCCCCTCACGGACGGAGAACAAGCCGCGGCCAAACAAAAAAGCCAGTTCTCAAAAGACATGGCATACCCAAGGCACGAGTAGGTAGGTAACATGCGGAGGTATCTCTAGGTAGGTGCTCAATGTGTACGATATGAAGATGAGTAAAGAACAAGAAGAAAGACACCTCTTGCAGACTTCGCCTTTACCTTGACCTAGAAACGGCACCACAATACGTCCCTCACTATGTACCCACCTCACACGCTACAATACTTCCCATAACCCCCCAGTCGTTATACACCTGGGATCACTCCGTCACCCAATGACTACACGTACAAAGCAGAAAATGATCCTCCCCCTGTCCGTACGTGAAATGTCTATTCTCGGGCAGCAAGCTCATCATTCGATCTCGGTTACTCCCTGAAATTGTCCAAAGTCAAGCCACAAAAACATACAGATATGCCCTCATTCGGCGCAGGAGATCGTTACAAAGGCAGATGGGCTGGTATGATACCCAACTCCCCTTAAAAGAAAGGCATCAAATATCTACCACGCAGAGTCTGAAAATTGGATTCAGTTGGCAGGCAGATCCGGCTTGTATTCCATCGAAGCCCATCTGCTCTGCATGAGCTAGATCTCGTTGGAATCATTACAACGAGCTTCCACGCCATATGTCAGCAGAACAACATTTCCATACAGTATTGACTTCCATGCCTCCCCACGCATGTCTGACGAACCCCTTTACTTGCTTCCCGCGCCTATATTTTCCTTCATGGCTTCATCCGTAGCTTTCTTTATTTGCTCGTCTTCCCCCTTGGCATCACCCTTTGGCGGTTCATCGTCTTTTAGTGTGATTGGCTTCGCATCCTTCTCCTCGTCACTGTCCCCCAGACTAAATGGGTCGTTATCCGCCACTGGACTCGGGTCTATAGAGGTCAAGGGTTGCCATTTGCTCGTCTTGCCTCCTGATCCTGGTGCGGCCGCTGCGCTGGGAGTGTTGCCAGGCTTTGGGGAGGCAGAGTACATATCTCTAATCTCCTCAGGCGGCCCATCTTGGAACGATACCTTGCGCGTCGATCCTGGCGGTGAACGTCGTTCGCTGGGTTTAAATAAATTTGGGTTGGCTAATGGCCTGCTTGATGTACGAGGTGGTGCTTCACCATCTCGAAGCTCCAATTTTGAAAAGTCATCTCCAATGGGCTGCATGTCTGCATCATAACGTTGTAAGTCAGCACTCCGACGCATATCGCGACTGCGTCGTGGTGGCATTGGTGGAGGCTGTTCTGATTGTTCATCTTCGTCTTCCCCATCCAATTTCTTCTTGAACGCCGTCAACCACTTGTTCACAGTGGTCTGAGTCTCAATAAACCCTTTCTTGATGTTATCGCGGATTTCAGGCAAGTCATCTGATCGAGTTTCGCGTCAGCTATAGACACTAGGACAATCGCCAGCTGGAAGAGCTTACCATCAATAAAACTCCGCCACGGGACATCATCCGCATTCGGGCTTGCACCTGGACGTCCAACCCTTGAGCCTTGCAGGTGCTCGTTGTATCGTCCTCCGGATTCACGACGTCCTCTCGGCTGTCTATCTGCACCTTCATAATGCTCTGCTAGTTGTCGTGCATATAGCTCATCTGCCTCCAGCTGACTCATCTGCGTGGTAGAGGGCGGCTGGACAGAGGGCCGAGGGGGTCTGGCAGGTGGTTCAGGTTCTCGTTGTGAATCTGGGTCTGACATGCCGAGGAGCGCATTAAAGGCCGGTTCGATGTTTCCACCGCTTGCTGTAAGAACAGCTCGCACTACACTAGCATCAATGGAGGGGAAGGCCTCTCTGAGGGTCATTTCAGCCTGTTCTCGGGGACTCAATGGTCGCGGAGGCTTTGCCGGCGGTGCTGCGTCATCTTTGGGCGGGAGGGTAGGAAGTGTTTCTGGCTTCGACGTCTTCGTGGGAGTTGATATGGTGCCCGTCTCTTGGTCACTATCAAAGTCCAGGGGACGCGCTGTTGTGGGTGACTCAGGAGGTCCATCACTTGCTTTCAGTGGAGATACTGGCGAGCCCTGAGTTGATCTTAGCATTGACCGTGTGAGGACAGCTCACGGACTTACAGTTTCGTTGGTAGTCATTATCGCGCTGCAACCTGATTTCCAATCAGTTTACTTTGACGGCGCTGTAGATGGGAGTGCGTTTCTCAATTGTGTTGACTGCTGTCAGGCAGCGGAGTTCTTGAAACGGACATATGATTGCGTTTGGGAACCCGTTCGGCAGACCTTCTTGTTGTATCCCGGCATGGTGACGTTGATGTGGCTGGTGAGGCTGTGGCGCAGTTCAAAGATGGCTGTGCTACTCAAAGGTTTGTGATTTGCCTGACGGCCTCACAGATGGAAAAGAATCAGCGAATACAACCCGACGATGATATTGCGACAGGCCGCCAGACATGACAGACCTTGACTTGTCTTTCATTCCGGCGCTTTACAAACCGTCGGCGTTATTGCCAATTACGAGACATAAAGCCAGCCTACTCTACACTGTAGAGACTCACCAAGTTACTGTGATCATCGGACAGACAGGCAGTGGAAAGACGACTCAGTTACCTCAATTCCTCGAGCAGGCAGGATGGTGCGCCGACGGCAAATGTATTGCAGTCACTCAGGTGGGTAAGTTGATCACTGTGACGAGCGGAGTGTATTTGACAACTTTTGTAGCCCCGTAGAGTGGCCGTCACCACAGTCGCGACTCGAGTTGCAGAGGAGATGAGATGCCAGATCGGCGAGGAAGTGGGATATTCCATACGTTTCGAGGATGTCACCTCATCACGGACGAGAATAAAATTCCTCACCGATGGCATGCTTCTCAGGGAAGCCTTGGTCGATCCGCTGCTGACAAGGTATTCTGTCATCATGGTAGACGAAGCCCATGAAAGATCTCTAAGCTCAGACATTCTACTCGGTTTGCTGAAAAAGATCAAAAAGCGACGTCCAGAATTACGGATCATCGTCAGTAGTGCCACACTAGAAGCCGAACGATTCGCAGCCTTCATCAAGAATGAAGGCGAATCCGATGAGCAATGCCGCATCGTCAGCATCGAAGGTCGTATGTATCCTGTTGACATTCTGTTCCTAGCCCAACCGACCGATGACTATGTCGAGACAGCGGTCCAAACGGCATTTACAATACATCAGCAAGAAGGTCCCGGCGACATCCTAGTCTTCCTTACCGGCAGGGAGGAAATCGAAACCGCGATTCAGAAAATATCCGAACTTGCATCGACCCTACACCCACAAGCGCAAGCTCTCCAACCACTACCGCTGTACGCTGGCCTCGGCACAGATGAGCAGATGTACGTCTTCTCGGAAGCAGCAGAAAACACTCGCAAAGTCATCCTGAGTACCAACATAGCAGAAGCCTCGGTGACTGTTTCTGGTGTGGTGTTCGTAGTGGACTGTGGCTTCGTCAAGCTCCGATCCTTCAATCCCACCACCAACATTGACACCCTGACACCATTCCCATTATCAAAGGCTTCGGCCATCCAACGAGCAGGACGTGCAGGACGAACGCAACCCGGAAAGTGTTTTCGACTATACACCCAACAGACGTACGAGTCCCTCCCGGCCACAACACCGCCAGAGATCCAGCGTTCCAACCTTGCCCCAATGGTGCTGCAGCTGAAGGCCCTGGGGATTGATAACATAGTTAGGTTTGACTTTATATCTCCACCACCGTCACAGCTCCTGGTTCGCGCCTTTGATCTGCTCTACTCCCTTGGCGCAGTCGACGACTATGCCAAACTTACATCACCTCTGGGCACGCGCATGGCCGAATTGGCCATCTCACCCATGATGGCCAAATCACTCCTGGCCTCGTCCGACACCAAGTTCGACTGCCAGAGTGAGATGCTGACGATAGCGGCCATGACGTCCCTACAAGGGAACGTGTGGTTCCACCACAGCGGCGAAAAGAAAGCCATGGATCTCTCACGCCGAAAGTTCGCCGCGGAAGAAGGTGACCACCTGACCCTCTTGAACGTGTACCAGGCATTCGTCACCAAAGGGAAGAAAGAAGCCCGCTGGTGCCACGACCACCACCTCAATTTCAAATCCATGCAGCGCGCCGTGAGCATCCGGAACCAGTTGAGACGGTATCTGGAGCGTCTGGGAGTGAAGATCCACGAGAGCCTTTCCACAACAAGCAACGACCAAGCCTACCTGTCAACGGCCCAGCCAAGCCAAGCTGACAAAGCAACGGCGATCATCAAGTGTTTGGTGACGGGGTTCTTCGCCAACGCCGCAAAGATGCAACCTGACGGCAGTTTCAGGTCTGTTTCGGGCAATGTGACCATGCACGCACATCCGACCAGTCTGATGTTCAACCGGAAGGCCGAGTACGTCATCTTCCACGAACACCTCGAGACCGGCGACAAGGTGTATATCAAGGACATAACCAAGGTGGAGAAACGGTGGCTAGTTGACTATTCGGGAGGATACTACAATATCAAATCATAGTGTCGTTGCGATCAACCTTGTTACAATATTAATTCAAATTGTACGAATACACATCCGTAGCCATATTGATCCACAAAATCCACGTTGCCCCGTGTGCGGATACATGTAAAGGTTCTTTTTTTTTGATTGTTACGGTAAATATGTTGTGTGTGGGCTGTGTTTGTCTCGTCTCTAAGCTATGCATGGGTGGGGGTATCAGATGCAATAGTTCCATGTTCGTTACGTCGTCACTCGTACTCATAATCCTGCACACCTTGCCTCTGAGTGAACTCGAAGGCCTCGTGTTCAGTCGCCAGGCCTCTCTCCTTTCGCTTCTTCAGCTTCGTTGGGCCTTCCTTGCACACGTCGCAGGCCCATCGGCACTCCGCTGATCCCGCGCTGCCACCGAAATATCTCGACAACAAATCGTGTCTGCACAGCGAGGTGTTTTCACAGAAGGCGACGACGCTCTGAAGAGACAGCAACCTGGATTCGGCCTTGGCCTTGCTCTTCTCTCTGTTTGCGTCGCTTCTGGCTCGGAACTCGCTGCGCTCCTTCTCTTCTCGCGTGTACAAGATGATGCTTGACGCCGCCTTGCTGTCTCGTCCTGCGCGCCCGGACTCCTGAGAGAAGGACTCCATGCCTCGAGGCAGGCCGTAGTGAATGACGAACCGGATCGTGGGGATGTCGATGCCCATCCCGAACGCCGTAGTGGCGCACATGACGTTGAAGGAAGACATCATGTCGGTGCCTCCGGATGCCTGAAACAGCCGAGGGTCTCCCGTGGCGAACCTCAGAAATGACGTCTGCACCTTTTGACGCTGGGCATCCTCTAGACCGGCATGGTACGACTGGGCCCGGATACCAGCGTCAGATAGCTTTGTAGCCAGACTGTCTGCGGTAGCGCGGTATGAGACGTAGACAATGCCTGTTATTGGAGCCATGACCGCCTTAGGATCTTGTTTACGCAGATACTGGAGTCTCATCAGGCGTCTTTGATGCATGAAGTTGAGCCTGGAAAGGAGGTAAGGAAAGACGTCGTCCTGGCCGTTTTCTGGGTTCGACTCGGAAAAGTACTGCACTTCATAATGGATGTTCGGCCGCGCCGTAGAAGTCGAGAAAATCTTGGTCTTGGTCTTAACAAGGCCGAGAAACTTGAAGATGTCTTCGCGGACCTGTGGAGTTGCCGTAGCGGTCACCGCCATGACTGGCACCGTCGGACAATTGAGGGTCGTCTTCAGCCATATCAGATCTTTGTAGGCGGGGCGGAAATCGTGGCCCCATTCACTGATACAGTGTGCTTCGTCAATAGCGATGCGTACAAGCTGGCCCTGTCGGTGGATTTTTGTGATAAGATCGCGGAAATGGTTGGTGGCGCAAAGCTCTGGAGTCACATAGAGCAGTTTGGTTGACGGATGGCCACAGAGTAGGTCGGTTTCAATGCGAACCCTTTCCTGGTAAGGGGTTCTCCCGTTGATGCATTCGACATTGATCCCCAAGTCTCGAGCCGCTTGAACTTGGTTCGTCATCAAAGCAAGAAGAGGCGATATCACAACGGTTACGCCTAGAGACACCACTGCAGGAAGCTGGTAACAAAGCGACTTGCCGAACGAAGTTGCGGCACAGAGAAAGACATCATTGCCCTCGAGCACACTGGCGATAACCTCTTCTTGCAGTGGCCGGAATGACTCTTTGCCAAAGACTCGTCGTAGAGTAAAGCGAAGGTCTGTTATGCTGGCAGACCGTCTCAAAGGGCCACGAGGCATGCCGAATTGGCCTGGTTCGTGATATTTGCGCCTCTCTTCTGAATCGTGGCGCGATAACCGTGCAAACGCGGTTGACGCGACCGGGTTGATATTGTCAGTGTTCCGCTCCGCCGTACTAGCGCAAATGTGCCACTACGGTGCATCAAGCCCCCAGGCGAGCACAAGGTGAACAGGTGCTCGATTGAGGTGCCAAATATCATACGGTGGTCGGTCAGTGTCGCGGGAGCAGTGCAAGGCCCAGTGAAAGTAGCAGATTTTAGTAAATGCAGGAATCACATCGCTCGAAACCGAGTTGGCGGCGGTGTTTCAACCACGTCCCTATCAAGTCATACATAGGTCAGTATCGTCTTCAACTTGCCTGATTCGATACTGCAAGCGGCTTCTGACATACCGAATCGGAGAGGTGCTTATGGTCTTGTAAGACGTGGTCTGTGCCTCGAATGGTGTTGCGCCTAACGACATATCGCTCGATACTCCTTTTGCCCCGATAACAGCTGCAACCACTATGACAATGACGCAGACCACACCCAGAAACAGAAACCAACGCCAATGTCTTTGCAAAAGAGATGGCCTCGATCCACCGTCAAGATCGACTTTCTTCAGGGAGCTCTCGTCAAGTTCCTGCCTTGACTCCATGGATGGAGCGGCCTGCGTTTCACTGTAGTTCGCAGACCTCTTCAGTGATAGAGCGTGCACAACAGCATTCGCTGTTTTGCTGAATATCTTTCCGTCTTGCGCCATGATGAATACACTATAAAAAGGATCTGATGATAAGGATTCCTAGCTGGATTTGGAGAATGCGATATCTGACGGCTAACCAGCATAAAATTCGAGATTCTAGAACTGGGCATGAAGGTAAGAGGGACGGACTGCAAGGTTCTTTTGAACATGGACTTGAAAACAGGGTGATAGAAGAGGCTGGGCACATCCGTTTCGCACGGCGACGAAGTGCATTACCTTGAACCACTCCTGTATCAACAAAGCGAACAGAATGTATGAGTCGGATGGGACGAAGTAACCGCCTGGGCCAATCGGCCCTTCCAAAGTCCGTTTCAACCTGACAGTTCTCGACACAATGAGATTTCGCACCATGATGCCTAGCCTTCTGCTGTCTCAAGGCAGCTTCAAGGGAGAGTAGCATAACGAACGGCCGGGAGATCCAAGGCTCTGACCGCGCAAACAGTTTGTGTTAATCCGAGACGAAAAGTTTGTGCCCTATGCTACGTATGGTGATCGACGGCGGTATCCAGACGACACGAACTGGTCATGATAGAAGCCAATACTCAAGCCATGGATCCATGATGCGAATCAGCTTGGGTTTCGCTTGGTATCGATAGTGTGACTGTGAGTGACGAGTAACGGTATGGCAGCTTTTAGTGGGGAATTTCTTGTTCCAAGAGCAAAAAGGCGGCAGAAGGTCTCCTTGAAACTTCGAGTCGTCCCGAACACGGAGTCAGTCAAGGGTTGTAGACTAAGCGCTGAAACCATTTGCAAACGGCACAGCATAAACAACACACGCATGCATCTGGCATATTTTATGCTCAACCGTACTAGATTCCACTACTGCGGAGCATATACGCAAAATTTCAAATCCACCAATCATGAAGCGTTCGCAGAATGAGCCTGTTTTGGCATAGCGTTCCGCCACACAGACACCGCCGACAGCGATCCCTCCACCAAGGCTGAAGTCATTCATGTCTGCCTTGTCTGGCGAAAATGAACAATCGAGAAAGAAAAACACATGAGTACCCACAAGACGAGGTTGAAATTTGAAAGAGAGAACTCGATGATCTCGGCCTGCTCGGCTGCGTCTTCACGCAAAATGGACTGCTTTCTCCGCCCTTTCTAACGTCTGTGTGCTTTGTACTGAATGCCTCCTTTCCCACATCCACAAATCCAACAACGCACCTCCATTGCATTCTGAGCTCAACCCTGACTTTCCTCAATGGTCGGTATTGCTAGGTGTCGAGGCTGTGGTACCTGTCGAAAACGCAAGATCGCGGTAAGGCATAACAAATCCTTGCAATGGCCAAACATGCCGCTAATGGGAGTTGGAAATAGTGTAGCCTAGAACAGCCCTCTTGTGCTCAGTGCATAAAATCAAAGCGAATATGCACCGGATATCTTCGACATCCTATCATCATCCAGCACAGGGTCCCCAACAACAAAAGCGATGAACGAACCACGAGAGCAAAACAGCCTGTCCAACACCAATCCCAAACCGTTCAACTGGAGCCCATAGAGCCTTTCCATGTCGAGTCCCCAGTCGGCTCTCAGGGCGACTCAAGTCCTAACTCTAACCTGCTTCCAATCTGTCTTCCTGATTTGCACGTAAATCCAAACCCTACCATCAGGCACCAGCTACTGCAGGAGTATCTACACTACCACATTCCAAGACCTGAGATTGCCATGATGCCGCGCAGAATGTGGCTCCTGCGGCTTCCCGAGCTGACTTACATGACCCCCGCATTGGAATACGCTACGATGGCGGTCTGTCTAGCCAAACTAGGCCATGTTTTCAACGACCAGGTATTCATACACGAGAGCTTCAAGCTGTACAATCGTGGATTATGGCACCTTCAACAAGCTTTATGGAACCCAGAACTCGTGTTACATGATCACACCCTCACTGCTTGTATCACATTGGCTGGTTATGAACTCTCAGAATGCCCCAATTCCTCAAAGGATGCTTACATTAATCACACCAAGGGTTGCCAAACACTTGTCAAGCTTCGGGGCCCAGAGGCTCATACTCATGGTTTGGCACATCAGGTATTTGTGCAATTCCGAGTACAAGGGGTATGAACAGTTTCCTAGCGACTTCATTTTAGCCATTCACTGATTTTGCCAGATCCTTTACGCCTTGGATCAGCAAACGTCTAGTTTCTTGTCAGAGCCGCCTTGGCGTGAGATTCCATGGAGACATGAGGCTAAGACAGCGTTCGACAAGGCCTACGACCTTCTAGGGGTTGCCCCAGAGTTTCTAGCCAAAGCACAAATGTTTGACCGTTTGGATCTTGCTGGTCGACTGGAACTCGCACTGAGTATGATCCCGCAGTGCTGGGACATTGAGAGAGAAGTCTCGGCTTTGTTGGACGCCATGGAAAAGGAAAAGAGTCGGCCAAACCCTTCGTTTTGGCCACATTTTGCACAAGATGATTCTGGTCAAAAAGACAATGATGAAGCAATGTTGTTCCCAGTGGCTTTTCATTTCCTCAATCTCGGGGTTGCGCATTCCCTCCTCGTTTGCTGGGCGGTACAGGCTATTTTGTGGAACGGGTTGAATGAGCTATACAGATTGATGGCCGAGCTGAAGATGACAGCAGCTACTCTCGGTCGAGTCGAGGACGCAATCGATCCGGATTCGGAATTTGGGAGGTTTCAAACCGTGTTGGCGCGCTCCGGAAATGTTTTCGATCTTCCCCCTTTGGAACATCGCACAGACTTTGCCGCCCCTGCCCGAAACATTCTTCAGTCGGTGGAATTTTGCTTGATGGAGGACAAGTTAGATCAAGGCCCCAAAATGCTTGCTGCACCACTCAGAGTCGCAACGGAGGTATTGAGACGGCATCCAGAATTCAAGAGGGAAGTGGAATTCGGAGACAAAGCAATGGCGAGAACCCAACTGCGGTCACTGAAATTGTTGCAGTACTACACCGGGATTGAAATATGATGTCGGGATTTCTAATCGTACATCTAGCGCGCTCCATCACTCCGGGGTCTCTGAGAATGCAGATTCACTCTTCGAACCTTAATGTGTATGTTATAATCTCATGCTGTATATGTTTCCGTACTCGAGATGATAGAGTCAGCGTAGGGAGGACCGATGATTACCTAATGCGTGGGTGACCGTGGCCGGCCAATCACAGCCGCCAAGGACAGCCTGGCCTTTCAGCCTTGCACCTTCTCTTCCTTCCACTTCCATGTTGCCTTCAATTCAATCTCGACACTCCCTTTTCTCGCTTGAACGGTGGATGCCAAATTCAGACTGTCACCAACGATGCTACAGAGACGGTCTGAAAATTCTAGTTCGCCTTAGTTAATAGCCTTGGTGGTACCAAGATGGCGTCAACACCGGGCCCAGTGATGGAGCTTTTGGGGCGTGTTGCCTACGAGATCGAGGTGATGCGGCCATTGTTCCCGACATATCTACACCTTCTCATCTCTGCCATCTTCCCCATTTATACGGCTGCGCATGCTGCGTTATCGCGACCGCCGTCAGCGAGCCCACGTAAACGCAAAGAAGGGTCGACCGATGATGACCTTGGCGACGATGGCGAATCACAGAAGATCGAAAGCTTGACCCCTTCGGACGCAGTCCTCTTCCCACTCCTCGCAGGTGCTACATTGGCCAGCCTGTACTTCATCCTCAAATGGCTTCAAGACCCAGCGTGGTTGAACTGGGCTCTGGGAATCTACTTCTCGCAAATCGGCCTCTTCTTTGCCGTAAAGTTCATCAAGGACACGTTGTCTATCGCGAGGTCTTTTCTCTTCCCAGATCAGTACTCGCGTGGAGGCAACGTCTGGAAAGCAAATCAATCGGAGCACAGCTTCAAGACCGAAACCGGTGACAGCTCTCCTTCGCCGTTTCCGTGGTTGCTGTGGCCTCTGCCTATTCCGACCTCGATCTCAAGACGGATCTGGCAACTCCGCGGCCTCTTGTACACCAAAGCTCGTTTGGATCTCCATGTCCACCAGTTGATAACTGTCAAATCCTCGATCGATCTTCTGGACTTGATGAGTCTGTTGCTGTCCGTCGCGATTGTCTCCTACCACGCCTTTGTCGCCAAACCCTGGTTCATCACCAATTTCCTAGGCTTTTCATTTTGCTATGGTTCATTACAATACATGACGCCGACGACGGCGTGGACGGGCACCCTTGTTCTAAGCGCACTCTTCTTCTACGACATCTATTTCGTTTTCTTCACGCCGATGATGGTCACGGTAGCAACACAGTTGGACGTACCCATCAAGTTGCTATTCCCACGGCCTGATGGTTGTGTTTTCCCAGTCGGGGCAGCTGAAGGATCAGTGGCGATGGAAGAGTATTTGCAGTGTCTGGCAAAGACTAGAACCATGGCGATGCTGGGACTCGGAGATATCGTCGTACCGGGCATGATGCTTGCTTTTGCACTGAGGTTCGATTTATTCTTGTTCTACCTTCGACAAGGCCGAAAGGTAGAGAAGGGAGGTGTAGAGACAGAAAAGCCGGTGTATGCCAGTGCCAAAGGCAACTGGGGAGAACGATTCTGGACGAGGCCGAAATTGTGGTCGGACGATATCAAGGCCAAGAGCTTCCCCAAACCATACTTCTATGCCACAATTGTTGGTTATGTTCTCGGCATGATCATGACCGTGGTGGTAATGCAAGTTGCCGAGCATGCACAGCCAGCATTACTGTACTTGGTGCCCGGAGTTCTGTTCTCTCTGTGGGGTACAGCGCTTGTGAAGGGTGATCTGAAGGCTCTATGGGACTACACCGAAGCGTCTGAAGAGGAAAAGGACGAGGGTAAGAAGGAAGACAAGAACAGTCAGCAACAAAAGGCGGATACCGCTATTCAAGATCATCTTGAGGTCGAGTCCAAGCGTGAGAAAAAGCCTGGCAAAAAAAGCCCGGAGGAAAAGGCTGAAAAGCAAAGTCGGCGCTTGATTTTATTTTCGATCACGTTGCCTCAAGCCTTCAAGAGAACAGGCCAGAATGTCACCGGCAACGAGCAGACGTCGACCGAAGCTTCGTCCGGAGCAAAGACTACGGCCGACAACGGTGATGGTCGTGACATGGGTGCGCGACGCTCACTCGACGAGGCTGAGGCACGCAGCCGAGAAGGTGAACCTCCGGAGAAAAGAGCCAGACGAGTGTGAAGTGCTCGGGGCCATTCTTTACGATACGGTTGAAGTGTGTGTTATCATGCATAGCGCGGTTCAACAGATTAATGGCGCAGCGAAGAATAGGAATGTAGCCAAGGTATGAGAAAATAGCTCAGACAGGTGTTTTGAGAGCCCAGGATGATTTCCTACCCCTTGGACCTTGGTATGATTTTTTTTGTCACCTGTTCTTATGGGCCATGATGCAGCCCAGGTGAGCCGTTCTTTCTGCCTGTTCTGATATCCATGCTATTGTACGGCTGATGGGTCCACATCACCCAAAAGATCGACTATTTGTTCATCTCGGCTGCCTTTGCCTTCAACTCGTCTTTCGATTTCGCTTCTGGCAGGTCTGTAATGGCATGTCAGTCAGCATGGGGCTTTCTGGTGTAAATGAAAGTTGTGCTTCGGAGGGAGGGGCATACTGTCGGAAAGTTGAGGACCGTGACCCTTGTGGTCTTGAGCAGAAGCGGCCTGCTTGACGGGCTTCTCGTTCTCCTTGTGCAAGGGGGCATCGGAGGCGGTCGAGTCGGAAGATTCTTTGGCCACCTTGTCGAAGATATTGGAGGGAGCATTCTCTTCTGCTGGGTGTTGAGGCATGTTTGGGTGGAGTCGATTGAGAACCTTGAGTTACCTATTGAGAAGGGATGTTGGAAGGGGAACTGAGGTTGTCCGAGAAGAGGCGTGAGGCGTTTCGAAAATACCAGAGTGAGTGCCAGGTAGGGTATCTGTGTGAGGTGAGGAATGTCTCAGGCTGTGAAGTACGAAGACGAGTCCGCATAATATACGAGTACTCGCCCGTCTGGTGATGATGATGTAGTTGGCCCAGGCTTAGCATCGGTACCTTGTATGTCCTCGTATCACATCAACGCTTGGGCATGCGCATTGTGTCACTCTTTGCTATGACGTTTGTTATACGGACTGCTGCAAGTCTCGATCCCAGTGCGGGGGAGCGCAGCGGCAATGACGACAAAGTTGGAGATTGCGAGAAGGTGATTTTAACTAAAGGGTGACTTAGGGCGGTTGGACGTTACGGGGCGTGATTGGGGGCAGCCTAGGGAACGTTTAGGGCATCAGGTACCTAGGCAGGTATGGGTAGGTCCCTAAAGTGCCTAACTAGGGTACCTAAGTATTACCTAAGGTGCATGTACTCGGGTAGGAAACAATGCCTACCTAGAGATAGGCATGCCTGAACATTAAGACTCGTACAGCAGAGATTGCCAGACACGAGAGTGTTGCAAAGCAAGGGATCGAGTAATGTCACACACAAAAAGCATCATACAATACCTCTCTAGTTGACGCCTATTGCTTACGAGAGGTACAGTAGTTAGGTGGCGTAGGGGATGAAGTGCCTACTGTAACTCGTGAGCCTGGTCAGCCACGCGGCAAGTGGACAATTTTACAGTTTAAGCACCGCTAAAGCCGCCGATAAGTGGCTGAGCCTTTTTAATCTCTGGGCAAATCACCGCCGGAAGTGCCTAGTGAGTTAGTGAGGCCCTTAGTCCGGACATCGTAGTGACACTGTCCGTCCGTCCCTTGTCCCTTGGTGAGCGCTGGGCTTCAATGCAGTTTCAACACCTTGTCTTGTATCACCAGCCCTACCCATACCACTATCCTTCCTCTCGCATTCCCGATACCTCTTCCCAGCAGGATGCCATCGATCCTCTCCGAGGCTGACAAAGAGACCGTCAAGCGTACCGTCCCCAAGGCTGCCAACAAGATCCAGGCTGTTGCAGTCGCTCGACTCTATGTCGCTTATCCGAATCAAAAAAGATGGACCTACACCGGACTACAAGGCGCTGCCGTCCTCTCCAATGATCTTGTCGGCAATACCTTTTGGATTAAACTCGTCGATATCTCTCCTGCGAACCGAGGCGTGATTTGGGATCAAGAGATCTACGATACGTTTCAGTACAACCAAGATCGAACCTTTTTCCATTCCTTTGAACTGGAACAATGTATGGCTGGGCTGTCGTTCGTCGACGAGAAGGAGGCGAGGACCTTCAAGAAGAAGATGGACGAGCGGGAGAAGAATGCTAGCAAGCAAACGAAAGCACAGCCTTTTGCCTCGAGCGCTGGAGGTGGCCAGGTCCACGTCGCCGGCTCGTCGCATAAACACCACAGTCGGGTCGGCAACTTCTTGCGCGGACACAGGCACAGTTCCAACCCTATACCGCAGTCACAGCCTCAATCTATCATTCCTCAACCCATGTATAGTCCCGCTTCCACGAGCCGCCCGCAGAGCAGCGCAGGAGGTATTGATTTGGCCGATCCCTCATGGCGGCCCATCCTAGACGAACTGCTCCAGATGGGCATCACAGAGGACCAGATTGCAGCCAATGCCGACTTTATCAAGAAATATGTGCAGCAGAAGCAAGCAGAGGAGATGGCCAACGGAATTGTCCAGGCTCTGCCGTCTGTCTCCGAGACAAGGTCGCGCGCACCGCCTCCGCCACCGCCGCCCTCGGCACCGCCAGCACGATTAAGCCCAGACGATACGGGCGCATCATCTTCCAGCAGACGCGGTCCCCCTCCAGCTCCGCCGCCGTCCAGAAGGCCAGTCGGCGGCAGAGCACCATCGCCTCCACGGTCACCGTCACCTCCCCCAAGAACGCCATCTCCGGTTGCGAGCCCCCAGCCGAGGTTCCGCGCTCCTCCGCCCATTGAAGATGCAGGCAAATATGCCGTCAAGGAAGGTCCAGCAGCGTACGCTCCAAGGCGAGCTCGAGCCTCTTCCGGCTCTCTCGCGAACCCAGGTCCTCCACCGCCTCCTCGTCCGCCCAAGACGCCAATTGATGAAGAGCCACAAGGGATGTTTAGAGTACCTCCCCCATTCATGGGCGATCGCAAATCTTCCGCTCCTCCTCCTCCACCGAGCCGTGGCCCAGTGCCTCCGCCTCCACCAAGTAGGGATACATCGACGCCGCAATCCATGCCACCTCCGCTGCCGCCTAAAGCTCCAGGACCTGCCCCGTCCCAAGCTTACATCCCGCCTCCACCGCCTCCTCCACCCCCGGCTCGTGGTGGTCCGCCGCCCCTTCCACCGCCGAATACGCGAGCTGTCCCTCCGCCGCCATCCTCGGCGGGTCCTCCTCCTCCACCGCCGCCACCTCCTCCAATGCCATCGTCCTCAGGTCCTCCGCCTCCGCCTCCCCCTCCGCCACCAATGCCTTCGTCGTCCGGACCACCTCCTCCACCGCCCATGCCTTCGTCTGGTGGTCCACCTCCGCCGCCTCCTATGCCCGGTGCAAGTTCAGGGCCGCCTCCTCCACCTCTTCCACCGGTGGGCGGTGGCGGCGACGGACGAGACTCACTCCTCGCAGCCATTCGAGGATCGGGCGGAGGCGGCGGTCTGCGGAAAGTCAAGGACAGCGAGAAACGAGATCGTTCGGCTGCCATGGTTCCAGGAACGGAATCGGCGGCTCCGCCCCCGCCTGGTGGCGCTCCAGGAAGTCCAGCCGGCGCGGGTGATGCTCAGGGTGGTCTTGCCGGCGCACTTGCGGCAGCTCTTAGTCAGAGGAAGAAGAAAGTCAGTGGCAGTGGTAAGTCAGCTATCAACAACCCTTTTTCTTGGTCATTTGTGCTGCTACTCTGTTTCGATATGCGCATTGATTTCTTGGGGGAACTCGGCTAACATTATTTCTTGCTTTTGTCTAGACGACGAAAAGGACGACGACGACGACTGGTGAGCAGGTCAGCAGCACTTGATTCGTTCGAGGGGAAAGACAAAAATGGAGCTTTGACGGTGTAGCACGGAGTACGGAGGAGTGTGATGATTGATGGGTGGTTGGGTCTGGGTGTCTGATTCGATGACCAGATCTAACAACTTGTTTGTGTGTGAGAGTGAGAGAGATAGAGAGGTGACTATGAATTGGGGAGACGTCGATAGCAAGCAAGATCTTTTTCCAACCAGCCTAGAACGTCTCACCTTGTGGTACTGAGTAAAAGATGTAATCCGAGACATGGTCGATGTGGACGATACGGCTTGGGCTCACGGGGGGACTTTAGGGCCTCAACCATGAGACTATACGAGAAAACTCGACGGAGAATCTTGACCGCTCTCCAGAAAGTCCAGTTCCGTTTCGAGACCCGGGCATCACCATATATATTCCTAGGGATACTCCGAATATTGTGCCAAGTACGGAGTACTGTGTCCCGGTACGCACCGTCGTCTATCGTTACATGGGTATGGTGCAATAAACTGGGAGTGCCACCTCTTCAGCTCGTCGCGGTGCAAAAATGGTAACTAGCTTGCTCAGACTTTGTAGTTAGTATGGATATTGGAAAGCTTCGCTCAACCACCTACTGTACCCGTGTGTCAGCGCTGGAGGGCCTCTGGGTCAGCAACAAATTACACTGAAATGACAGTGTTGGGGCTATGGTGGGTAAGGTACTGTAGTTAGTAGGTAACCTCCACTACCAAGTTAGGTACCTGTACCCTAGGCAGGTACTGTGTGAAGTGGTGGCTCCGGTGAGGAAGGTTCGCCAGGCAGTTTCGGGGAAATTGCCCCGCGGCTAACACCGTCACATCACATGCTCTGTGCTCCGACCGGATGGCAATACATATTACATACATACCTAGAGAATAGACGCTTCCGCCTAGCAAAGTCCTCACGAGCCTTCCTCGAGAATGTCAACTCGGTTTCGCCATGTTGGGTAGGCTTATTCTTATTTCAATCTTCCTAGTGCCTGTGTGAGTTGCCAACTTACAGTACCTTTCCAACTCTCGCATGGCCTGCTAATAGACGTAAAGAATGGGTATCTTCGACCTCGGATTTCTCCCTTGGTTGTTCCGTTCCCAAAAAGAAACCATGCTTCCCAACGACGAACGTGTCGACATACAAACCTCTTGCCCACCCCTAACTTACAACTACACGGAAAGGTACAACCCTCGCACCGGATCATTCGTGTTCGGGTACCCGTCCACCGGCGGTGTTCTGATCCGCGGACTTGGACCCGTCGAGCTGGTCCATCTCGGACTCGACCGGTTCAAGGACGCAACACGATCGCCGGACGCCGACGAGGAAGACGAGTTTTGCACGCGGCTTTGGCGACTTGGGGCTCAGTGGTGGGCATCCAGGGGTGAGATGGAGGAGGCATTGCTTAGGCAGGATAGTGGTGGTGCTCCCCAAAAGAAGTTGGCCTGGACAGTCGAAACGGGCTGGCCGAGCTCGGGACAGGGAGTTTGGGTTCTTGAGTACGACGTCGAGGATCGAGCTCATTACGAACTGAGGGTGGGAGCGTCACTGCTCAACAATTGCCTTGATATGGACGAGAGGTGTAAGGTCATTGAGAATCTCGGAGGAACTTTCTATTCTAACCCAGATGACTGTGAGGCTCTGCGCCCTCTCTCTCCGGAGGAGAGAACTTTGGGATAAGATGCTAGTCACGTTATTGAGCTTTTGGCCACTGGCACAGCCTAAGGTGTTTCACGCGGCTTTCGAAGGTCGTCAAGAATGCCAAGGGTATTCCTAATGTCGGGGTTTTACAGGTATAGCAAGGCCAGAGTCTGTTGTAGAACGGTCTTCCCGTATGCCTTCGCAAAACACACACGCACACACACTAAAGACCGGTCATTTGCAGTCATTTGCAGCCAACAAAGACGCACCCGAGACACGCAAATCGCGAGTAGGAATAGGCACCTGAGACATTAAGATCAGTTGCATAGTCAGATAGGGCCTACCGGGTCAACAGATAAGCTTGTCCTGAATGGGTAATGTTGGAAAAGTGTTGCCAGAATCCCGACGAGGCTTTGACAATGTGGCAACATCAACGGCGTCACGCAGGACGTAGTCGCCGCAGCATTCCTGGCCACAGGTGCCTAATATGAAACACCGGGATCTCCCACCAACCTGCAGCCAATATTGGCTAAATGAGCGTAGAGGTGTCAATCAGGAATAAGTGGCGCGGCAGAATAAATGGCGGTGCAACGAGATGTGCGCATATGTGCCTTTCATTGAGTCATTGCACTCAAGCCTAATGTTATACCTGACTCAGTCCTTCATACTAGAATTCCTAACTTAGTGCTTTTGATATCGCTCCGGTGGCTCCGTGACACCGTGATATACGAGAGGTTTTCCCGTCGCACCTCTCCATTGATACTTGCTTGTTCGCAACCAAATCCCTTTGAGGCCAATCTCGTGGCGCCAGTTTCATTTGTCGCCCGCGACGAGCGGACAGAGTGCCTGTCATTGGCCGTAACTCCTGCCGGCGTCTTGATTAGGCGCATTCGAACTTCAAGCACTTTTGCATAGCAAAACTAGTTATGGCCGTGGCCGCTGCCGCTGCCACCTTCTCCCAGCCGCTCGTCTGGAGGTGAAAATACTGCCCTTTCCAATTCTTTTTATAACCAGCCCAGACGTCTACAATCAAAGGGAGAGAGAGCGGTGAGTGATACAATATTACGGTTTGGACCATCGTGGTGGAGATAAGAGACTGCCGCTGTAACGGCAGAGAACTAACGACAGGATGATCTTCAATGTCACATACGAACTAATAAGCAGTAGGATCAAGCCACGGGTCCGAAGTGGACATTGTGCCGATGGGGAGTCAGATTAAGCGCGTCTCTTCGGCCTGGCCAGGGAATCGACCTACAGTAGCTGATAACACAATAGCCCTTTGCCGAACTCCTCGTTATATTCTACATTCACTCTATCATGGCCTATGTGAGACAACTCATTCCAAAATTAGGGCTAGGCAGAGGCCGGCGGCACTCCTACTTTGATTCTTACTTCGAAATCTTGGTATGTCTGAGGCATTCCGTCTGGCCATCTGTGATCTATATTAGGTCATACCTCGGAGAGCTTGGTTGTCCTAGACGGGCAAAATGGTCTATTTTGATCCTTTTGCGTTTCATGACACAGTTTTCTCAGACTTGTTCGTAATTTCCTCGCAAAGTCCCAAATGGGTGACCTACTGGCCATGCGGAATGCGACTCATACCACCGTGGGAAAGAGCAGTCCATCGGCGTTGTCAAAGCTCTATAAAGCAGTCAACACGCCTCTTTTCGAAGCCAGGAATTTCTAACTATACTTCTTAAGACTCTTCTTTCTCACTAACATTGTTTCCACCATGAATATACTCATCCAACTGCTTCTCGCTTTCGCTCTGAAAACATTGGCCCAGGACGACGACTTGCCACCAGAGCTCGTTGCCACCGCTTATCCAGACTTGAATGACACAAATCTTCGCGGTACATGGCTGTGGGGCTTCAAGTAAGAAAGTTCGATTCATGATTCCAGGACGATGGCTTACTATAACGAACAGTGGGTGCGACAACGTCCAGACAGCAAATATTAAGGAAGCATACAATGATTTCAAAACGCTTTCCAACACCGAAGGCGTTCTAAGCAACATCGATTGGAACAGTGCCGCTGCCTTGGAATACCTCGGTCCCCCAGGTTTCAACAAAAAGCAGCGGAAACAAATCCAGGCTGTTTTTGCAAATGCGGCAACTGTATACCCCGGCTCATTCGCCAATCCGTTCAGATTGTGGATTCGTGTACGGTGCGACGATCCTTTCAAGAAATGTACCGATGATTGCAATCCTCCGCAGGATCCGCCTCCCCAAGACCCGTTATCATCTCTCAATGCATATTCGAAGAATCAAGACCCGGATGACCCCGATTCGCCTATGGTTAATTTTTGCAACCCATTTTTTCAAAAGAGAAGTCTTACAAACGCGTACGCTTTTGGGAGCGCTCAAACTGGGGCTGCGAAATTCGACATTGACAACTATATTAATCGAGGTATGTCTCGAACATTGTTCCCGTGGCTTGCTGACCATCTTGTAGCCGAAACTATGTTTCATGAGCTTCTCCATATCGACAATGTCGCTGATTCTGTGGGAGGCGTCCCGAATCCGTCGGTTGACGATCTGACAATCACGTACACCTTTCGCAATCAAAATGGCAAACTCTTTACCTTCGATAGGACAGCATATGGTTCCGCCCGCTGCAAACTCCTTGCACGTTTCAAGCCAGGGGTTGGCGATTTCTCGACCGGCTATTATGTTCAGCGAAATGGTGGGTGTTGCATGCATGATGCTGTTACGCTCTTCATATATCCCAGACTAATTTTACTCTAGCTGAGAATCTTGTATACTACGCGTTAGCCAAATATGTCCAGAAGAAGCTTGGGGCGTAAGCAGGCGTCGAGTTCCTTACAGCAGTTGAACTTGCTGACCCTTGGGCAGATATCCTCATATCCCCGTCATCAGAGAGTATGCCATTACATTGCCGCCCTACAAGAAACCGAAGCCTGTCATTGAATACATATCGATAGACAACAAGACTGTGTTGCTGGATGAGCCAGATCTTGAACCTGTACCCGGATGCAGTGACCGTTTGGATGAAGACAGCCCCGACACTCTCACGCTGGGAACGCCATACGACGACAGCGAATACCCCTCAGACTATCGAATTCAGATGGCTCAATGGGTGGGCGCCTTGTCTGATACTCCAGCCCCAGGCGAACCATTCCCCCCCAGATGTCAGAGTGATGTCTTGACCGACGCTACTCACAGCACCAGTCTTGCCGAGGCTTCCGACAAAGTCCACCAATTTTGCAGCAACAAGGCCTGGTGGGGAGTGAATATCGTTCCAGCAGTTACCTTTGGTGATGGATCTGGCCACAAGGCGCTTGGTGTTAGCGACAACTTTACAGTCAACGGCTCGGCTGACAAGCTTTACCTCGACGTTTCTTGGAAGCCCGGATGTATGGGAAGTTCGCTATTCACCGTCGGAGCCACAGATAGCGACAAAGAGTCCCATTGCACTACGAGATTTCTGACAGTTTTGAATGGGGTGAGTCTGAAAACCCGAAAATCCTCACCACAAGAAGAAAGACCTCTGAGCTAAGAATGGAACACCTGTTGCAGTGTGATACGGCCTCTACTGATAAAAAATACGGCGGAGGTCTCGTCGACACCTGCCTCGTCTACAGAATTGGCGCCGTAGCAGCAAACGCCAACCCGCCATTCTCAGTCTTCACGGGCGGACCAGAATTTTCCTGTACTGATGCGTATGTTCCTAGAAGCGTTTCTATTCTACTCCATCTCTCTGCTCTCTGGAACTAACATGTTAACCACTCTTTCACGCAGGGACTCATCCTTTGACCCCAGCTTCTCAAACGCATGCAGCTGTTTTTACACCGGTGAGCCTGAGACCGCGGCCCTCTTTGACAAGCCTAAAGGAGGATGTCCGACTCTCACGAGACCTCCCACGACGACTTTCCAGGAGGTGCAAGGAGCTACCGCCACCAGTGCTGCGAAACGCGATGTCGTTGGTGGGTTCCTCAGGACTCATCCTAGAGAGGTGATCAGAAGGGTGTGAAGTAGTGTGTTCATGAGTTAGTCCGCCACCTCGAATTGTATGTATATAATCATGATATAATACCAGAATCAAGTCAAGGAGACCGTCTAGGGGAACACCTATAAAGGGTCACTTCTAGTGAAGGAGAATGTCTCGAGGAACACCTATAAAAGGTCACTTCTAGTGAAGGAGAACGCCTAGAGAAACGCCTTTATAAATGGTCACTTCTAGTCCCGGAGAACGCCTAGGGGAACACCTATAAAAGGTTACTACTAGTAAAGAGTACATAATGAGCTGAGGTTGAGTAATTTAGAGTAATCATTCGCCGTTCATGCAGACCATATGAGTATGTACTCGCGTCTGTCAGCTCGGTTCCTCACCAATAGAACAACACGCACGCTCAGGGTACGAGGTGGAAAAGAAAGAACAGCACTGAATTTCATTTCTTTCCGTGTGTGTGGTGAGTCGAGGCACGACGAAGGTGCGCTTGTTGCTCTTTGGTCATTAGACCTTTCTGCTTCTTCGAGTCTTCCCTCCATTTGGCCTCGACGTCTTCCACATCGTCTTGTATCGTCATCTGAGGCTGCTGAGCCATGCCGTTGGTGTCTGCAGTATCTCCAGGTCGGAAAGAATTCGTCGACGTGGCTTGTAGCCTGTGTGCGCCCAGGCCTTCCATGCCCGGCCAGTAGACGGGATCGGATTGTTTGACGCCCAGGTTGATGCCACCCCCTTTCGGTCTGATGGGTCGTTGGGCTTGCCTTTCAAACGCTTCGCTATGCCAATTGCCACGACCACCAATTCGTGCGCGGTGGCCCATGGTGTTAGGCAATCCTTCACCCCACATGCTCACTTTTTGCACCTTCCGGAGCTTGCGCATTCCATACACACTAATGACAGCGGACAAGGCAAAACATACGACACTGACCGCACCGAATCCCCAGTCGGTCTCCTCGATGAAGTTGTTCAGGTTCATTCCATAAAGTCCAGCGATTAGAGTGCCACCCGCCAGTCCCAGAGTCCCAACGCTGAACTTGATCTCCAGTAGCATGAGCTGGTTACGATTTGCGTCAAGGATCGCTTTGACAACCTCTTCCGTATTGCGAATGTTGTTGACCAAGTTACCCGAGATCTCTACGATTTCATCGCAGATTTTATGGTAAGATTCTAGTAACATTTCCACCTCTTGATGGTCATGCTCCGGCCGAGGCGTGTTTGAGACTTTCCGCTCGGTCAAGTACATCGCCGAGAGATCGTCATCTGCTTCCAAAAGATCATCGATTGCATCCCGGACCAGTCGGGCCTTTTGCTCAAAGGTACCCAGCTTTTTGGAGTGAATGAGCAGGTGTCTTAATTTGTCTCGATCGATATCTTCCTCGAGCTCTCGTAGAATATGCACCACGGGATCGCGAACCAAAGCGAACTCCGCTTCGAGACCTGAGGTGACGGATATCAACACGGCTTCTAGGGCTCTGAACTCGTAAGGGAGGTACGTAGATTTATTCCTCGGGTCTGGCTTCTGTCTCAGCTTGCCTTCCAGATCATACATGAACAAGGATTGAGTATATGAGTCAGTGCTGCCGTATGCGTCGAAGACCAGAACCCGATCGGACTGTATCAGGACTCTAAGATGGAGGAGGTTTATGAGTATTGCCGTAGGTCGAATGAGGATGTGCGGAAGGACGGACGAGTCCAGCTTGCGCAGGTCGCGAGGCAAGAGACCGTATTTCGCGATGAGCTCCGACTTTTTGAATTCTCCTGCGACCATGGTAACAGAACCATTGGCATCGAATTCGGTGCACCGTAATTTCAGATCTGCTCCAGTCTGATTTCTGGACAAGGAACGAGAAAGATTGAAAAGTTGAGCCGACGTCTCGTCATAATTTGAACTATTCCCTGGAGGATCCGGTGGCAGTTTAGATCTTGCAGCTGCTTGTTTCCGACGAAACCAGCGTAGCCAGAACCCTGGGCTGTGACTGCCAGAACTGGCGTTTCGAGCCTGGAGAGGACCCGGAGGCGCGCATCTTGGTGCAGGGAGAGCCTTGCAGGAATCTCGATGGCGCTGCCATATATCGTCATGGGAAGACGTCTGCAAGCGAGAGCATCGCGAGGAGGTAGATAAGGACCGGCAATGGGGAGGTCGTGTTGGCGCGATGGGCGTGATGAAGACTGAATTTGCCTGCGTACGCAGGAAGCGGAGAAGATCTCGGGACGGTGCGCAGGGCGTCTTCATTGCCTGCTGCAGGCCTGAAGTCTCCCACTGTACCGCGAGTCAAAAGTAGTACAGCAGAGAGAGTGGTGGTCAGGGAGATTGGGAAATTTGCCTGCTGTTCGCAACTTGTAACTGATGCGGAATGGAAAAAGTCGCTGTCCGGCTGAAGGGCCGCGCACGTGATCTGGCTTATCGTTATCAGAGCGTGTGACGATGACTCTCGTACTGCGTCGACTCCAGACATGCCTTGCTTCGATCAACCACCACGTTTGTCCAACGTCTCTCATGCCTACGCATTTGAACATCGCATTTACGTTTTGCTCTCTAGATGTTCATCGCATCGCATCACAGTCTAATATGCATAGCATCCAAGCCCGTTGTTTGTTCGTACGTTGTAATTGTTTGGTATGCCTCGAAGATATGCCAACCTTTCACTATTGACCTGCAAAATCCATTGTTGTTTCCAGCCAGTTGGTGAGCTGAGAAAGGTACGATCGATTTGAAGAAAGAACGGCCACCTCATTGATGGCGGAGCCTTGGGTGTCGCCGAGCAGCTGCATGGACCATCGATTGACGCGGATCCGGCCACTCAACTGCATGCCACCACAAAAATCCATGGATTTCGCAAACAAGAGGCATGGCATGTGGTATTGGAAGCGGTCAAGCATACGGTGCATCGCAGATACAAGCAAAGCAGCAGAGTGCAGTCAGTTTCGTTTCAGTGGGCACGTTCTAGCTCCCTCACTTGTATCGGGCAACGAGACAGAGTGGTTATGCTGATCGTATGTGTCAGAAGTGGCCAGCAAAAGCAGTTCTTCCGCATCCATCATTCCTTCAACAAGCTTGGTCCAGACCAAGTGTCGCAACGAACCTCGCGTGGGCTAGAACAATGCAGATGCGGCTCGCTTCAGTGCTTTTCGACCCAGGTACGGTTCTCTCGGGATGCCACGAGCTTTGAACAAAAAGCGAAACCATGAACTGCTGGTGACTAACCACGAAGCTTGTCAATACTTCGTCTCTCCCCTTCCTCGGTCTCCGCTTCCCCAGTTATGTCCTCGAATTGCAGATGCAGTTGAAGACCTCGGCTCTTCAAGGGCGCAAAGGACGCATCTCTTACGGAGTCCACATGCAAAAGATCGTGTATCGAAGCTTGGGAAACTCCCACCTTTCCTTCCGGTAGTTACTCTGCCACTGCATTGCCAGACTATAACGTGGCATTTGTGGAGCTGAAGTGATTTGCACACGCTGATACGCCCATATCCATTGTCTCGAAACGGTTTAGCCGCCTTGTCTCCACGCTCAAGGGGACTTCTGCCACGCATTTCCCAATATCAGGTTAGTTTCTGCCCAATCATAGACCATAGTATTCCTCTATCTTGACCAGACTCGCAGGTCCCTCCGAACATGGAATCCGTTAAGAAGGATCCATATGCAATCACAACTAGTCTGTGGTTGGCCGAGCTCGAATACCCGGCTTTTGCATGGTCACCCAGCCACCGATCACAGTTTGCCCGGGACATATTATTGCCCACGTCCTGGACTCCTCATCTACCATCTATGGTTACGATCCACCTTCCCCTCAAGTACGCCTGGGGAAAGCATCTGGGGATACGGAATTGTCCCAGTCAGGCTGTACCGGCAGATATCTATTCATCACGTCTTCCCTCCCTGGTTGGGGTTTTGTTAGCGGCAATTCGTGCCCTAGTGCATTGCCGGCCTCCCCCCAACAATCGCTTGTAGGTCTTATAAAGACCTTAGATCTATCTTCCCGGGACCATGTGGTTTTCAAGACAATCGATCTCGACTAGTTACTCTTCTTTGGGTGCCGATCAGAACGAACAACCCTAATCAGGCATCATGGGTCTTGGTATCTTAGACGACAACAAGCTCGAGCATGTCCCGGGCACAGCCTTGCTGGCTGACATGCTGGATGCCCAGCATCATCAGTACCATGGTGAGAACTTTGAGGTCTATGATGCAACGGTCGCTGATTGTCCAAGGTCGTGACACCAGTAACCTGAAACATGGCACTGGTCGTAACGCGGATATTGTTCTCGTCCCCCAGCCAAGTGATTCACCGAGGGATCCTCTCAACTGGCCAACCTGGAAGAAGGATCTTGCGTTGCTGATCATCTCTGTCGACACAGCTGTCGTCGGTGCTTGGTATGGTACGGCTGAGTTCACAGACACGTTTACTAACAATACTCGAGGGGACCGATGATCTCGCCCGGATTTGCTGAAATGGCCGAGGAATGGCACATGTCCTACAACGCCCTCAACGGAGGCCTCGGCTGGGCCATTTTTGCCATTGGCATCAGTTGTTTTGTGACCAATGCACTCTCTGTCAAATTCGGCCGTCGTCCTGTCATGATCCTGGGGAACTTGTTGCTCTTCATCTCCTCGGTTTGGGGTTACTTCGCACACAGCTATCATTCTCTTCTGGCCAGCCGTATCTTTGGCGCCATTGGAATGAGTCCTTTTGAAGTCCTCACGACGGCAATCATTGGAGACATGTACTTTGTTCACGAACGTGGTCTGCGGCTCGCTTTCTGGGGTCTCTGTCTCAGCATTGGTGTAGGTGGTGCTAGTGTCATATCTGGCTACATCATTCAGGTGAGAATTCCTCGTCCGTCCCACACCCCATGCTCACAGGCTGACATCGTACAGGACATTGGCTGGAACTGGACGTACGGTATTTGCGCGTGTTTCTATGGCGCATTCATCATCTTGATTTTCTTTTTCGTTCCGGAGACCGTCTACCAGCGTGACCCGGCTTACAACTTGGACTTGGGCACGCACGACCACACTTTTGAGACCTTGGACGCTCAGGTCATCAAGGGCGGACATCCGGAGCACCTGGAAAAGACCAAGACTGGTAGCAAAGTTCATACCGAAGTCATCTATACCGGTGCCGACGAGAAGCCTTACACATTCTGGGAAGAGCTGAAACCTGTGCGAGGGATCGAGTCAGACGAGAATTTGCTTTACATCATCTTCCGTCCGTTCGGCATGCTTCTCTTCCCTCAAGTGCTCTACGGCTTCATCACTTACGGTCTATCAACCTCCTGGCTCGTCGTCATGATCAGTGTGTTGGCACAACTTTTCACTGGGCCCCCCTACAACTTTTCGGTCTCGGACGTTGGACTGATCAGCATTGCCGCGCTGGTCGCTTCTCTCCTCGGATTTGTCGCGGGTCCTCTGAACGACTGGACTGTCAAGAAGCTTGCCAGAATGAACAACGGCATCTACGAACCTGAATTCCGCCTTGCGCTAAATGTCCTCACGCTCGTCTTGGGCGTGGTGGGATTCTTTGGATTTGGTGCCACCTTGCAGAATGAAGCCCCATGGGCAGGTCCGGTCGTTCTTTACGGCATCATCTATTTCTCCATGTCCTTCTTGAACATTGGGTATGTCTGACCATTGACTATGTGACTCGATCTCTGCTAACGTGTGGTCCAGTGTCTATGGCTACATCACCGAGTGCCACCGAAACAAAGCTCCAGAAGCATTTGCCTCGATCAATCTGCGAAACATCTATTCGTTTGGAATGAACTATTTCATCTCCAGTTGGATTTCGAACCAGGGGCCTTTGGAAGTCTTCTCAATTATTGGCGGCGTCCACATCTTCATCCTCCTTCTCACGATTCCCATGTGGATCTTTGGAAAACGCTGTCGGAGTTTCACTGCGCGCAATCCATTCTTCCGCAAGATCCAAGAGTCATGAGAACACCAGTCACTCACAATTGGCACCTGCTGGGCGATGCCATGAGAGGAATGGAGGATCACGCAGAAGTAGCCTCCGAGAACTCCTGGTTGAGAATACTTTTTGACCTATCCAGCGACGAGACTGGAAGTCCACATAGTATGCTTGTAGTTTGAGTACAACACAGGCCTCAACCAAAGTAGCAGCGTTCATGGTGTTTATCATTTAGTGTTATCCCTCCGACCCAACCTGAGACTCGCACTCCCGGTATCTGTACCGGTCGATGTCCCTCGGGCTAGTGACGAGGCTGTGCGGGGTCCCCATCAAGTAGTCGTACTATCTGCATTTCGACAGCCAGGGGCCCTCCACCTCAGGTACCTGAACGACGAGTCTCTCTTCTATTCGCGAGAATGCCATCGGCACCTCACATCCCTTGTCGCCTACTGCTCCTGTAGAAACACTCGTACTGAGCATCAGAATTTCTGCCTCTCCGCCGTTCACCCGGCCGCAAGGTACTCGCGACCGGTCCAGCCAATTTCCCCCTCTCCGAGCCTCGCACATCTCCGCAGAGACAGTTCTGAAGAACTAGATTCAACGTAGAAGAAAAAGACGTCCCTCTTCGACCCCAAGTCGAGGCCTTTTTATCCACCCTCGAACACCTAGATTGAGACAAACCGACCATATCTGATCTCAAGAACAACGGCGCCCATCATGACAGACACAACAACGACCAAGATGCATGTTAAGCAGGTATGAAGCGACACCTCTCGGCCACGTTGACATCCATGCCACACCCCATGACAGACCCGCATCCCATCCGATCCCATGTTGATCTGTATCTTGAGATGCCATCGATTCACGCAGGACCCAACTGGGTTTGTTGAACCTACTCACTGACCATGGTACGCGCCACAGTTGTACACGTATCCCATAAAGTCGCTGCGAGGGATATCTCTGCCGTCCTTCTCAGCCATGTACACTGGATTCCCGCACGACCGGCGCTTCATGCTGTACAAGGTCGACGGAGGCGAAAACATGCACGTCTCGAAGCAGACGGAGATGTGCCTGTTCACCACGGCGTTCGACGACCCTGAGAACCCGACCAAGGTGGTCGTCAAGTACTCTCTGGACCACACGTTCGACAGGCCCGAGCAGAAGGTCAGCGCCGACGACCTCAGCGTGTCCCTGACGCCGGACACGGCAGATCTAGACACGGTCGAGATCACCATGCACTCGTCCCCGTGCGTCGGCTTCGACGTGGGAAGCAGCCACAACAAATGGTTCAGCGACCGCTTCGGATACGAGGTGAAACTGCTGTACATCGGCTCGAACCGGCGGAAAGTGCTCGGGAACATGCCGCCTGGCGTCGCGGGACCACAGCAAGACACTTCGTCCTCGACCCCGGCCTCTGCCTCCGCCGGCAACGGCAACGGCGGCAACGGGTGGCTGGGGAGCCTGCGGACGGCGACGGCGACGGCGTCTTCGCTGGTCACGTCGCTCACCGGCTCCGGCTCGTCCACCAAGACGTCCTCCTGGACGTACGACGGCGTCGACGAAGGCATCTCGTTCGCCGACGTCGCCCCGTACCTGGTCGTCAGCGAGACGAGCTGGCGGGACGCGCAGCGCCGCCTCCCCGACGGTGAGGTCATGGACATATCCAAGTTCCGGCCCAACATCATCGTCGAGGGCGCCGAGAGCGAGTGGGACGAGGACTTTTGGGCCGAGCTGCGGGTCGGGTCGGACGCGAAGCTCGTCCTCACCCAGAACTGCGCCAGGTGCAACAGCCTCAACGTCGACTACGCGACCGGCAAGGTCGGCGCCGGCGAGGCCGGCAAGATCCTCAAGAAGCTGCAGAAGGACCGGCGCGTCGACCCCGGCGCGAAGTGGTCTCCCGTCTTTGGACGCTACGGCTTCCTCGCAAAGGTGCCCGAGGGTAAGAGTGCCGCTGAAATCAAGGTTGGCGACCAGGTCACACTTCTGAAGCGGAACAGCGAACGTACGAGGTTTGGTAAGTCTCTCTCTATCCCCCTCTCTCTTTCTCTCTTCCTCTCTCGATCGAGATTCAAACTCCACAATGGTCCTTTCGCTGACCGTTGGAATCCTCAAATCCCACAGAATGGCCAAATTTGAGCACGAATTGATTCGACGATACTACGGCACAATGTGGTTTTTTTGCCCCTCTCCTGTTCTCATAACCGGTATCATTGATTACCTGATGTCGGGGGGGGGAGGGGGGGTGGGGGGAGTGACCTACAAATTAGATCCGTATGTGTACGGAGTACTTTTGGGATTGTATTGAGTGGGATGCAGTCTGGTGGTTTGCGGATTTTCTTTCGTCTTGCGTTCTGTGGAACTTCGTGAAACTTCATCTTGGTCTATGTATCGTAATCAATGTATCATGACGTTAAGAGTCCTGTTGTACCTCATTCTTTTCGTTTCGTCAAGCCGTAAACTATGCCAACTGTATCCTGCCTGCATGGACCGACATAATAAAGCCATACGGAGAAGCGTCTCCGTTGACTTCTACAACCGTGAATTTGGGTTGCCAGGCCACAGCCACGGTAAACCTCACTTCGCCCCTCTCTTGAGAAACATGTTCCTGACGCTGCCTTGCCCGCTACCCCCTATCTTTCCCTCAAGGTTCTTCGGTGCATACCTCGCCTCAGGCTGTCTTATACCTTTCTCGACGCTGTCAAGCACCCACTGCGCCGTGACGTATTTGATGCCCTTGCCCCCGACGAGCGTCGCCTCCTTTTGTATCTTGCCCGCAGCCAGTCCACCTCCACAGTCGGCGCCAATAATGACATGTGTGACCGTCCTGCGCCCAAGCGCTATCGACGTGTTCCCTCCGTGCCGCGAGAAGATTTGCTTGAGTTTGTGATCCGAGACCAACGGCGCCGTCGAGCCGTTCAGGTACATGTTGAGGTTGCGGAAGATCTGCGGTGTCTGTACGAGAGACGATTCTTCGCTCTTTCCACGGCTTATCCGCTTCGCGGCTGTAGGGCGTGGCGCGTCGTTCCGGACGCCATCATCATCATCGTCATCCGCATGATGATGGTCATCTATTGTTGAGTCCTCCAGGTTTCGACATGGCTTCTCGCAGTTTCCGTGAGGCTTTGGCGTCCGGGGCCTCTTTGGCTGTGGCACAGGACCGTCTTCCTGTCCTATGTCGTCTTCTATGCTCTTGTTGCGTCGTTTCCGACTGTCTCCCAGAAGCCCGCGGATGTCTTGCCATCCTCGTTCCCGGAGTCCAGGAGCACCGGGTTCCCAGTCCCCGTTCTCTTTTCTCCCGTCTTTGCCAAAGTTTTCGCTCCCTGCACCGACGAGGTCAGAGAGGTGCTGTTCGCCACCTCGTCCACTCGAGTCCCGAAACTGGTGGCCGAGCTTGTACGACCGCGAGTCGCGCCACGACGTGCTCCCCGAAAGTCGATTTTCGGCTCGTTGGTGTCCCGTGGAAGAGGAGTTGAAAGGGTCGAAATACACTCGGGTTGGTTGAGGTGCAGAGGGCAGGTTGGGGCGTGAACCCCCCATGTCGTTCAATGTTTTAAGCGTCTCCTCCTTCTCGCCGCCATGTGAAGGGACATTGAGAACGTGCGAAGGGATGCCACCAATGTGGTGCTATCGAGGAAGAATTATACTTCGACTCGGGACATGCCAGGACGACTGCAGTACGAGAAGGGTCCGTAAGAGAAGATGGAGACTTTGCGGCACCAAGTCCGACAAGAAAGGGCTCTGGAAGAGAAGAATAATCATAATCACTTGCATCGGATATGTCACCACTCTAACGCGTGGTCACGTGACACCCGCTATCCGGCCGTCGAGCTCTCTTCCTTCGACAGGGAAACAGGACGCTCTCAGAGGACGAACGGTGGATCGACGACAAAATTGATTGCGAAGCACTTGGTCCAACAAGACATTTCAGTAGCAGAAAGATTGACTGGCTTGCACATTTGCTCCGTGTAGATGCTAGGAATGGAATGATCCACTCAGATTCGTTGATGTCACCAAGACACGTCGCCCACTAAGACGCGTTCTTTGTCAATTTGCGTCGCCGTTGTGGCCTGGAGCCATCAGCGCCACCACCGCCGTCGTTTATCAATCACCGTCTTACGTGGTCGCGACGCTTCAGATGTTGGATATCGACACTGGTGCCGCACCTCTGGAATAGCTTGGCACAGGTTTTGATATACCTTCAAAGCCCTGCAGCAACTTGAACATGCCCCCTCGGAGATCCAGGGCCTCTGGGGCCACCCCAAGCTCCAGAACTGCGCATAAACGACAGTTGTCAGAGACTCCTGTTTCCGCAACGCCTGTCAGCAGAACGTCCAAGAGGCTCAAGGAGTCGGCATCCAAGATAAAGTCAACGCCGACGAAAAGCAAATATTTCGAGACCGCTGATAGTGATTCTGACGATACTGCAGAGTCGCCTGATGAAGCTGAAGACTCTGGGTACGAGGACCAAAACACATCAGCAGCAGAGGACATCACCGAGAGCGAACCTGAATCGCGAGATGATTCAGATTCTGAGGAGGATGAAAAAAAGCAACGGTCCAAGCGGAAGACCGACCGTAAATCTCACACTGGTGTTGGGACGCCAGGTCCTGTGGTGCTCGAAAAGGGGACCGAGCTCTGGAGGCCCGGGGTGTCGACTGGCCTCGGACCAGGGAAACAGGTGTTTATCGAGAAGCCGAAGCCCAGAGGAGACGGGGGCATCAAATACATGCCTGGACGAATTCACCCCAACACGATGGCATTTTTGAAAGATCTCAAGAACAACAATGACCGGGAATGGCTCAAAAGTAAGCATGCCCTCTTCTCTTCAAAGAGTATTACCATCGCGAAACCCGTCGCCAAACCCATCGCTTCTCACTTTAGCTGACGAGGACGGTGCAGTGCATGACCCTGATTATCGGCAATCGTGGAAAGATTGGGAAAGCTTCGTAGAGACTTTGACAGAAAGGATTTCGGAAATTGACGAGACAATTCCTGAACTTCCCCCTAAGGACCTTGTGAGGCCGATTACGAAGTCGCCTGCGTCAATCCTACTGACATGACTGGGCCAGGTCTTCCGAATATATCGAGATATTAGATTCTCATCCGATCCCACTCCCTACAAGGTACGCTCCATCGCGAAGTGTTTGTTGGTTGTGCCTTGTGTGATTGACATTGCTTCTAGCCACACTTTTCGGCCGCATGGTAATCTGAAACGGATCCGCGAACAGAGGACGAGCGAATGCTAACAGCTTCAACAGGTCTCGGACAGGACGAAAGGGCCCGTATGCATGCTACTATGTACAAATCCAGCCTGGAGGAAAAAGCATCGTCGGTATGGCAACTGATGATGATCTCAAACTCGTGCTTACAGGCTGTCTTTACAGGGTCCGGGCTCTGGCATCCAGAGGCACAGCCTTTGGCTCTTCTGAGGGCTGATATAAACGGAAAACCTCATAGACTGAAGCGGATTCTGATGGACCCTCAAATGCGAAAGCAGATATTGGCGGGGGCACCAAATGACGAGAAGAAAGTTCTCAAAGCTTTCGCTTCTCAAAATTCCGAAAATGCTTTGAAAACGAAGCCAAAGGTACGTTCACGATCGGCCTAAAACACCACAACTCGTTAGCAAGGAGTCGTCGCACGGCTCCACGAGGTCTGTGCTTGCTTTATGCCTCCCTTTGACTACACGGCTTCTCCGGAAGCAGAGCCCGTCACCTACGGAGCCAGCCCTGGGCCCAGTGGAAAGAGACCCAGGGAGAAGAGAAGAGCCACATGACTATCCGAGAAGTTTTTCGAGTCACTTCGCCCCTGGTCAACTCGGAGCCAAGTCTCCCCGTCCGGAGGCAGTGGCGTCAGGGTTTTAGGGCAGAGGTGGCATTTCACACGTGGAAGCACAGTCACCAAGCTTACCGATAGACCATCAAATGGGAAGGTTTCAAGAGGCGGGCAGGTCTGGATACTGCCCCTCCCGCCGTAATTCGGGCGGCTGATGGCTTTGCCCTCACAGCTAACTTGTGTAGCTCTCGGTACCGAATTCGTGGAAAAGGGTGCTCTTGGTCGAGCTCCTGTGGTCTTATTGAAAAGTGCTGGAAGTCTTGAGCTGCGCTGACCTTTGCTTGGAGCAGGGATACGAAGCCGACCATCCAAATATCGAATTGCTTCGCTTGCGTAATTTTACTCTCGGCAAATCGATTCCAGACGAAAAGGTCACTGGAGAACACGGATTGCAAACAATCCTCGATTTGATTGGAGTGCTGCAGCCATTTGTAAGTCCACCCTCGATTGTTACTTGCCTCCGAGCAGAAATTTCCACAGGTCACCAGGTGAGTGGAGGGTGACTTCTGGCTTCGTCTACAATCGAAGGACCTGGAGCACGGTTCCCTCTTCTGTCTAGAAGCGCCCCATCCGTGAACCGAGCCAGCTGAACCAGTGGTTCGACTCTGCCGATAAAAGCGGCCCCGGAGGGTTACCGATGGCCTTTTCGGATGTGCAGATTGTCCCGCCCTTGCCATCACATCTTCAAGACCTATTTTGAGACACCTCCATTATAACCGCTGATGGCGCTTTGACTTATATTGTGTCGATAGGTCACATATCTCAATAGTGTTGTCATGCCCGATGGCGAAGACACAGGCAGCGATGGAACGGATGAGTGAAAGGGTGACAGATCGACCCAACAGTGTAGCATTATTGCGAATTTGGTCTTTTAGAGAGAGAGGATGCTCCGCATGAGGAACAGATGCCAAGATCGGTAAGGGAAATGTGCATCGCTGAGCACCGGCAGGCTCGTGCTGAAGAAATATATATTGGGAGTCCTCCGGAGCAGGGCACACTCCCAAGCTCCACACCTTCTTGCGAGTGGCCAGCTGTCATAATACGGAGTACGTAATGGGGCATCAGAAAGATGGTGTGGTGCGTGCTCAAGGTGCTTGGATCAAGGAGCTGCTCCGGGGCTCGTTGGTGGTACATTCTCTGCTGTAGTTTGATGATGTCAATTGTTGGACGGCTCTGTGCTCGAGGACGACATTTTATTGTAAGGCTCAAGCACCTTTCGCACTGCACAAATGGTAGAGACTCGAGAAAATTCTCCGATATGAGATTTGAAAGTGTGACAGTAGATGTTGTCTATTGCACGCACGCGAAAGTGACATCTTTCATCGGGCCAGAATCAGCGACTAACGAAGGCACGTGGGAACTGCGCTCATGGGTCGACACTACGAGTGCGAATACGAATGCGAATACGAGTACGAGTACTTCACGTGCCCATGTCTCGCCAAAATGCGCCGAACGCCTCCAGCAAAGGACAGCATTCACAGCATTTCGATTATCCGTAACGCTCACACTGCCGAGGCATTCAATGGAAGATTTCCCGACCGCAAGACCAGGCGGTGAGCTATACACAGTAAGCGGTCAGCATCCGAGAAATCCCACTCACCGAAAAAGCTTCTTCCTCCTCTTTCTGGTATTGCGGAGCGGTACCGCCCTGCCATCTTTGTAGGTGGTGCACGACTGAGGCATATCATTTGCAGTACATCATTTGCTGGCGAGCACCACGCTCTTCCCTTGACAGTTCACTCTTACATTAGCATACATTAGCTTGACATCAACGGCCTGTCATGTGATCTGACTGGATGGGATCCAGAAATTGGATTAGCGTCAGGTCGAACCGAGCCGGTCGCGCAGATGAGCCCAGCAGTCTCCAGAGTCTCGTTCCAGAGACAAAAGTACCGAGTCCCTCAGATGTCCTTGTCCTAGAGACACACCGTACAGAGTGATTTCAAAAGGGAGAGTACGTCAACGGCCTTACAGTGGTGTGAATGTGGCTGTCAAACCAGCGATCACCTTGGCCAAAAGCTACAGTGTATGGCCCAGTCGATCATCCCTGACGCGGTTTGGGGTGAGATGGTGGCAGCTGCAGGTCTTGAGGTCAGCTTGGCCACCGTCAAAGGACCACTAACACGTCGCCTGTAGGGATATCCTCAGCTGCACGAAATCGAAGCGCCGGCGCCGGCCCGCAGGAGATGATCCGATTGCTGTTCCACCAGCAGCTCAAACTGCGCTGCCAGGGTGCCTTGTTGAGTTGCTAACAAGATTTGTTGTGACACTGGTCGCCTCGCATTCCAAACCCTGCGAGCGGCCCGAACAGCCGCAGACTCAGTACTTTCAACTCGACGAAAGCACAAAGTCTACAGACTACCGCCCCACCCGCAAACACCTCCCATGAACACCTGATTTCATATTGACAGTTTTACGGCGATAGGTTCGCCATCAAGGCGAACGTCACACATGTCGGCCAGTGAAGATCCTGGAAAGAGAGGCCACAGTTCAAGATGGGGCAATAATACTGCAGGCAGCCGATGTTGTGCACGCTATCCAGCTCCGTGCATAGCCGACAGGTGTCGAGGCGCGTCTCGCGTTGGACAAAGGAGGTTGTCTGCAACGTCTCACTCTATCCAGGCTATCCTCTGACCTTTTTTGTGGTTACTAGTACGAGTGCAGTCACCCAGCATGTGGCGTGTACCCAAGACCCTCCTTCTCATGGCTTTCAGACTACATGACACTCTGACACTTCGCATCGGCATGCATTGCCACTGTAGGCCCCACGAAAGGTGACCGTGGCTCATACGTCTGATAACTACGAGTTCATGGGACTAACTAGCGGCCTGAAGAGACGAGAAATGCAAGGAGGACAGACGGCGTGGTGCTGCAACCGGGACATTTCCTAGGCGGGTTCTGGCCCAAACGGCCTTGCGGCCAGAGCCGACCCTTACCCTCGCCTAGTGATCCTGCTCAGTCAATGCCTCCCTTTGGCTAGCTGGGCCGCCCAAAGATCCTCCGCCATCCCTCCAAACTAACAACTGACAGTGACGATGAAGTCGCCAGCCTCCAGCGGGCCATCTCCCAGGGAACATTCAAGAAACCACCGACTTGTGCAACTCGCATTTTGACCACACTCACTGAACTGAGACGTTTGCAGAAGTGATGTATGATACACACTCCCGACCGCCCGACACTCACACCTGGAAGGCAAGGCCAGGGCGGACCCGAAGCTTACGCCGCACGCCGCATTGTCCTACCAATTCTCTGACCAACAAAGTCCTTCGGTGAATCACATTGATCACCGATGAGACCTTAAGCTCGCGAGGCGGTGGGCTAGGTTCAACTGCTTACAAGGGACAATCCCACAACTTTTGCAGAGAGTAGCAGATACATCCCTGCCCAAAACAAGCCAGCTCTTGAAGGCGGATCTGAGTGGGAGCTAGTCAACCGGGGGTGTCAAGATTCTGCAGCTCTTAAGCGGCTACATCCATGCATGCATATGCAAGAGTCGACAGCGGTCTGGAGGTCAAGTGACAGTATAATGCGGGATTCTATCGAGTCGAGCCGCTAGACTTGGGCATAATTCATGTAGATGGGAGCGCCCGGTACCGATTATCGTTTCAGTGCTTGGGATTTGAGTCAAACGTCGCAGGTTTCTTCTAGTTAGGTTCACGTCGGCACACCGCCACTTGCGGCCTGAGGCGCCGACCTAGAATGCAGGATGCAGCGTGTGTACCAACTACCAGTCTGAAGTAGTTCATTGCGGCCCAAGCCAGTCTCACTTGAGGAAGCGAAAGTGACTAACTAGTAGGACTGAAGTCAAAGCTGGGTCGCCAGTCGGAGGTCACTCACGCAGCAGCCAACAGACACGATATCCGGTTTGTCCTACGTCGAAACGGGTAGGTCGCAAGTGAACAGGCGCTTCTAACTTTCAGAAATTCTGTTCGTTCAACACTCTCAGCCCTCGCCAAAGCCTGTGCGGCACTTGCAGTCTGCTCTGGTGAGAACGCGACTCTGGTCGGTGTCCCCAATGGCCTCTCCACACGTTCTCGGCTAGCAGGACAGACTTTGCAATAAGTGAAAAGGATCAGCAGTGCTAGGCTCCGTCGATTCTTCGGCCGCGCAACTCGCAGACCGACCGACCCTGGGCCCTCAGGCTCCCCGATACTGGTTCGGGTGACCCAAGAGACTGGCGCCGCCTATCATTTCGTCGAGCCAAGTGTGGGAAGACGGCTTGGAATCTCGATCCGCACACTATGGAGCCATGCGAGCCAGCAATGAAACCCCTGTCAAGCGTCCTCTGAGGCCTTCGGGTCGCCCGCTGGAGTGACTGGAGACGTGTAAGCGTGCATGGTGTGTGCCGCGATGGAGAGAGCAAGAGGCCCCTAGATTTCTAGTGCCAGGACATGCATGCTGCACGCTCGAAGGGCCGCCCCCTCCCTACTTCCCTGCCCTTCAGGAGCGAAGTCAAATCTCCTAAGCTACTGTATGATTTCCTTCGTGTCCTTTGGACACGACACTCGTTAGGAGGACAACTGATGTGGCCAGAGCCTCCTTCTCTGTTTGGCAGAGGCGTGTCATGGTGAGCCGCCGACAAAATCACGACCGCTGAATTGTGGGCGACGTCGACATGCCTCAAGAGCGGGTAGCTTCCATTCTTCCTGGCTTGCTGCAGAGCTGTGAATAAGTCGACCGGCTAGCTTCAACCACCTATCTAGGATATTTTCCTAGTACCATGTCTACAGTATCTAGCCTACAGTAGTCGTTGGGCCTGGGAGCCCTTCCTTGTACAGGACACCAACTCGATAGAGATAGTCAGGACGCGAGCAATTACCCCGTATCCTGGCCGCTGACTGCATAAGAAGAGCATGCTGTCGCATTTGACGTCCCCAACAAGTGATCAGTTCACCGAAGGACACCCACTTCCCACAACCTCACGGCGAGCCTGCGAACCCTCCTCATTGCTTCCAACTACCTCCTCGGTAGTACGTGACGACGAACCTCTTGTAGAGCCAGTCAGTGTGAACGATCTGCAAAAGTCTGCTGGTTACTCCTTGTAGGAACCAGCTGTGTCCATCGACTCCCCAAGGCCACACCTGACAGGCACCAGGGGACTGGCCTTTTGGTTGTCTTAAAAGGAAATTCCTTCCAGCTATTCGTACCGGCGGGCTCACCCAGAAACGAAGGGTTGAGCACCGTTGATACGAGCCAATAGAGCAATTGAAGCTGGCGTAATAGCGCTCGCATCGCTCGGTACAAGTTACAAGTGTACCACCCGAGTCGCACGGAGTCCCCCCCAAGAGTTCCTGTTAGTGAGACTAGCGACTGCCAGCACTGGCCAATTGCCGAGAGAAGCAGCCTCTGCCCACAAACGCACGGGCGTCGTCCCGCCCTCGGAGCTCAGCACGTACATGTCCCTGGATTCAGCAGAGGGACGAACCTAGTGCGTTGCCATCCAGACGGTACCCTACGCAGTGGAGGACACGGCTATGCACCTGGCACGTTGGAGCGGCGCCGACGTGAGCTGAGAAGACGACTCCCCCTTCGTACAGTAATAATAATACCATCAGCACTCGGAGGGCTCTGGGTCTACCGCCCGCCGCCACCACCACCACCACCACCACCGTCAACTCGCATTGCACGGTTCACCAATCTTTGGCCAGAGACTGGGCAGCGGTAGACTTTCACTGGCATCCGAAATCTTCGTCCTCCGAATCCGCTTCCACGCTCAGCATCCGCCCTCGCGCTCTTCGCCAGATCCCGCGGGGTGGGGCCTGCGCACTTTTTTGTATTGCAAGCTGACCAGCGCGCACCGAGGCAGCTTTCCATTTGGGCCGACACCCTCTTCCTCAACGCCCGGATCCAACAGTCGCACTGCATTGGCCTGTGGACAGCCGGATCAGAGGTGCCAAAGCGTCCTACCGTACCGTGACTTTCCACCCTGGGCTGCGACAAGACTCTCCGACAGGCAGGCCTCTGCTGCCAGTAGACACATCGAACAGCTAGTGTCGCTGTCACCGCCGAAAGCATCTGGTTTAACTTGTCCCATCAGGGGTGCCGGGGCCTGTATTTGCCAGATTCAGCGTTCGAATTTTCCAGATTCGCGCAGCCCACCTGGATTGAAAGAGAAGGAGGGGCACAGAAAGTCAAATCATCGTCACACAGAGCGCGCGATCCATGCCGTACACAAGCCGGGGTTGACAAGTGACATATCCGCAGCACAAGGGCAGGAAAGGGAGATATTTCCGTCAACGCGCGTGTTTTGTGCGTCGTCGCGCAGCTCATCTGGACGGGTTGCTCCGTCGTCGCGCAGCCTCAGCCAGAGTACGGGGCACAGGACGAGTGTTCCTGATTCCTCAGTCCCTCGTCACCACGCAGACCTTCTTGAGTCACCACGGCCTCTGCCATTACTGTCAGTTGCAGGCCAGAAGCAACGACGGCTAGTAGGGCCTGACAGGTGCCACCCAAGTCATTCGATTTTTCGGTGGAGCAGATTTAGTGAACAGGGTGGACGCACTAGGCGTCGTATTTGCGGCATCCCGGGGCCACACACTCTTCGCGAGCGCTGGCCCACGCCTAGTTTTGGCTCTATCCGCCTATCGAAAATTTTAGGCTCATCACAAGGACAATCACCATCACCACTGCCACTACCGCCACCACCACCACCACCAGCACTCACCACCCACCCCGGTTCTGTCGAAAACAGCACCCTCCCTCAGCCGGCGACCAAAGCAGTCGAACGTGCCCAGTGCGCGCCGCTATCAGCAGTAGTTCTGTCCTGGCGAGCACAGACTGACCGACCACTGCAATAGTCAGTAGCCCGGGGCCCAGCACGAGGTCACATCATCATCGTCGCCTCCGCTGTGCCGAGCCGCTCTGGCAGTGCAGATAAACCCCTTGCTTAGGCACACGCCTGGTTGCGCTACCGCCCTCCCTTCCGACTCGCCGGGAAAGCCTTACTCAGTTAGCAGCTGCCCGCCCTCGCACGATTAGGCTTTCCAGAAGACCTGTCGCCCACCGCCTAGCGTCCCCCCTCCCTCCCACAGGCTTCCGGGTGCACCTAGGGACCCTCCTCGACAGCATCCCTGGCATCCCTGGCATCCCTGGACGGTGCCTGCAGCGACCCAGCCAGCCTATAAGCCGCGCCGCACGCCTTGCCACGCAGCTTAACAAGCAGCCTCTCGCTCCCCACAGCTCCAATCAGTCCGCGTCGACTGCCGCTCCCTCCCATCATCGTCATCCTTCAGCTTGTCACTTTCTCACCAACCTGTCCACTCTCACCTCGACTTCTCACCTTTCTCACGCACGCACCGCACCCTTCAAGACCACCGCTACCGCTCTCCTTCGCCCTCCCTTCTTCAACCACCCCCAACGGCTCTTCAGCCAACCTCGTGCCGTCATCCCGCTACCACCACGAACACCTGATCATCTCTCCTGCCAGGGCCCACGACTCGACCCAAACTTTTTCCGCCCTCCCAAGCAAATAATATCTATCGGGGGGTACATCGCTTCGCACGCTCACTAGCAGGACTTGTCTCTCTCCCTCCCTCTCTCTCCTTCCTCGCCATCTTTTCCCTCGCCGTGCAGTGCTTGCGACTGCGCATCCTCCTCTGCTGTCGACCTGAAGCTGGTTCTGAGGTCGATATTCCTTCGAACCTTTCCTTGCGAAACGCTCTGGGAGCCGACTCTTTCACCCCACGCCTCGACGGTAACTTTCTTTGCCCGGTTTTATTTAGCCTCGGTTTCTTTCCCGAGGCCTTGTGTTACGTTCCCTTTGGGATTCTCTTCACCCATCACCATCGTTGATCATGGCACAAATGGCCGACCCCAGGGAGCCTCAACGTCCTCAGTATCCCCCTCCGGACGACCCGAGTCAAGGTGGCTATTACGCGGCGCAGTCTCCCTCCAGACCCCCTCCGAGAGACGAGCGCAACCCGTATCCTCCGCCAGACCCAGCGCGATCAGGCCAGTATCCGGATCCAAGAGCCGCACATTCATACCCTCCTCCTGGCTCGTGGGCGCCTCAGCATGGTGCATATCCGCCTCCTTCTCACTATCCGGTGAGTCGAGAGGTCAATCCGAGGGTACCAGAAACGCCGCTGACATTGCACAAGGATCCTCAACACCAAGGTTATGGCTATCCGCCCCGAGCGGATGTAGGTCAACCGCCTCAGCCGATGCACCCGGACGCCTATCGCCTCCCTCCGCCATATCCCCCTCCAGGCTACTATCCTCCGCAGCACTATGCGCCGCCACCACCTCCCGCGGCGGCGGCCCCGCGGCAACGTACGGCGATAGCCTGCAAGTATTGCAGAAAGAGAAAGGTGAGCATGTCCGGGACGACCATGTGAAGGACGTGACAAGCTAACGGAGGTTAGATTCGCTGCTCAGGCTACGACAGTTCGCCCGACGGCCGCTGCCAGAATTGTGTGCGCTTCAATCAACAATGTCTGTTCCATCCGGTCTCTTCGCAAGCCGCCTTTGTGCCTGCCAACGCTGTTTACGGACCCAACGCTGCTCGCGCTCCTGTGGCCGGGGCCGCCGACGGACGCAATGGACACTACCCGCGTGAAGGAGAACAGCCTATGCTGTACGGTGCTCACGGACAACCCTTGGGACCTGCTGGACCTCATGGACAACCCGCGTACAATTATCCTCCGCCTCAACCTCACGCGTATCCTCCTCCGCAATCCTACTCTTCGTACCCACCACCTCCGGGCATGGCTCCCTATCCCCCGGCTGGATCTCCGTATGACCCTCAGGGGCAGGCTCAACCCGCCCAACATGATGATCGTGTCAGTCATAAGCGTCCCCCTCCTGATGATGACCCGCATAACGAGAACACTCATTCGTCTCAGTCTCCTCATCCCAACTCTCGCCCTCGTCACAGCACCTATGACTCTCGTGCCAACAGTAGCGGTAGCTACGAGTATGCTCCCAACAGCGGTGCCCCGACTTCTCCGGCTACCTCCAACATGAGCTATCAATCTCATCCCCAGCCGCAGACCCATTATGTTAACGGCGCCCAGTCTCAAAAGGGCACGGGTTCCCCGCCACAGGGGTTGACGCCTCAATCGGCACATAGTTTCAATTCGCCGCACCACGCACCCGTCCACGACGACGGGCGAACTCCGCCACCGGGTCAAAATAACCGCAGCATGAAGGTGCACGATATGCTTGGCAATCCCACGGCCGGGGTGCCTCCTGAACAACGCGCCAGAAATGACAACGAAATGCTGAGCAAACTCGACGGCAAGAAGTAGAGGGAGAGCTCTGAATACACAAGTCTGCTCAACACTTCAACGTGCACAGAGTATCTTCGGAGCATTGGCACCTATTGCTCTGCTCAGAATACGACAACGGATACGCTGTACTCGCTCGTCATCCTTAAACAACACTAAGCACCTTGTCAACCATATTTTCCTATTGATTCCAAAAAGATACAACTTTCGGGGCAACCCAACATTTCCTTTTTTTCCTTGTTAGTCGAATTATCCCCACCAACAATCGGTCTTTACTCGAAATTCGGCGGCGAATCTTTATGGGAGGCTCGATTTTCCATGGATACCCACTGGGTGGCTGTTTGAGCAAAATCTTTATTGAGATCGGTCGCGGCTTTGCTCGCTCTGGTCCAGGCGATCAGTGCCTTCTGGTTTGAAGTGCAGAAACGGTTGAATGAAATGTAACTGGGGTGGCTGTCTGTGTTTTTTTTGTTTTTGTCACGTCTTTTTGTACTATGGGAGGCTATCTGTTTCGGTCCTTTCGAGCCTGCGCACATCATACTGGGGGACCATGTCACTTTCGCTGTATTCATAGTTGCCACTTCTTTTTCCCTCTCTGTACAGCTGAGGTTCTACAAGAACTGTTTTCTCCATCCTAGATTTCAGGTTGGGAAGGTTGTCAGAAAGCTCATCAGTCGAGATGGGGGGAGAGGATGCGAGATGAAGTCGGAATGGAGTTTGTGTAATGGCTACAGGAGAGAGTGACAGAGAGACAGAGAGAGAGAGAGATGGGTCTTCGATTCCATACATCCGCACCGAGGGGCAGGATACGCTCTGGAACTGCCGCCAGCAATATCAGGGATGGGGGACTACGACTTTGAGACGGGAAATGAAAGGAAGCGATACCAAGATGTACTATGCACGCACGCACACACACAAGCACACCATAGGGTTTCGTTTTTTTTTTGAGCTGGCTAAAGTAATAATAGTTGAATGTGTATGGCTTCTGTCTTACTTTTTTTCCCCCCGAACTTTGAAATCTTGTTTTCATCCAGCCTTGTTTTTCTGCGCATCCACCGTTCAAAGGCGATATAGACTTTTTGTTCTTCTAAAACAACAAAGGATAGATGGAACCTTTGCCCAGATCTGGCAGAGATTGCTTGGAATCGAAATTGTCTTTTCGTGCACCCGACACTCCGACAACATATCCATTCATCGTGAGTCTGGAGCCCCCTGCCCCCTCCCCCCTTTTCCCCTCGGCCTCAGCGTCTCTCTTTCTCTCTGGTCGTAAGGTTCATCGAGTACAGGTCGTATACGATGTTTTTGTGTGTGTGTGTGTGTGTGTGTGTGTGTGTGTGTGTGTGTGTGTGTGTGTGTGTCTCTCCCCTTTTGTCTGGATGGTTTTTCCCAACCGTGTTCTTTCGGCACCCATTGCCCGGACAAATGCGTACCGTGTTCTCCGGACAGTCACCGATCCCCGTCGAGGTCGTCTTCACATACATACATACATACATACATACGTACCTGAAGGACGAGACATATTGTGGGTGGGGGGAAAAAAGGGGGTGGGGGATGGTATCGTTGGCCAGCATCGACCGGGGATAGGGGCCGTATATATATATCACTCGTGTACTCATATGCTCGCCCGAAAGCCCTCCTCTTCCCCGTGGCAACTTCTCTGGGAGACGAAAAGGCCTACCCACCCCCTCCCCGGTCTTTCTTCCCCTCTCTCAAGTCTCTGGTCGTTTCCCTCATCTGATCTCTGATCTGTCTGGAGGTCGTCCCATCTCATCGCTCCTTGGGAGTCGGACATGGCACCGAGCTGGTTAAACCACCACTGGTTTTAGATCCTCATCGACCACATCATCCTCATCATCATGAGATGAATCACGAGTCTGATTCGGGCATGGCCAGGGATTGGATTCCCAGTGTGACCCTTCTGATGTTTCCACGGCACGTGCGCCTTGCCCCAACCATTGCAAGGTGATTTATGCTGTAGGTGGCTTTTGTCGCCGATCGTGTAGAACAGGGGCCCCAAAATGCAAGATTCTCGACGCAAGTTGACCCTGCTTGCTGATTGGAAGGTTGAACAACGGCATGCAAGGATTGTCAATCGCCGGCTTTTCTCTAGTCGAAACCGAGAGTCCTTTGTCATCGCGGTCCGTCTTTCATCTCTCTTGTGTTGCGTCCATTCGGAGGCTTATGGAAGTGCAAGGCTGTTCACCTCAGACGGACCCGATGAGTCGACAGCGTCGTCTTCACACTTTAAAGTCGTTTGAAAATGGTGGTCTCGTGTAACGTACACAATCAGCAACCTTGAGAGCACACCGATGTAGCCAGATCACCAAAAGTCCGAGCCTCTAGATATTCAGAAGTCCTGCTTGGACAGCGAGTCTGAGATGATGCAAGTCGTCCACGTTGGTCGGGCGGTGAACGCCACAGTTGGACCAGGAAGAAAGTCAAACATGAGCGAGTACCATACAAGGATCGCTGACGCGGTTCGTGATCTGGGGATGGGAAGTGATGCATCAACCTCCGCAGGCAAAACCGTTTCGGCCAGACTTGTCATTGTCCTTCAGGCGTCCGGGACGAGCTACCGAAGCAGTTCTGCCTTTGACTCACCATATGTCTACACATTCGATGCCCCGCGTAACCTACGCCAGCACGACTTTATGGCGTGCGAAGTGCCGTGGTTTTGTGAGATGTACATCTCCAAAAGGTAGGCGGGCAGTTTCATTTGGTGTTTCGCGAAACCGTTCGGCAGCAGATCTCGGTGACCTACCAGTAGTGAGCGCTCGTTGGATTTCTCCCCCGGTGCCACGGTCGGTGATATTCTCTTCGGTTCAGTTGGGACACTGCAAAGAGTCACCCCGACACAACTGTATGGTGTCGTCGGAGTGAGAAGGCTCGGACGTTGGCGAAGTAGCAGAAGAGCTGGCATGGAAGAACCATTTTCCGGGCCATGACGAGACTAGTGCCCAAACGGATTAGCTTAAATCGTACTCGTACACGGAACACCGAGGTCGATTCGACGACCAGACAAACCGCCTTTCTTTATCACCTTTTCCAACAACAGCAACAACATCCATGTTGATTCTAAACACGGATTCTTTCATAGTCAATGCAGACCGTTGATTACATGCCTTGATCGCCTTTCTCAATCGAGCCAAGATGTCGTTACCATTTGCAAACGTCTACCATCTACGAACGGTGGCCGAAGCTTCGTCAAAAGCCTGTTTTGTCTGCTACAAACCAAGCGTCAAAGTCCTCATAACACCAGATAACAAGGTAAGGAGTCTATGTAGGCGTGAACGCTCTTTGCTCTTCCAATTCCAACGTGTCTTCGCTAGGACTTTTTCTACATCTGCCCGTCTCACCTCTCTGACAGGGGCTTTGCCTCGCCTGTTGTTGATGCTGAAGCGGAGGCTGCAAAGAAAAAGAAAGAATGGAGGGAGAAGGAGATAGAAAAGGTGAAGCAAGAGTACGAGGAAAAGCAAAAGAAGAAGAAAGCGAAGAAAAAGTCCAAAGATGACAAGGACAAGAAAAAGGATAACGACGACGACGACGACGACGACGATAAGGCCGAGAAAGAAAGGGACGAGAAGGTAAGGATTATTCTACCCCGTTGAGGTGTGAATCCGGCTCGTAACACCAAGTGCCCAGATCAAAGCTCTCCAGGCGGGTGAAGGTCTGGGTAGCAAAGCGGAGGACCTGCCCCGTGTGTATGCGTTGCAGAAGTATGTCATCTTCCTGATCTGTGCAACATGGAGATCCGAACGGCTGATCATCTCAATCAGAAACTTTTTCCAAATGAGAATTGACCGACAACGGAATATGGAGATCGCAAAGCGGAATCAGCAGCGTATCAGAGACCCAAACTTCTTCCCGGCACCGCCGCGAGGCGACGTCGCTTGATATCATACACCAACCTTTTTTCGCGGCAGCACCTCCAGGCGACACCACTTGATAACAGACAACAAACTTCTTCCCAGGAGCACCTCGAGGCGACATCGCTCGACAGCAGGTGTTGCAAACGCTGCAAAGCTGTCTCGCGAGATGACAGGGCGTCACTCCCGAGCATCTTGAAGCGATCATCACATGCCCTTTGCGGTCTGTGAATCGGTCTTGTGCTGATCAGCACAGAAAACTGCCTCTGTGTATTTGCCAGCCCAGCGCTACCGTACCCGGGTATACATGGTTTGAAACTAGACTTTCCCATTTTTTGGGCTACGCAGCGTGTTCGACCTCCCCATCGGTCTTGGTCGCCGGAACCGACGGCCAGGTTTCTCGATGGCCATCGCTGAAGCGAACTCACGGCAGCCATGAACATTGCAGTCTTACACGAGTGACAGGAATCCGTGGTCTTAGCGCAGTCGGCGTCGATTGAGGTTTCCGAGCACCTCAAATGGTGGCCTACCTCCACCAGAACCATTCTCCAACGTCTGCGACAGTGACACGTATCTACGTACAGCTGATTCGTGAGATACACACCACCAGAGTCTCACGTCGCGCAACTTACGTCCAGCTGATGCATGCACATGCTGTTGTGTTACAAGCATTCATTTGCACGATACGGCCACCCGCCGAGGAAAGACCATGGCGAAAGTGGCGTTCGGTGACGGTACTAGCTCATGTGTGTGTGCTATCTCATGGACAACACCAATTAATTGTACGAAGTAGACATTGGAAGTACGGAGGTCGAGGAGAACCAACCTGTAGTCGATACTGCCGTCGTCCCAATAGGCAATGTTCCCGACACGCCTCGATCTGCTCTCCAGGAGTTGCTTACGCACCCGCAACACCTGGATCGTACATCGAAACGGAATTTTGGCGGTTCTCACCTCGGAGATGATGTCTTACGAGGCTGAATGGAGGTCGATGTTTGTAGCAGCAAAGTCTTGTGTGTGTTGAAGAATGACTGACGCTTTCGACCAACCTTTGGGCAGGGGCCTTTATTGGTTTCAGACAAGTCTTTACTCTATTTCATCACAAAACATTCCGTCTATTGCTCTCAAGGTTGGGGGCCAGACTGGCGAACGTTGGCACGTGTTGTTCGATTTGACACGGGCGTGCGAGACTCACTCCAACTTGGGCGTTCGGCGGTCGCACGCTATATGTTTCTGAAAGGGCTCTTTGTTTCGACCTTGTATTCGTTCTCGTCATTACAGTCATACAAGAAATGGTCTCGAAAAAAAAAACACCACGACCGCACTTGTACCGTCGGCGTCGCCGAGTGGTTTGAGTCAGCGTACGGAGGGACCAGGCAAATCCTTCGACGCTTCGAGTTAGCAGAGTTTCGTGATGGAGACTGGGAACGTCGGCCTACTCGATGGTTCTCATCCCGTTTCCCAGCCATGTCAGCCTCGAAGGATCCTTTCCCACATTTTAGTCAAAAACTCACCGTAGTCCCCTTGGGCCGACTTTTGAAGGTCGTTGTACATACTTTTGTACGCGGGTACGGATAGACGAGGGCAGTCCGGTTGGCCCTCTCGTGTGTGGTGGAGTCCTGCTGCTCTTCCCCGCTTCGAAAACAACGCCATGGGACGAGCCTCGAGACTTTCCACCGCATCTACCTTGAGTTCCGCCCTACAAGGCTGAGACACCCCGCCGATGAGGTGCTGGTGGATGGCCCGAGGCCCGGCAGGCTGACGGCAGAGTTCGATGCGAGCAAGATAACGCAAGTGTACAATGTTCAGGTGCGACGGACCCAAAAACGGTTTTCCCACTCTGTATCGGAGCTACGAGTCCGACCCTTGCATCTTTTCTTCTATCGTGAGGAAGTGACTCTAGCCATTGGTTGATCCCTGGCAACCACCCAGGCATCTTAGCCAAAAGCTTCCCCCCTCCCTTCGTACTTGGCATCAACAGTGTAAGACGGCCAGCTGAACTACAGAATCCTCAGATTGAGCTTTTGCCTAGAACAGGCCGCGTACGATCCTGGTTGTCAAGTCCACCGGGGGGTTTGCTTTGCATGGGAGAGTTTAGGCTTGACAAGGGCTCTGTCGGCCCGAGTCTGAGCGTCAGCTATTGAGGGGGGGATAAGCGAGTACGAGCTTTAGCTTCGCCAGCGGCCAGGAGGTACTCTCGGAGTCCCTCCATCGCAGCTTCTTTACAGTCAACATACTCTTCAGGACGAAAGCGGACGAAATTTTGACCGGTTTGCTGACTGTGGAGATGTCTGTGCCCCTGTGAATCTTGGTCCTTGACATCCTTATATTCACATTGTACTCAGTATGCGACAACGATGTCTGGTTTCGGCAGCTGCATCCTCCGTACGTGACCGGCGAAATTGCGAGCGAAAGCCAAGCCGCTGGTCGGCCGAGAGAGTCGCGTCAATGCAAGACAAGAGAATGCGAGAACGGGGGACAATAGAACGGTGTTGATGATAGTTTGCATACCCGGTTGCTCGCAACAACACCACTTGTTACTCCATATGGAAACCGAACTAAAACGCGCCAGTGGAAAGAGTAAAGGCTCGGTTTGAATTCCAGCCTTGCGATGGGACAATTCTGTATTCCATTCATTGGGGACCATCTCATGTGGTCTACTGTTTAACCAAGCACACCTGATCATCCTAGGAATGGACAAGACACGAAGGCGTCGGTTGTCTGTTGTTTCGTCTCTTTTCCTCTCGTGTCTAGGCTGCTCCTGGTTTAGAGCCATTGTGTTTGTTGGGATTAGGCGGGCAAGACCAGGGCCCGAGTTAATATGGTTGGCCTTTTTTTTTGAGGTCCAACTTCCAAATCACACACGGAATATCGCCTTGCTCTATCCGGTACGGAACTGAGTCACTCTATACCCGTGCTCCCATTGTTTCCTAGTTGGGTAGGTCCTGTTCGTTCTCCAAACGCAGATTGGATATGATAGCTCTGGGCAGATAAGACGTTGGCTGCACTAGTTCGACCAGTTTTGAGGAAATCCACCGTCATGGTATCGAGATAGCAATTGTGAGATTGTGATGAACAAACCCCAGGCATAAGGTACCTAACGATACATTTCGAAAAATTTTAGGTAGTCGCTGCTAACAGCAAAGGCATCGGCCGATACTCGACGGGAGTCGGAAGCAATCTCGTATTCGTTCTCGATGGCCCCCTCAAAGGAGAAACTGTGGCTTGCTTGCCGGGCTCTTGTGCTGCTGCTTTCTACTGCATTTGTCATGATTCGTGATCACCGGCTTCCTTCGGAGCCAAAATACTAGATGAGATGAGATGGATGGATGCCATCGTCCATTTTGGGACTTTTTGGAAGTTTTTCTTTTTTTGCTTTTCCTTCGCAAGGTACACCCGGGTGCAGCAGTATCTGGCCATGTTCTTCATTCATCCGCTCTTGGGGTGGAGCCAAGGGGATGTTCTTCCCATTTCGGAACCCGAAGAAGGAGAGAGAAATAGGAGGGTGATGTGATGTGGCGTCCGGTTCGCCGGCGAGGGAGACCGTCTTTGTCTGTGCTCGTGCTCGTGCTCGTGCCTACGTCCAAGGCCCCGCGCATCATATTACGTTGTGGAGGTGTGGACGAGAGATGTCGTCCTGGAATCCTCGCTCCACAGTTGATCTTACGAGTATGCGGTCGTGCGTGGTCCAAAGGGGCTTGATAATGCACGTAAGCTTTCTGTTGTGGCGTGAGACGTTTTTGTCGTTTCAGGCGAGTATCAACAGTTTCTGAGAGGTGAAATCGGAGATAAGGTTATTAAGATCTTTCTCTCCCTTTGGCGTGGTGGCTTTTTGCGACGTCGAATAATATGTAGATAGGTAGTTTCCACAAGTCGTCAATCGGGAAACGGAAGACCCGAGGTTGAGAGAATCTAAGAGGGAAACAGGACTTATCCTCCGCGCCCACTAATTCGAATGCTTAAGGCGTCCCTCCTGGCAAAACCGCATTGATTCCCCTAATACTCTGGAGACAGTTGTGTTCATTTCGAAGCATGAGGGTAGAGATAGATTTCCATGTTTTTGAGTGCGTGACTAGTTGGGGGCAATGGCAGATCCCAGATCCTCGGGGAGAGCTGTCTTGTCAGGGAAGATGCTTTCCCCGAGGGCAGGTCCTCACGCGATAGCTAAGTCCATCGGGAACGATGTCGCGGTCTCTCACAGGTTTCCATTCTCACTCGCTCTCCTCATCCCAGGAGGCAATCTCACTGCATTTGCATTTCCCGGCACAGGCGAACCTTGCACATTCGGCCCTGCCCCCCTCCTGCTACTACGGGCCTCGTCCACCTTACTTCTGGCAATGCCGAAGCCTGGTGTCACCCACCCGCCACAACTGCATCGTAAGCCCTGCCAAGCAAACTTGCCAATGTTCGCGCCGCATCTCGGGTTCGGACAGGACAAACGCCCGTCCAAGTCGCCGTGAGACAGCGTGTTTCGCATCCAGGACAAGGGGTGTAGAAAGATGTGTGCGCATGCCTCAGAGGACGCGCCAGCAGACGGATCACGATGTGGAGGCGGTTTGTGTGGAATAATGAAATTTGATTTGGCAACAAGCCGACGGCATTTGCGACATTTCAATTCCATGTCTGATGCTGGTGATGCAGCATCATCTGGCGAGGACGAGCTGGATATGTCGGGATTCGTTATCTCGGCATCGCTACCCGACAAGCTGAGGCTTCCCATTTGGTCATGGATCTTCGAGTTCGACTCGTCGTCGCTGTCGTCTTCTTCATCTCGGAAGGTTATGTTGGCCATCTCCGGGGCGCGATTTGAGCTCAGCGCATCCATCACATTGCGGGAATTAATCCAGCGGCGGTATATCTTTTGTGATTCTAGTTGTTCCTGAGTGGTGGGACAATTCATTGCTTCGTACATGCGCAGCTGCTTGATAAATCCAGAATTGGGTTCGACGTGGGGCCGTCCTTCGCGAAGAAGGGCCAGGGCAGAATCAACCGTTAGAGGCGTAGGTGGAAGAGAGATCATCTCCGGAGTAGAGTCATCATTTCCCTCGTTTCCTGATGATGATTCCTTCTCTGGTTGTTGAATGGTTCTGGGTTGACGTGATATCCACATCAGATAGGCTAGAACAACGGTGGCTGACCTGGAAACGCCCATAGCACTATTGACACACAATGTTAGCTTTGCTTTAAACGGGGTGGAATGACCTGGCAAGTTCACGAAATAATGCATTTCACCGATATCTCTCAGCCTCACGTCACGTTTGCTGACTCTCTCCAGCCTTGCGGCAACAAGCGCAACTCACGTGACTACAAAAGAACCCGAATTTTGCTGTCCCGGCTGCTGGGTCTGGAGAGAATCGTGTGTCAAGCTCGGCTAAGAAAAAGACGTCGAAACGGCTCTTGACAAAAGGACCGTGCTGATAGAGCGGTGCACAACCGACACGCGGCCCATTGTGGCGTGGACTCTTCAGCGTGGCGAAATCCTGCCAAGCCGTGGTGGGAAGTGTTTCAGTGGTGACATTGGATCGCCCACACAAGCCAGGCGTACACAGAAGCAGTGGGAATGGTGATTTTGGTATCGGCGGCACCGGATTGCGTAGGGGCGGAGCTGGAGAAGAAGGCCGTACGAGGAGTAAAGTCTCGTAACAAACATTGCGTTTGAGACTCGTGGACCAGGCCCACTCAGAAATGACGTGAACGGTCAATGCGAGGGTCTTTGGGTGTTGTGGCTCTCTGAATGCGCAAAATGCAAAGCATAGAGCCGGCATCGCCGAACCAGAGGGGATGCTGCACCACTCGATGCGCATTGAAGGCAGAAAAATGAGGATTCACAGGCAAGAGGTGTCAGCCTACCAATGTACGAGAACTCCGCTTTCACGAAGTCCTTCAGAAGATTTGGTGGACCGGTAATTCAGGCCTTCGTGAATGAAGGCATTGCTCCGAGGGAAATATTCTAGGATGTTGGAGTCGTAGACATCGTCCAGGGGGATATGCAGATGCTGAACTCCACGTAGCGGGTCCCAGCCTGGTTTGAATTTCCAATCAATAACAGAAACAACATGGGTGATGTTGCATGCTTGAAGAACTTGGGGCCGACGCAAAGCTTGAAACCTGCAGTACCGTCTTAAGTCAGCATACCGATCTTGCTCGAGCAGATCAAGGGGCTTGGATGGTTTCAGATCGGACTGTGTGCCAACTTACCCATCGATGTAGATATTGTACCCAGGACATTTACTGGGCAAGGTTGGAGCATCCATCTTGATAATGGATGTATAGTCAGGCCAACCTCAGCTCTATGGCTTCAGGGCCGAACGGGGAAACAAAAGGGTGACAGACCAGAGAAAATATTAGGTAAAAATCCGATGGGAAAGGATGGCTCGGGCTGTTGGCGGATTAGTGGTAACGACTGCGCACTGGAACGACTTGTTCGCTCCGCTGGTGTGTGTATTAGAAGTCGAAATTCCTCGACCAATATTAATGAACGAAGTTTCACAATCTACCTGTCCTTTGTAAAATTGGTGAAATCTCAGATCCATCAAGTTTATCAACCTTGCGCCGAGGCTGCGGATTCGACCTTAGTCAGCAACCGGGCCTCGGCAGAAAGGTGTCACGTGATGGCCGCTGATATTGAATGACTAAGCAGCGTAACCGGCCTCGGGTGTTGCGAGAAGTGAAGACTCAGAGTCAAGTACTTTCTACTCGTAGAGCTGACATCTTTGATCCTAGAGCACTCTTGCACTCCACAGTTCTCTCTAGGAACCTGGAAAACAAATCCGGTTTGATCGTCCACAGTTCACGACGCATCAATGCTTGACTCTGCCCAACCATTCCTGGCTTAGCATTGCCGTAGGTGCTGGGCTTGGATGCCGCCAACGTGTCGGATGAAACGTGAGCTTTGGGCGCTCTCTGCTTTTCATCCCATGCAATTTGTTTGGGCGGGTCATTGGGATGTTGGAAATTCGACTGTTGACGCCTTGGGATGGTCGACAGGCCTTGAAGATACCGGTTCGAGCCAGGAACTGACCACAGACTCGATATTGCAACATCAAGATCTTGCCAGTAGGTCCTCAAGTCCAGGCCACTGATGTGGTACCATTCATCGCCTATCCAATGTCACATTACGATCCGTCCATCCGAACAATGCCCCTGGCGTATGTAGCGCTACATATAAATTCACCATTACCTATGCACCGGCCTTATACCCAGCTTTGGATTCTTGCTCCGATGTCAGGATTCCGTGGTCAAGGCCCGACCTAAAACGTTGGCGTTGGCTTCCAGAAGCTTCATCCCATACTCACTTGCCTCTTTATGTTCTAGTTGACCAAATCTCCACCCTGACATTTCTTCTTCTGGCCTCACGCATGCTGCGCAAAGGGGCCTACCCACTCATTGCTTGTTACCCCAGCCATGCCGAGGCAGGTCCAGTTGGTAAACGCGCTTGGCCACTGGCACATTGACTCCACGACACCGGAATGGGAGTAGAGATGTACTTTAAAAGTACTCGATCCACATGGCAGCAATCAGAGGGGACCATCTGCCGTAATACACAACCACTGGGAATGGCCACTCTGCCGCTAAGAGTGAGCAAGGTGCCGGGAGATCTCATCCATTGCAATATCAATTGTCCCTTGCGTATTGTATGATGTATCGCTTGTTGACTCGAAATCATGGTGAACCCTAAATAGCACCAGTGAACGGTGCTCCAGGCGACCTGAGACACATTCCCGAGTGTTAATCAGGGGCTTGATTGGCGATCATGGAGTCACGGAAACAGAAGCTGCCATTCTGGCTTGAGATATCCACAACAGCATGATCCTGAGAGCCACGGCCCCACGGCCACCAGTTGTAGTCCAAGAAGGGATGATTGCGCCGCGGCAGTCTTTACGTTTCGGCGGTCAGCAACACAGTCCACAGAGACACGAAGTTGAGAGTATAATCTCGGAGAAGGAGAGAACGCGAAAGGCGGGCCCGCCGATTCGTGAGGCCTTTTGGGATTCTGACACCAGCCAGGCATCGAGCAGTCGGACCAGTCCGGTGACCAGATCCTGCTGACCCCTTTGTATGTTTAGCAAGGATGCGATGCTTTCTCGAGATCAGTACAATTACGAGGCTTCGTGTCCCGGTGTCAGCATCCACCAAGCCTTATGACGTTGACCCCTCGTATCACAGGCTGTCACAACGCACCGCAAAGGATGAGCACCGGACTAACCTCGTCTGGTCAACGCTCTGGCAGACAGCGAAGGCTTTTGCTACTGTCAAGCCACAAACCTTGGCCCTCGTATTGACGCTCGTAACTTGCCTCGGCAGTTGCGGGATTCGCCGCATTCGTATCCTGGGTTTGCTGCCAGCTTTGATGCCTCAGGACGGGCGGCAAAATATGTACACAGAGCATGCTAAGTATACCAAGCAGCTACCATCTATATACGGGGAGTCGAAGGGGTGGCGGTGGAAGCGAAGCAAGCCGTGCAGGTTACCTCATCGCAAAGCAGCTAAGCACTCCTGCGGCACGGCTTTCGCTTGAGTGGCCCACCTCCGGAGGCCAAGGGGCGCAAGGCCGGGCAAGGCGAGCAAGGCTCAGCTGAGACCGAGACAGTCGGCGCGCGTCGACGACGAATGGTGAGACGATGTGTACACATCTACAGACACATACTGTCGTACTGGGCTGGCCACATGTCATTCCACTGGGATAAGTGGGATAAGCATTCAGAGGCTACAAATCACAGGCCCTGGCAAGTTTGCCTCCTTGCCTCTCTGGGTCCGGGGGGATGTCTGTGTCCAGAAGGCTTCATAGGGCTACGGTGGCACAATTGAGGTACAAATCAACGTCCCGAGTTCCAGACCAGCGCGTACGAACATTACGCGATCAGCGAGTGACGGGTTCCTTGGTAAGACAACCTCTTGTTTTGATTCCCCATGCAGCTGGGTCGGTATGTACAGTTGTATGTCAAATAAGTGTGCGGGCTCAGCTCTGACGGCGAAGTCTATCCACGGCTTCCCTTTTGAGTTTTCGCAATTGCGAGGAGGCTTCTTGATTCCTTTTCCCTTGTTGGGCGGTCAGTAATGGAGTCCTCGTAACCAGCACCCGAGGGGGAACGGAGTGGCCTCTTTGCGGAACATGGGGTCGTTCTTCCGCATCCACTCTACAGTTTGCTCGAAGCACTTACTGTATGCCTCGACCAGCAAAAGAAAGCCCGTTCCCACGGACTGGTGGCTCGATTCCAAAAATACGAGTGCAATTAATCAGTGACACTAGCCAACCCAACGAGGCAGGTGTAGCAACAAGAACTGAGTCGCAGGATGATGCTAAAATGGGGTAAGATGATGAGAAGGCAAAGGCAAAGCGAGAGAAAAGCAGACTCCGAGGTTCCAAGGTCCATCAGACTCTTAGCAGGTTTTAGGTCAGACAAAGGTCCAGGATGAGCCCTTGAAGCGAGGCCCCCTGCAAATCTCCACTGACCACCGCGGGAGAAGCCTCTTCGAACACCCCTCGTAGGGCTGAACCACTCGTGGGGAGCTCGAGGATTCGCTGCGTGTGCCGCAATGAGCGGTACTATTGTAGGTTGCAGGAGGAGTTGTTCCAGGTCGGTACGCGGAACGCTGACTGGTCAAGAGAGCCTTGTGCAGGTTATACTAAGAGGAGCAGCTGGTTGTGCTGTACGGAGTATGTGTCTAGCGGATGCAAGGTGGCCAGGGATGGGCCTTACCGTACATTACCTGACCTGACCTCAGGCATAAGTAGGTACACACACGGTATCGCAGCCTATCCAATGGTATAGGTACCGTACACCTTCCCTCTTGTAGCGGGTGGAGGGATTGAGGTCGCAGTGTACTCTGTGCTCCGTACTCCGTGCTCCGTACTCCGTGCTCCGTACTCCGTCCTAGCTGCCAGATGCCAACTTCCATGTGCAAACGTTGAGGTACCTATTGTGGTCAAGTCCCTGGGGGGGATGGGGGGCACTATTAGTCTATTACTAAGTCCCAGGCCCAGGTACCTCCAATACAATACAGTACAGTACAGTACAGTACTAGATACCTCAAGCTAAGATCGCATTCAGCTAACGATACGAGCATTTAACGCCTTTGCCTTGGTGTACTTGTACTAGCATTCTACTTGTAACACAGCCTCGGTTCTAGGCGTTGCAAGACCTACAGTAGGCACCTGGGTAGGTGTCTACTAGGCACTCCGTTCCCAACTCTGTACACAGTGCACACACTTCTTGCAGATTAGGTACCCAGTGCAGAGGCTAGAGCACATCGCAGTGCTGCCGCCTAGAAAGACCCTTGGGCCCCTACCCAGGTAACCTACAATAGAACCTAGGCACTATTGTAGCTAGCCTCCTGGCCTAATCCCTGCTCGCCCAAGCCTGCCACCCGCCCGAGGCGCTGCTGGTCCCTGGCTGGCGCCGCCAGCGCTACTGGGAACTCGGGCCTCGTATCGTCGTCAGGAGGGAAAAAAAAATAACATCAAACCTGGTGGAGTACGACACACTAACTTACTGTACATCTTCCAGCTAATGTATGTAAGTACAATATCGTACATACAGCTTCAGCTGCACCTCGCCCCGTCGACCCGCTTTGTGCGTTTTTCCCACGTTCCATCGTTCTGCCCTACAACCACTAAACCACCACCACCACCACCAAACCCTGGCTCTGGGAAACGGATACCTTTGGCACGACCACTGACTGGGCTTAGGCGCTGCCTGCGATTCCATCCCATCGCATCCCATCGAGCCGTTCATCGAATCTCAGTGCGCCCTGCCGACGGATCGACTGCCACCATCCTCTGCACTGACGGCCGGATTGATTGACTGACTGACTGACTGACTGACTGCAGCCATGTCCAACGATCCTCATCCTTTCCTACCACTCCTCGCTTGACGGCCGCTTGTTGCTCGCCTCGATCCCTCAAACAACCCCCTCGGTGGCACCCTGTCGCTCCCTCATATGCTATATTGGTCCGCTGACTGGTGCTCGCCCTATTTCCAACTCTTGGGTCCTCGACGCCTCTAGAGTTTTTGCTCTACGTACTGTCCTTACCGCTATATCCTGCCATATCGCTTCCCCCGACCGGACTCGGTCGTCCAGGATTTGACCAAGTTGTTGTTCCACCCGTCGAGGTCAAACATCTGCCAGCCTTGACGAATGAGCCTCTCCGTATGGTGTCTATGAGCCAGATCGCACACGACGGGCGGGCCTAGGTCAGCTGAATTGAAACGCAGAAGAGAAGCAGGCCGAGGTTCTTGGGCCAGTGCACCAGGCAAAGAGGCTCTCGCCACCTTGACACCGGAAACACAGGCTCCATTGTCAACGCCTCCATCGTCTTGGTCTTCCGATGTTACAGTGAAGGTGAACCTGGGCATGGATATCCGTAGGACTCCCGCTGCTCCTGCGGCGCGGACACTCTCATACAGACAGCAGACTCCTGCATCTGGGTCTACTTCTCGATCAAACTCCAACACCTCCGAAGACAACTCACACCGCAATCGAGGGGGCCTAAGGATACCAGGCGCCCGTTTTGACGAGCCACCTCCGCCACTACCACCACCACGATATAATGAAGAGCTTGCGCAAGGCATAGACGTGGCGTGGAGTTGGGGCAACAGCGACCCTTTCAACCCGAACCGGCGCCTCGCGCCCATCAAGCCGGGCTCGAGCCTCTACGGCGGCTACATGGGAGCAAGACGGAGTTCCGACCATACCCGCGATGTGGACGACATGGACTTGGACGATGACTTCGCCCGCCGGGAAAGCACTGTGTCGACCGTGCGATCGCCCTCACAGGCCACCATACAACTCCCAGGCCCGCATGTGCCTCCTATGATCCGCAAGCATTCTTCGCCGACTCCAGCAAACCAAAGGTTAGTCGAGTCAGTCAGGACGTGCTTCTTTCATCATGATCGTCTTATTTAAATTTGGATGCGTTGTGTTATTGGGGTGTTACTGATCTTTGTGCATGAACTCGGCTCTTTGGGCTGTCGTGGGGGCTGGTTCTGCCGCCCCTTAGCTGCATCCCTCGGCACGTCAACAAGGACTTGAGAGCTGACTACGATTTCTATTTTAGATTACAAGGTGATATGCCACTGGCACAGCAGAATTTCAACCTCTCCTCACACGCGTATGACCAAAGACTCCTGTCCAAGATTGGAAAACCCACTTCGCCTCCTCGCCACTCGAGAAGCTCTGGTTCCGCCGATTCTACAGCCTTTACCCAAAAGTTGTCGCTTCATACAAAGGACCCCAATGTCCAATTACTCTCGGCCAATGAGCATCCACCTGCCTCTTTCGACCCGGTTTCTCGATGGATCGCCAGTCCTGCTTCTGCAGGCCTGTCGCCCGGCTCAAGACCTGGATGGCGTGACTACAACACGGACCACCGAAGCCCGTCAATGGATAGCGCTGCGACGTCGCTCGTCCTGGATCCGGAACTTTTTGTGCAGCCTCGTCCCAGCGGTCTGTTGTCCATAGGCAGCTCGCTCGCTGGCCCTGATGACCTTGCGAGCATTGGAAGTCGGTCTCAACGCGGTAGCTATGAGCATGGCATGTTCCCGGACACCGAGTCCGACGTTGCGGGCGAGGAAGGCAGCGGGCTCCGCAATTTGCATTTGGGCGGCGAGTCCCAGGACTCTGGGGTGCGACGCGGCTCTTCTAAGCAAGGCATGAAACGCCGGGCTCGCTCGCCCCCATCGGATGTGGCTCGGGACGAAAAGTCCCCGTCACGTGGCAACTCGTGCTCTGACTTGTTCCCAAAATTCAACCTGCCTACATCTGCACGCTCCCCAGCAGCCAAATACCAGCCCAAGCATGGATCAGTATCTTCGACGGCTTCGAGCGCGCGACAAAACTCATATGCATCGTCAATCTCACTTTCCATTGCTGGGAGCAGCATGACCAGCATCTCCTCTTTTGACAGGCAGTCACCGCTAGATCCAGCACACCCTGCATATATAACCTCGGCCCATCCCGTGTTGAGCCCTGCCACGTCAATCGCCTCGTCGCGACTACTTCCTCAGGTTACACTGGATACAAAATCCATACACAGCACGATGTCTGGTCATACTCCTGGAGCTGAATCACTGCCGCCAATAGGTATCCCACCGTTGAATCGTGTTGGAAACTCCTACATATGCGACTGCTGTCCCAAGAAGCCGAAAAAATTTGAGTCGGAGGATCAGCTGCGGTAAGTCGATGACATTCTGTGCTCACTGATGCCTTCACTTTCATGGCATCATCTACTCGAGGTGCCATGCAATACTGATTTCTCCCCAGGAACCATCAGATGGAGAAACAATACTCTTGCCAGTATTGCAACAATCGCTTCAAGAACAAAAATGAGGCAGAACGACATCAGAATTCTCTTCATTTGCGCCGTTACTCCTGGTCTTGCGCTGCTATCCCAAACTACCAGGCCGCCTACCACCCTGTGTCAACACCCACAACCATATGCTCAGAAGGCCCTCTGTTCGACGCCTGCGGTTACTGTGGGGAGGAATTTCCAAACCTTCCGCAGCCTGATTGGGATCGTCGACTTGATCACCTCACCAGCGTACACAAGTTTGGCGAATGCAACCATGCAAAGAAATTCTACCGAGCCGATCATTTTCGACAACACCTGAAACACAGCCATGCAGGACAGAGTGGGAAGTGGACCAACATGCTAGAGTCTGTTTGTCTTCGCGAAGAGTTGCCCCAAGACGCTGCTGGCATTTCGCCCACCGGCAGTGAACCTAGCCCGGGCCGAGGTCCTAGCAGTCTTCCTGATCCGCCCATGGGGGGTGAAACCATTAGTGAATCTCGGAATGAGACCTGAAAGTAGCCTGTCATCCAGATGGGAAGAAACGGCCCGCAATTCTATACCCCCTCTGCACAAAGAGGGGCGCTCGAGGTCACGATCGTTATCTCCGGGTTGGCGGAAAGATCCTAGGTGCAGGAATTGATTTTGCTACAGCGTCTAAAAGGTCATTCACTCCCGCCATGCCATGTTTGGACTTCGGCGCAATGACAAATGTCAGTGACTACTACCTGGTGGTCCATGCAAGTGGTCGCAGATTCAAGCCGCTGATAAGCTGCTTCACATCCGCTTCTTGGGGCTGCCCGTGGCTGGTGTTGACCATGCCTACGCAGGCTTTATCGTCACACCTTCTATCATGTTTCGGCGTCTTGAAATGGACCGTTGCAGTCAGAAAGTCACTTTTCGCATGCGGGGCGGGGTTACCATTAAGAGTCACAATGATGCGCCGCGCCGTGGTACTGGTACTGGTACTGGCTTTCCACCAACCATGTGGAAATGAAACCTCACCTGAAGACTGCGAAGACACGGCTACCCGGGATGGATTGCTTTCACGCTCCCTGAAACTTCCTAATCGAAGTCACAGACTCAAGGTCTCCTCCGGGTGATTTCCAGCATATCCGCATCCGCATCATCTTCACAGCGGCACACTGCCGACACAGACTGTCCTATCAACATCACCGGCTCAATTCATGCGGGCTCCTGCTTCCCAAGAAGTGCAAGGTTGCTCTCAAGGCGCGCTGGCTCAGAGTAGTGGGGCCCCCATGCCATTTACCTCACCTCGTCCATGCATCCTCCCACACGTCTTCGAAGAAAAACGGTGCTCTCGGTACGATCCAGCTTCGCTGCCCCCTCACGTTACCAAGAAACGGACGGCTATATTGATATTCTACTTCCTCCATTCAAGACCGTCTTGTTATACAACCCTCGTGTACGAGGGGCAGAGGTCTGGTTGCGCGCCCTGGTGAATTGACGACAAAAGCATCTGGCTTCACTTGCTAGGTTCAAGGTGACCTGGGAAGTTCGATGGGGTGGAAGTTCGCAGGGATCTAGCTGTTTCTTGTGCCCAAGGATCATGGGTCGAGCAACGGTTGTATCTAGGTCATGAAAGCCTGCGGCTATTGCCGAATATGTCGGTCTTGCAGGAGGCCTATTGGATCATGCCACGCCTGGGGAGTTTGGCCTTCGGCAACAAGAAACGTACCATTTAGCTCCGTGAGGCTATCGTTCACCAGATTCACGCCCACCGTTCATTGGCCATCTCGTTCCTGACTTCCTCCTCTGGCGACTTTCTGGGTCCAGGCTCGTTGAGATTTTCCAGCTAATAAACCACAGGCGACGGTTTTAATTGATCGCTGACGACATGGCAGCTGTCGACCCCTCATCCGATCCCTTAGTGCTTATATTTCGGGCATTCCGCGACGCTTCCACCGGCGGGCCTCTGGAGACGTTGGCGGCAGATTTGATTTGACAGCCACGAGATCGATCAGCGAAAGGCTCCTGAAGCTTGATCAAAGCATGACCAGCATGAGTGCGTGAGCTCGGGGTTTTGTCTTCCTTTCATGGAGGACATGCCGTACGGAGTATGGCGTTGGCGTCATCGTGTTGGAAGGATTTTCGGCTTTAACTACAATTTCTGGTCAAGTAGAACGCCTCATTCCTGCCAAGAAGCCTCCCGGACAGTGTGGAAATCGACACCGCGTGCAGCAAGTATCAAGCCGTATCACAATCTCTGTTTGTCAGCATTTCTGATCGATTCCGAAGTCGCAAGTAACTAGCCCTTTCGGCAAGCTTATGCGAACTCACCGGAGGCATACACAATCGTCGACAATCAATGTGTCTCGAAGGATTCAGCCACTTACGTTACAATGTTACTTCCGGCTTTCAGGGCCGTCATGGATGTCACAAGGTGATGTGTCGGTCAGGATGTCGATCATGAAAGGCGGTTGGCAAACTTTGTCCATGTGCAGACCGTAAGTGGTCTGGAGCACAATGTAAACATGACGGAGTTTAGAGGGGAAAAGGGGGGTTGAAACACGGGGCAAAATGGCGTGTCCATATTCTTAATATCAGGAATGGAATAGACGAGGTGAAGCACTGATCCGAGAGTTCGCCACAACGGAAAGGAGAGAGTTCTTGTGCGAGCAAGTCTAGCATGATCTCATGTCTTTACTGTTGTATGAGTGTCTGAGAAGCTTGATAGCTTGGCATAGAAAACGGCGATAACATGCTTAGCTGGCAAATGATACTTTTGTCACTGGTGTGAAGTCGCGTAAGAAGTTTAATGAAGCTCGCCCCATATCATCTATCCCTTTTTTTTTTGTTTCTGTTCCACGCATTCTAAATAACTAAGTAAGCAACTTGGCTACGGATTATGTACATAGAGATGGATGATGAGTAGTGTACTTTGGTTTCCACACACACACACACACACACACACAGAGAGAGAGAGAGAGAGAGAGAGAGAGAGAGAGAGAGAGATTTCACAATATTCTTCAGGTATACCGTATGTGATAGGGTGGTAGATTACCAGGGATTGATACTTACTAGCTCAGATGTACATACTGGCAAGGCTGAATCGACAGGCTGAGAAAATAAAAGGGGGGACAGGGAGGAAGAAGGGGAAGGGGGGGGGGGGGGGGAATATGGAGGATCGGTGTCACAGAGATTTTAATTTTCATTCGGTTTGTCCTGACGGTGTTTAGAGAGCGCGCGCGAGAGAGAGAGAGAGAGAGACCTCACAGGTATCCTAGGTAGATGGATAGCTAGACAGATAGACCAACTCCGGTCACGTACTCCGTACCTAACTAGAGGTGATTATGAATTGTTTCGCGTGAAAGGAGAGTACACGGATGTCCGTACAGTAAGTCAAACTGGTAATCACAAGCGCCTGGCCCCTAAAACTGAGCACCATCGAAACAACGTTGGTCCTTTCGCGTCGAACCTGGAATGGCAACGGCAACGGCAATGGCAATGGCAATGGCAATCACAACCACAAATGAAACGCGGGCAGGTTCCCTGTATTGCATTTCTCCTTGGGGGGAGGTCCATCCCAGAGTTTGTGGTGCGTGGCGTCTATGAATATTGACCTTGATCACCGCGTGGGATTGGTCAGTCGGTACCTACTGTAGATACCTATGACGGAAACCTAATAATGAATTGACAATTATATTGCACAGTTGCCTGCCCTCCGTCGGCCCCGAGAGCCGTCCGCAGCTGCGAGGTCCAGTCAACAAAGGACTATAGTATGGAGTGTATCTATCTGTACAATACCTCCAGTACCTACCTACCTACCTACGAGTCGTCAGTGCCCACACTGATCAGGATCAGTACCACCTTCACTGGCTTGGTATACAGCTGGTGGTGGTGGTGGTGGTGGTGGTGGTGGTGATGACGGTGGCACTTGGTGGCCGACACGCCTGCATCGCCTGGAACGACAGTCGAGCCCAACTCGATACCTAGGTACCTGCAGGTAGTCTGGACCCCTTTGGTGCGTCTCTGGAGACAGGCAGAGAGACTGACCCTGCTTTCCCATGGTCCTCACGCTGCGTAAAGGTACAGACAGGCCCAAGCAGTCCGATTGATAGGCCGGGGGGCTGCAGGCGCTTTGCGCGAGATCCTCCCATACGGACAGAAAAGACTTCAGGCCACTACTGGGTAGGTGGTTTTGGTTGCCTTTCCTTTTCCTGAAACTGTCGCATGCAGCCAGCAACCGGCAGCCATGAGGGCATGAGCACCTGAGGGACGCGTTGGTTAATTGTTTGAAGTCCTAAAGTATCATGTCGAAGAAGCAACGTCGCTTGCCAGAGTAGGTCTCTCGCGCCGCCCATTCAGTTACCATGCGGCTAAAAGTGACAACAAAAAAACACCTTTTCTTAAACGGCCGACCCTCCAGAGATCAGCAGCTGCCGAAGCGTCAGGCATCCAACAGGGGGTTGGGGTCACGACGCAAGTGTTGTATGATGTTCGGTGTCGCCGACGCCAACAAACAAAAACTTGTCGTCAAACGGCAAGCTCGTTGGGATGCCTGAAAGGGCCGCCCTCGCCTTGAGCCCTCCGAGTCGGGCCCGACTGTTTGTGTGACGCGCGTCTTAGGGGGGGACTACAATATTTACTCACCCCGACGCACACACACCCCCCCGTGTTCGGGCACCGTCAGAGGACCAGACCTGAGGTTTGAAGCTTTGTGCGGTGTCGAAGCGAAAGACGGAAACCGTATTGTGCAGTATGTATGTATGTATGTATGTTATGCGCTGGATCCTCCGGCAGATGGTTGTGCCGTACGATATACAAGCACTGTAGTCTCCAAAGACCCGATGCTTGCAATGGCGCATGAAAGCCTTGCATCGTTCACGGCAAGCTACCATGCTCGAATTGGGTGTAGTCCAGACCCCGGGCGCCTGCGACGACGTCGTTCTGGATGCAACATGCGAGAGTAAGACACTAGACTAGTTAGCTTGACTTTTTGGAAAGGTGGATGAGGTGTTTCGCGCGCTTAACGATCCGAAGGCGGATCGAAGGAAGAACAAACTGTGAGGCATCATGCCATGTGCACAACACTTACGATGGCCGGGTGTGATAATTGGAACAATCCACGATCCTTTGGCTACAGTCAGCGGTACACGGTAGATCGAGGTTCCCACGGAACATTTGGAAAGTGAACATAAAATAAACCACCTTTATACGGGCAACGTCAAGCGGCAACCCTGAGAGTCGGTTTCAAAATGATAAAGTGTCAGACAACGCTCCGTATTGTTGATTCAAGTATGGACGGTGAATACGCGATCTCGTCAGACGGCAATTATTCAGCTGGCCTCCGAATATGGTCGACCTCAGTAACAAACAGCTCAGCCTCATCCTCCTCCTCAAGTGCCTGCCGACCCACCCTAACTGTATCCATCGCCATCAGCGTTTCCGGTCTTATTGACTCGGCCTGATGACCACGGTGTCAGCTTCCCACGAGTGACTCAACGCGTCACAAACATGCAGGTCGCCGCCTTTCTCTCCGACCTCAAATCCCTCAGCATATGTGTAAGCGGACAACGACGTAACCTGTGGTCGTCATGGTCAAGGATAACTCATTATATACAGTCCCACGAAGCTGCAATCGCCGTTGTGGTGCCCGAAAACGTTGGGCAGCGAGCCCAGACACCGGCTCGACCGAATACGGGCTTTATTTCATCGACAACAGAACCATTGCCACTAGGACTTGCCAACGACCAGGAGTTGACGCGCGCAAATGAGCTGGTATCACTTCATCACAACGTCAAGGTCAAATATCTCGAAACTGGACCTGATCCTGAACTGGAACAAGCTGCGGCAATGGTCGACCGCGTTATTCAAGACTTGAAAACATGAGGAAGTCGGGAAAAACACAAAGTAGTTCGAGCTTAGGTGTTTGGATAGACTAACAATGACGAATCTTTTCTAACAACTAATTCGACTGCCCACAGCAATCGAAGCTAGGCATAGGGTGTCATCCTGCCTCATTCCCCAGGCTTGTCGAAGTCATCTCAACAACATCTGTGCGGCACCAACCCATAGTCTAAGCTGCTTTGGCGATTCTTCTGCATCGCATATTTCTTGGAACATCAACAATCCATGGGCTCTCTCTACCTTTGTCTGTACAATATGAAACCCTTTCCCGGAATTCTTTCTCGGATGGTCTAGCAGGAGTTCCAGCCTATAAAGCCTTTGGTGGCAGCGTTTGCTTATCATGCCGTTGTAGTGAGAGCAAATCTCACGCAGTCCCTCTTCAGCCGACATTCTACAATACTGCTTCCTCCGAGTTTCTTGTGGATCCACGGCGGGAGTCGCTTGCACCATCCAACGACAAGAATCCAACAGGGATATCTGGCGATGCTTTTGCCAAAACAGGATGAACAACATTGGCTAGATTCCGGCCGATGAGGAGCGAGAGAAGTTTCTTCCTGACAACTGTTTTACGGACTTTCCGGACCATCTTTGTTCGTCTGCGAGTCTTCCTAGAGAGACCAGGTAGAGCCGTTTGCGTAATCGGCGGGAGAGCAGTGAGAGGGAGTGCGTCAGCGGCCGCGGCAATATTTGGGAGACCTGCCGGTAGTGGTGCAGAATTGGTGAAAGGAAAAGCATTCGCTCCTGGGCTCTGGGCAATAGTTGTTGGAGGAGGAGTTGGGGGGACAACCGGGCTACTCATTGTGGTTATGATAGTCCCACTCGGTCTGTGAACTCGAATCTCAGGTAAATCAGAGGTGTCGAAAGGCCGATCCGTCGCCAGACTGCCCGAAGCTTGGTTGAGAGCAGGATCTGACCTCGAAGGAGGAGCTGAACTTGAAGCAAGAACTAGGCCAGGATCTGTAGGGACTACGACCGCCTGCTGTTGATTCTCGTTCCTGTCTGACTTGAGCGGCTCGGTCTCAAACGTTGCAGTAGATGTCGAGTCGAGTTGGTTAACAATGGCTGGCGACGCGCTCGCACTGTTGGCGGCTGCACTGTCTTCGAGATTGATGGTAGTTGGTGTAGGAGATATAGAGTCCTCGTCTTGAAAGGCATTCACCTCGTCAGCGACCAGATGAGGAGGTGTAAATACCTGGCCTTGTGCTAGAACATCCGAACTCTGAGGTGCTGGTATCGAAGCTTCGGAGACGTTGAGCCGACCCTTACTGACTCTTGCAAGAAAAGGCAACGCAAGACCAGCTGCTGCGTCTTCACCTCCGTCTCCGCCCTTCGAAGTCGCGCTCTGTTCAGAAACTGTTGCTCTGCGTGGTCGCAATCTTGGCCGTGATGTTTCGCCTGAGCTGGCCGTTAACTCACTCTCTTGATCGTTCGTCGTATTGGACATTTGTGTTTCAAACGAGTCTGCGGAGCATATAGTTGCCACAAGAGGTAGTTTGAAACCCTCGGGGATAGTGATCGAAACGGAATTCGAAGATGCCCTAACTCTGATCTTGGGCGTTTCTTGATCGGACCATCTATTCGGGGGTGGGATACTTGATCGTGTGCTTTCAGATGGCGCTACAGAGGTGCCAGGCAGTCTGTTGCATAGTACTTTCTCGACTCGGCGTAGGTACTCTCCTTGAAGAGGCTGTGAAGTGTAGGCTTCTTCAGGTCGATAATCAGACGAAGATTGGCTGCGTGACTGAAGAGCTGCCAAATATCTCTCTTGCAGAGATGACGCAGGGTTTGTGGAACGGCGTTCTAGTCGTTCTGTGGGTGTTTTACTCAGTCTCTCTTTCTAATACATGTTAGGATGCACTCGTTGATTCATTGAAGCCCTTACGGTTTCAAAAATACCTATAAGGCGATCGACTGACTCCCCAGCCGCCCTGGGCGTGCGGGCATTTGACGAAAGATAAGAAGATGTCGTACTTGGGTGATTGCTATGCGAGCGGTGAACACTTTGGAGAGCGTCTGCGGGCGTCTCTCGGGGGCTCTATACATGTCAGAAATGCGAGGAATAGTGTCGTTCGCAGTAGAAGACACCCTACACCTTCTAGGATTGGCTTCAAATTCTGCTTTGATTGTTCAAAAGAGACGGGTTCGAATCGCGCAGAGTCGTGGAGATGGTCGCAGGCAGGATGCTCTGGCCACGGCCAGCCAAGCCCAGCAGAATGAGGAGTGTTGCGTCTAACTGATGGGCCACAGGGACATGATATGTTCATTACTCATGCTGGGCAATTGAGGAAATGATGCAAATAGAGAGTGGAAGATGAGGAGGTCGGCGAAGTCTCGAGCCTGCAGACAACAACACAGTCTAGACATAATGAGAGGAGCATCGCAGGTGTACGGCGACGCTTGCCATATTGTGCCCTGTAATATGACTGCAGTCGCGAGGCATCGAGGTTCATGGTAGACATTGAGGCCTCATATAGGCAGGACCTTACCTGGGATGCATCGTCGAGGTATGGGCCGGAATCTCATCGAAAGCCAACGTGGTGGATGAGCTGCGGCGCATCTTAATGTGCTCCAGAAAATCCAGAGACCATCCTCAGATACTCTTCATGAAGATGAAGCCAATGATAAAAATGGACTGAGAACTTGAGATGATGAGTGTCAAGGGTTGTTGGCTTGCTATACGAACTCGCCCGACCTTCCTGATTTATGCCTGCGCCCGTCTTCGTTACGGAGTTTCCTCTACTCTTCCCCAGAGCCGCAACGTCAACAAGTCTCCTCTTACGCAGAGAAAGGATACTAGCATACGTCGTCGCGGGTATATTCCTGCAACATGGCTACGGCTGTCGACCAAAAGCTGCTCCGGCAAACCAAGTTCCCTCCCGAATTCAACCAGAAGGTTGACATGAAGAAGGTCAACGTTGAAGTGATGAAAAAGTGAGCCTCGGCGCAAACCCCGTCGTTCCCTAGGAGAATGCTCACGCTCACGCACACGCACAGATGGATTGCAGGCAAGATTTCCGAGATTCTTGGTTCTGATGATGATGTTGTTATCGAGCTCTGCTTCAACTTACTGGAGGGTTCGCGATTCGTAAGACAAGACTGCATTTTCTCCGCAAGACTTCCTTCTGACTAGTTTTCAGCCAGACATCAAGGCGTTACAAATCTCACTCACCGGCTTTCTTGACAAGGACACTCCTAAATTCTGTAAAGAATTATGGAACTTATGCCTGAGCGCGCAAAGCAACCCTCAGGGCGTGCCCAAGGAGTTGCTGGAAGCCAAAAAGTTGGAATTGATCCAAGAAAAGGTATATTTGTGCTCTACTTGTACACCCTTGTATTGACGGTCTGCAGATCGACGCTGAAAAGGCTGCAGCGAATGCGCAGCAACGTAAGGATCAAGAGAAGGTTCGAGAACAAGAAGTAGATACGGTTCGCCAAAGAGAGCGAGCAGAACGTGGTCGCGGACGTGGACGTGGCAGAGGTGGCAGAGACTTTGACTCACGTAGGCCCAGATACTCAAGATCGCCCCCTCCGCGTCGACGCTCTCCCTTCGGGGGTGGACCTCCACGACGAGAAGCCGATACATATGTACCTGGCGGGCGTGGCCGAGGAAGAGGAGGGCGTCGAGGCCGATCGCCAACCAGGTCCGTGTCTCGATCCCCATCGAGATCACCGCCACCACGTCAACACCGACGGCGGCCCTCCCCTTCATCATCCCGATCTCCATCGTCCTCCCGCAGCCGCTCACCTCCTCGCCGGCGGGCTCGATCTGAAAGCAGGAGCAGGAGCAGGAGTAGCTCGGGAGGCCCCGGTTTCAAGAAGCCCAGAAGAGATTCTCACTCACATGGTGAAAGGCGTGCACGATCTGTCACCCGTTCTGATCCATCGCACTCACCATCACCTAGAAGAAGACCTTTGAGCCGTTCGAGATCAACGATTAGTCGAAGTCCAAGCCCTCGACGGCACGGTCGCCGCTCAAGCCGAACCTATGCTTCGTCGGCTTCGAGATCACGGTCCAGGTCACTCAGTGGAAGGCGAGGAAACGTTGGAGGCAGGCGTTATAGGAGATCACCCTCTTATTCTTCCGACGATCGAGGAAGCAACAGGCGCGCTGATGTTCTCAAAGGTCGAAATGCACACGATAATCGTCGTCTTAGCCGAAGCCCGAGCCCGACTCCGTACCGGCGCAGACGCAGCACCAGCAATAGCGCAAGTCCTGGTGCACGAAGACATCACAAACGAAGAAGCTCACTCCGGCGGTATGAGCCTGCAGCTCGGAGACGTCGTAATACCTCCTCTGGGTCATCCCCTGAACAGAAGCGACGCAAGCGTGACGAGTCGGGAGGAGAAGGGCTCGGCAGGAGGTCTGTCGATGGCGAAGGAGTGGGCGAGACGGACTCATGACCAAAACCACCGTCACAGTTCATACTTGAAGGTCAGTATGACATCAACCCACTTGTCAAATGGGCTCGTCCGCACCGGAAACGGCTTTTTGGCTAGGACGATCCCAGCCTACTGTTCACTAGCACATGGGCCTTCGTGAGTCCTTTTCTTGGGAGCCGCTCCCGACGATGGTCCGTAAGCTGCTCCATCTTTTGGCGCAGCTCGACAGGAGCATCGCGATTGATTCTACGCTTCGCAGAAAGCTGTCCGAGAATGAGCTACAAAGCGTCTTGTCTCAAGCGATAAATCGAGTGAATAACCGTGACGAAGATATGGCAAAGTTGACGGAGCCAATGGGCTTCCGCATGCCACCCCTCAAAGTTGACGGTAATTCCCTGTCAAAGAAAAGTCTAGATTTCTCGGACTGGCAGCAGAAAATACACACAATATAGACCGCCCAACACCGATAAAGGGTCCGAGCCATTCGGCGCCTTTCCTGGCTTTCCAGATCGTTAGCTGATCGTAGCCCGTTCCATTTGGCGATGGCCTCATCGGCGTCGTCTCCAGCACGTGACCTGCAGGCCGCGATTGGACATTAATATTGGCGATTTGCGTCTGGCCAAACTGCGCCCTGACGGTTCTTCAAACGTCTCTCCTTCAGCAATGCTCCCAACCTGTATTTCCATCATTTAATTCCCTAGAAAACTTTCGGATCTCTTGTATTATCTTTCTTCGCCACCGCAGGACGCCCTTTTCTCGTTCGGTCCCTGTCGCTACTCTCTCTCGATATCCATCTATTCCGCCGCCTCCCAATATGAGTTCTAGTTCAAGGCTCGTCAGCAGTGCTGCGACCCGGAGAATATTGCTTCATTGTAAGCATTCCAGAGATTGATCGTGATACATTGTAGGTTGACATTGTACAGCATCTTCCCGCCTGCCACAGTCTTCTCTTTTAGCCACCCGGTCGCAGTTCACCCGGTCTCTACCAGCGAAAGTCCAGGCGCTGGCCATTCTTCTTCCCCAGAGAAATTATGCCACAGCGACAAGCACACATGGTTCTGATGGCGGACCGCCGCCAGGATTCAATATAAACGAAGCAAAGAAGCCGTTGTCCAAGGACGGAGATAAGACACTGTCACCCACTCCGACGGTCGCCGAGCTCAAGGAGTCCGGTGAGCAGCTAAAGACACCCAAGGACGAAGCGACCATGGTGGACAAGACCAAGGCTTTGGAAGATGCGTCGTTGACAGATTTGCCCGCCGGGAAGGCTGCTGCAGAGTCAACCCAATCCGGTGCTTCTGTGCCGGCGAATAAAAAGGAGGATGCGAAGAAGCTGACCATCGGCCAAAAGATCAAAAAAGAGATTATGCATTATTGGGATGGCACCAAATTGTTGGCTGCTGAAGTCAAGATTTCATCGAAGTTAGCTTTGAAGATGGCTGCTGGCTACGAACTCAGTAGGAGGGAGAACAGACAAGTGAGTCTTCTCTGCACCGGGCGCTACAATTGGCTATTACTAACACGGATTACAGCTTCAACGAACAGTTCAAGATCTGGGACGTCTGGTCCCATTCTCTGTTTTCGTCATTGTTCCCTTCGCCGAATTGCTGCTCCCTGTGGCACTGAAGATCTTCCCTAACATGTTGCCATCGACGTTTGAAGGCCAGAAATCCCGCGAAGACAAAGCCAAAAAATTGCGGGAAACACGCAAGGGGGTTTCTTCGTTCCTGAGAAATACACTTCGAGAGACCGGCCTGCCAGTTTCGGCAGTGAATGCTAGAAAGGAGGAATTTACCGAGTTCTTCCGGAAGGTCCGCGCTACTGGAGAATCCCCGTCGCGAGAGGACGTGATCAAAGTTTGCAAGACTTTCAAGGATGATTTGACGCTGGACAACCTTTCCCGGCCACAGTTGGTGGGCATGTGCAAATACATGAACTTAAACACGTTTGGTACAGATGCCATGCTGCGGTATCAGATTCGCCACCGCATGAGACAGATCAAACGCGATGACAAGGCCATATCTTTCGAAGGTGTTGACTCCCTGTCCGTACCAGAATTGCAAATGGCATGTGCCTCCCGAGGCTTGCGGACGCACGGCATGTCGCCCGGTCGACTGCGAGAAGATCTCCAGATGTGGCTTGATCTCCGACTGAAATACAACATTCCATCCACTTTGCTGGTGCTGAGCAATGCATATATGTATGCTTCCGGCAAGGACAGTGCAATCGATTCGCAGATCGACGCCCTGCAGGCTGTCCTCAGTAGCATTCCCGAGGAGTTGTTCCACGAAATTGAACTTGAAGTTCACAACGCAGAAGGTGCTGCCACCAACAAACAACGTCTAGAAGTGCTGAAGGAGCAACAAGAACTTATTGAGGAAGAGAATGAACAAGCTGAATCCAGCAAGACGGACGACGACAAGTCTGCCAGCAAGGGTGTCAAGGATGACAAGGACATTGATGAAAAGCCCAAGCTCAAGACTGACGCCAAGGCAAAGGATGCCACTCCAGCAGCAGAGGCCCAGGAGGCGGAGAAGGATGCGTCGGAGCAAGCCAAACAGGAACCAGCAAGAAAAGAAGAAGAGGTCAAGAAGGACTGAAACCGTGCGCCAGATGTATTTCATTTTTGCTTTGCGCCCGACCTCTCGTCTCCATTTGGTTAGATAGATTTGACGAGAGTATAGCTTGATAAAGAAGGATCGAGAAAGACGTATAAACAGGGTGAAAATAGCAGAAGCAGGCAAAGAGACCGATGCTTCAATAAAGCGAATCTCATTCAAACTGTTTCTGGTACGTAGCAGAGTGAGATATCTACTGAGTAGTCCAGTCGGGCGGATGGAGTTTGTACCCTGTAAGTTTCAAGAGCCTCAGCATGGTCGCTTCGGCTACAACGAGCGAGAGATGTCTCCCATCTGTGTATCATGCTCAGCATCAGGGTGGTTTTTATTTTTTTTTCTGGTTTTCTGGTTGTTGTCGTTGCCGGACATAAGCTCTTCGTCGATCGGACATAAAAGGACCTCGGAGCCGCTGTATCAAGGACGACCAAGTTGGGGCACATAATGCTCAAAACCATTTCAAGGTCCATTTATTCGGCATGGGCAATTTGTCAGAGCATTCCAGGTGCATGGGATGATTGACCGTTTGAGGTCAGGACAAGACTGCTGCCCATAATGTCCGATGCCGGCTCACGCGGGCAGCGCTTCGCCTTCATCGACTCCAGCGCATGCAACCGACTATCAAGCAGATTAGTGCGCAGTCATGCCATGAAGGGTAAAAATATGGGAAAAAGGCACCATCGGCGGTCGAGATTGGACCTGGACCTGCGCCAACACCGGCTGGCCGCAAAGGCGGTGCCGTCTGGCTGTGCCCTGCCCACACTCAACCAGTGGTCTGCACCGTTGCACTCAGTCTCTCCTTTTCCTATCAGGGCTACATTCCAGACTCGCGACGCCATCAACAGATGTAAGTCCTGTGACGATGGTATGTGGGCTACACGCTCACGATGATCCCTTAGTTTTCGCATGTGTCACAGAAGCCTTGCTTCCACCGGCAATATGCTGCTCGTTGGACAAAGTCACGTCTTTCTGGTGGCGGTTCTTGTTCGTTGATCAAACTGGTAGGTCACAACGATGGCGTTCTCCCGGGAGGTTCAGGTTCAGTAACAGTCTTCAGCCCACCACTGCACTCTGGCTCTTCTGTGCACACTTAACGGCTTCTTCCTTGGCGAACCTAACGTGTCGCACGAAGCTCTTTACCACCTGAGTCGAGCGGTCAGTCTGGTCAATGAGCAGCTAGGGACTACGAAGGCCTTGTCGAACTCCACGCTCGTAGTGGTCAACTTCTTGGTCGTGTATGAGATAGTCCGAGAATCAAGAAATGAAGCGGAAATCCACTTGAAAGGACTACAAAAAATGGTTGACATGCGTGGCGGTCTAGCGAGCCTTGAGGCTAGTGAGGATGCTCTGTTGGTATTGAAGTTCTGCAGGCAAGTTGCTCTACTCCCTCGTACTGGATGCCTGCCTGACACTCATGGTTTACGACGAATAGGACTGATATCGACTGTGCTCTAAGCTACGGAACGACACCAGGCTTCTACCGGGACCGCATGTCAGATGTGATATGGTGTTTAACCTCGCAAGGCTTCTCAATGATCCATTGTCCTATTGACTCAAATCCATGGTTCAATGAGTTGAGTCCTACTCTCGGACAACTGCTCCTCGAGGTTGTATGTATAGGACAATCGTTCGACAAGGGATACAAATTGGACCCGTACATGTTTCAAGAATTCCTCGTCTCGCTTGGATATCGTCTCATCCATTTTCACCCCTTAGGCGATTCCAACCCTCGACTGGAGAGCAAGGTTGACCAGGCCTGTCATATTGGGCTTACCGTTTACCTGACGACTCTATTCTTACGCCGTGGCAACAGATGCTTCTTGAGATACAGGCTCATCGCGCAACAACTCAAAGACATCATCGAAACAGGCTTGGAAGGCGAACACAATGATTTGATGTTGTGGCTTCTTTTCATTGGTGGCGTATCAGTGCTTGAAGACCTGGACCAAGCGTGGCTTGGCTTGAGAATACGCCAGGCAGCTCAGTCACTTGAGGTTAACAGCTGGAAGGGTATTCAACTATGCCTGACTCAATTTCCATGGATCGGCTTGCTTCACAACGAAGCGGGAGAAGCACTATGGAGACGGCAAGAAGAATTGCTTTAGAGCTCCACCGGCGTCTTGAGGTTTGTAGGGCAAAGAGCCCTTCAGGTCGAGGCGGAAATCAAGGCATTCTAAACCCGATCAAATAAGACCTCATGACATGGACTCCGCACCACAATCTGTTGTCGAGTTACAATACCTGCCCGGTACGTATCCGGACTCCAAGTGATGTCTTTCCGTGCTATGAGCACTACCGCCCTGCCTCGGATCCACCACGCCAGCGACCTCAACCAATAAGAGAATATTATCCCGATTTGGAAAAGAGGGTACATAAAGACCAGACGCGATGTGGATGAATGACTCCTGTTCCACGAGACCCAGCTCTGGCAAACAGAAGGAAGGATTGGTGCTGTATTCATCGGACTTGAAGATTACGTCCGTATCGACGGCAACAAGAAGCATTGACAACGGCCGGCGATATCTCCATGGCTCCGACGCCATTACTCAGTATGTCGATCGGGGGCTACGGTAGCCTTCACATTGCTCCACCAAGAGGAAACCTCTGCTCAAATGGCTACGTTCTCTCGAGACGTAGAAATATATAAAGAGCACAGCAGCTCGTCCGAGGATTGTGTACGGGGTCTTGAGCAGACGCAACAACTACAGATACAAGTACTGCAATAGCAAGATCTGCTTCTCTGATCCGGACGTCTCTACATCTCGACGGAGAATCTACTGAGCCACCCTCTCAGCTTTTATCACCCTTTCTTACACCTTGAATATACATCGATCGTTTTAAAATGCCGGAATTGGTAGGAAAGAAGATTGGTCCAACAGGTTTCGGCCTCATGGGTACGTCAGTCAGCCAACTTCGCTGAGAGATATGCAACGTGCAACGAGCACCTCATATTACAATCTACGCGCTGCTCGTCGTCGTCGTCCTCACTATGTCTTGCAAACTTTTGTTTCTGTTGCACAACCACACCCACACCCACACACACACACACACACACAATGCAGCATGCTCTGCCTAGCTTGACTGACTTAAACTCGCCCTGTTGACAGGCTTGCCACTTCGTACTCCCCCGCTCCCCGAGTCCCAAATCTTCTCCACGCTCCGCGCGGCGGTCGAGACAGGCTGCAACTTCTGGAACACGGGCGAGTTCTACGGCACGCCGGACCGCAACACGCAGACCATGATGGCGGCGTACTTTCGCAAGTACCCCGAGGACGCGGCCAAGGTGGTGCTGAGCGTCAAGGGCGCCTTCGCGTTCGGGCCGATGGTGGGCGACGGGCGGCCCGAGGCAATCAAGGCCAGCATCGACAAGATCCTGCACGACCTCGACGGGACGAGGAAGACGATCGACGTCTTCGAGATGGCCCGCGTCGACCCCAGCGTGCCCCTGGAAGTGTCGCTCAAGTACCTCGACGAGGAGTACGTCCGGAAGGGGATCGTGGGCGGGATCGCCCTGAGCGAGGTCTCGGCCGACACGGTCCGCCGGGCCGCGGCCATCACCACCGTCGTCGCCGTCGAGGTCGAGCTGAGCCTGTGGTCGACGCACGTCCTGGAGAACGGCGTCGCCGCCGCCTGCGCCGACCTCGGCATCCCCCTGGTCGCCTACTCCCCGATCGGCCAGGGCATGCTGACCGGCCAGATCAAGTCCCTCGACGACCTGGCCCCGGACGACCTGCGCCGCATGTACCCCCGGTTCCAGCCCGACGCCTTCCCCGTCAACATGCAGCTCGTGGCGCGGGTCGAGGCCCTGGCCGCACAAAAGGGTTGCACCCCGGCCCAGCTCGCCCTGGCCTGGGTCAGGAGCCTCGCGGACAAGCCCGGCATGCCCGTCATCATCCCCATCCCGGGCTCGACGACGCCCGGTCGGGTGCGAGAAAATGCCGTCGAGGTCAAATTGACCCCTGCGGACTTGGCTGGCATCGATGATATTCTGGCAAAGTTCACCGTTGTGGGACGTCGGTATCCTGACTCCATTCCCATCGATGGGTGATAAGCTTTCCCTTCCCTGCGGACCCTTACCCTTGATAGTCTGTCGCATTCCGAGCAGAATGAGTACATAGACATCCCCCAGCAAAGAGAAAATGGATAATGAAATCGAGAACAGAGTTGAAACAGTTTGAGCTTTGGAGATTGTGACTACAATTCATTCTCCCCGTTTAGTGTTCTCGAGCGAACGGCAGGCCAGAATAAGTCTCTTGCCCAAGCTTGAATTGAATCTTCTTCACACAGTCTTTCCAATCTACAGATGGTAATTCGTAAGACCCTCATCGTCATCGTACTTGCTTGTATTCATGGAGCTCGTGGTACCTGTCACATAATATCCCCTTTCCAACGTGTTGTCTCGTCCCATTTAGAATCCTCTCGCTTCGTCCATTCACGAATACTTGCGCAACTGTGGTCATGTCAGTGAGGGGCAAATCTCAGGAGGAAGAATAGCAGAAACGTACATCAAGCGTCAAGGTTTTCGAGCTGTTGGCGCTCTGGTCTCTGTATACACCCACGAGTGCTTCACTACCCTGGAAGAAGCCAGTTTTCAAACTGATGACAATAAACTGCATTCCGGGCCCCTGAGTCTGCCGTTAGTACTTTCCTCCCGATACGACTTGAACACTTACAGCATGATTTCGTACGTAATTGACCAGCTTGCCAACGTTGGCATTGTCCAGGGCGGCGTCGACTTCGTCGAGGACGAAGAAGGGGCTTGGCTGGTAGCTGTGTATCGCAAATAGCAGTGCAAGAGCAGCCATGGTCTTTTCTCCTCCGGACAAGTGCTCCATGTCTCGGAATCTCTTGGTTGGTGGCATAGTATGGTAGTTGACTCCAGCAAGATATGGTTCATCTTCATCTGCGGTGAGATATGCTCGGCCGCCGGCAGGGAACTCCTCGGACTTGGTCAGATTGGAGTAGATCGGCTCAATCTGCTCGGAGATATGCGAGAAGGCTCTGTGGAACAATTCATTGCGCTTTTGCATGGTTTCCTCAAATTGAGCCTTGACCTCCCGATAGTGGGCGCGCGATTCTTCGTATTCCTGTTCGGTATCACGAGCACGGGCTTCGACAGTGGCCAAACGTTGGGCAGCATGGGCATTGGGTTGCATCTTTTCCAAGGTAGCGTTCAACTTGGCAATGTCGTCAAGTAACTTTGATTCCATTGCCTCATTGTCTTCCTCCTTGAGTTCGTCATCGAGAGCATCAAAGTCCGGGATAATACCATAGTCTGTGACGCTATGTGCTTTCAGAGCAGCCGAAGTAGGGTCATCTTCGTCCACATCCATGGCGTCTCCATCTTCAAGAGGCAGATCATTTATTGGGACGCTGTCGAGACTGGCTGAGCCGTCAGCGAGAGGGATGGCGATGTTTTCGATCTTGCACCGGCGCAGCAGACTATAGCGTGCAGACGAATGACGTTGCATTTCACCTTCCAGTGCACTGATGGCTCTAAATGTGCTTTCCATCTCCTTGGATCGCTTTTGAACTTCTTGTTTCTGCTTTGCGAGTGCATCTGCTGCGTTTGATAGAAGCTCTTTTTGCTCATCCAGCTGTGCATGCAACTCGTCCAGTTCATTCTTGAGGGCGCTAAGATCGTCCTGGATGCCTTCGCGCTGTTCATTGAGCTCGTCAATAATTTCTTTATCTCGCTGTTCTCGATCTCTCAGCGCCTCCAGGCGATCATCGGTAGCCTGAAGTCTTGACTTCTCAAAACTAAGCTGGCCCTCGAGTCTTCCCTTTTGAGTTACGAATTCCAGCTTTTTCTGAGCAGCTTCTTGTTGCAGTGAGCCTTGGCGGGCTTCGTAGTCTCGAATGTCATCAAACCCATGCTGTTGGCAGAAATCGGCAAAGACCTCATTCTCGACATTATGGACGGACTCCTGGTAGTCGGATATATCTTCGTCGATCTTTTCGAGCTTTCGCTGCTCGGCAAGCATCTTCGGGCGCTCCTCATTGAGCTGTTGCTTCACATGATCGATTTCTCTCTTCTTGCTCTGCAGATTCTTGGTCAAGGCATCAAGTTCTTCCTTAGCAAAGCGTAGTCGACCTTCCAGGCCACTGAGTTCGGTCTGAAGGGTCTGCTCCTCCGCAACACGGCTTCGTTCTTGCGGCAATGCCGCGAATTCGTCCATTAATTTATCCTTGAGTTTGTTCAATCTCTCAACTTCGGCATCGTCCCATCTGCGGGTGTTTTGTTCTCGACCTCGACCTCCCGTCATGAGACCGCCTTTGTGGATAACGCTGCCATCTAAGGTGACAGCTTTCGCATCAACATGGCGGGCATAGCATAATTCCTTGGCGATGTTGAGGTCATCACATACAATCGCATTGCCACAGGCGAAGGAAATGGCACGAGCGACTGATTGATCATAGTCCACCGTCTCGATAGCAGGTCGCATCCCACGGTGCATACCTTTCAAGTTAGAGTTGAGGGCCTTGACCTGAATCGTGTCCAATGGAATAAACGTAGCTTGTCCTGATCGATGATCCCGGAGGTATTCGATGCATTGTTTCGCCGTGGCCTCGGTGTCGACAACAACGGCATCAAAGTGTCGACCAAGAACAGTGCTAACAGCTTCTTGATACTTTTTCTGCTTTGGTTTGCAGAGCTCGTGTACACGACCTTTGACGCCAGGATATGTGCGCTTAAGCATGGCAATAGTCTCCTTCATTCTCAACTCCTTTTCACTTGTTCGGCGGCCGTCGTCTGCTTCGAGTAGCTTCCGAGCAACTTCGGCCAACTTTTCGTCAAGTTCAGTTCGAGTTCGTGCAGCCTGTAGTCGTCTTGAAGTGGCTGCGTGAAGCTCTTTCTTCTTTCCATCTATCTCAGTTTGTGTGTTCGTCACTACCTCCTTGATGGTGTCTCTGCGTTCACTCAAGGTTTTGTATTCGTTCTCGAGGGACTGGAGTCGGTACTCAGTGCTGTTCACACTGTTCTTGAGGTTGTTGTATGTCGCTTCGATGGGAGCTCTCTCACTTTTGAGTCGCTCAATTCGGCTGAGATCGGCCGAAGCGCGCCTGTTGAGTTCCTCTCTGAGTCGAGTATATTGTTGGAGATCGGCATCGCTCAGTTGCCCACCTAAGCGGCTGGCGTTCTGCTCCCATTGTTGCTGCCACAATGCTTGCGCTTTCTCCACCCTGGCCAGATCCTTCTCCAATTGTGCAACTGTCGACGCCTGCGCGTTCCGCTCCGCCTGGATAGAGTTGACACGATTGGCGTACTTCGTAAGTTGTTTGTTCGAGACCGAGATCTGCTCATCGATGGGCACCAGAGACGAGGTTTTGTCCTCAATTTCTTTTTCTTTGGCCTTGATGGCCTTTTCTACCTTGCCAACGCCACGGGCCGCTTGCGCATGATCTTTCTTTGCAGACTCAAGGTTACGTTCATACTTCTCAATACCTCGTCGAAAATCCTTCAGGTCGCTCTGGTGTTTCTGAATTTCGGCACTTGACTCTTCAATCTGCCGTTGAAGATGGTACAGTTTCCACAGCACGTGAGTCACAATCGCCTCATCACGCTCCGAAGCTTTTTTCTGAAAATTGTCTGCCTCTCTCTTCTGTTCTTGGTACTGTCTGATCTCAGAGTTGATGCCACGACGGCGATTCAGCTGGAAGGCTTGTTGCTCCGCGGCTTCGTCTAATTCGGCCTTGAGCTTATCATAGTCTGCTTTGTACTCAAGACTGCCGGAAACTTGCTCGATCAATTTTGTCAGATCTTGAGGCTTTTGTATCGCAATGGCTTCAACATCACCCTGAAAGACGAGGAAGTTACGCGCCTTGATCAGGATGTTCTCTTCTTCCAAGGCCTCATTGTACTGCTGCGCGGTCACCACCTCATCGTTTAATCGGTATTCGGAGACTCCTTGATTGGTGATTGTGCGTTTCCACTTTTGTTCAATGCCTGCGTCGTCTTCATACACAGCCATCACCCAAGCGGCTTTCGGGTCATTACGACCCTGAGTGCCGTTCGCTTGACTTCCTTCCTCATCATCATGCTCTTGACTACCATTTGTCTCCTGCTCGCCGTTTGCGGTGGATTTTCGCAGGACTCGGCCGCGGTAAACGAGTTCTCTGAGGTGGGTGGATCGCAAGTGGGAGGACTTTATACCAAGCACGAAAGATATTGCGTCCATGGAGTTCGACTTTCCCGAGCCATTTGGACCGATAATTGAGGTGAAGTAGGCGTCGCCAAAAAGGAGAACATGATGGCCTTTGTACGATTTGAAGTTGAAGAGTTCGAGTCTCATTAGTTTGCCCATGATGGCTTGCCAGGATCGGACTGTTCGGGAGAAGAGAAGGAGGACCGACACAGCCTTGTCACCTTTGCGCGAGCATCAACGCGACTGTACTGGAGTAATCGCAATCTTTTGAGGGTGTGCGCTGCTTGTTCTTGAGAACTATTGACTTGATGCTCAGCTGAATTGATTGATTGCAGACGCGGGCGCGAAAGCGCGTTGTTGGGTCCTCGCCGCACTTTCCTCATCTGGGCGGCAATGCTAAGAACCTGTTCTAACGCCTGGGGAGGGAAGTAGAGCGATAATGGTCCTAATCCGTAATAGGAATGGCCGATTGCTGGCTCATATGACGTCGATCTCCCCGTACGCGTCCGTCATTTCATCTTGTCCAGTGACTTTGCTTGTTGATGGCACGCTCTGCCTCACCCACGCTGTCAATTTGTATCGCTTCTTTATCGTTGATCGAGCACGAAGAATGTGATTGCGCGCAGCCAGCATGAACCAGAAGGTCACCTGCACGTGCCAGCGATAATCCCACCTCGTTGACAAGCACGAGGACCTTCTGATCTGAGTCAAAGCCGCCAATTCCGCAGTTGACGCTTCTCCTTAGTCAAACCACGACGCCCACGACTTCGCTCTTCTCCCGCTCTTCCATATCATCCTTACCCGTGTATAACGATGTCGGATCCGATACCAATCCCTAGGGCGCAAAGCCATGAAGCATTTGAGGCCGAGGCTGCGGCGGCAGATCTCCCTAGTAGTTTAGGATCTACCCACGATGGAACCGAAGCCCTCACACCCGGCTGGCAGTCGTCCACCCCGGGGAGCCCGTATATCTTGTCAAGAAATCCATCCTATGTCGGGAGTCAGTCTCATCAGGAAGACTGGGAGATACCGTTGGACAAGCTAACGTTTTTCGACATCTTCGACAATCTAGCCTTGCCCTCGAAGCTGGAAAAATGGCAGGCCACGCTATCGGCACAAAAAGAGAAGATAGCAAAACAACAAGAGAGGATTCGGACGTCAGGAAACAATGCCAAAGATAGAGCCGTGGCCGAATGGCGCAAGCGAGTGCCCACTGCCGACGAACAGCTCGCCAAGTACCGGTCGCGCATGAAGAAATCGGTCGACGAGCTCAACAAGAGATGGAACGACACAGTCACGGTGTCTGTACGAGAAAAGGTGTCCTTCATTTCCGCCGTCCTCAACGTCTTCATAAGCGGATACCTAATCGGGGCCGTGCCCGAGTACTTTTACTACTGGTTTACGATACAACTATTATACTTTATGCCCATCAGGCTCATCACCTACCGGCAAAAGGGCTACCACTACTTCCTCGCAGATCTATGCTACTTTGTCAATTTCCTCCTGCTGCTCACGATCTGGGCCTTTCCGCAGTCCAAGCGCCTCCTCATCAGCACCTACTGTTTAGCCTACGGCAACAACGCGGTGGCGATCGTCATGTGGCGCAATTCTCTGGTCTTCCACTCACTGGATAAAGTGACCAGTCTTTTCATCCATGTGATGCCACCAGTCGCCCTGCACTGCATCGTCCATTTGACACCGGATGAGTTCCTGCACCACCGTTTCCCAGCGGTGTACACCATCAAATACAGCCCGCCCGGCTCAAAGGAGCACTACAGCCTCTGGGCGATGCTAGGGTGGGCTTCACTGCCCTACGCTGTATGGCAACTCTCATACCACTTCTTGATCACCGTTCGAAGACGCGAAAAGATCGCCGCCGGCCGCCCGACCTCCTTCACATGGCTTCGCAGATCATACGCGACGACATGGATCGGCAAAATCGTCATCTCGCTCCCAAATGCACTGCAAGAGCCGGCGTTCATGCTCATCCAGTATAGCTATGCCTTGCTCACCATTCTCCCCTGCCCAATCTGGTTCTGGTACAGGTGGGCCAGCGCATCGTTTCTCCTGTTCGTCTTCAGCTGGAGCGTCTGGAACGGCGCAAACTACTACATGGACGTCTTTGGCAAGAGGTTCCAGAAGGAACTGGAGCAGATGAAACGCGACGTTGCAAGATGGCAAAATAGTCCTGGCGCCATGCTCAGCCCGCCCAGTGGGCCCGTTGACGACGGCGCCAAAGGTGAGAATGGTCAAGGCAAGCGAAGAAGTATCGATCAGATCCCTCTCTTGGACGAAACTCACCAGAATGGGAATGGCAAAGTAGACTCGAGCGCACGATCTACAGGCACGGATCTGCTCAACGATTCGAAGTCTAGTGTCGTTGACAGGAAGTCTGTGTCGTAAATGGACTACGAGGTGTCTGGTTGCAACAGGCGAGCGATTCGTTATGGAATGGTGTAACGGCGGACGGATGGGAGGGAGTTTTGCAGACAGCGGACAAGCGGCAGGAGAGCATGATGAGATGTGCTATTTTTCTCTCTTGTATTCCTCCTTACTTCGTTACTTGTGTTTCAGTATTGCCTAGCTTTTTCTTCTGGTGCAAGGCGTTGGAGTGGCTGAGACGAGATCGATACCCCCTTGGTTGAGCTGTATATGTCGTTTTCTAGTACTCATTCGTAGTTTTTCACATGTTCAGTTCCAAGGACGCTATACTTGCATAGTCATAACATGTTCGTGTATCCGCTGACCATCTGTGATTTCACCTATCTAACGAACGCATCCGGTCAAGTCATCTCATTAGTCCTACTCCGACTCCACAGTGTTGAGGCCAGCAAGTCGTACTTTTTTCCTCGTGATCAAAAATTGGCCTCGCACACGTCCACCCATAGATCTCTCCCGACGCCCTCGCACTCTGGTCCGTCGAACCACAAGAATCGCGTAATGATCTTCCTCACCTCGTCCCACGCCTCTTCCTTGCACGGTACAGGACTCCGGCGCAACAAGAGAGCGACGAACCACTCTCTCGCGGCACTGTCTTCTTCGGCGACGACACCGCCGACCACCGCCGACCACAGCAACAAGTCCGTGTACCCTGATTCTTCGTCGCTCCAGAGTCCAAGGTCGAGACAGCCCTTCAGGGCGATCGTGATCTGCTTGGCCAGAGCGCTGTGCACGCCCGCCACGCTCGGCATGGGAAACAGCACGAGCAGTGTATAAGCGAGCGTTGACGACCTGACGACTTGATACACGGCTTGTAGATGCGCTGTGCCTGTCAATACTTCGTTCCGCGTCCGGAACGCCGGTGCGGCTTGTTGGACATGATGCGCGCCCGCTGCTAGATCTCCGGACGTCAACGTCGGGTTCAAACTCAATAGGTCGTGGGTCAAGCTGTTTCGAGCCCACAGGATCTGAACCAGCGACGGTGCGTCATGCTGTTGAGAGAGATACATATCGTATCCGACTGTGATGGTGCGAATGGTGATAATGGCTTTGAATAGGGGAGTGGCGATGAGTGGTTTGGGAAGTACGCCGAAGCCCGTCGTCATGGTCGTGAAAATGGCAGGCAGATTTGGCGGAGGATCAGGCCATGTCGACAGGACAAGGCTCGTCGGGGCAAGCAGAGGCCACGCGGGTCTGGTCAGATTCAGCAAGGACATGAATATGTCGGCACTGGATGCATGATCACATTAGCAAACGGCTTCCCTAGCCGGTTACACCAAGATATTCTGCATCCTAGACCACACACCAAGGGGGAAAAGAGGGAGCAGTGAACGGGGTCGAATTGTAGAGAGGGCGTGAGACATACAGGCCGAGCACGTTGGCAATCCCGGGTAATTTGACCTTGTGAAGACCGCCCTTCCTCGCGACAAGGAGACGAATGGCTTTCATGTGCGCATCCTCCCAGCGCAAGCTACCGTAATACTGTGTCTGCGCCGTAGCAAGTGGAGACCTGGCTCGCTGTTTCACGGGAACAGCAGTTTGATCGCCACTCGAGGCATGCGCGGCGAGAAGACTGATGCAGAAGAGCAAGGCATCCGCAGGGTCACCGGCGAGCGTTTGCAGTTCATGGTTGAGCTCCTTGATGGCCTTGACTGCGTACTGGAGACGGAGTATTTTGATTTGGTGAGAGGTCTCGCTAGAATACGACTTGTGTGTTGCCCCAGCCAGGGCGATAGTGTAGAACGAGGCCGGAGAGTGCAGGGAGCAGCTGACAACAACATCGCGCAGGTTGGCAAGCGCTGAGACGGTGCTAGAGTGGCCATTGTCGGTCACGGCCCCTTGTAAGGACAAGGCCGTGTGCTCGTTCGAGATTACCGGGGGGTAATGCAAGAGGCAGAGTGTTATACCGGACTGAAGAATGGACACACCTATGCGAGAGATGAATGGTAAGCTAAATAAGAGATGGAACGGTGCCCCCTTCGGGACAGCGCTGTATTACGAGCCTTTCTCTGGGCAAAATAAAACGGACACTTTGGCATGGAGAAAAGAGCAACGTCAAGGACTCGTACCATAATCAAGCATTTCCAGAGCGTAAGAAGGTACATTGTTTGGCACGACTATGTTGAAAGGATCCAGCTGACCGGCTCCCGGATCTATGACTTCAAGGTTGCTGGCGTGAGAATCCTCGTGCGCTGCCCGTCGAACGCTTTCCTTGTTCGGACGTGCAGCTGTCGGCGTTTGGTCTTTGGTTGTTTGGGTCTTCTTACGCGGGTGGCGTTTACCTTGAGTGCTTGAATCCGCCTGTTGTCGCATCATTTTGGCTTTCCTATGGTATTCTCTTGCTGCATGCTTTTGTGTCGAGATCTCATCATCAAACTCTGAAGCTTGTTCCGGCTTCTTTGGCGTTGCCTGTCGATACGGCACAAACATGATATTCGTTGTCTGTTTCCCCACAGGAGCCATGATTTGGTCCCTGTATTTCGTGCTACAATTCCTGTAAGAAGACAAGACTATATAGTGAACCACAGAGAGAAAAGTCGGGACTGGAGATGTGCACTCTCATGGCCTGGGACAGCATAAAAGGAAACCTCGCGGCTCCTTGAGCCATCTTGGCGACTTGTTCCCAGCAAACATATCGACAGGGACCAGGGATCTGGAGCAAACACTATTGGTGTGGATAGTCGAAAGCCACTATGCCCCGAAAAGGGAAGTCGTTTCAGCTGGATTTTGGCGACGCCATCGACCCAACCCGAGCGTCACCTCGAGTCATTGGACGGATGCGTCTGCTAGCGGCTGAAATGAAAGGCCAGCACAATGCTCATTTGTAGGCATCTGAAATTGTTCTTTGCCGGAATGGGCTAAACATATGCATCAACGGCACAACTCATCCTTCTGCGTCGATAAACATTTGATTTTCAGGTCATATATCGTACGGCTCCCACAATTCTGATCTCGTGTCCAGCTTGGCGACGGAGACTTTGGGCGTTCCAGCGTCATCACTCGTGGGATTTGGCAGCGTTGGCGGGAGGAGACGCTCCCCCACAGCTCCAAATTCCCATGTGGTAAACATCCCTTTGGGTGCCGGACGCCATCCCTCCTCGGCTCGGAAGATCTCCAAGATCGGTCGTGGAGGATTAGACTTTGCTTGATCCCGGTTTTTTGGTGAGCCAGACAAATTCTCCACTTCACTCCCATGGTTTAGATAAATACGATCATCATTGGGCCCACACAATGGATGCTTGTCACGGTAGTCTGCTGATACGAAAAGCTCCGGTGCCTCCAGCGGGCGGCCGCGGAAAGGAAGGTGCCTGTCCATAATCTCGAGATCTTCGCGTGTAGGTAGGCCTTTGCCTTGAGCGATACAGGGAACACCCTCTTCATCCGAAAAGTCGTCTTCGAAATCTTCGCATATCGGTGGTAAGTCCTGGCCATAAGCAATACAGCGAAGACCCTTTTCATACAAAAAGCTGTCTTCAGGATTGTTTTGTAAATCGAAGGTAGGTTTTAGATGTGAAAATGCTGGTAGATTTGATGCTGGATTCCAGCTGCCAGCGAGGATACTCATATCGTATGGTGGCATGAGATCAACAGTACCTTGATCCCAGACATATTGATTTGGAAGTGGTCGATTTGGATCCAGCCAGCTCTGCCATCAGTCAGCGAATGTACAGATTAGTGGTTTGAGTGCTCTTACAACTTCGGTCATCACTGCAACTGGCGTTGCCGTTTGAAAAAGCCCCTCATCACCAGCACTACTGGGATATACTATCGGTTTCTCATCCTCGAGTCGTGTCGAGCGTGTTGAGAGGGGATTTTCAGTTCCGGTCTCTGGAGGGGAGGGAAGATGAGTCCCGAAGATCTCAGTGTCGACCGTCTCATGGAAGTCAGACATGACTGAAAACCTGAGGCTTGGCCCAACCAGCTACTCGTCGTGATGTGTAGCAGCACGCAAAGCTAACGGGCACTTGTAAGGGTTGGTGAATTGCAAGACTGTGCTGGATAGTAGGGAGAGACAAGCTGGTTCAGACTGGGGGAGAGATCGAGAAAGGAACGGGCACTTTGATAGTGATCCGAATTCTTCGCAGCTTGTAACCATAGCGGCATCAACTATCGTTTGACGATGAGCAAAGAGATTGTGACACACATCAATCTAGCCGTTTGATCAACGCAAGGATAAAAGAAAACAAGCTGCGGAAGGGTAGTGGAGTGAAGTGAAGCCCGGCAAAGGTCCTCAAGGTGAAAGGCCCTCGCGTACCTGAGGCACACGAAAGACCGGTACCTCGATCCTGGGGAGCGAAGGCTCCCTGGGAAGCAGCGAAGTCATGCTCAACAATGCAGTTGATGCTGCGTTACAACAATCGCAGCATGTCTGCTTCCCAGATGCCGAATAATCGTTTCTTACCGATGTCATCGTGAAGGATTTACAGAGTGTTCTGCAAACGAAGGAGTGCCGAGTCATCATCGGCGCTCAGTGTCTTCTCGTGGCAGCTGATAATTGAACTAGATTACGCTCTAGACGGTGAGCTGCGCTGAATGCATCCTGATCGTTGAAAAGAGCCGTGGGAACAAGACGAAACTGCAGAGGCGCGGACGTGAGCAAAAGAGCGTTCTCGGGCGGAACGGAACAGCTTTAATCCGCCTTTCTTAGACCAGGATCCTCGCAGCTTGTATAGCTTCCTGTCCCAGCCACTCTGGAAGAATACCTTATCTTCTAAACCCATCACAATTCGCCCAATGTCCTAGACAAGTATCTAAAGCAAAGCTATGCCATTGTCAAAGACCCTGGCTCAAACATCCCTTGCAGCAGCAATCCTCGCGTCCACAATAGGGACATACATTGCCCTCTCGCCTCCAAACCCCAGTACACACGCAACGCTATCGACAGGTGATGCGATTCGCTCGCTGCATCTCACAGGCAGGCACAGTACGAAAATAGCTCTTGCTCCGCTGGGGCTCCTGTCTCTACACACTTCGAGCCTGGTCTATTTCCACCCAAGAATACCGTCTCTCTTACTTGGTCATGGCGCCGAGAACGGTCTCAACGCAAACCTCATAACGTGGTCGGCGGCGACGTCTATCCCGCTGGCACTTATCTTGTGCGCTGGAATCCCGCTACGCCTGGTATCGTACGCTTCCCTGGGCCGGAACTTCACCTTTGCATTGATGGAACCGGACCGCCTGACCACGACGGGAATCTATGGCTATGTGCAGCACCCAAGTTACACTGGAATTGCCATTCTTGTTCTCTGCAACGTCGCTTTGTTGTGCAGATTCGATGGAGCTCTGAGCTACTGGATCCCACCAACATGGTTCCCTGTCATGCGAAAGCTAGAGAAGCTGTTCTTCCCTGTAGGGTTGTCAGTGCTCCTGCTTCCACTATGGACCAGAGTGACGCAAGAAGAGCAGATGTTGAAGGCTGAATTCGGTGCCGAATGGGAGAAATGGCACTCGACGACATGGCGATTCATCCCCTGGGTCTTCTAGATCAAAACGACCTCCACTATAGCGCTTGTGGGAAGCATCATTGCCCCGACATCTCATTTTGTCCAGAGGACGGCACCGCCACCAACGCCGTTACTCCTCAAGGGATTATCACGCCCCTTGTCGTCTACGGTCTCACAGATGAAACCAACGAGGTCTCGAAATCCGCACTTTTGGTAAAACGCTTCCTTGCCATCGGCGGCCACGACGTCCGCGGGCAACTCGCCGCTTGGATCATTCTTGACGAGGTCCAAACCGCTCTCGACCAGCTCTCGACCGTACCCTTGTCCCTGGTAGCTGGGATGAACGGCCATTGTTTCGAGTGACCAGAAATTGTTCTGGCGATGCGGAGCGCTGTAAAAATCTCTGGCGAATGGGACTACCTTGGACATAAAGTTCCAGAACGTCAGAGGTTCAGGGCTTTCGGGCGTAGGTGTGACGGCAGCTTTGTTCGGGTAGAAGAATCTTCGAATTGTGTAGAAGGTTTCTAATATCGGCCTGATCAATAGTCCTGGTAGTACGGACAAGGACGTCAACACGGGTCACCGACGTCACTCTCTGGCGAGCTCGAGAGCTGCCAAAGAAGGCAAATATCCAAACAAGAGTGTCCCGAAGAATTCGGATGGAAACTTACTTGGATCCCATCTCCCCCACGTGCCATGGACATTTTCCCAGCCTGAACCATTTCTTCCCCACACAGATATGCCCGTGATGACTTGTTGGTTGTTTTTGTCGGCGTCGGCGTCGGCGTCGGCGTCGTCGTCGTTCTTGTTGCCCGAGGCAAGCAGCGGCGTCTGCTCTCCTCCGGGAGTCTGTGGCCCACGACGATACGAAAGCAAGATGATCTTGGAGTAATCGTACCACGTCAACCAGAGGTGCTCTTCTGCCGCCCGTAAAAAGTCGTCCGGGTACTCGTCCATCCGGGGGAAAAACACCTTGAAAAGACGGTCGGGGCCGAACGATGCGACATAGACCTGTGCCATGACAGGCATGTCGGCCCTAGTTGCGAGTCTGACGGGCATGTTGAGTACCACCTTACGTACACCAAGGTAGAGGGAGGTAGGGAGGTAGGGCACTCGGCGTCAGATCCAGGTAAGGTTAGTCTACCTGAGACACAGGGGACAGAGCACACAGAGTACACAGAGGGCAGAGGACAGAGGACAGAAGACAGAGGATCAAAGGACGGAGCCCAGAGTACAGAATGAAGCGTGATATCAGTGTGAATGGCTATCGCGCGCCGCGTCCCTTTTCGTATGTTCTGTAGCGTACTGTATGTAGGTCTAGGGCAGTAGGTAGGTACTAAGGTCGCCTGCCTGCAGTAGTTCAGGTAGAGAGACAACGGGGAGTGCAGCTTTGCGTATGGGGGCCGTCCCCTTAAGTCACGGAAGCGAAACTCCTAGTTAGTCACAAATCACAACTCACAACACGAACAGACGCGCACACACGTCTCTAGGTACATACCATTCTAGCTGCAGCTGAACAAAGTCTGTATGTACTGTACCTCCTCAACCAAGTGTGTGGATCCCAAAGATTGAGATCAGCCAGCCAGCCTCTCCCAGGAGTTGGGACCAGGATTGACGGAACTGTTGTACGGATACCGTGATGTGTATAAACCGGGTCCTACAGGGAGGAGCTGTCACCTGTAGCTCCCCGTCTAACTTGTGGACTAGTTAACTACTCCCTGACTTACTGCCCACTGCCTACCGCCTACTAGTAGATTCCTCTCACCTACTACCTACCAGGGCAACCTGTGGAGTGCGAACTTTTGAACTGACTGCTGTACGGTATGGAGACACTGTCAATCAAAGCCACCCCTCCCCCAACCCCCCGGCCCCGGGACCAGCTACGTACATTCAAGGCCTTTCATCAACATCAACCCATGGATAGCCGAGATCAACCGGGAGGGATAGTGGACCCTCCTAATCATACCCGAAGTGAGATATCTACCTTACTCCGTGTCCACAAGCACAAAGGGGAATAGGCACGGTACTTTTGCTTCGTCATTTGTATCATCGAATTGCATCGATTTAGTGTACACCCCAAAGGGTACGCCGTACAACAATACATCCCTCTCTGACAAGATTTTTCCAGCGGAGTAGAAGACGAGACAGTACTATCCCGTGCCACTTCACTTGCTCATTTTGTCCGGAGAGGCAGGACCCGTGCAAAGCTTTATAATTCGTGATGCCCTTCATTACCACCTAGCCGTTTCCCCCAGCTCCAATGCTTTCGGATGCCGTCACGAAGAATGCCCTCCCAGACTTCGGCGTTTGCGCCCCCCGCCGGCCCGAATCTCAACCTCAGAGCTTTCAGAGCCTTCTTCGCGTACAGCATGGCCGGTTTCTCTTGTTTCAGACCTGCGTAAGCGAGTGCTGCGTGGCCGAACGGAGTGTCTAGAAACCCTTCGAGGCCCTCTTCATTGTGCAGCTGAATGACATATTCTGCTGCGTTGGTGATCGGATGATTGTAGTGCTTTGATGGTGGAGGAGGGGAGAAGCTAAGATCGCCGATGACCTCGGGTACGTCGTCTTCCGTCCAGCTCCAGTCTTGAAAAGCGTCGTGGAGTGCATGAATTTTCGACATTCTCGCGTCCGAGGCATCTGGATCCGAACATCTGTCGCAACCGCACATGAAGTGGAACGCCGCTTTGAGATGATAACCCCTCTTCCGTGCACTTCCAAGAGGCTCGATGTAAGAGATGCTCAGTTCTTCTCCTTCTCGCACATCCCTGGTGGCGCGGAGGACATGCGTCAGTGCCTCGGGCTGCATGTAGTACTGGGCGTTGGGGGCACAGTCGTGATTGAGCCGCGATATCTCTGGGAACACGGCGAGGTGCATGATCCCACCAACCTGGAGTTCAAACGAGTTGGCTTTGATGATGTCTTGGACCTCGATGCGATCGTCGTCGTATATGCGCGTCAGGGCCAAAAACTGCGAGCGAGTCGGGGCCGGCAGTTGCAGGATGGCCGTCCGGAGATAATGTTCTCTTTCCAGAGGCGTCAGTGATTGCTCGTCCAGAAGCACCAATAACACCGGGGTGAAGGACGAAAGCTTCTCGCCGTAGGCAAGCGCAGTGGTCGCCACGACACCAATGCCTTTGCCGCGGATGAACCTCGAAGTCCATTTGGAAGGGCCAGCATTGATGTCGGGATCGGGCGAGGAGTAGTGTCGTTCCAGGAGCTGAGAGAAGTGCTCATGGACGGCTGGGGTCGTGAATATGGAGATACCTCTGCCGTCACTGAACGAGGCGTACGTGTAGACACATAAAATGTCGTCGACCGATGCCAGGACGTCGGTGCAAACCGGAGGGTGCGACAGCGTGGCGCCGTGGTGGCCTGATCCGAAACGTCCAGCTTTGTCCTCACTGGAGAGTCCTTCTGGTCTACCTGAACCTTGAGAGGCTGCTTGAGATTGACTCACAACACCGGGCTCTGGTTGTGTGGAGACTATCCCGCCATCAGGGCCTCGTGCATGGACGGTCGACAGCGCCTCCGGATTAGCGCTTGCTCTAACACATACCAAGAGGAGTGATAGATAAGAAAGGATGTATGTTTTCATCTTGGATATGACTGACTCCTTTGGGGGGTTAAATGCTGGAAGTACAGCAACAAGACGATTTTAAGATGTTTTCTCTACTTTCACGGGGGGTGCCCTGTTTCATACGTGTCTCAGGTTGGCGCCACACAGTGTTCCAAGCGGCAACACTGAGCATGCTTTTCGTGGCCTCTGGGATATAAGGAATATCCCAAACATCGTCCAACTTCGTTGGTAGGCACAGAAATACGGGTAACTACCTAGGGAAAGGAGCCAGACCAGGCCACATGCCCTCAGCCCAGGAGGCTCGGGGACTTGCTCAGCCACGCAACGAGTGCCTGCCACACCAAAGATTTACAGGACAGTAAGGACAAGGGCAAGGACAAAGAAAACTCAGTGGAACGTCCGTCCTTCTTATGAGCTCTCGAAAATCGGGGTGTCGATTTGCTCTCCCTGAAGGGGTTCCCAGTTTGGAACCCGAGTAACTACAGTAGACATCTCCCCTCGCACCCCTTCGATTCTAGCCAATCGAGAGTCCTGATACAGCTTAGCCAGGAGTAGACAGAATCGCCCAAAGCCCAAATGTCATAAGTCGACTTTCCTTGCTCCCTGCGTTTGTATAATTCGCACAGTTGGCACGGTCTGCTGCAGACCTCGTCGATCAAACCCTTCTGCAGCTCTCCTCCCAACCGGCCCCCCTTCCTCAATACTCCTCATGTCGCACCTCGTATACCACATTCTTACGGATAATGTGGTCTTCGCTCCCCGCTCTCCCAGTAGACACGTCTTCCTGCGATCCAGTAGAATTGCCATCGTTGGCCTTGGAATTCCGTGGGCCTTGGACTTGTGCTTGATACCCAGAATAGCCCGTGGCGGGAAATTGGACGTTTGTGCTCTTGCCAAATTCCTCGGCGTCATAGGCCTCTCCTGAAGCGTTCGTCGGAGTTGACTTGCTCCGGTTCCAGTTCCTGTTCTTGCTCTTGCTCCTGCCGTTCGGCATAGAGTCAAGTTGATAGGTATTCCCTCTCGACTCGTCGGCGGTACTTCGATATCCGTAATGTGTCGCGTGCGAAGTGTCGAACTTTCGCAGGTACTGGTTGAGGGACGGGATCGCCGCCGATAGAAGAGCGTAAAAGAGTTCGGCCTGGCGGAAAAGCACAGGGCTGACGAGTGCCATGCCGGCATTCGACGCCGAGTTGAACCGGACGACATATTTGATGTTCAGTCCTATCAGGACGACGATTCTGTAGTCGGCAAGTAGGGGGCATCATCAGTCTCATTGTGGCCCACCAAACGAGAAAAGGAACGAATGGAGCGTAGCGTACGGTAGTCTCAGAATAAAACACATTGATGCTTGCAACTTCATCTTCCATGTCATTTGGAGCGTAGAGATGACTCCGACAGCAAGAACCAAGATTCCTATCTCGAGCACGGCGTCCAGGGCACCCACGGCCGCCCAACGCGAGACCTGTCCCCGTCCAGTTAGCCTGAGGATAAAAACCTTCCAAAGAAAAAGAGAGTATTCACCAGGGTTCCACATTTCCGACCATCACGGGCGTGTATCATCGCAATGGAGTCGCACCCTAAAGTGACACCTAGGATAGATCCCAAGCACCACGTTGCACAAACACCCATGGCCACCTCGGTTATGATGGGCATCTTATGCCCACTGACTGTAAACAGGCGTCGACAGAACCAGATGACGGAGCACTTGCTGACGAAGAGAGCCAGGAGAAATAATACGTCGGCAGCTCGAATACACTAGCATGTCTGGTCAGTTCCTTTACCCAAGTGAATGCTTGTGGGCCGTGGTCCGGTTGGGAAAACTGACTCGAGCAACAATTGTAGTGTCGTCAGAGGAGAGAAGCGAAAAGGAAGCTCCAAATCCTGCATCGACCGTGGCAACCAGAATGGTTATGAATTGCGGAAATGCGAGTGACTGTGGTTCTACAGATCAGTATGATCTTCAAGAACTGAGGTGGTTGAACTTACCGTGGCGGCCAGAGACAACCAGTCTTCCACTCCCATGTTTCGATATCTCACAATCAGGCGCATAGCAAGTACCATGCCAGCGTAAACCATGAACAAGATAGTCATGGTCAAAACCACACCACGATGATCGTCGTCTGTAAGGCCATATGGACGTGGACCATAGACGGGTGTTTCGCTCGTCGAATCCGCCATAGTGGTTCGACGAAAGAGAGATGTGGAATGTTTTGGCTATGTTCTCAGAGGACAGAACACAGCATTTAAGACGATGTTGCTGTTCGGAGGACAGGGCGAGTACCCTGTGCCTATCTCTGGCAGGAGCCTTGTCGCCAGCAGCTAGACCTCAATTGACCTTCAGAAAAAGCCCCCAGGCTGGAAGCCTCTTGTCCGCTGCACCTCAGGCTGGGCTTGCACGGATCATCGATGAGCCCTCCAGGGGGTCGAAGGACGCTGTTCGCAAGAAACCATGCGAGCTTGCAAAACGCGCAATCCCAACGATTCAAAATCGGTTCATCTTGTTCGTGTTTCGCCAGAAGAGGGCCCCACGAAGTCTCACGCCACACTGGTGATCGTCGCATCTGTGAGGTACTAGGGAGTCTTCACAGGAGGTAACACCATGACGAGTGATTTGCCATGTTCGTCTCACCCCCCAGAAACGGCAGAGTCTCTTCCCAAGACGGAATGGCAGCGGTCTCGGTTTTGTATCATGTTACACGTATGGACGCTTCGACCGTGCGCTTGCCCTTGTCGAGGGCCCGACAGACTCGAAGGCTGAAGCTTTTGTGAATTTCCGGAGAGTACTCCGTACTCCCTTACTCTGTATCTGCAGAATGGTAAGTTTCGCCCCCAGGGAGCATTGGTGCTGGGGTGGCAGGTAGTCAATGTCAAATGGCCATAGTCACATAACCACAGCCGTCAATAGGTTGGAATAAGAAAACAAGTCCCGGCACGAACACTGACCGAGGCTCACTAGGCTTCTCCGGGGCCCACTTTCACCCCGGTCCCCTGCGAATAGGCGCGACATGTCGTTCTCAAAGCGAGAAGACACTCGGCAACGAAGCACGGAACTCTTGTCGATCATCCCCTTACACCGCCGGGAACTCCCTAGATAAGCCAAGAAGGTCTCTGTCCCCATGGCCGCTAAGAGTGCTCAGCGCCTAGTGCCGGCCCTGATCTCCCCGAGAAGGCTATCCTGAATACCGTAAAGCCCAGTGGGTGGACTTTGATAGAGTGTCTCCTCAACGATGCAATTATTGACGAACCATATCGCCTGATTCGACGATATCCTTGATCGTATCCAGGCGGGAAAATTGACCTGTCGACCTTCTAACTTCCAAGCGACTGAGGTATCCTGGAGGATGTGTACCAACGCATTTAGGCAGTAGGCACAATGATTCCACATCGAGGTCCGAGGGTGGGATAGCCTACGCGCTGCGTTGGGTGATGGGGACTCTCCCATCACAGCTGAACAACCTCTGATCCGACGAAGGGAGGCCCCGACTATCAATGTGGTGTGCCTCGGTCGATAGGATAGAGTCAGAACAACTTCTTCTCGATGCAATGTGCGTAGCTGTAGCGAGAAAGTTCATATTGTACAGCGAAGAGTCCAGAGATTTTCAGCGTCTGCACATGCTGAATTTGGACCAGGCATATGTACTGTACTAGCGATCACCAAGAGCTCCGAGGTGGGCCGATGCAAACCACTTATTCGCAGCGCAACTATGGCGTATCTGCGTTAGCTTACGATTTTCGTATGCATGTCTGGCAATCCTCTGCCGACGAGCGTTTGCCTTGAATGCAGGCCACCGCTTGAACATTCCACTCCCACGCGGCATTGCCGTTTTGCATGGCTGGTCGGCACATGAGCTGATAGTCACTCGCTTGCGTGTCGGTAGCTTGGTCGCAATACCCAACCTAGGGATGGGATCACTGTGATAGCTTGCAGGCGATCGTCGCAGAGTCGTATGCGTTAGCCATCATCCCATGTTCCCCACTTGTTCTGCACATCAAGCTAGGATAGCAAGCTACCTTGCAAGTTATGAAGACCACGCCGTCTGAAACTCGAAGCCGGCCACCGATATTAGCCGTCCTCCTTGACTTCTGGATCGTTCGCGGCTCCCTGTCTGCTAATCTCAGTTAGACACGCTACGCAGGATAGCTCAACTCACATGGACGGCAGGGGGTTTCAGAGAACCCGCCTCCTGCGAACAATACACGGCCCAATACGGTGCCACATGGCGTTCTACGCCACTTGAAAGCTGCGCAACAAAACATCTGCCGACGTCTAACATCGGAAGTTGGCCATCCTACTTCCTCTCTGCTCTTTGTCTGTTGTTCTCTCTTTCCTGCGAAACACAGTAAACACTTCTTTTGCCATTATCTACTCGTCATGAGCAAGCAAGCGGATTACAGCATCGATGGTGATGCCGAGGGCGACGATGAAGTTGTCCTTGGGCAGAAGACCGGCACGGTGGCCGACAAGAAGGCGATGGCGCGGCTTGGAAAGGAACAGGTCTTCAAGGTCGGTATGTGATGAGCTCGGGTAACAGACCATTCGCTGATACTCGTTGAAGCGTAATTTTGGCTTCGTGTCAATCTTCGGCTTTGCCCTCATTATCATGGGGACTTGGGAAGGTATCATTCCTACTCTCGCCTTTGGTCTCGGAAATGGAGGGCCTGGAGGTTTGATCTGGACATTCCTTGCGACGTGGACAGGATTCACCTTGGTCACCATTTCCATGGCCGAGATGGCCTCCATGGCGCCCACTTCAGGTAGGTCATTTCCTCGCACCCTTCGACTTGACACGTGCTGACAAGACAAACTCGACATCAGGTGGTCAATACCATTGGGTATCTGAGTTTGCTCCTCCACATATTCAGAAGATCTTGTCCTATTTCATCGGGTGGCTTGGTGTTCTAGGCTATCAGGTTGGCACGACGATAGGAGCGTACGTTGCTGGCACCTTGATCCAAGGGCTCATCATCTTGAGCAATCCAGACACATACACTCCCAAGCGGTGGCATGGGACATTGATGGCCATATGTATCAGCTCATGCGTGGCCGTATTCAATACTTTCTTGGCGAAACATCTCCCGTTGATAGAAGGCATCATCTTGGTTCTTCATCTTGCTGGATTCGTTGCGATTATGGTTCCACTCTGGGTAATGGCTCCTCGGAGTCCAAGTTCACAAGTGTGGACACCATTCCTGGACGAGAACGACTGGGGAAGTGGTGAGGAGAGCATTGTACCCTGTTGTCGGCATCTTGGAGACTAACGCTTTTCAGTGGGACTGGCATGTATGGTCGGCTTGATTACAAGCGCTGGTGCCCTGGTGGGAGGGGACGCTGCAGCGCACATGGCCGAAGAGTTGAAGAATGCATCCAAGATTTTGCCCAGAGCCATGATCTGGACAGTGATTGTCAACGGCGCCCTAGGCTTTCTGATGCTCGTGTAAGTATCAGATCATGCCCGACGACAGAATTTCCAGACACGACTGACAAACTTCCAGTACGTTCCTGTATACCCTTGGTGATCTTGGGGAGGATCTTGCCACTCCAACCGGATATCCTATCATTCAGGTCTTTGATACTGCCACGGGATCTGCTGGTGGAGCCTGCGGCTTGACTGCCATCTTGATCCTTCTCGGGGTCTGTGGCAACCTAACGACGATGGCGGGCTCATCTCGCCAGCTGTTCTCGTTTGCTCGTGATCAAGGAGTTCCATTCAACAGATGGCTGTCCCGAGTGCCCCCTGGCTACGATGTCCCCGTCAACGCGATCCTGGTGTCGGCACTCTGTTCGTGTGTCTTTCATTGCATTTACGTTGGGTCTGTGGTGGCATTCAACATCATTCTCTCCATCGGCACGGTGGCGCTCCTGTCTTCATACATGGTTTCCATTGGCACAATCACTTGGAAGCGTATACGAGGCCACCCTCTGCTCCCATCGAAGATGTCACTGGGAAGGTGGGGGCTTCCGATCAACATTGCCTCGATGCTCTTCTGCGCCGTGGTATATGTGTTTGCGTTCTTCCCGTCGGCGCCTAACCCGCCAGCGATCTCAATGAACTGGGCCATCGTGGTGTATTCCGGGGTGCTGCTGACTGCTTTGGTGTATTACTTGGTCCAAGCGAGGTTTAACTACGTTGGACCAGTGACCTATGTCAAAAAATCCATCTAGTCGCGTCGGAGTTGGGGCTACCAATGTCCATGTGGCGCAGAGATCTGAAGAGTTGGGGTTTGGTTGTCTGACGGGAAATGGCAAGTCTGCTTTGTGAAAAGCTTAGGACGAAGAGCGACATTTGGGTGTGTGAGGACAACATGTACATACGAGGCACGGCAGATAAAGTCGAACTTGATGTCAGTCCATCGTGTATCTCGCTTTCTCCCAGCAACACCGGTGCCAAGTGATTGCCATTGTGCCCACGCCCCTGGAGTACTACAAGAGTGTACTACAAGAGTGTACTACAAGAGTACCAAAGGCCCCTCAAGCTGGCCTACTACTCATAGCAGCATCTCCCCCTATTCTCCCTCTGAACATCCCAAATCATCCTAGTAGAAGCTGTACCAAAAAAGCAATACGGACGCCATCAACCGCTGACATTTAAGTCAATGTTATCGCGCTAATACTATACTCTCGTCTAAAGGCCACGCGGCACGCGGCTTGGTGGAACTAGCCAGACGTTTATTCTATAATTATCTCTCGCATGGCTCCTTCAAAGATGGGGGGAGAGGGAGTCTCCAACGACCCTCAAACGTCACCCTCTCTGCGTTGCTTCTTAATTGACTGAGCCGAAAGCACAACTCAGAATCATTCCTCACACCAAGATGAAGCTGTCAAACCTGGGTATAGGAACTGGCCTGCTGAGCGTCCTCGGGTTGACTCAGGCCCAGACCAGCGGTGTCTGGCTTGAGTGGTCTCACCGCGACGTCCATCCGAACCATACTTACGAAATCGGCTGGGAAATTAAAAGAAACTATGTACGCAGGAGCCGAGACTTCCTGGGCCTGATTGCTCACACCTCTCTTTGCCACAGACCCTCCAGCTCCTTCTCGTCAAACAATTCGATGGTGGCTGGACCGGCGAAGACTTAATCTGGAAAGACCAAGAAGGGACGCCTCCTGGAGGCTCATACAACTGGACTGTGCCCAGTGAATATGAGCCTGGAGCGTGAGTCACATATAGCTTTGGCTTCTGCGATGAGCCTCAGATAACATAACGGTTGCGCAGAAACTATGGCCTGTGGCTGTACGGCGAAAACGTCCCTTTCGATGGAGAAGGATACGCCAACTTGACGGAGTGGTTTCAGATCTCAGACGAAGAGCAGTAACAGAATCTGTTCCTCCAACCACAAATCGAGAACTGACAAGGTACTAGTGATGATCCAGCTCTCCAACTAGTCAAGCAAGACTAGAATGAGCTATTGCTCGCTCGTTTTGCCAGTACTTTTCGTCGAAGATATTAAGAAGGGTAAGTCTTGAGTGCGAGTGAAGGTGGTAGCAATGTGCTGTAACAGTAGTCGGTCCTCGATTGACCTCTGCTAAACAATGGCTTGATCAAGGATTGTATCGCCGGTGGATCTCAATGTCAGGGGCCCATATGATAAACATGTACTTTCAGGCTCTCGAGAGATTGTTGTGTACCCAAGACAACCTCTCTGGATCTGTCTTCGGCAGACTCTTCATCTCATAGTGACGCTCCGAAGTCCACCAGGATGTGAGGCCGAATCTGCCATATTGTACGTGGCTTGCTTACATCCGATATTATCCACCCCAAGTAAATAGTGAGTCTAGACTGATAGTGGAGTTGAACCTACCTATTGATATCTTTTTGAGCGCTGGCGAAGATGATGAAGGTAACTGAAAAAAGAGGTGATGGTCATCAGGGAGCGATCCATGGTGTTTCCCCGGACAAACTGATATTCCGGAGCCGCGGCGAAGTTTCCGCTGCATTTCCACTTTCATCTCCAACGGCCTCGACGATGGACTGCACACAATAATCTTTCTGACCACACCGACCAATGTTGTGAGGCATGAGCTTGCCATGTCCCTACAGGCATGTTTCGTACGCGACATGGCGTCTCCAGATCTTCCAAAGTCTGTATCGATCGACTGAGCCGGGCTTTGCCCGCGAAGCTTGTTTTCCTGTTTCCCGCAGCGCAGCCAGGTCGAAGCGCTGCCAGAGCACTTCCCGCCTTCTCGACGAGGACAAGAACGATGGGCCCCAGCCTCTAAGAGATGGAGTTTCTTGGATAGATGATACACCAGGTAAGGGCCAAACGCTAAGCCCACACAACCAGCGGCCTAGGTCATCCCGAAAAACCTCTTTCAATCCTTACAGTCCCGACGGTCAGCAGTCAATAAGGGCTCTGGTGTCCGAGCTCAAACCTGTCGTCGCAGAAGCCCGACGAGAGAAGACCCATCCGCCAGGTAGCGATGCAGTCTCTGTCGAGCCAACACGTCTCCCGCGAACACCAATTCTCAAGCGAACCGGTCCCAAGCACATGGAAGCGAAGAGGATGCCTACCGATGACGAGCTAGACGCTTTGAAGAACAATGTCTGGGCGCAAATGTTGGCGGCTCCTCTCAGGGCATGCCAGGGAAGTTTCGCGAGGTTGCCGGCTCCTTTCTTGGTCGACCTGGAGTTTGTGGAGGACCCGGAGAAGAAGGCGGTGCATCTGGCACCGGCTCCCCTCGCCGACCTCGACGCATTAGAACAACGTATGGCGAAGGAACTAGCCAGAGACAACTGGCTTCAGTCTCGCGACGATAACTGGGAGTCCAACTGGGAGGCCAGAGAACTGCAACAGGGCGGCGAGGGAGGCGATTCAACACCACCACAACCACCGACGCAAAAGGTCAAGCAACGGCCAAAGTCTCGCTTGGTCGCAGAGATGAACCTCGTGCGCTTCTTGACGCTCAAACTCATGGAACGTTCGAAGCGTGAGCCGGGGAAGATAGTCTCCAAGTCCAACGCCCTGGCGAGATTGGTTCCCGCGCCGCTCAAGGATGCCCTGGAAAAGGCTCAGCACTACGCCATCAACAAACGGAAGATCGACGCCGCGACGGGCGCGGACCAGGCAACTGACACAACGAACGAACCGTTACCGATGGACTATCTCTCGCGGCTGCAGTGGCAAGTGGACATGTACGAGCGCATCCCTCGAATCATGCGGAAACGCATCCTCGTCGCTCTCAAAGCGCTCGCAGAGCAAGCGACGTCTGACACTGCGGCTGGGAAACCGAGCAAAGTGATGACGCTGTCGATTCACCATGCAGCCGGCGTGCCAAGTCATGTCGACTGTCCGCCAGAGAGCATCATTCTGCACATAGGAGATGAGGACACCAGGACATTACTCTCCTCGATTCCAGCGCCCCCCAAGAATGAATCGGGGTTGACTCAACCGCCTCTGCCCTCGAACAATTGGTTTGTCCCTCCCGTGATCAGCCTCGACGGCAGACACCGCCTTCCTGTGTTTCCCTTGAAGCAGATGCTCGCCACCCACGCCGACACGGCCGACGTCGCTGCGCTGGCCGAGTTGACATCGGCGTACAAAGTTCTTCAGCATCATCGTCACCATCACCCTGGCAAGCCACACTCGAACGACACTTTCCTCCTCGTTCGTCCGGGCGTCGGTCCTCCAAGGGCCGTGATGGAAGAAGTCTGGCAGTTGTGGAGGTACCTCGGTGGCTCGCATATGGGACTGGTATACGACGAAGACACAGAGCGTTGTTTCGACCAAGGCCAAGTGGTCAAGTAGGGAGGGAGAGAGGGGAGCCTTTTGTTTAAGCTTAAGCGATAACCCTAACCCTACCTTGACCTCTCGCAGGTATAGATAGGTCCCTAATATGTATACTAGATATACCCTTGTACATCAATCATCTCGTGCCACAGAAGAGGCATGTACTTTTGCTTGTACTTGTACCCGTATCTTGATTGTTTTTGACGTAACGGGGATCTACGATGACTAGTCCTCCATTCAACGGTACCTTTGGGGGATGATTATATATTACACTATGGGCACATAGATACCTATATATGCATGAAAGGTTTCCTGGTGTCCCGCCTCCCTGGGTATATTCATGCATGACTGACTTCAGAGACGCCTCTGGTGTTTCCCACCATGCCGGACTTTTTTGGTCGTTCGGCATCTCCTCGTTTTCTCGTAGCCGACCGGCCGTCGTATCGTCCTCTTCCGCTTTTCCTTGTTGTCCTTGACCCCTACCGTCTGCTGCTGATTCCTCAACCGCCTCCCCTCCTACGTCGCTGATCCCTCGCCCGTTCAAAGCTGTTCTCTCTGCAACCGAATCCTCATCTCTTCTCTCTCTCTGCCGCCGCCACTTGGCTATGGCCTCCCTCCACTACTGACTCCTCGCCAGCCCCCGTTTGCTACCGACTCCGCGTCTGATGTGACCGGCCAATTCTTCTCTTCACCGTCAGTCACGATTTCTATCCCCCACCTCTCGTTCCCGTCACTCCCAACGAACGTGCCCAACTTTACAAGCGGTGCCTCGTGGCCTGATCTTGTTCTTTCTCTCCCCCACGTCTCTGGATTCGGATGATCTCTCACCCACCTTCTCAACCTCTCACTGTCGGCAACCACACTGACCACGCCGGCCAGATTTTCGAACCTGGACCGGAGGTTTCTGAACAGCGCGTACCCAAAAGTATACACGAACAACGTCACGACGATCAACACGAACAAAATGCTCAGCGACAAGTATACGGCGACGGGACTCATCTGGAGAACCTCGACGGCGATCTCGACGTGCACGCGCACTTGCGTGTCGGCGGCGGCTGTCAAACTCGAGTTCGTGTCTGGCTGGGTCCCGTTCGCGAGGGGCGCGAGGATCGCAGGCAGCGTGGCGCCGATTTTCTGGAAACCCCAGCCGCCCCCTTCTGCCGAGACGTTCGCCGAGACAAAGTGCTGGAAGAAGGTCGTGAAGACTTTCTGGCCCAGCTGTTCCATGCGTCCGAGGTCCATCAGCGCGTCAACATTGCCGCTGGCAAGCTGGTACATGGCGAACGACATGAGGTCGGCGTTGAGGCCTTTTCCCTCGATCCGGATATTGAAGTTCTTGTCGTCCAGGTCCTCGACGGAACTCTCGCTGCTACCTCCGGAAGGCCAGAACTTCTGCAAGTCAGACGCAAACAACATCGCGTCCTGGAACAACACGCCGAAACTGACGGTGTACTGATTGTGGAACACACCGTCCGTGGCGTTGTCGCCGGGCGCGACGTAATCGTGCTCGAGATACGCGTCGCTGAACGCCTGGGGTAGATCCTGGACAGCGTCCACGATCTTGTACTTGTACACACGACCCGTGCCCCTGTCCACGGTGACGCTGGCGTTGGACCACTCGACTCGAGGCCGGCAGTTGAGCGCCGATATTTGAGGTTCCCGTGTCCATATGAGGTGTCGGAAGTCGTCGTATTCGCCTGTGTAGTAGCCACTGTACGTCTCGTTCATCAGGTACCAGTTTCGAGCCGTGGTGCCGCGGATCCATTTCATGGTGAAGTTGCGGGGGTACGTGACGTACGAGCTGTCGAAGTCATAAGCCAAGGTCCCCTCGTAGTTGTTGGACCAGTACCCGAGCGCCGATGCGCCGCTGTCACCGTCGGGGCTGGACAGGTTCCTACAACACAAAAGGGTCCGATATTGAGACAGAATGGGTGTCGTAGAATCGTCGATCTTGGGTGCCAGATTGAATCCAGAATTGACCTCGTAGCCGCGTTGTAACACCGTCGGGTTCCTGGACACATTCCAGATCATGCCGTCCGTCAGATCCCACTGCGTCGTCCAACCCGACAGGTTACTGGACTGCGTGACAGTGCTACAGTCCAGAACACCCCTCAGTGCAGGGGTCGTGACGGTGACGTTGACGGCTTTTGTCGTTGTAGAAGCCGCGGCGCTCGTGTCATCTCTGTCATTCGCAGACGGCGTGGTCTTGTACACGCTCGAGTCAGATATGGATGACAAGTTGACCGGCACAAAGCTCCATCCGTCGCTACTCCACGGCGGTTCCGATCCGTTGTACGCCAGTTGCAGAGCAGCAGAGTAGAGCCAATTCGTCGAGAGGTTTCCATAGAAACTCGAAATGATTTCTTGCCCGTTTATATCTCCCGCGCCCATGGCAGTGGTGCCGGCAAACGTATACACAAACGGTTGAGTTCTGGGCTCGAAGTCGCGTGCGAGTGTGAGATCGCCGGGTCGAGAGCCATCGGCCCGCTGCCAAAGCGCCGACATGGACACTGTGAGTACTTGAACAAGGATCGCGGCCGTCGACACAAGAGCCACATACTCATGCCTGTTCCTCAGCGCCTTGATTACAGAGACGACCGAGTATGTCGGCATGTAAGACAAGCCGATTATAGGTGACACTGGTAGAGCTTTGCGGCTCATCGTGACAAAAGGTTGTAGTCTGCGAAATGTGTCGTCCAGTCCATCCCACCACAGGCCGATGATGACGGCCAGCAATGTAGGCACGATTGAATACGGTGCGAAAGTAAAGAGTGACGAATCCGAGGGCACCAGATCCGTCTCATATGTGAAGGCCGACTCGTACAGCCCAACAGTCTGGGCGAGGGTGAACAGGGTCAATATAGCTGCAAAGACAAGGGCGAGGAATAGCAGCAGAAGGAGCCCGGCGTAAAGCCGCAGAGGGAACGGGAGATTCTCGTCTCTCTTCACTGGTGATTTAGTGACAACATTTTCTATACTCGTCTGTCAGCTGTCATTCCTGTCGAGGCAGAAGTTACAGTGGCATACCTTCATTGTTCACATTATTCAAAACGGTCGACATTGCACCGTCTTGCAGGAAATGTCTCATAGAGCGTAAATTGGCGTCATCCTGGCGGCTCGAACCAGGCTGTTTGGCTTTAAGGTAATCTCGAAGTGGTTTGTCGTCCTCGGTGAGCTGAATCAAAGCAGCAATCGAGGCAGGGTCGTGGAACAGATTCAAGTGGCGACGACCTGATTCCCAGAGGGCAAAAGCGATCAAGGCAGCAGATAGTATAAACAACACGGCCAAGGAGATGGCGATTGGCAGGTTCACCAGGACTCGGCGCTCAGTGACAGTGACCGTTCCAGCTTGCTGGGTCGGCGAGTTCCTTGCGACAGTGTTCAACATCATCTCACCCAGGAATCGTTGTTTGATCTTCTGAGCCCGGTTCACCACAGATTCTTTCCCGAACATGCTCAACGGAGCAAAGTCATAAAGAGCAGCTAGAAGAACAGAAACACCTCCCCACTGGGGGGTTGAGCTGGGGTAGGATGGGTATATCATACTCGTCCAATTTCGATTCAAGAATGCATTGTCGAACCGAGTCGTATTGAGGACTGTTGGCTCAACAAGCCTTCGATGGGCGATGAATGTGGCGTCATCAACGCCCAGTACAGACCCAGCTGGACCCGTCGAAATCGATACAGGGATATCCGCACGGTAGAACGTTGTGCCACATGACCACGCGGATGCACGGAACCATTTGCTAGTAGTATATGATGTATTGAACTCCCAGGTACTGTTGGTTATTAGAATAACTTGCCTGTCAGCGCATTCGGCAGTGCTATTATAGCATGACTTCGGATAGTCATCTTCCCACCAAATGGGTGTTACAAAATCCGGCGGCGTAAACCAAGAGCCTCCACCGAGGGAATTAATCGATTCACCACACACGCCAATCGCAGTCTCACACCCTGTACGGTCTGACAGGATCAAGGCGCCATCATTGGCCTCCGTGGTATTGGTAGACATTGCTTCACACTCAAGGGTGACAGAGAACACTGACGAGTTAACCTGCCATTGTTGATTCAGGCCTGTAAGCGTGGTATCCGACATTGATGGACCTGGTGGCCGCCAGAACGGGACAACTGCATATTTTTCTGTGAGCCACGCCGATGTTGTGAGATTCTGAAGTATGTTTCCGACGGTTCGGAAATAGACTAGATCGTCCGACTCCATGCGAAGGGGCTCGGTTTCGTCTACCCGGTAACGAGAAAATGAAATCTGCGACTCAAGGTCAATGGATTGGCTTTGCAAGAGAGCCGAGGATAGAGGGTTGATCAGGAGAAACCCTATAATATCGGCTAGCGTGACCGCCAGTAGATAAAAATTCAGTTGCCCATGGTTGTGACGACGCCTAAGACTGCTCCAAAGCACTGTCCACCACTGCTCCTTACTTCTCAAGATGCTGGAAGCGGAGTCGGCGCCCGATTGGTGTGACATTTGCGAGAAAGATTCTGTTCTCAAGGTGTCGCTGTATATCATTGCCGTAAGAATGGAATAAAGAACTGTTATCAAGGTCGGGGTGAAACGCCAGCCAAAGAGCACACTGGAGGAGCCGTCATCTCTTCCAAGGCCGTGGTGGGTAGCAGAGTAAGCCAACAGAAATATAACCACAAGGCCCAGCAGCAATGCAATTGAAAGTGTGGTTAGGAGGAAAGGCCACTGCAGAGGGTATGGCTTCCATGATGGCCTTGTGGCCGGGGTTTTGGTGCCTGGAGGTAGTTCCGGCGAGTGAGGAGAGGGCTCATCAACAAATTCGGCATTCTGAAGGGAGAGGTACTGCGGTTCTCCCCTTGCGACTCGATGGAGCCGTGTCTCATGCCGTGAATGAGCGTCTCTTGGGGAGTTCAACGATTCTGAAACCCGCTGACCGTCTAGCGAGAGATATTCCGCGTCACTCGCCTCTCGTCGATGAATTGGACGTAATGGGAGGGATTCTGAATTGCTATTGTCGTCGAAAACTTGACTTGACACTGAGTGATAGTGTTGTGACATTGTGCTACAAGAGAAGGCACTTTATGAGAGATTGTACCTTGGTTTGCGGGGCGACGTTGAGGCGATATGAAACAACAACAGCCATCCGCCCTGCAAAGAGTGAACAGGTCATCAATGGGCAGAGATGGCAGCCTCACCACCAACTTCATTGGACAGACTGCTGATCCTCTTTCCAGAACACACCGATGGTAGAGTCGCCATCATCTGGAGACAGTTGGCTCTTTGGTCAGGCTGTCGGCATCGGGCCCTTCCGAAGAGCAAGAAGAATTAGTAACGCCTGGTGGTGGTGTGGCGGCGGTGCAAACACCCAGGCTCAAGCCACCTGGGGGCCATCGTACAGTTTCAGACCGGGCGATTTCGCAGTGGGCGGTAGACGGGGCGCCTGAAGAATCCCCAGGCCGTCGTACAGCGACGGCGCGTCGATGAGAGGCTGTGCTCTTACAAATAGTTTTGGGGTCTGGGTGACAGGCAGAATACCGTCCTTCCGGGATGTTTTTAGAATCCTGCTAGGTGTAGAACGCACACGACGGTATGGAATACTCGGTGTAGGAAATGTGGTGCTGATACAATATTCCTCCGCCTTGCTCGAAGAGAAGCCAGATGGCTACAAGAGACCAACATGATTGGAGCATTCGCCGTACTTGACGCCGTACTATTCCACATAATGCTGGCAAGACAAGGGTGTATGTTTCACCTTTTGCACCGTCGAGAGCCGGCGTCCTCCAAATCCACCACTCATTGTCACAAACATTTCCATATGCACCCTCAGGTTATCCACGTATCCGCTCTCCGTCCAACAATTCAACACGCCCAACGGGCATAAAGATAATGCGTCTCTGCAGTAAGGACCATGTGCACCGGCGTAGAACATTAAGAATAGAGCAGGATTGGAAATACCGTCCGCCGATAAGAATAACCTGACAGCCTGTATGCGACTGTAGATTCATCACGGTAGTTTGAATGTAAAAATAAGGTGCATACAAGCCGAGGCGGTTGTGGCAGATGTGATGAGTCAGTGGCGGTCAATACTCCGTACCTTGGACAGCGAGAGCGTGAAGGCGGTGGATGGAACCCTAGCCCACTCGATAAGCATCAAAGATAACTGGCGATGAGGTAAGTACGAGCCATCAAGTCCTCGATCAAGACACATCTAGACTTACTTTCGCCAGTCCTCTTGCAGCCACTTCCCATCCAGAGACAAGTATTGAGAAAGCCGTAGCGTTCATCGCCGGTCTCGAGATCGATGGACATGCGGAATTTGTATTGGTTGGCTGGAATGGTGTCGGCCTCCGCAGGGTCGTTCAAGCTCTCCAGCACATCCTTTGGTCCTGTCCGCCAGCCCTTTGACGTGGCCGTGATATACGCCGGAGGTTCGTCATTTGTTTGCAAAAGATAACTTGCGTCGATGCGTGTGGCAAGGTCTTTCACCACCAATTGATTGTCTTGACCACCTGGCTGTAGCAAGAACGTTAGTCTACCGGGCAAAAGTCCAGATCGCGAATACTTACAATGACGATGCCTTTGCCCCATCTGCCTGCCCACTGTCCTCCCACGATGCTGACCCAGTCACGATGACCGAAAAGACCCGACCCGACCGAGATCTTGGGGTTCACCTTGATGCTCATGCGGAAGTCGAGCTCCAGGGTAGGTGTAGGCAATTGCAGCGAACGAGCAACGTCTCCTTCGTCAAATCGATGTAGAAGATTGTTGGCGGGAATAGACTCTTTCATGACATTTTGATAGGTCGTGCACTCGAGCAGATGCTGGCGCTGTCTCGACGTATTCTTCGCTCTGATCTGGTTGCAATAGATGCATTGTACCGAGAGACACTTGTCCTCCTCTTTGGCTCTGAACTCCACAAACGCAGCATGGACATCGTCTAGAGGCGGTGCAGGAAGGTTCGAACTGGGGGCTGTCTTGGGCGGTTTCGGCTTGGGGGTCGGTCTTTGCGGAGTCGTAGCGACGGCCTGGGGAGTTGTGGAGGGTATGGAAGACGTCGACGCCATTCCCTGCATCGGAGTGCTGATTGTCGGTATTCCATTGCTCATGGGACCGTTCGTCTGATGCAGGCTCGATGGGGTGCTGAAGCCGTTCGCTGGGCCGATGCCGTCGCCGGCCGAGGACTGTGGTCGAGGAGCATTGGGATGGTTTTGGAGGCCCGGACACTCGAGGAGATGCTGCTTCTGGCGCGAGGTGTTCTTTGCTCGAATCTGCTGGCAGTAGATGCACTGCACCGACATGCACTTGTCGTCCTCTGTGTGGAGACGATACCGTCAGCAACAGTAACGCGGTATACGAGATACAAGACTGTAACAGTCAATACTGGAGGTGACAATACTGACCTTTGGCCTTGAACTCGACAAACGCCGCGTGGACGTCCTGGTCGACTGTGCGTCCCATGCTTGACCGGATCGGATCGTGTGAGAGCGTGTCTGCCAACATATACCTGGGGGGTTATTCTGAGGTGCCCTTGCTCGCGCTTCGCATCCAGGTGTTTGATGCGCGACCTGCCCAGTGTGACTCGTTCCAACCTCTTGTCTGTCCGTGTCGCCGCTTTACCAGGTACCGTAAGAATTGACCGTTGCCGCTTTGGTGGGCGGTCGGTCGGAGTATCCAATACTCCGAAGATACCAGTACCGCGTACAGGGGATACGGTACCTTGTCAGGGGGGCAGATTAGGCGTCCCGGTAGCGGAAGAGAGGGAACTTGTGTTGTTATTTATGCTCCTCGCCCGTCAGCCAACAGAGAACTCCTCTGCCGTAACTTGGTCACAATCGCAGAAATCTGGCCGACGTGATGTCGTCTTTGCGACCACCTCGGGAAGGCCTGACCCTGGAATATCTGTTCAGGCCGTTTGGAATCCTACTGCACCCAGTCGTCTCAGCGAGTCTTTTGTTCGCGAGTATCAAGAGACCGGATGCGACGAAGCAATTGGTGTACGCGATCACGAAAAGTGACATATCGCTCGAGTCGATCAGGACCGCTTTCAAGATCCTCTTGACGACGGTCACCGTTTTCAAACTGAACAAATACCTCAGTCGCCTTAGCCTCAACAACTTTGTCACGGATCGATCGTGGGATTGGCAGAAAGAGATTGTGGTGTGCACAGGTGGTTCCAGTGGAATCGGAAAGCACGTTGTCGATGAGCTTGCACGGAGAGGCATCCAGGTCGTGATTCTTGACATCAACCCTCCGACGAAGAGTCTCCCCGAAAACGTGTCTTACTACAAGGTCGACCTTACCTCGAAGGCGGATATCCAGGAGGTATCGTCGAGAGTGCGCCAGGAGAAGGGGCACCCTACTGTCCTGATCAACAATGCGGGCACTGGCACCGGAGCAACAATTCTAAACGAAACCGACGAAGGGGTCCAGAGGACATTCGACGTGAACATACTGGCTCACTTCAAATTGATCAAGGAGTTCGTTCCTTACATGGTCCAGCGCAACCATGGCCACATTGTCACCATCGCCAGTATGGCAAGTTTCGTGTCTGGTCCTGCCAATGTCAGTTATAGCGCAACCAAAGCCGGCGCCCTCGCGTTGCATGAGGGTCTTGGGAGTGAGTTGAGGACCAGATACGGAGCGAACAAAGTACGAACGACGTGAGTCTCGAACTACAGGAAGCTTTTGATGGATCTCGGAAGCTGATTTCGTCTAGCATCGTGCATCCCTTCTGGGTGAGGACCCCGCTGACGCATCCTCTGACTACCCGAAAAGAGTGGAAAGAATTCACCTTGGAGCCTGAAACCGTGGCGGAAGCTATAGTTGCACAAATCCTCAAGGGTGAAAGTGCACAGCTGATTCTGCCATCTCGATTTGGCTTTGCAGGAGGAATCCGAGGCTGGCCTGGTTGGCTGCAGGAGTTGATTCGAGGACGCAGCCCAATCCCCGGATGATCCCAAGCCCATAGCAGGGATGAATCTGGAGGCCGGGCCAGAGCTACATGTAATACAGGATTTCACCTTGACAGTGCGACAATGAGAGCACTATACCACGTTCGTGCGAGCCGCCGGAATTGTTCAACCACTCATCTACGCTGTAGCTCAAGCCTCAATGGGCCTCGTCAGCCGTTTGGTCCCGAAGGTCGAAGGGGCTATGGCCTATTCAATCCTAGCGTTTTGTGAGAATTGTGCCTAGGGAAAGCGTAAAGGCCGGCGACTGGTGGGCCGAGTGTCTGGGTGTGGGCGGATTTGATTCCGGGGTAATGGAGCGACCCCGGATGATGGAGCCAGAACATCCCACCCTGTCACCGTGTTCCTGATCTCTCACTCTCCTCTCTTGCCGCCAATTCTTGATTAGAATCGATGACTGCACCGTCACTCTCGTCTTGAGTCCTAATCCGACGACAAGTTTGCACCACCGAAACTGCCTCTCCCGACATGACTCTTCCAGCCCGCAAGAAGGCTCGCGTCGACTCTGGGTCGTCGGGAGCCTCGGCCGATGCGGCAAGTGCCTTGCAATCTACGGCCATGGAACGACGCCTGAAGAAACGAGAGTCCGACCGCAAGTGCCAACGTATCTCACGGGAACGAACAAAGTCTCGAATTGCCCAGTTGGAAAAGCTCGTCGAAGAACTTAGCCAGGCGGACGACTCTGGAAAGGTCGCAGCTTTGCTAGAGACGGTCTCGCAACTACAACAAGAACGCGATAACCTTGCCAACAAACTCAAAAGCATCGAAAGCATTCTGTTTCCCGGAGAACCTCCCACCAAAGTGAAAGTTCCAAAGGTGGAGGGTAGCCCCTCGTCGAATCTCAATTTATCCTCGCTCGCTGCTGAACCTGAGCATGACGCGGAGGTGGTCAGCACAGCCACGGAGGTACCGGAGGGAAGCGCTCAGGGAATTTCAGGGCCAGTCGTCAATCCCAAGCACATCACTGGTACCGCTGAAGATTCACAAAGGATGGTTTTGCAAGAAAGGAGTCTGCGAAACGATCAGTACATGCCACTGCTGGCCCCTATCGGTGGATTCGTCTGTGAATGCAGCTACGCGAGATCCCTCCAAAAGCAGACCCTCAACTTCTGGTATCAAGGCAACATGACCCTCGGGGCGTGGATGAAGTGGCCCAAGTTGGTTCCCGCCGTGTCTGACGACGACCCGTTCCACGACGACACGCCGGTCCGCGCCATCATCGAGGGATGGGACGCCGTAGAGCAACGAGGTCACGTCCACCCGATGTGGCGCCTGCTCCGCACCATGGACGAGGGACTCTTCAGCCATGCCGAAACCGCCACAAGTCGGCTTGGTATTTTGGGCAACGTCAGTCGAGTGCTGCGGGCTCACCTCGATACAACACACAAACAGCTGAAACAACTCCCAACTTACTGGCCAAGCAGGTAGGACGATGGCTGTTTGCACTTGCACACACGCTGATGCTGCTTTCAGAGTCACCGCTGAGCACTGCGCGTACGCTACAAATTTTGTTGCATGGTAAGGAATGACCTACAGTTTTTGCGACGGGTTCAAAGCTAAACGCAGAAACAAGGCCCGGCGTTCGCCAAGCGCTGGATCGCGACGAGCATCGGTTCTGCTCGAACCACTTCTGGACCGTTTTCATCAACAGCATGCGAGTCGAATGGCCCTACGAGTTTCGCGATTGCTACCTCCTCAACTCGGCCACCGGTCTCTACAAACTTTCTCCGCTCTTCGACGAGACCATCAAGGACATTCGGAAGATCGGCGTCTGCAAGTCCTTTTTCCAGCACTATCCCGAGCTCGAGGGCGCGGTAAACGTAATATACGAGAACCCATCACACGTTGAGTGTGTGACGGCCGCTCGGTGTGCCCAGGTGGATGTCAACGGTTTGGATCTGGGCCTGAAGGTGGCCAAGGCGCGGGGTCCGTCAACGGGGATTGTCGCAACAGGGCAAAAGCCTTCGACGGCGCTGGCATCGGGTCTTTTTGACCAGCAGGCATCCTGGGATTTGTTGGATGCAATTCCGGAACTGTCTTTGATTCCAAATCGAGATTTTGTCTGATTACAGATGGATTGTGTCGACGAAATGAATACATACTGTCTGCTGGTACCAAGGTTGTTTGCGGCAGTGGTGTAGGTGTCCAGTCAAGGACCGTCTTCGTTCTCATCAACCTCTAGACGCTGAGTTCCTACGGTGGCGAACTCCAGGCCAGAGGAACGCGGCTCTTGGCACTTCTTAGGCAAGTAGCTGAGATATTCACCGTTAGGCCGACATAATATGGCAAGTGGGCATCCGAGAAAGGATCATGAACACAGGTACAAATGCAGGATCAAATCAAAATGCAGACTGTTTATTGAAAACAACATAGGATATCTTTATGCTTGTTGCGGCCACATCCTTTTCAGGGGCATCTCAAAGCTTTCATGATCATCGTAACATCGTCATCCTCATCATCCAAGTAGAAGTGAATAGCAACTGGTAGCTCCTTCTCGAGTAATCCAAAGTCTGCTAGAGATGATGTTTTGTTTCACATAGCCCGTCAGACCAAATCCAAGTGACCTTTTCTTTCTTACCCAGGGTTGTTCGATATGTGTGGCGTGAACATCGAATCCCAGAGCCTCAACCCCCGTGGTTGGCGGACCTTGTAAGAAAGCACTCTTCTGCCCATCCAGATCATGAATCTCTTTGCTCTGTCCTCTCCCTTGCGTTGCTCAGCGAGCCGAGCTTTACTCGTCATTAGCCTTTTCGTAGGAGGCGTGTGGGAGATACGGTGAAATGTCCTCTTCAGGTACAGTACGGGGACTGCTCGCCACTGGCTCCTGCTCCACCGGGTCCTGCTGACCAAATTGGGCGTCATATTCAGCGTTAGCTTCTTCGAAGTAGGGACGAGGACGGTTTTCTGGGGCGCCCTGGAGCAAGACGACGCGAAGACGGTTCTCTGTTGTCGACTCTCCCTGGCGTGGTTGAGTGACTTGGCCTTCGTGCTCGCCGTGGCTCTGCTCATAGTAAGCGTGTGGACGATTGGGCGTTATTTCATCTTCTGAGATAATGCGAGGATTGCTCTGCTCCATCTCCCCCTCCTGGCGCTGTTGGCCGAATTGTGCGTCATAGGCAGCGTTAGCTTCCTCAAATGCAGGACGTGGTCGGTTTTCCGGAAGAACGTTCGGGAAGATAACTGGAATGCGTTTCTCTGATGCCTCGTCTCCGCGGTGGAGTTGAGTGTCGTTGTGGTCGCCAGACTCTTCAAGGTGCCGATGTTGCTGGCTTCTTTCCTGTGCTGAAGGGAACAACAGTCTCGGCATCAGACTTGGAACACGGGGCAATGAGGGCGGAGCAAAACCATGCATGCCGAGGCAAGATACCGCGCGAGAGGGGGAAGTGTTTTGGATCAGTGCTGGGTACAAGAAAGGCTTCTGCCGTCGGGATGTTGTCGGAGAGCCTTTGTACGCCTCATCCTTTACGACGATGCGCTTGCTTGAGCCCTCTGTTTTCGGGACTCGTGACTCAGGCTCTACTGCCCACTTGCTACCAATCTTCTGATGCCGTGGAGTCTGGGGTTCGGTAGGCTGCGAGTGATCCCCATGAGACTCGGCAGACATCATCGCCGCCGCAATGGTGCCGACGATATCGTCCTGACGACTGGATATCACATCGTATGCCTCGGCCATGCCTAGATTCCGGAGGACTCGATTTGCATTGTCTGCGAAGACTTTGCTACCATCTGTTCTGTAAAAAGCATCGAGGATGTTCATGGCGGTTTGGAAACCAGCTTTTCCAGGATCGTCAGCATCAATGCGCGAGAGACCTTCCTCGACCAGCGCTTGGAACGCTTCGACGTCTATTCCAGCGGGCGAGGGAGCATCATTGGCCTCGGACAGGAGCAACTGCTGCCCGTGCTCGTCGAGCCCATAGTCACGGATATAGGGTGAATCCGGGCACGAACCCCAAGTTCTTCTGTGAGATCCGCATGCTCATCGACAGAAACTGGTATCGCTTAGTTTATCGTCACTTTGAAACGGATCTCGCCCGACATACCTCATGCCCGCACAAGTTGCATCGTACTTTCATATTTATATATATAGACAATAAACTCACGGTAGAGAGAGGTCAGAGTCGCTGCCGACCGATTTGAGAACTACAAAGATGTTGCAATTCTCGGTGCCGGGAGGCACAGGCTCTGCGCCTTCCCTTCGTTGGTATTTGAATCCTGATGCGATGGGAACAAGGCCTTCTCAAGTGCTGAGATAGATTGAGCACAGTCTTCTGCCACGAGTCATGGCTTGATGGTGATAAAGTTTGTCACGGGAGGCAGAAGCTTGACCATAGCTTGTGACGAGAAGGGTTTTCGACTGCAGTGGTCCGGAAGTAAGGCAGAGGTGCTGGAGGGCGAGTTGGACTTCGGAAACATATCCGTGTTCAGCCAAGAGATTCCAAAGCTTTTGAGCATGCGCAGAATGGAGGTGTTGTTCATCATGGCTGCTAACGGTAGCAATATGCCTCCATCTTCAGAGTGGGGCCAATCTGAAGCCAATGTGGCCTCGGGAACCGCAGATCTATATGGATGCAAAGGGAACCCTAAGTTAGGGGCAAAGACTTAATTGGCCTAAAAAATACATCTTGGCAAGTGTATCCGGAGATGCTGTGCAGGCCCATGTATGCGTGAAGTTCTGTGCTCAGTCAAGCTTGAATGTGTCTCTGCGCGAAAGTGGCGATTTGGTTCGTGTCAAATGAAGGCGTGGGATTCTGAATGTCGAGACTTTGTTCGGCCTTGCAGAGCTTCAGGTACCACCACCTTCCAGGCTAACTTACCTGCAGCCTCAGACGGTGAATTTGGCTATTATGACCCGGATTTTTCATCACCGAAAGACATCGACGCCCCGGAGGAGGCCAATCCTGAACTCGGAAGGGCAACAGAACGGACAGAATAAATATATACTGATCGGCAGCAGACCAAGTCCCAGATCCACAAGCAGCATTGGAGTGCCACAAAGACGAATTCACTGCCCGAGAGACAATGGTAATGGACCGAAAGGTACAACCTGATAATGAGTACGACTTGCCCTTCATTGGTTCCCAGACATCTTTGAGGTTGTGACAAAGAGTTAAAACTTAAGACAATGTTCCTCAGAAATCACAGCGACGAGTATCTATTGACTGTCATCCATTCAGCTACTCGGATCTGATTACTCCACATCGTTCACATCTGTAGGACTCAAACCTCAAGTCAAACACCTAGCTATCAGTTGTCAACATTCTTCTCAAAAATACCAAGGTACAACGCCGTAAATTCTAGGAGGGAGAGGAGCAGGGAGAGCCAGGGGAGTCCGCCCCACGCACCACTGACACTTCATGGTATTGCAGGTTCACCAAGCACTGGAAGGCTGCCACAGAGGCAGCGAATATCACAGCTGGAGACAGTAGCGCAAGTGGTCATGTACAACAAGCGGATCTCCAAAGCAATGATGATCTCACTCTTCGTGGTGGTTCATTGGTTGTGGTGGTCGTGGACTGGTGGTAGGGGTGACGGAAACCTACGAAAGTGTGTGGAGCTGATAATGGCATGAACTGCACCTCATGTGTAATCTGGGAAGGAAAATCTGGTAATGTAACTGCTATCCACGCAGCAATAGTTGAGCTCTCTCTATGGTTTCAATGCAAACAAAGGAAATTCTTCTGAGACTTCTCCACTGCATCTACTCACGGGTATCTCTGAAACTAATCGTTGCTCATGCAGAAGTAGCTGAGTCCAATCGTCGCTCATGGTGAAACATTCCCTGCAATGTTAACCACATATCTATCAGTTTTTTCGCCAGCCGGTCTCATCGGTTCGAACGATCATGCATGCAGCAAATTTCCTACACGGGATCACGATTGTCGGTTGGCTCGTCACCCTGCTGTTGCTGTTGGCCGCGCCGGCTTTCATCTTCGTCATTACCCTCATGAGAGTATTGTCGTGGACTATTTTGACCACCTGGCGCATGTGAAGCAGGCGGGAACAGCAGTCTTGGAGCAAGACTGGGAATACGGGGTGATGCCGGCTGAGCAAAGCCATGCATACCCAGGCGAGACACAGCTCGAGGGGATGAGAGGAGAGTCTTTTTGCGTCCCGATTTTGTCGGTGAGCCACTGTAGGCCTCATCTTTCACAACAACGCGCTTGGCAGAGCCGACATCTTTGGGAATTCGAGAGGGTAGTTCAGCTTCCGGAGCAGGGTGGCCTTTTGAGCGGCGAGGTGTCAATGGAATAGTAGTCTCTGCACCTTCCGCGGAAGACATGGCAGAAGTGATAGTATCCATAAGCTCATCGCGCGAACTGATTGCAACATCGAAGGCTTGGTGCATGCCGATGTGCTGTAGTAAACGATTTGCGAGGTCGGCGAACGTCGCGGAGCGATCGCTCCCATAATACTTTCGAAGCAAGTCCAAGACAAGAGAAAATCCGCTTCTTCCAGGAGATTCTGGGTCAATACGAGCAATCGCGTCCTCCGTCAATGCTTCAAAAGCTTGCACGTCCAGAGACTGTGCCACCGGCGCGGCTTCAATATCGGCGATAATTCGTTGCTGATCACGTTCGTCTAGTGCGTAGTCACGCAAGTCAACGTAACCTGTTACGAATCCTGGATTCTCGACGTTGACATCCTCAAGGAGTTCAATATGTTTGCCGAGCTTAGAGCGTTCAACCTTTGAGGGTTTATCCTCGTGCACTGTAACGGATGCTGGCTCGGTATCTGTAGGGACCGAATACTCCTCGGCGTCATCTTCCGTCATCTCAACAGGCACCAGACATGGCAAAAACTCGGTCTGCAACGGTTGATCTGGAAGCTCAACCAGATGGAATTTGGGGTCAATGCCCGGAAGTGGTTCCTTGCGCACATTCGGCAGCAGATTGAAGATGAGAGGATAATACTTCTCGTTCCAACAAAACTTTATCCAATTGCAGGCACATGTTTCCCAGCATATATTGCACTTGTCGTAGTCGAAAGAGCAAGCCGTGCCGCCCGCAGGATCCCAATTTGAAATGCCGAGCGTCATTGGCTTTGCGTGATGACGATGCCCAACGGAAGCCGAAAGGAGTGACCGGATGGTAGCATGAGGGATCAAGCCAAGCTCATCACGACCACAACGATCGACAGGTATTCCGAGCTGGAGATCTCGCTTAATGTTTCGAAACCACAAATGCGCAACTGCAATCATGAGCTCACCTATCTCGGCCCTCTCACGGTGCGGATTTCCCACCTCGCGCCAGTCACAGTCCTTTCGCATGCGATCAAATCGAACATAGAAAATATTCCAGATTGTGCCGTCGTTGTAATCCTCGGGTAAAACACAGTCCAAAGCGAACGGACAAAAGGTGCCATTCCGTAACCACAAAACTCTCAACTCTGGACTATCAAGGCCATGCTCCCGAGCAGCGGAGTGGATACTGTCCATGATGTAAGAGTAATCTGGGAATTTCCAGCCAGCTGGAAGGTAGACTTTCTGCCCTTCTATTGTGACCCGATAGACGGTGCTCAAACTCGTCGTTCTTGGCAAGAGTGGCTTTCCGGTACGCAAAGCTTCCATGATGGCAGGCATATTTGCAGGCACAGGTTTGTTAATTCTATGAGACAATAGGCGGGACAAGAACGATCCCATCTCATAGCTGTTTTTATGACAGTCTCGCCAGAACTGCAGAGCTCGTTCATAAAGTCGACGATCACTTGGAGTGTCCTCAGTAGCAAGTACCATGGCCGAGAAAGCCCGCAAGAGTGGTTTCTCGTATACACCCATGAGGTGGTTGATGGCGTCAGAAGTAGGAACGATATTGGCTTCGTGATGATAGGCAGTTCTGCCATCGGCGCCGGGGTATACCGCAGTAAATGCATCGATGGAGGGAGTCAATGGATGGCGCCGCATCCCGTCTTCTGTTAGATGAACTGGACGGATATCCTGCTTCAAGTCCATGTCTATGAAAGCATCACGAATCGTGTCTCTGGTATCATCAACAAAAAAGGGTTGCAAGTTGACCATTAAAGTGTCGACTTTCGCTTTGATTTCTGCCTGGTTCCATCCTAGCTTGTGGGTTTTGCTCTCATTGCGAAATGTTACAGTCGCCCGCCAACGTAGATAGGGTGTGAGATCCAGAGGCATTGTCAAGTTCAGCTGAGGGCCATTGCTGTCGCACTTCTTGCATATTGGATTGGGATGGTTAGGTGATTCAACAAAATCACTGCAGACTCGGAGGACCCAACAGCCAGGACAAACGTGCAGAGCATTCGCGTAAACAGGATGATCGCATGACGTGACTGGCCAGATACCGCGTCCCTCCAAATACATCTCTCGAAGAGTGACCGACATTGCAGCACCTTCCAACCATGCGTCGTGTATCGAAAGACCGTGATTGAGGCCTTGGAGGATTGCGTCGATGACCCAGAAGATCTCCTCGGTGGTAGGACCGTTCAATCTGATATCGGAAAATTTGACCTCAGCGCGGTTTCGAAGCCACGCACCTGGCTCTAATAGCACAACTCCACGCTCGAAAACTTTTTGGAAATTACACAATGGGGAATTTCGCAGTGATACCGTGCGGCTGGCCGTGCAGGCCTCAGATGCGGCTGCGATACACTGTTCAGGCCATCCAATCCAACATCCTCCAATCAATGCGGCTTGCTTGGCCACATTATGGACATGGAGAAGGTCCTTGTCGTTCAGCTGGGTGTCAGCAGATTGTTGGTCGTCGAGCTGAGTCCATTTCACATATGCAGTATACAATGGTTGAACAGGTCGACATCTCAATATTGTGGCAACATCAAGCTCCCAGTGTGCATCCCATAGGTCTTGGCCAGCTCTGCTGGTCTCAGTGGCTTTGCCATGGCCCCAAAGAGGAACTCGGCACGTCAACTGACCGTTTTCCTGACGATAAATATGAGGAGATGGGAGAGACACTAGGGATTCCGAGCCAGAGTTCGAAGACTTGTTCACGTCAGCAGCAAGCAGAGATAATGCTCCACGCAACAGCCACAAGTGCTGGGCACTAGTCAGATTGGAAGGAGGAGAGGCAGCGCTTTCAGCAAGACAACGTAGATGCATTCCAAGTCGATGACCATGTTTTGCAGGTATCATAAAACGACCCAGATGGTAAGAATATCGCTGGCTGCGCATGCTGAGGGCAATGCTCTCGATGGTTTTTGTAGCGCCGGAAGTCTGATTGACGACAGTAAACTTGAGGTGACGCAGAGGACTGGCTCTAGAGAGCTTTTTGACGACCTTGATAACATCTTCTGATGTGTCGAAGATTGTTTTGATAGATGGCAATGATCGCAATGCATTTGACCATGGGAGGATTATGGTAGCATCTAATCGCGAGGAATCAGAAGGTCTGTGTTTATTGGGAGAGCCCAGGTCGTTGTTTCGGATACTTGATATCAAAGCTGGCAGCATCGTGCTCGAAGCTGTCGTCAACCATACCCGTGGGCGATTGAAGACTGGAACAGGCGCTGGTTTGATTTCCAGATCCGATCGTGAGGGCTGGGTTGTTGTTTCACAGATTTTTCTGACAAAAAGATGTGTCTTATATGCCACTTGCTCGTAACACAACTCGGCCGTGAGAGGTACGGTTGCAGAAGAGTGTGCCTTTATCCAATGATTGCTTGCAGGGGTCGTAAATTCACAATCGCCGCAGCCAACCCGGCCTCTATGCGATTCTGCATGCACCAAGAGTAAGGAAAGCGTCGAGAAGGTTTTCGAGCAGATGCGGCAGAGTGACCGGCCATGAGTATTCACTTCATGGGTTTGAAGTTCATTGCTGTTGAAGAATACCTGGCTGCAATGTCGTGCAGCACAAATATATGGTTTCGGAGAGCCACCTGTGTGCAATGAGTTGTGCAGATCAAGGTCGGCTTGGGTATTCAGGATGAAGCTGCAACCAGGAAATGTACATGGCACTGAACTGCCATGGATAGTACGCATATGGCGTCGGTGTTGGTCCAATTTCTATGAAGCATGATTGTCAGCGATGAACTCCCTAGCCATAACTTTTTCGCTAGCAGTCTGGAACTGGAGAGGGTGTGATCCGCGTGAGTAGAGATGACGATGGAAACAAGGGTCATCTTGAACAGGGCGTTCGTTCCCCGTCAAAAGGATCGGAAAGAACAGATATGAATGGCATATCTTGGTTTCCAAATGGTATCTATGTTGGTATTGGGTGGGGAACATGACTTACGGCAGATTTCCTCTCACAATGGTCGACCTGACAAGGATATTGAACGATTCCGTGTTCGTTGATCATGTGTTCGTCAAGGTTGCGCTTTTCATAGCCCCGGTAGTTGCAGCCAGGTTCCTCACAGGCAAATGGATACAGCCATGGGTGCTCATCCTTCATGTGTTGTACCAAGTCTTTTTGCTTGTTGAACGACTTCACGCAGCCATCGTGGCCGCAGACCAATGGGTTGGCCGTCATCGGCCTGGATCTTTTGGGCGTCCGTCCAGTTCAAAACTGGGCAGGCGCTACTTGGAGAAAGGAAGGAGGAGGGTGTTTGGGGCAGGAGAAGAAGAGGAAAATTGAGAGGTCAACTGAAGTTGATGAGAAGGAGTCGAATGAGGAGGCAAATTGAGAATTAATCCAAAACCAGGCAGTGAAGAAATCTTTCTTTGTTTTCCAACACGCGCGTCGTGTTGTGAGCAAACATTTTCAAACACGCCCTCTTCACTTCCCTGGAATCGCTGCCTTACCCATGGGGATGAAGTCACTGGCTCTTACCTCTCTTCCAGACTTCATCTACCGCATCGCTTCCCACAATCGACCTAAATCCTGCCCGTTCGTTGACACCCTGTGTGTTTGATCTGCTCGATGCCCGCCATGGATTCACTGCAACAACAGTATTGGGCCATCTATGAAGAAGCTGTCGAGCTGCTCCAAACAAAATCGGAACGCAACGTAGAACGGGGAACAGACCTATGTGTAAGTCTCAATATCCCACGGACAGTGCTCCGCATCGCTAATCCTGTCTCCTCTAGCTCAATCTCCGAGATCGCATTGACATAGGTCTATTGTTGCGCGCCTTGGTCAACTACTCTCTCGCGATGTACTCCGAGTCGGTCGCCGATCAAGTCCAATACTCCAATGAATGCCTCGACCTCGCCACAATGCTGCAGGAGCAAAACCCCGATGATGAGACCGCTGCAGTGTTGAATATGGCCCGGGAGCTGGTCCAGACTATCAAAGACCATGCTGAAGAGGAAGGTGTTGATCTCGACGATATCCAACAAGACAACAATATTTCTTGGGAGGGACAGTTCACAAAGGCTTGGAAGGCTTCTAAGGAGACCCGAGAGAAATCTGCGACAGCGACCGCCAGTAGCCCTGCCCGCGAGGTTGACACTGACACGGCAGGCGAATCTCAGAGCACTGTCGCTACCACTGTCATCGCAACTGATGATGAGGTGGGTTCAGAGCCAACCGAAACCGACGAAGCCGACAAAGGGGACGATGCCGAGGACACCGAGTGACGCACCGTCTGCATTCTGGTTTAAGGGGCACCGTCTGCATTCTGGTTCGAGGGATGTTGTTCCATATCTCAGGGCCTTTCGTGTGTTGTTGCGTTCCTCAGCGGAGTAGAAATGTGAACTCAATAGCATTTGCATGACCAAGGCAACACAATTTGTACCCTGTAGTAGATACCAGATTCTCAAGTACCTTTAGTCGGTAATAGTACCTACAGGTACCTCACATCCTGTACTCGGGGCACACTTGGCGGCTTGGCGCTCATGCTCGTTCGTACCTTCCTGTTGTGACAGTTTGCTCACCTCGCATTCCGCAAGGCTGAGTGCTCCTTGGCCCCACTTTTTCACCAAAGGGGTGTTATAGGAGCGACTCGCAAAATACATCACCCAGCTGAACATTGGTACAAGAAGCGTGGTGACACGTCAATGTACGAGTAGAAATAGGTCCATTGCCATCACATGACGGGCGCATCTTGGCGCCTAAACAGGATCTTCCGGAATACTCCGCCCGTTTGCCCTGAGCCATTTTTGGACCGTTCTCCACCATTTTTTGGCTCTTCTGAGGATCTGAGACTGCGTCATGATGGGATCCATCAGCACAATGAAGAACCATGAACCTGAGGTTCAAAAAACAAAAATAGTGGCGCCCACGCTGAGTCTCGAACTCAGAACTGCGTAGCGTTGTTAGTTTACTTTTCTTCTGCTTTGTAGCACACAACGGCTTACCCTTAAGATGTCTGGTAGTGAAACCATAAAAGTCTTACGCGCTAACCAATTGTGCCACGCGGGCTTCATCCTCCTTTCGAGGGATGATTTGGCTATAAAATCCAGGAGTAGGCTATCTAAGCAAAGTTTTTGAAAAAGGCGAAGGCGAAAGGGTAATGGGGAGGAGGGGGGGGCGGCCTTGTGCTCCACCCCGAGGGGCTTTCTTTGTACGGAGATACGCGTCGAAAGTTCAGCCCTGACGCCCGCTGACTCCAGGCTCTGACGAGCATTTCTCCTCGGAACACCACACTGTACGTACGATCTTGCTAGCATTACATTTCAATAGCTGGGCCGTAGCATCTACCTGTACCTTTTGTTGCTCGGTCTACCCAGTGCGGAAGGGTGTGGGTCAAGCAATAATATACGCTAGTACATATCAGGGAAGAAGACTGATTTATAGGTATCAACACAGTACCTTTCTGAGCTTTCTCCACGTGGACGCTTATCACCTACGTTAATGCCACACACTCTACTTGGTGTGGCTCGCAGAGTTTGTGCAGACCGCCGAGCCTCAGAATCGTGCAGCGCAATTCGAAGGGTTGGGGATGCAAATCATCCATCTATCTCCAAGTTCTCAATCTCGTCTCCCTCCTCCGCCTCGGCCGCTGCGGCTTCTCCTGCATCACGCTTGGCCGTTGCCCCGGTCTTCTTGAGGGCCCCTTCTGAGGATTCCGAGATCATTGGCGGTCTCCAAACACGCCACACATGTTCCATCGGTCATCGTTGGAGTAGAAGTTAGACAATCCGCTGCCTTGGCCGCCTCAAAGACATGGAACTGGGGCTGTTGGGGAAGTCGAGCTTCTGCTGTTCGGCGCCCCAAGGCTCGAGCTCCAGTACCACGTCCAAATCCGCATCCCATATTTTGATGCCTCGGAGTTTGTGGTTCAGAAAACTGCGAGTCATCGGTATCGCTGCCGAGAAGGTGGCTACGATATCAACCTGAGGACTGACTTCCACATGTACGACTCTGCCATTCTCAGATGCTGGAGGGTCCGGTTTGCATTGCCCGCTGATGTTTTGCTGACATCCATCATGGAAAACCCAGCGAGGGCGTTCGGGACGATTTGGAACGGCTCTCTTTGGCGCCTCTGGGCTAAGACGCGAGATGCCAGTGACAACAAGGGCTTGGAAAGCTTGGAAGTTTAATCCCTCGGTGATGGCACACCAAGGGGATTCATCGAGAGTATCTAGTATTGCTTAGCTTCGGTCATTTAGAAGTGGATCTCGCGAGACATACGGCGTGGTCTTCGATGGCGATGAGTCGATCTTTTCTAACTGGACTTCTAGAAAATGTGCGATCCACGTGCGATGATCAGGGGCTACCAAGAATCGCTTTACGAAATACACACATGAGTACTTCTCAACTTTCGAGGTGAAGCTTTCAACTATTTCTGGTTTGATATTTGGAACGAGCTTCAGCTCACAACTGACTTTGCGAAGTGAGGTAGGTTTGCAGAGCTTCTGAAGGGCACCCACCACCTTCTCTGAAATATCGATAACCGTCTCTTTAAACGGTATGGCGTATAAGGTGTTGGACCCTGTCATGAGCTGACTGGCATCTATTCTTGTCGAGGGAGATGGCGTCGCATTGTGAACAGATCCCAGATTCGTAGTAAACTCGGCGGTTTGGTCTGAGTCTGCTCTCTCATAGCTTCGTGCTGACATCATCTCACCTCTGTACCTTTTGACGCCGATGCCGCATTATGCGGCTGAATGTTGTTGATCGCAAGCTATGCCTTTCCCCCGTCCCAGTGGATACTAATTCTTCACGGAGAGGAATTGTTCCTGCTGGATGTATTTTTGAAGAGTGACCTTTGACGTGTATGCTGCTACAATCTCCACACCTAAATTGTCCATCATGACAATCCGCGTGAAGTCGCAATGGGAACAGGTTCGCCACGGTTTTTCGGACTGGTGGTGCACTTTACTCCTCTCATGAGCTTGCGTTTCATGGTGATGAAGTTCGTCATAAGTAGCAAATGCTTGAACACAGCTCTCAATGATGCAGAAATGTTGGTGCTGCCATTGGTATCAGAGGCGGTGACGTTGGAGAGCTGGCTGGAAATCGAAGACAGTGAGCACAGCCTGGGAAAGTACATGGAAGGTTCTGGTGGTGCATCACACGAAGGTGGCGCTGATAATTGTCAAGCTTCTGCCATGCCAATGCGCTAGCTAATGAGCTGACGTTCGCCATGATCGCAGTGGTGCAGTAGAGCCAACGTTTGCTCCTGGAGTCTTGGGTCGGATTGATTTGGTTTTCCCTACCACATCGTGTCCATGCGGAGGAGCGAAGGGTGTTACTTACAGGGAACTCCTTGTCGCAACCGCTACACTCGCAGGGATACTGTACGATTCCATGCTTGTTGCGCTTGTGTTGCGTGAAGTTATTCTGATGATCTGTACGAAAGTCGCAACCGAGTTCGTCGCAAATGAAGGGGTACAGTTCTGGATGTTGAGACTTCTTGTGTTCTTGCAGAGGTCTTGCATGCGGGAACGAAGCCTGGCAACCTTTGTGGCCACAGACACTGAATTTGGCCATGATCTCTCAGAATGGCTGCCAAAGACTTTGATGCATGGCTTTCGCCGTGTGGAGGCTTCGCAATTGGGAAAGGGTAGAATACAAAATAATTCAGGAAGTCTGGGGTCCGTGGATATTGATCTGAGGTTATGATGAGAGCGCCTGGAGAGTAAGAGTAATAGTGACAAACATTCTGCCTGTGGCCTTGTGACACAAACCCAAAGCTGGACTCCAAGACCAGCTGTAAAAAAAATCGGATGGATCTCTTTGAAGCAGTGGCAGAGAGCGAAGCTTCAGGCAGTGATTCCTCACCCGCGAGGACCGGTGACATGGGAAGCAAACCAGGTGGTTGCCCCTCGCCAAACAATCAAACAATCAAACAATCCTCGACAGCCACAAGCCACAAGCCAAAACAACCAACTTACTGCTGAACGCTCTAGGCTTCGCTCTACGCCTGCAAGATATTGTTGGCTTTGCCCATCGGTGCAAGAATTGATAGTCAGTAGCTACCCACTGTTCGTACAAGACACTGACCTGTTTGAAGGTACGCGACCTCTGCCTCACCCTCAACCACTTCCTCCGCTCAACGACCCTTCGCACGCCAGAAGCATGGATTCGCTACAACAGCACTATTGGTCGGAATACCAGGAAGCGGTCGACCTGCTCGACAAAGCCGATGTGCAAGAAGGAGTTGACCTCTGTCTCGCGCTCCGGCGCCGCATTGACATGAGCCTCTAACTGCGTGCCATGGTCAACGCGGCTTTGGCAATTTATTCCGATCTTCTCGTCGACCGCATGGATTACGCCAATGAATGCTTCGACTTGGCCTCCATGATGCACGATCAGGCTCCCGACGATTCGACCAAATGGCTGATCGAGCATGCACGAAAGCTCTTGGACGATGCAAAGGCACAGCGCGAAGAGGAGCCAGAGGAATCAACCGCAAGCAACACCGGAGACACCGGCATTTCATGGGAGGGCCAGTTCACCAAGGAATGGAAGGCAGCCAAAGAAGCCAGAGAGGCCAGAGAAGCTCGGGAAGGGACAGCTACAGCTACAGCCACAGCCAGCTGTTCAACTCACCATGATACTACTACAAGCGAGTCTCAACGCACCCTTGCCACCACAGTTCATGATGATGATGATGACGATCCGGGATCTGAAGCAACCGAGACAAACTGAAGTTGTGGGCTTGCATTCGTCAAAGGCCGACCGGCCCATCGGCTCGGCTCAGCTCAGCTCAGAGATGGGGTGTTGAGCAGGATTAGAAAGCTGATCAGAGTTTTTGACCATGCCTGCTATGTTGCACGGACACGCCCACACTTGCACCGCTCGTACTTGGTGCTCTACTGTCCGCCTCTTTCCAAGGACAGGGAACTCAGGTAGCCGGCGTAGGCAGTTGGTAATATCATGATATGATCCTGCATTTGTATTTGTATTACTGGTCCTTTCGCTACAAGAAAACGCAGCCGGCATGGAGCGCATGGCTTTCACCAAGGTTACGAGGACCTCTCTTCATATCAAGGGCGACCCCTTTATCAGGGGGTGCAAGGCTCGCTCAGCCTTGCTGAGTCACGCGGGCGGTGGGTGCTTGGTCGGAAAGAGACGCCCGCGTTGGGGACTCCAACGGATTTTTGGAACCCAAGCCGAGTTTGAGCACTCCGCGAGATTTCTTGATTTACAGTGCCCCAGACGTCCCGATGCCACCGGGCGGTTTCTCGATAGCGTCCATTGTCCTTACTATGGTAGACTACCTTCCATGGGTTCTAGCTATTTGAGGAACACCGCAAAGACGTCCTTCTCAGGCGGGGTCCTGAACTAACGCACAATCTGATATCACCCTGAGATGGTGTGTTGTGACAAAGCCTCATGCCAGCCCACCACCATGCCTCTGTCCATGTTATTCCCCCCAGAACCCAGCACCCGGTCTGGCACGATGAAGTTCTTTCCTCTCTGCAGTACCACTTGATCAGTTCTGGGCCACCATGTGCTTGGAGGTGTAAATCGACGGCAAATGCGTAATCGAGTACAGCTCGCTCGCACTGAGGAACCTTGCAGGCCCCAACCAATTGACCTATGCTCCGCATGGACACCGTCGATGGTGGCCGACTCTTGAGCTACCGAGACCGTTTTCACAGACTCGATACTTTTTGCCTGCGACGTCTCTGGTTCGATACCTCTTGTTGACGATGGCCCTCCTGTCGGCCGCATGATATTCTTTGATGAAAGTATCGCAGTTCTCCTTTTCGCCGCCGGAAGACCCTGCTACTGAAGCGGATTTCCTTCGACAGACATGAGAAACTGGACTCACTTCGTTGATGACTGGTAAGTTTTGCTCGTTTGTGGCATCTTTATCATCGTCTTTCCTCTCCATCAATTCAGACAAGCTCTTGTGCTGGGCGACATTTGTCGGTTTCTTGGGATGTCTCCTGGGTCTGGTCATGAGATTCATTGGGCGTGCCGTCAACATCATCGCTGCTAGGTCGTTCGTGGTTCAGGTCAAGAGTTATTGGTGAATGTGCTGCCTTGGAGATGCTGCAGAAGCCCCTTCTGGGTAGAGGGTCTGATGACATTACCACAGTCTGAGCGCCAATTCTTGCCATCGTCCGAGTTGTCGTGATCCAAGGAGCAGCTCGTCTAGGCAGTAGGTGCGAATCTGCCACTCAATGACGATGGGACTGACTTTCGAGATTGTTGAAGCGTTTTTGGCTGGGTTGTCTTTTGTGGTATGTTTTGATGGCAAGATATGATACGTCTCCCTCACTCTCATAACAGAGTTCAGCCGTTAATTGCAAGGCTGCAGACAAATGTACAGGTCCCTAGTGGCTGCTTCTGGTGTAGTCGCGGTTACATTCCAGTTCAACTCGCTGAGGTGTGACTCGGAATGAACCAAATGCAAAGGAAATGTGCTAAATGTCTTTGAGCATATCAAGCACAAGCTCCGAACATGGTCATTGACCTCGTGCGAGTGTATCTCTGTCTTGTCCTCGAATAGCTGCTCGTAGTCTTGTCCAGCGACAGATATGGTTCCGATCGTTGGTGAAGAGAGAGATGTTTGTCGGCGGCTGCCTGCTAGTTGAAAACAAAGCTACAACTGTCAAAAGTACATGCCTCGTGGCTGCCATGCGTTGACTGCAAACGGCGACGGTGGTGGAGCAATTTCTGTAGAACGGGCTGTCAGTAATGTGTCATGCCCATTCGATGCAATTCCTTCCTAACAGGAAAAACGTGCTGAACTTGATCACTTCTTGGCCGAAGCTTTTGATCTTCATGCAACGATCGCCAGAGGGACTTACACGAGGAACATGGTTGCAAGCTTGGATCTCGCAAGTACCCCGCGCGTTCGGACCTTGTGTTTACGAGGAGGGTTCTCTTTGCAGTGCCGAGATAATTGCAACCGGGCTCGTCGCACGCGGAAGGATGGCGTTCTGAATGGTTTCCCTTCTCGCGTGCCTCTGGCTGTTTTGGTCTTTCGAAAGACTGATGACAGCTTGTCTGGCGGCAGACATAATGGGAGAACCCTTGGAAGGAATCCGGCGTGTGAGATATATATACACACAAGAGCATCCGCGCATACAGCAAGCGGTAGAAGCTGGATTTTTGTATCCCAGTACTGAAAGTTCAAGAACAATAAATACCTGACGGGACCCTGCCCTAATCTGCAGTGTATTCACTGAATGGTATTGGATCTTCGTGACGGCACTGCCTAGATTCTCCTTATCGAGTGACAATGAATCTCTTTGTCAATAAAAGACGCCATTCTGCCTACCTTGTTTCTCTTTCACTGGTTGGTATTGACATCAGATGGATTGGACATTACCTACCTTCGTCCTCACGCCGCGTTATACGAAACCTCGATGACGACAAATGGTTCCCTGTTCGGCATGCTTGATTTTGGAATAATCCACATACCACCGTGAGGTACCGCGGTCTCCGATCTCCTCTTCCAAACGTACCACGAGCGACTACCTCTTGAGGGCCGTGTAGCCACCCGCGTCTCCGTCACCCACCCAGAATGCTATCAGATGGATCTGACGCCAGGTCAGTCAGAAACCCTCGGGCACGCACCTATCAAGCTTTCGAGTTCGAGCTTCACTGGGAGGATCGCGAGATCATGATGACTCATGTCAGCCAACACCATCCCGATCTATGCAAATATGTCCCACCGAAACCGTACCAGATGCCTGATCTTCGTGTGATGGGCGAAGAAGAATGGAGGGATGAAATACGGCTCAGATACCATATGAGGCGCTTCAACATTGACATCACCGCACTGGAGATGAAGCTCCCAAAAGGGGATGTCTGGGATTGTATCGATGATTTCGAAGAAGTGCAGGCATTATGTCAGTCGGCCGATGCTACGGTTCTTTCAACGTTTCGGTTCATCCTGGCGACTTGTTTGGTTGGCGAGGATGTCGAGATTTTTGAAACGAATTTGTCCTGGCTTCGTCCGGCATGGGGCTTTAAGTTAGATGGGACCGAATGTCCGTTCCTCCCTGACGGTACGATTTCCTCAATCGTATACTGCCGAGGTAGTGCTAACGATCTCATCAGACTTTGATAATAGCCAGAACGCCAAACGCAACCGAGTGTTGCAGTGGCGTGAAGAATCCCTTAGATGCGTACAGGTATCTTCCCGCGACAAAGAACTTCAAGCGACGGGTTTTCTCGAGTCAGCTGCAGGAGAAGACCACGATCTTATCCGCAGACCAAAGGGTCAGGAAGCTACGTTTACTCAAGAGATGGATATTCCACAGACAAAATCGACAAGACCAGAGAAGACTTGATGCCCGTATGTTCTGGGGAGAGTCTGCGAACAGGTGTCGGGCCGGGGCCTTTCGTCGAGGAGGCATCGAAGAAAAGCGTCGCAAAAGAGGGAAGACGGCAGGATACCTACTTGCGAGAAGGCAAGAGTTCGAGCGTAGCGAAATTCATGTAAGGGTCCACATATTCAGGAAGTAGTGACCTTTGATCCGCGCAGGAACCGAAGGCTGAACCGCATAGCCAACTGTACTGTGGTTGGTATTATCTACCGAGCCTTCGGAATGGAGAAGAAATTCCAGATGCCCCTTTCTCGTGCTCCGTATGGCGTGACCGTTCGATTGATCGGAATAATCCGTACTCTGTGCTCAGTTTAAAAGAAATCTGTGGGATACGGAGAACACCACGGAGTCAGTTAGGTGCGAACGAATGGCTCAAAACACCCCTGCAGTACAGTGAGCGTATGTGAAACAAGGGGGTGGGAAAGCTGTGAAACATTTTTTGAGGCTGGACAAAGTCAATGGTTGGCCAGTTTTGCGACTGGAGAGGTTTTGGATATGGCTGATCCACCGAAGTCGTGGTGCGAGGACACGACAACATCGGCCAGGGCACACGAGTAGTCGTCAGTACGGGGTATACCGGACGTGTTCGAGGACTCGTAACCCGTAGAGTAGCTGGGTGGAGAAGGTTTGCTCGCATCGCATCGCATGGTATGAAACGAGACTTCAGTTGGAGAGATCGAGAAATCCCTCTCGCTGGATGGAGTATCTTGAGCCCGTCAATGAGCGCAGGTGGTGATGGCTTGATAGAGCGTCGTACTCAGCATGGCGCAGGCAAAACCAAAATCGGTGGCGACGGCGAGTGGCGCGTGGCGGGGGAATCGGTGGCTGGTGGCCCGTGACCACAGTGAGTATCGATAAGACTTTTACTTGGCGGAGACTCCCTAGCAACCAGGCCGATAAGCGTAGTGAGGCCCGGACGAGGCCAGGATAAGCGTGCAACAGGTGGCCAGCCGCGAAGCTTGGGGGCCTCAGGGGCCTGGACTCGACCCGGTCGACCCCTAATCGCCCACCAATGGCCTCTTGACTCAGACACATCCGACGCCAGCTTCCCCTGTAGCGTGGTACACGCCGGCGCTAAGCAAGCCACAACTGCGTCAATGGTTGATCGTCCATCTTTTCCTTGCCATGGATCGTGGCCAGGATTCTCAGAGGTCTATCAGCCAACTATTCCTGCTCCTCTGCGCAGTCTTCGTCACCTCCTAATGTACGGACTAACTGTACTTCCTCAAAGACGCTTCTGATAGAGCTTCTTTTTGACAGACTCCCTTCGACCTCTCGAGCGTTCTCTGTCCTCCTGCGGTTTCTCGCAAAACCTCTACATCCTGTCTTGTTTACACACCACTCCGACACCGTGCTGTGACTCTGTTTACATCCAGCCGCAGATTTGGTTCTACAAAATCCATGGCAGCCCTAGCATAACGCGAGTTCCTGGCCCTCCGGTTCCTGGCTCCCATTTCTACTCCTCCGCAGCCATGGAGACCATTCCTCCTCAGGTGTGGGAAGTCGCCCATACCCTCGTTGCTCGCAACGAGACCAACTCGACCTCGGCCGCTACGACAGAGAGTCGACCGGGAAGTTACAAAGCCATTGGACTCAGTCTGGCCATAGGCTCAGGCCTCTTCATCGGCACATCATTTGTGTTAAAGAAGGTTGGATTGCTCAAGTCGACCCAGAAATACAATGAAGAGGCGGGCGAGGGCTATGGCTATCTCAAAAACTGGTACTGGTGGACAGGAATGACTCTCATGATCATCGGCGAATTCGCAAACTTTGGCGCATACTGTTTTGTCGACGCGATTCTCGTGGCTCCCATGGGCGCACTGAGTGTCGTCGTCACCACGATCCTATCGGCCATCTTCCTGAAAGAGCGCTTGAGTTTTATCGGCAAGGTTGGCTGCTTCAACTGCATCATTGGCAGCATCGTCATTGCTCTCAATGCTCCGGAGCAAAGCGCAGTGGCCGACATTCAGGAGATGCAGCACTTTGTCATTGCTCCTGGGTTTTTGTGTTACGCCGGCGTCATTATTGCAAGCTGCGTTTTCGTGGCACTGTGGGTTGCGCCTCGCTATGGCAAGAAGAGTATGATGGTCTACTTGAGCATTTGCAGCTCGATCGGAGGCCTCAGCGTCGTTGCAACTCAAGGCTTGGGAAGTGCAATTGTGGCGCAAGCCAATGGGGAAGCCCAGTTCAACAAGTGGTTTCTCTATGTTCTTCTCGTGTTCGTTATTGCAACGTTGCTGACCGAGATCATCTACCTGAATGTAAGTACATACTCTTCCTGCGTGCCTCCCCAATACTGACCCGTCAACAGAAAGCATTGGATATCTTCCAAGCCGCCCTCGTCACGCCAACATACTACGTGTTTTTCACAAGCGCCACCATCATCACCTCTGCCATCTTATTCCGAGGATTCAAGGGAACCGTGGTTACGATCATGACTGTTGTCCTCGGATTTTTCCAAATTTGTGCCGGCGTTATCCTCCTCCAGATGTCGAAGTCTGCAAAGGATGTTCCAGATGCGGCTGTTTTCAAAGGAGATCTCGACCAAGTTCGCGAGATTGCCGAGGTTGAGCAGCCAGAGACGGAACCAAAAGCAGACGCCATTCGTGGCACGGCCGCTCTGATCAGGAGAATGTCAACAACGCGGCGGAAATGGGAGCAAGAAGAGGCCAAACGACTACACGACGAAAAGATGCAAGATCAGCTGGAACCAGTCCGGGAAAATGAGATTGTGGAGTGGGATGGCCTTCGGCGGAGGAAAACGGTCATCGGAGAGCCTGGGTCATCACCAGCACCCCGTAGGAAGACTGCGCATCCTCCGCTGGGCATGTCGCATTTTCCAGAACCCGACGATGAGGCCAACCAGAATCACGGCCCCAGCTTTTTCGAAAATCTGCGTAGCCGTGCGCAAACACTCATCCACACTCCGACACCTCCTAATCACCCCAGTACCGTGACGGCAGCCGGTCTCAACAGCCCTCTGTATCCCGTGGCTTTGACGGATATCAAATTTCAGCCGTCGCAAATCGACTCTCCTATCCATCCCTACGGTCCCGGCAGCCTTGAAGATGCACAGGAACGTATTTACGGACTCGCACCGGGAGAACGTAAAGTGCAAGACACCAAGGCGGGAATTATTCAGCCCTCGCCACGATCGAAGCCTCTCCCAGCCAAACCGACTCCGTCTCCATCGCTGCGACCGCCGCAAGAAGCGCGGCGGCAGTTCTCTTTCACCAACTTTCTCCGACCAGGCTCTCGGACACCAACCACTGACTCCGCGAATTCACGGCCTGCCATGCAAAGCCGCACGAGTAGCGCGAGTCACGAGCAAAAGCGAGCCATGAAAAGTGCAACAGAAGAGGAAAGATTGGGTCTTGTCAAGGGTGATTCCCACGTTGCTTTGCTTCAGCCTGAAATGTCCCATTCTCCTGAGCGCCAGCCCATCACTCGCCCACACTCCCACACCAGTTCTGTCAGTAGCGTTGATGATCACTATCGTTATCAATACCCTTCTCCCTCTAGAAGTTCTCAGACTTATTCTGACGACGATGATGGGTGGCAGATGACGAACTCGACGAGTCCACCACGGATCAACCAGCCAGTACCAAACCTGCAAAATCCAGTTCCAGTTCTCCAAAGCCCGAGCACTCGGAAGAGACCGAGCCCGCCAAGAACTCAGTATCAGCAGCCAGCCCCGACGAATATGCCGGTCACCGGCGCCGCGGCAGCCGCACTCCCCGGTACAATGGTGGGCGGAGGACGAGTACAGGGCAGAGTCGCAACAGCAGCGTCAGACCGTTTCCAGAATTCATCGACGAACCAACAACGGAACACTCAGAGTCCACCACCTGGATACCAGGAGAGAGATTTCGCACCTCGCCGAGCTCGAGCTTCAGAGGATCTGAGAAGGGATCAAACCCTGACGGAGGCTAATGCCCGAGGCCGAGAACTGGGTATTAGTGGTGACGACCATGACTCTGCTAGAAGTAGGTTTGAAGAACAGAGCAGAAGAGAACGGGAAGAGAGGAGATTGAGAGCGACGGGGCGTCGTCAAAGTTGGAAGCCAACTACGCCCGAAATGAGATGACACTGTTTGATGTCTGTATACTTAGATGTAGCTTTGTTAGCGGGTCAACGACACAGGATACCCATGACCGTACAGGATAACGCAAGGAAATGAATGGTTTGATTCAGCAATTAACGAATGTGGTCTCTTCCGATCTCTCATTTTTGTGCCCGTGCTCGTGCCCGTACCCGTGGCCGTACTCGTTCCCTCAGCGCGAGAGCTCACTCCTGTCCTGATCTAATTACCTCAAGATATGTACCTCAGGTACCCAAGGCAGTAAGGTGTCATGCAGGTGGACAGGACGCACCCAAGCTACGCGTCGGCATCTCTTAATGTTGCCAAAATGCGAACCGAGTCTGAGCTTGTTTTTTCCCGTCGATGCTTCGGTTCGTTTTAACTCCGGGGGATCCGAGCTGCGTCGACACTGGCTCAGGTAGAAGCCCAGTCAGTGCTGAAAGGCCTCTTTTTTTCCCTTTCGAATGGAGTTCTCTTTGTCAGCGTTCCTTGGAAGGGGAACGAAGTCTTGTCGTGTTGACCTGCACTCGCCCGCTGTACCGCCGAAGCCAGTATGGCTGATTCACCGTCATCCGACGACAGCTCGCAAGGCTCCGTAGACGAGTTCACCACCACCACCACCACCACCACCACCACCCAGGCGGTCGCAAAACCGCCTGCGCTCAAGGACAAGGAATGCCCGTACTGCCACCAGCACTTCACCTCGTCTTCCCTCGGCCGGCATCTAGACCAGTTCATCTCCAAGAAAAAGGCCGACGGTGTCCACGATGTCGAAGAGATCCGCAGGCTGCGCGGGGGGATCACGCGGCGCACCGCCAGAGGATCGCGAAAGGAGAGAGACAAGAAGGACCGCGGCGAGACAGTGTCGTCCTCACAGGCGTCTCCGGGTCCATCAGGGATTCACTCGGACGCCGCCGCAGGGCAGGTCAGCGGAAGCGACCTGAACAGAGTACCGCCCAGCGGAATACACATAAGGTTGAACAGACTGAACTGGCAGTCGACCGGGGTGATCACGGACCCTACCACCCTGGACTCGCCGGTGTCTGTGATGCCTCCTACGCCAGCAGCGGGGTTGGCGAGCCCGTCTGGAGGAGTCAAACGCAGCTTCTCGACCTACGCGCAGGATCTCGGGTCTGCCGGGGGGTCTAACAACAATGCAGACACGACGCGAGCGCTGGAGCTGGCGCTGCGCGAGGTGCTCGATTCTCTGCGCGCCGCCACCAAACACGCCTCTCCTACGCCGTCACCGTTCAAATTCGACGTCCAGTCCCAGACGTATCCGTCGCTGTGTCTAAAGATGCTTCCCGCGCCGGCCACGCTCTTCCAGGCGTCGCCTTTCGCCACGCCGCAGTCGATCCCCATCGCCCCGCCCGGGCCAGACCAGCTGCAGCCGCTGCGGCAGAAGCTCACCATGGCCATCGACTTCTGGAAGTGGCAGGCGCTGCGGCTCGCGCAACCGACCACCTCCAACATCGCGGAAGAGGCGGATTTCCTGAGCCGCAGCGCGGCGCAGTGGAGCGAGTCGACGCTCAACCACCTCGAGACGTGCTACCAGAACTGGATGGTGCATCCGATCGAGGTGCGCACTCTGCTGTGGCAGGTCGAGCTGCTGCGCTCGTACAACAGCGAGCAGCAAAGGGTGGCCGAACTCGAGGAAAAGCTGGAGACTCTGCAACAGGAAACGAACCAGCTGCAGCAGCAGGTCGAGTACCTGTCCCGGTGCCAGTGGCCGAGGGAGATGGCGCTGTGGCCGCCGGAGCGGAGGACGTTTGGCGCGGCGATGCGCGAAGAGCTGCGGCTGATGAACCTGAACAAGATCCCCGGGGCCGAAGAATACAGCAACAACAGCATCCAGCTTCCCGAGAGTGTCTACGCGAGAGGCGACAAGTGGGACTTCGACAAGCTGGTCAACAAGTGGAAGACGCATCTCAAAGAAGACAAGAACAGGAGGATTCCTGCGTCGTCTCACATGTCGGCGGTGGATTCCGGAGCGAAACAGGCGACGACGCCAACGACGACAACGGGGACAACGGGGACCGAGCTGAAACGGGCGCAGACCGACCCGGGCAAGAATCCCTCTGCGAGTGTGACTATGAATGGACTGGCGAACGGGCAGTCACCCAATCTCAACTCGACCGGAACTCCTACCACCGCTGCCGCCGATGATCACAGGAGGAAAGGTACGATGACGAGTACCAGCACGACGAGGAGCCTTCCGAAGGGAAATGTCAATATCAATCTAGTCTCTGATTTTTGATTGAGCCGTGACTCATTACTCGTTACTACTTATGACTTGGGTGTGTATGTATATATGGATGGATGGATGGATGGATGTATGTATGTAGGTGCTTGGTTGGTCGTTTGGTTGGTAGGTAGGTAGGTAGGTAGATGGGAATGGAGTACTCGTACTGGGGAGCCGAGAGAAGAGCGTGTGAGAATGGATGAGAGGATACTCAAGCCACATATCTACCTACCTACCTGCCTACCTACCTACCTCAGCTGTAAGCAAGTGTGTAACCTAGATATAAGCATGGCTACGTGTGTATGATATTTGGGGGTGGTTAGATGATATGCTGTGTACCCTTCTCAAGTACCTAAGCCAGGTGGTACCTATGTTACCTTATTCTCGGCACCAGTGATGGTCTGTACAACGTGCCGAGTAGGATGTACATGTTACTATTACAAAGGTAGGTAGTAGATACCTGGAGCCATGCTAAGTACCTTGGGCATGTAGGTAAGTAGTCTTCAATTTTCCAATATGGCCGAACCAAGAAAAGTACACATTAGGTACGCAGCACGGAGTCCTCCTGATGGATCACACAGATGGAGAGTCCCTGTATACGTACAGAGTACAAGATGAACGGACATGGATGAACATCAACGGGTGCTCCGTACCAGGTGTTCTGGTTGAATGTATGTATATTCGTATACCTTGCTTGGGTGTTTATATACCTAACTGTGTTCCCCATCATTTCCCTATTCCTGTCCTCCCGAAAAATAAAAATAAAAATAAAAAGTCAATCCATCATCATCATCATTCCTTTTGCGCCTTGCCCTTTTCTTTTTCCTTCTCGAAGATGTTCAATACCAATGCACGGGATCGGATATATACAAAATATTGCAGTACCCCCCTAGTTGCGGAGAGCCATTCTCGTTTCCTTCGTGTCGTCGTAACGTAGAGTGTGAGTGTGAGTGTGAGTGATTTACATCAGAATCACAATCAACAACAATCGAAACCCAAACAGGCAAAAATCGGAATGGACCAAAAAATCAAAACCAAGAATGTCGGTCATCTTCGAACCGCAACAAACCAGACACGGTTCTTTGGCCTTTGTGTTCCTCTTCCTCATCGTCTTCCTCGAGCTCATCAGTCTTGTGGCGATGATCGGGAATAGGGTCATTCTCAGTGTCATCGCCGTCGTGGTCGTCAAGTTTAAATCGTACTTTTCGAAACACGGCGCGCTGAGCATTCACTCCTCTTCTTCGTCGAGTTCCTTTTCCCTCTTGGCAAAGAGACTGACTCGGTTCTGTACCGCGTAGATGGCGTATCCCACTATCGCCAGCACCACGAACAGGATGATCACGATGATCGCTATCACGTAGTTGGATTGCATCTTGTATGGGAGTCGTGGGTTCTAGGGGTGTGGTGAGTTCCGGGGCCGAGTTGGTGCGGTTGTGGTTGTGGTGGTGGCTGTAGCTGCTGCTGCTGTTGTGACCGTAACAGTTGTTGCTCGGTACACTCGTTGCTGTCGATGACCAAGTGTAATGTGCGGACGACGACTGGCTTAGAACGGCGAAAGATCCAAGTGAAGTAATGGTAGTGGACGTAGGTGCACTTCGGGCTCGTTTGTGTTGGTATGCGAATATCGAGGATGACGACGGGGGAGGTCCAAGGACACGAAATCGGACCGGGGGTGGTGGACTGAGTCCTGGGCCTGAGAGGAGGTGGGAGCTGTCGGGAAGGGATTTGATGGGTATAGGGTTCGACTGATAGCTGCGAGGTGAGACTGGCCGACGAGGACTTGGGGGTGGTGGTGATGATGGTATGCAGCTGGTGGTCTGGGAGGTGTTGGGTGAAACGACAAAAGCACAAACTGTGATATTCGGTGGAGCAATTTTGAAGGCCTTTGTCGACGCTGTAGCAGGAGAAGAGTAGATTCGTATGCACAGGTCAGAGCTCAGAAGATATGTGGTATGGTATGTGTAAGGCTTGCGTGTCGTTTGGTCAGTGGTTGGTGTGGCTTGAAAGGTGTGCGAAAGCAGATGGCTGAATCAAGATCACAGATCACAACGAGATGGAACTCTGGAATGTTAGCAGTCACAGACACGAGTGAGCAGTGTGATGGGTACATGTAGGTTTGCGCAAATTGGAGGTCCAGCCTCGTCTGTGTCCTCCGTGGATGGCTGGTTGCGAAGGAGTCGGGATGGTTGGTAAGGGAAATTGTCCAGTGGCAGGAAGATGAGGCTCTGGTGGAACGAGGCTGGGGATTATGTCTGACTGGTCATTAGAAGGTCTTGGCACTTATTTATGCTGCGCGGTGTGGGGCAGACTGAAATAAACCATTGTCTGACATATCTGAGACCAGGCTGAGCGATAATCTGCAAGGCTGGGCTAGTGAGTGTTTTGTGCTGGGCGCAGTCAGTAGCCACTTCGCTCAGCTCAGCCCATCGAACTCTCTCCCCTCCGCGGACGGATACTCTGTGACGCCGTCGCTAGCTGGTGATTATCATGATCATCACAGCCAAGTCAGTGTTTCAAAGAAGGTGCTCCGTATTGACCGACCTAGACTCCAAAAAACACCTCTCGTCATCCCACAGCGACACTCGCCGCTTCAACTTACAAGGAGAGACCTGCCTTCACCTCCCAGACGTTGCAACTAATCATCAACGGCCTTGAGATCCTATTCAAGGATGATGGTGTGCTCTGGGTACAGTTACAGAGGTAAGAAAGAGCACCCATCTCACAACTGTAGGCATCCGTAACCATCATGTCTTCTCATTGTTTTCCTCTTGCGTCGTCACCCTCGCTCCATCTATTCAACAATGAGACTACCATGTTCCATGCTTTGTCGGACACCTGTATCACTTGAATCCGTGATCGAATGCCCCTGTAAACAAAGAAAATGGCTGCGAATCCTCTCTCTCCTCCGAATGCGCCCACATCGACGCCATCACTGGCACAAACAAAGAACTCTTGATCTCGTCTTGTCGGAATGGAACAACTCCAGGGCATGTTCCCTACGTGTCTCATCATCACACCGGCTTTCGCTAACTCACGATGGGCCTTTCGATCGGACAGGCCAAGAACGGCCCTAACACCAAGCTTGATACTTCATTCTTTAGCATCTCTTCTGACGAGGACCTGAGATCACCACGAACGCCCACTTACGTCCCAGAAGCCGCTTCACTGGAATACATCGTGCCGTTCCACCACATCGAGATGGCCACCGATCGGGTACATAAGCCAGGCGAGAACAAGGCGATCCCCAAACCTCCAGCAGACGAACCAATGGCTTGGGTCTGGATATGTCATCTATGCCACTCACGATATCCGCTGGGTGTGACACGACGATGTCTGGTTGACGGCCACTACTACTGCTCCGGCGAGACGGATCGTCCGAGCCTGCGGAGAAAGAAGAAGAATAAGAGCTGCTCAAGCGAATTCGACTACGTTGCATGGAAGGCTTGGGCTACGTGGCGTCGAAAAGTCTTTCACATTGCCAGTAACCCAGCACGAACATTACGAGGCTGCGAGAATTGCGAGTTTCCAAGTCAGTGTCGATATCCTCCTTCACCGTCGCCGCTACCCCCGCAGACCAGCACCAGTAAGGCGGATGGAGCGTGTGCCTCGGAGTCGAAAAAGAAGAAGAAAAAGAAGAAAGCGCACGAAGAGGAAAAGGAAAAGGAAAAGCACAGCTCCGCTCACAACGCTACGACCTCAGCAACAACATCCGATGGCAGTGTTGATTTCGACCAGATCTTGAGTAATATCCTTGTCCAGGAGGACTGCGTGCAGACTAGAAGTGTGTCTAGTCAGGCTTCGGGTACGGGTACCACGAGCACAACACCATCGCGAAAGAAGGAGAGTGTGAAGAGGAAAACGTCACATGTACCGTCATCACTCGAAGAGGACACGAGTAGAGAGGCAGCAAGACTGCGAGAGATGGTTGGCGTGGATCTGTGGGGTACATTGGAAGACGTCGACCTCGAAAAGGCCAAGGTGGACTAAAGTATCCGGACTCCCATATGGAAATGGAAATGGTTGTCTACGGTCTACGAGTCAACTGCGAATGATATGTTTTGCAATCAACCGACGACTTTCCTTTACTTTAAACGTCGCCACCTGTGTCTGGTACATCTTGTTCCCTGGGCTCGAAGCTGGTGGTGTCGAAGCCGCGCGCCCTGAATCGTTGACAAGGGGAAAATTCGTTCGTGGAATACTGAGTCCTCCGTAGATAGAACCGAGATCACAGTAACCATTCAGAGTATCTACCTACCTACAGAGTCTTGCACAAAAGAATAACCGAACCGAGTCAGATCTCTATTTTCCCAAGAGCCTGCCCACATATTCGGCGATGGCGAGCATTTTCTCTTCAGTAAATCTCCTTCCGACAATCTGCACGCTGACATGGGCACCGTCGTATATTTCGGCATCGTAGTCGTCAAAGGTCGTCTTGTCGAGATCATTGATGGGCGAGTACCCCTGCGGATAGTGGTCCTTGGTCTTGTCGGCGGTCGTCACGGGCACCACGACGCTCGTGTAATCCAGGCCGTTGACGAACGTGGTGTAGCCGTAGTACAGGTACTTTTCGGGTCGGGCGGCCGCGTAGGGGGCGACGGGGCAGACGACGCCGTCGACGGGCCTGCCGGTGCCGGTCTCCTGCGCCGTGGCGTTCCAGTAGTCCATGTACTCCTTGAGGAACTTGCGCCTCGCCACGTTGTTGGCGGCGACCTGGGAACCCGTGAATTCCTGCACGGGCTTGTCGCCGAACGACATCTTGATCTGCGGCGACATGGCCTCGCCGGAGAGCGCAAACGCCTCGTGCACGTCCTTGCCGCCGTCGTAGGTCCACGTCTTGAACACAATGTCGTACAACCTCGCGTGCGACGGGGGCTTCCACTCAATCACCTTGTGCCCTGCCTTGGTGAGTGCTTCGGCCACCATTTCCACGGCGCGCGCGACCGGCGGCTGCGGGTTGACGGTGCCGTCTGTCTTTAACACCCCGAAGCTGAGCTGGCCCTGAGAAGACGCCGACTTGACGAGGTCCACGATGGCCTGTTCCTCCGCGTCGCGCCAGGGCATGTCGACCACCAATGGGTCTTGGAGCCACGGTTTCGTCGAGAGGATGGCTTTGGTCAAGAGTGTCACAGATCGCGCCGTGGTGGCCAGTGGTCCGACGACCGACAGGACACTGTTCTGTTCTTCCAGGTCAGCATACATACATTCTTGACGAGTCAGGATCACTTTACAAGGGAGCTGAGGGCAAGTGGGGTTTAGGGCAAAGTGCGGGGAACTACATACCTGGCCGTCCATGCTGTTGGCCATGCCTTCGTACGGAAGTCTCCCTGCACTCGGACGAATGCCGTACAGACCGTTGAACGCCGCTGGGATGCGGATCGAGCCACCAATGTCGGTGCCAAATCCTCCCGGAGAGCCTCGCAGGCCTATCAATGCTCCCTCGCCGCCCGAGCTGCCGCCGGAACAGAGATAGCGGTCCTTGGGGTTCCAGGTATAGCCGATGATGTTGTTGACCGTCTCGCCGGACATGAGTGTGTGCGGCACGCTGGTCTTGCAGTACAGGACCGCCCCGAGAGCGCGGAGTTCCTTGACCATCTCGCTCTCAAACGTCTTTGCGCGAGGGTCGCCAGCGGCTCCTTCGAACGTGTCGAGCCACCCGACGTAGCCCATGGTGGTCTCGACGTCCTTGACGTGGAATTGATCTTTCAGAGACACAGGAACGCCGTGCAGCGGGCCGATGGTCGTCTTGTGTTTGGCGTAGTACGCGTCAAGCTCCTTCGCCGAGGCCAGAGCCGCGTCGAAGAACGTCTCGTGTAGACAGTTGACCAGCTGGTGGGCCAACGACGCCCGATGGCAAAACGCCTCCGTCACAGACACGGCGGACCATGTTCCTGCCGCGACCTTCTCGGCGATCCCGACAGCGTCGGCCTCGGTGATTTCGATCTCTTGGTCCGTCAAGAACTGCTGGATGTAAGGTCCCGTGATGTCCTTTTGCTCCTCGACCGAGGGGATCTTCTCCAGGCGCCACTTGTCCGGGATGGACTTTAAGATGGCGTCCCGTTTTGCGGCGGCGCGGGATTTCCAGTCGGCCACCATGATTGCTTGTGTGGGTTTTATGTTTAATGTTGAACGTTGAACGTTGATTAGACTCCGAGGCTCTGCTGGTCGAACGTCTCCTTGACGACACCCAGGAATTTATATTTCTAGATTCTGGGACTCGGGTGTTGTACAACCTGGACAGACTCCTTCTTTCGATGGTCAACTCGATGCCGGTGGTCGCAAGTGGGGATGTCATGTAAAAAACGCACATCTCCATTGTTCGATGTCGTTCGACACGCGGAGAACGTAGTCCGATAGTAAACATTATGATCGCCCGCCGATAATCCGATAGACAACCAATCATCCTGCCCATTCCGGTAAGTTTGCGTATTAGTGATAGGGGAATTAGTAGATATAAATAATCCTACAACCAGCAAATATCAGCGCAAGAGGGTGACCGTGGTTCACACCACCAATACTGATGACACATCCGCCCAGCCGAATTCCAGGCCTCAGGGGGGACCGGAGCTGGCTCCCGCCTCCGCCTCCGCTCCCAGACCCCCTAGAGGCGGAGGGCGCTCTGAAAGACGGTTCCGCTCCTCATACATTGAGTGCTCACATGTATAGAACGATTTATAAGCTCAGATCGACTTGGTATTTACCTGTGAACCTACGAACTGTAGCGAGTAATCATTCTATTCGAGGGACGGTTCCAATAACACTGTCGGTTCGTAATATCTACTAATACTTTATAGATCTATGTTGATAATAAGGAAATAGAGGCGAAGCGATTGCGCTCTCCAAGACCTTACGGAGGCGGAGGCAGAGGCGGAGGGAGGTGGATGGTTAGCAGTCGGCCTCTTTGGGAGCCAGCTCCCGCAAACACTGACCTCAGGTCGCCGAGGTGGCCGGCTCTGGCAAGGTACATTCACAGGACTCTACCTGGAATCAGCAAAATGATGATCTCTCTCGGGAAACGAAGATAGCGTCGACCGAGTGCTCAGCTACTCGTCGTCGACAGATATCTTAGTCTCGAACAGACTCAATGCATCAACCCCCTTGCATGTCCTCTACATACGAAAGTCCTCGTATGGGTCACCCACTGAAGAATGTCGAGATCAAGCGCAAAGCAGTCTTCGATGACTGGCCTCGCAATGCTGACGTAGGGAAAACAGACGCTGATGTTCACGAGGCTCCCACTACCCAGCAGTAGCTGGCGCAATGGTGTGCTTTGCTGTAAACGGTTGTTGAGCTATACGCCAATTCGGAGTTCCAACAGTCAATATACCAATGGACATAATGGCCGACGCAAAGATGTCCGTGAATCTTCCTTTTACCTCGAAGCTTATGACGGGAGCGGCCTGTGCCGATAGAATATACCCGGGCTTTGAAGAGGGGAGATGCGACAGAGGTCAGTGAGGGTGCCCCGATGTTGATCACTGATTCCGTTCTTCCTAACGCTCGAGCGAGCAAGCTTGGATCAACCCCGCTGAAATTGAACTTGGAAGCAGAGGTAGTTGACACTCCGGAAAGAAAGAGGCTGCGCATTCTGTCCACTTCCCCGAAAGATGTCATATCTACTCTAAGCATCCACGTCGAGAGGGTATGAAACGGGACGATACAGTTTACCGATGATCGTTGGCAAACGGACTCTGACGTACGCCATGTCTGGCAGGGGCAGGCGGAGAAAGAGGGTGTTTCATCTTCAGAATCTCGACGCCTTTGTCACTTGTCATTCTGAAGGGGGATAAGTATGGTATAGGACGGCCCCTCGAACCTGTGGTTGTAGCAGCGTGAAGAGAATTAGTTGACTGACTACAACTATAGGAGCGACCTGCCGTTACACAAAACGATGAATACCAACCATGTCCTTCGGCCCCCACTGGTTCGGGCGCAAGCAGGACCTGGCTGGTGACTTCTACTCCATTCCGATCGCGGTTGGCTCTGAAGGCCCTTTTGTGCGGCGGTAAAGGTCCGTGGTTCTTTTGGAGTCTTCGATGAGCCTCTAGGCAAGAGAAATGTCCGCCCCCAACGGTCGGCCAAACATGTTCCGAGCAACAAGGGTATGCTGCATTTGCGCCAGGCCGGGGGAACCACGTAGAATTGATTCGTTGCTAGTTCCGTGGTTTGGCATGATGATTGTCGAATCGCTGTTACAATTCCAGGTATTGGGCATGGTCGACTTGGATCACTAAGCGCATGTTCCCCGCGGGGCGACAGTCTCAATGTAACCCCTCCGCGTCCAGGGTCTGGCTCATGTGGCTCACTTGGCTCCCTGGTCAGGCAGATAGACAGTCTTGGATGATCTTCTGATCGCCAGCTGGCACGCCTTCGTCGCTGGACCAAAGCCTGGGCGCCAACTCAAATCATTGATGTTGCTCATGTTTAACTTTCTCTGTTCTTGCTCTGCAGCCTGGGACTAAGACACTTGAGCTGACTGGTTTAACATGGCGAATTGGAGCAGTACTGTGCCTGCGGGCATCCTGGGTGGACTCGTATGTTGTGTCTCTTCGGTGTTAACGAGCAAGCAGGCTCCTAGTGTTGGGTTGGGGTGGTTTGTCCCAGACACTGACCCGTCGACCTCTGCAGGCTGGAGTCATGCTCCTTTTCATCTGGTGGTGGTTTCCTCGCACCTGGAACAAGGGCGTGAGGCAGGACAATGATCGACTCGATGACGTGGAGCTTCAGGCGCAGAGAGCAATGGTGGTCCAAAATGCGCGAGATATTGTCGACAATTACCGCGAAGTACTCAAGCAGCGAGAATTGACCAAGAACGCAAACATACAACAATCCACCGACACCGCCACTGAGGGACGGAGCATTGTGACTGAGTCTACTGCACGAGAAGAGGAAACAGATCATGCCAGGTTCGATACGAACCCACCGCGTCCTGACGGCCGACCTGGCGGTCCAGAATCTTGAGGCAGTACTTGATCCTCGTCGTATGAAACATACATCCTGCCAGCCTCAGTGGTCACGTGCTTGAAGTTTGCAACAGTATCCGTCGGAAAAAGGAGAGACTTGAGCGCAGTTCCAAGGCCTGGCAGCTTCAGGCAAACGCATTGATTTCCGTTCAGGGCACAACCAAAATAACAGAAGAGGGCGGCGGCAGCCTGAGAATATCGAAGCGACGATAACCTGTTGTAGTAATCGTTGTTGGTGGCTATTCTGGGTTGGTCCGATGTACTTGTACAGTCGAAGATGGGCGCCTCTCTTCTCTGCAGCGCGCATTCATTCTACGCAGGCGCGTTGTGATTGTAGAGGGAAAGATCGGAAGACAATGTCATTCTGTCTGCTATACTGGTCTATAGGCTCTTGGGGCTATAATATCCTTGCTAGTCAATTGTCAAGATTAGTTATCTTCATGCCCTTACAACCACAAAAGCACATCTATCTAGGGACACATTTGTAGCACTTGGTCCCTACTTCATGGTAAAATGGCAATCAAGAGTCCTTAGGGAGAGGTAGTCAGTCATTCATGACCCACGAAGATGCTATCTGCCCGTAGTATAACAGCCAACATGTTTTGTGTCGATGGTGCCGCTGCATTTCAGCCTCTCTCGGTCGGAATTCTGAGAAATAGTCACGTATATAAGCCATCTTGACCGCCTCACACATTAGTGGCTGCCAGAGCCATTCCAAACGCAGTGCAGAAGGGTGCACCGACCCAGCCAGATAGAATTCCGATCATTTGCGGACGGGGGTAGAGGTTGGTTTGAGAGCCGCAGATGGGAGCCAAGTGCCGGAAAGCAGTACTCCGTACAGAAGGAGAAAAACACTCTGCGACTCAACAACCTAGGAGGCGCGAGTACCCACGCCAACCTCGCTGGGCACTTGAGCGAGTCAGCCTCTCACAGCTTTGCCAGAATGGTCAATACTGGCACAAGACCGGGCATGTCCTACCGAAAGCAGGCCGCGGATATGACTGCCGGCCCTCAGCCCAAGGTTCCTTTGCTTTGTGTTGTATCGTTTTAGTCAAGAGATATAAAGCGACAGCCCTGTTCCACACCGCGAGGTTCGATGGTCAAAGGGTGGTTGATTTATACAGACACACATACTCGCACACAGTCGGGTCACGCTTCTGATCTAGTGCAAACTTCTCAACCTTGTAGGCATTCACATTCATTGAAATGGGTATTAGAACCTATGAGCCCCCATCATCTCACCAAGACGTTTTGGTCCCTTTATAAACACCTACCCCTGAACTCTTATGCCTTCTCAACTCTATTATGGGATGTTGCCCCTGAATGGCGCCCTGACATTCCAACAAATTTTCTGTCTGCACTCCCCTTTTGCTTTGTCTCTACTTCTCCCATCTGTGAGTGTGCCCTGTTAGGTGTGCGTCTTAACACTGACCTGCGAGTGGTGCAACCACACATTGGCCAGTTCGCCGTGATGCGATATTTTACTCTGTTTCTTTCCTCATTGTTTCACGTACGCAGTAAATGAATGGAATATCGGGACTGGTAATTATGCATTGTCTCTCTATTCCTATAATTTCCCACGGAAATTTCTGTACTTCGCAGGCCAGATACCCTGTTTTCCCGGTGACAGAATCCCCTGAGGATCAAGGCTATCCTAGAGAATTGTTAGAAACGAAATGCGACACGTGGATCTGGCGGTGTATACCTTCAGTTTCTCGACGAATCTCCGGTATGCGTGGTCATTAAAGTCATACGCGTCGGCCACAAGATCTACGTCGTCAGTCAGCGGTTGAGACTATCGGTGAACTCGCAGGCTTCACTTACCCATGTAGTTGACGTGTGAGCGATAGTTGCTGAAGCCACGCTTGCGGCCCTCCCGAAGAAGATTCCGGAAGATGGTGTCAACCGATCGCCTGTGGTCAGGGTTCGTCTTGTCAAAAACCATCATGTTGACAAAGATAACATGGCGCTCGTGCATGAAGAAGTCACAGAACAGGTCGAAGCCTTCTGCTTCACAGACTTTCTTGGCTGCCGTCACCCATTCTAGCACTGTCTTGCCATCCGATGGGATGATGGGCGAGTAGTCTGCGTGAGCGCCGATGCCGACTCGGTCCGTAGGCAAGCGGTATTTGACCATTGGTAAGCTCCACAGACTAGGCACGCCAACGAAGAAGCCTCCATGAGGGTCAGGGATTGAGGTCGCTTCGAGCAGCTCGTCGTTGTCGCCTGAGAAAATGTGTCCCTGGAGCCTGTCCACGGATCCTGGGGCGGCCTTGCCGATGATCTTCTTGAGCTCGTTGAAATGCGCCTGGACGACTTCTTTCGCTCCGTATAGACCAAACTTGACATTCCAGTATCCAAAACCAAGCTGCTTCTGAAGCTCCTTCAATCTCCATTCCGGGATTGGTCCCTCTTTGGGCCACAGTTCGGCTCGCTTCCCGGTCATACCAAGCCACTCAACGATGTTGGAAACATAGACGGTGTTCGGCAGTAATCCGTCTCGTCGTAACGCTCCAAAGATTTCGACAATGGTTACGACATCTTCAAAGTTTGGCATATCAAAAGAGCACGACATGTATGCCTGCGGTTGCGGATGGAGCCATATACCAAGCTTTGTGACGATGGCAAGATTACTCTGCAGGAAAAGACCTTCTATCGATGGACCGAACGTGAACTTTGACAAGTGGGACGATGGCGAATTCGAAATTGCAAATTGGCCCGTTCGGACAACGTCTCCGTCAGCAAGCATGACCTCGAGTCCACAGATGTGTTGGTGGTGTGTTGCTGTTGGTGTGAAGCCTGTTCCACGATCCACCGTCTGTTCAACATGTTAGCCATATCCTCAGAGGCCAATATTGCCTACATACATTCCCGACTACACTTCCCCAACCCAACGACGGAACACTGGGCCAAACTTTGAGCTTGTGTTTGGCACAGTATTGGTACAGGTCGGTGAATGTGACTCCCGGCTCGACAACCGCATAAGAGAACTTGTCGTCGACCTCGATGATCTTGTTCATACGATGCAAATCCAAGGCAACTGAGCCGTTCAGTCTCGGAGCAGGGCCACCATAACTGCAATCTCAGTCAGCAGTGGGAACGCGTGTGTAGCAACTCAGGCATACCCTAGATTCTTGCCGCGCGAAAAGGTCCACACTGGTATTCCATATTTGTTTGCAACGCTGAGGATACCTCGCAGCTGCTCTTCCGAGGCGGGGCTAGGATATCGTCAACGGATGTCCGGGTTTTCCCATGCGAATACATACCATACGGCACCACTGGGCATCCGCCGTTTACCTTCATTCTCCCACAACTCGTAAGGATCGACGTATTCCTCAAGGGAGGCACCTGTAAAGACATATTCTTTGCCGACAACCTTTTGAAACTCTTCAATGGCTGAATTGAAAGCTTGCTGGCTCACTCCGGGAGGAAGGACATTTTCCAGAGGTTTGAGCAGCTTCCCCAGAAACAAGCTACTGTGGTTTTGCTGGTATTCAGGATCTTCGTATCGAACGGGCAACTTCACATCAGAAGAACTCATTTCTTCCGTGCTAGATGGAAGAAGTCTGAAAAATACCAGTCTGGAATCCGTATACTTTCAACTGAGGAAATCAGGATGTTCTTGAAGACTTCTGTCCACCATCGACAGAGTTCCAATTCGGCCAGAAGTCATAATGAAGATCAACAAGTCCTTCCCACCCCCGGCACCTCCAGTCCCCACCTGGGGGAGTGGCAGCTACCCCAACCCATCCATCCCTCACGAGCCTGGACCAACCCCACATTTACCGGATACATGCAGACTACCTACAAGTACCTGGCGTCCCCGCACCCGGTCGTCACTCCAACGAGGTTGTTTGTGCCTGGCTTAGCCAGATGCTTAAATTGTCACGCCGCTAAGTGTGATCCAGGCGCCGGGGATGCTTGTTCTGAAAGTCATCGCGAGCCTTCATGAGTATCGATCTGCCGACCTACTCCCGTACCATACGCGTCAAGACATATCCCCCTCAAAGCTCGCATTTGGTTTGGTCTCGGGCACAGAATTAGGAACTGTCTGGCTCATCACCCAGGAGTCCAATAATTCTCTTCAGTCACTTTGGCAGTATCAAAGACGTACTTCCCCGTTTGTCGTCCGACGGGGTCTTGAAAGCCGTTCTCGGTTTGAAGCAAGCACTGCGACGGATCCTGTGTCATGTTCAGGTAGAATGGCACATCCAAGCTGTTCAGGTCTCCTTCCACCCACTCCACTCCCTTGGTCGATATCCGCTTCCACTCTCTTTCGACTTTTCCCTTCATTGATAGCGGCAACTTGGTTGTCATGGGACATTGGTACCAATGAGCAAAATAATCCACCGCCAACATGATGCGGTGGCGATCACTCTTGTCTGGCATCCCGGTGTGCCACAGTCGCAGATCCCGGAAACAGATACTGCCTTTTTTCACTTTTGGCTGCGCAGGAGGTTTGACCTTTGCTCGCTTCTGCAGGAACTCCTTCTTGATCCACCCTTTGGTCGGCGTGGCCTGCTGCTCCCTCTGAGGATACGCATTGTGTGTTTCAGCACCAGACTTCTGTGACTCCATTCTCGACATCCGAGTCCTGGAGATAGATGTTGATGACGATCCCAAATGGGGTTTCAGGATATGCATGATTCACGTCGCTGTGAACTGCTTGACGGCCGGTACCGCCCGGACAGGCCACGTTGCTGTTGATGAAGCGAAGCTCAGGTTTAGGGCCGAGAAGGTTTTCCACCACTCGGATCATGTGCGGATTCACGTAGAAATCCCGACCAAGCCATTCTGGCGTCAGCGGAGGGATCTGGCTAACATTTCCAGTCGAGGCACCTTGGTTCCAGTGCATGTGCTTTTTCTTCAAAAACTCTTTGTTGTCGTGAACCATTCGCTGGTAGAGGCGATCAACCAGGCTTTCGTCGATGGCATTTTCCATGACCACGAAGCCGTCTCGATGAAAGTACCCGAGACATTCTTGTATCGTATCCAACTTAGTCACTCCTGAGCGGAACTCGTCGTCACTCAGTCGGATGATAACTGGGTTCTCTCCATGTTTCTCAACATCCGGGATCAGGGCTCCGTGAGCATACTTAGAGCTCCTCGAGGGCTGTTCACCAGTAGCTGAGGACGCCATGGATCAAATGGAGTTACCAATGAACAAAAAGCCAAAAAAAACCAAAGGCGGGAGAGTTTGTGGAACGAATGGGTCCTTGTGACACAAGCACGGCGCACCCAACCTACTGTGTGTCACACGCAAAGCATAGGGTTCAGCAGAAGAGGCAACCTCTTGTGACCTCAAATTCCCTGTCTCTGGGTTACTTGGGGTGCCATGCAGGACCACTCCGTAGGTAACACAATGGCACTCTCAATGTCCTGTCACATGCAGACTGACCCAGCAATTTAGCCTAATCCCATTCCATGGGGTAAATACTGTACTTGCCGGAAACACGATCAAGAGTAATCAGCCCAACTATCCTTGGGATAAACCCGAAACCCATTCAGCTTGTTTTATGTTTGAGTCAACTTTAGAATGCTCTGATCATTCTCGAGGACAGTTTAAGCTCTAGTACGCCATGACTTCTATGAGGTCCACATTCACATCATATATAACACCGAAGATCTAGACAAATGCCGCTTTTACGTTAGAGCGTTTCTCGCAGTGCTTCAGATATCCAAGTATACTCATCAGTTTCGACCCGTTTGCTAGACAAGTTTGCACATTAAGCCCCTAAGTCCACTGTTGCCCAAGCCCGCTGTTGGAGCGAGTCCAACGAGACCGAATGGATCAAATTTAATGGCATCCATTCACAAGTCATTCTCTGCCACTTGCACAATGTCGTCTCGTCTTCCACGTTAGCCAGTAAGGGCGGTCGTGTTCAGGAGTCCAAACAGCTCGACGCCACTAAGGACGATGGCTGTCTTGTGGGAAAAAAACATCGTTCGGTTCTACCTCACCAAGAAGAAGAACGTCCTTCGTTAGTTAGCTGTACGCAGTCCACGCTCGGCAAAATTTCCCGATTGGTCAATCCCGTGTTCCCTTTTGACATCGAGGTTCGAACTTGCCGATTCTGATCAGACCTTCTTGCAACCAGAAGCCAAAAGTTGTGCGTGTACATCCACGAGGTCGGCGACTCTCAACTGAGCTGTTCGCAATAGCTCGTGGTGGGGTTGGCGTATACGCCAACAGCATGACGGCCACTCATGCCTGATCACTCATGCCTCAAGCGCTGAAAGGTAGGTTCAGTTCGCCCACAATCTTTTGCGCCGTATGCTGACTCTGAGGGAGACTGTCGAACCTGCAATCGCCGTCGCATTCGCTGCGACCGGACCATTCCTGCCTGCTCGAAATGCGTGTCCCGAAAGCTGTCATGCCCAGGCTACGAGAAACAACTGAAGTGGGTGTGTGGCGCGGTCAGTAAGGGGCCTTATCGAAAATATTATTGCCATGGTGAGGCAGATGTGAGCCTTGTAAAAACCAGTGGCTACAAACGCATTGAAAATCAAGAGCAGGCAAGCGTGGCCTCAGAGCGGGCGACGCCCGATTCGCCGACCACTTCCCGGCCTGGGAACTACCCATTTGTGGTGTGTCGAACGAATCTAGAAAACCCTCAGCTAAGCCAATCTGGAGCGGCCTTTCTGTTGAACCACTTCACCCGAGTTGTTGCCAATCAGCTGGTCTGGTATGACGACGACGCCAACCCATGGCGGAATTTGATTGTGCCACTTGCCTTGGACTCACCGACGCTTCTCACGACCATTCTTGCTATAGCATCTGGAAACATTGTGTCGAGAACGCAAGGTGATAACCAGCACACAGGAAAAATTTATCGGTCAATGCAATTCCATCGTGAGCAGGCGCTAAGGTTGCTGTCCAAAGACATTCGGGTCATGAGTAATCTCACATCAACGAAATCATGGCAGCCGTCCCATTCGCGATGGGGAGATGCAACACTAGCGAGCGTCATCCTTCTCTCCTACTTGGAGATTCACTTTCCTACGTCGGGTGTGTGGCGATTGCACCTAAAGGCAGCTCGACAAGTCATTCTAGCAATTGAAAAGCCCTCAATCTCGGACCGAACGACAATTTTCTTGACGGAGGAGCTCTTTGCTGCAACCACTTGGGCGCTCCTGACCGACTATGATTTCGATGCGTCTGTCAGCGGTTATGATCTTCACATATCGCATGACAACCATGCTCCCCAACCTCAAGAACTGCAAGAGATGGTCGCCATACCATATCAGGATTCTGGATTTGCAGGTTTCTGTCTTGCTATACAGCAGATTACTCGGATGGAGCGAATACTCCGGCAATCAAGAGTCCATGGGGTGCCATATATGGACACCGAGACCATTTTGGCGCAGATTGATCGCATGCTCTCAGAAGCTCGGCGCTGCGCACTCGGATCTGCAAAACCTGAACGCCTCCGGTGCACGAAATCCGAACACCTTGATGTCCGAAATCTGATTGATGCCATCTATCACGCCACTTCAGTCTACAAATTACGAGCGCTACAATGCACAACAAACGCAGAAAGCACCCTGAACTACCACCGAAACCAGCTCTTCAGGTCTCTACTGGCATTTCACGACCTGGAGTCATTCGCCCAAGACCAAACATGGTCTCTGTTCGTGGCTGGTACAGAGAGCAAAGGCGACGTAACAAGACAGGTTTGGATCAGGCGTCGGTTCCATCGTATTATGAGCTGTAGCTGTGAGCTCGATCGACCCAGGGTAATGAGGTTTCTCGAAGCATATTGGCTACAGACCGACTCAGAAAACTGGATTAACTATGGACGTCGGCAGACAGATCAAGTCGGGTTTCTGATACTCTAATTTTTTAAACGAGGTCTCTTGAATACTGACAACAATTTTCAAAGTAGTCATTTGAGGTTACGTCTACTCACGAGCGACAAATTTCAAGCGCGGTGAAGCTTCGGAGGCTCGCAAAACGTAAAGTGCACAGTACTCAATATTGATCACGTATGGCATCGAGAGGGAGATCTTTGCCATCATCGAGCTTGAGCAACCATCGCTCCCACGAAATATGGCCGAGTCCAACACTGTCATGCCAAGAAGAAAATCGACCACTCTCAGAGTCGCACTGTCTCTTCATCCTCTACCCCGAACAAAACCTCCATCGGATCCTTGTATCTGTAGAAACCAACCGCCGGAGGGCTGATGCCATAGCCTAGGAGCCGCTGGACCTGTGGGGATAACTTTTTCGCCATGGGTGGAGGGACGGCGAGCCAGTGATTTTCCTCGGGTCGCATGAAGCCCTTGCACATGAACAGACCGACGACTTCACGAACCTCGTCCCTAGCATGACATCGTGAGCTACTGTTGTTGAAAGACGTCTAGAGATGGGCGGTACTCACTTGGTCTTGTTGGCTCCGCCGGCATGGAACACATTTCCTCCAAAGATGAGTGCATCGCCGGGCTCCAATTCCACCGGGATGGCTTCCTCCTCCTTAGGTGCCCGTTCAGAATCCCATGTATGAGATTGTGGGATGACCAAGGTGGCCCCGTTCTCCGCCGTGGTTCTGGTCAGGGCAACGAGAAGGCCGAGCATACACGAATCAAGGCCTTGGGGAAGATGATAGTCACTGCCGGTTCCGGAAGAAAGACACTCAGCACCGAGTTAATATTTTGCAACATCGGCTGGGAACTCACCTATCATCACGATGAAGATCCTGCTGTCGGGATCCCGGATGAATTTGGAACCCGAAAGTACCGGCCAGGATAGGTTTCGAGACGAAATGTGCTCGTTTCTCTCCATACCACGGTCGGCAGGTACTGGTTAGGATCTCGTTGGCAACGTCGATCCAGAGCTTGTTTGTCGCCAATTCAATGCACCCGTCCGAAAACCCCAACAGGCCAGTTGCACGGCGGGTGGTGGCAGGGAAGAATCCCGACGCGTCGGGGATGTCTACCTCGAACACTGGTTTCAGTTCTTTGCGGATGCGAGTGACGAGGTCGTTGTTAGCGAGGCCGGTCAACACAACACCGCCATCCCGGCGAACGAGTTCGACTACTTTGGCATGGGTGGATGCCGGATCATTGGCCGCCATACGTTCAAGGTGCGGGCGATTCGACGTTGTAAGGGACTTTTGTGCTGGATAGGACGTCTCTTGAGTTGTGGTGGTGGCGATTGTCATTTTTGCTGAACGCTGTCGACTGCTACTCGAGCTTGTTTTCTCCCGGACCGCGACTTCAATTTGTGTGTGTGCAGACTGCTTCGTGAGCTAGAGGTATTTATCTACCCAACGTGGCTCCGTTTTATACTTGTAGTATCTGGTATCCTACTTTATCAACGTTGTCGAACGCAGCTGTTCTTCCCGTATCCTCATCACAAGAATCTCGGCAGTTCTGATCCTGGCCACAGACTATCCACCAGCCAGGCATCGCATTTCTCACTCGAACCCTACTAATTGGGCGATGGCTGCGGAGAAAGCCTACGCCGGGAAACCTCTGCTACTTTGGATGGGTCCATCTCCTTGGCCTAGACCCAAACTAGTTAGAACGTGTAGTGGGGTTTCTTGGGCTCTCCCAACATCCTCCTTAAAACGGTGTAGGCCGCAAGGAGGTGGTTCTATCCTGTGGCGGTCCAAACAGCCATACGCTTTGGAATGATACTCTCTTCGCTCTTAGCGGACTGAGCTCTTCCTACATGGTCTGTCACCCATTTTGCTTCTTATACTTCTCCGTTTACCGGAAGCCCTGGTTATGCTCCGGGAGGAAGAAGTTACATCGATATGCTCGAGATGGTAGCGGAGTAAAGAGTTAGATGTGGCGCTTCGAGATCTCCTTCGGGCGCCTTTATCGCCAGTTCCTGTCGACGTAGAAAGAAAGTTCATCAATAGCGCAATGTCTCGCATGCATATCGCTGAGAATTTCTCTCTGGCACTTGGCGTCAAGGTGAAAATTCTCGTGTTCGTCGTCTCCCTCGTCGTCTCCTTCTCGATTTCTCGACAATCAACCTAGCTCTGTGACACCATAACGTCTATCCAACCACTAAACTATCAACAACTTCTATTTCTTCGCCGCTCAAAAATTGTCGTCATCGCCACAGGTCAAGGCAGCCAGGCCAGTCATGGCTGCGGAATCGGAGAATCCCGACACGCTGCTCTACAAACTCACGTTCTACGTTCCTCAATCACATACACAAACGTGCCTCGATGCACTTTGGTCCACGGGCGCAGGAAGATGGCCCAACGGTCCCAGGGCTAGCGCTTGCGAGCCCCCAAAGTACACAGACGTCGCATTTATTAGCCCTGGGATGGGCCAGTTCAAAGTCTCAGCTCATGCAACTCCGCATATCGGAACCCCCGGGAATGGAGAGGCAGAACACGTTTCTGAGGACCGCGTGGAAATGGTGATTGTCGGAACAGCGACTGCGAAGAGCGCCGTCGCCAAACTGAGAGAGGTACATCCGTACGAAGTCGTGGCTCTTTTCGTGGTGCAATGTGAAGACTTTTGAACGTCTGAGGTTGCGGATTGACTGGAGATATATAACATACTAGATTAAGCGTGGGATTCGAATCAAACGCTATGACGGTTATTCCTTGCCTCCGGTGCGGTTCCTGTGCTCACTTCCCGCCACATCATTTCTATCTGAAGCACGGCTACAACCTGACCTCGGACCTCCCGGTCCTTATTTGGGGTGAAGGCAACCTGAATATTCAATCCGGCTCCCCTGGCTTATGTCATGTAGTGTTGGACTCAGAAGATGCAGGCCAAGGATACATCAATGGCTTCCGGGACACGCTGTCAGTGAGAATTGGACTGATACTACTTCTCGGGCAAGCTTCACCCTTCCAGAAGACGAAGCCAATAATAGTGGCGCTGCTGCTTGTTCGGGCGCGTACATCTCGTTTCCTCCAGTACTGCCATACGCTTCGAGTTTTGGTCAACGTCAAGGCCGTGGGACCTCTGGACTATTCTTCGCCCACGGTCGATATTGGCCCGTACCTCGACCTCGAACTCAGCCCGACCACCGCGACTCGGAAGACCCAGGTCATCACCGTCACCGATCCCGTCGACCATGTGGAATTACCTGCGCAGTATCTACGGGGAGTTCAGGGGCCAAGGCAAGCCTTAATTTTCTCAAAAACTGTAGCACCTAAACTGACACCGTACTTTAATTACAGTGCTGCCCAGCTACGCCAACTCCAAGACCATACGTACCCCATGAGGGTGCAGCATGCTGGCTACAAGCTATAGAAAAACCGAAGTTTTGAGTCGCGGAAATGAACTTTGGTCTGGACTCCTATCCTGGACCTTTAAAAGTCCGTTGCTCGTTGTTTTAAAATTTAAAATGCGGGCTCAGGCTGGTGGTGGGTATTATTTATGGCCTCGGAGCCAAGTGGTGCGGTCAAAGTTGGTGATCCGGAGGACCAACACTATGATCAAGCACGCCTAGATGCTTAGGTACCTGTTAGGTATCTATCTCTTGATGTCCTCGGCAGTGGGCAGCCACAGTAGTAGTTACGGATATAGAGAGTTGAATGCACTCACGAGTGACCCATACCACGAGGCCATGGGTCGTCTAAGGGGGGTGGCTGCGGTACCAAGCGAGTTAGTATAAGCATATAGACTATTATGTAGCACTAAGCGAAGTTAAAGAGGTGTTCTTCATTTCTATCTGTATTTATTCACTCCAACAATGACTTCTCAGTCAGAGCTAATGTTGTAATCCTAGTATGCAGTGCACGATATACTGTGATATGAGTAGACATGATAAGTACCCTCGAGATTGCAAGGATAATCTGCCAGGAAATCGTATACGCCGGTCTCACTGAATCCAAAAACACCCGCTCGTACCCTTGATATCCAAGTCAAGTCAAGCCAAGAAGACAAAAACCCCTCCGCCCTCAGACGATTTTGAAGACTTTCTTGCAATAAAAGAAGCAAAGCAGCCCAAACACTGCCAGAGCCGCAGTAGTACCCCAGAACCAGTTGAGATTGTCGACGTCTTGACCTGGAACTTTAAAATTGCCGCCAAACATACCTGGATAAATATGGCGTAAGTAAGAATTCAGTCATTCAAACAGTTCGTCCGTCTGCACCACACGAGATCAGACTCACCTGTCACGATGTTCATGGGCAGAACAATGGTACCCAGCACTGTCAGCTTGCCTAGCACGTCCGAGGTCTGTTGAAAGTTAGCCCGTATTCGTTTCAATTGGATACAAACAGGCCGTACCCTCTCCTGTCTTTCATTCATGTGAATGCTAACTTGAGCGAGATAGTTTCCGTGCGCCCTCGACAAAAGAGTCTCGTAATGCGACAGGTTTCCAGTCATGGTTAAGATATGGTCTTGAATATCACCCAGGTACAGGCCAATTTCAGATTTGGGCGCCACTTCCCACTGCTCATTGCAACGCTTCGCAAAAACCTTGATGACATCGGCCTTGGTGCCCAACAGCCTGTAGAGAGTCATGACCTTCTTGCGGCATTCCCCGATTCTCAGCAGCATGTCGATACCACTGATCTCCGGCTCGTCCTTCTCCTTGTCCTTGTCCTTGTCATGCTTCTTGACACCATGGTCGCCAGCAAGCTCATCGGTGTTCTGAAACGACTTCAGAATCTGGTCGTCAATGACATCGACTTCTTCTTCAATCCCCGTAATCAAAGGCTGGTACACATCGGTGATATCGTCAATGATGGCGTACGAGATCCAGTCCGCACTGAGGATTAAGTAGTCCGACAGCTGCCGGATCCTGCGTCGCACGTTGGCGGGATGCGGGATCTGAGAGAAGTGGAACGTCAGAATGCCATGGCGGAAGACACACATGTACATGTTGATTGGCTCGAGATAGTCTTCACTCTGAGTGTCCTGCTCAAAAGTCCTGTAGTTGATGAAGTAGTAGTTGCGGAACAATTCGACCTTCTCCCGTGCTTCTTGCATCATGATGTCTTCCGCGGTGAGTGCATGGATCCCAAACGTCTTGCAAAGCACACGCATTTCTTGTTCGGTTGGGGACGTGACGTCAAGCCAGAATGTAGGTCGAGGGCCGTACTTCTTTGGCTTGGGGGCGCGCGTTGGTGGTGTCTTTTTCTGTGGCGATGGTGAGTTTGAAGCTCTTCTGTATTCCTTGTCAAGATCCAACCTCGACCTCACCGCCTCGGAGAGATTTGACACCGCCGGGTGCCCTGCGATTCCATTGGCACTCTTGGGACTATGTATGGAGCTCGGATTGTCCAGCGTCTGACTTGCACCCGTGCGATCCTCATCCTCGCTGCTGCTCGAGTCAATGAGCTCGGGCGGGTCTGGGATGAACAATTCACGGAAAGAGCCGCCAGGCTGTACGAGCTCGGATATCGTTTCGGCATGAATGGTGCTCTCAAACTCCTCGTTAAAGTAGGTATATCGATACTGGCGGTCTTCCTCGACCCGATGCCAGGCGCTCTTGACAGGGCGCAGCCGCCCTTCCACAAAAACAGGTTCACTGATCTTCTTCGCCCTGCGCTCACCTGCAGCTCTCTCTTCCTTTTCGATGCGACTCCATTCATCGAGCACCCACAATTGAGGCCACTCCCGCTCTCGACGTCTTCTCCGTCCGCCACCAACAGGAGGCCCAGTCGTGTGAGTGTTGTTGTAATAGTCACCAGCCTCCGAGACCTCGTCTCCGGGGAAGCAGACGTCACCCTCGACGCTCAGATGGCGCGAAATACCTTCAGGCCGCAGCCGAGGGCTTGGTGGTGCAGAGTTGGGGTCCTGTTTTCCATCGCTTTCAATATCAATCAAGACATCCTTGCTCACGTCCTGCGTGGACCTTCGATTGTCAGGGGACCGCGTGAGAAAGCTTCCGTCATGGATCATCACATCGCCATACTGTGGGTCGAGTGTCGGACTCGGAGGCACCGAGGGGGGATTGTTGACATCGTAGTCTTGATCACCCTTGGGATAGGAGCTGCCATTGACATTCAGCCGCTTCCTCTGTTTCCTCGATGAGGACGAGATGCTTGAAGCGTGTGACTTTCTTCGGAAAAGGCCGTACCCAATCTCTCCCACGTTCTTCTTCTGCGACTCGCTCGCGATCAACGGCGTTCGATCATCGGTCTCCTCATAGTCCGAGCCAGGCGGACTTGTGGTGTCCTGCTGACTGCGATGCCGCCTCCGCGTAAGGGCATCTGGTCTAGCGAAGGCACCAGTACGGTACGACGTCGCAAAGAGATTGGTGTTTAGTCTGCTGTCTCTTCTGGGCCGGAGAGTTGGCTGTGCTCTGTGGTCCAGAAGGGCCTCGCTGTCCACGCTCCCACCACTTAGATTCCCCTTCGGGTTCTTGTAGAAAGATTGTCTAGCCGAGACTTGTTGCTGGGACTCTTCAATCAAGGGATCCTCGTGCAGTCTATCGCCAACGCTCTGGATAGCAGATGTTTCTGACGGCGCAATAAACGACTGGCGGCGAGTCCTCCTCTTTTTGCCGCCCCTGTGCTTTCTCTTTTTTTTGCTGCCTTCCGTGTTTTGCGTCGAAGGTTGGGGTAGAGCCGATGAGGAAGCATCTGTTCTCGACGGCGTGGGAGTGCGCGACGGAGGAAGCTGGGAGGATGGACCTCTGTTTGGAGGAGGAAGCGGGTGCATCAGGACGACGGGCGGATGAGGCGCAGTTGAGAGGGAGGGAGGACGACGGAGAGATACCTCGGACGACGAGGGAGTCTAGCAGGGATGGGCATGTACATGGAATAAAGAGAGGGAAGAATCTCCAGGCCAACAAGATCCAACGAAGCTATCATACTAGGGCACAGCCATGATACGTGGTAGATACAGGCACTCGTACTTCTTCTACGCTGTATGGCTAGAGTTTTGTTTGATACTCCGTCCACGAAGCACTTTGTGTCTGGTCGGGCGCATGCCAATTCTGCCTATGACGTTCGTGAACTGTGTCTGTGGTTAGTGCAGGAAACTAGCCTGTTTCAGGTTAGTCCACGAGTAAATAGCACGCCACGGAGAAACTATATCCCGGCTCCGTGCTCTCCTAGGGTGGATGGGATGGATATACACGACGTTGTAATCGCCGACTGTCCAGGTGATATGGCTGCGGGAGAACTGGGATTAAGTGCCTCTCTGCGATGTGAGGATGTTACCTGGTGGCACAAGATGGCCGCCATTTCGCCTTGATACTCGGCCACCAGAATCTTGAAGAGTGTGGCTGGCCTGTATCTTCCTATACCAAGGTGCAATGGACACGAGGCAATTACCATCTAAACAATCCAAACAAACACCTTGATTGTGGAACACACACATTATGCTATTATGATAAGCACAGCTTAACTACCGAAGTCTGTTGTCGCTAAATGTGGAAATAAAATTAAAAGGCAACTGGAATCTCGTAACTTCGTTCAACCCAGCTCATAAAAACCTTGATCACCCCAATGCATGCGAAACGGATGGGTCCCTGTACGTCTCTCGCCATGCCAGAAAGAAAAAAGAGACGTCACCATCGAAGATCTAAGGCGTATTATCGGTGGCCTCGATCCCGCTCATTGCACCCAAACTGTGAGTGCTGACAGCACGAAGACTTCGCGCGTCCATATTCATTCGATCACCCATGCTACCTCCACTGGCCACTCGCGAGCTCTTTGGCTTCTTTCCTTTGTCCGGCCGGGCAACCAGCACTTGCGCTGGACAAACCACGATTTCATCATCCCCAACTCCGTTATCGTCGCCTTTCTTGACGACAAGTGGGAACAGAACCATTCGAACGACGGCCTTGTTTCGCTCCAGATCTTCATTACTCGTCGTTTCCCCACTTCTCTCGTTCATCAGGCTGGCATTGAAATACACTTTGCGTGCAAGGTCACCGTTGGTGTCATACTCCGGCTGCAACGGTGGCAGCATGATATACTCTGCCCTTTGGGTGCGCATCTCGATCGAGAGATCCACCGCCGTGTTCATGACGTTCCGCAGCGACGCAACGATTTGTTCTTCCAAATGATGTGGTGGGGGGAGAAACCTCGACAGCGTACTGAAGATCTCGATGGCTACGGCCTCCGTGTCGTTTTCCCGTAGAGCTTTGAAGCTCTCACGTTTCGAGAGGAGAGTGAGCGTCAGAGCTCTCCACTGGTGTACCGCACTCGCAGGCCCAACCTCCGCGAGGTTCTTTTCCAGTTGTTTCAACTTTTGTCGCTGCTCACGGTCCATGCCAAAGAGGTATCTAGTAAAGACATACTCCCAGATCATGGTCATGACCACCGACATGAAAACATCACGACGTTTGACACGGTCGGCAAGATAGATGTCCACGTCCGAACCGTCGAGTATGGCGTTGTCAAATCGGTCCACCACTTTCTCCTCGCGCACTTCGTCGGTGGTCCGGCACATTTTGAGATCGTTGTACTTGGAGAATCGGAGCACCCATCCTTGAACCTGTTGGCACAACTTCTGGCAAGCCGCATCAAAGTAGTCTTCGTCGTGGAAATCAATCACGTTGTCTGCACCCTTTTTGAGGATTTCCGACTGCAGCTCTCGGATCTTTTCCCGCGCCTCCTCCAGGTCTTGCCGCAGTTGTTGCACCTCGGCGTCCTTTGCAGCCAGCGCGGTATCGATCTCGTGCCTTACGATCGACTCCATGCCATTCGACAGCTCGGTATGACGCGATCGCAGTACTTCGAGCTCCCGAGAGGATTCTTGCCATTGGCTCTGTGCGTAATCATGATCGTGCCGTAGAGCAGCCAGGCTTTGTTCGTACTCTCTCCTCAGGTTCTCGTGTGTGGCATTCAAAGCAGCGATCTCTTCCTTCAGTCGCGCAATCTCCGCATCCCTCTCTTGCAATTGACCGGTTGTATCATTCGGAACATTCATCGAGCGCTCAGCTTGGTTACGTTCAAAGTGGGCATGTTCCAGGGACTGCTCAGCCAAAAGCTTGGCTTCGGCCAGAGCACGGTTCTCGGAGGCTAGCTGATCCAGCCTTGCCTCGAGATCCTTGATTTGTTGCATACTCTGTCGGCGCCGAATGCTAGGTGGCCGCGTTGGCGACTTGGGGCTGCCTGGGTAGGAGCCATAGCCATCCTGTGGACAATGAGAGTCAGCAGCTGGAGACGCGTCCTGGGGGCGGCATGCGGTTGAGATACTTACGTAGACGTCTGCCATGTCCCTATCGCGGGAGACAGCCTTGCCGGGGTCCTGATCATGCACAGACCTGTTGGACGGGGGACTGTGCACGGCGCCGTCGACGTGGTTGGAAGCGCCGCGCAGGCTGCGCAACGACGAAGTCCGCGATTTGCTGGTGCCAAGAGATTTCGCCGGCCCCAGATCACGTGGCAGCATCGCCACTGCGGCTGCTGCTGCTGCTGCTGCAGTCCCGCCCACCATCGCAGCGCCCATCATGGGTGCGTTCTCTGACCGAGACTGTGGTGCCAGAGACACCGGCGGCTCTGCGAATGGATGTGACTGGACATGTCTCGAGAATCCGTCGGCCGTCTCTTCACGGATGGGGTTGAGGGAGCTCCGTGGGGAGAACGGGCGGTCGGCGTGAGTCTGGAATGCCGTAGGGCTGGCCTCTGCCGAAAGGGGCCTCCCAATGGAACTGGAAGCTAACATGTCACTTGGCCCCAGACTATTGGTTGACTTGGCCTTTTGTCTCAGCTCTTCTCGGCTGAGGTGATGGCCATGGATGCTTGGACTTCGGCGGAGAGGACTTGACACAGCTGCCGGACTTCTCTCGCCAACCCTGGTGTCGACTGGTGTTGGCATTGCTGGGGATGAATTGAACAGCCCCGAAGAGCGATCCTTCGAAGTTGACTCTACTGGCGAAGGCTTTCGCCGTGGGGTTTCCAGAATCGCTCTATCCTCCTGGTGCCTGGGTCCCGATCCAACTTTTGACACATCTTCCGTGGAGCTAGTAGGAGAATGTGGTCTGGGAGGGCGCAGTGATACGTCCATGTCTGCATCAGCCTTCTTGGACGCGCCTTGGACAAAGCCGCTGTCCCTAGTTGACGAAGTCTGACCTTGTGTAAGCATGGGGGAGTTAAGTTGGATACCACTGTCACGATTTTCGTGCTCTCTTCCGAGTTGGGCGAAAGACCAACCGGCCGAAGGCTGTCGTACTGGCGATGTCGCTTTGCGGGACACTCCCGTCGGAGGTACGTGCTCGTTGTTCCCGATGCCGAGTCCAGCAGCGACGACGAGAGCAGTATCCATGATGTCGTCGTGGTCTGGAGGAGGAGTGAGAGCCCGATTTGTCGGGAGATCCTCTGGTTCTTGTCCCGACCAGGCAGGAGGAGACCGCCTCCGCTTACGTCTTTCTCGTGTGCTGGCACTCATATCAGACATTACCTCATCTTCTTCCCGCGGCTGGATGAGGTCTCCTAGCTGTGATTGTCCACGTTCATCACTGGCAGGTTCTGAGACTCTCAATGGGTCTCCTTCATCGACCTGTGCATGGCCAAGCCCTTCCAAAGAACGGGTAGCATATACTCCATCCCCTGTAAACTCGAATTGCCTTCTGTTCTTCTTGCCTTCATTTTCTGCCATCTCCTCAAACGCTTGTGTCCCATCGACCTCAAATTGCCTGTTCCTCTTTTTCCTGTCTTTGACGGCACCGACTTCTTCGAGTCGGCCCTGACCGTCTGATCCTTGCTCTTCGTGGGTAAGATCTACCCCAGACGGTGCATCGTTACTAGCAACATCAGGCGAAATAAGGCTTCGAGTATGTTCTGCTGGATCGACCACAGCAATATCGGCTGGCTCCAGTGTAGTCCCTGATTCAGCTATCATCGTGTCTGGATACTGCACTGCTGTATCGTCCAACGGCGCAATAGGGTAACTCTCTGTCTCGGGGCCAGAAGTCACCAGAGGTTCCTGCTGATCTTGCCCCAGACGAGAATGCTCGGTATCAAGTTGGGACTGCATCGGAGGCTCCATAGTTCCACCAGGTTCGCCCTGTTCCTGTTCTGGCCAGAAAGCAAGTGCTTTCTTCTTGTCTTTCTTGGACTTTTTCCGGCTGACAGGATGTGCCTCCGTATCTCCAACCTCCAATGGAGCTAGACGAGGTGTTTGCGTTTCAACTTCGTCGTTTTTAGTTGGCTCCGCAGCATCGTTTGTCAGGACAGGGCCCTTTTCTGTTTCTTCGACCAGACCCACAGTGTTGTCTTCGACTAAAGTACGGCTATTGTTCGTGGACGATCCTCGGTTCTTCTTGGCCTTCTTTCCTTTCTTGGTGGTGAACCCCCAATCATCTTCCGGAGCCGCATCAATCGACTTAGGATCTGTCGACGGGCCGGTATCATCGAGAGGGTTTGACACCGACGTTTCCCCTGTTTCTGTGAACGTCGCAGGCTCCTCAGTGAAGGGCTCTGCGAGAATAGACTGCTTTTTCTTTTTCTTGTCCTTCTTGGACTTTTTGGATGAATATTTCCAATCTGCCTCAGGTTCGAAAACCTGGTCAGCATTATCACCCACAACCTCTCGCGATGTTTCTTGTTGGTCATCATTGTCGGTATGAGCGGAAGATTGAGCCAATTCGGGTCTGTCAGGCAAAGGTTCCTCCTGTGTGTCGGCCGCTTGTGGAGCCACTTGTTCCGCATCATCGTCTCCAACTCTCTCGCTCTCGAAGGAACTCGTGTTCGCTGCGGCGTTCGTGGGCACAAGGACTGCTGGTTCGAGTGGCTGCTGCTCTTCCCTCATCTCTTGCATCTTGGCCTGCTTACTTTTTCTCTTTTCCTTTTTGGACTTTTTTGAAGGCATGGCCCACTCTTCGTCAATACTGGCCTCAGTTTTAGCATCTTTTGTCGAGTCTGCGATCGGAAGCGCTATATCAAGACTAAGTTTTTCTGTATCTGCTTCAGGCTGAGCCAGTGGTGCAACAGAAGACTCCTCGGGTTCGGTGGCATCCAGTTTAGATTTTCGCTTCTTTTTCTTGTCCTTCTTAGTCTTCATAGTACTGAAGCCCCACTCTTCTTCAGGTGGTACTTCGACCGAGCCGACTTGATCTGCAGGTTCGAATGCTTCCGACAATGGCACATCTCCTAAGCGGGGTTCGAGCACTTCGGGTCTCGGAGAATCAGCAGATTGTGAAGAGTCCACCGTGTGTCCAGGGGTCTCGAAAGGCACAGGCTCTTTGTTGGCTGGTTCGGAAGATTTAATGTCTGCACCTGCTGAATCAGGGGGGTCATCCTGCTTTGCGCCCTCTTCGTCGATCTTGTTGTCCATGTGGTGAGACAAAGGATGACTCTCAGAATACTCCAGCCGCGCTGTGCCTTCATTGGCATCTGGGTCGATTGCAGGGTCTCCAGACGCTTCTTGTTTGGCGTGCTCACCAGCATCTTTCATGATAGGCGAGTTTTCAGCATTTGGTAAGACCATGGGCAGGGGTGATGTGTCTTCGGTAGCTTTGTTCTCTGGAGCCGTGCCAGTCTCGAGCGGGAGCGGCTGGACGTTGGTCGAAAGTTCATCTTCCTGCTTCCCGTCCTGAAGGAAAGACGGCAAGGGTTGGTCCAGCCCTGAAATAGTTTCTTTCTCGATGTCTTTTTCTTGTTTCCGTTTCGTCTTCTTTTTGCCCTGTTTCGATGTCTTCTTGGCAGCCCATGTGTCCTCAGATGTTTCTCCGAAGGAAATCGATGACTCTGGCTCTTCCGTGAGGCGAGGTGTGCTCTCCTGGAGCAATTGAGGCTCCAATTGACCTGTAGGCAAAGGTTGATCTTGCTCTGGCTCACGATTCCCGTCTTCCTTCGGTTGCAACGCCTCATCAAGAGTGGACTGCCGTTTCTTTTTCTTCCTCTCTTTCTTTGACAGTTTACTCAAGCTCCATTCGTCCTCCATTGTCGGCTCTGTCGACTGACCTATTGATGATGATGCTGCTGGAATCTCGGAGAACGCCCCAGTATCGTCTGGCTCACTGGCTTCTGCACCTTGAACATTTCCCACCTCCTTCGACTCTTCACTTACGACATCTTCAGGCTCCAAGGAGTCTTCGAGAACCAATTGGTGTTGCGTATTCTTTTTGCCCTTTCCGTTCTCCTCGGGCGTGTCGAATTGCTCGGTCTCTGCGAAGGTAGAAACGTGCTCCATGTCGCTAGATTCAAGCGCCTGTGGTGGGTGAGTAAACTTCTGAGCAATCTCATCATACTCAACTGTTTCCGGCTTTTCCTGAGGCGCATCGAGAACCTTGTCAGATTCCGCTGCAACTTCATCCAAGGTAGCTTGGCGTTTCTTCTTTTTGTCTTTCTTGGACTTCTTCACCGGAATAGTCCACTCGTCCACCGCGGTGTCATCCTGGTCTTGATGCTCAAGGATTCTGGAGAGCCCAGGGGCCAGATCTTGATCTGCAGGCCCCGTGACGATGGGAGAGCGTTCGGCCAAATCCCAAGATATTGCACCAGGCATCCCTGTAATGGACTGATCAACCTGCTGTTCAGGCTCGACGCTGTAGTTCACTTGAGCCTGGACTTCAGCTCCTTGATCTTGCGTACCCTTGGGTTCACTAACTTCAGATAGTACAGGCTCAGATAGCGCAGTCTCTTGGCTCGGCACTGAGACTTGAGGTTCTAGACCTCCAAGTGCTGATACTTGTGCACCCGGCAATATGTCGTCGGCGGTCGTCGGTGCCTCACCTTCGGCAGCTACTATGATACGCTCGTCTCGCACAGTGAGATCCATTGATACTACCTTAGGAAAAGATCCTTGTGTAGCAGGGTGTTCAGTCAGCCGTGCTGCGTCTAGCTCACGCATTTGCTTTGATCCGGAGTTTGATTCCTCGAAAATAGATTCCTCAGTTTGCTTCTTGACCTTGACCGATTCAGAAGCTGGCGCCATCGGATCTCGTGTGGAATCCGATTCTGCAGAACGGTCAACTGCGATTTGGGTATCCGATGCGGTGTTTTGGTCATCGAAAGGCGGCGTACGATCTTCCAGCTTGGGCTCCTCGGACTGCTCCAAGGATTTGGGAAGGGTTTCAGGAACGTCCGATTGTCGCTTTTTCTTCTTATCTTTCTTTGATTTCTTCGATGTCAAACTCCAAATGCTGTCTTCTTCCACACCACGGGCAGGGTTAGACTCCTGCCCGGCCTCATTACCTGTTGCTGGGATATGGACTTCGTCAGAAGCCAGTTCGTTGGGTGCTTCTGACACGGGTTCCGACGGCAAGACATCCTCGGTATCCTTTGGATCTGTCTCGATGGCAGATTGACGCTTCTTCTTTTTATCCTTCTTCCCCTTCTTGGTGGTAATATTCCATTCTTCCTCGGCTGAAGGCTGGACTGGCAGGACGGGTTGTGCTACGTCTGAAGGCCCTTCGGAGTTCGCTGTCACAGCACTCTCAAATAGATGGGCATCGGGGTCTGCTGTTTCCGCTCTTGATTCTTCATAGTCTTCAAGATGTGGGCTCGAAGCTGGGGGTCTGGGTTGCAAGGCTGAGAGCCTCTTGTCTTTCTTTTTGTCCTTTTTCTTGTCTTTCTTAGACTTCTTCATCGGCACTTCCCAAGATGTATCCTCAATGGTCTCGACATTCTGCTCTCGCGACAATGCGGATACGGGTTGTACATAGATGTCCGCTGAATCTACATCGGGATGGCGAGTTCCTTCCGGGAGAACATGGCCCGGAGCTGACTCAGGGGAGAGAGACTCAGTTGCAAAATCTTGTGAAGCATCACCAATGAGGTCCGCTTCTGTAGAATGACGGTCCACAACAGAGCGCTCGTTGGGAGGGGTCTCAAAAGCAGGCGTTTCACTTGTCGAATCTTGAATAGCTGGAATCTCGTCTGCAGGAGTCTTATCGACACGAGTTTCAACAGCAGGAGTCTTACATTCACGGATCCCAGCTGAAGGAGCCTCGCTTCCAGGAATCTCAGCTGCAGGAGATTCGTCGACGGAGGGCTCAGCTGTAGGAGCCTCGTCAATGGAAGGTTCAGCTGCAGGAGCCTTGCCAATAGACGGCTCAACTATAGGAGTCTCGTTTCCAGGAATCTCAGCCGCAGGAGTCTCGCCGATGGAAGGCTCAACTGCAAGAGTCTCAACTGGAAGATGTTCAGCTGGAGTGGTCTCAGAAGCCGCAATTGGATCTGATGGAGCATCAGCCATGGCGGAGGGTTCGGACAGCGTCTGGCTCTCAGGACTGGTGACGTTGTCCGGGTTAGGAACAATACCAGGAGCCGCATCATTGTCCGGTGCTGGCAAGACAAGGCCTTCTGCTGGGACAGCCGCTTGGTCACTAGCATCTTCAGCTGACTTGGTCGATGTCTCATCTTCCATCAAATTCCAGTCCAAGGCCGACTTGCGCTTTTTACGTTTCTCTTTCTTGGACATCTTGGGCTCAACAAGCGCGAATTCGGAGCTTTCATTTTGGTCTGGGAAACTCCGCTGTTGTATGGTGGCTTCTGCCTCCGTTGTCGGGTCTTTGGCCAAGGTGGGCTCTCCAGGAGGAGAACTGATTGTTTCGCCATGTTGAATTGTCTGTTCTAGCTCTGTGGTCGAAATCCCTACTGAGTCGTCATCCAGCGTCACGCGCTTCTTCTTGCTTTTCTTTTCCTTCTTGGACTTTGGTGAACTGATGCTGAAAACGTCCTCATCGACCTTCTCCAATATTTCTGCGGTGGATGCTTCCTGGGTTTTCGTTCTGTCATCGGATTCTTCGTTCGCGACTGGAGCGTCAGAGATAGGCACAGTGACGGACCTCTGATCCTGACCGGCTGTAAATGTCTCCGCACTCGACGGTAAGGGATCATGTTCATCAAAAGCCCGTGTTCGCTGCTTCTTGCTGTCCCTTTTGGACTTTTTGGTTGTCGTCATGAAGAATTCACCCTCGTTTTGGTTCTCATTGTGAACTACAGCAGCAGGAATTTCTGTCTCACGAGGCTCTTCGGCGCGAGGGTTACTGATGGACGTTGTCGCAGCTGGCGTAGCTGCCACATTTGGAACAGTTACCTGGTTATCCTTCACGAAAGTGGTATCTTCAGGACTATCCAGACGTGTCTGCTCCAAGGATGCCTCAATAAGTCTGAAGTCCTGTGCCGGAGTTGTCTTGGCTGCAGGCTCGTTACGGGTTTTCGCAGACTCATCGATCTCTTTTGAGGGATTTGCTTTGTCTATGACTGAAGCATCAGAGTTGTTGCGCTTGTCCACTGAAGGACCGCCCTCAGACTCGATCTGAAAAGGAGAGGGGTTTTCCGCAGATGCCGTATCGGGCTCGTCACTTGTCCATGCAACACTCTTTCTCTTGGACTTTTTCTTGCCTTTCTTGACGATAGGTGCCCAAACATCATCCGCCCCAGGCTGTGGCACATACGATACCTCTCTTGCTTGCTGAACGGTAGCGGATGATGGCTCAGGATTCGATTCATCTTGAATATCGGCAGCTGGACCGGGTTGAGGACTGTTTGCTGCCACTGTCCCAGATGCCTCGTCGTCTGCAGGAATTGCATCTTGCAAAGGCTGTAGTTTCTCAAAGTTTGTATCGTGGTCGTCCCAGCCTAGGACTTCCTTTTTCTTGCCTTTCTTGCCCTTTTTACCTTTCTTTTTCTCAGCAGGCCATTCTTCATCAGCAATCTGTCCTTCAACTGTAGGTTGAGCACTGACCGCAGCCTCGACGACCTTAGGGACTTCTACAGGATCCGACTTAGACTCAAGCGACAAATCTGGGGTTGAAACAACGGGCTCGACTTCCCGTATTTCGAAGTCGTCGCCAAAAGGATTTGGTTCATTGATGTCTTGAAAAGCACCCTTGGGGGCATCAAGGCTGAGCTCGGGCTGAGCATCCGAGACGTTGAGCTCTTTGGTTGTTGAGTGGTCCATTTGGTGAATAGAGCTATCTTCGGTGCCGTCGGCAGCATCTAACATACCTCTGGAAGTTTTCTTCGCCTTTCGTTTTTCCTTCTTGGAGAGCTTTCGTCCCAACAGATGGGTCGGCGGCTCGTTTTCAGTTGCAGATGGTTCGTTAGCCTCATCAATTGTGCTAAGGTGCGCATTATTGTATTGCTGCTCTTCGTTGTGATCTGGCTGCAATTCATGAATGGCGTCTTCGACTGTCAAACCATCGACCAAACCTCTTGCGGCGACTGCAGAATCCAATGCTTCTTCAAACGGGCTTATCTCTAGCTTGTTTGAATTCCCGGTGTTTATAGAGGTCTCAGGGGTATCATTGTCTCGGGACAATTCATGCCCCGATCCGACGTTGTCAGACAGTTCATGCTTTGCACCAGGTTCTTCTTGAGTTGATGGCATTTCGGTTGAATCCTGACAGGCTCGAGGTTCTTCAGTTCGCACAGGTAAGTACTCGGTCTCAGTGGGTAGGATATCTTTTGCTTGTTTGTCATCAGAAACTAGTTCGGTGCTTGCAGCCTCGGCCTCGAGAGGTACGGAGCTCCGCTTCTTCTTTCGGTCCTTTTTTGCCTTTTTCGTCTTGAAAGCATCAAATGGTTCTCCATTATCAATGTCATCAGCCTGTGGCATCGGGTCTGTGCTCGTATCAGGAGAGAATCCTACAACATCTGTTTCGGTTGATGATTCTTGTTGACACGCAACCGACTCGACTCCTTCAGCCGGCGTATCAGCCGTGTTCGGGTGCAATTCTAGAGGCAAATCTAACGTCGACCCGAGATTCTCATCACGCATGTGGTTGCTATCAGCCGGAGGATCAAGCCTAGCTTTAGGTGTTCCTGGAGTACTCGACGTCTCATGGTCGTCCCTTGCCAACCTGTCGGCTGCCTGTGAATCGTTCCCCGGGCTATTCAATAATTCGTGTACACCAACCACTACCATGGAGCCAGCAACGACACCGGCGGCCGTTGTTGTCAACGCATCTTCCCACGCAGCCGAGGTCGATCGGGAGGTTGATCTGCTTCTTCCCCGACTAACACTCCTTGCTCTTAACGGGGATGGACTCCTGCTGCGAGCACTCGTGTAGTCTTGATCAGCATCAGTGCTAACGACGCTGGGCAGAGGACTTGCCGGTCTATCGGCCTCATCAAAAACAGCGGCGTCCCGGTATGCAGCTGGATCCTGGAGCAGTTCACTTGGTGAGTGAAACTCATATTTGGGTTTCGGCTTCTTTTCGGCATCGCGTGCCCTTTGAGCCTCATTGGGAACAGGAGTAGCCGACCTGGAGTCTAGATAATCTGGGGATTCCCGCCTCCTCTCGTCATGCCAGTACGAAAAACTGTGCCTCCTGCCGCGATCACGGAACATTTCAGCGCTCATGCGAGAAGGCGTGAATTGATTGTATTCTCGCGTCTGGGCTTCAGATCGAAGGTCCTCCGTCGAAGCATGTGCTGAACTCATCCTGCTAGAAGGCAGCGACGGATATTCTTCGCTCGGTTCTGGATCCAGACTTTTTGCAAAGTTTTGTCTTTCGACAAGATAAAGTGGTCGGAATTCCTTACTCGAACGAAATTCCGTAGACTTGGGTCTTCCCTGCCTCGTGCGTGGTGTCGTGAGGGGCGAAGCAGGTGAAGCAACCGGTGAGCTCATAGAAATCCGAGCATTTGTTGGCGAAGCAGGGGGGCGTCTAAAATGCAGAGGCACTGCTGTTGGGGAGCTAATGGCCATTGGGCTAGAGGGAAGTTCACCCGTCCTCAAAGTGGAAAGCCGCAGGGAGGAAGAGTACTGAGGTGTCGAGGGATGGGCCTCCTCGTGAGACGATGCTGCTTCTACTCCGCTCGGTAGAGGAAGAGCGGCTGCCAGATCTGTAGAATCTTTTTGCCCGTCCACCTGAGGCTTTTTCACTTCTGCAGCAGACTCTGGCTGGGAACTTGGAGAGATAACAGCATCGGCGTCAAGGTTCTTTGATGGACGATTCTCGGATACAAGCCCCGAGACACCATCAATATCCATTGGCATAGTTGTGTCCATTGGTGGTGGTATTTCGGGGCGCTTCACTAAAAAAGACTCTTCTTCAACGGGTATCTTCGTGGGTTCGCTGGCATCTTCCTCCGCCGAGACAAACCCGTCCTCAACGCTTTGTTCTCTTGAGTTCGAAGTTTGAGACTTATCGCGACTGATAGAAGCACTGCGGCTCCTGCTCGGCTCAGAAGCAGCCGACTCGCCAGGATCGAAAGCCGGGTCCTGTGAAGATTGTTTTCCTCGTGACGAGCGTAGATTCTCAAGGTCCCGGTCCCGGTCCCTTCGGCTATCCGACTTTGAGGATTTTGAAGTCTTGTTGCTGGATGCACTGGTATCGCTTTTGTTGCTGGAAAAAAGGTTGCTGAAAAATCCTCCAGGCTTTTTAACATCGTTTTTATCAGAAGGAAGCACACCGATGCTAGAGTGCTTGTCGCCATTATCAAGGCCCTCAGGAGAATCATCTAGACCGGTACTTCGGCGTTTGGATTTGCGTCTCGGTCTCTGGGCCCCAGAACTGGAGGGCTGGTCGGAAATATCGTCCAGCGTGTGGGAGCGGCGAATTTGGTCGATCTCCGGTTCAGGAATTGCAACGTCTTGGTCGGGTCTCTTCGATGATTTCCGGTCGGAACCGACGTCACTCTTGGAGCTTCTTTTCGCTTTCCTGGACTTTTTGGTATCTTTTTGACGCTCCCATTCTTCGGGATCTGATTGATAGTGCGTTACGATGGCCGCAGATTCGCCTTTACCATCATCGAGGTAGTCGCCAGGGATGTGTGACAAGTCGCCATTATCCATCGTACTGATTGACCCACGTGAGCTTGCTCGCTCTTGACGACGCTTCTCACTTTTACTTGCCCTCGCAGGTGGAGCAGACTCCTGAACGCTATTGTCCTGCAACATGTCTGTTCGCACTGGTGATTCATTCTCGAGGCGCTGTCGTGGTGGATGTTGACCTATCGTGCGAGAAGCGATCGATCCATGTTGAGAGTCCTCATCAATCTTGCCATTGAGGCTCAGGTCACTCACAGGTTCGACAGAAGAACCTTGAGCGACAGTTGGGAGACTTGGTTCCTTGCTTGGTGAAATGGAGCTCGGATCGCTGGTGTCTCCTGCGAAGGAGGTTGGTCTTCGATTCGTATCGTGTTCTATTTGATCGGCTTCAGCGTCATCCACCGTCCAGGCTCGACTCATGTGAGGTCTGTCATCTACAACAGGTACTTCTTTCTCCATTCTTTCGGCATCCTCGCCTTCCAGGGTCCATACACGGGTGATGGATGGACGAGGGCTTGCCTCCTCGTAAATTGGTGTCGAAGGATCAGGGAGCTTGTCTTCGGCCTCGCCTTCGTCCCTAGATTTGACTTCGGGGATGTAATCTGAGTGTTCGTTTTCAGGTGTTTGCACCTCGTAGACGTACGTATCATGATCACCCCAGGTCACCTTAGATCCATTACTGGCTTTTCTCTCCAGAGGTTCCCCAGTCATGTTGTCTCCATCATCCACGTCCTTCGATGACTGTGGCTCAACAAGAGGACTTGTGTCACCTCGGACACTATGAGTCTGACTTCCGGGCGGGGTTGGTTCAATAAGTTCCAGCATAGGAACAGTCCACGGGTGGGACAAGGGATCATCTTCTAGTGATAAGCCAAAAGGTCGATAAGTGAAAGGGTCAAAAGGATGTCGTGGTCTCGAGACGGCCGCTCCCGGAACAATTTCAACCACGTTTGCATTCATGTCGTCCCGATGTTCGGCTTGAGCATTGTGCTCTTTGAGGTGCTCCTGAAGCTCTTGTGGAACAAAGAAAGAGCCATAATCTTCATGCTTTGGTGACGGCGTTGATCTGATACGCTGCGCTGCCATCTTTGCAATCCTCTCTTGTTGAGTCTCCGTAGGCGGAGACGCCTTGCGTTCCTTCGATCTCTTCAAGCTTGACCTCCGTCGAGGAGCACCACCCGACTCCGGTGAACTGCTACTCTCGCTCTGTGCGGCGAGAGCAACGGAAGCTGCTGCTATTGTTGCTGCTGTGCCAGAAACGATGGCGGCGCTTGAACGTTCGTTGCGCCGCCTGTGCTCACGTTCTTCCACCTCACGTTGCTCTTTATAGAGACGCTTCAGCTCCCGCTCGATTTCTGCTACTCTTTCATCGGAGGAATCTAGTGAAGAGTGTCGAGAGATGGATGAACGTTTCCCTTCTTCTTGAGTCTGGCCCTGTGAAGAATCCGGTTTAGCCATGGAGTCATTTCTTATGTAGTCGCCTTCAACAGATCTTCGTCGCCCTTTGTCATCACGTCCACTTGTCCACGTGCTCCCTCTTTCTTCAGTGTGTTTTTCGTTTTGTAGCTGCGCTTCAGTCAGGTTGAAACTGACATTGCCCTTTTGATCCTGAGAAGGGAGTTTGGCAGGACTTGAGTCACGTCTAGAACGTCTCGATCGACGGCTGGAGTCCAGGTCGTCTTGTCGGCCACCCTTGTGGTACTCCTCCGTGACTGAGGATAAGTCGGCTGAAGCCTGACGTCCTGGCTTGCGCATTCGATCAAATGCATTCTCTTGCAAGAATGGTCCCACGGGGACCACGGGCTGAGGTTGCTGTAATGGTACAGTCGCCGCAGAGACCTTTCTGGACTGAGAAACTCCGTAATCGTTGTCGTTTCTCGCTTGTCGCGAAGCACTTCTCGAAGCACGTGAACCATGGTCGGAGACTGGCCTTGGTACTATTTCCTGCATCGGAGGTAGGTTGCTATGGCTAGATGAGGCCGAGGCAATTTCATCACGGCCATATGAGGCGGCCAAAGCCCCAGCTGCAGTAGCACCTGCGGCCAATACTCCAGCAGGGCCAATCTTGAATGCTGATGAATCATCCCTATTTAACGGTCTGGAGCCATCGAAATGTCGTTGTCGATGTCTGCCTATTGTAGCAGCCTCATAGGAGGGTGCTATCCTCGGTGGGTTTATCACAGGATTGCTTTGGGAAAGTGATTCTCGACTTTGGAGTGCTGAAACACTTCCGCCATACGCGAGCGCAGAGTCCACACTTGATGAACTGTGATTGTCATCATCGTCGGTATCGTACCATCCATCGTCGTTTCCATCAATTGAATCATGAGTTGCTTGCGTCGTGACACGACGTCCCTCGGCGTGTGCACCATGTCGTCCTGTTGTTAAGTCAGCATCGTACCTCTGCTTACCTTTCTTGTCTCGCCGAACACTTTCGGCAGCCAATGCTTCGCCCGCTGCGACAAGTCCCATGATAGCTTCACTTGAATCTCGTCGAGTCGATCTGCGTCGGCTATGGAGGCGTTTATTGGAGTTTTTCCGGCGCACAGTAGCCGCCCCGAAAGCAAGGTCAGCATCAGATGATGAGCTCGAGGCATTGCCAAAATTGAAGAACCCTTTGGGTTTATGGCCTTGTTTCTTGTTTGCCGAAGGGCTTGTGAAAAATCCCAACAAGCCGCCCGACCCTTCATTAGTTGCCGAGAGGTCGACGTAAGAATGCCTCGGTGAGACACGTTTGGAGTAATACCGTCTCTGTTTTGGTGAACGACTCCGATCTCGCCTTGAAGCAGCACTGGCGGCGGCCCCAATTGCTAGTCCTGCCGCTCCAGCAGCCGTGGCACTGAAAGCAGCACCTCTAGACCTGGTATGCGATGATGAGGAGGAACTAGAATCACGTCGAGTGCTACGTCTGCTTCGGCTTTGTGTGTGGACCTTGCTCGATCTGGTATAGCTATCATGGTCTCTTCGACGAAATTCTTCCGAGGAGTTATGTCCTTGGGATTTACGCTGATAGTGTCGCTCATCGTCCTGGAAGCTGACTCGACCGGCGTTAATCGGCCGCCCAGATCTCACGGAATACGTGTCGTCAAAGTCGTGTTTGCTCTTGTACATTGCTTCTCCAATCTTCGCTGCTCCGTAGCCTGCTAGTCCTCCCGCAACTGCCTTCTTCGCCCCTGATCGGCGCCGTCTCTCCTCGTCAGAAGAGTACCTGTAAGTCTTGTCCACGCGAGAGGTACTGCCGTACGGGCCGCCAGAGGAACGTCTCTTCGGGTGATAATGATGCCTGCGTGGAGCGTCTGCAGGAGAGCTCAAGGGGTCAAAGCAGTATTTGCATACCCCAATTGCTTCGGTATACTCTTCGAATTCTGCCACCGCATCCGGATCGCGGAACCAGTCCACAAGTTTACCCAGAGGCCCACGGCGTTTGTGGCGATGGGCTTGCTGTGTTTGGCCTTGAGCAAGAGGCGAATGAGAAGATGCTTGTGCATTCATTCCAGAGCTGTGATGCTGACTCTGAAACTGTCCGTGATGCGAGTGAGCGGACATGTAGGCTCCAGCGGCGGCCCCAGCTAGAGCTGAACCACCAAACATTGCTGTGTTGGAGTACTGTTGAGAACCACCAAAACCAGCCGGTGCTGAAAATGGTGCAGGAGAGACTTGAGCTGCTGGTGGTGGGCGAGATGGAGTTTGGTATGCAGGTCCTGTTGTCGACACAAGGCCTCCACCAGCGTAATACTCAGCAGCGAGGCCCAAAGGCGTTGCGCCGGGAAGAGAATGGTTCCCTTGAGCACCGGGGCTCGACCTCGGACTGATCCCAGCCTGACCGTGCTTGGGTGGTCTGGCGGGCCCCAGATTCGGCTTCTGGGATGGCTTCGAGGGGGTCGACTGCACTCCGGTGTCTGATTCCACTTCAGCTGAGCCGAAATAGCTGGCAGCAGCGCCAACTTGGCCCATACTGCTTGGTTCAGGAGGAGGATTTGCGTCTGCGGTCGGTTCCATGAGATGCATCTGGTCGGCACTTATGATGACGCTCGGCTGGTTGGGCCGAACTCCAGGCTGCTGCTCGACCGACTCCCCGTTGTCGCCGTAGTAGTCTGCAGCCAGACCGGGCGGGCGGTAAGGCTGCGAATAGGTCGCAGGGAACTCTCCCGGAAACTGATTCTGTGGCAACGATGCCTCATTACCCTCGTATGCGCGGGCACTCCTCTTTCTCTCCGTCTTGCTAGACGTACGCGATTGTCGGCGACGGTCCTGACTGTCTCTTTTTCTTATACCTTGATGGTCATCTGCTTCCCAGTCCTCAGACCGTCCATCCCCTTGACCACGTCTATCACTCTTGCGCAACCGATCTCGGCCACTTTCCTCGCTACTGTTCTGCGCAGTATAGTATGTGCCAGATATCTCCGATGGTTCGGCTGTGAGGATCGGTGTGAAGGTCGTGGTCTCGGCGGATCGCGATGCGCGTGTGCTTCCCCCAGTCGCATCCTCTGTCTCGTGTCGACGGGATCCGCGGCGGGATGAGGTCGATATGGAGTCGCTGTCATGCCGACTCTTGCGAGTGCCATTTTCTTCAGTAGTGTGCCGCGAGGATCTGCCTTGATGACGGCCGGAGCTGGGTTTCCCCATGGCGCGGGCCGTGCGGGTTGACGGGCTCGTAGAGAGGTCAGGGCGTTCTGTGCATCAGGCAAGAGTTCGCGGGGATTCGTGAGGCTGTCGAAGTCTGATGGGTTGTAACAGCATAATCGTTTTGTGTCGAGAATATTAGGCGAGCGGTCGATCAGATGACCAGCAGCTTTGATTCCATGGGCGTATGCAAGACATATCAACTGCAAGAGTTGCTTTGCTGGCGGTGATGATTCCCGCTGTCGCGTTCTCAGATTTGAGTGGCTGGGGATTGTCAGCCACACACAACGAATACGGTGAGGCCCAAAACAACCCGCTTTACTTTACGTACAATGGTCCAGGTGTCTACCTAGAGACACGGTAACGGTAAGGATAAGGATACGGAGTACAGCTGTATCTACATGCCTCTACACACAATCCGTTGCTCATTGCTCGGCACAAGTCCACAATTCTCATTGCAACCCCTTGCACAGTGCATCGTGCATCGTGCATAGTGACGACCCTCACTCTTTGTGAGTATAGTATCTGCGCCAGTCATGAACATCCTTGAACCCCAGGACATCCCGGATCTTCTTGTTGGACAGTGGCGCCTCCCACTCGCCCATCTTCCTGGTTATTGGGGTGTTTGGGCATGTCTTCTTCAAGAATTCCTCGCTGGGAATGGACGTGGTAATGGTGTCATTGGTCGCGTTGAACACCTGGAATCCCAGCCCAGATTTGGCAACACACAAGTCGCAGATTTGTCCCAGATCTCGCGCGTCAATATAACTCCAAGCGTTTCTCTTCCTGGTCTCCGGCTGGCCCACGTGGCGCGGAAAATCCCTTTCATACTCATGTGGCTCAATGACGTTGCCAATGACCAGCGCATAGATATCGATGTCGAACCGTCGCGCAAAGCTCCTGGCAATGCGCTCCCCAGTTAATTTCGAGCATGCATAGGTGTCCATGGGATTGCGGTCGTAAGTGTCCTCTTCGAGTGGGAAAGCATGGTAGTCGTCGTCGCCTTGACTGAAGCAAACACCATACGTTGTTTCGCTGCTAGCAATGACGATTTTCTTGACTCCCAATTTGCAGGCGGACTCAATCACATTATACGTGCTCATGACGTTGCCGCGGAAAGTCTCGCTGTCAGGCACAATCATGTTGCGCGCATACGCTGCGAAGTGTACGACAGCGTCTGGGGGTCCAGGGTGCTTCGGCAGTTCGTATTCGTCCATAGAGAATAGCGACGACAAGGCATTGAATGTCTGTGCCCCATCGGTGAGGTCGGTCTTCATCGTATAGACACTTTTCCCGGCGGGAAGATAATCTTTCGGGAAGTCTACGAGATCCAAGTTGAGCACTTGGTGGCCCTTTTCCAGGAGGTACGGAATGCAGTGTCTTCCAGCCTTGCCTGACCCTCCTGTGAAGACAATACGTTTGCCCAGTGACGCTGCCATGTTGAATCGTGGTACCGCAAGGACATATGTGATGGAAGAAATCGTATCCAAGAACAGTTGAGGAACAGAAGAGGAGCAGGAGCTGTCTCTAGAGCTCACAGAAATGATGACATGGTTGACTCGGGCTCGTCGGCGATTGACCGGTCACGGTACGAGGATGTCAGGGATGTCGTCGCCCAAACAGGAAGGTCGGTCACGGCGCGGGTAAATTCTCAGAAGACGGCACTTCTCTTTCTCTGCAGTTTATTGGGGTCAGGGTCACTGCGGCGGCGAAAATTGAAAAGGCTCGACTTCTGCTTGAGATTTTGAGGCTGCGTCGGTAGCGGCGTGAGAAGACTGGACTGTGCAGCGGCGCCAGACATGTACGGGCCGGTATTACTCGAGCCGCCTGAGGCATAGCCGCCCCATGCGTTGGTGTAGGGAGCTGCTGGTTGGAGGCCTTGCTGGGACTGTTGATACGCCGTCTGCACAGATTCAGAGTGATGTCTCTGCTGTCGAGCATCTCGAGGAGGCAGATTCGGGCGCGCGTTGGCATCCTCTTGCCCATACAGTCGCTTCAATCGCTCGGTCTCCTGGTCGACTTCAGCTTGCTGGCGTCGACGTCTGTCTCTCTCCTCTTTCTCAAGCAGAATTCTCGTTTTCCGTTCAGCTTCCTCTTCCTGGCGTCGCCTCGCACGCTCTTCCTCTGCAAATTGCCTTTGCAGACGAGCGGTTTCAGCATCCAGTTCCCACTGGCTTCTAGGATCCGTAGGAGGCACTCGTGGGTCGCGAATGGGACCAGTGGCACTGGTTGGCGAAGCTGTCTGAGGACGAGCGTCAGGGATCAAGGCGGCGCCGACGACACTAGGGCTGTTTGGGTTCGACTTTCTTGCGGCTGTAGAAATGTTAAACGTTTCTTTCAATGACCCGAAATATACATCTCGAATGACCACCGCTCCGAGTAGAAGCACAACTTCAAAGCCTTTCAAGTCTTCGAGGTCGACCCGCTGTAAGTTGGGCTCGTACAAAGTCAGCTCCTTCAGGCCTTTGAATATGGATACCGTGATGTCGGGCTCCTTGCTCTTCGTCTTGCTTCCCACGATGTCTGTGCTTTTCCCAGACAAGAAGCAGGCTAGATCTTTGGAGAATTTACTGTCCTTCTTCCACTTGAAACCAATCTTGGGTGTGATCTCGGAGGCCGCGGGATCGTGCTGACCGCGGTCCAACGCTGAAGCCGAGGGCGCTCGGAATGTTTGCTGCGGCATTTCAAAAGCCCAAGACGCTGCTGAATTCCAGCTCGCGGGCTTATGCTTGACCATGATCTGCTGATCAGGGTTGTATAACTGTATCGAGAATTCGCTAGGGAGAACAGGTTCCGGTGGAGGTGGAATTGCTCCGTTGAGTCGTGCTTGTTCCGAGACATGAGGCGGTTGCGTCCATTCGGGGATCAGGAGGACTTCGGCGTAGAGAACGTCAGGTATGAAGGCGTCATAGAGTGCGACGGCATATCGATTCCGCGAGGCGTGCTGCTCCGGGTCGAGATGTCGTAGGGTGTATGCAGGCTCGTAATCGGCGCCATGCTGGGAGAAGAAGAAGGTCGAGTGCTGTCTGGGTTTATCATTCGAGGGCTTGAGGACAAAAGCTGTAGAGAGTCAGCGCGAGTACCTGGGGCTCCGGCGACACGTACTTGGGAGATTCTCGTCCAGCATCTTCGTTCGATCAGTTGTATACCCGCATGAGGTGCAGGTGATTGCGCTGCCGGGCGATATTGTGCACCTTGGTAGGACCATGGAAGTCGGGTCACTAGCAGGGTACCTACAGTAAGTACCTTATACTTGCTCACACGTTATCTCGATCTTGTAGACCGTGACCCCAGACATAGCCACACTAACAAACGCCCACAGCCCTCCCTTCGACGATGCGTCCGTTGCAAGTGGGCAAGGCTGAGGGCGAGGCTCTCCAGGCGCCGTCGTGGACGATGCGATGCGGTGGATGCCCGGAGCGAATGACGCGTTTGCCTGACGTTGACTTTCTGGGCGCAGCCTGTACCGCCAAACCACCTTGCCTTAGTTAACTTAGTGCCCTAGTGACACCCGTATTCGTAGTACCCATTGGGGCCCAATTGCGCGCCCTGTCCAGGCTCTACCCATGGGAAACCGTTAAAACAGCGCCTGGTTGCCCAAAGCTCTGCGCCCCCAGCGGACGTTTCTCTACCCTCACTAAGCGGCAGGGAGCCCCATGCTCTGCACCGGGCAGTACCGGGTAGGCAGTTAAAAGGTAAGCTAGGTAGCCTATACCTAGATATCCATAGTGCTGTAGATACTCCGTAGTGATTACTCCATCAACACCACTGACCTCTCATCGTCTGGCAAAATTTAAGCCTCCTTGCACTCCCCGAGTATTCGACTCTCCAAATGCAGCCGCGTGTCGCTGACTCCCGACCCAAGGCAGCCATCATTCGATTATTGCGGATGCAAGTTTCCTTCATGATATGCAGAATGGTGATATGGATTCCCTTCGCCAGATTACGAATGCTACGGCTAATCGGCCAGCCTGAGGAGTAGCTACAGCTCAGTCAAGACGAAGAGCCTCTTCATCCATGACTCCGAAGAGTTCCCCGAGGTCCTTGAGCACGTCCTGGATACCAAGGTTGAGTTGCCCCGTTACCAGAGCATACGTGAAAAACAGGCTGTAATCCTCGTCGGTACTCCTTTGCTCCTGGGCGTCATTGCGTCGATATGCAAAGATCCTCGCCAACAGCCTGTCCCTGGTGTGTTCTATATTCGGCAACGCATCACTGGCGATTGAGTATTCAAGCTTCATGGAGCTTGCCAGCACACTGAAGAGATGGCTGATCCTGACGCATAGCTGCGCTCGTTCATCGGCGGTCGCTGAGAGCAACGCCTCCTCTCCGGGAGAGGCGTTTAGATCTTGCAGGATGACTTGGTTCATTGCGTGGAAAGCACCGAGCATCTCCTCGGTCTTTCGCAGAATACGTGCATAGGTCTCATGGGGGAAGGGTCTTCTGAACTCGAATTCGCTTTTCGAGGCCTCAACGAGCCCTTGCAACTTGGCCAAGAACTTCTGTAGATAGAATTCTTCGCGCAGATTCATGTACCGGTTAGGATGAAGACCGTCTGTGAAGGTAGCCAGCGGGTCTCTTTTCCAAATCAGTCCCATTCGCAGCCATAACAGAGACAGTCCATCCTTTAATTTCTGCCGTGCAGATATGGGCCAGATGACGCGCGTAATGATCAGACCCCAGATGGTACCAGAAATCACGGCCACCACACGATGTGTGGCAATCTGGACAATCAAGGGACGTTTTCCGGTGTCCTCCTCGTCCCCACCGTCTTCATCGTCTGGGGTCGTAAGACTATATGCATACAGCGCAGTGAGATTGTAGGTTAGCATTATGAAGCGTCCCTTTGGACCCTTGCCTTGACCAACAATGATGTACGCCGTCCAGTATGCCATGCAAAACCCGAGGAAAGCCATCACAATTGGATTGTCATCAGACACCTCCCACGCGGCAATTGCTAAGGCAGCTCCAAGGCACGTTCCAAGTATACGAGAAAAGCCCGTCGTGTTGCTGGCACCGATAGTCATGCTGCAGACCAGCATGTAAGATAGTAGACCCCATTCGCCTCTCCAATGGGAATAGATCGGCCGAGTCGAAGGCAGGAAGCTCGGCAACGCGTACAACACAGCTCCCAAGGCAACTTTCAGCGAAAACCTTATGTCTTCGCGACGTAGGAATGCGGACGCGTCATAAATCTTGTGGAAGAGCCTGCGCTTTATTCGTGGGCGGTCTTGCCATGCTGCCTCATTATAGTGTCGGGACGTGTCGAAAGGCTTCTGCGTGAATTGAAGGTCGAGATCGCCCGCCTTCTTCACAATCTCGGCGAGCTCAGGGTGGATGCCATGGAGCTCTTGGTGATCAACGTCCTCCTGCCAGAATTTCAACCAGTTCCAGGTTTTGCCAGCCGGTTGTTCATCCACTTCGAGCTGCAGTTCGTCGAGTACGACCAAGTAATCTTTGACCGATTCGGCAACCTCGACAAGAGAGAATGAAAAGTAGCCACACGCAGCAGCAGCGTCCTCCCAATCAGCTTGCACCGTAAGAGGCCTGGAGCGATCCATATCTTTCTGGCCATACACAACGGCGAGAGATTTTTGGCGGCTGTCTTTATAAAGGTCGATGGCACGGTCAAGGCTGATTTTGAACTTTGGAATTGTGCTGACCGCGTAGTTTCGGTCGGGATCAAAAGGGAAGTGATCCAGAATCTCCTTAAGGGTGAAGGCTAGAGATCGCATTGAGGGACCTAGGTTCTCAATGAACAGTTCAAATATCTGGGCAGGGGAGCGAAACGGTTCTTGATTGGGGTGCAGCAAGGCAGCCTCTGTTCCTTGGGAAGCTGGAATAGATTTGGAGTTGTTGAATAAGCCTTCGACATCACCATTAGCTCGGTCAGCTTTGTGAGAGTCATCCCAAGCATCAGCAGCACCAGCTATACCTCCAGTACGCATTGGTGACCCAAAAGGAGGTTCCTTCACAACAACAAACTGCATTGCTGCAGCACTCCGAAGACCGCCAATGTTCTGGGAGATACGTTGGATGCAGTGCGCGAGCCTTGCTTCAATCAGTGCTTGCCTCTCGGTACCAAGTAGATAATGCTCATATTTTGCTTCTTTCAACTTCTGGGCAACAGTGGCAGAGACTTTCTTGTGCATTTCGGTTACACGGGAGAGAACATTGTTCTCCAGTTCTCCTTCATCGCCAGAAATGAAACTGCTTGTTATGAGAGCAAGCATGTCTGATTGCAGATCAGTCACATCGAGAAGGTTTTGCCTCAGCTTCTGACGTCCAGAGATTGGGAATATCAAAAGAGACACGAGTAAAGTTGCAATAACACCGGCCACAATCATCTCCAAAATTGATCCGATTGTCCTCAGAGAGTAGTCTCCGGCCTGAACAGCACCTTCTCTGGTCAGAATATTGATGAGGCCAAGCGACGTAAGGGAACAGGCGATGTTCACAAGGGGGTCGCTCTTCCTGAGCTTGATCCAAGCAACAAGTCCCAGGCCACCTCCTACAAAGAAAATCAACACAATGGCATGGCCCAGCTCAATCAAATGGACAGTGTCAGCAAAGAAGGCTGCTACAGTCATGCTGAGAAGGGACACAACTGCTGTGTACAGGAAAGCAATTGAGGCAAGAAGAAGAGCATCAAGCATACTTCCAAACGACCTGTAGGGGTGGAAATACACAGTTATCGTGGCCACCATGTGCTTCGAACTCTGACGGCCAAACAATTGGCTCAATGCAGGCACGAAGGTCGCGAGGCTGCCGAGGAGATACGCCAGTGCACATTTGAACACTCCTTTGCCCGTTTCTGACACGACGAACTGCTTTGCTCGGATCGCATAATCCCTGCTCTTGTGTAGGACAATCCCAACTTTTGTACGCTGACCATTGCTTCCATATTGCGACGCTCGAGGCAGAAGGGGGGTTGACTCATCGGAGGTGTCAGAGCCAAAATCATGATTGTCAGCGTCGTGAAAGCGAAGGGTAAACGTTCTGTTGGATCGCGCTCCAGTTGAGGGATCGATGTAAGAACAGTTTCGAAGCTATGATAATAGTCCAGTCAACCCTATGTTTTGTTTTGAGGTGCCGTAAGGATCTCTACCTACGCTGGCTCTGGGATTCAATCGATGTTGGTCTGCCTCCGAGGCTGCCATCACTGTGGAGTGGAAAGCTGCTCATGGCAAACGCGCCAGGAAAGAGATATCAAGAGGGACATTTCGACATAATGATACCGGGTCACTGCGCTGATTCCGAAGGGTGTGGTGAGTCCTTCCGAATCAGGTGGGAGCAAAAGACTTCTGGTCATTTATTGAGGGCTGTTGATGTTTGATGTTGGTGTTGTGGTTTCCCGCATCTCAATCCGGATCAACATTGTGCCGAGCCTGAAGACTCAGTGCCTCAGTTACCACAACCATCTACATCCAAGACGTGAGATTCATACCCACGCAACCTGAGAACCACCTCGACATCAGAACAGCATATCACACGACAACCGCTGTGACTGAACCCTATTAGTGTACATGAGCGCTGGCATGTAAAGGAATAGCGCAAGGATGTACCGTGGGAACCCAACGAAACGGATATAAAAATATATCGCTCCGCTCTTCGCGTTTAAAATTACGTTCCCTTGGAAAGGGACTGTATATTCCCGCCACAAGAAGCGAAATTTCCATTGTCGTATCAGGGCACATATATTACCTCAAGAAACAATGGTTCCCATCCCTGATGCTCATGCACGGCCACCAGATTCGATGCGAGATCTTTTCAAGCGTCGGCGGAAACAATCACCTGCATCTATCGATTCTGACGTTGAGATAATCGACCCTTACAACCCAAAGGCCACTCCTGTCACGTTTCTGCCGGCGTCGGAACAATGCCCACACATTGAGCTCGCCATGCTGGAGCAAGAATTCGCTAAGGGGATCACAATTGCTCGGCTGTCGGCACATGTCTGTGATCGCTTTCCCTCGCCCGCGTTCGAAATCAACGCCCTGCCCGGTATATCCTAGTTTTCCTCTTTATTATTCTTCGGGAACGCACTGACCTCTCTGTAGGTCTGCTTGTTTTCCCTTCGCTGCTCACTCCTCGCCTGCAAATTGCATTGCTGGAGAAGCTCCTCCATCGTGACTTGAACAATCCCGAGCACAAGACTAATTTGCATCTGCACTACAATATCGACTATCCTACCACGGAAGGAGGTGACTTGCCAAATCTTGACTGCGGCTTGTCTTCCTTCTTTAGCTCTGACCAGTCAACAATGTTAAGACCCAAGGACCCCTCGGTCCACCGCCCTCTCACGATCACTCAAATGCTTGACTCAAAGCTGCGATGGGTGACCTTGGGAGGCCAATACGACTGGACCAACAAGGTCTACCCTAACGAGGCACCGCCAACCTTCCCACCTGATATTGCATCCCTTCTCAAAAGTCTTTTTCCTTCTGTCGATGCCCAAGCGGCGATTTTGAACTTCTACAGTCCTGGAGACACTTTGAGTATTCACAGAGATGTCAGCGAGGAATGTGACCGGGGTCTCATCAGCATAAGCATGGGATGTGACGGTCTCTTCCTTGCCGGAAATGAAGATGGGACAGAGGCTGTCACTCTCCGCTTGAGGTCTGGAGATGCGGTCTTGATGTCAGGAAACGCTAGATATGCCTGGCACGCCGTGCCCAAGATCATACCTGATACGTGTCCTTCCTGGCTGCAAAACTGGCCAGATATTGATGAAACGAACAAATATAAAGCGTGGCATGGGTGGATGAGGACTAAGCGCATCAACCTCAATGTTCGACAAATGAAAGAATCCTGAGTTCCTCCGGCAAGCTTCACCGTTGCTAGGAAAGTTAGGAGGAAACCGAGGCATAGGGGACTCTACATGGAGTGGGAGCAAAGTAGTGGACAACCAAGCCTTGAAGCCTCATTTTGGAATGATGTGAATTCCTGGATACCAGTCATGCAGATACCATCGTTCAAGGCATGGACGATCACAACTGGTAACTTATACTAGGTGTGAGTGATCTACTCATTGATTGCAACACCAGGGGAGGGCCTACTTTGTAGGGTTGACAAACAATGTGCCAACAGCCCTTGTAATTGAGGCGCGATAGAAGTATGTGGAGCAGAAGCCATGAAGCTCTTGAGTACTGCTGTTCCGCACAACAAAATATGCTTCATCGATATCCGCCTGCTGTGGAGAGATCGAGCTTGCCCTTGTTCCCGCGAGCGAGGATCGTCGACGGGATGGTGTTGTCCCAGAGACAGTGCTAATCGGGCCATCCAACACCATCTTGTCTTCATCCTGAAGCCAATGCTCTGCGAGCCAATGGTGCGTTCCTCGTTCTGTAAGTAGCAATCTCAAATCATGAAGGTCTTGTCAACTTGAAGTGCCTGGTACCGTTCGGTGCCAGATCAGACTGAGCTTTACATTGACTGCCAGTTTGGAGTTAGACTACCGAATGATATTGTCAATAGCTAGTAGTGAATACCACGTTTCAGATCAGGCCAACTTGGTTTGCTGCACCGATTTAGCCTGTCTCCTCAAATCTTCATTTCCTTTGAGCACATTCTTCCGTATCCCATCGTAACCAACCAACCTCATCCACTCCGCCAGAGACTTTATACGGCCGGGGTGAATTCTGTCCAGCAGAGCCATGTCTCTGGGTGGGCATCGGCCCTCTCCCCAGTATCGCCACCAAGCCGAGAAATTCCGACGCCACGTCATGCTCGACTCGTCCCGGACGGCATTTGGGCCGGCTGCATAGTTCGCCGGAGCGTTTGGGTAAGGCTCTGCGGCGGGCATGTATTCGTCAAGAGGAACGTACTGATGCACCCCTTTCTTTCCAGTCACCTGGGTGAAGGTGGCAGCTATTTCCTGGAAGCTGACTTCGTCGGTTGCGACTTTGAGTTCCAAGCCACTGGACTCGTGAAGATTGTCAAACAGCCACAGGGAATAGACGCCGACATCCTCCAGAGCAATAAGTGGTATTTTGCCCGATCCTGTACAGTGTCATCCAAGGAATTAATTAGCAAAGCCGCTGGGATCCAAGGGAGAGAGATCCGGACCAAGTCCACACATACTTGCAGGGTTAGCCCAGACAAAGGACCCGTCCTCCTTTTCCTTAGGTACAAACATACCGTCCCAGAGCATGTTCATATAGGGCCCAGTGGTGAGAATCGAGCTTTTCATCCCTTGTTGTCCTTGAGCCAAGATATACTCGGCCACTCTGCCTTTGGCATCATTGTGTCCCCAATGGTAATTTTCGTCCCAATTGGTATCCTTGAGTGCAAAGTCCGTACTGGCATAGACGTAATGTTGGACCCCTTCGCTCCTGGCGATTTCATACGCTCGGCAGCCATAGAAGAGCTCATTCTTCTCCCCTAAGGTGAAGCCATCGGTATTGACCCACGCAGCGTAAACTCCGTGAAATGCTCGGTGCAGATCTTGCTGGTTATCCTGTGAGCCTTCGACCAGGGTTACATTGGCGAGGTTCGCAATTGTTCGCGCACGAGCCGAGTTTCTGTCGCGAGTAAGGACTCGTACTGCATATCGTTTGCTTGAGGAGAGAGCTACATACGCAAGAATACTTAGAATGAGTCTCGACGAGTCAACACGAAAGTATGGGTCTATACTCACCGTTGACGACAACGAGACCCTGGGCGCCAGTCCCCCCGATGACTAGAACTTCTTGCATCTGCATTTCTGTTAAGGATATGGTGACTTCGACTTGTTAGTGCTGACCTGCAATGGATGCTGAGATATATCCACTTCACTAACTAGCTGATGGGACCGAGGATATTTTGCTCCTACCTATTACTCTCACTGACTTTGAAGGGCCATGGAAGTTCCAGTTGGCATGATTAGCTCGACTGACTAAACAGCTGCATGCGTATTTTGTCCCTCCTTAGAAGTCATGACCTGTTCTGATGGATGCATGTATCCAGAGTTCTCGGTCAGGCGAATCTGTCCCAGCAACTCCATCGCCTTGATCATTAATCCTACAGAACGAGAATAATCAGAGAGGATCCTATACGCGAAGCGTCTGCGGGGATCGGTCAGAAAATATAATCATCGTCAAACTTCAGGTCTGTCCCGAGTTGGTTGCGCAATGTGGCTGAGTCATCAACCCATCGCACGGCTACGGCGTAACGTATTTCCGTCGTTGTCCTCTGGGCCAGGGACTTCAAGTGAGTTCCATTCCCATAGGTATGTCTCTACAGTATTGCGAACGATCATTTTCATAATAGCAACAGATCAATCTAATTTATCCTCAAGGGGGCTACGAGTGCTCACCATAAGGATTCTGACCGCCACAAGAGGAACTTCATAAGAGAGGTACTCCCAGGGCAAGCTCATACTGAACATGACTGGACATGTCATTTCAAGAATTGGCAGGGCACTCGCTACTATACTACAGCTTCACCTTTGACATAGCAGTGAGAACTATCCGAAGCCTCTGAGAACACATGTAATCGATCCAGTTGTGGTGATGGCAAGGTATCATCATAATGGGAGAAAATTGCTGCACTGGGTAGAGAGGAGGGCAAACAGAGGATCCATTCTTCCGCAGCTAGCATTGCCGTCTAACCGTAAATGTCATGAGTAGTAGGAAGGCCGGAACTCGTCCAGGTACTCGCTGTCTGCTTATGGAAACATGGGGTTGGACGACTTCCATGTGCGTGACTTTCCCCATTAGCTCAAACCTTTCGTGCTTTTCACCCCGTGGGGAACATCGGCTCTGCCAACACCATCTCCAACCATTGCGGGGGTTGGAATGGGGTGAATTCCAGGGATCGACCTCTCGGTTGGTTACACACTTGGCCATATGTGAATTGTGGGCGATTATATACTTCTTGAGCCTCCTCGGAAAGTGTCTTGAGTCTGATCTGCCAGGTAGAGGTATTGACGACCTTTATTCGACAGTTCAGAGGCAAGATGGGTACCTCCAATATCTCACTGTCGAAGGATGTCCCTGTTTACCCCTTGGACTACTCTGGAATACCTGAGCGTCTCGTCACAAAAGTTGCCCGAGAGAGAGATCGGCTTTCCAAAAATCAGACCAAAGGCCGAACTAGCGAGAGGAAGAGGGGGATTGCGATACCGCAAGGCGTGAGCAAAGACCAGTTTTTCAAAGCTGTTGAAGAGCTCTCGGGATTTATTGGTGAAGCCAATGTGAAGATCAACGATCAGCCGCTTGAGGATGGATGGTATGGTTTCGAGTTACTCGGGAGGTCTGTAACTGACGATAGCTAGGTACATGGAGCGTTAGAAGATTCCTCCAGGGCCTGCTGCAATTGCTAAATTCATGCGCAGATCCGAATACCCACGATGCTTTTATGATCCTTGACGGCGAAGAGACTGTATCTTCCGCCGCCGTATACCCGGGAAGTGTCCAAGAAGTACAAACTGTGGTTAAGTGGGCCAACAAGCATTTGATCCCCATTTACCCAATATCAATGGGTAGAAACTGTATGTCAGCCCCCAAAAGTGTGTCATCGTGTTAAGCAATAGCAGTGGGATACGGTGGTGCGGCACCAAGAGTACGTGGCTCCGTTGTCGTCGACCTCGGAAGACGTATGAATAAGATCCTGGACATCAATCCTGATGATTGTACTTGCCTCGTTGAGCCAGGAGTTTCTTTCTATGCCTTATACGAAGAAATTCGCAAGCGAGGCTACAAGGTATGGATTGACTGTCCCGATCTCGGCGGGGGATCAATTCTGGGAAATACTCTCGATCGTGGTGTCGGCTACACCCCATATGGTGATCATTGGGGAGTTCACTCTGGATTGGAGGTGGTACTTCCCACGGGGGAGCTCTTCAGAACTGGAATGGGGGCTTTGCCAGGTAACAACACCTGGCAGACCTTCCCCTACGGCTTTGGCCCTATGTCAGAGTGAGGATAGCCAACAGGATCCAAACTTGAATTTGCCGCTCATATGTCACAGTGGACTGTTCTCGCAATCCAACTTCGGTGTTGTGACCAAGATAGGTATGGCTCTTATGCCTGATCCTGGTGAGCACGAGAGCTTCGTAAGTCTATCACTTTGAAATGAGTGATACATACTTATGTGACACTTGCTTACTAATTCTAGATGTACACTTTCCAAGAAGAGGATGACCTCCAGCTGCTTGTATGTAACTCGACTTGTTCATTTACACCACTGATGATGTCAGGTCGAGATCATCCGTCCCCTTCGGATTGCCAACATTCTTGAAAACGTGGCGCAGATCCGTCATAGTATCATCGAAGTTGCAGTCGGTGGGGGGTCTCGCAAAGAGTTTTACGATGGAAAGGGTGCTATCCCAGATAATGTTCTGCAGAAGCATCTAGAGTCGACGCCACTGGGTCGATGCACTTGGATTTACTATGGCACGAACTACGGACCCAAGCAAATCCGACAGTACAAGCTCGACATTATTCACAAAGAATTCATGAGGGTGCCTGGCGCTCGGCGAATCGATCCGGATTCCCTGCCGAAAGACCACTACTTCTGGTCTCGAGATCGAATTGCTTCGGGAGAACCCGACTTCGAGGAACTGTCCTATCTTAATTGGGTTCCAAATGGAGCTCATATGGGCTTCAGTCCAATATCTCCAACTCGAGGCCCTGATGCGCTAAAGTTGTGGAAGATTGCCAAAGAGCGCCACCACCAACATGACATCGATATGTTTCTGGCATTTGTGGTTGGACTCAGAGAACTGCATATGATTGTGCTTGTTATCTGGGATCGAGACGACCCTGAAAGAAGAAAGGCGGTGGACAGGTGTATGCGGCAAATGATTGATGATTGTGCAAAACAGGGCTACGGAGAATATCGAACACATATTCTCTTCCAGGACCAGGTTGCCGCCACCTACAACTGGAACGATGGCGCGTTGATGAAGTTCAACGAGAAGCTAAAGGACGCCCTCGACCCCAACGGTATCATGGCTCCGGGAAGGTGCGGCATATGGCCTGCCCGGTACCGGGGCCGCGGGTGGGAAATTGGAAAAGAAGGTAGGGACACGTATGAAGGAGACGGTGTTCATCCTCCCACTGGGAGCATACAGATGTGAGCAAGTCCATCTACTCGTCCCAGAAAAGTTGAATAAATGATAAAGGCACGCCGGTGGTTATTGCACGTCACTGGGAAAGAAAGCTCTTTTCTTCGTGTACTTCGTACTGTCTCATTTATAACATATTACTATCTGATTTGGACATGTCACGTTTGCAGAGTGGTGATACAATGGTGGAGTGCAGCGTTGTGTTGGCTGCGTCCATGGCGTGACAGCGCTTTCAGCTGCCGCAGTTTAGTCGACGTCGCGACCGTCCACAATCTGAGCCTCGTCTTCCTGTCAAGATTGTCATGACATGCCTAGTGAAAGGAGTGTTGGGTGTATGAACACATGCTTCAGTCAATACAGGATCAAGGAGTGTGTGTGTGTGTGTTTTGGCAATATTGTTGCCGAGGCCCGAGATGGAAGTGGTTAAGGAATGAATCCATCGTTCGAAGGCTTGGGAATGTTGCTCACGGGCAGAAGTGTTTCTGCCATCAAGGTATCTGTTCATGGCCCCATGGAATCCCCCGTTCTCCTAGGAGCGTGCGCCATGTCTGTATGCAATTGCAGCTGCGGTATCGCGTTCGATGCGGGAAATTTGTCTTCGGACCCGGCGTTTTCTTTGCGCATCTTCACGGATTGCCGCGGCCTTTTCAGCTGGACTGACGTTGTCGTTGTTACCATTAGCAGCGGCAGCGATGTCTGAGGCCGAGCCAGTGGCCGCGTCTGTGGCTGTGTCGTCGGCCGTACCAGTCGCTGCAACAGTGCTGTTGGAAGCAGTTCCAGCTGTGGCGCTTGAAGACATCTGGACAGGAACAACTCCACCAAAGGGACCTGCCAATGCTGGATTCTCGCATCGGACCATGCAGACATTATCTTGGCCTGCGACTGTCCCGGTACAGGTCTGTCCTGCAGGTACGGCGGCAACAAGAGGCTGAGAGCTGTTAGAAAACATTTAGCCACAGAATTTCAACAATACACTTACATGGTCGGTCTCAGATCCAGCTCGATTATTGCCACGTCTACCCGCCACTTGTGTAGTCACGGTCATCTGTGTTTGTCAGTGGGAAGTATAACTTCTGCAGTGTCTTTCTAACCTGTGTCCATGTGGTGCCTGTTCCATCGGCGTTGATCATGCAAGTATAAGGCCCGGCACCGTCAGCGTTGACCTGGTGAAGAGTCATCTGAACCTCGCCGCCGGGTGTGATCTGAGGAAGCGTACCGCCACTCTCAGCAAGAATAGCAGCAGTGCCGGCCTCGGGATCATTATCGCCACCTTCGAGCGTTTCGCCAAAGGTGTCGGCCTGGTCGCCCGCGAAACGAGTGGTATCTTGCTGAAAGGGACGTCGTCTTGTGCCGTCACGCGGGGTCGACGAGTCGATGCCGAGAGCAGTGCCATTGCCGCCAGCATCACCAGTTGCAGCAATAATACAGCCATGTGCTGCAACAAGCTCAAGGATGGAGAGGAGTGCCAACACAACTAAAGATTTGCAAGCAACCATTGTGAAAGAAGAGAGTGCAATACAGGACCAGCCTTTGACAAATGTAGGTAGAGAAGACAGTTGAAGATTCAAGGGAATATCTGAGGGTGTAAATCAGAATTTGTGGAGTTGACCTCGTTATACTTATAGTTTCTCAGCGTAGACCATGGACATTTCGTCTTCCCTGGTGACCACACCACAACTCGCCGAAATGCTCCATAGTCTACTTCGCTGACACATCTTGTGGACCATTTGGAATACTTGGGACGTGAGGCTATGCCAATGAAGAGGCCGTCCATATCGAAACGGATGCAGCACCATTGCCTCTACAGTATCTTTTTGGATGAAGCTACTGTGCGTCTCAACAAAAGGCCGAGGAACAGTAGAGCCTCGTTTCGTTCCTATTGGTAGAACATAGAATGGTGATGGCCGATAACAGTTTCGAAGTGACGATAAGTTCATGCAGGGGGCTCTATCCGAAAACTTCATTCCGTTTCGAAGCATCAATGATACCTGAATGGGATAGTCGAGCTCCGATATGTTGATACTAGAGGTGTTTTGGGTGATAGTAATCGAGACATGAGTCAGGGAAAGGATAGACACAGACTTCCAAACCGGTTCTGGCCCGTCCAAAAAGGTGTTTTGGTGTGTGGAGCCAAATAACCGACAGGATAAGAATCCTGCTAGACCCGGGGAAGCTATGCATCATCGCGAGATGAAACCTCCAGTTGAGCAGCCAGTGTATCATGAGTCTGAATTGGGTATGCTCCACCGAGCCGTGAGCGACGTCCGACAAACCCCACTCTGGGGTAAGCAGGGAATGTTTCACGGCGCCACCATCGGTGGTGGCTGAGCAAGACGAGGCATGTGCTGAATCAAGACGCTTAGCTGTGGCCAGATAAAGAGACACGAACGAATGACCATGCTGTGTTCTTTCGGAAATGTTCTATTCCGGTCTGAATAGCAATGGTAGTGTCTAAGCCTCAATCGGGCTCGCGATTCTACCCTCGACCAGCCGACACTGATACATGGCATACATTCAATGCTTCAGGAGTGATATGTCACTTTCATTGTGTACGATCATCCTCGTCTCATAATGCCATTCTACCCTTGAATGAGTCGCCTTCGATGACAGCCTCTTCGTGGGGCAGCATCTCCCCCATGTCTCATCTTGAGTCAGCATGTCTGCACGTTAGCCTTCTCTTCGTTCCTTAGTCGAACAATCAGAGTGTATCAAGAGAACTATCGGTGTCTTTTTCCGACTTTTGACGGACAGCAGCGCTGTGGATAACGGTGATTGACGGCCGTGGAAAGGGTGGCCGGCACGGCAGCGGCTGCTTGTTTGACTGACGTCTCGACCACCACGGTGAGCTTCACAGCCAATCCATGGGAGACCAATGCGACCTGCTTCTTTAGCTGTCTAGATAGTGCTCTCCTCTACATGAGTCGCTCCAGGAGGCCCAGCACTGCCATGCTAGATGTGCAACCCTAGCATTCGAAAAGGCCATTGCCTTTTCCAGCCCTCTAACAGTGGCATTCTTTGAAGGAGAGGCATTGTAGTGGATGGCTGGTCAAGACGCTTGAGTGTTTTAAAGAACAACTATGTGCTCATGCTGGTTGGAGCCTCTCTCCGGCACATCTGCTATTGTGGGTCAACCCGATCGCTGTTGGCTTAGACATATTGGATGTCGTCGAGAAAGTAGTACACTCTCAGATCCCCATAAGCACTGTACCTTCTGGATACAGCTGGCTCTAAGTACAGTTTCGCAGGATCCAAGCACATCTGCACCATTTCCGAGGTGGCCCATCTTGTGGAAAAGCCCCTGTGCGGCTTGTGAACCTTTGAAGTCTCCAAGTCACTTTGGCCGCGGCCAGATTGGCCAATATCGGACGGATTGCATTTGTGCGAGATTTACTGGGTCGCTATAGTTTTAGGATGATAATGAACTCCCGTCCTCTTATTCGGCCTCAAAGTAACCACTGGCAATGAGTGTGTAACCCGACTCTCTTCAGCTGACCCACTGTCCTACTCTGCAGCCTTTTCCTGGGCGGCTCCTGTGGACACTCTGGAATTTTACAAAACTCGACTAGTTGAGAGGGCTCGAAGAATGGTTAGCGCTGCAGGCATCTACACCAGTCCAGGTAACCCAGACGCCTCGATATGGAGGAGTGTCTCAGACAGTGCGTTCCGTATCGTCACTTGCTCTTGACCGTGTCCTATGCTGCCGTGTCACTTAAGATAGTAGGTACTGTGCTCTCTATACATCTCCGACCACATAACAATTTAGACAGAATAATGGATCGTGTGCATCTCTCTTCGCCTACTTACTATGAAGACTGGGCTTAGTGCATCCAATGACATCGAGGCAAACGAAGGCCCGATACATGAAGCGGATTGGATTCTTGATATTGGCCAAAATGTCTCAGAGTCTGAAGTACCTGGTTTCTGGCTGAGACAGTGCTCGTTACTAATAGACACTTCTCCGATACCAGCCCAGAGGTCACGGCTTGGTGATGGGTCAATGTCCAACGCTGTGATACCTGGATTCTGAGGATACGCTGAATGGGTGCAGGTCTTCTACAAGCTATCTACCCGTCGATAAATGTACAAGAGCCCTCGTTGTAAAGCAAATGTTTTTGTTTCCCTCTGTAGGATCTTGACCGGCGCCAGCTGACCTTATCGAGACACAGAATCGGCATTCCACACTGCTTAGCTTTCAGCATTTCGACCTCATTTATAATTCTGCTTACACGAAGAACACTAGAGCAACTCCCGTTATGCCAAATGCAGGAGGATTGACAGACAGAGAGGCCGCGATCGATGCAATAATTCGATTTGTCTGCTCCCTGGACAATGGCGAGTCGGAACTTTGCGTGTCTGCCTTTACCGAGGACGTGGTGGTAACTCTCAACTTCTGTAAAACTGACATGCATTATGATCCATCGATCCGCAGAGACGATGTCGTCGACGTAATGATGAAGAAAGTCGGCAAGCCACTTGATACGAATCATAGTACCGCCGATATTTGCTGCACTGTGACCGGCAACTCGGCGGAATTGACGACATGTGTACTGGCGCAGCCTTTTCAAGGAGGGGAAGGCCCAAGCCCGGAGTTCCAAAGGTCCTACTTCTTCGGCAGCCACTACAAGACAACACTGGTGCGAGCAGGGGAATTGTGGAGAGTCAGCACACTGTAGATCACGCCGGCCTGGACTCAGGGAAACCCAGGCGTCATGAAGGTATAGATGTTGCCGTGCAAAGGAGTACTTGATGTGTCGGCCTTAAATTGGGCAAGATCTGTTTTGACTATGTTTCTAGTAGTTCGATATATGGGCTATTCCGGAGCAGACACTATTCCACCACCAGCGACAGCAAATTTCACAACTACCTTTCCTTTAGTTGGTCAGGTGAAGTCATAAAAAATGCTTGTAATCACTGAATTACCAGGAAAAAGAGCACTTACAGTGTAGTGTACCGTGGTTCTATCGAAAGCTCCGGAGCATGTAGAACGACCTATGTCGGGGATGATCGGTTCGCTCTACCGCCTACCACAGCTGTGCTTCAGAAGCGGCAAGACTTGCAATTTTTCGACTGTCATGTTATTGCTGCTTCGAATTGATGGCTTCAGCAATGTTCTTTCGAGTCGGTGTGAGCCGCCAATTAGCTGGCATAGCTCAGCTGAGACAATACGTGATACTTTCAGATTTGGCGCCATAAGCTATTGCTGCTACATCAACCCCGCTCGTCACGAGTATCTTCCGTACTGTGATTTGATTGTTGGGTCCGGAGATACCTGTTTCCGAGTGCTATACTAGCTCACAAACCCTATATCTATAGTATAGTACTAGTGTTAGATTGAATTGATCCTTTTACAGCAATGTTTCTACAGAAGCTTTCCGCCCAAGATGTACATTTCGACCGTTTGAGCTCGAATTATTAGACGATAGAGTCCTATACTTCCTACTACCCGCCTCGCGACCTTCAAGTGCTCTTGAAAGGTGCCAAATGCTCCCAAAACATTGGTATTTTCTCCTTGTTTGCAAGGTCAAGACCATGCACTGTTTGTAGTAGTTCAATGCCTCCAAAAGGCTTTGCTTGACTGAACTGTGTGATGAATGAGGGTGTGACCGGATATACAGGTAGACTATGAGGCTAGCTCTACTGAATAGCCCAGCTTTATACGGGTTATGCAAAGAATTTCCTTTTAGAAGGAGTCCACAGAGATAAGTCTCAAAACTCAACGAATTGAGAGTCTGGAACCTAGGGATGTGAGATCTGATATGAAAGACTTGCTCCACACCGCACTATGAGCGCCTGTTAGTAAAACGCAAACGCAAAAAGTGTTGGTTCGGGCTTACCTGGAGTTTCGAAGCACATAATCCTCGGATCTTTTCTGATTGGCACGGCGTTCTTCTAGCCCCATGGTAACTGCCCGAGTTAAGGCAACAGCCGTGCCATCGATGTCCCAGGGATTGAAAGTGACACTTCCTCGCAACTGCCCGGCGGCACCGGCAAACTCTGAAAGGAGAAGGACACCTTTTCTATCCCTCTGAGTAGCCACGTACTCGTAGGAGACGAGATTCATTCCGTCGCGGATAGATGAGACAAAGCAGACGTCTGAAGCAGCATACATAGTCATCAGCTGTTCAAATGGCACGCTTTGTTGTAGCAGGTGAACCGGTTTGTAGTCGTTGGATCCTGGTTTTCGTTAGCTCCGAAGCTGCAATTTCGACGTCGTTTGGAGGCTCTTAGCCATAGGCTTACCGTATTTCTTGTTCAAGGCCTCCACCTGGTAGTAGAGAGCTTTCGCAAGCTCCTTGTATTCTTGCACACTCTCCCTGCTCGGGACAGCGACCTGGATCATACTGATCTGCCCTATAAATCGAGGGTTGAGGTCCAAGAAACGTTCAAAGGACATGATCTTCTGCGGAATCCCTTTGGTGTAGTCAAGACGGTCGACGCCAATGATGAGTTTGCAGACATCGTACTTCCTTCGAAACTCTCTAACCTGTTCCATCATAGACTCGCTTTCCATGCACTCGAGGAACTTGGGTACGTCTATCCCAATGGGATACACTCCAAGCCCGACAAAAGTGTTCAACCTCTCAATGCCATCAGGAAACTGCTTAAAGTTCCTACTGACATATTAGCCGGAGTTTGCGATGGAAGATGTTTGGCATTCTCACAAATCGTCGCAGCAGGTTCGAGCAAAGTTTTGAGCGTATTGAAGGGTATGAAAACCGAGCATCTTGCAATGTACAAGACCTTCGAGGATGACATCCCATACCGGGAGAACTTTAAACATATCTCCACAGGGAAAGGGTGTGTGCAAGAAGAAACCAATCGTGAGTCTTTTACCTAACTTCATGGCTGCTTCCGAAAGCATTCGGGGTAGCAGCATAAGATGGTAATCGTGAATCCAGACAAGGTCTCCGTCTGAAACATCGGCAGCAAGTCTCTGAGCGAAAATTTGATTGACTTCCCAATACGCCTTCCATTCACTTTGATGGAATTGAAATGCGTTAGGTTGATAGTGGAGGAGAGGCCAAAGGGCCGAATCTTGTTCAACCTCTTAGCTGTGTAGCGATATGCTAGAACCGACTGCTGAAACTTACTTGAAAACCCGTTGTAATAAGCGTCAGCTATACTGTCTTGCAGGAAAATTGGGACTGCGCCATGTTTCTGCCTTAACACGTGAGAGATCTCAGACTCCTCATCCGACGGTACCTCGATGCCTGGCCAGCCGTACCAGAGCATTTCGAACTCGCGTTTGACACCACTCATCCCTGTCGCGAGTCCCCCGGACGACTCCTTCAGACTGTATCCCCTGGCGTCATTTCTCTCCACGGTGACGGGTAGTCTGTTCGACACAACAATCAAACGCTGTCCCGGAGCTAGAGCGGTGGCGCGTAAAGAGTCCGGGCTTGGAGGAGGCGTCTGCACGGTCTGGATTTGAGGATACATATGTGATTTGCTTCGACTTGTTTGCCCTGTCAGGCCAAATACGTAACGATGGGTAGATCAGTCATGAACAGAAAAGGTTAATGATCACTGCACGAAGAGAGGTTAAGTGAACTCTATATGTCGTTCACACAGTTGAATTAGACTGAACGTTCGTGGTTCGTGCCCATCTAACTTACTTCAACCCCCCCTCTGGAAGAAATTCACATCCAACGAGCTTAATTCGCGTCATTTTCTGTCGGAACAGGCTCCGTCATCGAAACCAGAATCATCTGGAATGCGCGAACCATGAGGAGTTAGGCAGAAGACCGAAATTGTACGAGTATGTAGACTTAGGACTGGTTGTCATATTTCAGCTGGTTTCGTCATGCTAGACTCCAGTAATAGCTAGAATGCTGCCGGCTCAAATTGCCGCGCAAGATCTCGTTGAACAAGATGAAAAACCCGGATCACTGCGATACGAGGGCTGATGTGAGTCTTCAAAGCCAAGATTCCGATGATATCCGCGGGCACGTCAGACAGTCCGATGACGATGCAGATTTCAGATTCAAATGAACTTTCCATGGGAAAGAGGCTGGTTGTGCATGGGCAGGCTTATCGTCCTCAGATGGTTGGGGAATAGAACTTCCATGACAAGGAGTCTTGAACGTCCCTGGTCTTGCAGTGAAACCGGCAGGGTTCTACGGTGACACCACCGCTGGCCATTCGTGTCGCATTAAGCTTCAATCGGATAGAAATACCTCGGGGCACGATTGGCCTCCTACTGCACTTCCCCGCGAGTTTCAGTTTCCTTGGTTCCGCGGCAGTTCAGGCCCCACAGGTGGACCTGCAAGTCGCGAGTCTCTCAACGACCTCTTTGACGTTGACTTGCCCTGAGGGTATTATGACGCCAATCAGATAGTTGCGTTATCTACAGACCCTATGATTTCTAGGGTTCTACCTAGTTGTAGGATTGAGATCACCAAGCTCTTAAACGGGACTCTCCCCTATCACCTCGAGTCCGGCTAAAAGTATCACGCTCCAGACGCTTCCCGAACAGTTACTGTCAAAACCCCATGCTTATACCTGGATCTATCGACAGAAAATTCCTATCAAGAAGAGCTCTTTCCGCTGACCAAGATGCGCCGACCAAGCGCGCCTAAGACGGCCAATGCTTGTCTTTCGTGCAAGGAGAAAAGGATAAAGGTTGGAAACCTATCCTAAACAACGCGTCTCTACCGCTGACTGTCTCATGCAAGTGTACAGGCCAGCCGAGCCCGTGTCAAGCTTGCAAGAAGACTGACCGGTACTGTCATTTTGACTTGAGACTTGACGCAAGAAGGAGGAAAGCAGGCGAGCTATCCGCTACTCAACGGCAGCATTGGTTCATTCTCGAGAGTCTGCTTCGAAGCATCAAGTTCAACGACCGCGATATGGTGCAAAGACTTGTTGAGGCGATCAGGAGTGACGAGTCGCCCCAGAAGGTGGCCGAAACATTTCGAGCCAACATTCAACTTGTGGATCACCTGGGAGAATTGACCAAGCAGGACATAAGTGACGCTGATATAATCACTCTCGTCCTTCAATGTCTCTCCTACCCTTCGCCGGGATCCCGGACAAACAGCCTAGATTCCGAGACACGGTGTGGTCTTCTCAGGGCACCTTCATCCTCCTTCTCAGACTCCTCATCCATTTCTCCCCCGTCTAGCTACGCCGTGTCTTTCGATGAAGCGTTCCACTCCGCGGTCCAAAGCAGCAGTGTTGATGACGAAGGTGGAATTGGCGACGAACTTGCACCTCATGATATCGCAGACATTGGATCGATGACTACGTACAACCTGGTCAATATGCCAGCTTCCGCGGTGCATGGTACTCTCTACTCTCTCCGGAACGCTGCTAATGTGCGAACAGTCGTCCGGTCAACCCATGTGCTCGGCAGATATCGACAGTGGCATCTTACTCCCAACGATCGGTCTTGCTCAGGTGGTTGATTTCGAAGCCGAACTGGCGCTGTCCGAGAATCAAAGTCAGCATCGTCGCTTCTCGCTACCAGGTACACTGCAATCCGGCGGAGTCTATGGGGGTCGCTCCTTTATGAAGGGCTGGGACCACATGCGTAACCCCTCGCTGCTGCGAACATTCACACTCCCCCTGATCTATCCGGGGGATCCGGTAAATGACATCGTCCTTGCCTTCCGAGACAAGGCTCGAGATCTGCTAAAGTCTGGTGCTTCTTTGCGCTCCATAATGGGATCTGGACCCACCGACGTGGAATTGCTATTTCGACCAAGGCAGTCCGATGACGAATGGAATGTGCCGAATTGGGCGTGCGAGGTAAGGTTGACCCAAATTCCACTACTTCCCTCTGCCCAATCCTGTGGCATATATCAGGAGCTGAAGCATTTCGTTTAGACGACGTCGGACCTTGAAGATTTCGATTTCCATGTCCGACTCAGTCAAGTTTTTATGCGTATCCGGTTCATGAGGTGGTTGATCCTGCCCAACGCGGAAATGTTTACCGGCATCCCAGGTATCCTGAAACCAACAGTGGCACAAATGCGGTTTCCGCACTCCGTGGCCATAGATTTCCTACCCATCCCGGCGGTTCGAAATAGTCTGGTTCGACAACTACGCGACTGGCAGACACTCTTGAGCAGAGCCAAGTATAGCTGCAACTGGAGCGAGAGTCTAGGTCCGGCAGTCATCACCGATCCGATCTCGGGACGACGATGTTTAAGCGCACAGTTCGAAAAGCACATTTGCGTCTATCAGAACTGGAGTGCCAGTTCAAATATCCTAGAAACTTGGCCAGAGCTGTCGGGAGAGCTGACGTTGGATAGAGCTATATAAAGGGACGCGCATAATTGTCGAGGGTTCCTTGAAAACTTGCCTCGTGAACAGTTGCATCCAGTGCCACTGGGACGGAAGTGAGGTCTTAGTCTTCCCCTGATGGAGAGCCAGCTCGTAAGCCAACAAATAACTAGGAACTGATCACCACCCCAAGTGGCCCAAATTGAGAATCAAGAAGGAACCTGAAATAGCCATAGTTGGGGACGAAGATTATCCCGTCATAATACGGACCGTGTGTCTTACTGCAAGAGAGATGAATCCCTGGATGTGGACGCGCTGGACCCTCGTGCGGCCAGCCAATCGTACCATGCTCCGTCTTCGGCTATCGGTCGAACTCTATTGTTTCGGTAGACCAAAAATTCTCCATGTATGGCTTGTAGTGGCCAGAGCCGTAGTTGACAGAGGTTTGTCGCGACTCCAAGTTCATATTCGAGGACTGAGACGAATCATAATGAGGCATTGAACCCGCCCAGGGAAGCAACGACGGATCTGGCATCCCCTGACTGTGGTAGCGAGCAGCTGCAGACTGGGATATTTCACTGGCCGTTGGAAATGAATAGTCAGATCCAGCTGTGAAATCATAGGACGAGGATGAAAGTGCAGAGGATGTTGAAGGTAATGGATCTGGTGATGTCTGCCACATGCCGAAACTCATGGAACCTCGTGGTGTCACGGTAGAATCCGGCCAGGACGGTGGCGTGGGCTGAGGCCCGGAGGTTGCAAAAGCTCGTGCTCGCTGACGTTGCTTTTACTGACGTAGGCCGCTTCCTCGTAGTTCTTGATCAACTTCCAAAAATAACGGAGCACTTCGTGGTGGTGGTTGGCCAAGGTCGAATGAGAGGTGCAGGTGGATAAAACGTTCATGACCGCCGTCAGGCCATCACTCTCGACTCTGTGACTTCCAGGAGGCTTTAAATTGTAACGCAGAGAAGTCACCTGGACCGAAAGACTCAAACAGAGCACTAGTCCGGCATGGTATGCCAGAGTTCTGAAAATGGGACGTCAGAGACGATCACCAACTAATGCAGCAGAAATCCGATACTCACGCAACAAGCCAGGATCTTTTACAAAGGAGGCCTCGTTCGAGTATCCTCGAAGACAAATGACCGATCTGGGCCGAAGAATCCACACTAGCAATGAGGACCACGTTAGCCATTTGAATAGAGCATTGAACTGGTGGAGATATTCCTACCAGGTTTGAGCAAATATCCCGATGCGTGATGACTGTGGTTTTGCGGCGAATAATGACAGAAAAAACTCTGGTTTGGTCAACACCGTTACAGATGAAAAGTAGAATGCTTCCAAGTAAAGCTTGTGTTGTTAGCCTCCAGATTGCCCCGGGCTGGGGTTTGTACTCACAGAACCCGCTTCATCAGCTTGCGACGATTGGGGGGCTGTGATATCCGGGAAGTGCCGCAGATTCTGGGGCAGATTTGAGGCCCAGACCTCAAGCGCATGGAAGAATGCTTCCTGAATACTGGGGTACATGCTCCCCTGGCTGAGGCCTGACAGGAAACGGCTGATCAACACACTCAGTTTCGCAACATTCACCTCGATATCTGGGTTCGGAGCGGCAAATTCCTCGAGTGTCATCTGGATTGCTGATCAGTGACACATTCAGATCTATAGTCCACGAGATCTTCTTACGTTCACAAATGGGTCCTGAGTTGTCTTCTGATTGATCTGTGGAGTCTTCCCCAGTGTCATGGACAGCCACCTGAAAGCGTAAGCAAAATCAAAACGGTAGCGGTAATTGGATGCGAAACACCATACGCATCGAAGAAGATGATGGCTCTCCAAACTTGTCTCCACCGCTCGTATTCTTCTCCTGACAGCCCTGGAAGAGAACCCTTTTCCTGGTCTAGATTATGCACTTGAGCAAGCCGTATCGCCGAGCTGAGGGTCAGCCAACATGTCTTCGGCTTAGAGTCTAGAAAATATAGGCACTCGAGCAGCATCGAGGGTAAAACCCACAGTGGAGCTACCTCGTCTGCCTGCTCGATACACCATTCCAGGTACTGACACCCACTATCATACAGTTTAGTATACGTCTCTTCGGCGGTGCCTGTCGTGAATCGGCATCCTGTAGCCAGCTGAAGCCAGATAGAACATTTTTGTGTCTCATCAACGTGGTCTTTCCCATATACTGTATCCAAAAGCCTCCAACTATCAGCCTCGTCGCAGATGCGGAATAGCATATTTGGGCCCTTCAGGAATGTGTTCAGCCATACTGAGGCACTAGCTTTGTCGGGCAGTTGCTCCTCTAAAGACACAAAACTCTGGCGGCCTGAACCAGGGATAAATGGCAAGGGGGTGGTCACGTCGTCTTCTGTGAGGTCGTTTCCGCTAACGATTGGGTCTCTACCTATACTGGCTCTATCGGCCCAAAAGGATGCCAAATGGTCCTGAAGAAAGGACGTAGAGCTTTCTTTGCAAGACCCTATGGGCCACTGCGAGATCGACGGGTCGCTTGATACTGGCGTGGCGTTTTCGGTCACGGCATTGTTGACTGTCGGATCGAATCTAGGCTATAGACAGTTAGGAGGTAGCCGAGATTCAATAGTCGCTGACGTACCAATTCTCGAGGCGGATCGACGACTGCCCGCCTCGCGGTCTCTCCATCAAACACACGGTCTGTCACTCTCTGATTGTGATTCGCCACCGTTGAAGATCTGGCGGATGCATCGACGTCCGAGGAAAGTCCCGTGGGACCGGCGGGAGGGTGAGCGACTCTGTTGGCCGGTAGATCAGAGTAAACGCAGTGGGCACGTCTCATTTGACAGTAGCTACAGCTTGGCCTTGTCCTGCTGCATTTTTGGTGCCTGATCTTGCATAAGTCGCAGGTTCTGTGAGATATTGTTCGCTTCCAAGTGGATGGCTTGCCGAGTTGCATCGCTACCACATACGAGGGACATTCGCGCCGGCGTCTGGGACAGACGACTCGCTTATACTCGGTTTTGGTGAGAGACTTAAGCAGAGAGAGAATAGCGGACACCTCCGGACATGGGTACAGAGTAATAGCATGCGTCGACTTACTATTGTCGGTGGCATCAGGCATGCTCCTGTCGGCAGCGTAGATGGTGGGTTTATGCGGGATTCTGTGAGACTGTCAATGCACCCAAACTCCGCCAGTAGGTCAGCCCTGACTTACAAGAAGTGTCATGCCATAGAGAAGTGGCAAACATGAGACCCTTTATTCTCTAAGCGAGCTTTATCAATCCTTGGCCACAGCAGGGATCCTGTTCATGTAATTGAGCATCACAAAGTACGAGTACTCGTTCGTAGGTCTTCATCCCGAGGAGCTGAACAAGAATGCCGATGGGGGCTGGCAATTCGATCCGGTACACCTACACAGCTTTCTTTGATCTACGCTACTTACCCCTCGCTGCGCGAAATGTCCGTGGAGAACATACTTTGCTGATTGCCTTTTCCGATCGCGTTGTTTCCCACCCATCCGAGGGTTTCTTAGTCCCCAACCGCCGATCGTTAACGCTATCAGCTGTGACCTGACGATTTGATGTCGGCAAATAAACTTAGGGCAGGTGCTTGGAATCCGTGTGAACGATAGACCCGAAGACAAACACGATCGACGAAGCTAATGGCTACATCTTGCTCGTTCCTCAGGCATCTGAGATCCAAGTCTGGACGGAGAGACATTTGGTGACTACGGATTGACCTTTCGTGTCTTCCTGGGCTTGAAACTACTGCAGTGGTCTGGCAAGAAATCGCGCTCATACCTTTCCCGGCTGTTTTTCCCGGTACCTACTTATCTTTTTGCGTTGACATCAGCCAAATATTTTTTAAATCCCCTTTCGTCCCTTTTCCTCGGCCGGCCACCGTGTCTCAGAATTGTGAGGTCTGCATGTTACTAGGAACTGCGAATCCACGTTGCGTGCGCGCTGGCCACTGCGGAGTTTTGATTAACCTTAGATAAGTCATGCAATGAAACGTATTCGGGAGTCATGGCCCTACGCCTGTTTGGAAGCTGTCAAAGGCGTGGGGATAGCCACGCGCTGATGACCCGATGTTCTTAAGGCCCATGTCAACATAGGACGCCAGTGGAGATGCTAGAGCCTTGACGTGGAGAACGACCTTGCTCACCACAGACCGGCTGAATCCTTCGTGTTGATGTTTGACACAAGGATACGAGTATCTGATGAGTGCCTAAAAGCTTGGCTCTGAATATTGCGGCGGCCGTGATAATATATTCCCCATTGTCGTGTTTGATGTTTGGTGTTACTGTTGGCCGGCCAGCCCTGCCATGTGCTGATCCATGTTCTGGTTCTTTCTGGTTCTGCCTTGTTCCCTGCAGTGTTCGAGGATACGAAAACTCATGGTTTGCTGGATACCACCAAGAAGATTATCGATGCAAATTTATGTTTTGGCAAATCTAGGATAAAGTTGCCGGTTGAGGAACGAGGCGCATAAAAGTCCGGTCACAATCCTGACCCCACTGTTGTGGGCACTAACCGGTCAGAAACAACATCTACTCGTATAGGGTGTTCAAAAAGTCTGCCAGAAGAGTGGAAATATCGAGGCGAGGCAAAGCTGATTGGAGTTCGCTGTGGGCGGAATACTACACTTCTCGAATCCTGCGCCAATCTACAGCTATGAGCTCGTATCGTGGACGAAATGATCACCAGAAAGAACGACAAACGGTTCCTGAAACATGGGGACTAGTGTCGGGAGTGTCAATGGCCAAGTGATGTAAAGTGCTGTCTCATGTGTCTGCGGTGGCCTGACGATACTGGCTTAGTATATTCTTCAGTGGAGGCGCTGCGAGTGGACTTGCCACTGTGAATGACCTACAATCTGGTCATCGGTATGTCAATGCATTTAAACTCAAGTAGTCGCATGCAGATCGAGTTGGAGACGTCTACGGAGACGTCTCTGACTGAGTAGTGAGCAACTAGGTAACTACTCCTTTTGTCCTTCCGTCTCTCCGCGGTCATGCTCCCAATTACACGCCATGTTCTAACCTGCTCAGGTGTCGTAGCAGCAACGGTCTTATCGATGCTTTACTTAAAAGCTCTGTTTATATCAACTGCTTCTTGTCAGCCAAAAATTGTCTGTGTGCTGCCCCGGACAATCCGGAAGTGGCTATCCGGATAAGACGTTGCCATCCAACTGGGGGTGGGACAGATCAACTACTGAGATTCAAACAAGTCTATAGCTCAGTAAAGTGCCCTAGCACACAAAGACCCCATTGATACTCTTCCAGTGGCATTGACTGAATTATCTGGAAGACTCCAAAATCATCCAAATGATCGATATACTCACAGTGCTGTTGGCTTTGGGTTTCGACATAATCAAAAACAGCCAATCATGGGAGAGAGATAGATTCGATGCCTATCGAAGAATGACGCAGTACCCATTACCTCTTCCAGCGAGAGGTCTGAATGCTCCCTTGGTCATTTCCCTTTGGATCAACTCGTATGCTCCCGCGGAAAACCATGTCCGCCTAATTGCAGGTCACGGTAGAACTCTAAGGATCCAGCACTGGTGTGCACCGTCGACAGATCCAGAAGATTTTTTCTCATCCAGGCTGCGATCCGGAGTCTTGTGCAAGTAACAAGCCATAGAGCAGGCCTGCGACCGGATACCAGGAAGGATGCCTAAGTGTGTACGCGAAGAGTTTGTATAAGCTGAACCCTCTAGATAATCTCTGTAGGTACAAAGCATCATGATGTGAGAATCTGGTGTATATCTTACGCACCACCAACCGTCTCGATCAGAGCATCCTAACGCCTATATAGATCCCTGACACCCCGTCTTTTTGAACGGAGACAATCACCTTTTCACCGTGCAACGTTTGACATACGAACACTTCTGCCCTTTCAATCACTAAGTCGCAATCGCCATATTAACCGGGCAATATATAGATACCAAAAAGGTTCTGGTGATACTTACCTCTCTGTGCAAGAGAGTTAAGAACATCTCTCCTGTGGGATTACATCTCTTTATGTATCACCAAAGAATTCCCTATGCTAACGGTGCAATAGATAGTGCCATGTCACTGTTTACTGACCTACTCATACGAAAAGTGTAAGCTCTGACTATGATTGAGATATCCGGCGATAAGATGGTGGTCTGTCTCGTTTGGCCTACATGTTACTAGCAGTACATTTGAGGGTAGCCAGCAAGAGTCTTGAACTTCGAACCTCGAAACTCTAGTTTCATTTTGTGAATTTTCAGATGGCAACTAACACAATGAAATGCCCGCTCAATAAACAGTTCCCGCTCAACCCATGCCCGTTCGATTCGTATTCGTTTAGATGATCATCCTCTGTGTTCCATTTCCTCGTAAGGTCGGGGGCGAAATAGGGATTCCACCACCATGGTTGGATTATTCCGTCCTATGCTCGGGCTTTTGTGCATAAACGACATGACTGGTCCAGGAAATAGAGCCTCTGGTTAGCACACCATCCCAGTCACGCATGTCCCGAATAATTACATATTACTTACAAGTCGTGTATCATGTGTACCTTTTTCTTCATTGCGTCTTGCCTCACACCGGCCAGAAACGCATGAATGGCCTCTGTGGACCATCCTAGGGCTCTCGTAAAGAGCGCCAGTGTGAGGCCTTCCAGGCCTTCTAGAAGCTGGATAAGATTCAGAGCACCAACCCGTTTCTGTAAACCAAAGCCAAAGGTGGAGTTAGTACAAGTTAAACGCTAGCAGTAATGTTGCGACGCCGTAATTGATAGTACAACATAGCTCAGGGCATCAATACTGAGCCAAGAAGGTCATACCATTGTCTTATCTTTAGGCCAAGCACCTAGGGGTAGTTTGAAAACCTTATGATTGACGTTTACAAACCCAGCGTTTCGAACCCAGGATTCTAAGTGCGGCCCCGGGGAAGCAGTCCGTCCAATCCTCTCGCAACCCTCGAGTAGCGTGTTGTACCACTCGAGAACCTTATTGTCGGGCGGGATAGAATTGTCCTAGGAGTAGTTGTGTAGGTCAAAATCCTGAAACTCGACCCATCCGCCTGGCTTGAGATGTCTGTAGAAGAACGTTAAACCTTCTCTCGTAGCAGAAGGAAGGATAAGCTGCCACCAGGCAAAGGGTGTATTGATCAAAAGCTAGAAGTTAAGGAGGCAAGACTTAACTTGTAGCATTGATACATCAGGCGAGGCCAGTCAGCAATTGATCCAGCCATATAGCGAGAATGTATGTAGTCGAACGGCTGTGAATATGGCCACTCGCTTTCCACGTCGTCCACTTCAAACTTTACGTTGGGCGGGACCCTGAGAGGTCTTTAGTAACTCCTCACGCGCGTTAAGCCCAGAGGGACGGGAATCGACACTTACCATTGGGGCTGGATGGGACTTAGATCGTTGCCAATCTATGACGACTGTGAGCGACTACAGCGTAGGGGACGAGCAGTGGAAAGAAATTTACCACAACGGCCGAAGGGAAAGTATCGCCTGCGTGAACAAAATGTTAGTTCCGTCGCTGAAGTCCATGCCATGCGTATGGTTACCAACCTATTTGAATGGCCCAGATTCCTGTGCCCGTACCGATGTCCAAGACGCGACCCAAGTCTTCGGTTAGAGGAGCCAGATAGAAATGACCTCCCATTGCGGTGAGAAACACCTCGTGCATGATGTCCTGGCGTTCCTGTTCCTCTTCATCGTTGGGGAAATTGTAGACTGTAAGAATCTTTAGCACTTTTTGGCAACATTCGCATCTTTGATTTCTGACTGGGTTACCTACTCCCCTCTCTGAAACTATGATAGCGCCGACCATGCTCGTACTTGTAGTCTGTGACGCTGTAACTCAGTGAAGTTGCGTAGCTTGCTCTGTGGTCCCAGGAGTTAGAGGACAAAGATTAGATGAGATAGTGTTGGATTCGAACGTACAATTCGTCTCCGCCATATGCAGAGTCAGCGTCTTCCGATGGCTCCTACAAAGACCTTGTCAGTTTCTCAGTTCCTGGCCGAGTTGCGCATTCAATGACATTTGCCTCTGCCGCAACATGAGATTCGTCGACGGTCTGATCAGCCATAATCACAATGGGTGGTTTTGAAAAACATGGATGACAACACGGGGAAGATGAAACTACATCCTGCTGATATGCGGACAATTGAAGATCGTACTGCAGAAGACGTGGCATGTCTCCAAGATTCACGGAGCAATCGGGCCGCCTGAGCGGACTCCGGTAGTTTGAGCTATCGTCACTCTTGACGCATCGTTATAGGCGGCTGGTCACACCATCCATTCTTGGCCAGGTGTCTGTACAGGTGGTGGAGCCGCATTAGCCCTCGCTCCGTCGTGGCATCGCCGCAGACTAGAGAGGTGAAACTATGAGAAGGGAAGATCCCGCCCACTTTACCCGTGGTGTACTCCTTACTGGCGCTGGCGACTGTTCGTCCGGGCCATTGATCAGGGTTACATCGATGCAATGTGGTGCATAAGTTGCCCTTAGCATGGAGACCAGCGACTTCAAGAGTCGGTGCCATTGCCGACACGCAGAGCCGATCCGCAGCGCGCGTCAGTCTGACGAAGTTAATCAATCAAAAGGCTACAAAGTACTTATCATGAGACTTTTAATATCAGCTCGTGCGTACAGTTCTGTTGCTGGCGGCGTTCGTTACAGAATCCCAAACCCTCTTGCTCCAAACAGCCATGTCTCAACCACCACCATCACATATGCAGGATCTGTCGCAGCAGATTTCAGCAGCCACATCCGTCCTGACAGGTTTTCTCTCCTCCAATGGCCTCCCAGAGCCTTCATTCAGCGCGAATAGCCCTCTCGATGCCCCTAGCATGCCAGAGGATGTGCAAGTTGCCCGCCGCAATCTTCGCGAAGCGGCACAGGAGCTTTACATTCTCGCCACTTATCCCAGCGAGTACTTACGATGGCTAGCTTGCAATGTTTGTTCCCTCCTCTCGCCACATTGTTGCTGCTCTGGAGTGACCAACTGTTTGCACGACAGTATCATGATTGTTCGAGTCTTCGGTGGCTGTACCATTTCAAGATTGCGTCGTTTGTCCCATTGGAAGGCGCGAGAAGTTTCTCAGATGTCGCAAAGGATGCTGGAGTGGATGAAGGGCATCTTCGGAGAATGCTGCGTGAAGCCATGACTAACCGTATTTTCTGCGAGCCTCGTGTCGGTTTGGTCGCGCACACAGCAGCCTCGAGTGCGCTCATCCGGGATAAAGGAACGCTAAACTGGGTAGGCTATACCTTGGAAGATTCCTTTCCTGCCTCTGCGAAGGTAGTTGAGGCGACAAAGGAATTCGGAGCTTCCGAAGAGAAGAACCACTCTGGCTGGAATCTTGCTTTCAATACCAAGCTTCCGATATTTCAATATCTCTCGGACCACCCTGAACGCGCCGAGAGGTTTGCCGAGACCATGAAGGCTTTGACAAGCACAGATGGATACCATGTGCGCCACCTTGTGGATGGCTACCCTTGGGGAGAGCTTGAGCAAGGCACTGTTGTAGATGTGAGTGTTTCCGCATACATTCTGTTACCTCGGATGGGGAACACTGAATGAGAGTCATCAGGTAGGCGGCTCTTTAGGCCACATGAGTATCGCGCTCGCGGAGAAATACCCGAAGCTGGGCTTCGTAGTCCAGGATCTTCCCGACATTGTTGCTGCGGGCCAGCAGGCCCTACCTGACGACCTGAAAGATCGAATATCATTCAATGCCCATGACTTTTTCACCCCACAGACGGTCCAGGCTGACGTGTATCTTCTCCGGTTCATCTTGCACGACTATCCGGATACCCATGCCACGGTTATCCTTAAGAACCTACTGCCTGCGCTCAGATCTAACTCGAAAGTACTGATCATGGACGGGGTTCTACCTGAGCCAGGTACTATGCCACGCAGCCAAGAGAGGCATATTCGGCGAGTCTTGCACTTGCGCACTCGATACTAGGTCGAAGAACGATATTGCTAACATATGTAACAGTGTCATGGACCTCGAAATGCTAACGAATTTTAACGCCAAAGAACGGGAGCTGGAGGACTGGAAAAAGCTTTTCGAGCAAGCTGATCCTAGGTTGAAGCTAAACAGAGTATTGCAGCCTCCAGAGAGCGTCAACTCAATTATCGAAGTTGTCCTTGAAGAGGCCTGAGAATCTCCTCGGCTCATCTCACAGTCTTAGCCTAAGCCCTTTTGCTCACGGAGTTATTTCCTGCTTCTCGAGACGAAGTTTTTCATATCTGGTTCTCTTTGACGGGCGTTAGTGTGTTGTTCACGAACTAAGATTGATTGGAGATAAATATGCCTCGCCGTGTTCTAGTCATTACGGTAGACATGAAGTCAACATGATCACATCTCGTCCGAAGTGTGAAGCTTTTCTTTCTGTAACCATCCCATTGAGTGCTACAGCCCTCAACTCTTCGATGTTGTCTCGAGCATCTATATTTGGCCACGAAATATTCCACCGAACCAATTCAACATCCAAGCTTCGAACTGGGAAATTAGCAGTGCGGACATCGTCCTCATTTGACCCTCTCCACTGTTTGAACCTCTTGAACCTCGGCGACTGTCTCTGCATGAGTGAAGTTCCCTTTTCCCCCTGTAGCAGCAGCTTCAAACTCGGCCTTCTCCTGTTCGGTTGCTCCATAGTAATGAATGGCCACCTGTTCACCAAATTGAGCACTGATATCCTCTAATGATCGACCCTTGGTCTCTGGACACATGAAGTAAACAAAGATTATGTGGAGGAAAGTCGGGACGATAAACACGATGAAGAACTTCCATCCGATATTGTTAAGTGCAGTTGGGCCAGCAACCAGGATGATGATATCCGCGAGATAGAGGCCTGCAATGGAAAAAGTGGTTCCTTGAGAGCGGATATGGTTAGGAAATATTTCAGAGACGTAGAGGAATTGGCTCTGGAGCATTCAATAGTCAGTTCATGACAACACGGCAATGATTCAGTAAGTGACGAGCAAAACTTACCGCGTCCATGAATGTGCTCCAGAATGGGGTAATGAAGAGAAAAATGAAAAATATAGCCGCGTTCTGACCTGCACGATTGTCGGTTCCCAGAAATACCGCCTGTAGTGCAGCTTCACATATTAGACACACGAGAATACCACTCAACCCAATCAGCATAAACAGTCGTCTTCCGAATCTCTCAACGAAGAAGGCACAGAAAAGATTGCCTGGGAAAGTGCTGGTGAGCCACAAGCATGTCAATAGCAAGGGCCAGTACGATGTCATGCCGAGAGATTGATACAAGATGATCCCGTAGTTGGCTATGACCAAGACTCCGGTGAACTGGTTGTTCCACATGACCATGAATCCGATCAATGCTCGTTTGCGGTTTGCAGGAGTCTTGAACAGCTCGAATCGTGATGTATTTGCCGCTAGGTGCTGGTCCAATTCGGTCTGCTTTTGGAGTTGGTAGAATTCCCTCCGAGCAAGGGTGCTCTCCGGATCTTTCTTGGTCCTATGTAAACGAATCAAGACGTCGAGAGCTTCCTCACTACGGCCTTTCAACATCAACCAACGAGGGCTGTAAGGTAGCCAGAAGGATCCCAACACAAGAAAGAGGGCTGGCGCCATCTGGAAAGCGATTGGGAATCGCCATGGGAATGTCGAGGTTGATCCTCCAGATGTCATGAAGGATACACCGAAACTAATCCATGCTTGGAGAGAATAGCCGACCGCGAACATGACACCCTGGGAAGAAAGTTAGTTTGTACGGGCGATACTGGAGTAGTGGACCCTCACATGCATGGATACCATGAATCCCCGAGACTCTGGCGTGCTGACCTCTGCCTGATAAATCGGGATGATGGCAACGAGAGTCCCGATACCAAGACCATTGATAATACGGCCTGCAGTGAACATCCCGGTGTTGACAGATCCGGCACATAATGCTGCGCCAACAATGAGAACCAGAGCTCCGCCTTGAATGGTGGCTCTCCGACTATACTTGTCGGCAAAGTAAGACGATGCGATTGCCCCAATGGCTGAGCCAGCAGCATTGACGCCTTTGAACGAGCCTAATCAGACACACTTCATCCCCAAAGACATCGGAGCGACATTATAACGTACCATTGAAGGCTCCGAGCCACGCTGCTGTCACAGAGTAACCGGGTTCGCCGGCTACCGCGAGGCCCAGACTCGTGAAAAAAGTAGGTTGTCCAATGGTGCTGCCAATGATGGCCATGCCATAGGAGCATGCCGTTGATCCAAGTGCGACATAGATAACCACCAGCAGATTGAAAGCATTGGGGATGAGCTTACCCATTGTGACTGGACAGGTCCGACCAAGCAGACAGTATTTTCCAACAGTCAAGGGGTTTGTGCGGAGTTGAGGAAGATGTGCTACTTGCAGTGACCTAAAGAGGGATTAAGTATCGACGCTCTTTTACTGACCAAGAGTAAGTCGTCTACCCCAGACTAATCGAATCGGGGCCACTTCCTCGGTTATCAGGGCGTTTGCAGACAAGAAAGGGAAAAATCGCACGCAAGGGGTAAAGATCGGGGAGGACCATTTTCATTCTGACTCCGACTTTCTTGACTCTCTTCCCAGTTAAGCTTTACGAGTTCAGCCAAGTAAAAGTCAAAGCCAATATCTTGTCATGATATATTAGATAAATCCGGGCTATGGCCTCGGTTATCAACCGGTGGGCCGTGGGGTATGGGCCGACTGTGTACCACACATGGAGAAGTCCAGACCAGATTCGACTCTCATAGCTTGAAGGCTATTATGGCTTGACAGTTGCTTTCTCCTTGACTCCAACAACTGATTCTGTTCTGCTGCTTCTGGTCGTTTCAGCTCACCGATTGTTCCTGGCGCCTCCTTCTGGCATCAAGCATTGCAACATCACTCAGATATTTGCCAGTCCCTCAAGCTTAGAGCGTAGTTCTGTTCCCCCATCACAAATTTACCGTATGGGTCTTCCACAACAAGTGTCACAGCGTGAAGATTGGCTTCGGGACACCTGGATTTGATTGTTGGGTAGAGCGGCCTCATCACCAGTCTGAGACAGAAGTATCCGGTCATTGGCTGCCCATGCTTCACATTCACACATATCCCTCGTTCGAATTGATGAGTTGGAGCTGGCCTTGATCCAGTCACAGACATTCTGCGACTGCCGTGGCACAATCGCTTGAATGCGCCCGCAGAGACACAGGAACTTCGCGACGTTCTCGGCCTAGTAATGTCCCTATTACCAAGGGACAAGAAGTATAGGTGCGCCCAGGCAGCGTCACACGAGCCTTCCTGTATGCGCTAGCTGTACTTCACCGGCCTTGAATGGCCTGACATGAAGCAAGGAGTTGAGGTTATTGGGTTATTCCCAATAACTCAAGGAACGTAGTGCGTCTAATCTCCTAGTGGACACTAGTTACCCCGCCTTTTGGGGCTCCCTCTCCCGAGGTTATGGTACAGTACAGCCTTCCCCACGTTTCGATAGTCTGCCTGGGGTTTCGTCGATCCTATTGAGCCTCCTCGAAGTAGCCTGAGAGGCTCTACAAGGTTCGAAGAACAATTGACATGGCTGGTCAGCAGGAAAACGTCTGCTCAGACTGGCTTAGTGGATAAGACACTTGGATCACCTATGTATTTTGGCTCGATCAATCTCAAGAGTCTCGTCGAATCCTGGCGGGATACTCAGAATGGAAGGGTTAGGCCTCGCTGATAACAGCCGCTGACCCGCTCAAGTCTAAGATATCGCTGTAGGATGGCATTCCTTCTACCGGTGAATCGTGAACTGAGTTTTCTCCGTGGAGAAGCCATCTTCAAGTCTTGATCGCTCGGCTCTCAGAACGGACATGTGTGAGTTGTGGTACTGGCACCTATGTGTGTCAAATCCCATCAAAATTGGTGTCGATGTAGCTGATTTAACATTTTCTATGCTTAGGCATCCTGGTCACCTAGTATGTCGGCCATGACCACCAGGGACAGACTTCGTCTAAAGGGCGTCTGATGCAACACCCTACCGCAGGGCTTCTCGTACGACTACCCTTCAGTCGAGCCATAAATACCACTGTGAGATGACGTAGAATTTAAAGGTTCAACGCACCATTTGGAGCTGGATCAGGATCCAAGATGGACACAGATCCAGGCTGGCCACGGCTTCAGAGTAAGTGGCGATAATCACGCGGCTAGGGAAGTCTAAGGAATGACGTAGCAGGTGATGGGGTGGTTCATCCTGACCCAGTCGTACCCTTCTGATCTGGAGGTTGTCAGAAGTTGAGGCACTGTGATGATTTGATCTTGATACGCGCAAAATCAGGTACTTACCCACCCTCGGTGAGTTTCTCGGTGGCACTTGTGGACATCCAGTATGCTCGCTCGCATAACAGCACCGACATGAAACTCTAGATCTGTCAACATCGGGATTCACACCGGAAAACATAAGAAAGTTAAGGCACTGACACCAAGAGTGTTACTAGAGGCGTGACTTCGGGCCGTCGAACAAGCAAATTCCTGATATCTTTCTTATCTCTGTGAATTAAAGCTGTTCGACAGTCTTCTACGTGCATTCTACGAGTAGGGGCTAAGTCCTATCTATGACCTCATATTCAACGCTGTTTGTCCTATGGCCTGGGGAATCGTGCCGGAAGTGGCTTACTGGAACCAATACCATCAGCTTTACTCAAAGTAAGCTGCAATTTGTGGGCCATAATTGGACTAATCATCGACATCTGATAGGCTCAATATTGAAACTCGAAAGCCGGTCTACTTTCCTCGGATTTGTGCGCCATCGACTCAACTCGAGCTCGAGCTACTTGTAACAAATGGCAGTTGATTGCGAGAGAAACTCGAACTAAGGTTGGGGAGTTGTCTACTGCTGGTTAGACTTACCGAGTCTCAAGCGAGTATTGAGGGTCGAATGTAACCTTGATGTCGAGTTGAGCAAGGGTCTGCGAAATAGCTCTCGACGATCGACAAAAGTTGAACTTGTGTAGGAGGAATACTTATTGTTCTGTAGGGTTGATTCGCTGAGATGGCCAAATATAAGGTAGTATTTGAACAATATCACTTCCTTCAGTGGTGCCCGTGAGATCGTGCCCTGTAGAATGATACTGAATCAGTTTTCTTCAGCCAGTACGTTACTCGTATGGTTTATCTTTGCGAGGTTTCGCTGCCATTCAACTCCCCTTGGCAATACATTTCAAACCCCTTCAACATAGCTACACCTAGAGTGATGAAGAGGAGCTATTTCCAATATAACCTGACATAACAAACTTCATAATGTATGATCGGCGGCCCGGTGAAGTGGATGAGTGTATGATTAAACTTCTTACCAGGAACCATGCGCCAGTCTAGCTAAGCGAATTGATATCAAAGGGCTACATCGGGCCAAACTTGGTACCCATTCACGATAAGCCTCTAAGTTAAGCTTCATTAGTCAACTCATGGCATTGCTTAGGGTTCGTAGCCTGATAGGCAGGTGCATATAACAGAACAGGTCGCCTCTATGTTTTCTGATCTCGCTTCCCAAAAGGCATTTATCGCGTAGTGACGGCGAGCAACGCTCTATTTAACTGCACAGGGTCTCAGATTTGCACCCCACTGACTAACTCCTGCCAATATGCATCTCCTTTCCACCGCCCTTACGAGTATTGTGCTCTTGAATGCAGTGGTGTCTGGGTATGACTGTGCCTAATTGAAGAATTTCCACTATCACACAAGCTGACCCACGCGCAGCGATACCTTGCCATCGAAAGACTACAATGCTTCTGTTGTTCGGTGGGAATGGTGGCCTCAGCCTGGACCCCTGTCGAATGGCGACAAAGGCGAATACCTGAATTTATCTTCGGGAGTTGATTTGTGGTACACCACAATGGGGAAGCCTTCCAATCATACACCAGTCCTCCTTCTGCATGGTGGTATTGGAAATAGCAATCAGATGTACCGCCAGGCCAACTTTCTAGCCCGGAGCCGTCGAGTTATCTTACAGGAGTGAGTATTACCCTAAGTGTGGGTTGGGTTGCCGTAAAAGGTTGATGCTGACAGACTACTTGGCTCCAGCACCCGCGGACAAGGTCGGAGTCCATACAAGAACTTTACCGAGTTCCATTATGATGACTTTGCGCGCGACGCGATTGCGCTATTGGACCATCTCAACATCTCACGAGTGGCTGTTGTAGGTTGGAGCGATGGCGCTATCACTGGCCTTGATTTAGCCATGAACTACACCCATCGAATTGACCGAGTGTTTGCCCATGGAGCAAATCCTCAAGCAAACATGAGCAATCCAGGAACAAATGACCCTATCATTAACTCAGTCACCGGAAACCTCGACTCCGACTTCAGTACCAACGGAACGACTTACTCGACTCTCAATATAACTAAACGTGACACCCCTGTGGCCGCGTATTCTTGTGAAGCTCTCAGCCCGCTCCCAGAAAACTGTTCTGCGATGGAGGACGGGGTCAATGTGTAAGTGTGGTCTATACCCTTATGACATCAGAAAGCTCGTTTAGCTGATGGAGGATCTTCCAGGATGTGGGATTCTGAGCCAACGTGGGGTCCTATTGCGTTGGGCAAGATCAAGTGCCCTGTCTGGATTGTCGATGGAGATCATGATGTGACTATTCCAAGGAACCAGGCGGACGCGATGGCTGCGTGGATCCCTTTTGCTGGGCAGCTTATCTTGCCACAGGTTTCTCACGCTGCGTTATTGGAGGACCCCACCTTCTTCAACTTCGCCGTGGAATACTTCCTAAACATGCCATACGATGGGGTGCTGCCATATTATTAAGCTGAATCAGGTCCATGCTGATAGCCAAACGGTTCTATGCATACCACTCTATTACTGAATGATCTGGTCTCTCCTTCCATAATGCAAAATAGTCCGACTTCGACAGCGAAGAAGTATATCAATCTAGAAGACTGTTTCATCGGACTCGAGACCGGACCACTTCCAGCAAGCATTCCATAGTCTAGTCTGAACTTCAGGATCTCTGCTCATTGCAGCAGAATCACCTGCTTTGCGGCCAACATAGTACCCTCGCTTTCCAACAAACTCCGCTCCAACACTGACTTCGACAAGGTCCCGTGCCGCATCTGCAGTGGGTCTAAATGTTTGGGTAAGGTGCTTCAAAAGGGGCATGCAGAAGTTCACGACAGCCATGATTCTCCTGACAGTCTTTTTCTGTTCGGCTTGAGCTCTGGATGCAGCGAGACCGCCTGGATCCATTGCAACTGCTGTCAAAGATGATAGATGCGGATTCTATTGACCGTCTCATGTCAGTCGTCCAGTCAAACCAGGGGCCAATGATAACAGAACACAGTCTCAACATACCGCTAGAAGTCTCTTGTTCAAGTCATGCATGAACGTCACATTGCAAAGCTTGGCGGTCCCGTACCGCTGATATCCTCTATCTTGTGCTTCTCCTGGCTGATCCGGCTTCGGCCTCGCAAGGATCTCGATATCTTCAGGGATCTCAGGTCGAAAGGCTGACATGGGGTTTGCCTTTTCAGGGTAGTGTGTGATTGAACCTAGCATAACAACACGGGCAGATTTTAGGTCCATACTCCCTAGTAGCTTCAGGACCAAGAGATAATGCGATAAGTGAGCGACCTGGAAAGTTGCTTCAAGTCCGTCTGACGTCAACTTCAACCCGGACTCCAGGGACCAGGCAGCGGCATTGCATACTATGGCCGAGAGTGGTGGAAGCTGTCCTTGATCGATCTGGGCTGATAGTTGATCTGTGAAACTGCGCACTTCTGCTAGCTTGCCGAGGTCTAGTGCCTGGATGTGCACCTTGGCTCCTGGGTGTTCTTTGATTATTCGCCCAAGGTTGGCTGTGTTCGGGTCAGACTCTGTTGAGGGATTTCGAACGCTTCCGACGACCGTGTACTGGGGGTATGATTCAAGCAGGGCCCGAATGAACTCAAGGCCTAATGTACCATTGGCTCCGGTGATTAGAACTGTGCCACCCATTCTATGGATATTCTGGGAGGGGGTAGAGGGGGAGGAGAGAATGCAACAATGCAATCTACGCGGTTGTGATTCCGGGAAGCACGCATTTATACATCTCCAACGATCACACTTCCAATCTGATTCACCGTATTCTTGTCATCGCAGAATCTCCTCAACGTGCTCAACACGTCAACATCAGGGCAGCATCGAGGGAGGCCCGAGTAGGAGAATCCAAAAATAGACTAGTCGCTTCCCAATGCGGAAGGATCAAGACTTGGCGGACAAGGCGATATTTGTCAGCAATTCTCGCTCGACACCCCTCCGACTCCTCTATTGTTTACCCTAGCATATCTCGTGTATCAGGTAGAAAGAATCCCTCCGGAATCGCTAGGCCACCCTCCAGACGTATGCTACATTTCGTCGACCAGAGTCACACCAGGAATGCCTCGGCCAAAAGGCAGCAGCGGCGAGCGGCTCGATCACATTCCGCGCGCGCCGTTCACAGGGAGACCCGACGGCGCGAGACCATACAGCACCAGTCGAAGCACTTGACCTCAAAGTCCAGTGTCGTGAGAGCCCACGGTATCCAGTGCGAACCTATGACAAGTCTTCGCTTCATCGGCGCACTACCAGCTGGTCGAAAAGACCCGTTTATGAGCTTTGTCCGGCCCTTCAAGCCCATCGAGCATTTTCTCCTGGATCATTGTAGGTTTTCCCAAGCTCCTCGTGGTCTGGGTCTATGACACAAGACTAATGCCTGCCTTGTCTTATTCAATCCACAGATGTCGCAGTCGTTGTGCCCTTGATGCGCTGTAAGGAAGATATCAACCTTTACCGGGATTCCATGACGAAGACATGGGTGCCATTCGCACTGAGAGAAGTAGGTCTTCTCGACGCCTTATTTCTTCTGGCTTGTCGGCATATGGATCACAGTCATCAAAATTCGCAGCAACAGCAATATTTTGTTCAGCTTGCTTGTCAATACAAGCTCTCGTGCACAAAGTCGCTGAGAGAAGCCATCTCAAGCGAAGTTGTCTTCAGTGACGCCACAGTCGGAAAGACCCTGATGCTAGCGTATGACGAGGTAAGAGACACAGAGCTTGCACATCCTCCTGCATCAGGCCAGGTAGCTCACAAACAGTGACATAGCTGGCCACCTCGAGCGTTATTATGTATAAGCATCATATCAAAGCTGCTGTGAGAATGGTCGATCTAAATGGAGGACACCAGACTCTTGGTCTCGATGGACTGATGGGACATCTTATCTCGAACCTCTGCGCCAAACCGTAGAAGAGATGATGGATATCAATGGGAGCGAATTCCGAGCGATCTGATGTCACCGGGGACTTCGAGTCTAAGCTTTTCTTCTGCCATTGGGCTGGCATATTTGTCTAACAGGAATAGTTCCATAGAACACGACTAGATCCCTTCTCTGAGAAACTTTGCCATCAAGTTTTAACAAGTGATCGAAATCTGCCAATATCCTTGTCGGCGCCCTTGAACTTCAACTCGCCTTCTAGGGGCACAGACCTTATACTATCTTTAGGTCTAGGACGGCCTGCGAAGCCCCATGTGGCCGGTGCGGCCGGCAATCAATCCAGGCTCTTGGCTCGCTTACACTTGCAGCCCAGCGAATTCCTTCGACGGAAATCTCTCATGACTTATTTATTCCCAGGACTACCATAATTTCATGAACGAGTATTGATAAGCGAAATCGTCGATACATTTCCAACCTTCATTGAACACGATGAAGCATGTTGATCTTTCTTGACAATTGGCAAAGAATTGGCAAACGCAGAATTTGCCAATTATTGACCAAGGCGTCCGTGTTGAAACTTTTAGTCTCAATGAAGCCTCCAATCCTGCTGAGCACGGACGACTTCGACTGCGTTTTAGGTTCGAACACGAGCGCCACCTTACACCTATAAGTTCAGCTGAGACCCTGCTCTGTGTTCTTGTTCTTGAGACGCTGAATAATCCCATAAAACCATGGGTTCCGCCGCAGAACTTCAGCCAAGATATGTACGACCTTTGTTGTCTGCTGTTTTGATAGAGCGAAGCAGATTCGGCTTGTGCCATTTCATTTAGACCTTCTGGTTTGCGCTAGTATTTTCCTTCCAGTCACGAAACGGGAATTTTCTCCATACGATTCTCCTGTTGTTGTTACCTGAACCTATGAGTACCTCTCAACTCTTTCGAAGACGACAGTCTGCACACGATGGAATTCGCCGGAAAACTGTGCGCTGGATTGCTTCTCCTCTCGAATCGTCTTCGAAAACTTCTGGAGAATACGCGCTGTCTTCAGGAGTAGATCACAAACCCGCCGAGGAGACTGACAATCAATCGATATCGGACCGGTCCTCCCTTTCAGACGACGAGCTTCCGCACTTCAGACATGACCACGAATCGAGTAAGATCGAGCTCTTCTATGATCTCTTTCTCGTCGCCAATCTCACCAGTTTCACGACCGACCACGAGATCATTAATGGACAATCACTTCGAAATTATGTTGGCTTCTTCGCAATCGTGTGGTTTACTTGGTTGGAGACTTCGCTATTCGACGTCCGCTTTGCTGCGGATTCGGTCTTCACCCGGATATGTAAGGCTATCGCATTCGCTGCCATGACTGGGATCGCCGCCTGCGGTGCCAACTACAACACCGGAGACGTTTCGGAGCATCTTAGGACTTTTCGTTCACTCTCAATCATTTTGATGTGTTCACGACTTGCTCTTGCAATCCAATATATTGTTGTCCTACTCTATGTCCGCAAGTATCCTAGGACTCGGGTACCCCTTCTCTCGACAATTGCAACTCTTTTCCTTTCAGCCATGGCTTTCCTTGGGACCTTTTTTGCCTTTAACCTTAACGATGAGAGTACCGAACCCGACAGAAGCACTTCACACTCCGGTGGACCACCAGTGTACATCTCTCATTATATTATTGTCTGTGTCGAGGCTATTGGGGTGATCACCATCTCTTGCATTTGGAGATCTATCAGCTTCAAAAAAACTCACCTCGTCGAGCGCATTGGGCTGCTAACGCTCATCATCATGGGCGAGGGTATCATAGGGATTACGAGGTCGATTTCCAAAGTATTGCAGAATTCCGTCAACACGTCTGGAAGCGTGTTTGGCATAACCATCTCAGCGGTTTTGCTATTATACTTCGTATGGATCCTGTACTTTGATCAGATCGACCACGACCGCTTTGGTACCATTCGACAGCAAGTATGGGCCATCCTTCACTTCCCACTACACACAGCTCTAATTCTAGTTTCAGAGGGCAACGCTACCCTGATCCTATGGAAAGTCATTATGAGGTATCTTCTTGAAGCAGTCAGAGTCGAGTCAGTAGCCACCCACGATATGGCGAACTCAACCAATGACGAAGTCGTCGAATATCTCCAAGAGAAGCTCGAAACTTTCACTCACCACTTCAAGCATGAGACGTTGTACAGGCTCGGTGTTGAAAACTTCGTTAACGATTCTCTGTCTGATATTCGTCAAATCTCTGCAAACGACAGCAGCGGCCGCGATGAATACATCGGTGAGATACGAGACAGCATGTTCGATCTGGTTTTTGCAGCTTTTGGTATTGAAGTCGATGAAGGAGACGCAACCTGGGAACCTCAACTGGGCATTTTCTGGACGGTCCTATATTACTATTATATTGCTGCTGGCGTGTTTGCGGTGCTCCTTGCAGTGCTATACTGGTTCGGCAAGACGAAGAAATCCCGTGAGGAATGGGTCAGCATTGTACTCAGACTTGTTGTGGGAATTGGGCTCTGGTAGGTTGGAACAAGTCAACTTTGAAGATACTAGGCCTAACTTATCTGTGTCTTGCAGCACAACGACTGCCGCTCTATTACTTAGCGACACACCGTCAACTTCAGGATTCATCTTATCTGCATGGACTGTCACGGTCATCATGTTGGCATACTTTGTCATTATAATCCTCGACAATCTACTGGATGCGTACGCAAACCATAACTCAGCTCGTCGGAGATCTTCATACGTCGACACTAATCGACGCGCCAGAGATGAACAGGTCGCACTGGCCAAGGCGACGAAGGCCGATGTGACAGCGCAGGGGGAATCAATAAAGCTGAGGTTGCTGGAGGCTTCGGCCGTTGAGCAAGCTGATCGTCAAACTACAGAAGATCCTCAATCCTCGCGCTCTTTCAGTACTCAGGATGCCTCGAAAAGCAACGCGGTCTTACCGAAAACTGAGTAAATATAGATCCTTCTCAACATGTCATTCTGACCGCTCTCGTGGGTCGGGTTATAATGACATGATAAGGCTCGTATGGCAGAAGTCGAGTTGAATAGCAGTGATAAATACGATAACAATGTCTTCCTACCTAAAGTAGAATTCAAATTAGAAGAACGATACCACCAAGCCATTCTCACTGAAGATCCAAGGGAGCTCTCAGAGAAGCGAGGTTTGAAGCTTAGTTAAGACCTCGAAAGACATGTTCAAGAAATAGACTTGGAATCCGAAAGTTGTTCGTCCGGCATAATGCTTTGAAATTTCTCTGATAACTACATCCCATACGTACATGGTGTGCATAGAAAGATAATGCTTGATGATACTAAATGTCTCCGAGTTGAGATCAAAGACGAATCGAGTCAAAACTTGATAGCAGGACTCCAACCAACACCGAAACCACGAGCGAGTATGAAAACCGCAGCTGATGCGGCATATGCAGCACCACAGAACCAGATGAGTGCGCTATAATTTTCTCCGTTGCCTGTTCTCAAAATGTTGCCGGAAATGGGGACTCCCGCCAACGTCGCAACGCTGACGACTCCGTAGGCTGTGCCGTATCGACTCGCGTATTCCTCCGTCCTGCAGAGTTGAGCAACACATACTGGTGTGAGGCTGTAAGCTGAACCACTAAAGAACCCATATATCACGGCGAAAGAAAGCAATCCAGCCATGCGAGATCCGAGAAGGAGCCAGAGTCCCAGAATGGACAGCGTGCACATTGCAGAACAGACTATCATGACATTGAATCGTCCAACCTTGTCAGCGATAAATCCTGGCAGACACCGTCCGAGAATCGAAGCTGCGTTGAGAACAGCAAGTATGTGCTGTGAAATCTGGTGTAGGTTCTCAGTGGTGGCATACAAGGTGATGTACGCTGGCGGCACCAACACTGCCCAATCCAAGATGAATATAGCCATCATGGTAAGTACAAAGCGAAGATCTGCGAATCCGCGCCAGTCGAGAACTAGTCGAGCCTGCGAGTTGCGGGGTAGACGTGTTCGCAACAGGGACAAGCCCAGGACAAAACAGAGTGTGCTGATGAGCGCGAAGCAGCGCATGGTCCAAAGAAATCCCACTTTTTGTGACAGCCGTCCGAACAGCAGAGGGAAAGCAACCCCTCCCACGCCACCTGCAGTTGTTGCCAGACCTGTCGCTAGAGCTCGATTCTGTTGGAACCAGTGGCCAAGGGTTGCGATACTTGAAGTCCACAGAATAGACGATGCTCCACCGCCGAGGCAACCCAAAGCGAGCATGTATTGATAATAGCCTGTCTGTCAGCCTCGGAATCCAGTATGGTAGAATGAGTCAGGTACATACTCTTGCAAAAACTACCACATATGAAGGCAGTCACAACGCCGACAGTTCCTGTGGGGAGAAGAATCTTGGGGCCAAACTTGTCAAACAACGGGCCTGGCCATTCGTGAGCTTAGGGACAAGACAACACCGGCGATGATACGATACCGACGAAAAACCCCCCAAAAAAGAACAAAAAGGCAAATACACTGAATATCCATGCAACCTCACTTTCTCTGTACATTTTGAGATCATTCCCCAGCAGCCAAGCCTGAAAGATACCGGTAGAATTGAGGAGGCCTGAGGCTGGAAAGAGAATGAACCAGGCGCCAAGAGTGACGCCATAGGCTTTCCATCCTCGTTCGGGATACGCATCAGAAACAGACTCAGCGTGTTCAAAGCTGTCCATGGCACAGAAGGTAATGGAGCTGTTTGGAGTGAGTGTTCCCGTCTCATCGATGTGTTTCAATTTTCAACGTAGTGCTCTATCTCGGCACTACAAGTGGTACGGAGTAATCGGTCAATGGATGTGACGATCTGGTGTAATGGACACGAGACGATGTCCTTCATCGGCTCAGTCTTCAGCTCAGGGACACTTATCAGAAGGAATATTGATTACGCCTTTCGGGGGCACGCGTAGAAAAGATAATATCTTTGTGGTAGAAAATCGGAGATACCTTTCTCCGGTTGCCACACGGCCTAAATGCCCTTCCGTACATACAGCAGCCAGTTACCACTACAAAACCGAAGAGCAAACTGGATCTCGCGAATCTCCTCGCGCCGAACAATCTTGGGGTTATCGCGACTAGAGCATGTGTAAGGAGTGTTGGCGTGAAAGTGACTCAGGGACCCTGGAGCTCTCTTGTTTCAAGGAATTTGGCTGACTGTATTGTTCCATGCTCCTTTCAGAGCGAATTCCTCAGACCGTGACCTCGCATTTCTGTGCCCGTGGCGCGATCAAGAAGAAATTCTCCATCTCCATGCTTTCGGGGTTAGAACTGGATGCTAAACGAGCTCTGGGAAAACCGCGGAAGAAGTGATACGCTCCGAGCCGCAACTCCATCCGCGCAAGATGGACGCGGATGCATGTCCTTGAACCTGCTCCGAAGGGTGTGAAGATTGTTTTTACCTGGTCGTTACCTCTGGCTGTACAAGATGCGATCCATCGGGTATGATCGAACCTAAGAGGAAAACAGGATGCCCTGAGTCAACATTCCGGCTGCGTGCAAGGAGAATCTCCACAAAAATGGCTGGGGTCGACTACTTGAAATCACTCACTCAAAAGGTCTTGGGAATATCTTTGGATCACGGTGCATGGTATAGCTTTGAGTAGACACCGTCACACCTCCTGGAACAAAGTATCTCCCTTGGGCGAAGTGGCCCCTCCAGGAGGCACAACCCGCGGCAGAGCCCCTGGTGCTGCACCATAAAGCCGCATAGTCTCTTCAATGACCGCGTTGAGCACCGGCAGGGTCTCCAGTATAGTATCGCCACACGTGAGTGGAAGCGATTCGATCTCCTCTTGGATGGTAGCATGGAGAGATGGCCTGGACAAGACTGACCAGACTAGGTATGTCAGACTAATGGCTGTGGTATCACAACTGGCAACAATGAGTCCTGCGGCTTCGAGTTGGACGTCCAGCTCACCAACCTGCTCCCCTTTCCCTGCTTCACGGATGATGTGAGCAAAAAGGTTCGCTTCGTCGTTGGCTCTCGCGCCCTTCAAAACCGCTCTCCCCGTTTCCAACAGTAGTCAGAAGCAGAAAATAAACTTTTCAGAATACCAATAGGTATATGTCGGCCAATGGAACGAACAAGGGGCAGTCCTGCCCCGATTCCTCCACCTTGCGAAGCCAATTCGAGCACTTCGATATACTTTGTTTTCTGCATACCTATAAGCACTAACCACGCTCGGGAGTGAAACTGCTTAAGAAGTCACCTGCCTTTCCCAAGTTGACCATGTCCTGGGAATTGCCAAACATAAGGTGACTGGAGATGTCAGTTGCCATGAAAGTGAACCATTTCAACACATCGGCGTGTCCCTCAGCCGTTGATTCTTCACCGATTTTTCTCATCGTGAGCAGAATTCTGTCATTGACGACCGATTCCCATCGCTGGCGCAGAGACGACTTGCTAAATCCTCGTGCGAGCAGCCGTCTCCTTGCAGCATGTGCCGCAGGGTCATTCATCGAGAACAGCGTCGGTCGTGGAAAGTCTACCAGATCAAGATACCAGCGAGACTTGTGGAATCCCGACCCGATGCGATGAATTTGAGTGAAAGACTCGACGTCTGAGACTGCAATCTCCGTGGGTGATATACGGACAAAAGGTCCATACCGTTGGTGAAGCTCATGGACGTAGAAGATTCGTTGCCCCGTGATGATGGCCCATTTCAATCGCAGGTTGGTCCATCTGGCAATTGTGGGACCTGGAATCTTGTTGAGAGGCCCATTCGAGGACGCTCTGATGGCCTGCTCACGATCCGTTAGCACTGGAATTCATGGTAGAGATGAGGCATAATGCATATGGTCAATCTTACTGACAACACCCGCACAAGGACCAAGAGAAGGACGACACCCATTATGAGCAGCTTCGTTTCGGTGTTCATGTTCCTGGCGCTCGGTTTCGCGTTTCACAACATATGAAGCTACGTGTTAGTACAGGATAATCAATCTAGTGTAGCACCGGAATCGAATACAGTTGGTTTTGCCACAACTTTTGCTGGCGTGTGAGTCCTCTTGACAAATGAAGGTCTTCGCCCCATGCTTGGTCGATATCTCTTCTGCAGTTTCCTTCGCCGCAGACTCAGTTGACGCATAATTGATAGAAACATGGCAGCTATGAGATGCAAACTTATCCGCTATAACCTTCCCGAGTCCTCTGCAACAGTCAGTTCCTCGAGAGAGATCAATTGCCGCAAGGGAGACTACCTCGAACCTACAGTGACGAGAATCTTTCGGTCTTTCAACGAGTAAGCCAATTTTTCCAGGCTGGCTTATGGAATATATATATCGAAGAGGAGATGAAACCAAGCTCGTCCTACTGGTATGACTGGAATTTGGACTGCCCTGCTAGGAGAGACGTGAATATGGATTCCAAGGTTTCGTGATTAGAGAAATCTCACTAAATGTTGCCTCGAATATCCCGTAGTGGAAATGGATGAAACAAGTGAAGAAGATATGGGTTGCATCGGAACGGTGTTCTCAGCCGAAATTGAGGCCCCCGTGTTGGTAGCAGCTACTTGATCGCTTCGGCTCCCTCACTTTTCTACAGCCCACTTGAGTAACTAGTTATTGAACCGCAATATGTGATATTTTGCAAGCGTTTTACTGTGAATAAACGTGGTTTTGTGCTCAAAAAAGTCGGTTCGAGAGGACGTACTATCCATCTGTCCTGCAGAGTCGAGAACCACAGACTTGAGCTTCCTTGCTGGCCACAAATTCTACTATTCCGGCAACTTCCCCTGGGTTGGCCAGCCGACTTTCCTCTGTTGCATAATTCGTCATTGCTTCGATATAGGGCGTTTGACCCTAGTACTGGCCTGGTTTTGAGGACGGATCATCTGCCCATGTTCACGACAATTTACCACCATTTTCTTGCACAACATCTCATTCTAAACTCAATTCCCGGGTCGTAACTAACGTTCGAAGTCTGGAGGAAGATGATGCGATGTCACGATACGCATACTTTTTCCAGGACCCATAGGGGAAAAGTCAGAAGTGAGATTATACCCATTAGCATTCCAAAAGCTCCAAATGGCAGCGCTGGTCCTGCCTCAGATGTCCATTCCGTAACAAAGAAGGTCCAGGAGAATGAAATGATAGCGCGCAAGAGTGTGACCATCACCAGACGGTTGGCACTTACGGGACGTTAAGATTCGATCAGCTGGATTTATACTGATCAGCAAGGGACGCGTATTTGGAAGGGTAGGGGTAAGACATAGTTCTTACATAGTTGAATCCGATAGAGGGAATCACAACAATCCCGAAAGAGATCATGCCCAAGCCTACTGCGAGGCCGACCCAGCCATATGCGCTCGGATGTGCAGCACAGAAACCGAATGTCCAAAGGCGGGTGGTGGACAAGAAGAGAGAAGGAAGCAGAGCAGGAAGGCGCGCTTCAGGCTCTGTGTAGCCGTGTCCATCGTGGGTTGCCCTCCTCTGCGACATGCGGTCTGCTACTAAGTACGTGACGACGAGGCCGATGATCGTGCCTACCACCCCTCCCAGTGAGGCCAAGCCGACGTTTTCGCCGCATAGATATGGAGGTGCTGCGAGAAATCGAGGAGCCACGGTGGAAATGGCCACAATGCCCCCCCAGAAGGCCACTGTACTGCAGCATCACGACCCAAAACCGGGTAATCTTAGAGTCCAAAAGGGTCTTAAAAGCTCTTGCAAGAAGCCGCCGCGGTAAGTTGTCATCCCGAGGGACGAGATGCTTGGAAAAGTCTCCTCGAGCACCGCAGAACGCTCAATTTGATTGACTGTGGTGACCTTTTCGGTTGTCTGCTCGTCATCTGGTGAAGTTCGTTCTCCATCCACTGTAGGTAGTTGACGGTCAAAGAAAGTCTCTGGCACGAGGAAGAAGTTGAAGAAAAAACCGTCGCCGAAAGACCTCTATGAACCCAAAAAGTGTTGGCGATTCCGAGACGACCGGCCATGTAGCCACCAACAATACCTCCAACGTAGGATCCGGCGGCCAAGAAAAAGGTATACACGGCCTGTAAAACTTGCAAGTCAGTAACGGAAATATTTCGGTGGCACGACAGCTCAAACGCACCATAGCTCGGCCACGCTAGTGAACGAAGAAGATATCTCCCAAGTTTTCGGCAGCAATTGTGTCAGCTGGACCACCACCCAAACCTTGAATCGCTCTCGAGGCGAGGAGAGCGGTGAAGCTATTCTTGGAAAGTGCACACCCCAGACTTCCAAGGGTCATGATCAAAGACGCAATAACGAGCACGGGACGAGGACCGAAGACATTGAACCCACCCAACATGATAACGTTCACCTGAGCGGTCTCGTCAGCGTGCATATTACAAAAGAGCATCAAGAATCCTGGGCGGAAGGGAAGTAGACGTCGTGATGGAGCTTGTAACTTACCGACACCAGGTGCGTGAGGGTGCAGAATGTCTGTGGGGGATGGTACTGATACACCATGATAGGTAGCATGGAGGAACTCATCGCAGATGTCAGGTCTGCCACGGCCGCATAGTATGAGGAGCAAAAGAGGATCGCGAGCTTTCGCCAGGTAGGCCAGGTAAGAGGGTCGCGAATTGTAGTTGTGGGCTGCGGAACAAGGCGAACATGGTCTTCAGGCTATGCGTGACCAGATCTAGTGCGCTCGAGAGCATGGTCTGCATACACTTTCGAGCTAGTAGCATGCCTCGGATTGACAGCGTTCGATGACTATGCGTGTACATACCAACAAGTTTTGGGGTTCCAGGAGGCTCAGCATCAGCGACTTGCGCTTTGGTAACGAAAACGCATACTTCCAGCCTGACATTTTGAATTGCGTGATGCAAATAAGATCAGGTATGCAGAACAATCAGTACACTTAGCAGTTCTCCCCTTGCGCGGAAGGCAAAGTGGTGTGACCAGTTGAAGAGTTTAGGTCTTCAGGCTCTGGGGGAGACGAGCCTGTTTACTACATAAACAAGCTGTTCAATTAAACTTCTCATGAATCTTTACTCCAGAGCAGGCTTCGCCGCGGAGGAAGCTAAACTCGGGCAAAGTACTAAAAATTGACCACCACTATCTACCCGACAAACCCCTACCAGCTGCGCAGGGGGAATTTGCGATGCGATAGTGTTCGTGACTGTCTATTGGCGCTCAGGTATGATTGGTAATGTCACGTAGTTCTCATACCCTGGTCCGAACCAGATATGGTTCACTCCCTGAAGCTTTTCCAGTGGTCTGCAATCAGGGCAGTTAGCTACAGAGCATCTGGTCATAGACGTATTTACTTACCTGTCAGTTGGATGGTTGTGGGTGAAGACCGCGGCTCCTTGGGTGTCTCCAGAAGCGACTTCAAAGATCAGCCTAGAACCAATCTCGGTCACAACATTTGTTGGCCATATCTCCACGTCCACTGGATAAATAACTCCTGGATCGACCGTCTCTACATCAGTCGATAGATAGTCCCGTCTGGGAAGCCAGGATCTGTGCCATGGATGCTGTTCATTGACTTTCCTCAAACTGACTCGTAGCCAGCCCTTGCACAAAGGGACAGGGTCACCGGCGGTCCCCGTGTAGAAGACTTCCTTGCCGTCTGCATAGACGTGGCGCATTGTCACAAACAGATCGATCTCTGATGGGTCCCCCTTTCCCGGAAGTTTCTCCACAGAAACGTTGAGATGGGCAGTGATATGACCGGTAATTTCAGTCTCCTTGGTGAATGGTTCACTCACGAACTGGATCTTGTGTGGATTTTGGACGTCGAAACTGGGCGCCAGGTATGAGCAGCTCACGTCCTCAAGGTAATTCGGTACGGCTGTCTGTAAGGTGTAACTTGGTGTAAGGTAGAAGCGAGAGTACTGCGTTCGTGCAATAGGCCACTCTGTCTCGGTCCTGCGCTGAAACCCCTTCTCTGCTTCAGCGTCGTTGACACCAATATTACCCTTGCGCAGAAGCAGGTTCACCTGTGGTAGTTTGCCCTTCTGCGACCATCCTTCCCGGTCGTCACCTTTAAGAAAGGCGTCCAAGAAGGATTGCTGAACTGCGACCTCTTCGTCATAATAAAAGGGGAGGTCGTGCCGTCCACTGATGAATCGTAAATATTTGAGTTCCGAACCCGCATGGAAAAAGCCTTCGACGTTTCCCCGAAGATGTAGAGTGTTTCCTCCCCAATTGGCCACCGAAAGGACAGGCACCTGAATGTCCCCGAGGTTGAAATCTCTAGATGCGTAGTATTCGTCGTCAAGATACTTGTTTTCCGCATTATCGACATTTTGATCTCGCCGGTTATGGGCCAATTCCTCCTCCGACAAGTCTCCTTCGATGGTGTCAGGGCCCCATTGACTCTTAGAGCGGCCTGGTCGGCCATACTGGTTGGTTATGACTTGCCGATCCCACCAAAATTTGATAAAGCCGTTCGAAAAGATACCACCTTGTCTGCAACGATCACGGTAGTAATCAGACATACCTTCCCAAGGGATGATCGCTGCTAAACCTCTTGGTCGACGTGCAGCAACACGCCACTGACTTCCCCCGTAGTAGCTAATACCGAGGAGTCCGACCTTTCCACTCGACCACGATTGTTCGGCAGCCCATTCGACAACGTCAAAAAACGCTTCGCTCGTGCCACGAGACATAGTGTCCAGGAAGCCCGGCGATTGCCCCAGGCCACGTTCATCTGCACGAACAACGGCATAGCCATGCGAGGTCCAGAAGTGTGGGTCAGGGGTCTCCCAGCACGAATGCTCTGATTTATGCTTCGGATTCACTTCGGCGAAAGATTTCGGATGGAAACTGTGAAGGTCAGTGGTAGCTCCAGGATCATCATGGCTCGCGCTGTGCTCTGGGAAAGAATGAAGACTCTGAATCAGGGTGCGCATACTCTCGGTACGGGATGTCTTTTCCATATGGTCCGTAAGTGACCAAAACAGGGACCTTGCCCGCATCTCCTGTGCGTGGTCGGTACACATTGCACCTGATGACATTTTCTGGCCTCTGTGTTGAGGCAGACTTGAGAGGCACTGACACATTCTGCTCAAATATGTAAGGAAACGACACCTCGTCAGTAACCTTGATGTCTCTGATGCGCCCCGCCATGTTTGAGGATGATTCGAATTCGGCTACGTAGTCTGGGGATCCCTAAACTGTAATGCTAAGAATCTGTTGTTGCTCAAAACTCTTCGAAGAAAACAGTGGTTCGAGGTCTCGAGGTTCTTCAAGTAGACTTATGCCCTCGCCCTCGGCTGGAATACCGCATGCATCCGTAAATTCTCTCTCTTAGCCTGGCGAAGAGATAAACAGTGTGACTAATTCCGGTGGCGCCATGTCTCCAATCCGAGGCTACCGGCCCCTCAACCCCTCATATCTCCCGGGGGGAAAATATATCGGTACGTGTTTTACCCTTGCAGCACTAGCGCTTTTGGTCGGTTGCGGTGGAACAGGCAGGGTACTTGGGGCTTAGTTGAAGTTGCTACATTGTTACGTACTGTATTCCACCATGGGCGTTCGAATCCCGAAAATGCTGGCGTCGCACCATGTATTCTTATGCAGGCTAATACAGTATGCTTGTCATGTAGGTACAGAAGTTGCCTCACACCCAAGGGATCACCATTCCCCGCCTATTTTGTATCTGAAGTATTTGTCGTTGATGCGCCCGCCAGTCTTCCTCCAGAATTGTGAAGCGGCCTATGATACTGTCAACCACAAAGTCCGCGTATGAGGGCTAGAGGCGGCCACTCCGGCAATTCGCCTTCATAATCTCAAGCCACTTACTGCGTTGATCCAAACTCCATGCAACATTGTAAAGACAAACGCCGCTTCTACGGCGTTGGCCGTCCCTCGGACGCTCAAGTCCAGGTTTCTGTTCACAGGACGGTACGGCGGAACTCTCCTATGACTTGTTGGCCAGTTTGTCGGATTGCGACTTGTTGGCAGGTTGGTCGGCGTCTCGAGAGGTGCGTCTTCCGCTTCTTGGTTTGAATGGTGGACATCGTACTCGCGAAGCGTCTGCGCGATACTGTAAGAGACTTGATTCTCCGTAGTGGTCACCGACATGCTGCACCAGTTCGAGACGAGTGGACTTCTGTCCTCGTGAAAGGCTTCAAAATTCTCAGATGGCTGGTTATAGAATGCCCACCAGCTCGATATTCATCTGCTGGATACAATCTGCGTCAAGGTTAACGTTACGATCGCAGTGTGAGTCTCGTCGACGGAGAGCCGAATGACATCGAGGCTTGGTTCCGACGGACGGGCGCTGAACTCGGCTCCGCTCGGCAAGTCTCCTTGACGTTGTATGATGTGGAGAGGCTTGAACATCTTGGTGGTCTGTTCCGCGCGCCAAAAGCCGCACCTTGTGAATGAGGAAAGTTTTCGGATTGGTCTTGAGAAAGGCCGTCCTTTCGGACCTAGATTTGTTGTATTATGGATTTATTGGTATTTAGCTCGAGTTGACCTTTGTCATCCGCAGCGGTCAAGCCAGCAGTCTGCGAGTTCCTCCATCTGCCTCTGTGACTGCATCTGTCTGTCATCGCCACGACGCTTATAACTAGAAATTTCCGAGCTTAGGTACATAGTCGACTTGTTCCGGGCGTCGCTCTCCGCCTGGCAGCTCTACAGAAGCAACGACAAGGACTCCACGTCTCAAGGTATTCCTCTCAGCATGAGCACCGAATTGCTTCGCCTCCAGGGCGCGCAAACAGATGGCCGGACAGCCAACGTACGTTATCGTCAAGACCAACTACAGTCGCTTCATGCCGGGCTTTGTCTGAGAGCCGAAGACCTGTGTACAGCCGTGGCCAAGGACACGGGATGCACAGCAACGGAGGCCAGCATGGAGTTCTACACGGCCATGGAAGGACTCCGCCTGCATTACGACGGACTGAATTTCGAACGAGAATTGAAGAACGAGTACTCCGTTGTGGATGACCCAGAAAATGCTAACCCCAACCTGTCTTTGGGAGTTGGACTTGTCTACATCATACCATCCAATATTTCTCCTCTTAACGCAGCCATGGCTCCTCTTACGGCGGCTATTGCCTCAGGTAACTGCGTCGCTCTCGAAGTGAGTATTCTCGGCTTCACATTCTTCAACTAGTCGTGAGGGAGGCATTACTGACGAAATGGCGTTTGGCACAGCTACAACCCACGCTTCGAACACTACCAGCGCTTCTGGGAGCGGTTTTATTAGATGCCTTGGACAACGACACATTCGCTATTTGCAAAAGTCGACCCGACGACCTAAGCATGCTCAAGAACGGCACACTCGTGGATCAAACTTCTTCGGAAGCCATCATCGACGGCTCCGTTCGAGTCTTGAAAAGCCCATCTGAGTCCCGGACCGTGGCTATAGTCGACCGAACCGCCGACTTGGACCGCGCAGCAAAGGCACTGGTTACAGCACGGTTCTCCTTTTGCGGAAGATCCTATTATGCTCCTGATTTGGTGCTAGTGAACGAGTTCATCAAGAAGCCCTTCCTGGAAGCCGTGCTACGAGAGGCTCTTCCATACCTAGATGACCACGAGGGGCAAGAATCTCCACATCGGGATATATCGTCGTTGAAAAAACGGATGACACAAGCCGCTGCAGATGGTATGGCAGACATATTATCTCTCGGATCCAGAGGATCCATAGTAGATATCAAGTCCAGGTCAGTGTGGCTTTCAATGAGATCGGGCGCTAGTCGCTAATGCCATCAACAGGAAGTCGTGGTTATTGGAAGGAAAAGTCAATCTTCCTATTCTGGCGATTCTTTCAGTCACCAGCCTTGAAGATGCCATTGACTATTCAAATTTGGCCAAAGACTACCATCCTGTCACAGGAAGGCCGTATCTTGCATCATATGTGTTTGCAAATGCATCGACAGCGAAATACTTGGCCCAGTTTATCAATGCCCAAGAATCGTTTTTGAATGGGATTCCGCCACTTTTACTCGGTGAGACTGTGCGTTGCGGTCATCAAGGGACTGTGTATCACTAATACGAACGTGCAATAGTCGCTCCTCCCAAGCCCCTTGGGGGAAAACTGCCTCAGTCACCAAGTCAGGCTTACAGCCCTTCGATGTTCCAAGTTCTTCGACAAATTCATGGGACTAGGCAGTCTGCAGTGGGACTGTCGGGATTCATAGAGGAATCGTCTTCCAAACTCATTCGTGTCGCCCGTAATGAGTTGCTTGATGCTGCACTCCAGCCGCTAAGACAAACCGGTCAGGCTTTCCAAGCCCGTGAAGTAGGCTTCTTCGAACAAGGCATATTGACCGGACTGGTAGTGTTTGGGGGCCCCGTTATCATAGTGTTCGTTGGTGGTGCCTTCGCAGGTGCCCGATATCTGTACAAGCTGCTCAGGTGACAGACTGAAAGTGCAGAAAAGGCAGCCCTTAGGCCTGTTTGCTGGTTCTGGACATCGTTTGGAGTGTTTGTTGAGTGATTCAAGCAAACCCAGCAATTGACGCGGCTCGGGCCAATTCCCGCAGCAGTTGAGCCATTTTGTCCACCAAAGGAGCTAGGTTTCCTTCGCCTATTTGGCACGGGGATTTCAGTATCTGACACGTGTATTCCAATATAGATCCTGGTACAAGTACAGAATGAGTTGGCCGTTGGCCGAACTCATCAGCAACACCCTCTATCACGGGCAGACCTTGGCCGAAATTTATGAAGTTCTTTACGTCGCTGGAGTACTTAGGGCCAAGACAGATGTGCTGATAGGAAGACTGTTGTCCTCGAGCAAGCTCTTGGCCAGACCTGCGCTGTCGGGTTGCAGTTAACACGCCATAAACATAGAGGGCAACGCCCGCATGGTAAGTAGCCACGGCATGGAAATCTCGCAAAGCAATTGATCCCAGGTTCTCAGCTTTTCGAAGCGTTTGAGCTGCTCTCCAGATTCCGAGTCTAGCATTCCGGGTGACCGACCAGTTTTGCAGCCTAGGGAAAACCCGGGCAGCCTCAGCCTCGCCATGCTTTCCGGCGAAAGCCTGAATTGCCTCCAACGGAACACAAAGTGCCATAATCAGATATGATTGAATAAAGGATAACTCATGCGAAGATCGGCCAACAGCGTCTTCGGGAATTAGTATGTTTGCGACTAGTCGTTCGAATCTGCTGTTGTCGTACAGCATGAAAGGCCCTGGCATACATTCGAAGTCCTCGTCGTTCTGGAGGGTATTCTGAAGCTCCTGGAGACTCCGTCCAACATGCCACACCCCATAAAGAACGAGATAACACCACTCACCGAGGTTCTGATCAGGTGGTCTGGTATCTTGATTCGAAACCTCCTTGATCAACTGGGACAAAGACTTCTCATGTATCGTTGGTCCAGATCGGGCGAGAAGATGTGACTTCCACTCTTGGGCTGACGATGCAAGCCAGATCTCGACAGGCTGGGGCATTGGAAGTTGCATCTCGCTGCATGACATCAAAGGGTTCGTGAAATAGGTCATAGAAACTTGACAGTCGTGAATGAAAAGCTGGTGAACCAGTCGGATCTTGGTCTCCTGTTCCACCCACCTCTTCCACAAGTCGTCTAACTCGGGTCCAGTCTGAGTCTCTGAGGGGCGAATCTCAACATAGTAATCTCTTCGGAGCATACCAGAACGTCTAAGCATGGTGACCACGGGCTGCGTAAAACTCTCGGCGATTTCCATCTTTCTTCTATTTCCACTCCACAAGAACAACATGTTAGTGAGCGTAAAGGCTCGCAGACAGTCCAGGTCCCGTGTCTCGCTGTTGTTCTCTTCCCACCTCTGCACAATAGCTTTGCGAAGTAGCTCTGCAATCGCGTAGCCAAGACGTTGAATTGCACGGACTGATGTCAAGCTAGCGCCATGTGCCATCATTATGGCGAGCATCTCAGGCGAGATCTGACATGATACCGAAGAGGGCGGGTGGATGAAGCTTAAGGGCCGCGTTGAAAGATGGTGTAGGGCAAGCGGAATTAAGCATTCCATCAGGGTCGGCGAGGAAAACGACTTTATTAATTTTGGGATGTTCTTCCTTTCACAAACGGTGATAAAAAGGGCGAGGATGCGGTCCCGGTTCGAACTGGAAGCGAGCTTCTTGCAGAGCTCCGGTACATGAACATTTCGAAGTTTTTCTTGATCGGAGTCCCCAACTGCCAGATGACGTTCGGAGGCCACACCAGTATCTTCTGCGCTTGGTGTCCAGTTCCAGAGCGATGTACTGAAAGCATTCACCCCAATGAGAAATGCTTGATGCTCTTGCTGCTCATGGGACTGAGGCCGACTGAGACCCATTGTTGCATGCGTTTCCAGTGCCGCCAAATCAGAAAGGCCGTCGTACTCGAAATCAATGTCCGAACCCTGGGTGGAATTCATAAAAATCTCCCATATGTCATGCGATTCGAACGGATTATGAGGCAAGGCCGAGGGTGAAGCTTGTTTGGATTGCGGATGGCTCGCGAGGTCTTTCAGAAAATCTGCATATCCAGCACAGCCTTCACTCGGTGCTACGTCAGTCAATTGGTGAAGCACCTCAGAATTAAGTCTTGGATTGGACGGAAAAGGCCAGGTGCTAAAAATGCCAGGAGATGTTGTTTGTTTGGTATTGTCGAGAAGGCCAAGGTCAATCGCAGAAGGCATTTCGCCTGCGCGCGAAGACGGAAAGTTCTCTGTCGGGATGCGTATGTCCGTCTCCACGTCAGGATAGCTCCCAATAGAGTCGCTTGTCGCAGCGACAACTTGTGGGTTATTGCATAAGTAACTTCCAGGTGGTTCTTGATTGCCGCAGGTGTAACTTTCGGAAGGCGATTCTTCCATAACGGATCCTCGTCTTTCTTCTCTGAAGGTGAACTCTTTACGGGGAACTGCATTTGCTGTGCTATCTGCCATGCTTACGTCCGCGGTGTCAATTGTATCCACCGAAGGGAGACGTCCCGGGTAACGGCATATAAGGCTCTTCTGCGTACAGCGATGGCAAGGCTTCTCCTCACTACATTTGAGCTTCGAGGTAGCGCATGGGATGCAAGCCTGAGACACTCTCCTGTGAGCTTTGTCGGCCCGCGTGAGCCTTTGTCTCTGCGAGGGCGGAAGATGAACGTAGACATGTCGTTTCAACAAATCCCTTGAGAAGTGAGTACCACGCAAGAAGAGGTGCGACAAAGATGACATACGCTCGAGAGAAAGACTTGGGGCAGAAGGCGCAGACGTGAGGCCTGTCGCGAGTATCTTACTCTGGTCAGCAGTCTCCCAGATCCGACCTACACATTGGGGGGGAGGGCTTACGGGTCTTGATGTGCCTGGAGAGGTGATCTGCGCGTGAAAACTTCCTCTGGCATTCTCCACATTGAAAAAGAGATCCGAGATGGACTGTGTCCTCGTCTTGTCGTCCGGGTTCTTGACCATGTTCCAACACCGGCGGCGGCTTATCGGCGGTGTCTAAATCCTGGTTTTGACCCTGGGAATCAAGGTTTGTCATTCTAGTGAAGCTTGTTGATTCTCCTATGCCTGTAGATACTAGAAGCGCGGATGACTTTGACAACCTCCTTTGGAACAAGCGATGGGGAGGGGTGGACTTGGTGTTTTGGGTGCAACTCGAGAATTTCTGGACATCAGGGCGTCAGAAGCAAGAGTTGGGATGGGAGACCCGCCACGCACGCAAAGAAATGCGGGGTTTTCGCGGAGAGTTGGATGGTGGTGGTTGGATGGGTGCAAAATTGTGCAAGAGCCCGGGTTGGCTAAATTTCAGCCACTCTCATCAGAAGCGACATCTAGTAAAATTAGCCTTCGCCGTGCCGACAAGCCCCTTTCCGGCAAATGCAGCGGCAGGGACTTGCAACTGAATTGCGGTCCCGATGTTTGATGAGGTAGCCGAGCTTGGACCCACATCCAGGACCAAACAGAACTGTAGCCGCACAAAAGACAGGGTGAGCGCTCAGTCGCCAGTCAGCAACATACGGTAGTCACGCTTTGGGTCTAGGTGCGGATAGTTCTCTCCCTCTTCAGCATCCTTCAGTTACAGTCTACACCAGACCATTATCCTCCCAGGCCGATTTTTGCCTGGTGCAGTCGAAGATGCAGCAAGGTTTGACCCCAGTATACTTCTTCTCCCATGGATCTACGATGATGCTGGGAGAGGAGTCTGCTTCTGCAGATTTCTGGAAAGCGTGTGGAGATGAAGCCCTCCAGAACAAGGTGAAAGGAATAATCATGATGGTGAGACATACCAACCCGAGATACAAAAGGGCAAGCAATCTGTCGAGGCGGATGGTTAACCCATTTTAGGGAGCACATTGGGATTGTAAAGGCCACAACACAATCGAAGTTGCCATGAACCCGAACCCAGGCAAAAGTCCAATCGCATATGTCGATCCACGGATCTACAAAGAGTACAAGCTCGTCCCTGACTTGGAGACTGGTCAAAGATGCATTGATATCTTACAGCGTGCACATATTGACGCGAAGCCGAATCCGTCGTTTGAATGGATTCACGACACCTTTCTCGTTCTCATTCGGATGTTTCCTCAAGGCATGCCACCGACAGTACTTCTGTCGCTGAATGCCCGATACGATCCACATTTCCACATGCGAATTGGGTCGATACTGCGGCCACTCCGAAAGGAAGGATATATCTTTGTCGGCACTGGGGGTGCGGTGCATAACCTCTATCGTAACAAATGGGGCCCAATGGTCAAATATCGCGACAACTTCGCCATGACTACTCCCCCGGAAGGGTGGGCTCTTGAGTTTCGTCAGGCGGTAGAAGACGTGATCACAAAGAACTCGGGCCCTTCGTTAAGGCGCGCGATGACCAGGCTGTTGAAACACCCAGAGTATAGGGATGCTCATGGTACGGACGAGCATTTCATGCCTGCGTTGTTTGTTGCCGGAGCGGCTGGTGATGCCGAGGATGAAGGAGTCTACGGTCGACTTGGGGCGGAGGATTGGGAATTGACCAACATGTGTAACAGCCAGTTTATCATCGGTTGCTGGGCGTGAGATAGAGAGAGCATGTCAATGGACATTGGATATATAGTGAAAGTGATCCTCGTCGCGCCGAAACTGCTACTTGTCTGTGAAGACTGACCCTGTGCACGCACACTCTACAGAACTGGTCACTAGTCAATATGTATGCTCTCGTACATCTGGATATCCCGCATCGACCAGTCATTTACGAGAGTATACCCAAAAATGTGCTCTTCGGCTTCATCAGCATTAACCATTTGCCCATATGACAGGGGTTGACTGATGTAGAGAGCAATCTCGAGCTCGAAGTCAAGCTTTCTCGTCGGATGATACTCGGGTTTCCCAGTGCTGGGGTTGACGTGAACACCGCAGGGTCTGGCGACTTCGGCTCCGCTAACTCGAAGGGATGAGCAACTTCCTGTGTACCCGATGGGGCAAAAAATTGTTTCCTGGCTTGAATTGCATTTTGTACATGGCATAACACTGAGGGATTGAGTCAACAGGTTAGAATGATACAGCACGCCGAACCCCCCATAATGGCTCTAGTAATGACTCACGTTTGCAACATGCTCACGAGCTGCGCTGAAGTCGGTAAACTCGGTTGTGTGCATTGGTAAATGCATCTGCACGGCATTTCCAGGGAAGAATTCGGTCTCATTCAGAGTCTTGTCCTGATCTACATTTCGCACTAGTCAGAAGATATCTGGTGTTCGTAGGTGTGGAATTCATGTATTGATATGAATGAGATATGATTGCTGTCACTGAGAGTTCACGGCAGATAAGGGTTTCCCGCATCTTCAACAGGTAAAGTCAATAGTATGTCACTCAAGGTTACCATTGTGGGCTGCGGACTCGCTGGCCTGATTGCAGGTCGGGTACTCAGGGAAGAGCACCATGTTACAATCATTGACGCTTTTCTGGAGGGCATGAGCTTGGAGTTGCAATCAACCTGGGAGCCAGTGCAGTTAAGATCTTGAGCTCTCTCGGGTTTTCTGCCGCAAACGCAGGGTCCGTCCGCGCAGGTGTTGGCCGCACTTTCAACCTGACTTGCAAGCAAATAGCAACAATGGACATGTTGCAATTTTGTGACGTGGCAGGAGCCAACTGGTACTTCCAACACCGTGGGGACCTATGGAACGAATTTTGCCACCTGGCTACGGCGCCTTCGACAGGTATTGGGATCGGAGGTCAGCCAGCGAAGATTATCTGGGGAGCTGACGTGGTCAGCGTGAACGTCGACAGCGGCGAGGTGAAACTCGCAGATGGTACCATCATTGCCTCGGATTTGGTCATCGGTATGCTACCCCTTGGATTGCATAGAAGCTCCCATGAAAGCTGATCAAATGTTTAGCTGCTGATGGAATAAAGTCCATTATCAGACCATTGGTGACGGGAGAGGAGGCATTCCGAACAGCACGGCCTTCTGGGACGTCGGCATTTCGATTCATAATGCCAGTAAGCGTCGCCAAAAAAGGCTATTGATGATGCAATAATGGCTAGGTTGTTGGACCCTTCGCAAGTGTGCAGCCTCGATGTTCACGTCGACCTGAGCGGATCGAATCGTTCTGTAGTTATGTATGTGTGCCGGGACTTCCAACTGGTGAATTTTGTGTGTATTGCCCCAGACTCTCGGATCAGGGTCGAAACGACCGAGTCTTGGTCCGCCAATGGTACGACAGAAGATCTTTTGGACACTTCCCATTTTGGAGTATGTATATTTGAACCTAAGCACAGGAGTGAAATCTAACCCCACCTTGCAGAAGAGCAGAAGGAGTCAAGTTGTGGCAACTCAGAGATCTTAACTGCGCGAACATCTTCATCTTGTCTGCCACGAGCAGAGTGCCGCACATAAGTATTAACATGACTCTGAATGCGTGAAATCATCATTCGGACGTATGAATTTGGATCTGAAATATCTATATTCTTCACTGTCAGATCTACACTGCTATACCCCCTTCCCCATTGTTCTACCCTTGCAGGGACAGTAGCTCCTTATAGCCTCCGTTTGCTGGGATCGACTGTCCGTTGATCCATCGAGCCTCTCCGCTCGCCAGAAAAGCGACCACGAATCCCACGTCCTCCGGCTCACCCATTCTTTTCTCGGTCGTAATCGGTTCGATGGTACTGTCAAGCATTGCCTGTCCGAAACTTTCCGCGGCTGCTAGTGTCGCCCCCGATCGAGTAGGCCCAACGTTGACGCTATTGAACGTGGCCCCGGTCTGTACGCCGAATATGAACGCTAGGGAGCGAGTAATACTGTCTAGCGCGGCCTTGGAAGCGCCGTAGACCAGAATTCGGTCGGAGTTCGCCATCTTGCTCGCTATGCTGGAGATATTGATTATCCGGCCTCCTTTCGGCGGGAGGTAGGGAAGAACAGCGCTGATAATGCTCATCGCGGCAAAGACGTTGCCTTGCATCATCTGGGTAAACCCAGTGAGGGTAGTGTCGGTAAATGCTTCGAGTGCAGACATGTCCAGCACGGCGGCATTGTTGACCACTATGTCGATGTGTGTTGCATTGATTCCATCCAGAGTCTTGGAAATGAGATTGGGGCCGATAGAAGGGTCCAGCAGATTGGCTTGGATGGCGACGGTCTTCAGGGAAGGTGAGATAGAACGGCATTGTGAGAGTGTGTCTTCTGCGCCTTTGATATTGCCGGCGTAGGTAATGGCGAGGGCAGCAATTCCTTTCCGCGCGAATTGTAAAGCAATTCCAGCTCCAATTCCACGACTGCCCCCAGTGATGAGGGCTGTTTTGCCGTGCAGAGATGAAGTTGACGGGGCGTCTGTGTTTGTCATGATTTCTTCAACTGGCTTGTTCGTTTTCGGTTCCAGTTACTCTAGCCTTTTCGATGCCTTGTCGTGGTAGTTTCAGGCTGTCCAGAGGTTACCATCATGAGATTTATATATCTATAAGGTCAGCTTGAGCCATGGTGCAAGTTCAGACTTCGTCCGAAGCGGATATTGTTCTCCAGGAGGCTCAATCGCGACATAGCTGTTGGTCTGTCAGCAAGAAGGAAATATCATGTACGGATGCTGTCATTATGACCTTTCAGACGAACATTTTGCATTCGCTCGTTCTTTCCCGTGTGGACGACGCGGCTAGACTGCACGAATCAAGGAATTCGACAGCAGTTTGTGCTTCGTGCTGCCGGCATATCCGTATCTCCATGGACTGCAACAAGCCTTCCTCCAGCAAAGTTGAAGAGAATGTGCAGCGATGAAGATTGCGACCAGTCTGCACAAGGCTAAGTGCTAAACTCTCCGGGGCTTTATTTTGAGCCATATGCAACTGGATTACCCCCCTGGTCAGGTTCCCGGCAGACGCAGGTACCTCGTAGATGCTGACTAACAGACCAGCGGCCGGGGAATTCGTCCGCCGAGTCTCGGACGAAATGGGTATCGGCCACCTAGGGCAGACTTCTTTTGCTTCTCTACCCATGATCCTCACATCTTCTCATAGATTGAGAGTGTCGTTATTGTTTCTTCGCAGTACAACGCAACCGGGCCCAAGTCGGCCGACACAATGACTTTGGATGCCGAAACCACCATAATAGGGACCCGAGGCATGATCAGAAATCTTGCCGGCAATGACTGGAGAGGGATCTCCGACCCCAAGAAACGGAAACTCCTCCAGAACAGGTTGAACCAGCAAAGATATAGTAAGTCGCTTTCCATTATGCTTTTGGTTAAGTTGAGCCCAAGAAGGAGATGTTGATCCTTTGATGCATGCTCCGGTATTGGTGCTTGACAAAGCGAACGCAAGTGCTGATGGGAGCAATTTGGCTGGCGCAGAAGAGCGGCAACGGCAGGCCAAAGTGGCCAAAGCGTTTGGGTACCACCTGAGTTCGAAGACACGCCACACTCAAGGGAGTCAAAATGATCGTGATCGCTCAATACCTAGAGAGAATCTTCCGGTCAGTGTCAGCCCTGGACTCGCGTTCGATGCTTTTGTGGACCCAGCTGTACGGGAGGTCCTCCTCTTCGGTATGTCACTTTCAATTAAATCTAGTGTTGAAAGGCATCAAGGCTCTAATCAAGTTCTCACTACCCTTTGTAGCAAGAAACACTCTCTGTCCGCGCTTTTCATCCGCATCCAGGATTGGACAATACTCAGGCTTTACGCATCCACTGAGTGAGATATGGTTTGACCGTGTCCTCACCGTGCCGATGATGCGTAAGGCTGTCATCATTGGAGCATGTATCGACCTTGAGCTCCTAAGCAGTCGACGGTACTCGTCCATGATCCTGAGTACTGTGGTGGAATTGAGTCGACAAGTCAGAATTTTAATTTCGCAACTGCCTTTGAGTCAGCAGCTGGAAGATGGAGGGCATAAACAGGAAAAATCTCGACGCCCAATTGGAAATGCAGGAGTAGAATTACAGTCTGTTCAAGCAGAACAGAAAATTCCAGATGACCTCCTCTTTGCCGTGATGCATCTCGTCAAAGCAGCTTGCCCCAACATCCTTTCGGGCCGTCTTTCCCTAGACCCACCCGGCGCCGGAAACAATCTATTCGGCCTTTTTACGCCTCCATTGTTCCTCCAACAGCTTCAATTTCTGCATATATGGGGTCGTTCTTGCCCGTACCAGCAAGCTCAGGGTCTGTTTGATGGACAGGCTGAAGTCCATCATTCGGCACTGGAATACCTGGTGAGTTTAAAGGGCGGGCTTAAGAATGTTCGGACCCCCGGTTTTGCAGATTCCTTGCATCTGTTCGATGTTCTTGGAAGCGCGAAACGTCTCACCAGGCCAAAGTTCGAGCTCCCACAACGGAGCTATTGGATGGTGGAGCATTTACAAAGCCTGAAAAAAGCTCATGGACAGAGGTTTGGCGGCTTGCGCAGTATACTTGGAGAGTCAACATTAGTGGAGATCTTACAGGACCTTGACATCCTTTCGTCTTGGGCTTCTCTAGCTCTAACCTCTGATGAGCCGCAGCAACAAGGGGCTAATCTTCCCGTCGTTCATCTCCATGGAAAGCACAGTCCATCCACCGAGGATTTGATATCTCTGAGGAATTTTGTTGAGTATCGCTTACTATCCTACTCACCTGAATCCGACAACGTACTAGAATGCGTGGTTCAAACAGCCGCATTGATCTTTATGCATGGAGTCATCTTCCCACTACCGAGTCAACCCACCAGGAAGGAACTTCTCACCAGGATGATTGAGAACATCTACACACATGATAATCTTTTCGGAAATGGAATCTATAGCCTTGATTATAACCTCTTCATGATTTGGGTGCTCACAATGGGTGTTATGGCAACTTCTGACAAAGATGTCTTGGAAAGATCCTTCTTCGTCGAGCGCTTAGCATCCTTGTCTAATGAGATGGGGTTCCTGAGTTGGCAGGACTTCGATAATGTGCTGAAAGTTTATTATTGGGTAGAATGGGGATGTCAAGCCGGAGGATTGGAGGTGTGGAGGATGATATCTGGTCGAGTCGTTCGGTAGGAAGCCACAATTTCATCACCTGCTTGAACAGACAGACACGCAGGAGCATGCTCACTCTCCTCGAATGACCAACGGAATTTACGCTGAACAACTAACTCTCTATCTCAATACTTCTAGCTGAACGGTTGCTGCATCAATAAATTAAATGGTGAACGTCAAAACGCGATCCGCTCCATGTCTCACTATTACTGCCGAGCGAGTCGACGCTACATCCTCAATTTTGATGTGCTCTCGAATAAATTCCACCGAATCAGATGGAACATCAGGTAGGAGGAACTGTCTTGACGCTGGTCAAACTGCAACTTTTCTTCCTTTAATGTGGCCATAATGGTAATGGCACTATGCACAAGAAACAGTAAACCATTGACATATTCAAGTTCTTGGCACTACATGTCACCAGCTTTGAATTGAAGAAGCTAAACCAAAAGTTCTGGACCAAACATGAGGCTGATAATGATCCATAATAATCAGGTATTCAAGACTATGAAGCTAGGGCAGGAGTGTCTGCGAAAAGATTGGGCAACATGAACGCAGGGTAACGATCGCCGGGTAGTTCGGCTTCTGATGCTGCCTTTCGAATCGAGGCATTGCTCTTGCTGTCGACCACAACAGTAAGCGACTGCAGGTTTTCTTGAAATCGCTCCTGGCTTGCGGTGCCTGGGATAGGGAAAATGTCATCGCCTTGTGCTAATAGCCAAGCCAGTGTCAACTGAGCAGAAGTGCAATCTCCTGCATTGGAAGCAATCTTCCCAATCTCATCGGCCAACTCCAAAACTTTGGGGAAATTCTCGGCGGAGAATCGGGGGATCATGCGGCGAAAATCAGTCTCAGGGAAGTCATCGGGAGACCGATATCGGCCTGTCAAAATACCGCGACCCAATGGACTGTATGCAACAATTGCTACTCCCAGCTCTCGACAAGTCTTCAAGAGATCGATGGCAGGATCCTCAATGTCGAGGAAGAAGGGCGAATACTCGACCTGCACAGCCGTAATCGGATGAATTTTGTGCGCACGTCGGAGTGACTCGGCAGAGCATTCACTGAGGCCAAGATACCTTATCTTGCCCTCGCTTTTCAGATCCACCATAGCTTGGACAGTCTTCTCGATGGGAACCTTTGTATCCAGCCGGTGACAATAGTAAAGATCAATATATGCAGATTGCAGACGCTGTAAGCTTCGACGACACGCCTCCTTCACATATTCGGGGTCACCTCTGACGTAGGCTGTGCCATCTGGTTCCATCACATTGCCGAACTTGGTAGCCAAAAATACGTTCTTTCTCTTGTCTGGGTTTGCAGCCAGCCAGTGACCAACGAGGTCTTCACTGTCGCCATAGATGTCGGCAGTGTCCCAAAAGTGTTCTCCAGCCTTGTAAGCGGCGTCTAAAAAAACAAGGCGTTCAGCGTCTGGTTTTGGTTGGCCAAATATTGGTGGAAGGCTCATCAATCCGATGCCCAGGCGGTTCACAAGAGGACCATCCTTGCCCAATGGGCGCTTTGGAATGGATGTGGTCGCCATATTGAAGCAAATCTAGCAAGATTAGAGATAAAGTACGTGGTGTGTAAGGAGAATTTGATGAGTGAGGCTTTGTGTACTTACGTCTTGAAGATTATTGTATATATACTCCGCCGGTCTTTGCGATGAGGATACGGGAGATTACCTGACCTGAAAGCCTCCAAACAGAACTCCTCTCTATGCATAACCGGTGTGTTGCTAATGGGTTGATTTCAAATCACTGGTTTCTAGCTTCTTCCATTCATACTCGATCCATTACTTCCAACATAAAGGCGCAACTTCAATTAGACTTCTTTCCAAGTATCCTAGTATGGTTAGACTCGAGTCAGCAAGTTAAGCCTAAACGGGCTAAAGATATTAGTAAGGTCTCCAGGACCTTCGGACTTTCTGAATGTTGAAACCTCTTTCTTCATCGTACAGGATGGAGAGCATATCAGAGGAGGACCCGACCAGTTTGGTCAATCGTAGACGGATCAAAAATCGCTTACACCAACGTGCGAGTCGTAGGTTGCATTTTGAGCATATTTTTCCCCGGTGGTTAGTTCTCGCTAATTCTCCGAGCTAGGTGCACGTCGGAAATCTCTGTCTCGCGGGTCTTCGACGCCTGCATTTGCCCAAAACACCAAATGGGTTATCTACTCCAATCAACCCTTCCGTAATGGAGCGGGGGGTGTCGTGCACGGCCGGACGGCACGTGAAATTGATGACGATACTACGCAAACCGCTGCGGCAAGCAATGGTCTTCCAGGTTCTGATGGCCGCCTCGATATCTGTCTGGCAAATTCCTCGGGATATTATGAGCGGCTAGCTCGGCTACATGAGATACTCAGTCACAATGCTACCCACCGGATGCTTCGCTGCGACCTCCTACTTTCAGTAACTCAGTGCAACATTGTCCTAGCTATGTTCTCGAACTCTGTGCTCATTGGACTTTCCCCAGCGTTACTGGACTTGGATATCTATTCCCCATTTAATTCTGCTGGCCCATTTGGAGAGGATTACCCTCCCAGTCTTTACCCGACAACCTTGCAGAGACAACAGTTACATCACCCATGGGTTGACCTGTTGCCAATCCCCGAGCTGAGAAACGCCATTTTGCAGCATGTCAATCTGGACGACCTTGACTCCCTGTGTGGTGATCTTTTTGGACAATGCGATCAGAGAATGGAAAGAACAGGTCTACTTGTTTGGGGCGAGTCCTGGGATCCGTCTGCGTACGAAATGTCGCAGCCGCTTCTGCGCAAATGGGCATGCATCTTTGCTGAGTGTCCAAAATTAATCGAATCAACCAACGAATGGAGAACTCTCCGTGGAGAAGAGGTCGTCCAATTTCATTAAGATGATATTAGACAGCAAGGCAAACAGTATGAACCTTGAAAGTGAAAACAGGCAAACTATTAATGGGCTTAGCTTTCCTGACCAGGCGATGATCGTCTGAAGGCGAATGATCTATCAATATCCTCCTCGCGAATACTGTCGAGATATCTGGAAAACACTTATTCAACATAGTGGTGAGAAGCTGCTCGACCTCTGCCGCTCGCCAATTTTGCAAGTCTATCAATCCTGAAGTAGTCTCTAAGGGAGTCGACACGGTTGTGCTTGTTGAGGTCATTCCACAGAGCGATCCTAGGACGGCTTGAGACTAATTGGGATCTCAGACGTAGTGCTATTCTTGTCTTTGCTGCTTCCCGGTTCGTTACCGTCTCTGGATTGCTCAGCTGGTCCCAGATGATTAGCTTCTTATTCGGCTGGCTCATCGTTGAGGTCATACCACTATTTCGTCACCGAGTTGTCATCTTTGTAGTCTATCATGAAGTAATCTTCTTATCACCAGACACCAGGGTCTCCTTGTCACCAGTGAGCATGAAAAAGGATCATCACTCCGCGGTATCAGGGCAGAAGTTGTCCGGTGATGATGAGAATGAATTTGACTCCTGTCAAGTCATATCAGCAACAGCATAGGACTGTATACGTTGGAGAAAGAGCACATTCTGATATCCACCTTGCATTGAAGCCTCGATTATCGGTCACAATCCTAAATGTTCCCCAGTAAGACAAACAAGTCGCTAGGTTCCACCCCATTGGTATCGCGTACTGCAGGATGCTAGATTCTAGTGGACTTAGCAGGTGCTTTTCAGAAAATTCCATCAATAGACAAAGCCATCGACATCTTAATCAACAACGCAGCCTTATTGAGATGAGTCTGCAATATAGTATATCTATTCAAGACTAAAAATGATTTCTCAGAAGCACCAGATCTCTATCATCGTGCAGTGTCAGGTTACGACAGGGCCTCGGGCGCAAATCATCCTGTTACAGTGACTTGTCGAGAAAGTTTATCGTCACCATTCAGAATAATGACACAACTCCCTTTTTCTTCTCGACTCTACTACCTAACTATGTCTGAGAGAAAGTTGCAGAATGTGTCCATAAAAAGGAGGGTGGCTTCGGGAAACAATGTAACATGATGCACAACCAACTCTGTTTTTTATTGCTTCACAAGTCCCTTTGAAATGGTCATCGGAAACCGTTGTGTCATGTGGTCCTACTTGCTATGCGTCAAGGAAACTCTGAGATACTCGTTTGCTCTTGTCTGTAGTACCCTACCAATGTTATCGATACAACTATCTTTTACATTAAGCACGATTTCATCGACCTTTTCCTCCTCCCTTGGCTTCTGGTCACTCAGTACGGTTGAGCTGGGTGCGTTCGACTCACTGCTCGATCTCTTTCGGCCAAGGGGCTTGCAATTTTCTTTTGTGCCGATAACTGACTTATTCCGCCTCTTTCTTTGAGGCATCTTTGCTGCCAATGGTAATCACCCATCTTCTCAAAGATAAGAGAAAGGTAATTCGGCTCCTAGCTCCTTCTTTCGGATGAGGGTGTAGGAACTCTAACTAAGGGAGCCGGAGTAGGCCGAGAATGCCTGACTGCCCGTGACTCACGCTCTGTTGACACCGGTGAGGCTGAGACAACCGCGGCCAATCCAGGGGGAGCCAAAGCAAAGGCAGAGCAAAATCTGAGTGGCTCTTTTTGTAAGTCTTTCTGCCTTTAGCAATGTCATGCATAGGTACATGACCTTCCAGATTCCTGTCCGTTAACCCGAAAGCCTCTGTCCCATCGTTTCGCTGTAGCACACTTTTGCTGGTGGGCAGGCTGGTGGGCAGAGAAAGGCAACTCGAGGTGTGGTCGCGACGACATGGAAAGATCCAACGTTAGTTTCCGTGCACAAACTTGAATATGCAGGGATCATTGGAAGAACTACTCATGGACACAACTGCTGATTTTCGCAGTTGATCAGGCTGTCTTTGGAATAATGACCGCCAATTTCCAAAGAGAAGGCAAACCCGCCCAATTCCACCACCATCCAACAACTTGAATTGTGACAGATTCATTGGCGCGCAATCATGTGAAACCGCCACCCATCGGGTTCGAAAACTCGAGTCTAGCCTATCTATGACTTAAGTGGAGGCTGAGAGCAAGCCATGGTCTTGTGCTACTGGCCAAGACCTCGTGTTGTGCATTCCTCTTGTCCAATTCGTGATGTGACAAAGGATTCAGCCTGAGCAGGCAGATCGCATTATACGAACCCGTGTCTCTGCACAGAGGCTGAAGAGGGCGCAGGGGAAATGTTTGTTATGCCACCTGCTCTACGCTTGATACGAGTTGCCAGTCCATAGGGTTATTAGTATCGTATGTCCTCCCAGATCCTCAGCCTGATGATGTCCTCGACGTTTACATCCCCCTTCTGCTATGCGAGCTCTGGTCGCCCGAGACGCACCAAGAGATAGACCGTCCCAATTTTCTACTTCTTCACCACCCCAAGGCTGCCATGGCCGAATTCCTGAGCGTTGAACTGGTGTTGATGATCGCGAAAGATGTTTACCTGGTCTCGAAATGGACATATGAAACAGTCAGCGTAGCTCAACGAGCAGACGAGCACCTCGCGGAGCTGAAGCGTCGATTTGAGGTCCAACTAGACAAGATCAGAGGATTCGCAAACATATACCTCCGTGACCTCCCTCCCGGAAATGAAAGAAAATACCCATGGTTGAGGGATGTGAAACTGAAATATGAGGATCTACAGAAGCTCCTCGCTGGCGGGTGGACTAGGCTAGCTCTGAAGTACGACCCGACTTACAAGCAATTCTACAAGGCATATACCACCGCTACCCTCGAACAAGATCCCTCTCATCTCCAAATCCCTGGCAACCGGGAGCAGTGGCTCATTGAAGACACTGCATCGCCCACAACGAGCGCGCAGTTGCCGATGACATATATGCCGCTACCGTTGGGTGAAAATGTGAATGGACAAGTGTCCGAGAGCTTCAGAAGGGAACATTCCGGATTTCATCAATGGCGCTCAGACTATAAGTCTGCCAAATCGAAAATCAAGGCTTCAATCAACAGTACCGTTGCTAGGTACAAATTTGCAGGCTGGGACAAAAAGAGAATGGAGAGAACACTCTCAGAAGTGGAATCGATCACGGACAGATTATTTGCCTTGGTCCCTTTCGTCATGGCGACGCATCCTAGATTCCCTTCGCATTCCGATACTAAGGTAGAGGTCCGGGAAGGTGTGCTCGAAGCTTTCCATCAGCTGTTAGGTGAGAATCTGGGCTCTCCTCAACGTCAACGGGAAGCCCAGTTGACAGGCGCAACCAATTATCTGGGCATCCAGAGAGTCATCGAAATCGATGACGACGAGACCACGACGGCCGAGCAGCACCATCGATTACTGGGAGAAATTCCAATTCCACTGGACTCGCAGGGCTATCTGTCATGTGCAGCTCTGGAGCCAGAGAACTGCGTACAACTTTCCGCCGGGGCCATGGTTGAGAGCGACGGCACGAGCCACGAAGTATTGATCGAATATAAGGGCTGGGCAGCAGACGACGAAAAGCCCTTCATTGTGCAACGTCGGAAGGATATCGAGAGCTTGTTCCGTGTGTTGGCACTGGCACGGGCTCCCTTCTGGCCCAATTTGCTGAAGTTGCGAGGTATAGTTGTCCAAGAGGCTCATCATCGATACGGCTTCGTCTTCGACTACCCTCCGGACTCCCTTCACAAGCAGCCCATGTCGCTGCAAGAAATCATCGCCTCCTCAACCACTCTTGACGGAAGTTCAGATCTTGAGAACCGTCGTCGTATTGCCTCAGAGCTTGCAAAGTCGTTGGCGGCTCTGCATACTGCAGGCTGGGTGCACGAGAGCATGTGCAGCAGATACGTAGTGATCTTCGAGGACACGGAGTCTAGGTTGGCCTACAACAAGCCATACCTGGTCAATTTTGAATTCGCCCGTTCTGCGGGGTCGACAACCCAATTTGCATCCGCAGCAGCGGACCACCTGCGACTATATCAACATCCGGACCGCTTGCAGCCTGGCAAGGCAGTCAAGTATACACAGAAGCACGATCTGTTTTCATTCGGAATAGTACTTCTAGAGATTGGTCTGTGGCAAACAGCCGAGAACATGTGGAGATCTAGACAGGAATGCGACAAGGTCAACGGGGTAGACAATCTGGGGGCCAAGGCCATGTATGTTGCTCTCGCCAAAGAGAAGCTCGGCTTTGGAATGGGGAGGAAATATCGAGAAGCCGTCGTTGCACTTCTGGAGGCGGATCAAAGCAGCATTCACCTTCTCCAGAATGTCAGGGAGGCGTGTTCCGACTCTTTCGAGAATTCGTAGGCTCGTTCGAGGAAGGCGAGAACGAGGACGGCTGGGAAAAGGGGATTGCTGCCACTTGCTTGGCGTAGTCGGCGTCTATGACTCTCGCATTGTTTTGATGGCTCGATTCTCTGGGATTTGGTTCTTGTAGCACTAAGATTGGCCAAGATGGCCGTAAGCCTAATGACATACGTTCAAGATTTCGAGCCTTTTGGTAAAGTCACGATGGAGCCAATGTCCGGGATCTTACGTCTTGCTGTGTTGTGAGTGTCGCCTGTTCAAGCCCTACAACTAGATCCCTGGCAGACCCGTCCTGTTGCCTGGCCTTCAAACGTGGTATGAGGTGAGCTAGGTGACAATGCCTTGCAACAAGCTCATTTGATGGCCCCGTGGTACAAAATCGGCTGCGCTGTTGAAAATAATTTCTGCGCCTTACCTTTGGGGGTGACCGATCACAAACTAGCCTTGCATAGCCCGCCGGGCTGAGGCTAAGCCACTACTTCGCCTGCGTACTGTTGCTGACTCCACGCAACATATTTCTTCTTAGTAGTGACTCTTACTGTTGTGTCTCAAGGGCTTCCTTCCCACACATATTAAATCTCACAGAACCTGATTGCACTTTCTATTGATGACACGGGGATGTCGCTTGGCAGTATAGATTGGAAAATCGAGAGGATACAAGCTGATTATTGGACAACAGCATTAATCGCTCATCTTATACCCGTTATTGTCCTGCGAGATGGATCTGGGCGGCAGAAACCCGACGAACTCTGCGAGGGATTCCAGTCAGAAGCAAAGAAGATCGAGACGTTCGGGCTGGCGCTGTCCAAAGCTTGCACGGAGAGTGATCAGCCTATCCTCGTCTACATGGCGAAACTCAGACGTTGTTACGATCCTTATGCCGCCATCTCCTTCGAGATTGACTCGGGTCGGGAGATTAAAGTCCAAAGCCTAAACGGCGAAGAAGCAGAACAAGTACTTTCGAAGGGCCTTCATGTTCGGAAATTGAGACACGAGGACAGCCCAATGTGGTCATTACCACAACTGCAGCTCGTACTGGAGCAGAGTCGAGCTTGTACTTCAAAACTGCTGAGCTGTCCACCTTTTACAATTCTGACTTTCGAGGTTTTTAAACCACTGAGCACTGGCAACGAACTTGTAGACCTCGGCTACAGCATCACAGGTCGGGGCAATACTGCATCTAACCTTAGGTCTCTTCAGATGAAGAAATCGGCAAACCCTCAAAATATGATTTTTGCAAAGCAAACTCCAGCATCGTATTGCATCACAACCCAGCACGCGAGCGATGGATGGAGAGCGGTTTTCGTGGAGAAAAAAAGTCACGAATGTGTTTCCGATGGGCTTTCATGCTCTTATGAGCACAAAAGTCTTCGCCGTCTGGCTAAAAGCCTTCAAGGACTGGATATTGGGAAAAATATCGGCCTGTTGAGTTTCAGAGAGCTGATCGAGCACGAGAGCGGGTCCAGACACAGTTCATGCCACCTTGTGTATGATTTACCCCAGAACATGGCCGGACAATCGCTGCTTCTGACCTCACTCTCTGATCAAATCGGAGAAAGTCTATCGGCTGCTCGGCCGATAATGCCGCTGCGTTTGTTGGTAGCAAAGCGTGTCTGTTCAGCGGTGGCGCAACTCCACGCTGGTGGTATTCTGCACAAGAACATCCAGAAGAGTTCTGTGATATTCCTGAGCAGCAGTGAGCTGGTAAAAAATTTCGACTGTGAGTGTGTGTATCTTGTGGATTGTGACTATTCTCGGTTTGAAGGGGATAAGACCTCGTATTATTTCAGTCACGATCTTGAGCGAAACCTTTCGCGACATCCCTCTTGTCAGGGCAACCCGAGTGAATCCTTCCGGCTTCACCATGATATTTATGCTCTCGGTGTCTTGCTACTCGAGATCGGCCTATGGAGGTCAGCAATGGACATTCTGACTGAGCAAAACGGCAATATCCCGCCGTCGAGCTCAACTTCCCCAGTCAAAATACGGAACTTGCTCAAAAAGGCAGCTCAGACACTGCTACCGCAAAAGCTTGGTTCAGACTACGCGTCGGCTGTGAAGGTCTGCCTGAGTGCGAATGATGGGTCTCTTTATTCACCAGGGAAAGCAAGTGATATCTCTGCGGCTGAAGTATGTGAACAGTTCGGAAACTCAATAGCTCAGTGCAAGTAAAGATCATACACAATGAGTTAAACCAGAGTGCTTTTTGAGAGAATGAATCCGCGTGACTATGACGTGTCGCGCTGGCCTGACCAGAGACGTGCAAAAGCGACACGCTGCAGCATTCTCGGACACGGCGTGCCTTTCTAATCCAATCCTGTCCGAAGTATAAAAACAACGATAATCTTTTCCCCAGGATACAATCTGCCGTTTACAATGTGAGGAATAATTAACAGGCTCTCGGCCCTTCCGAGGGCCAAGTCTTGATTCTGTTGATCGGGCGTACCTCCAAGTGCTGTTGGTTGTTGACAAGTCGGACAAGCTTATTGAAGTAAACCATGTCAACTCGATCGGTATCGTTTTCCAGTACCGATGCGTGGTTCCACGCCTTTGCCGGGTTTGGGTCCAACAACCCTTGTAAAACTTCCGTCTGGGGCTGTTGGAGCGCTGCACGTTGAAGTAAATCCAAAGACCCAATGTAAGTGGAATGCTGAGCAGCCGGTAGTGGCGCATCAGCCGGAGTTTGCGGCATGTCTGGAGATGACGCCAACTGATTAAAAGAGGCATGTGAAGACGCTGAAGACGCTGAGCGTGTCAAACTGGGAGTTTCGGCGTCTGACGAGGAGACGGTATCAACAACAATATGAGGGATGGAACCCGTGCTCTGTACCGGGTCTTGAAGTTGCATGCTAGTTTTTCTGTGAGTGTGAGTGTCGTCGCGGATGATGATGTTGAGATATCTTTCAGCATGGCTGGGAGACGGCGATGAATCAATCTCTCGGCCGGAAACTTCTCGGATTGCGCATCCTGTGAACCCTAAGGCATCTATCTCCGGTGCTTGAACGGCAGATTTACCAATGTGGTCACTGTCACTCTGCTCAGGCCCAGGTATCCAACAGCATCTGGACTGGAAAGGCCGTGGTAGACGGATGGAAGAAGCCGTGGGTCGGTCTGTTGGGCTAGCGCTGAGCATCGAAGCAATCACAGCTTTGATGGCTTGGAAGTCTTCGATGGTACACAGAGACTCCACACACTTGTACCGCAGGCTCGGTAGATGCTTCGTCACAATCCAGTTGAGCTTGTCGGGATCGGACCAGTGTCGGTCGTCGAGACCATTTGTTTCTGTCTTGTCCAGGAGCGATGGATGAACCTCACACAATGCGGTGAGCATTTGAAGGTATAAACAGCCCAAAGGGAAGATGTCTGAGAAGAATCCAATGGTATCATGACTGAATACTAGAGAAATGTTAGAATGGCAATAGAATTCTGGACAGGAGTCTACTCACGTTCGGGTGCGCTGTACTTGGGGGAGTTTACGATTCGATCCGAGCAAGTGTAGTTGGACTCGGCCGTCAAGATCTGACTGGTGCTGTAATCAATCAGGTAAATGCGGCCTCTGCTGATGACGAAGTTGGTGGCTTTGATGTCCGTGTGTAAGACACGGGCCTTGTCGTGGAGAAAGCGGACGCAGATCAGTGTGCAACCGAACCATCCCATCAGGCTCCTCTTGAACTGAAGGCCGTGGCTGTTGGACGTGCAGTGCTGTTTCAGAAATTTTGCAAGTGTCTTCTCCCCGACCGGTAAGCACTCGATCGAGGGTGGAGTGTCGTCAGAGAGGTCGCGCAGGAGAACCGGCAGGTGGATGCGAGGATGTGTTGACCGAAAGGACAGCAAATGTTTGAGAACGTTTGCTTCGCGTTCCAGGTAGGACTTGGCTTCTAAGAACTTCTGAGGCTTGGATCCCTCAATGTTCAGGCCTTTGTGGGTGGAGTCGCCAAAGGGGGATGCCCTTGCGGTCACCTCGAACAGCGTGCCTCGACCAAGGTATCGCATCGCCACTCCATATTTCATCGTTGCCGACTTGACTCTGGCGACCCGATCTTCGGTATAATTCTCATCGAAGTCCTCGTTCAGGATTTCATTCACGAAAACGACGAATGTTTGAAACTCCTGGAACAATGTCTCGAGGGTGATGAGAAGAATTGGGAGATTCTGGCGTAACTTCCACACACTGATCTCGAAGCAGATCCTGAACCTGATCATTTTTGCACGCAGCTTGTTATACGACCGTAATAGGACTTGAGGAACGAACAACAGGAGGATGGATAGGGTGGGATATCTTATGACCACACGTCGAGTACCCAAGGCTTCTGCATACCATTAGCAGCTGCACCTTCAAAGGACCGCCAAACGTACCATTACTGACTGAACAGAGCCACAAAGCATAAATGAGCACATAGACTGTTGCCAAATATAGGTATAGACCAGATAGAGCGTGCAAAACGAGGGCTTTAGTCTTCTTCCGCCGAATTTCTCGAGGGTCGACCGCGGTCATAGGTAGCAGTTTGTCAGACACAGACTGCTGCACAAAGCCAAAGGATACGGCAGTGATAGATAGAAAGATAAACAACACTGGAGGTAATTAGTCCGTAGTCACGCACATGAAATACTGCTGGACGTACACATCATTAAGGTGGCAGCAGGAGAGACACCGTTGGTTTCGTTAGAAGATGCAAGAAGTAGAACGCTATAGTCGGCAAGGCAGATGAATGTGAATGGAAGCGAGTATCGAGGCGAACTCGCTGGGTCAATCAACATCAACTCCATGTCTGTGGTACGGGACAGAGCTGAGGTGAAGAACAAGACGTTTTGTCGAAGGAAAAATCGTTTCTGCAACGGTAGAGGCACGACGGGGCGCAGGAAAGAAATGGGAGGGAAATGACTACACCCTCGTGCAGCCTGGTGTTGACCGGCGGACGTTGGAGAAGTGGAAGATTAGGGTGTGCTCGGTGCACAGCCCCCGTGCGGTGGTTTTCAACTGAGCCCCCGCATTCGACGCTGGGAACTGCCATCGTCAATAAATATATAATTGAGCTCTGTTTTCTTGCAAAAAGACCGGTCCATTCTTATGCTGCAGGTAGCTGCCAAGCAATGCTCGCGCTGGAAAGGCGAAGCTCCAGGAAGGCGGTTCTGTTGCAATCGATCATAATCAATAAAGCATCCAAGGATAGTTGACGGCAGACAATGACATCATGAAGGGGGGTTTTTCGTGGTGCGCCAACCGCGTTTGATGATGTCAGGGGCGCGCTCGTCGTGGTACGTTCAGAGGAGTCAAGGTTCCTGTTGATGGTGCAAAGCTGGATGACGATGACGAGGAACTCGACAAGATTGTTGACTCCCAGTCAGGACCATTACACAATGCAGCTGGAGCACATACTCAGGCATGATCGTGATAGCAGTGATTCATCGAGGGCCCTCCAAGATAGCGCTCATTGGTAGAGATCAGGCAGGTCGCAGTCCAAAGATACTCTCGAACAACTGGCATTGTACCAAGACGGCTTAACACTGGCAGTCGGTGCTTAGGGATGAGAAGGTCGAACCTTTAAGAAGGAGGAGTGCAAGAAGATTGCAAAATGATTGACCGATTAAAGTATCAGAAGCGACAGGTGAAGGAAACAAAGGCGACCGCAAGACAGTAACGGATTCGCAGATAAAGAGATGTCGTCGATTTATGAACATCCACGAGACCCACGAGACCCACGAGACCCACGGACCAGCAACACAGCTCCATATATTATTGTGGGCTGTTGAGCTTCGCTGAATTTGAAGGTTCATAGCTCTTCCGAGCAATCCGCCACCAGACGTGTTTAGAGTTTACTCGCCGACTTTGAGCGGTAGGGAGAGTAGACATCCGGGAAAGGTGGGTGGGTAGACGAGTTTGGCTTGTTCGCGATAGGAACTTCACCCTCCACGCAGAAGGAATGCGTTGTGCGCGGATCCCGATTCGAGCGCACGTCGAAAGTGTGAGCTTACTTGCCAGGCCCGACATTCGAGCCTGTATTGTGATCTGGCTCAAGCCTAGCATCTTCCGATTTGCGCTCCGCTAATATCTGGGAAAATGCCCGAGTCGTGTGATGATTAGGCCCTCAAACGCAGGATGCTAGGGAAAAGCATTCGTCTCCTCAGTGAGCTGGCATCTGCGTTGCGAACGGGGCCTGGCCACATGAAAGCCAACTTTTCATGCCGGTCACCGTCCCCAACGACACGCCCAAATGCCCTCTTCCTCGTCTGTACAACTTATTCGAGCCCTCTCGTTTTCTTCCAATTTCCTTGATACCTATGCTCCGATGCAAGATCGTCCATCCCAGCCTTGTTGTCATCTTTGAGGGGCCCAAGCACGGCTGCGGCAAGATATAAAAATTCCCACCGCTCTGACGGGAAAGAACGGCTGCCTTCTTCGGGAAGCTCTTGGGCAAAGTCGTCGGCTCTCAAGTGCTGCAGTTCGGTGGAGTGGCCTAGACTTGCAGAGTTGAAACCAGAAGCTCCCGATCAGAAGCTCGATGGAAATTGCCGTGTATGCTGGTTTGAACTCTTTGCATCAGCCGTGTACCATACCTTGTCCCATGGACAATGTCACGAAAGCCCACCATGTTCTGGGATCAGCCTGACGGACATGCCGAACTTTCTCTCGTTGACCAACAGGTTGAGAGAAGTCGGCTGGAAGGAGACTGGCAAGATAATATGGACGGTGCATTTCAATCGGGTTTCAGAACCGTTTGATTAAATCTACGCAGGGCCACCTTAAGCGAGGTTGGGTCTAAAAAGAAACGCAGGTTGCAGGGAAATTTCCCACCAAATTTGGCGGTCAGTACCGCTACTTTTGGAAGGGTTGTTTCGTCGACGCGAAGAATTGGCCCTGGAATTTGCGCTGTCTACCTCTGTCACTGGCTCGAGAATTTGGACGTGAAAAAGCCATACACCAAAAGGCTGACCTTGTCGCGTTTCTGGTGTTATTTGGACGACCCTGGAAAATATCCATTCCAGAGGGAGCTTGATTCAGCATATAGGCACCATCTAGGCAGCCTGCATCGGCATGTTCGTCCTCCTAGAAGGTGAGGCTGGTTGTCGTGGCGAGCGCTGATTGGTTGAACATCTCTCTTTCATGCCATGAGAGAGGCTGTCCCCCCAAGACTGGCGCTTACATGCCTGCTACCGAAAAGAGCTTTCACCGACTTTCCCTCACTTGCATCTCCTAACCCCGCAACCACAATGGTTTCACGATAAGCCTACTCTGTATCAGACACCGTATATTTCCTCCTCGACTTGCGTCGAAAGAATGGCTGGGGACTATATTGGCTATGTGGAAACCTTGCGCCATCGTTACCCTAATCTGCGACGCTTCTGCGAGATTCAGGGTGCGAGAAATGTAAAGAACAAAGGGGAGACAAGCCGCATTGTTGTCATTGAAATCCGCGAGAATGGCATAAGCCAAGAACACTTCAGTTCTGCCGATGAGCTTGAGCGGTATATGCAAGATCCACCCTCCAGATCAGAACCGTGTAAGCACCGGGTGTATGTTCTGGAGGGAACCGCGCCAGCCTATGTCCAAGTCCTCGGTCGCCGTCTTCGAATGGACCCGTATGTGTTTGCAGAGCAGTTGATGCGTGGCGGAACACGCAAGGAACAGGCCGCGACACTTCCTACTCAACACGGTCTTGAGCGATGGTTTAGCATGCAGTATGTTGAGTCGCGTGCATTTCCTAACGGCCAGCTAGACACTCTTGGGGCTTGTTGTCTCTACCGAGACCGGAAAATCTGGGTGACCAAGATCAATTCCAAGTTTGACGAAGTGGCGAAAGTCCACAGGATCGCATCCTTTTGGTCGCGGAGAGAACCGAACGGTTCCTTCAACGGTAAGCTGACAGGTCCGCTGCCATACTCCTGCCTGAAAGAGGACTAATGTCTGCACCAAGGTCTGATTCTCGTGGATCCGCCGGTCGGGGAGTTCATCAAGATCGGCAAGGGCGCTGAAAAGGAGATACGACTCTGCCAGAACAATCTCTACCAAGGAGGATATGTCGACATCTCGCCATTTCCATGTGCTCTGGACCTTGAGAAAGAATGGGGATCATGGGAATCCCAACCCGGCCCAACTCGCAAGTCATTGTTCGATGACATTCTGTTCTACTGGAACCACATAGACAGATTCCCCAACTTGCACTCGTCCATCATGGAGAGCCCAGCGGGCTTCTTCGACGGTGCATCCTTCTTCCTTAAAAGCGTCATTGCCGCAAACTGGATGCAGTTTTTGGTCTACTTTGACGAAATCATCGACCGACTTGAATACGCCCTGGCTCGCGCGGACATCAAGGCCCTCGACGGCGTGGAGAATCATCTGGTCGACGTCACGCACTGGCACCGGCGCTGCTGGAAGTCCTGCGAACAAGTCGAACACGCGATCCATTCACTTCAGCCCAATTTTCATCTCAATCGGAACTCCTCCTTGACGGGAGGCTCCGCCTTCAACAGCATCGACAACTTTGTATACATCCACGGGAAACTGTGCGCACTCACGGAGCGTTGCCAGCGCCTCAGCGTGTCTCTTACCAATGTCATTACAGTGATTCAGTCACGGGAGGCCTCTGAGGAAGCCCACAGCTTAAAGATCCTGACGCTCCTCGGCATGTTGTTCGTGCCCCTGACGTTTTTGTCTAGTATATTCAGCATGTCCGGGGAGTTCCTACCCGGGGAAGGCAGCTTTTGGATCTACATTGTGGTCAGTATACCGGCCGTTATCATGGTCTTCTTGGTCGTGTTTTCGAAAGAGGTTGCACAACTCCTGAAGCTGAGGGAGAAGCCGACGAAGAGTCTCCTCAACGTGAGACTTACAGCTAGACGCACAATGACGTTCGGACCGACAGAAGCAAAGGATGCAGAGAAAGGGTAGTTGGTAAGCATGGGATATATACTCGGTACTGAGACATCATCTACTGGCAGACGTGAAGGTTGATAGAGTTGTCCCTCCTGCTCTAGGCTGATGCGACCTACGTAGCGATACTACACTATGTACGGTGGAGTAGGATTCGGTGGAGCACAGATGCGCATAATGTGCCAGACACTTCATGCAAACGCGCAACTTTTGGGTATTAGCTGCATCAATTTTCTGGTTATACCAGCTTCACACAAGCCTATCAAAATAATATGGCATTACATTATTTGTTGATCTCATAAGTGACGTCGTATACTGGCGAAGTTAGACCCCGAAGTGACCTCGTTCTCGGTATTCATACTCCGCGTCTTTGAACCAGTGCGACACCTTCACCTAGAAACTGGCTACTCCGCCGTAGTAATTGTGACCCTCTCCGAGCCACTTTCTCTCTTTCTCCCAGCCTCTGCCAGCGCATCCCTCAACGCAAGTGGCGGGGATCTGGGCCTTTTTGACCGAGCGTGAGCTTATTCCATATTATGCCACCCTAATTTCAATGTCCAGATGCGTCTCTGAAGGAGCCCTTATCGGCACCCCTCCCCCGCCGCGACCCTGTTGTGGCTCAAGAGACGAGAGGCTGCCAAGATGTCTCGCGCGTCCTCTGCATCTCCCAATGGAATTGCCGATTCCTTTTCGCCCTGCGTGCTCGCATACCTGACTGAGGTCTTCGACACGTACGCAAATGAGTCGACGACGACGAAGGATTGTGGCCATTCGAGTCGGGTCAGGAACAAGGCTTCTGCAAAAGCTTTTGTTCATGCGATTCAGGGCGGCGATTATGACACAGACAACCCACTTCTGCAGCGTGACTTCGTAAGCATGCACGACTTCTTGGTGTACATGGCATCTGGAGCGGCCGACGCATTGGCTCTACCTAAGGTGTCTGATTTATCGCGACCACTCTCCGACTACTTCATCAATTCGAGCCACAATACTTACATCACTGGCAATCAGCTCACGAGCAAAGCCAGTGTTGAACCTTATCGAAATGTAGGTGGGAGCAATTTACTTTCTATTCAATCCTGGGTCCCACGCATTGGTTGGATTCGTGATGTTGCTCCGCGTTTTCATGCTAAATGAAAGCCTTCCTTCCATTGCGTGTCCAAGATAAAGTCGCCACGTATACTTATGGATATCTTACCGCAGGCACTTTTACGGGGCTGTAGATGCATTGAAATCGACGTGTGGGATGGCATATCATCCGCGGAATATTCCAATGAACCTGAAGGGTCCAAAACAAGCCGTCGGTTGACGACAAAACCGGACATTCATGAGGAGAGGAAAACAAACATGCGGTCTCGTGGCATTCAGCGGAAATTGTCTGGTTCACCACTGGCATGGCTCTGTCAGGCTCCACACCTGAGTTCAAAACATTCCTCGTCCACCGACGGCCCATCCCTCTCAGTTTCACCGAACATCAAAGGGGTCTCAGCGACATCTGCAAAGAGGCGGGAGCCACGGGTCGTGCACGGTCCTAGCCTCAGCAAGGGTGTCCCCTTTCGAGACGTCTGCCATGCCATCCGCGAGACCGCGTTTGTCTCAAGCGACCTACCAGTGGTTATCAGTCTAGAAGTCCACGCGAGTCATCAACAACAAGAGGTCATGGTCGACATCATGCAGGAAATCTGGCAAGAGTTTCTCGTGGAGATTGATTCGATGAACACGACATCCACGGGGACATTGCCCAGCCCTCACGAGCTTCGGCGAAAGCTCTTAATAAAGGTCAAGGGCCCACCGCTTGACCACCATGGGGAGAGTGGACAGACTGAGGATGGCCAATGGCCTAAGAGTTCGGGCCACCCTTCGATGCGCAAGGTGATAGATTTGCTGAGTTCCTTATCCGTGTACACCCAAGGCTACTCTTTTCGGGACTTTTCACAGCCGGAAGCCTCTTTGCCCACGCACATATTCTCTCTGTCCGAAGCAGCGATCCAGAGACTTCATAGGAACGAAGCGAACTTGCTGTTCGCACACAACAGAAGCTTCCTGATGCGAGTCTTCCCGTCCGGGAGGCGGGTGGACTCTTCCAATTTCAATCCTTGTTTTTTCTGGGGGCAGGGAATCCAAATGGTGGTGATGAACTGGCAACGCCTGGACGCGGGCATGATGCTCAACCATGGCATGTTCGCCGACGAATCCGGCTGGGTCCTAAAGCCCGACGGGTACAGGTCCGACAAAGTCGCCTCTGAATCGTCCGGGGGAGGAAAGCCTCCCCTCGCACCAGCGGAGTCTAGGCTCAAACGACGCAGTCTATCCCTTTGCATGACGCTGTTTGCGGGCCAAAACATCCAGCCTTCCACAAGCTCGGCTCACGACCGGATTAACCCCTACGTGGTGTGCGACCTTCACCTCATGATACCAAGTGAGAGGCCCCTTGACAGCCTGAGCACTACTGAGGAAAAGACAGCACAAAAGTCTAGAACGTATAGACAGCGCTCAGAACCAAGCAAGGGCCCAGATCCTGACTTTCGGCGAGAACGCTTGTGTTTTCCCCTGGTTTCGGACGTGGCTGAAGAACTCAGCTTTCTGCGGTAAGTCTTCTGATATTTTATTTCTCGTTCTACCCCCTCTGCCTGTGTCTATATTTTGTGTGTTACTAGCCGCATTGAGTCACATATCTAATTTGCTTTTCGCGTAGGTTGAAAGTGAAAAATTGTCAAATCGGTAAAGATAGTCTCATCGCCTTTGCATGCTTGCGGCTCGATCGGTTACGGCAGGGATATAGATTCATCCATCTGCTTGACGACAGAGGCGTTCGCAGCGAGGGAAGGATTTTGGCAAAGATCGAAAAGGCGTCGTCATCTTCATCGTTGTAGGCCTCTCTGATTTATGAATCCGGAAATTGAGAGAGTGGTAGGGAGTAAATGAACCGCATGGTCCTGACTGGCAGTTTTGCACGTTTTGCATTACTTTTCGCATGTTTTCAGTGTACAGTGCCGTCGTCTGCTATTAGCAGAATCATTGTTCGGACCCTAAGATGACTTCTTCATCGCGATGGATTCCGAGCCCGACTTTTGTCAGGAGAAAAGTTTGATCTCCTAATTGAGTTGTTAATCATGTGTTTCAACAACTCCGTAACTTCGTTGAAACATAGATGGCTCGACCCCAACAATACCCTCTCCAGCCCACAAAGGGAAATCCTTTCACTGCCGTTTTGAAGACGACAGCAATTACAATGTCTAGTCACCTTCATCCACCGCTCTCGCGACCTCCAACATCTTTGAATGTATCGCTGCAGATGCTGCGATAATGCCCCAGTTGTTCTCGAGCCTGCGCCCTCGGGTGAAATCCAGCTCCTTTCCATTGGCATCGGTGACTTTCCCGCCTGCCTCTTCGACAATCAAAGCCCCGCCCGCCACATCCCAGACACACGAGTGGTAGTCCCGGGGAATACGGAATGCAACCTGGACATTGCCGGCGCTGATGGCCAGGGCAGCGAACCTCATCTGAGATGACCAGAGCTGCGTGCCGGGCCAGGGGGCGCCGACCTGCCGCGCGAACTCCTGTTGCTTCGCCGCATCGTATGACTTGTTGCTCGGCTGGACGAGACGGATGTGCTCCGCAATGCTCGGACCATTGCTCCCTATCATCGTCACCCTCATCGGCGGACTCAGATAGTCTTTGGTTCCCATTTTGCGCACAAACGCCCCGTGGCCCTTGACCGCGCTGAGGACGCATCCGTGGCCTTCGTTGTCGACAAGGCTCTCTTTGACCTCAATGAACTCAGAAGGAGAAGCAGCAGCAACCTCAAACGGCAGATTTGGACATCCCACCACCCCAACCTGTTGAGTCCCATTTTGCAGCAGAGCAAGCGACAACGCGTACTGGGTGCCTTTTAGAAACGCTGCCGTCCCGTCGAGCGGATCCAGCACCCACAAGCGCCCACTGTCAGGGCCACCCATGCCATCTCCACCCATGTCAATGTACCGGAGCACATCATCCACCCCCTTCAAGTCATCGCGCAGGAGTGATGTTGTATCGGGGTCAGGGCTCTGCCGTAACGTCTCCGACACGAGATGCCAAACCTGTTCAGCAAGTAAGGGGCTGTGGCGCAACTCAGCGGCGGACTCTTCACCAAGGAAGCGGTCGTCGGGAAAGGAATGAGCGATGGTGGCGATGAGCAAGGCCTGAGATGCGTAGTCGGCGACTGTCACGAGGCTTTGGTCAGATTTCCAACTTGACCCCTTGTCCTGGGAAGGGAGTAGGGATTTTGTTGCGTGTGAAGCGAGGTGGACGGCGCGGAGGGCAGCTGCCAGCTCTTCAGCGTAGGGAAGGGACATCTTTCGATTTGCTAGAGCAGGCAGTAAGGAACCCTGAGTGAGATGGGCTCAAGGAGGGTGATTCCTTTGTTAGGTCGAATAGATACCACAGAGATCGAGGGCGAGATAGCCCTGTCGCTGCTGGCTGCTTTTCATTCTCCTGTTCGAAGGCTATCTACGCTCTCACCTGGAGGCTGGTGAGACTCTGAAGGATTGTGGCGAGTGGGTTGGGCCTGTGCAAGGAAGTGTTGAGACTGCGCTTGGCAACGCTTCCTTGCTTATGACTGCATTCACTGACCTCTTGGGACGTGAAATCTGCAGAAGCTCAAACCTAGGCAGATCGAGTTCATGAATTATATCATCTTGGCGTGTGGTTGTAGCGGCGTGAAGAAAATTAAATCTGGCTAACTAGGAGCATAGGAGCGACCTGCCGCTATATACACGTACTGTAAGAGCATGAAAGCCAATGTAGCAGTCGGAAACAAGTATAACCGAACCCGACGCTAACATCGCGATTCAAACACTGCGACTTCTTTGGATTCTGTCTTCATCGCAATTCACCGCCACGGATCGCTATATTATTCCCAAAGGCAATTCTTAGGTCTGGCATACTGTTCCACCAAAGGCTCTCACGACAGGTTCCCGGGCCATTGTTGGCATATCAGGTTTCGCCCATGTCGGGTCGGTGCAGGCACCGCGCGGTTGATGCTTGAAATACCGATGCGGACTCCAGAGTAGGATGCTCGGTACGAAGTAATACAACCCCTATGATATCAGAAAGCTCAGAACACTTCGCGTCGTGGGCGAAGTGCTCATGTCCGGAGTGTGTGCGAACGATACTACTAGGGGGCTTTAACAAGCTTTATATCGTAACATTTACAGCCGGACAGATGTCTGAAGAGTGAAAGTATTTCATCTACTTTATACCGACGGGGCAACTAATAGCAGTCTTACCAGATATCTCATCCAGAAACATTAAGCTCAATGACACCACGGTATTAGTTACCCTGGTGCCGGGAAGTATCATCAATTCTGATATCGAACACAGACATGAGGAGAAGAAGGAACAGCAATCGTCAAATTCAACCTAAACTATGTCCTCTTATCTATCCGACTCTGTCACCAACTTGAAGTTTTGGGAGCCAAATATCAATCACTGCGGCTCTTCCTTTCCTGACCGTCTCTAATCCGCGTTCTAATGCAGCGTCTATCTCTGATGCTTTCTTCACCGTTACTCCATAACCTGCACCGGCGGCAACAGCAACATTAGCATGGTCACATGGAGGGTCAAATGTGACGTGTAAATCATCGCTAGATGATTTGCTAGTGTAGCCCTCTTTGTGACACGCCATGGCGCTCAACATCGGACTCTTCCAACCACAGTTATTCAGAATGACGGTCAGAAAGGGGGCGTCATATTTTCTCGCCATCCAATGCACGGAAGACGGGATGGAAAACATGAAGCTACCATCGCCGGTAATCGCGATGATGGTCTTTGAGGGCTGCGCGAGTTTGGCGCCGACGGCCGCGCCTCCATGCCAGCCAAGGGAAGTGGCTCCGCTCGTGTAATATGTTCCTGGCACGGAGCGCATGAGGACATCGCAGATAGGTCTGTAGTTTGATATGCCCTCGCTCAGAACCAGAGTATCTTTGTCGATATGTGCTTTTACACGTGAAAGAGCGTAGTGTGGTGTGATTATTTCGTCATTCGTGGGGAGTCCTTGAAGAGAGAAGATCCCAGAAATGTATTTGTCGTGTTTGGCCTGGATAGTTTCCTTCCTTGCCCTAATACAATCTGCATGAGGCTCGAGCACACCATCCTGAGACAAGAATGAATTCAGTTGTTCGAGAGCAGCTTTAGAGTTTGCCTGACAAGATAATTCCGTGTCGAGATGGAATAGTGACATGTTAACTTTCAATGGATCTGCATCAATGTGGTAGATTGCGGCTGTCGAGCTCGGCTTGAAAACACCTTTGATCCAAGGCACATCACAGTCGATAACGAGGACAACGTCTGCAGTGTCAAGGGCCGAGTCTTTTAGACCTTCACTCCAATGATTCCCGACATAAAGGCTGTGATCGTGTGGGAAGTTCATGTATGAGGGGATTGCTTCCTAGAGAACCTCTTAGCAGTATAAGGGGATATATCTGCACATCTCGACTTACCAGGACGGCCGTACCAGTGGCTTCACACAGCCTAACAAGCTCAGTAACTGCTTCGCTATCCCTTCCGAGGTACGAGGTGACCACCACTGGAGACTTCGCCTTCACAAGAGAGGTGGCTATTTCCTCAGTCGAGCTTGGAGTTAGGCCTCGTGGGGCAAGCGGTTTCCACTTCCTTGGGTTCAGTTCATACGGGTCAATCTTTGATTCGAGAACCTCTCTGGAAGCAGTCAGATATGACGGTCCTTGCGGTTCACTCTGTGAGAACTGAGCCGCGCGGAGGACGAGCTGCTTGATGTTCTTTCCGGTCCTGATCTCATGGTCCAGAACCGTGTATCCTCTGACGATTGCGCGTTGATCAATAGTGTCTTGAATATAGTGGATGAACTCCTGCAATCCCAACACATGTAAGTAACATGTAGTTTGCATCTTGGTCTGTCGTACTTACGTTTCTGCTTCCCGGCAGCTCATTCTCCTCGGTGACAGGCGATGTTCCTGCGATCATCAAGACAGGGATTCGGGCTCTGGACACATTGTGTATAGCACCTCCCAGACATAATGTACCAGCATCAACATGCACAAGGATTGCCTGCATCTTGCTACTTGCTTGAAAGAATCCTTGTGCAGCAGAAAGCCCAACCGTCTCAGTTGGCGCCGTGATGAAGCGGAGACCATTTTGGCTTTCTTGCTGCCGCTTGGAGATTGCTTCGAGAATGGCAGGATGGTCACTTCCGAGGTTGACGAAAATGTGAGTTACACCCGCTGCCTCAAGCGCTTCTAAGAGCGCAGTTGATGCAGTGTAACTTGCCATAATAAATAGCCCAGAAAAGCGCAGCCTTTTGTTGACTTCAAATATTGTGACTGGACAAGAGATTATATCATATTTGCAAGATTTCCTCCTCATAACCGAGGTTTCCTGCTCAAAACCGCGTCAGCAGGCCCCCACAATGCTGTATCCAGGACCATGGTCAGCTATGATAATCCCTCGGAATCTCACTCGGAAATTCCATTGATGCAGGAACATCCGAACCTGGCCCACAATTTTTGCGGGCGATCGCTTTCCAGCAACCATTGGAATATCCGGGACGCCACTTAATCTTCTCTATCTCTTTACTTGCATCTGGGCAATCACAATAATTTACGGGGATTGCATCCGACTCCTTGGCTCACCTGAAGTGGTTATAGAGTCTAGGATGGCACCTTTTTTTGGTTGAGGATGGTCTAAAGGAGCGACACATGGCTTGGAATCTGATATTACGTACCCTGTTGCGGGATTGGTAATTGTGTGGGCTTTAGAACGGTCTTCAAGCACATTCCTTTTTAAACTTAGCTTAGAACGGATAATGCTGTCCATGTGTGCCTATAGTGATAACTCGATCTTCCGTAAATTCGTCAATACATACCGTCCCTCCAAATTTCCCATAGCCCGATGCCTTCTGTCCCCCGAGAGGAAGATGAGGTTCGTCTTTTTCCCGTATCAGCAAGCTGTCACCAGGAAAGAATGGGGACTCACCATGGACTGTTGCTCCGTTTATATGGCATGAGCCACTGCGAATCTTTCTGGCTATCGCAAGAGCCTCGTAGATATTCTCCCCGTACACTGACGAGACCAGGCCATATTCAGTATCGTTCGCCAATCGCACTGCCTCATCTGTTGTCTCAAATTCGAACAGCGTGACAACAGGGCCAAACGACTCTTGGTAATAGATGTCCATGCCCTTGCGCACTCCATCCAAGACCAAAGGCTGGACGATGGAGCCCTGCACACTGAAGTTCCCGCCTCTGATTTGAGCTCCCTTCGATAGGGCATCTTCTACAAGCGCTTGGACTCGCGTGCCCGCGGTGGGATTAATTAGGGGTCCAAGAGCCGCTGCGCCATCTATTCGTGGATCTGCGGCAACAAGACTACCGACCTGGGAGGGGGAGGTCAGCCAGATCCTGCGGGAAACAGCAATAATTTAACCTTTTGTGCCAGGAGTTCTGCGAAACGGCCGGCGACGGATTTATGAACTATGACGCGCTCAGTAGACCTGTAGGGCGAGTTATCAGCTTGACCGTAAGCGAGCATAATGTCTCGCAACCTACATGCATATTTGGCCCTGGTGCATCATGGCGCCAAATGCTGCTGCTCGGCAAGCTTCCTCCAGGTTCGCATCCTCAAGAACCACCATCGGTGCTTTACCTCCAAGCTGTCACCTGTCAGTTTACGATTTTGAGACTTCTGCCGTAGCAAGGACGCACCTCGAGGACCACTGGCTTTAGGTACTTTGCGCACATGGACGCGATAATTCGTCCAACCGCAGTTGAACCCGTAAAGTTGACTCTCTGGACCGCCGGATGACTAACCATGGCCTCGGTGACAGATGCAGCCGAGGATCGCGGACAGCAGACAAAATTAAGGACTCCATCCGGGATCCCAGCCTTCCTGAAGGAGTCGACGAGAAGGTACTGGGTGTAAGGACTTGCCTCGGAAGCTTTGAGGACGACTGTGTTGCCGCAGATTAAAGGTGTGATGAATGCTCGGATACCAAGGATCTGTCGAGGAAAGCTTAGCATTATTCTTATCTCATACAGTAGGTTGAGCATACTATCGGAGCATTCCAAGGAGCGATTCCAAGAATAACTCCGCAGGGCTCTTTGAAGACCAAAGCCAAAGTACCTATAAGATGGTTATAAGCTTAGTCAAGTATGAGACCATTCTCAGGCGATGTTACCTTGGTGGTTGCTCTGCAAAATCTCCCCTTTCACCTGAGTCGTCATTCCAGCATTTTCGAGTACGAACTCGATGCCGGTTTTGATGTTGAATGCCGCCCAGCTTGCCTTCGCCCCGGTCTCACTCACCATCGCGTGTACAAGCTCATCCTTGCGGCTTTGAAGGATCTCTGCTGCTTTGAGCAATAGACTTCGTCGCTCCAGTGGCGTGGAGTCGCGCCATGTCTCAAAGGCTATATCTGCACTTTTTACTGCTGCCACTGCTTGCTCTTCGACTGCCGCGGGGGCAAGATGAACTGGGGCCTGCGAGATAGGATCCAGAACTTCAAAAACATCGCCGCAGTTGACATCTTTATTGTCAATAATCAGACCAAACGTGCTGCCTGAGTGGGATCCCTTGGCATTCGTGTGATCTGAATCTGGCGGCATGGCTCCTTCAACCGTGGCTGAAAGTCTAGAAACGCAAGGGGCCGGCTGGGACTCGGATTGTTCAGCCAAGGCTTATGAGAAAAACAGACGCTTCCTAGGCTAACTTTACCGTGGACTCGGAGCGAGCTTGATCGTAGACACGGAGGAGGCCACTGAATGTTATACGCTGAATGGGTGACCCGCAGTTGCCGAACGATCCTGAATACCTCCAGCCTCCGCATCCGAGGTTTTTTGCGGAGGACTCGGAAATCCCGCTCCCCTTTTTGCGGGATGAGCAGCCTTCCCCATAAAACCAGGGCTTAATCCTGGAAGCTTACATGCAACAACAAGCCTCGAAATCAATGTCCAGTCGCACCATGGAGCCTGCTACCAAAGTCGAGGTAAATCACGCAGAAACGCTGGCATATCCAGCGCCAGGGACCGTCCTTGAGTCTAAGGATTCGGGAGTCCACGATCGCGTTCTGGTGCCTCAGCCCACTAATGACCCTAATGATCCTCTGGTAAGTTTATTCTGTTTACCTTACACATCTGTTGTGAGAGACACTAAACTGAGGCTTTGATCGAAAGAATTGGAGCACTTTCGAGAAGTACTCGACCCATCTCACAGTGTGCTTCTTCACAACACTGGCAACCATGAATGCCAGCAACTTCACCGTCGCTATCAGCCCCTTGAGCAAAGAGTTCCACCAGTCACCAACTCGTACCGGATATCTTGTATGCTTCAATGTTCTTCTCCTCGGAGTGGGAAACGCTATATGGATTCCCCTGATGAGAGTCTTCGGAAAACGACCGGTTTACTTACTTGCTCTAACACTTCTTATCGCAACCAATGTCTGGAGCTTCAAGACGCATAGCTTTAACAGTCTGCTTGCGGCACGCATTCTTTCCGGTCTCGCCAGCTCAGCAGGTGACGCGACGGTTCCCTCCTTAGTCGCCGACATGTTTTTTATCCACGAGCGCGGCCATTGCATGATGATCTTCCACCTTGCTCTAAGTGCCGGGTATTTCCTTGGCCCTCTCATCTGTGCCTATATCACCGAGGGGGTTGGCTGGCGCTGGACATGCGGGTTGATTGCCATTTCTGCTGGTGCCACCTTGCTCGTGGGGATCTTTACCATCAGAGAATCTTCGTATCGCCGCGAAACTGCAGATGTAAGCCTCCCGGCCTCGGCGTATCCGCCTAAGGCTAGCTTACTCTCCTGGATGAGCCTCACTCGGGGCTACAGGAGCGATGTGTCGTTCTTCAGAGTTTTCTTTCGAACACTCTCATTGGCGGCATATCCTCCTGTTGCCTGGAGCGGCTTGATAATCGGGGTATTCGTTGGATGGTAAGCAACCTTGCCGCTCCATATTCCTCTCCTTTTATTGATCAAGTTGACTGAACTTTACCAGGAACATTGTGGTCCAGCTTACTTCTAGCCATACTTTCACCAAACCCCCATATGGCTGGCCTGTCGGAGGTCTCGGCCTTCTTTCTATATCAGGTTTCATTGGCGCAGTCATAGCCTTCTTCCTCGGCGGAAAGTTGATCGACATCATCGCCACGAGAATGACAGATGCCAACAACGGGAGGCGCGAGCCTGAGTTTAGATTGCCTGCAATAATTATCCCCGCCGTCATCGGGCCCATGGGTGTATTAACCTTTGGGCTATGTGTTGCTCACTACACCACCTGGGTCGGCGCCGCATTTGGCTACGGAATGCAAGGGTTTGGACTGACCGCGGTTTCGAACATTGCTGTAACGTATGCTGTCGACAGCTATCACTTAGTATGTTCCATCGACATCTCTATCAAAGGTTTGAGTTTGTAGTTGCTGATTTGTACAGCTCGCCGGCGAATCTCTTGTGGTTGTCTTCGTTATCCGGAATACGATAGCAACCATACTTGCGCTCTACACGATCAACTGGCAGGAAGCAAGTGGTATCCAGAATGTAAGGACTGCAACTTCGAGCACGTCAGTGTGATGCTAACCAGCGTCAACAAATAGACCTTTGGAGAAATGGTGGGCATTCAGTATTTTTTCCTGCTCATTGTGATTCCGCTGTACTTCTATGGAAAGCAAATCAGAGCCTGGACTGGCAGATTCGGAGCTATGGCAGAGCTCGCGCATGAGGTCTGAACGTACTTTTGAACGGCTCTGATCTGGGTAATCCTGCCAAAAAGGCTACTTGTTTGGCAGAAGCTGGCCTGACACAAGCGAAAACCTTAGTCGTCAAATATGTGTCGAGATCAAAACCTTGTTCACTCCTTGCCTTTACAAGCATACCGCCATAATCAGTCATTTCTTGCAAGTGGCGGTTACTGACACAGAGGGCTACTTACGTGTCTGTTTTAGCATTAACGAAGTCTCCGTTGTCTCAGAACAGTGTATTATCAACAGCCTCATAATGCGCCACCATAATTAGTAGGTGCAGTACTCCAAATAAAGAGCCGAAATGCTAGTTGCTGCCGCTGAGGACGCTGCGAGCATGCACAGGCTCTCCAGATAACGGTCGCAAGATATGTGTTACTTGGATTATGCCCACTTCTGGTGGATGTTTTGACACAGATCAACTTATTTTGTACAGAATGCAAGTAATACTTAGTTCGATCACGTACAATACACGACTCGAGCCGTCCAACATGTTATCAGCTGCTCCAGGCTTGAAATATGACAAGCGATCAGTCTTTAAGCTCCATGATTATTTATAGTCTTGATGAGTTTACTGCGTTCTGGACTTCTTTCATCGCATCGTAGCCATACAACCAAGGCTGGACCTGGGGGCATGTCCTGGGTACCTTTGTCAGTCTGAAGTCAAAAACCCCTGACATCAACAACAAAAAATGGCTGCTTACCACCGGCTCGGGAATGCTCCTTGAAGACCCTTTCCCAGCTGCGAGATGAATATTTCATCTCGTTTACGTTGCTCTTCCCCGTCCGGCAAGTGAAAGTCGCGTCTCTGATGGCAGGCTGTCAGGCGCGCCATTCCAATATTGCAAGAAACTTTGGAACAAGATCTGCGTACCTGTTTGAACGTTTCGAGCGCGATGGCTTCACCTCTTGGTTTTCGCAGGTCTGCATATAGCCGGAGAAGACCTGGCAGATCGGACTTTTTCTTGACATGTGCGAGAAGGCCGCCTATAACGGCGCCATCCTCTATCGAGGAGTTGGCTCCCTGGGCAAGGTATGGCAGCATTGGGTGGCATGCATCCCCGCTTACAGATAAATTTAGCTGGGTAATTCCCGAAGTTTGCACAAGCAGATCCTTACATGAATACGAGGTTTAAGGCTTCGTTTATCCAAGACGGCATTTCTTCATCTGCACATGTGGTCAGAGGTTGGAAAAAGAGTCACTTGATGAAGGTCAAAAAGGAGTAGCCTTACGATGCATGAGTTTCCACTTATCCGCCTTGTCACAGTATTTCAAAAATTCAAGAAGACTAATGATCTTGTTAGTACTGTTTGAAGTAACCGGGGAGACCTGGAGCAGGTAGGTATCTTACATGGGATCCCAGCCCTTGAAGAGTTCGCGCATTTCCTCCACCGAACCCGGCTGCCGCGCGATACCAGGGGGCAGGTCATCCGGCACGAGTAGAACAATATTGTATGCCTTGCCAGCTTTCAGTGAGTAGCCCACAGCATGAGCACCCGGGCCAATCCAAAAGTGCACTTGTGGGTTCTCAATGACAGCCCTAAGCTTCTCATTCCGAACCTCCTCAGCCTTCAACACGATCCGATACGCCAAGTCACCTGTGGGTATAGGATCATCCTTGGTCCCAAGAAAGCACTCTCGACAACGAGACCACAGTCCATCGGCGGCTATGATCAGATCTGCCGTGTATGTTTCGCCAGACTCAGTCTTCACCATGGGCCCCGAAAAGTCGATTGTTTCTACGCGCCGCCCGAAATGGAAGTTTACACCTAAATCAACCGCACGCGCAAATAGCGCCTGCTGTAGGTCGGCACGGTGACTGTCCAGGAAAGGGGCACCGTATTTTCGTCTCATTTTGCCGTGGAAATCTTCCTCATGCGCCAGGAGTTCGCCAGAATAACGGTGCACGCTCAAGGTCTTCGGTTCTGCTGTTGCTTGCCAGAACGACTGCGGAAGCTCCCATTGACCCAGGATCTTGGTGGCATTGGGTGTGATCTGCAGACCGGCACCGACCTCATCGCGTCCTCGATGTTAGCCCATGTTCGTGTGGCAGATGGGTCACTAACTAACCTCTGTGAGTTCTTGGGCTTGCTCAATCACATCCACTGAATGCCCGCCAGTCGAGCAACCGATGGCGGCCGCAAGGCCACTGAGGCCTGCCCCAACTATGAGTATACTCAGGCGCTCTCTTTCAACTGTCTGAACCATTTCGAGCTTGCAAGCCACGAGTCCCGTGACTAAACTCACCGTTCCTGGCCTAGATTTAAATGTGGTGAGGCTCAGCTGATGAGCTCAGCGATGCTCGCTTCATCATGTTTGAGCCTGCAGGTCGAAACGTTTTTCTGCCTCTTTAACCTGCTAGGGACTTTGGCCCTTGCGATCCCATCCCGAGAAGATGGGCCGGACGCGGGAGGCGCCATTCTCCCTCCGACTCCGGCTTTTCCAGGTGGTCGGAATTCCCGGCCCCGCATATAATCATGTTTCTCCAACCGCGGAAGAGCGGGGTTGCTCGGCAGGTGGTCAGCGCGGAGTCTTGCGTCCTAGTATATAGGCCCCGGATTTCCCGAGCTGCCTGTCCAGCGTTAGAGAACGCAAAAGATGCGGACTGTTGGCACTCCTGTGTTCCACCGGAGCCCCCGCGCGAAGGAACTGGAACTGACGAGTTCATCAGCGGTGGAGTTCGGATCAGAAGCAATCCATCATACGAGATGTCGCACCCGTTATCACCCTCTGCATCCACGCATTTGGGTGTCTCTAGGGTGCTAAAACGTCCGCGAGCTGCACGTGCGTGTGATAGATGTCGGCTCAAGAAATACAGGTGCGACGAACTGTCCCCGTGCTCGCAATGTAGAAGTGAGTGATGCTTGGTATTGTTGGCGCATGAATGACTTCCTGATACTGATCGTTCGACAGAGGGACCATTCGACTGCATTTATGTTGGTGGCTACCGTCCCCGAGATGGGAATCGGGGAGGTTTTCCAACTACCTCGGCCACACCAATGAGTACGGAGACATGCTATCAAACATCAGAACCCTCTTTGAACCAGCCATTATCCGGAACCCTACCCCGTGAGTCTGTCGCGAACGACAAAATCGTGGCATTAGACCTTGGAGGTGGGCAACTGGCGGCCACAGTGGACGATACCAGCTCGGTGGACTTTGTGGAAGAGGGGATCAGCGAGGTCAACCAACACACGAACAGCATCGAGTACCATGGGAACACTTCCTCCGCCGCATTCCTCGGCCGCCTGCAGTCGAGGCAGCGATCCGGTCACAGTATCGATGCTCCTGGGAGCCCAAAATCATCACTGATCTCTACACTACACAATCCGGCGTTCTCATTGCATGCCACCCCAACCCCGTCGGCCTTGAAAGACAGAAATTTCTACCTGGACTACGCCCACACCTTCATTCAAGGTTACTTCGATAATCTGCACTATATTCACCCCATGGTGGATAAAAGTGAATTCATGGCGCGCGCACACCTTCTCTGGTTCAGCAAGAGCCCGCAGCCCGGTCCAAGTTTCGTCGCACTCTATCTCAGCCTCCTTTCACTGGGTGCTCTCATACGCACATGGGATGAGGGCCGTCTTGGTGGGCTGTCTCGGTTTGAGTGGAGCCGACGCTTGTATGGAGAAGCACAAGCGTATCTGAATAGGTTGCAGTTCTCAAATGATCTCGACACTGTCCAGGCGCTGTTCATGATGGTCCGCACTGTCTAATTCAGGTCTTGCCTCGTTTTCAAACTGACTTGAGTGAATATCTAGGCGAAGATCTGCCAGAACGAGCTGAACCCTCACCGTGAAACTACCTCATCGATACCTGAACCGACCTTTAGGCTGACACGTTCCAGTTGCGTACATGTTCCTTGGCCAGGCTGTTCGAACGTGCCTCTCAGCAGGCTTCAATCGCAAAACCCCTTCCCCCCAAAAAGAGCTTAGTCTTTGGATATCGCGAACTTGGTGGTGCGTACACAACTTCCTTATCACAGACTTATGTCGGTGTCCTTGTCTCGTGCTGATGACTGGTCATCGCCGCATGGTAGGGGTCTATACTCTCACGAGATGTTAGTCATCCTGCTACCGGATGAAGTCCCACACACCACTGATCTCCATCTAGAGAAATGAGCTTTTCTGTTGGCCGACCTGATACACTGGGAATGGACGAATACCACACCCGCTCTCTTCCGGAAGTCGACGAAAGCGAGTACGCTATCATTCCCTTGATGGTTGATTTTGGACGCATCCTCCGCCGTATCTCCATCGATATCTACAACTCAAAATGCCACTCACAGGAAAAAATTCGTCTAGCCTTCCAAGTCGAGATCCAACTGGATAACTGGCTATTTGGACTGCCTCCGAAGCATAAACCTACCATCTTGGAGTATAGCCAGCCCCATTCGTCCTTGAAAATCTCTCTGCGGGATCCGAAATGGTCTCGTCGGCAGAGACTGGTCTTGGCTATCCGTAAGGCTCCATTGACGTCCTGGCCGGTCCCCATGGTATCGTGAAGCATGCCCAAATGCTAACGGACACAATTTTCATATTAGGTTATCATAACGCCAAAATACTTCTGTTTCGCCCGTTTCTGATATATGCTACATATCAAAACTCAGAACAACCACCCATACCCCTGCCACAACTGGAAGAAGCCATTGAGAAATGCATTAGTTCCGCAACCAAGACCATTGAAATCATGTACGATACTTTCCAGCAACATACATACTTCCGAAACTGGTATGCTATAACCCTCGGTACCCCACTGGTGCTGTTGCGATCGCCGATCTGATGACCGTCTTACAGGTGGTACAATACAACCTACGTGATATTTGCCACTGCTATAATTTTATTCCGCTTATCACAGTCGGGTCTTCGTTTACATCCGCTCTCCGAACTCGAAACAGTAGATCCTTTGTTCGCTACCGCTGACATGGCAGTCGAGATTCTGGAAGCTATGGACACATCCCCCGTGGCCAGAAAATCAGCTGAGATCGTCAAGCACCATCTTCGCGAACTCAGGAGGCTCAGTACCACGGCTTCACCAGTTGTCACCGCTGCGGATGGGCCAGAGAGGGCAGCAGTATCCGGACCGCGGAGTCCAGACACGTTTGGACTTGGAGATTTCTCTTTACCTGTAAGACTTGCTCCGATCCTTTCGATCCTAGTGTTTAGCCCTGCGGTTCTGATCCTTAGACCTGCTAGGACCTCTCTTATGGTGTGGACTTTCCGGACTATTCCTTCCAAAGTATGACAAATCTGTTCGTCGACTTCGACAACCCTGGGTACACCCAATGCGTAACGGATGATGTCAACGTGGATACTATATAAATAGCGACAGGAACACCGATGTTAGCGATCAAGGCGCAGAATGCTTCCGTCAGATTTATTCTATCACCGCACCTTAACCGTTCCCAGGTTGTCCTCCCCCACTGGTCTAGGGGAAATTGTGGATTGTGAAGTCGACTTTCCATTCTGGGAATCACCGTAGTTGCACTCAGTTCAAGTGAGACAGGAATTGAGAATCCCCGGTATCACGCCGACATACCCCTGTCGCTGGGTGTCAATCTTCCCCCACGAGCGCTAAGGCTAGCAACGAGGACTTAGCCCGCTTGATGATTCAAATTCGAGGAGGGGTGAGGAGGGTAAAGACGGAGGCAACAATGTACAGCAGGCGTACTGGCGATCAATTCGTGCGGTCTTTGTGATTGGGTGCTGGAAGTGCGGTACCCAGCTTGCAGTGCCTCTGCCTGCCTTAGGGTTATTCCCAGTACGGGTGCAGGATGATATAGAAGCAGCAGTTGAAAATGAGTATAGATCCCTATAGACCTAGTTTTGCTGTCGATGCATAAATATGTATTCTGGCTGGTGAAGAACATCTTATATACACAAACGTATAACATCTCTTCAAGACAGCGCTATGGGGAGAGAGCTATGCTTGACGACTTGATGCTTCACACTAAAAGTGGAATACTTCACCTTTTTCCAAAGCTTATGCTGTCCAATCTCGACGGATCATGACGATTGACAAGTCTGATCGTAGGTATTGCCTCGTGCAAAAACGGCCGTATCGCTGCCGTTGAGTCCTAGCTGCGCCAAGCTGTTTGTGGTATCGTTGTACAAGGGCCACCCATAGTTTTTCAGGCCGTTCTGGGGATCCCTGACGAAAGCAAGCCAGGCATCCTGCATGTAATGGCTTGTCCTGTTTTCCAGTGCAGTATTGGGCCCGAGAAGAGTAGATGTGCCGAAAACCATCGGCAGCTCGCCTGTGGGATTTCAAAAGAGTGTTAGTCTCAGATGTGTCTTGTTTTTCGAGGAGGCTACAACAGAAGGTAGATGCTCGCTCTCAAAAAGCATGACGTAAAGGACAAGGAAGACTCGGAGCAGGGAGATATACTTGAATGGTATGCCCCTAACCAGGGCACTGGATTCAAGTTGGGGAACTGGCCAAGGTAACGATACCTCCAGGCGGGAATGCCGTGCTCTGTTCTGGCTCTAGACGACGCAAGAAGAGTCAGAAACTTCAAGTATTTTTATACATTATGGTTGCATGAGAACGTACCGGGCAGCATCACCGGCCGGACACGCCATGGATGCGTTTGTTAATTGTTGAACCAAGGTCTCATTGGGTCCATTAGGGTTGAAAGCAACCAAAGTGGCAAACTCATTATTGTTGTTGCCCGTGAGGAACGGCTAAAGAAGAAACAGGGCATCAGTACTTGGTCAACAGACTTCAGATCAAAATATTAGAGCCCGATGACGGGCGGAGGGAGAGGATTGACATACAATTTTGGCGAACTTCCCTTTCGCCTCCAAGTCCTTGTAGCTTGACCAGCTTGTTTCATTGTCTCCGGTGGGAACAAACGAGAGGCTCTTTCCGCCGTTCTTTGTTGCGTTATAGTTATCCAAGATATTGATAATGTCGGTCGCATTCTTCTGCTGGACACAAGTAAACTGGTCGTCCACATCCTTTTGCGTGCAATTGAGTTGCTGAGCGATATAGGTAAAGTTGGACGTGTCGCTGGCACTGGTCCCCAAGAGCCCTGCAACCCCTGAGTCCGCGATCAACCCCTGGACGATTGGATCATCAGCCCAGGCGTATGCGTATTTGTCGACGGAAGATCCGCCAGCAGATTGACCCCAAAGTGTGATTCGTGTGGGATCGCCTCCGAAAGCGGCAACGTTCTCGTAAACCCACTCCACAGCCTTGCGCTGGTCTAGAAGTCCAGGGTTAAGGTTGTGTCTGCCCAAGCTGGCGGCATTTGGGTAGCCAAAGATATTGACTCGATAGCTGCAAGTCGTACTCATTAGTATAGACTCGACATTGATGAAAGTACAAGATCTCCCCCTGAGTCAAAAACACTTACTTTATCGAAATCACAATCACGTCCTGATTGTCACGGACAATTGGACCGCCATATTTATATTGCGAGTTAGCCCCTCCACTGGTGAATCCGCCGCCGGGGATATAGACTATAACCGGGAAACTCTGATTCGCCTTCGCTCTGGGCGCCCACAGGATCAGACTAAGGCAATCTTCTCCGGTCGTCGCTCCAGGGGCTAGCAAAAAGCCCGGAAGATATGTCGTGTAGGCCGTTGGTTGACCATTGTTCAATTGAATGCACGAATTGCCAAATTTGGTGCCGTCCAAGATCTCTGTCTCGGGTTTCTTGGTGACCGGAGGCTTGAATCGAAGTACACCCAATGGAGGCTCGGCGTAGGGGATTCGACGGAAGACCCGTACATTGGTCATGTTGGTCTCGAGTGTTCCTCTGATTGTGAAATGGTTCGTCTTGACCACCAGGTCTGAATCCTGGGCTACAACGCCGGAAATGCTCGCCAATAGAGCGAGCGCTCCAGTGCACGCCCTCACAAACTGAACCATTTTTGCAATATGGTAGGAATTTGGTATGCCTTTGCCTCTCGCTATCTTCCTCTAGGCGTTCCCTGCCATGCATGACAGACACCAAGAGAACAAGCATATTTATCCATCTTGGGGGCTATTGCAGAGCTACTGTATTTTGCCGAGAATGCCGAGAATGGAGCTCGAGCTGGTCATCTGATGAACTGCCGATGGGATCGTTTGCAGATGGAAGAATACTTATCCGCCCAGGTACCAAAGGATTGCGGAAGGTGGAGGCGGGGAGATCCAAATTTTGCGGAGAGCAAGACAAACAGAGTCAAGTATACGGGGGGGGTGACTTACTAATACCCACGGATTCCCGCGCTGCCTGTGTGCCTCTCTTCGCGCATGCATGGGACTACGGTTTAAGCATGGCTTACTCTGCTTTTACTCTGGGGCAATTACATTACTTCGGTTACTAGTATACACTAGTATATAGAGTATACCTAAATAGGAAATCTGGTAAGACCTCAGCCGAAGTCATGAAGAGTCTCCTCTATTGGCGATTTGAACTCATTATGGATCGCACTGGCAGTAGAGTGACGATTCGACTACATCCAGAGACATCCCCGTAGATAGTGGGCTTTTTCCTTCTCCTCATTCAGAACTATCACTATCGGTCATACACGGCCAGATTCCCACTGTTGATGAGGTTAATTCCTGCAGCCCTCCAGGTATCGCTTTCCAGGTGGCTGGTGACATTGGCATCATACACAAAATTTTGTGGATTGGTCAGACTATAGGCGGGCCATGGAGCCACAGCGGAAAATGGACCCGCGTTTGAGCCTGATCTCCAGGCATTGGGATCGAAGCTCGCCACGAAACTTACATAATGACCGCTCATCAGCCTCGCCAAGTCTTTGTAACTCTCTGGTTTACCCTGGAATGGCGGTATGCGAACAGGCGGGTAACCCACACCTTGGAGATTTAGCATGGCGAACGCGACTTCCACAAAATGAGTTGCTCCTTGTTCTTGATGAGACCACGCGGGGATGGCGTTGAAGCGATAAGAGTAGGCTGGAAGCCCTGCCGCTGCCCAAGTTTCGCAGGCTAGACGCCGGCCAGCGATGAAGGTGGCATCCCCATAGTACGTTGCAGCGCGTCGATACTCTGCCCCCAATGGAGGACCGAGTTCATAGTTTGGTGGAAGGTTTTGAAGTATCTCGACCGAGGTATCATCCGCGTAAGCTTGCAAAATCTGTTGCGCAAACTCGCTGGGAATTCGGGAGGCTAGTCTACTGTCAGAATACATCGCGCGAGAAAATCGGATGAAGATGTCCGCATACCATTAAGCGCATTGAGCCAGTCTTGGGTTGTGTTCAATCCTGTTGGACTGAAGGAAGTACCCTCATCGGAATTTGTACCTATTATTATCGGAACGTGAACAAATCGGCCAGCACTGAGTTGTAGTGAAGAGTGGCTGAAGATTATGTCGCCGTCGATTCGAGGGCCAAAAGCACCAGACAGTGACGAAGTGTTGACAACATTGTTAAGTTGTTCATAGGGAAGAGCTCGAAGGCACTGAAGCTTGTCTCCTGCATTACCGCAACCCGTTTGCTGTGTCAGGTTTTGGTACGAGCGTTCAGTGGACCTGTTTTGGGCCGACGAGAACACCGGACCGCCACTATCCATGATGGCACTTCGGAACAAACCATCGTCGCGCCCATTGTAGGCGGTCAAATGGAGACCGACCGACATCGCCCCTGCGCTCTGGCCCCATATCGTGACTTTTGTAGGATCACCTATGACTTCGGTTGGCTGTACTGGTCTCCTGGAACAAGGGAGAACGGATTATCTTACCACCGAAACTGGCGATGTTCTCTTGAACCCATTGTAGAGCCAAGCGCTGATCGCGTATACCAAAATTGGACTCCCCTTGGGCAAGTACCTCGTTGGATGACAAGAAACCCCAAGCGCTAAGACGATAATTGATGGATACAGCGAGAATGGGTTGTCCAATGTCGACTGAATGTTGCACAATGAAGGACATATTGTACCTCAGATCTGGTGCTCCGCCCTGGACAAACCCGCCCCCATATATCCAAGCAAGAACCGGCAGTTTCTCATGAAGATCACGGCCTGATGGGCGTATCACATTGAGATACAAACAATCCTAATGAACCAGCATCAGTCTGATCGCCTTGAATCATTTATCTGCTAAGGAATCACTGTTATAACTTACTTCACTAACATTGTAACCCATCTGGGAAGACTTTAACGACTGTCAATAACCAAGCTCAACATTGGCTGCTCGGCACTTGTACTCACTCCGTAACCAACACATTCAGCTGAGTACTCTGTCGCCTGCTGTACGCCGGACCAGCTAGTATCCAGTGGACGAGGATTTCTGAAGCGCAGCTCGCCGACAGGAGGCTGAGCAAACGGCAACCCGAGGAAAAAGTCCTGGTTGTACTCGGGAGAGTGAACACCAGAGTACGTGCCGTTCTGGAGATGGGCTAGTGGTGCGGCACCAAGGCCATAACGGCCGCTGAACGTAGGTACTGCGACCAAGCCGAGGGGCAGGGACAAAGTTTGAACGCTGAAAATAAACCACCGCATACTGCTGCTCCAAGTATACTCACAAGACTTGTAGCAATATACTCGTAGAGTTATTCGTAGAGGGAGCGAAAAAATTGCTCCGTCACCGTGATATCGACTGGCCTATATTATATGGCATGATATCAGAATGGACTAGCAAGCTTTCAACACCGAGTCGACCTTCAAACCAATTGCCTAGTCAATTCCGCATGTCCTCGGTTGCTTGTACCGAGGAGTGGAGCGGATAAATTCTTTCGCGAAGTGCGGGGGGAGGACTAGTTACATCGCGAGAAACCCATTTATGGTAAGGATCCACGGTTCAAAGCAGGAAAGGGAAACAAAATCGTTGCTCAATTGACCTCGGCTCATTAAACACAGTACAAAGTTGTTCAAAATCTGGCTTTATATGAGTGCCTAAGACTAGATGGCCCTGCGATCGCAAACGAATTATGGACGGCGGGCATTCGCCGGTTGGGATCCCGTTAAACTATCACAATTTGTAAAAGAGATGATTTGAGACCATATCACAAGCCTCTAATAGGCCCAGTTCCCACCGAGATTAGAACAGAGTATCGATGATAAAAAAAGAGAAAAACAAAACTCAGGAATTATGAGTAGAACAACTCAGAACAGACTTCTAACTGAACAACTCAGAACAGACTTCTAACTTAGAGGCAACACTCGCCTGAAGTGCACTCCAAGAGAACTCACATTTGATATAGTTTAGCGCACTGCTAAGCTTCAAACTTTTCACACTAGCACTTGAAGCAAAATTTAGGGCGTTTTTTGCCAGGTCTGGCGGGAAAGATTCATTGGTTGGGTGTGAAGTTGTCCATCGCCGACCTTTGCACCTCAGGACGACATCGTTTGGAATCGATCAGCAGAGGTAGGCGCTGCAGCATTCCCAAGTGTAGCCGCTACCAGCAAATTCTTGACGGTGGGATGGTGGCTTTCAGGGATGTGCTACTTTTTGTTACTGACAAAATTGTACGTACGTTGTCGATTGTTCACAACAAACTTCAATAGAGATGTAATCGTCAAGCCGATTAATGCATCGAGCGGCTTCGATATCATGACTGCCAAATAACCCGGTATATATCTGATGGCTATCCCTATACGGAAATTTCTGCCCAATTTTTGGGCGTCGTCGGAGCGACTCTAAGGTGTATCAATTTCCCAGAATGGGATCATGAACGGTACGAATCTTTATTACTCCCGGACGATGGTCCCTCGTATGACATCTACACACAACTTGCACATCTCCTCAGAGCAGAAGTCGGCGGAACTTCGGGTTAGCCATAGGCCTTTACACTCAGGCCCAAGCATATCATTGGGGCGGATGTTTCTCAAAGCGGTGGAGAAGTGCTCGCTACGTAAACGGAATGCACCTGCTTGAACCTCCTACCCTGTAATTGTGCCTCTTCTATACGGTGGTGAGGCCTCCGACTTCAGCTCCGCTCCAACCTAACCTAACTTGTCGGAACACAGTTTTGCGTTCTCATCTCAAGTCAGAACAGTTCTCAACATTCCTGTGATGGAGATAGCATCCGAATCAGAATCACTCAACTATTTAGCGATCAGCTCTCATCAACTAGATACCAAGACTTTCGTCCACTGGGCAGTTCCTGGTGCAGCTAACTTCAGCACGCTGCGAATCGACCGGAGTGTGGCACCGAAAGCGTCTCAAGAAGTTCCGTTTACGGTAAGGAATAGATCTAGCGATATTAGTTGTTCGCGCACGCTAGATACTGCATATCACCAAGTATCTGTCTGGCTTGGGACCGACACACCGCCGCCGAGCATGCCGAAGATATAGATTGCTTACAATGCCTCCACTCCAATCCTAGCGCGCGACAAGTCGCGTAATGCCAAATCATCTATACCCAAATCACGCCAACTACATCGAGAGGGTTGCTGCGGCGACCGCGGCTTCTCTGACTTCGGAGGTTATTCTTCTCTACCGCGTGCAGAAGTATAACCAACAGATCCAAAGTGCGAATATTCCTTTTGTATCTACCGAGGGAGGGCTACACCGACGTGGTTGCGAGGAAGACCTTCGAACAGCCAAAGCCGTTGAAGTTTGAACCATTCACTTTTGTACACACGTACTTTGATTCAAGCCAGTTTCACATAGAAAGAGTCTAGTGAATTGATTCGAAGGGTGTGACACTTTTAGCGGGTAACCAGGAGAACTGGTGTCTTGGACTTTGCAACAAAAGGTATGCGACCTTTCAAGGTGAAGGTATGAGACACGATCTACAACCACAGAAAGCTGTGTATTCTTTTCTCCTCATCTCAGTAGCATGGCACGCCCAGGTAGCGGCTTTAACTAGAAGCGTGTTCAGCTAGCGCTTGATTCGCGCCAGCGGCACGCGCTCACTACATCGCCTGGCGGATATAAGACAGAGAGCGTCAAACTTGAGGTTAGTTATGCCAAAGCTAGCGTCTACCTATTGCATTATTCATGCTCCATTGCCATGAACTATGGAATCACTCTAGCCGCTCTCATCCTGTCGAAAGCTATGTGGTAGGCTTGGACTGTATCGATGGTCTCGTTGAACCCAACGGCTCTGGCGGCACTCAAGTCGTAATCACGGTCAAAGAAAGCCTTGTTCATCATAACGTCCAAGAACGGCCAGTAGTAGGACTCTGGCTGACTGGGTTTGAGATCCTTTTTTTGAGTCAAATCATTCCAGACATTGATGTTTTTCTTGACGAATTCCGACGGTGCCTCAAATGTGTCCTTAGGAGCAACCCCTTTAAGACCAAAATAAGCGCAGATCCTAGCCCATTTGTCCGCCCATGTTACCACGTCCCCGTTTGCAATATTGAATACCTTGCCGTTTCCACATTTCTCCGGATTCAGGGCCGCATAAATTTCCATCCTCGCTGCAATGTCCTGAAAGGTGTCGGTGTGTTTGTGGCGGTAGCCATGTTCCGCGCCTGGGAAGGGCACTTCTGCACCAGCGCCTCGGACTTGGCGGTACAGGCTCAGATAAAAAGCCAGGCCTTGAGCAAGATTCATCACATTTGTTCCAGGTACAAACCCAATCATCGCATCAGGACGGATCTCGGTGAATGTCCATGAAGCGCCTTTAGACAGAGAGTCGAGCACATCATACTGCGAGTAATAGAAGATTTCGTCTGCAATCGGTTTGGGAATCCGTGGATACGACTCCTTGAGCGGGGTGGTAATCTTTACAGCATCTGGTCGCTCTGTAGATTGGTCAATAACCGGATACAGGCATCATAGACAAACATACCTAGTCCGTATACCTTCCCTCCTGTCTGTAGAATAAAACTTTTAACGCAGGGAGACACCACCTGGACGGCGTTGACAGCAGTCCTTATAAGAGTAGTATTGGCATTCACTAGAGCCTGTTTGTCCTCTCCAGGGTCCAGATAGACAAGCAAGAAGACATGCGTCACAGTTTCAATGCCTTCGACCTTTTCCTTTAATGTTTCGATGACGATATCAACCGGCCCGGTGAGATCGATACCGCTGTCCAGCTGAAGCCTTGAATCGTTCGGCCACTGTGTATCTACAGTAGACAGAGAACGATTAGATAGGGCGGTTATCTTGCTGAAAGTGCCGGGTGTCGGATAGCTTAGGCACTCCTTAACAAGCGCCCATCCTGATATCCCCGATGACCCAAAGATAAGGGCGTGGTTCTTCGTAGACATATTGAGGCTTCGGCACCTTTTAGTGTGGTAGAACGCTCAAAGAAAAGAATGTAAACAAGCACCGTCACTCCATCTTTATATCGTTTGCAAACAATAGAACACTCTGGGAGGAGACAGAAAAACCATACCTTTTGGCATTTATTTAGATCCCATGCTACAATTGCATAATATTTCTCATGAAGAATGATAAGGAACGATTTAAGGTCACCTTCGATCAAGACTAAGATGATGGATTCAGGTTATGCACCTACCCAACTTAGGAGGTGGAGAGTCTTGATGCCCAGTTTGGGAGGTGGAGACTGGTAACATCAACCCAATAGATACAACGTTCGGCCGAAACTCAATCATTCTTTCATAGGGCTTTCTTTTGTCTTTTTAGCCTGGTTTGCGGAACAGGCTTACGCAGGCGAGTAAATTTTGGCGCCTAGCACAAATGAATAGAGCAACACAGTGTTGACACGATAAAGAAAGGGCTTTCTAGCTGAAGAGGAAGGTGGAGAACCACGACTGAGAAATCAGAAGACTATATCGAGATCTGGCGGAGTAATTATTTTTCCGACGGGCCAAAATAATACTTTTTTATGGCCGAACCAATATGCCCGCTTCTCCTAGGTCTACCTTTATGACCATAGTCAGTAACTATTTGTCTCTATATAGAAAGATTCCTTGTTCTGAGTGGATTGATCGTGGAGAGATACTCTTGAAGCGGTGTTTATGCGAGCTACAAATCAATCAACCAGCTTTGGAGCAATGAGCGGGTGGGCTGACTACTCTCCAGCTATATATAGCCGTTTATGGCTTTTTTCGTACCAACCTGTAGCCCTCGCCTAACCTAGCAGAAAGTGAAGCTGGGAAGAAGAGGACTAACCGGGCTTAGATTCTCATGAAATTTGACAAAAGGAAATGAAGCTCGTGACTGCGCGGCCCAAATGGAGGATAATACAGTAATGTTCTTGATTTTTGGCGGGGTTAACAGCAGATTGGTACGTTCTATCTGCCGCCTTGTGTAGGCAAAGACACCAGATGCGTTTGACGGTCCAAATTTACGTGGTAATCATAAGTGTTGGCCTGGCAAGGGGGAAGAAGGTGAGGGGGGACGGAGTCTGCGCGGATGTTTGCCGCTGAGAACGGGGGACCCCAGTTAGTGTCCCGGCGGAGCAAAATTCCTCCGCAAAGCATACACTGTTCCTCGTTACGAGGATACCTGTATCAGAACATGAGTTCACATTTATAGGTGAAGATATTGTTTCTCTGTAGGCCTAGTAGTCTAGGCACAGACTGTAGCGCCTTTTCGCGGCAGATCGGCGCGCGGAATGGAAATAAACTTTGAGTGTAGCGCCAAATTTGTCCTGTAGCGTTATATTTATTGTAGCGCCAAATATTCTGTGGCTTAGCCTCGTGGTAACGTAATATAGCCTCGCCTCGACCTTTTGAACGATTGACTTTTCCATCCTAGCTGATCCTTCCAAGACTCGACTTCACGGGTACGCGGTTATCTCATCTTCCCTTTGCATCATGATCTCCTCTTCCCAGCTTCGCAGCTACAATCTTACGATAAGCGCTCCTGAAAACGCGTTGATTTGTACGCTATGTCAACGCGCCCTAGTAGTCTAGGCACAGACTGTAGCGCCTTTTCGCGGCAGATCGGCGCGCGGAATGGAAATAAACTTTGAGTGTAGCGCCAAATTTGTCCTGTAGCGTCATATTTATTGTAGCGCCAAATGTTCTGTGGCTTAGCCTCGTGGTAACGTAATATAGCCTCGCCTCGACCTTTTGAACGATTGACTCTTCTATCCTAGCTGATCCTTCCAAGACTCGACTTCACGGGTACGCGGTTATCTTATCTTCCCTTTGTATCATGATCTTCTCTTCCTAGCTTCGCAGCTATAATCTTATGATAAGCGCTCCTGAAAACGCGTTGATTTGTACGCTATATCAACGCGCTCTACGTGTTGATCCGAGGTCTGTCTAGCAGCATCTTTCTCAGGTTCACTCGATCGACAGCTCGCGTCAGTCCTAGTTGGAAAACCTCACGACACTCGATCTCACAGATATCTCTTAACTGACGCCTCGAAACGATCTATCCCAAGAGGATACGGCCCTGACCACGGTTTCTGGATTCGCGTGCGGCCACTGCTCGACCCGGATAACCAGCCAACAGCTTCTAGGGCGACATCTCTCCGCCCACCATCGCATAAGACAGTTCGATGCCACTGACGGTCAGGATTATCGATGTGTCCTCCTACAGCGATGGGCCATTGCCGGCCCGAGAGCACGGCAATACTGGATCGTCGCTCCCATTAGCAGTGTGGCGCCTTTAATGAACCCTGTTTCTCGCAAGCGAAAGCGTTTCCAAGTCAGCCACCAGAAGCTGTCCCGACCGAGAATAATGGGTGCCGTGGACGCGCGAACCTGGCTACAGCCCTCCCCTCCTCCACTGTCGACTCTCCTCTTCACGATTCATTAGGAGGAAAAAGAACGGATCGTGTCCTCTCACTCGACATTTAATCTGCGGTCGCAAAGCGAGTCAAACCTCACTCCCTGGTTCGAGCGGACAGGCTGGATCGCGACTTACACTCACCTTCCTCGAGAGACCCTCTTCTGGATAACCTAGCTACCAACTTGACGGACATGAGAAGAAGGTTTCGCGTTAGGTGAGCTCTCTTCAAGCCATAAATTTTCTGCATCTCAGGGAGTCGAAATCTATAGTTTATATGAAGACAAGACTCGTATTTATTTAGTTCTAACTATTATTAATAGTATCTTTGACCAATATAAAGATACTGTTCGCGCGACATTGTATACCTTTCTTTGCTGGTTACAAAGTCGAGAGCCTGACCGAGCGTTTAAGCGGCCCTTTCAATTAGTTCTTTGTGACTCAACTCGACGGAGATACCGACAATACTAAAAGAGATATCTTGTATTCTGTCTTCGCTATATACAACTCTCAAACACTACCCAATCCAGTCTAGGTATTTCAATCACAAGCGATCAGCGAGGTCTTATATTAAGGATATGGGATCAAATGGCAGCTCAAGATCCAGGTCACCCTTCTTGGGAAGATAGTACTATGGAGGATCAAGATGAGGATCAAGATAAGGATCAAGACGAGGATTAAGACGAGAATCAAGACAAGAATGAGGGGGCTAAAGAAGACATTGAAGATATTAAAGACAATAAAGAAATAGATGAAGATAATTACTTCTCTAAAGGAGAAGATTATCTAATCGTCGGGCCTAATATCTTAGACAATTTTGACAACACTGTCGGCCCTCAATTATTAGGTCTAGATGATACCCAATCTCACCCACCTTCTCTTTCTGATCTGGTCTTTTAACTGAGTGTCTCACTCTGCACACAGAAATACACTGACAGCCACCCCCAGTCCACCACTCTGGTCTTCCTCAGCGATGTCTTAGGTTTCACGGCAGGAGGGCAGGGATACCACTGTCCGCGAGCGTACACACAGACCCTTGCTGCGTTGATCCACCAGCAGACTCTTCTTCTCCTCGAATCGACACTTCCCATATCCGACTACCCCGGCTTAGGGATCTCGGCTCGACCGCGACGAGGACAGCTTGTCCATCTTCAAGTAATGCGGCGACGGTATACTTGTGGCGGGTGCCTCACCTCTCTCCTCGAGTTCACTGGTCTCCTGGCCTTTGGTCGCCACTTCCTCGACTCCGAAGGACCGATATTCTTCTTTCATTGGAGTGATGACGGTTAAACTCTGTCGTTCGCGAAGTATCAGCTGTCATTGCAGTCATTTCGGTCTTTTGCACATAGCCTTGTTGACCAGGCTTCGACTCTTCGCCGCCAGCTCATGTATGATTGGTCTCCCTCTTACGATCTCCATTCCATTCGGGACCTCATTAGCCACACGACGCCGGGATATTCCTTCGTTCAAGAAGCACAGAATGGTCTTTGTGGCGTCTATCTGTATTTCTTCACCTGTGCCTGTCAACAGGGGCTCATTAAGCACAACCGATAGGTCCACGCCGCGGTCTGAAAGTATCTCCAACTTCATAAAGATTTCCTTGTCCTTCTCTTTTAGCTGTTCTTTATCTGCGGTGGCCAGTCTCCCCGTATCCACGATCTAATGAGCCTCGAAGCCTGGAACAGACCGACTAACGCCCGTGGGATCTATGTTTATAGGGGATCGGTCCTCTCCATTAGCCGTGTATCCAAAAGTTAGCGTATCACCCATCGTGAGTTTTACACCGCTCGCTTTCTTCCCCCCTTCGTTAATCAGCTGGTCTACTACTACATGGTCTTTATCCAGCCATTTATCGACCTTCTCCTCCGCCAGTGTCTTGGCCACAGCACCACGAGCCATCTATTCGCTTCTAACTCTTTCATTGCCCACCAATCTCTTCCTCGCCCTTGGACAGCCAACGACATGACTCGATGGCTTCGCCAAACAAGTTGATCCATCCTTCGCGTCCCCCTCGGTGTCCAGCTCTATCGACAGGCCACCATCGCCATGACCGAAAAGCATCTGCGACATATGATCCAGCCGACGGATATGTATCGTGACGTCGGCCCTCAGGCTTCTTCGTGCCGCGTTCTCGCTTGGCAGAGTGGACACCAACCACTTCAACGTGCCGTCAATTATGGTATCGACGCTGATTTCTCTAGTAGGCTGTAACCTACTCTCCTAGAGCGATATCGCCAAGCCTCCCGGCAGTGGCATGAGTTCCTCGAGCTTATCCCGACTCCCAGTCGAGTGCCGCTCCAAGAAGTCTGTGTAAACATACAGTCTGATCATACACGATTTCCTTCGGTGGCACCCACTGTACACCCAGCGCTAGCTCCCTCAAGAGACTCTCGCGCTCCCTCCGACCATACTGCAGCTATGGTTCTTTCTCAGCCAAAACTACCTATACCTCGTGATCCTTGTATCACTATACTACCTCCCAAATCTACAACGACCTTGAATGATATGATTATATCTGAAGACCCCATTTTGTATAACGAGGCGTATCAGATCTTTATCTGTC